CAGGGCAAGTATAAAGAGGCCGAAGCCATGCATCGACGAACACTAGAAGGCAGGGAGAAGGCTCTAGGGCTCGAGCATCCCGACACTCTCACCAGTGTCAGCAACCTTGGTTCAGTGCTTCAGAAGCAGGGCAAGTATAAAGAGGCCGAAGCCATGCATCAGCGAGCTTTGCAAGGCTATAAAAAGGTTCTAGGGCCCGAGCATCCCGACACTCTTACCAGTGTTAGCAACCTTGGTTCAGTGCTTAAACAACAGGGCAAGTATGAAGCGGCCGAAGCCATGCATCAGCGAGCTTTACAAGGCTATAAAAAGGTTCTAGGGCCCGAGCATCCCGACACTCTTGCCTGTATCAGCAACCTTGGTTCAGTGCTTCAGAAGCAGGGCAAGTATAAAGAGGCTGAAGCCATGCATCAACAAGATCTGAAGGGGTCAGAGAAGATACTAGGACCCGAGCATCCCGACACTCTTGCCTGTGTTAGCAACCTTGGTTCAGTGCTTAAACAACAGGGCAAGTATAATGAGGCCGAAGCCATGCATCAACGAGCACAAGAAGGCCACAAGAAAGCCCTAGGGCCAGAGCATCCCAACACTCTCACCAGTGTCAGCAACCTTGGTTCAGTACTTGAACGACAGGGCAGGTATGAAGAGGCCGAAGCCATGCATCAGCGAGCTTTGCAAGGCTACGAAAAGGTCTTAGGACCCGAGCATCCCTACACTCTGACTACCATGAACAATCTAGCTCACACCTGGATATTACAAGATAAGATGCAGGATGCTTTAGCTTTGATGGGAAAATGTGTAGAGCTCCGCAACAAAATATTGGGATTCGATCACCCAGATACCCAATCCTCATCACGGTCCCTTTATATATGGAAGAAAAACTATACTTCATTACCAACTAAGCAGCTTCAGGTCTTTATTCAGGCTGAACATGATCAAGTTCGAGAAATTGCCACAGAAAATTGCCACAGAATCACTGGAAGTTGTTGTCACCAAACTAACAGGCGATGAACATATTACTTTGAATCGAAGGCAAGAACAATTGACAACCCCTATCAAGGCAACCCCTGTCAAACAATTTATCGCAAATCATCCACTCCGAGCTATTATAGCTTCCAACTCATCTGCACGCCAGGGCCATGACATAACAGAAGTTGATTGAGGGGACAATGGGTGCTAAAACATAGTCAGGAGTTGCCCGCGAATATAAGATCCAATAGCGATAGCCTTGCCTTAGAATTCTATTGCACATATGCATAAACTAGATAATTCCTTCCATGATATAGAGTTCTACGCGTGTGATAGTCTTTACGGAGATGCTAGTGGTATGTGGAAGTGGCTGGCTTTTGATCTGCGCCTATTGTCGAGCTATTTAATCGGCCGTGGCTTCTGCCTTGGCTCCCTATTGGACAGGGTCAGCGTAGTCAGCCCTCGTTTCTAGTAACTAAATCGCAACAAATTCATCGTCCTATTCCTCTCCAATTATTTCAGGGCATCGGCGTGCGTTAGCGCGCGTCTTCCTGTTTAAGGAATACAGTTATTTGCGAACTCTTCCTATTATAGTTGAGTGTTTCTTAGCTAGTGTTTCTCAAACATTTAAAGAATATAAAGTTGGTGAAACCATATTTAGGAACAAGTGTCCTTTCAGACCACGTCTTTGATTTCCATTGTTGCATATTTCTACAGTCAGAACAACTGACAAGTTCCCGCCTATATATGGCAGGAAGATCTAATAGATAGAAATCAGACCTCTACTTTCATTAATTCGGGTCACCTGCTCATAGGCAAATCGACCGGTCAAACCGTGGTTCTGACCATTTGACAGCCATCTACATATATTTTGAGTGGCCGCTGCTATTAATATGAGTATGAATATCCATCTTGGCATACTCGAGTACCCGAGAAATAGTTGCATATATCCGACTCGAACTATTCTTCCCTAGCAAGAAAACAGAGCTATAAAGGCTAGTAGGGTAAGGCTAGCTATTATATAGGGTAAGTGCCCCAGAAAACGAACGGGGTGCAATGAGTGTAAACCTAGCATTCTTTGTTGTAGAATACCTTTCATTCATCTGTAAGTTTCTGGGCAATAATGTACTCAAGCTGATATTAACAAAAACAGGACTACGCAAGAAAACAACATGGCCCTATCCCCACCTCCTATTTTTCGTTGACTTTTTCTTTTTCCCTTTATTTTATTTTTCATTTTCATTTTATTTTATTTTTTTTTTGTATTTCCTTTCCCTCTCTTTAAGGAAAAGGTTTATATAAAGAATCAAGGCCATGGTGACTAAACGAGAGCACGCACTGAAACAAAACCATGATCAAATCAGTGAAAAAACCTCTTAGATCTTCAAACCCCACACTTAGTAACTTTAGTAGTATGTATTCGCATTGTAGTTCCAGCTACCATCGGTCCAGTAATTCCAGGGCTCTTGCGAATAAGCTTTCCTTCGACGCCTGCTTCGCCGGAGCGGTAGAATCGGGGGGTTGCTTGAAACTGTAGAGGCACGGTCATCGAACCAACCGTTGTACATATTGTTTGGTGAAGGGTAACTGTTCCAATTTGCAGGTTGGCTCTGGACCTGTTTAGGTTGTTGCTAGGCTGTTTCATGCTTAGTCGCTCAACCTGCTCCCTGCGAATTTCACGATCTCGATCGTCATCATAAATAACCGGCGCCCGCTCTTTCACACCACGCGAGGCTGCAGTAGATCCTAGGCTGCTCTTTTTCGAGGCCCTGGTAATCGCTGTGTATCCAGAGGACTCGCTAGCCTCATCGGCATCATCTTCAAATCTAACATTGCTCTTGCCAGATCGATGTGAGCAAGCAAAGCTAAAAACGCTGCGCGGGGGCGATTTTCCACGAAAGGGGGAGCTTTTTCTACACCCTCTCCTTCTATTATCTCCTCATCTTCCTCGTTACCTCCCAAGTCGGCAGCTCTATTGTCTTCTCTGTATGCCTCCTCCAGCTCCTTGGCCTTCTGGATAGATCGCACCAGCTTCTGGAACCTTAAGTTCCAGAGGGTCTATGCCGTTTTTGTCGTCATCGTCCTTGATTTTCCAGCCCACACCGAGTATGTTGAAGATGTCCCTTCGGCCATACTTCCAGGTCTTGCCTAGGATGCCGTCAATAACCTCCGGCTTTTTCGTATAGCCTCGGTTTCGACTGGATAAAACACATGTCACCCGCTTCTTGTCGTAGTATTCGTGGGATCCAGCTCTGATCTAGAAAATAGGTTTTGACTTGCTACTATATCTGATGAAGATTTGAGTTCCTGTCCCCTTCGACCACCAGAACAAGACCTTCGCACCAGTCAGAGAACGTTCCTCTTTCCGAGCCCTTGCCTCCAGCAGATCAATTGCTGAGGGCGTATAGTCGTCATCGCTTTGGTCTTCATCCTCGCTCCCAGTCTCTGAGCCTTCATCTCCACTACTCTCGAGATCCGAACTTTCTCCTTGAGGGATCGGAGTTACAGGAACTTCCAACGAAGGCCGTGGCCCGAAAACCTGCTCTGCAGCGGATGTGGATATATTCCACCTTAGCGGTAGATTATACTCCCGGTTGAAGTAGTCCAACGCTTGGTACTCTTTGTCGTATGCTCTCCATGCTTCGCTAGGGTTATTTTCAACCTCAGGTTTCGCAAGTTCCATTTTCCAGGATTGGTACATTGCCTCATATGTGTGTGCTAGAATCTCGCCGGCACGAACGTCTTCGGTTCCGTGAACCATATTGGCAGCACGGATATTGTCATTAACTTCACGAAAGAAATTATGGACGTCCTCAAAATTAGGTTCATCTGTCAAGAACAGCTTATCCATCACATCATTGCCTTTGTCTTTGGTAAACGTGCGAATGATATCTATTACCCAATCGCCTACTTCAGGTCTGTTCTCCGGTACTAGCGGTGGTGTTGGAGGTGAGTCATCCATGTCTTCGTCTGCCCCATTTTCCGAGTCGTTCCCATCGACTGACACACTAGGCGGTGGTCCGTCTTGTGCATCCGGTGTGTCGTTTCTCTTTTGTTGCCGAGCGGTGTTGCGGCGAGCTTTCTTTTTATTCTTTTTGTTTGGCACATCCGTGTATTATTCTGTGTTTGGGGGTTTAAGCAGAGAGTATTACTGAAAGGGAGGATAATAATCAAACTGGCCGGAAATAGGAATCATATATATAACCCGCTTGCAGCCCGAAAAGGTTCCGCGGGCCAACCAGCCCTTAATGAACACACGCGTGAAGTCGACCGTTTCCGAAACGATCCAAAGATGGCCTTAATTTCGAATGGTGGTCCTCTGGCACCTTTTGGGTCCGCAACACCGAATGGGGTCGCATAGCATAAGATGACATAATTTATTCAGAAGCTCACAGGATCAACTTAGTCAAGATATAGTACGATAGAACAGCTTCCAGCAACTTCACGCCTAGTCAAAGACCATGCAGAAAACCAAGCATTCTCTTACAATTGTATGCTTGTGCCTACTAGTATATGCTCGGTATGTTATAATAAATTATCCTTAACGCTGTAGCTGATTCTTTATCAGGAATGTCCAGTCTATAACAACTTGTCCATTATTTCCTTATCAAAAAACCACGAGCGAGACAGCGGGGCTCCCTTTCTGGCCTCACCGGTTAGGACTCGGTCAGCGAGAGAACTATTGCGAACCGACGCCTACCCCAACCACAGTGTTATCCAAAAAATAGCCGACTACGTCAATTGTCACGTATGTTGCTTCTTCCGGCCAGACAAGCCAGGTCTATGAGTTACCTCGCACAATGACACATACTTAGCCAACAATATTCACACCTACAACATTAGCGCAGAACTCTTCTGCTCCTCTTTCTTTCGAGCAAATGGCTAGGTCCCACTCAATGTTCTTTGCCTTCTTTACCAATCGCTCCTAAGATCTGATACTCCTTAGAATCATTGCGTTAAGCACAATTAAGCAAGGAGCTGCTGAGTGTGAATTATCCAATCCGAAGCGGATTCCTGACGCCAAAAATGAGGGACCGTCCAGAACAGTGAAGAAGGGGGAAGATATTACAAAAAAGAAAGAGGGACTGTAACTTCGGCCCATCCACTCTTTATCTTTGCTACCAATTTGCTCTTCCGCAGCATCGACGTGATTTTTCGTTTTGGACCCTATCCGTTCCTCACCATTAATGTGTGTTGTGATCTCAGGGCAAAGATGGGCAGAAAGATGCTGTATCAGCTACACGTACGTAGCCTACTGAGGACCGGATGCCATTCCGATAGATACTCAATTCTATGGACAACTGTATCAACTGTCAGAGCCTATGGGAGCCTAAGGCAGCAACCACGTGACCTGACGACAACACCAAGGAATCTCTGTAAAGTAGATTGAGACCTTAAGACAATCAATCCCATACACGTGAGCTACACCAGCTCCATCATCAACTATCTTGAGCGCTTCTTCTTCTACTAATGGGTGAAGCTTCAGGGGCTGAAGAGTTGGTGATCCGGTCAAGCCACTAGGCGATCACGTGCCTCGTATAGATTCATATCAATGTTGAATACGAAAACGTGCGGGTCCGAGTTTTGCAGATCCTTTAGACCCACTCACTCTACCCTTAGTTGGCTAGGCGAAACTAGCGCGGCCAGCTTTCTATCTTCTTTCCTTTTCTGCATAGAGAAAAGGGCCTTCACGTTACTGGCTCTGTCCGACAATTTCCAGGAAGCAGGGTTGTTTTCTTGAAGCACCATTGCGCAGAAGCCCGAAGAGTTTTTCGAACGACTTGCACTTCACAAGTGCGTGGGACCATGGTACTACCATAAGACTCTAGCAGGCGGAGGACACGCTCGAATTCTTGATAATTGACGTCTCGTGTAGAGTTCGAATGACTCTTACGTGTTTACCGGTTCCTTCGGTTGCGTATATATCTCCCGGACGGTAGATTTCGATCAATATACTTATATTTGAGTTACGTCTTACGGCTGTTAGGATGGGTTGGATACAGTATGAATTAGTTGGTATGCGCCTAACGATTGGATACTTTAAGACCGTATATTATTGATTGATATTGAATACTCTAGAATACAGAATGTTGGCGGGACCAAGGCTCCCAGAGGTTGTTCAAAGCCTTTGGGATATGGAAAATGTCGAGCATTCGGCAGTGTTGGATCTTCCGCAGACACCCTAATAAAGTCACTCTCGACATCTATTCCCCCTGCAGAGACCCAGCCAATCCTTTTGCACAATTTTGATTGCCAGGTGCCGATTGATCATTTTGGGTCCCATTGTCGAAGCTTGCCAGGGCAGTGTGGGTAGCGTAGAACGCACCCTTAGGGTTGTAGTACTCATCGAACATCAATGGCTTCGCACCCTTTATCCAGGTGTAGGCGTGCTTATCGGTAAATCCCCAGAAACTGATGTCAGTGATTCCTGCATCAAGAGCCTCAGAGACGATAGCGCTGTAGATATCGGTTTGGAGCGTGGTGTTGAGCGTGTGGACATCCATTTCAGCGATCGATACTTCCAATCTGAGGGCCTTGTAGGAGTCGACGATCTCCTTGATTACACCCGGTTGGACAGGTAGTCCTTCCGTGATGTGCATTTGCAGGGCAACTCCATCAATTGGGACGCCGTCCGCCACGAGCCTAGAAACCAGATTGTAGAGCTCCTGACGCTTGCCAGGGAATGACTCGACCGTAGCCTCGTTGATGAATAGCTTGGCATCCGGGGCTGCCGCACGGGCGATACGGAAGGCGTCATCAATGTAGCTAGGACCGAGAACCTTGTAGAAGTCGTTGATCTGCAGGCCGCCGCCCTGCGTCTTGAGGGCTTCGGTAACAACATCCCACCGATCTACCTTGCCGTGGTACCGCTGCATGACTGCCTTGAAATGCGCCGTCATTGCAGCACGAAGGGCCGTAGGGTCGGTGATATTGACTAGGTAGTTGGGGTTGCAGCAGCTCGAGATAAGCCCGTGGCCCTTTACCACCATATCGTGCGCTTCGGCGAAGTGGACCAGGCGGTCGATTGTCTCCCAGTTGTAGTGCCCTTTGGTCGGGTGGATGAACGACCACTTCATCTCGTTCTCGGGGGAGAGGCTCTCGAACTGCTCGGCAAGGACGGTCGCAAACTGAGGATCATCGAGATAGGTCGGATTAATAGCCCCGGACCCGATGAGAATACCCTTGGTCGCTGCTTTCTCTCTCAACGGGCTGGTCCTGGTGTCGGTGATGGCGTTTATTCCTTCGGTAGCGGCGAGGAACGCGGTGATGAGTGTTGCGGCACTGAAGGTCTTCATGGTTCTGCTTGGCGATATGTTCTCTGTTTCTCTGATACTTAGCAAGTGAGAGAGACATGCAAATGCAGTCTCATCGTCAAGGTATTTATAGGTTTTGGTGGGAGTACGCATGACGAGATATCCCAGCGCCGTGGATACATAGTGGGTCGATGATCCCTACAATGCTGTTGCAGCCTGTAGGGTACAAATACGACGCTGGGTATCAGTACGAAAACGAGTGGGGCTATCTGATCGGAAGGTCCACAAGTTTCTTTCATAGCCAAATAAGAGTTCATGGGTATTCGTACGCCTAACATTATGAATCAATCTATCGGATCCATGCACTGCTATTGTCCCCGTAAGGTTCAACTATGTTGGTGCTCCCTTTCTTCTATGCGTATGGATAGTTAACATGTATTAGTGGTGGGACCACCGCCTTTCGCCAGTTGGTGGTCGGCAGCGTAAAGGCATTTTCACTGTATAAGGCAGATTTTGAAGCAATTCGTATTTCAAGGCCTAGAACCCATAGAATCTATAAAACAAAGCTGATTACTCGATTCCTCTGCCTTTTCACTATACGAAGCAGGATTTTGACCTTCTACAGGAGGTACGGGGGGAGGTAGCTGTACACCTCTTTGTATGCCTTATCCACCTTCTTCAGCTCATCTTTTGCCCTCCTCTCTGCGATAGATCGATTTATATCCTGTACAGTCAGTATGCCACTATTTTAAAGGCCCTGAATTACTTGCTTGGTGATTTTATACTTCTGAGATTCCTGGATCGCTTTAATTCACTCTAAAGTAGAGTATATAGCTGCGAGCTGCTTAGATTAAACTTTCTGCTAATAAAAAAGGTACTCTAGGCAGCGCTTCACTTACAGAGAGATCTCTACAGATTCTAGTAGGTAAAATAGCTTCTTTCAATTTTTTAAACCTGCTCAGGGATCTTAGGAGGCGTATTCTTAACACTTGAAGAGAGAGGATTTGGAGGCGGTGTAGTCTCTCTATACACGTGTAGATAAGGTGCGGAGATCTCTGGTAGAGATAGTAAAGTATTCTGAATAGCTTCAATAATAAAAGACCTATCTGGGGGGTAGATACCGCGTTCCCTAAAGGAGTCGTGAATAATTCATACATTGAAGGACTCCTTGTGTACAGCCATAATATCACTTAAAATATTGTCTTTATCTCCCAGGACCCCACACCACTGTGTAATAAGATTATTCGCACTGTGGAAATGCGTTTTATACATAAGAAATAACTTTCTATCAAGCGGTTGGCAGAGGTGGGTTGTATAAGGTCTAAAGCAAAAGAGACGAATCTTATAGGTCTTGTAGAGTTATAGAAATTTAACTGTTTTATGGGAAGTATAACTGTTAAAGATAAGCACATGTTTTTCTCTATTTATATAATGCTTGGTTTCCTTATAAAACTAATGAAGCCATTTAATCAAAAGTTTGTTATTTATATAGCCTTTTTCAGAGACTGCAGTATAGGCATCCGGTAAATTTATATTATACCAGGCCTCTATAAATCGCTTGCCTTTAAAGATAAAAAGTGGCTTTATAATCCAACTATCAGCAGTAATATATTCAACTGTAGTTATATTCTCTGAATGCTCTGGTTCTGCAACATCAGGAAATCTTCCCCTTGTACTAAGCATATTTTGTCTCTTTCCTTTGCCTGGTTGGAACCCGCATTCGCCAAAATTATACACAAGGCAAGGATAGATCCCGTTAAGTTTGTAAGCTGACTATACCAGAATTGAAGCTGTCCAACATCCTCTGTATCTAGTCGCTTTTTCTCCTTCGTTTTCTGCTTCATTAAACTAATTTTTAGGTGTGGAGAAAGACTTTTAGCAAAACGATATACCTATAATTAATTAATATATTGTTTATGATATGAATCTATACGAGACACATGATCGCCTAGCGGCTTGGCCGGATCACCAACCCTTCTGCCCCTGAAGGCTGCCCAAACTGGGCCCGCTCAAGCACTAGTTAGTGCAACAGTCTATACTTCTACCTGGATAGAGGCGGACAGCATCCCCTTCTATCTATAGGTAGCCGAAGCAGGTTCCCACCTCCAGAAGACCAGGCCAGGGTAGTGCCAGGCGCTTCTTCCACCCTTCTCCAACATATATTGTTCAGATTTGTTGCTTCAAACATGTATTTAGCTAGTTCCTAGTGAGATTTCTGTTTAGGTAGCACGTCCAGTTGCCCCTAGGGAGGCCGCGGATCACGTTGCCGCATGATCCGCCGAGTGACGTTAAATAGTAGCCAAGCCAAGCCAAGCCTCTGAAGGCTTTACCTATTAGTAGTGGATGGAGAGAAGAAGAAGCGCTTAAGATAGTTGATATAGTCGTCCATAGAATTGAGTATCTATCGGAATGGCATCCGGTCCTCAGCAGGCTACGTACGTGTAGCTGATACAGCCTCATCCTGCCCATCTTTCCCCTGAGATCACAACAGTTTAGGATCAACATGTTGTACAGTGAGGTTTGTCTATTTAAGAAGAAGTGAATCGTAACCGGAAGATGTAAATCATGCATTTTAGTAATCCACTGGACTAAAGCAGTCTCTTGATACTGATTTAGCGCTTTATTTATAGGGGATTTAGCTGTACGAGGCTTTCTTTAATCATGGACGGGACTGTAGAGCGTGCGGTAAGGAACCCCGAATTCTCGCGCAATCTTTGTAATATTAGGTCTTTTTTTTACTGAACTGCTTGAACAGCCTCATCTACACGCCCATCGTGAATTTCAGATGATTTAGTCATAGTACGCTTTCGGCGTGGGCTTGGGCGGTGATTGCCAGAGTGGGGAGTAACATCATTAGCTTGAATTATAGGAATCATACCAAGCCGCCTTAATTTCTTGGACTCTTGAAATCTGAGGCGTAGGTGCTCGTTTTCGTATAGAAGCCAGAGCTGTCGAGTTCGTACAACCGAGCAAGACCACTGCCGGGTCCAGATTTACAAGCTTTTTTTCCCCACCGCGCCCCACCAAAAAAATGCAGAAAACGAAAAGAAAAACCGAAATTTCAGCGTGGTGCTATTGGCTTGGCAGATAATGTTTAGATTTAGGGGTTGTTGGAGAATCTGCCCATAATCCTTTAACTTCGGCACTAAGCGTGACGTCGCCACTAGAAATACCGAAGCATTCATTGCCTAGACGTAGAAATTCTAATAGAGCCTCTAGCCCGACCTTACCTTACTAAGGACTGGATTACAGCCCTACATTCCAAACACCCTCTGTTTAATCTTCTCTATTAACTCTCGACGCTTTACTCCGTTGAGCCTGGCTACCATGTCCAGCAACGGCCATATGGAAGAAGTATTTGAGCTACCGGGAGAACCTGTGGCGATGCCTCCCTCGATCCCATCCTCCGCCATGGGCAAAACTGGCATTAACCTGAAAGGTACGACGCATCAGAAGCCCTCTCCGAGGCCCCTAACGACCGAATTTGATGTGAAGCGGCTAATAACTGTAGATGATGGCCGCGTGGATATCGACTGGGACTCAAAATTTATGCGAGGCTTTTCTATGTTGTACACTGGTCCACTTCGAAGACGACCTGCGACACCACCGCCCGAATACACAGAGCTGCCCACACAAGTCATCGACGCTACAAGTAACCGTGGACAACCGCCCAGATATCCAGAGCCCGTCACAGATAATGAAAAAGTTTGGAACGTCAAACTGAACATTGTCATTCAAGTGGTGGGAAGCCGAGGCGATGTTCAACCATTCATTGCCCTCGGAAACGAACTGGTACGGTACGGACACCGTGTGCGACTGGCTACTCATGATGTATTTGAAGGTTTTGTCAGGGACTCCGGGTTGGAGTTTTACCCGATTGGTGGCGATCCAGCAGAGTTGATGGCTTACATGGTCAAGAACCCCGGCCTCATCCCCAGTATGGAGAGCTTGCGAGCAGGTGAAATCCGCCACAAACGTCTCATGATCCGGGAGATGTTGGAGGGGTGCTGGCGATCATGTATCGAGCCGGACCTGACCACACACGAGCCTTTTGTCGCCGATGCGATCATCGCCAACCCACCCAGCTTTGCACATGTCCACTGCGCCCAGGCGTTAAGCATCCCAGTACATCTGATGTTCACTATGCCCTGGAGTGGTACCGAAGCTTTTCCACACCCGCTGGCGAACCTGAACTCTGACGATACAAACCGAAGCTTCAAGAATTATGTCTCCTATGAAGTGGTCAACTGGCTTACGTGGCAAGGGTAAGATTGTTATGCGCTCAGTGAGGAAAAGCTAAATCTAAAGAGCGCTTGCAGAGTAGGCGACGTGATAAACCAATGGCGGAAAGAACTTGACTTAGATGAAGTGGCTATGTTCGAAGGCCCCCATCTTGCAGAGATGTTGAAGGTCCCATTTACATATTGCTGGTCCCCGGCTCTCGTTCCCAAGCCGTCAGATTGGCCGTCTTATATTGGTCAGTGTCGTTCAATGAATCTTGTTAAATGATGGCAATATTAACAGGCCCTTAGATGTCTGTGGTTTCTTCTTCCGTGACTCCCCACAATACGACCCCCCAGCTGATCTGCAGGCCTTCCTCGCATCCGGTCAGCCACCCATTTATATTGGCTTCGGCAGTATCGTACTGGAAGATCCAGAAAGGATCACCGCCACAGTTATCGACGCAGTAACTGCAGCTGGCGTGCGGGCGATTGTTTCCAAAGGCTGGTCCAACTTGGGCGGGACACACAACGAGAATATTTATTTCATCGGGGATTGTCCTCATGAATGGCTATTCCAACATGTGGCGGCTGTCGTGCATCACGGGGGCGCGGGTACGACAGCTTGTGGTTTGCGAAATGCCAGGCCAACAATTGTTGTTCCCTTTTTCGGAGAGTGAGTGCTGGGACGAACTATTCTATCTTCGGTAACTGATTGTTTTAATAGTCAGCCGTTCTGGGGTGCTATGGTCGCTGCAGCCGGTGCTGGTCCTGCTCCTATTCCACATCGAGAGCTTACTGTTGATGCGCTGACCGAAGGCATACGGTATTGCCTTACAGAACGAGCCGCGACAGCAGCCTCAGCCATTGCAGCTAAGATGGATTCGGAAGCCGGGGTCCACGCCGCAGTTGTTTCGTTTCATCGGAACTTGCCTCTCAAGCGACTACAGTGCGATCTATATCCAGGGCAGCCCGCAGTGTGGTCTGTATCCAAGGGCCACAGAAAATTCAAGGTTTCAAAAATCGCAGCGGAGATATTAGTCGCCGAGGGGTTGATTGACAGAAAAAACCTGGTTATGTACGTTGGAGTGCTCGGAACCCGTGAACCTATTTTGCTGCTCTCCCCCCCTAACAACTGCTATATCTTCCAGGCATGCAATCAAACCAATCATGATCGAAAATCGTCGGTGGGATCCTATCTCGGGCGGGGCTTCCGCCGTGATGGGCACCACAACCGACCTCACTGCGTCCATTTTAGGGACATTTTACAAACCTTTTGAGGAGTATCAAGCCTATCACGACACGCGCAGAGACCGTCCCTCGAATAGCAGGTCTAATCAGGCCGCAAAAGGACCTGCAAGTAGCTCATCTACCGGGAGCGTACCCTTGCGGACGACAAATTGCGGAGAGTGGCAGGAGACACCATCCGGTCCGGGGGAAACATCGGATCATCATAAAACTAGGCTTGCCGGTAGGATGGCAGGAGCATCTATTAAGAGCTTGGGCAGCTTTGTCCCAACGGCCCTTAAGGGCATGACTGTTGATATCCCTCTTGCTATGACTGAAGGAATGCGCAATCTACCCCGATACTACGGTGAAGAGCCCCGAGGTCACGGCTCTGTTACCGACATCAAAAGCGGCTTTACCGTTGCTGGCAAAAGTTTCGCGTGGGGGATGGCGGAGGCGGTCAGCGACATTGTCGTCAAGCCATACCAAGGCATGCAAGAGGATGGTGCGAAGGGCGCTGTGAAAGGCATCGGCAAGGGCATGGCAAATATGGCTTCTAAAGCTGGTTGTGCTATGTTTGGAGTCCTAGCCTATCCGAGTGCTGGTATTGCGAAGAGTCTGAAATCGTCGATATACTGTAAGACGAAGAAGGAAATTGCCAAAGCGCGCCATAACGAGGGGGTATGGTTGTTGGCGAACGGCCAGTGCACACAACCGAATAATGTTGTTACCACGTTCCAAGGACAGCTCAAGGGTAACAAAGGCTGAACGATTCGTGTTCGGAAGAACGGAGGAACTCTGAATCAGCTACATACCTGAAAATCCTGTAATGACGAAGTTAAGAAATCCATGTGGTACGACAATCGGTTTGGAGAAACGATGCTCTTGATAGTTCCAGTATCACATTACTATTATCGTCGCTGGTGGCAAGAAATCCAAATGGGCCACGCCCATTTTAAAGTGCTCTTTGAAACCGACCTAGCAAGATACCTCATATGGTATGCATGGTAGACCCCTACGGTTCGAAAAGCTATGTTAAGTCCTGTTTCTGGTTCTCTGTTTGCGCGCCCCGCAATAGCCGTTAATTAGATATACTACTTCATGTATGACCTCTCAACGGCCCGCTTCCAACATCGCTATCCACGGTTGAGCCTTGATGTTCTGCAACAAGCCGTGGGCTTCGAGCAGCAGAAACGAGCCGGTCTCTTCCATCAAAATGAATGCTATTCTCACACGCTGGCACGATAAGATACCTGGTTGGACTCCACGCGTACAGCCTGAAGCATTGATGGCCAATGTACCTGCTCTGCGGGCCGAGGGAGGTCCTATTCAAGTCCTATGCGTCGTTGAGGACAGTGCAACGTTTTCGTCCTCCATAGACTGAGCCAGATTTTAACATATGGAGGCGAGGCATCACTAGTGCCTGAGAAAATAGGGCTAACCATGCTATGAGAAGATTTAAACCTCACCAGCAACGATTTCTTGTTTCAACCATGACTGTTGATGTGCTCACACGCCTACATAGCTGTTCTGAGTTGTTTTGAATAGATTTTAAGCTCCCATAACTGCAGAAAGAGGACGGCATCTCCAATACATACTGCCTGTAAGGTGTTGCTAGCTAAAACGAAGGAAGGCCTGTGAAGATGCTTGGACTATCTAGAGCCATAATCAATCAGACTGGACGAGCATCTCCGCATCTCTGCCGGCCAGGTTTGCCAACACGGTGAACTCGATATGTAACAGTCGGTGTTGTATGCCGACGAACACTGGTCATCCCCCCCCAGGAGACAGCGCTACTTCAGTTACGAAACCATTCGTCGATCTAGAAGGCAAGGTGCACTTTCAGGACACATTCATCAGTTACTCAAATCAGAAAATAAAGCTTGTTTTATCTTGATTTTATTATATATAGATACTTAACTACAGATCTGTAGTGTAAACTAAATATATAAAAATATGGCTTATTGCCATAGTGACACTATAACAATTTTAAAACTAGTACATACGACCACAGGGCGTAGAGGACAGGGCTTCCCGTCCGCTCAGCCGTGCTTAAGCCACACGCCGGCGATTTCTGTTTAGCCAAATTGGTAGATTATGGGACAACTAGTATGTTTTGAGGTTCATTTTGAGTGTGCAACAGGGGGCAGACTCATGATGCAGAAAAAATTACGATAATTATATATAGAACTCAGTGTAAGCTAGAGATTTAAAAAGGGTTTTCTGTTTCGGGTGCAAACCCACTGGACCCTGTTTCCCTCTCTTGAGGCACTACTTTACGCTCATATTTCGCAATCTTTCTCTTCTCGCAGAATATCATACACTCTGCCATACCAGCCACAACACATGCGAGGGCAACGAATAGCCCAGTGGTCGAACTGGGCCGGTTGAATCTGTTCATTCTCCACATCCAACCTGCCAAACATCCCTGGAATGTTGTATTCCACATGTTACACCATATGACAGAATCCATTTTCCATGGCGACGTCGCCGGTGCCGCCCATACTCGCGTATCAGTCTGTGAGAGGTTGACCGTCTTTATCGAAGCAGACTCAGTTGTTTCGCAATCACAAGTCTCGACACGGCAGATGCAAAGTGCATTTATGGGTAAGCGGTACCACGCTTGATGAAGACTAGCCAAGCGCGCGATGCTCAAGAGACTCTTCTGATAGCTCCCCAGCCGCCAGCAGAACCACCTAATGCTAATCAATCGTTTCTCTAAGGGCGGTATGATTGGGTTAATTCTCTCCGTGCGATGACGGAGTACCCGGTAGTGTCCTTATAGAATGCTCAGCAAACCAAAACCAGTACACTGGTGGGGACTGCCTGAATAGCTAGACTATACTTCCCACTTGTTGTGTATCAAAATAGATGACAACGTGGCTGGCATGGGTGGCGAACTGCCAAACACAAAACAATCAGGTCATAAAGGGAGCCCTGCCAGCACTATCTTTGATACCAAACCCTCACTTCCTCTAGCAACCACGGGCCGAGTGGCGGCGGTACCGGCTTTGCCGGCAGTTGAGCAGCTGGGAGTCATTATTTGCGCCGATGGGCACCGTGTAAGGCAGTAAGAACCTCCAGCAAGGCGGTCGACACCTTGGGCTTGCGCTGCTAAGAAAGTCAAGTTAATGAAGGATAACACGGAGCTTGTCTTCCTTGGTTGGTATTAACCGCCTATCGCTAGGCTTCGAGTGACAAATATATAGATCGACGGCGAGCGATGGAAAGGGAAAGGGTAAAGCGTAAATGGAGACCCGACGGACCCTCAGGCTTTTTGGATATTACGTGAATGCAACAAACGCGAACATTTGTAAGTCTAGTCTAGATCATCATCATACATATCAAAACATTGGAGACAACACAATCCTAACATATTTAAATCCTGGCAGACAGCAAGACCCCCAGGGGAACAGAGGATAAAAGAGAAAGAAAGAAGGAAAGAATCAGAATAGGATATCTCGGGCGTTCCAAGAAGCAAATCAAGATTTCTCCCCCCTCACGCTGAGGAGATCGCTGGGATGCACTAGATTGAACAGGGCCATCACCACCAACATGAGGAGTGCATCAAACACATAGAGAAATGCTTCGTGACGCAGGAGGTATCCATTATTACCCATGGCATACTCAATCAATCGAAATACCGACCGAATCATGATGAGGATATTTGCAGCGTAAAGGACGTGAATATGTTTGCGCCAGGACGTGGCCAGCTCTAATGACCGTTCAGTTGGCAGTTTGCGCACACGACGGTGGAAGGTTGCGCTGGTGAAGATGAAGAAGCCGAAGAAAGCAATCTGAATAGCGAGACCTGCAATTACTATCTTCTCCCCATTATGCACTGCATCAAGAGAGCCACTGGCCATGACACCGCCACCTATCACCAGAAATATTAGCCACTCTTTCTCTCTAGTATGACTAGGGGGCAAGGGTAGGAGCTCACCAGCGGCTTGAACTGTAAAGGATATGATATCACCCGCAACGAAGAATTTTGTGAGCCACTTTTTCTTAAATATGCAGAGCCGCTCTGCGTCCAGCAACATCACGATGCGCCCGAGCATCATGTATATGGAGGCTGCAAACAGGGCCGGTGCCAGTAATAGCAGAAGGGTCTGTTGGATATACGGTCCCATCGCCCAGTTAGGACTTTCGCGACTTGACAGGATACGGCCGATGTATCCGACCCATTCAACTATTGACCTCTTGTCAGTCACCATGTTAAGAGTCTAGCGGCATAGGGTGTGTTGGCACTGACAGAAGCCTCCGATAACAAAGGGAATGAAGAACCATGTGCGACGTCGGATCAGTTGATACAAATGGAAGAAGGTGGTTGCAGCAAACAAGATGGTAAAAATGGCGGCTGCTGCCAACGATGGGTAGTATCGATAATATGCCCAGATGGCTGTTTGATAGTTGATCTTGGCGTCGACCGTTTGTCGAGCCCACAGAGACATTGTAGTTGTTGATAAGGACATTAGGGGGGGATCTTAAATTGAAGATGAAGAGTTGGGATCAACAACAACATAACATTATAGATCTAGTCGTCTGTATCAGGCAAAGGAAATTCTATTTAATGCGTTGAATCCATTTCTAGGGCAGCGGAGGACCCGCTCGTATACGTATTTGCAATTTTAACTTTTCTCTCGGCCTCTCGTATTCGCAGAAAAAAAAGCCTAGAAACACCCACGGATGCGCCGATCATGGAAGCCCCTCAGTATTCCGTGGCTCAGCCACTGGAGGGAAAATCATCAGTACACTATTATCTACCCAATAGGTGGTCAGAATCGTATGCATTGTATTCCCGGATATTCAGCACAGAGACTAGTTCAATTGGACCAGTGTCGCCTGAGCTCCAGGCAGAAGGATAAGAAATAACTGTTTCCCGTGATAATGAGCCTTATGACTGGACGTGGAGCTCGCCATGACTACCTCTGGGTCTGGGGTACGCAGAGTTATTCCGCCATACACTATAGCCTATATTAAGCGTCAGTTATTGATTTTCTCCAGCACCACCAAGTCGGAGTCATGCGTAGATGTTTCCCTCCGGGGTTCTTCATGGCACTACAAGTATCTATGCCCACCAATTCCTGACAGTGTTGATTCTTGCCACCTTACCAACTCCCAAACTCTCTTTAGTTCCTAATAAAATGGATTCAGTTTGAGAATACAGTGAAGCTTTCCTTATCATTCTTGCTCCTGTTACGTAGGTGAAACATTGGGCCTATTCACCGGGCTCATCACTGCACCTCCAGATTGTCTATCAAGTAAGTCGCAGTTGCACCAGTTTCTCTTTCCACAACCCTCCCCCAAACCAAGAGCCTCAGACATACTAACAGTGATTTAGGAAATATCAGCGGTTCTAAGGCCTGGGCCGATGCATTCCGAAGAGTCGATGCCACGGTTTTGAAGCTCACCGTCGAGATGGCCTCCTTGGTAACAGGCTCTAACAGGCTCTTACGGAGGCGGATACAGTGGCAACGTCCGATCCATCGCCTCGGTCGGCTTCCCTAGAGCCTGCGAAACCGATGGTCCACTATCGATGCGGGGAGCCGACTTGACTAAGAGATTATGGTGATGTTGGATAACGAGTCGGAAGGGTAAAGTTGGAAATATATATATTTGTTGATCGGTAGGATCAACGTGGTGCAAGGATCATACCGGGAGCAGTCCGGAGTAGTTAGGGTTCGAGAAGTGTATATAATGGTAATGTCAGAGATATGTAGGATGATTATAAGTATGAATTAAAGATAACTATAGGGTAGTTAAGTTATAGATGTAGATATTGGGGTTGTGTGAGATGGAGTTGAAGGTGAGAGAGATAGGTGGTGAGAAAGGGCAGAATAGAGAGTTATAAGTATGGGAGGCCGGCCCGCTGTGTTTTGATCCTTTTCTATTTTTTGTGTTAATGAGGTACCAGGGGTATGGGGGCGCAGCCCCCGTGTATACCGAAGCGAAGCGGAGGTTATACTATATAGTGAAGAAGAGGGGAGTGATGTTGTTGAGGAATGGTAAAAGGGCGAAGAGTAGGAAGGGGTTTATTGAAATAAGCGAAAAAAGTCATACTGTTAGAGGCCTTCATTTCATTACCGCAGTCCGTAAGGACGAGGACGATACGGAGGCTGGGCCGGAGTGTATCTCTATGATTCCTTAATGAAATGAAGGCCGTGGGCCGAGACTTGAAAACAGTAAGCAATTAGGTGACAGAAGAAGTCACTTATTACCCCGCCAAAAGGCCGAAGACAGAGGACGGCCTTTGGCCTTTGAAAGTTACAGGTAAGGGCTTGTAAGGGGTAGTTGGAAAAGGAGGGTGTGATAGGTGGGCCGGAGGAGTGTTAGAGTGGTGGAGTGGGGCGTGGCGCTAAGCCGAGAATGAGTAGTGGGGTGTATGTAAGATATAAAAATATAAGATGGGAGACACAAGACATAAAGATCAGAAGTCAAGATGAGATGTTGCCTTTGGAGGTGTGGGATTTGATAGTTGAGTATTTGGACGGACGGGGTTTTTTTGGGTTGATATGTGTTTGGCCGTATGTAGAGGGCCATTACCAGGGAGAGGAGGTGTATGAGATCTTGAGGGGTTGTGGAAGGAGGATGAATGAGGAGGAAAAGAGAAAAGGGAGGGAGGCGATTGAGAAGTTGAATAATCGAAATAGGAGAAATGCCGGTAGGCTGGTATTTGAGCGAGCAGGGTGTTGTTGGCAAGCAGAGATGCTGGTCAGTAGGGGTGCGGAATTGGGAAATAGTGTGCGGCCGGAGTTTGTGAGGGGGTTGTATTGTCGGGGTGGGAAGAAGTTTGTGAAAGGGGTGAAGTTATACGAGAGGAGTGGGGGAAGGATGAGGGATCTAGGGAAGGGTTTGGATGAGTATTTCGGGAGACAATATGCGAGAGCAGGTGTGCTAGATGGCGCGGTGAGGTTTTTGATGAAGAGGGGCCTACGGGTGAAGGGGTTGAGCTCTAAGGAAATGGTAGAGGGAGATCGGGGTTTGATGCGGAGGCTGAGAGAAGAAGGGAAGGAGATGTTATGGACTAATAATGGTTGGACGTTGATTCCGATTGGACCGGAGGATGAGTTTGTTGATCGTATTCCCCGCCGGCCTTACTGGCGCTGTTAGCTAGGACAAGGATTTGATTTACGCTCGGGGCTATGCTATGGGGCTGGAGTTTCGAGATAATGGTTCGCATGCGCGGGCTGGGTAGGTGTTTCATTTCTGATTCCGAAGCCCACCATTTTCATTTGGTGCTGCTGGCATCAGGTCTGTCGCTGGCCCATTTGGTCGGTATGCTCTAGGTGCCGTAACTGGGAAGCCTTCTCTCCCGACCATTACCGGACCGGAGTCGTGTGCTGTAGTTGTAAGTCTCACTGCGTGGCACATCTGCTCTATCAAGCACCCCGGTTAGGCTCTTACGTGAATTCCAGAAGTTCTCTTTCGAACCAGATTGTTCGGACACGTGGTATTTCCCTATTATATGGCGAGATCTGAGATTCCCAAGGGGCCAGGTAGTCGCCGTGAGTGTTGAATTCAGCTCTCGCGACCTCCTAGAAGTGACCTATGCTAATCTGTTGTAAGAAGTTGTTGGACTCGGAAGAGCTGAGTGTGCTTGGTCAATATCCTTTAGGTGTGCTTCTTGCCTTGCTTCGGCTCGGGTGGCCGTTCTTTTAATTAATCCCCTTTCCTCTCACTTTCGCTATTCTGAGGAAGCCCAGCCGTGTGCTATATAGCGCTTTCTATTGTAATATTGCATATGGGAGCCAAATTCCGGTGACAGATTTCTATTGTTGTAGATCTTTCAGTCATGGACTTTGTATCTAGAGAACTCGATGAATTACAGGAATCTATGTTACAGAGAAAGCAAAAATTACCAGATAGCCTTGAAAACAGAGACGAAGATTCAATTTCCCCTTCTCGATCTGGTGGTGCCTTCGGCGCTATTTCCCCAGTCAAGCAGGCCTCAGAGTCAAGAAAATCAGTCGCCCAATGTTTTAGTCTGGTGCTTCGGAGGTGACACGTCTGTATGGCACAACGTGGTATCTATTAGGCTTTGGTTTTTCTTGGCCCTGGAGGTTCGCCCTTCACCCATTGTACTATGGAGTCTTTAGGGTAGGATGTTTCATTGCAGAAAGGGACCAGAAAAGCGGTAGTGTTAAATGTGGACCCTCGGGGAAGAATGATGTGCGTTCTTGGTCGTTACCGTCCACTGTAGTTTCTGCCTTATTTCGTCTCTACTCCTCCAGCCTCCCTTTCCCCCTGTTTGCTTTCCCACTTCGATAACAACCCCGTTTATGTGAGCATGCTGGGTATGGCCGTAGTAGATGCCCCGTTTACTGTCGAAGAGGCCTCAGCTCCCGACAGTCGACAGGCGCGAAAAAGACACCGCGCGCGCCACACCAAATCTCGCCACGGTTGCTTCTCGTGCAAGTTGCGACGGGTAAAGGTAGGTCTACCTCACCGGTCTGCCTTCTCTAATTGTTGGTCCTACCCCATCTAGGTATTTGCTGATCCACCCTGCTCGTCCCCTTGCAGTGTGACGAAGCTCGTCCTGTATGTGGCGCTTGCGCCTCTCGCCAGGAGCCATGTTCCTTCCCTGACCCAACCGTGATTGCGCACAGGCAGACCAGCTCGTCCCGGACGCCACATGAAGGAACACACACCCGCAGTGGTCGTGGTCTCCATAATTCGCAGCCCTTTCTGGAGCCATTGAGGATTGCTCTGACACCATCAGTGGGGACTCCCCAGTCAGTCAACGACGACCTACTGGGGATGGACAATCTCCTTATGATACAGTTTTTCCATATGTACACAGCCCAGGAGATGTCCCTACATCCGATAAGGAGCCAGGTCTGGCGGCGGGTGATTCCCAATCTCGCGGGAAGGAATTGCTATCTCATGCACCTGCTCCTCTCCTTGGGTGGCATACACATGATCACAGAGCGCCTGAGGCACGGGCCTGGCGGAGAAAGCGACGGCTTGGAGACGGTAGATTTGCGGGTGGTCATGGAGCATCATCAGAAAGGGTTAAAGGGCTTCAGAGAAGAGGTAGCCCAAATCTCCCAATCCAATGCCGAAGCCGTCTACGCCGGTTCTCTCCTCCTCGTCGGGTTTATCTATGCATCCTTCCAGGTCCCCGAGCTAAATCCTCCACCCATTATGACTGCCGATTCAGCTTTTATCCCCGGGCAAATCCCCCAGACATCTAACGGGCCCCAGCTAGGCTGGATGCGCCTGATCCGAGGGGTCTCGACGGTGGTAGAGGATCAATGGCCTGTCTTAAAATGCAGCCGCTTGCGGCCGATGGTGCTACACTTCCATGGGGATGAGTACTGGAAAGATCTGCCCTTTGCTTCATCCATGTCTCGGCTGAGTCACTGCTCACCGCGTCTCTTGGTATTTGCTCGGGGAGCTAATCAAGCCATCGTGGATCTGAAAGCCTTCTGGGCCGCCAGCCGGGTTCCCAGTAGCACTGAGCCCAGCTTCGTTGGCTCTCCTACGTCTACTTACTCTTCACCGACATTCGATGGGGCAGTTGACGAGCAATCAAGGGCCATGGACATCCTGGAGATGATTTATTCGCGCATTATCTCGGTGTTGCAGTGCTCGGTCAGCCAACATGGTTTCCCGGATGATTCCGACATCCAGGCCAATTTTGAAGAGGCCGCAGTGCTGTCCTGGTCAATGCTGATTCCCAACGATTTCATAGGCTTTCTCGAGACCGATGATCAAGTGGATCTTATCAGGGGATATTCCTTGGTCATCCTCGCTCATTTCTATGTCATCAATACCCTAGTGGACCGCTGGTTCTTGAACGGCTCCTTCAAAGGGGAGATCTACAGGATCCGAGAATCCGTCTGTAGTTTACGCAACGAGCAATTGGATCGGCTCATGATGTGGCCCGTGAAGGTTGCGACGCCGTGACAAAGCCAGACCGGGCACCTAGCTATTCAGATTAGTCCTGACCGTGACACTAACGAACTCAACCCCTCCTTTCAGAGAAGTGGCCAGGCGCAGAAACCTGCCCAGGAATTCCTGCTAAGACTGTAGCAGATTGTCACCGCCTGTCACTGCTATTATCTATACAATTATTCGTTGGCGGTGGTGCACACTCTAGATGGAAGCGACGATTGCACCAAGCCGAGAGCCACGAAATTATAGCCTCGCCCAGTAGGCGTACATCTTTAGCGACACTGGATGGTCAACGGAGGTTGATTTTTCGAACAGAGGCGACTTGGCCAGTGCCCACCCTACTTATAGTCGCCGAACTAGACCTGGCTTCTTTATTTGCGACTTTTGGAGCTTTCAATGATCTGGATAATGCCTTCTTTGGATAGACCGTCGGCCGGACATCCTTAACAGCTGTTGTTAATTGAGTTCAGTAACTAGGGTAGCTTTACGTTCAAATAGGTTAGGCTACTCGGGAGCCTAAACCTTGTGTACATGCTCGACGCACAAGAACCACTTCGTGGCATCTTCTCGCCATCTACTAGGTCCCCAAACTTCTCCAGGGCCCTTTATTTCTTTCCGCGATATCTGTCCTTTGTTCGACAACGTCTCCGTCTAGTCGCGAGCTGATAGCTTCGGTCTGCCATCTATATACAACCGGACATACCCTCTCGCTCCCTCCTCATTTTGACTCTTGGAATCCTGGCTTGGAGTGCAGCATGATAATGGATGCCTTCATCCTACGAGCTACTATACTACCTTCAGTGTCTGCAGGTTTGGCTTACTTCTAGCTAGCCAGTGACCCATCGCCCCGCCCGTGTTCCTATTTTCGGTCCGACCACCATGCCACCCTTGGGTCAGGTCTCATCTTCCCGTAGTCCAACGGCAAGTGCCATGTGCGCGAATGAGTCAAGTCCTTGTTTCTAGAAGAGACTACGCCCAGGCACTTGACTTTTTAGGGTTTGGTGTGGAGGTCCATGGGACGCCTCGCTATCAGCTCTATGGTCCTAGCGTAAAAGATTATATGATACTACCCACCTAGAGCACGCGTAGCACTTTGCTAGTATGTACAGTCAATTTGTCCTAAAATAAATTTTTAGTATGTGCAATATTAAGATTTAGTAGAGATAAAGTAGTATACAATGTTACGGTTAGTGGGGCGCCAGAATCAGCTCTACCGCCGCCTGCCCTGCCACCCCAGAACGCTATGTAACTACCCATTTGAATTGCTTTTCCCTTAGGAATAGCGCCATCACTGCCGCTTTAACCACTCTTCTCCGAAACTGCGAATGTATGAGTCCCCAGGTGCGTCAGAGGTGCGTCAGTCGAGGACAATGTGCTTCGTCTTCTCCCGTTCCCGCCTTCTTTGGGAAACAAGTTGTTTTCGTCACTCTGGCAGCTATTTTCTCCGACCTGACCTGCGCGGTGCCCATCGACGTTGTCCAGACAGACGTGGCTTCTGCCTTGAGGATGAGTTAAGGACTACGCTCACCCTGACACAAAGTATGCAACTTTCTACCTTTGTCCTTGGAAACCCGATTACTGACTTACCATGGCCAGTGCCAAACGACACCGGTCTGGACGTAGCCTAGCAACAGCTACTGTTGAAAGGAAACGCGTTTGCTTTTGCCTTGAGGACATTTGCCTTGAGGACAAAGGTGCGCAGGTACTGATTCCGAGGAACTGGCAAAACGTTAAACAGGAGCAGTAAGTAGCTACTAATCCTCTATAACCCTGAGCAGAACTTATGTGAATCTGATCTCTTAGATCGACTATGGATAGTTACGATACAAGGACCCTATATTCGAGGGAGGTGCTGCGCCAGGTTGCTGACTCAATACATTGGCAGCGAAATGAACTTTCTGTCACCCTCCCTGCGCACACTATATGGAGGGCTGCCATCCGAGCTGCCGAAGCAGCCCTCAGCGATATTGATAAACCGATGCTTTTAATGCCTCGCGGAACAGGAAACAGTTAAATACTTCAGGAGATGGCACGCCTGTCAGCTTCGGAATCGCCCTCGGGAAACGGCTTAGGTCTCCCAATTCGAACAACTATCGCTCTAAAAACGGTGGAACCCCGCTCGCCGCTGAGTACAGCAGCTCGCCAACGTCTCCGCAAGATGGCTGAAGAGGCTGCCAATACCGAATTTCGAGATCCGTATGTAATACTTCGGCCGGAATTAGGAGAAAGCTTCCTCCCTATTGTTCGTGCAGATCTTGTTTTACAAGGGGTGGACAGCAACGACACTGACCCTCTCTGCAAGCTCGATATCATGTACACTGTCTAATAGAGTGGGACGAAACAGAATGTGTCGAACATAGGTTCCTGCATCAGAACAAAGAACATAAAAATATTTTTAGGACTTCATCCAGGAACATTGTTTTCGCCCCGGCTGATGCGAGCGTATAAGCTGGTGTTGTTCCTGCTGGATTGCGGTTGGGTCGGCCCCATTGTCGTATCTGCATCGTGAGATTTAAGGGGGGGGGGGGCAAGGCACTCCATAGAGACTACCTGTTGCGTTTATATTGGTCAGGATCCTTGATTGCTGATTCTGATTCGTAGGGTCATTTCCACTGATTATATACCCCGGAATATTATCTAGGCACTAGTATAGAGTAAAGTAACAGCCATGCAGATCTGTCGAATTTCTCCTGTCAATCCTGTTCCTGCATGATGCGAGCTTACCGAACAGTAGGGCTCGTCTAGAGTAATTAGCATATTATGAACATAATCCTCATCATGCGTCTTACGATATATCACTTTTGTAAATAGGCTAATTGTGCTAATAATGAATACTGCAATAGTCACGGTACGGTGGATACCGGACAATACGCGCTCATCGCTTCCTAACTAAATTAGTATGGTATTGAAGTATAGCTAGACAGAGAGCTTAATACCCTTTTGAACAAGGTTCAAATAATGTAGAATCAATATTTCAGTAAAACAGGAAGGCAGAACAAGCTCCAGGTGCTACCGATCTTAGCTATGCCGTCAGATATGTATAGTGAGGTTTGTGATCGTGGGGCCGAGATATCACAATCTCTGCACCATCAGCATCAAGGATCATGCCATACTCTAGCAAGGTATGCTAAGGTTGAGGGCTGAAGATACCCTACTGCCAAGGGCTCACGTATGGCAGGGGATCTCGGATACTGGTAAACTTCGCCATGATGAATACTGAAGTCGAATGGGGGCGAAGTAAGCCTTGACAGTGAACCTCACATAGAGCGACCTTGAGAAGCACAGAAGAGAATCAGTATATATACAGAATCTCACCATGCAGGACGAATTTGCCTATATAACGACTTCACTCACCTCAACTAAGCTGAACAACAACCCAACAGCATCAATCAATCATTACCATCAAACAAGGATTTCTCAAACCCCTCTACAAAGGCTTCCACAAAACTTCCACAAAAGCCCTTCCCTAAAGCCGAGATGCGTTTCTTCGTCGCCATCCCCTCCATCCTGGCTCTTGCCTCTGCAGCCCCAGCCTCCGGTGCCTCGAACGCTGCGAGCCTCCAAGACCTTCAGAACAACGCTGCTACCCTCGCCGAGGCCAAGAAGGCTGCTGGATGTGACTGGCCTTGTATGTGCCTTTCAAAACCTGCTAGATAAACAGCTTACTGACTTTTTCAAAGCCTGCGTTGCCTCCCTTTCTGACCAAAGCCACGCTTGCGCATATGCAGCTAGCCGGGCAGGACTCGGTAGGTTCTACCGTTCTAATTCATTGATCTCTCTTCCTGATACGTCGTTACAGATTGGTGGGCTGATATCGCTTGCCTCTGGTCTGTTGGTGCCATTACTGTAAGTCTTGATATTTTGTTTCATTCGATAAAGTTCCCGGATCCTGACTGTTGAACAGGCCGTCTGCCATGTGTGTGCTTAGAATGCCGAATTGGCAATTGGCGAGCATGGCTTGAGAGTGGTGGAAGTGCAAAAGGATGAAATTACTGGGAAGAGTTGTACGTAGCTAGATTGTCCGCATGGAGTTTAAGTGAATGAATTGGTGGTTGAAGGCTTGAAACTATTGTGGTCATATGCCTACTGTCTTTGCACCTGATAAAAATAAACCGAATCATCGGAGACATATAAATCATGCTCTGGTGCATCATGTAAGATTTCCTATGGTATTGGTGAGGGTAAAACAGAATCCTCAGCCCAACGGCAAGGCTTTTATGGAATGCCTATTATATAGAAGTATGGTTCCCTCCTGTTACACATGAGAATATCCATTTCCCCTGCATCTGTACAAACCAGTTGAGTTATCGGACACATCCATGTCCATCATACGCCAAATATAGTAATGAAAGTGGGAAACGCCACTAAGAAAGAAACGTCAAAGATACCTAGATCATCACTGTTCCCCATAATATCTTGCCGAAGTCCTCCGAGGCTCTGTCACAGTCCACGTCCTCGCCTCTCGAATAATATGAGCCTGACTGTGGTGGCTCTCGGCGTCCGAGTCATGTACAGATCTTGCTGCCGTAGCAAATGCTTGGTCACCATCTTGGTCACGGGAAATGACGGATAACTCAACTCCCTGACTCCGAGTCAGGGTGTTGTCCTGACTAAATAGCGTTGTCTTCATATGTGACAAAGAACTTCTGTACTGTTTCCGGGAGCTCTCCTTGGTCATCCCCTCTGCGCGCATGCCCGTTGAGCGTAGACTGTCCATGAATGGCTTGAACTGGGGGGAGCAGGCGGTAACGATACTAAGACATTGGGCAGCTTGGGTGGCTATAGTAGCGGGCGATGTATCAGAGGTGGGATCCGGCGAGTTCGCAGTTCTAGCGTTGAGCACAAGTTGACATACGATAGCGGCGATCACACTAGAATGCTCAATGAGCGGAGAAATTAAATGGAGCGTTAGTCTCACAAAACGCGTAGTCCGAAAACAGTACCTAGCGTGACCTTCTTCCTCCATGGAGCCTGAACCCGTACAATTACCACGACCGCTTGCACGATTATTGTGGTTTCGGATAGAATGTTTGTCACGCCAAGATAGTTCCACCAAGCCCCCTTAACATCTTAGTTAGTCTCATTGATTTAACCCCTTACGGCGGCAGTGATGTTGCGCACGATGTTGAAGCATTCTCCATGTAGGTAGTTCCAAGCTTGTGGAGGCTTACACTGCAAGGTAGCTGTAATTATACCTGTTACAGCCCACAAGATAGTGAACACCTCCAGTCCAAAAGCAAAGGAGCGATCCAAGCGGAAGGGTGTGATGTTGCGAATGAAGGTGATAAGCGCCGATTTGGAAAAACAAATGCTGGTCAGGAAAAGGATAGTACCGGCATACTGCGACTATTAAATGTACGATCAGGAATGCCATGAAAGGATCAGCGATGGCGAAACACGATGAGAGATAAGGAGAAAAAGCAGACCTTCATGATACCCCCCATATTTGCTTCAGATAAGGATTCATAATGCTCTCCATATCCATTGGCAGTCGCCATAGATACAGCGACGGACTCCCCCACGCAAGCCACCTGCCATATGTTAGTTTAGCCTGTATGCTATCGTGATATCTAGAGTGACTAGTTGTTATACCACAGAGACAATACTTAGGTAGTCATCTGTTGTGAACCTGCGGAAGATCCAGTATTTGGTACCTAGACGAGTAAAGATGCTGAGAATGGCCGTTATCATGAAAAGCCAGGTCGTAACATTGACCGCGGGAGTCCAGCTATCCGGCTCAAATTTACGCATTGCGTAGATGAATCAGGCACAGTATTGAACACAGGACGGCCTAGCAATGGACCACCGGCTGAGCTCTCAAGGTATATTTAAATCCGAAAGACAGACTATAAATTCCAAGAATCGCAATTTCCCACACGAGGACCCCTGCCCGCCTATATCCAGAAGCCATGTCCTCGGTATCAGCCTCCACTGTGTTAGTACGTAAAAAGAACTTATACACCAACGTGAACGGCGGTCTTACTCCTGTCCTGGCATGACAGGGGTTTTGTATTTGAGCCCGCTCTCCTTCCTTTTCTACTACAAGATGAGTGCCCTTCGTGTTGGTTCTAGTACGCATAACACGAGACCCACAATCAAACCAAGTAGTACGCACATAGACATATGGCTAGACCTTAAGTGACATCTCGGCAAGGTTGCGGTTGGTATACACTATGCATTGTTTTACGGCATCAGCAAGGATAGGAGGTTTTAGGGTTACATGCACTAAGCAGAGGGGAAAAACACCGACAATATAGAGCTCCGGCGACCGCCCATTTTGTTTACATGCTGTGTGTCCTGATGGCGGCGTCCGAGAACGGACCATTTTAGTTTAGCGTTCGCCGGTCAGTGTCACTGTTTGGTCAGAAAGGTTCGGATTGAGGGTGTCTGGGATCGGGATTTACTCCGTACTTTGGTCTAGATAGAGTGAATTAAAGAGTGGCCTTTTACTTGGCCGCGGGTGACTGGATCGACAACCTTGCCTGACTTAAACCCTAAGGAGCAAAGATTGACCGCCTTTGATGCAACGTCGATAATTAACTGAATAACGGCTCGGAATGACTTCCCAATCGATGACAGCCCTGGTGGACTCACTTACCTAGACCTTGTGGATATTGTTACGAGAAACGGCACGGCCGGTCCCTATCTGTGGCAGTCACAAAAAAACGGTCCGGCCTCTAGATCTGTGGAGAGAGGTTAAATCCTTGCTAGTATGCGCTGTTTCAAGACCATTACTCGGAGTTCACCCTGCTAGACTTTCCTAACAATAAATTAGGTAATCTCGCGAGTTGGGCTGCAAAATGCTTTAATATTGGGAAGGGGGCACATTGAGGACCTCATACACCCCTGCTCCTGGAATGGGTTATTGCGCAGAGGTGCTTTTCAATAGTCTGGGGATTCTTTCGCCTCCGACCACTCCTTGGGGTATGCTCCCTTTTATCCCGTCACTCCCCAAACTCCGGGTTTGACTATTCCACACTATAACCTACCTCATCCCTTGGATTTGTTGCAGACCATCACTTGCATATGCATTTGTACTAAGCCAAAGGAGTCAAATACATTGTCATGGCGTCCTACGACCTCAAACAACTGCCGCCTGCTCGGTCGTATGAATTCGAGGAAAGGTCATCATTTCACAATGCAGACGATGTCCACCTAACTCGCTTGGGAAAAAGGCCTGTTTTGAAGAGAAACTTTGGGTTGATGTCAATGCTGGGATTCAGCTGCACAATTCTGATCACATGGGAGTCTGTGACTACGTAGGGCTCTTCCGAATAGCTGACCCTCCGTGGCTTTCATTTGCTAAAATTCTGGTTTCTACATAGGTTGTTTTTAGAAGCTTTTCAAAAGTATGTCTCATTTATTCCTCTCCGTTTGTCGCCCAAGTTAAGAAGAAATTAGCGGCGGTCCAGCTGGCAGTGTGTACGGTTATATTTTGGTCTGGATTGGCGTTGCGGCGACATTTGTCGTGATGTCGGAGCTTGTCTCAATGTAAGGCGCCATTGAACACCGTTGAAGAAGGCCCGCCGTCTAAATAACCATCTCCCAGGGCACCGACGTCCGGAGGGCAGTACCATTGGTGTTCGATGTTGGCACCCTCATCTTCAATGAAACTCTTTAGTTACATTACCGGTGAGTCGAAGCCAGCGACCCCGGGCTAAAACCACACGGCCCCTTACTTACATGGATAAGAAGACATTAACTAAGGTAATCTACAAGGCTGGACGACAGTTGTCGGCTGGCAGGCGACATACGCCTCTGTCTGTTACCTAGGTGGGATGTATATCGAGACGATTGCTATGCTCACGCATCCGTCTTACGAGCCTAAAATATGGCGTCAAGTCCTGATCGGCTATGCAATTGCATTCTTTGGCTTTGTACTGAACATCGCTGGAGGAAAGGTATTGCCGCGATTCGAAGGGGCAATCCTAATTCTCCATATTCTGGGTTTCTTTGCGGTCCTGTAAGTTGTTATCATATCCTATACGAATGAATGAAAATGTCTTGCTTATTCAGGTAGAGTCCCAATGGTCTATCTATCAAATCACAACACAGCGGAACAAGTATTTACTGAATTTTTGAACGAAGGCCAGTGGCCCACCCAGGGCCTCTCATTCTTTATTGGGATTATCGGGCATGTATTTTCTTTTGCAGGTGGCGATGCCGCAGTACATGTACGCCTACTCCTTCGATACTGTAAGATTGGGAAGCTTACTTGTTACAGTTGTCTGAAGAAATAACCAACGCCACGGTTGCCGTACCCTGCTCTCTTATGCTGACTGTGCTCATCAACGGAGTCCTCGGATTTAGCATGCTTATCGCCTTACTTTTCTCCGTCGAGAATTACGATGCGGCGCTTGCGGCTCGCGTACCGTTCTTGAGAATCTTTCTTGATGCTACGGGTTCCGTAGCTGGCACCACCGCTGCGGGCTGCATTATGGTCATAATGGGTACTTGCTCCTCAGCCGGTATGTTGGCCTCTACCTCGCGTCAGTTCTGGTCCTTTGCTCGCGACCGAGGTATCCCTGGATGGCGAGTGTGGACTAAAGTCACTCCTCATACGGCAATCCCGACATACGCTGTCATTCTCACTGTTGTCATCACCTGCCTCTTGAGTCTCATTGGTATTGGCTCCGACGTCGCATTCAATAATCTGATGTCTCTTTCCACGGCGGGTCTATGCTTATCATATCTAATTACAGGAAGCCTTTTGCTCTGGAGACGCTGCACGGGCGGTATTAGTGCTTCTAAGGATGAGCACACCATAATCAATACAGCAGGAGCCCAGCTTGTTTGGGGCCCTTTTCACGTTCCCGGTATCTGGGGGATTCTCATCAATATCGTTGCCTTGATCTATTTGGTGGTCGCAATCTTCTTCAGTTTCTGGCCGCCCATGAACAATGTAACAGTGGAATCGATGAACTACAGTTCTGTGGGCTTGGGTGGTGTAATTTTCTTGAGTCTGATATATTATCTTGTGCGAGCCAGGAAGGTCTACAAAGGACCTATCGTGGAGCTACACATCGGTTGAAGTCTGTATGTTACATACAGGCAATAAGACCATGATGAAAATACTGAGTGAGCACTCTCTGGATGAGGAATCAATATGCATGATGTTGCTACTGTTGTGTCATACCTCGCATTCATGGAAGTGGGACGATTATCGGGTCCTAATAGTCAACCTTCCTTTCCAAAGAGATATCTTCAACCAACGCAGATCTTATTATTCTAGAGAAACTGAATGAAGACAAGGTCGCTTACCAGGCATTGGATAAGCGGTAACGCAATCCGGTGGTTATTTTTGTTGGGTTGTTCTTCTTCCTTCGTACTCTCATAGACGCTACACTAAGTGAGCTACAAATGAGATTCATTACATACTGGACCACCTTTTCTTGGAGGGTCGGACACCTCATATTGCATCTACCGAATATACTCGTCAACTACTACGTAGTGTAAACATTACAATATCGAATGCCCAACGATCTGTACATGAGCTATCAACAAACTGTGCGCGATTATCGAGCCAATACAAATCTCACACAACTCCTAGAGTGTTCGGTCTGGGTAAGATCTGCCTTGAAACAACTGACTCGGGGCTAGGTGCCGAATGCCAACGGAGACACAGGATTAAGATGATTCGATCAACCCTAGACAAGAAATGCCTGCCCTATGTGCGGAGAGATACTTGTCACCTGTAGGGCGCGAGTTCGGTGACTTGACCAATGGAAGACGAGGATCGACAGGCCGAGGGAAAGCGGGTGAACCCCCTCTCTGGTGGACATATTCTTGGCATATCGCTCGGAGATTGTGCCGGTTGAGCAGATATCCTCCTGATAAATACTTGAAATGGTTTCCATTGTAGTCGTTTCGCGTTTTGCAACTGGTTCCTAGACCCAACAGATTCTACGGACCCCAGGAATGGACCCGGAGGATCATTCACAATGGACTAAACCTAGCCCTAAGCGATACATACCATTCTGGCGCCAAGTATCAGATCAAGGAGCAATTACGCACAATGTTCTTCATCATGATTATCCTGGATCAGGGACGGAAACGGATCCCTTTGTGGTCTCCTGGCTGCCAGACGATCCCAGAAACCCCATGTGTTTTACTACCTTCAAGAAGGTTGGCATCACCATCGTCGTCTCCACAGCAACATTGGCTGTCGCCTTCGCCTCCTCAGCATACTCTGGATCAACAAAGGAAGTGGTGGAAGGTCTGAATATCAGCACGGAAATTGCAACACTTGGGCTATCGCTCTTCGTCGTCGGATTCGCCTTGGGACCGTTGTTCTGGGCTCCATTGAGTGAGCTTATCGGCCGACAATACCCCTTCCTTATCTCATTTGGTGCGATGTCCGTTTTACTAGCGGGGTGTGCTGGTGCACAAAACATCCAGACATTGTTGGTGCTACGCTTTCTTGCAGGAACAGCGGGATCTTCCCCGTTGACAAATGCAGGAGGTGTAATTAGTGATATGTTTGGAGCGGAGCAAAGAGGCCTTGCTCTGAGCCTTTTCGCAGCAGCTCCATTTATGGGGCCTGTTATTGGCCCAACGATTGGTGGCTTTCTAGGAATGGCCGCTGGATGGAAATGGGTGGAAGGCTTCCTCGCCGCGGTCTCTGGGGCATTCTGGATTATGATGACATGTCTCGTCCCTGAGACCTATGCTCCTGTCCTTCTCCGTCAAAGGGCAAAGCGCCTTTCACAGGAGACTGGCCTGATTTACCGGTCAAAACTCGATGTAGAAAGCGAAGACACAATTTCTGTAAAGCGCATGTTTGCCAATGCATTGCTGCGACCTTGGATACTGCTGTTTCGTGAGCCTATTGTTTTCATGCTATCAATATACATTGCTATCATATACGGGGCGCTCTTCATGAATTTCGCTGCATATCCCATTGTTTACCAAAACGGACGAGGGTGGAATCAAGGAGTCGGGGGACTTGCCTTCATGGGCATCGCCGTCGGCATGATCATTGGGATAATCTACACGATTCCTGACAACGGACGATACACACGAACTGTGAAAAGGCATGGGGGACTTGCACCTCCAGAGTCTCGTTTGCCCCCTGTGATGCTGGCCGCAGTGTGTATTCCTATCGGTCTTTTCTGGTTTGCGTGGACCAACTCCCCCTCCATCCATTGGATAGTTAGCATAGCAGCCGGCGTCCCTTTTGGCTGTGGGGTTGTGCTTCTTTATCTGGGTGTCATGGGCTACTTGATCGACTCTTATACGATTTATGCGGCATCTGTTCTCGCAGCGAATGCTGTGCTACGATCGCTTTTCGGGGCAGTATTTCCTCTTTTCACCAACTATATGTATGAAGGATTGGGGATTCATTGGGCCTCTTCAATTCCGGCCTTTCTTACGATCGCATGTCTACCATTTCCATTTATTTTCTACCGATATGGAAAGTCGATTCGGAAGCGATGTCCCTATTCTGCCCAGTCGGAGGTGTACATGCGAAAGCTACAGGAGTCCGTCCGACGAAGCGAAAAATAGATCATCTGGGTATGTCTTTGGTCATCCGAATGACAGATGAAGAATTGAATATACCTACCACCTTAAGTTAATTAAAAGTCGGGGTTACGGACGAACCCCACAGGAGTGAAGAATTCCCATTGCGGGGCTCCGACTCAAGAAAACGGCGGACCCAATCTATAGCCCTAGGATCTGCATCACAATACCCACACAGGGTAATTCACCGTTAAATTCCGTCCTAACATAGAATGCATATCGTCAAATACGCGTTAACCCCGCCGGAGAGCCCAGAACGGCAATGAAGCTATAAATGCCTCCCCCCTGTCTTCGCGATAGATCCATTGACGCAGGTACAGCTTTTGATGATGAAGTGCATTAAGGGCCTGGCGTGGGCCGGCATATTCTTGCGGATTGCTGCACTGGACGCAGATAGCATTGCTTCTCAATATTTCGGCAACGATGCTGCATGGTATCGCGATCGTATCCCTCTCTTCGAGGCCAGCGTGGCTGATATCCAGGATGTATACTACTACCGGTGGAACATTTTCCGTGCCCACCAGCGTGATCTGGGCGCTGATGGATACATTTCCACTGAGTTCTTGAATGATGTTGGCTGGCAGAGTCAGCCATCGGCGCTGCTGATTGATGCTTCCAATTTCCATCTGCGCGAAGGTCGATGGTGTCGGGATCGTCGGTTCAAGAGTGACTATGCGAGCTTTCTTTATGGCCCGCATAAGAATCCCTACCAATTTTCAGAGAGTATGGCCGATGGTGTGTGGCAGGGATATCTGGTTGATGGAGTAGCAGACGAAGCTACAGCCCATCTAGATGCCATGCAAGCTGTCTTTAACGGCTGGAATACCACTTCCATGTCAACAGGCGGATATGACACCTCCAAAGCTCTGTACTGGATCCAACCACTCACTGATGCTACGGAATATACAATCGCAAGTATCGACGCTTCTGGAGGCGAGGATGGTTTTACCGGCGGCAATGCGTTCCGACCCAGCATCAACAGTTACCAGTATGTGAACGCGCTGGCCATTGCCAATCTGGCCAAACTCCAAGGAAAAGGAGATGTGGCCGAGAAATATCAGCAGCAAGCTGTAAACATCAAGAGGACAGTTCAGGACACATTGTGGAACAGCACCTTCGAGCACTTCATCGATCGATTCAAAGTGGACAATGAGCGCGTCACCTACTGGGACTTTATCCGAGGCCGTGAGTTGGTGGGATACGTTCCTTGGACACACGATCTCCCAGATGACACAGAGCAGTTCGCCGAAGCATGGAAGCATCTCCTGGACAGCAAAAAGTTTGCAGGCGCTCACGGCTTACGCACCAATGAACCGAGCTACGAATACTACATGAAACAATACCGATACGAGGGCTCAAAGCGCGAGTGTCAGTGGAATGGACCATCGTGGCCTTATCAGACTACCCAAGTTCTAACTGGACTCGCCAATTTCCTTGACCACTATAACACCTCCGCTGCCACCAATATAGTCACAAAGACGGACTACACTCATCTACTCCAACAGTATGCTCAGATACACTATAACCGCAATCGAGGCGGCGTCCTTAACCTGGAAGAAGACTATGACGCCGACACCGGCAGTCCGATAGTAGGGCTGACGCGATCTCCGCACTATTTCCATTCCGGCTTTGTCGACCTGGTCCTCACTGGACTAGTCGGTATCCGTCCTCGCGCTGATGATGTGCTAGAGGTGAACCCACTGGCAGATCCAGCAGTCATATCATACTTCCGCGCCGAGCGCATTCTCTACCACGGCCACGAGATCGCCGTTCAGTGGGACAAAGATGGACATCACTACGGTACATCGGGGTTAGTGGTAGAGGTAGATGGCAAAGCAGTCTCCTCGTCACCCACCCTGGCCCGTATCACTACCAGCATCACCAGCAAAACTCCACCCACAATTAACCGTCCCGTAGCTGTCTCCGTTCAATTGGACTCCACGTCATATCCCCGAGGGAGCGTCTCCATCCCAGATGCAGACACTAACGCCATCCACGCAGCCATCGACGGACGGGTCTGGTTCTTCCCCGAGTCCGACGTCGCGAACGGATGGGACACCCCGGCCGGCAACGGCAGTGAGCTGTGGTATCAAATTAGCTTTGAGGCCTCTACTAAGGTTGCGAGTGCGGAGATTGCCTTTTTTGCTAATAGCACGCAAGGCTACGATATCCCTGAGAAATATAATGTTCAGGTTGGTGTGTCTGGAGTGTGGGCGGACGTTTCGAACGCGAATCATAGTACGCCACTTGCGAACGGAATTACGCAGGCTACTTGGAATGCCGTCGACACAGATAAGATCCGGTTGGTCTTTGTACCACAGGAGGGTAAGAAGGTTCGGCTCGTGGAGTTCAAGGTTTTTGGGGAGGTGGTGAATAGTGATTAAGTTGGTCTGTTAGACTATTGCGTTGCACGTATATCAAACCGTTGTCTAGCTCGTGCTTGGATATAGGTATCGGAAAGTTGTGCCGAGCCCCGACGATAGTATCAACGAGCTCTTCGCAAAGGCAAGACGATTATATAGCAGTAGACCTTCGGGAAGAGTCTTCATACTTACGGCATGCCGGTGGCCTGTTCTTATATAATCTACCGAAACGCACGGTAAAGTGATGGCCAGTCTGAGGAAGGATTACAATTGGCCAGTTCAGCACCGGTTATCTAGCTGTGATTCAATATGAAGTCGAGCCGTTTCATATCGCTGCAATACGTGTCATAATCTTCAATAGGCAAAATTACAATCCAAGGTCCAGCAGTTGCGCTGTGCCTTCTGCCGATTTCCAGACAGGCGATCTTTGACCTAGTTAGACATGGATCATGCATGTTTCAGTTTACGAATTGCAGGCAGGTAAGAGATCGGCATGTCGAAACCCGATCTAAGACAGTACATGAGGCTGCTTGGCGATTTGTCCATTGGTGACGCCTTGGGTCTTCTGTTGTTCTACAATTGGCCTGCTTTCGTCTACGGTCGCCAAGGATGACAGATATAAGGTGATCATAATGCTCAAAGCTCAGTACATTTTTTAAACCCAAGAACGAAATGAGCGTTAACGTAGAGACAGCAAGTTGGAGTGAGTTAGGAAAGGCTTTTGGGACAAGAATCCACGGGTCTCGAGTGCATTATTTATGTTAATCTAAACACCACCTTTGCGTGCACAGACTCAATATTAAGTCGAAAGGATGAGGAATCCATAGTCAGGCGTCCAAGGGTTATTTTTTGACCTGGTAGTGTTGTAATTAGAGGGAACTGTTGCCCAGTGTATCCTCGCTTGGCAGGTTAATATTCCCGGCCGGGTTAGAGTGCTATTTATATGATGTGGTCTTCTAGCAACATCGTTCCATCCGGAATATGAAAAACATTCACCTTGGTCTTAACTTTCTGTCGAGTCAGTGCTATAACGAGAAGGGACCTTTTTGTTTTAGACGGGGTCCGTGGGTAGCAGACAAGACAAAATTAAGTCACCAGAGCAACGAGTATTTCCTCCAAACGCCTGTTTAGTCTCTTACTATGTACGGATGTGTTTGTCACAAAATTATAAAATATTTTTCTATACCCAGAGGACCGCTCACGGATGGCATACAGATCAAATAAACCCGGTAGCGTTCGTAGTGTACATGTGCAAGACTATTTCGTAGTCTTCGCTATTTGTTCCTTGACAAGTATAAATCCCGTCGTTAAGCTGAACAAGCTAATGGATGTCATGGTTGAATGTTTCCAAGTGATTAGGATCGATAATCTGCATATTCTCCGTCAATTCTATCATGATGAGCCCGCCTGGCCCGTTGTCACCGTCGACACGGCGAGCCCCGTCCTATTCCCATAGATTCCATGCCGGTCTTGTTCTAAAATAGTTATCGGTCTCTCTGTGTGCTCTTCATAGACTGCCACTTGTGTATGCTGTCAAATTTCAAAGGACTTGTCCTTTCCCGTAATATTCTCCGTGCTCTCTGTCGAAGTGGTCCGCTTTCTTGGTCGATGGATTGAAAATTGGGCTAGTTCGTTCGGCTGGCCACTTTCTGGGGGGTGCGTTGGCTTCCAGCGGAGTGCGATATAGGTGCCAAAGATCATGAAACCGTGGATCTTGAAGAGGCGACGGAGGAAGGAGTAGCAATTGGATGCGTTGGTCACGATGAGGACAGTGCTGCCTTCCCGGACATACCAGAAAATCCACAAAACACTATTCGGGTGGCTGTAGCAATAATATCAGCTGAGCGTGGCTGCGACCACGACGGATATACCCAGGCCGAACACACCAAAGAGCACAAGCTTCCTTTCTCGGGATTAGTAGCTTCCTCTCATGATTTGGATGTCGCTACCAATTGAAGGGATATACTTTCGCCAAAGTAATTGCAAGCTGAGAAATGCCGGTATTGGTATGCAAAGTATGGCGATGTCTGAGGGTACATTGAAGGCATATATGATCAAATGGTGCTGAGCACCCTCACATTCAGCTTCTTGAAAGTCAGCATTCATTTTTCTCGTGAATCAACTAATAACGCTCACGGTTATTGTCCTCTTTTACGGCAAAGTAATTAGAGAATGGACGACACCAGACACCGTAGAAGAAAAATTCTGTTATCCCGAAGGTGGCGGCAATATACCCCGTAAGGATCTTGACAGGTAGTGTGCCATTTTTGTTCCCGATATAAATACATTGGAATGTGCGCCTCATACATGTTTCGAGTCTTCAAAGGCATGCGCACAGAGAAAAGAATATCTACTCGCGTTAGTCGGTAATACACCAGCACCATGCAGACCTTGCACCCCCATTGCACCATTATCATCGACTGCTGCAGGACAAAGGTGACGTTACTCCCGTAAATACGATTCTTGATGTCCTTCTCGGTAAGACCCTGCATTCCTGTTGCAGGTAAAATATTGGTCTGAGGGTATTTTGCTTGGATATTAACCCAAACAATGAAGTTGTGTAGAAACCCTGTCTGCGTTCTCAGCCCGTGCTGTGTAAGAATAGAAGGGGGGTTCCTATCATCATTACAGACCCTAGTTGTTGAAGTACATGGCTCAGCAACATTAGATAGCCCTCCAGCATCAGGCCCTACAACCCACGCAGTAGCGTATACCGGGAGACACTGAAGATTCGGGTTAGGTCGCCCTTCAGAAATGATAGGTAGCTTACTGTCGCCAGATGGTCACGGTACTAGTGACTGCGAACCAGGTTCATGACTCCACTTAGCGGTCGTTGTGCGTGCTGAAACCAATCGGTCATGTTGGATACAATCATTTGCTACTAACGGGCGCAGGTACACTGTGTCGACTTTATACGGTCGGGGACCGCCAGCATGTCTAAGTCCAAAGTTCACCGGAAGAGCGTTTTCTGCCCTAAAATATTACTTGAGATAAGGACAGGAATATGTTCAGAACGAAGTAACGCCTGTCGCTCTGTAGTCCTCGCCTGTTAGTTCATCACCCCCTCACCCCCTCCTCTCCCTTCCCATGTCTGGAAGCCTTTTAGTGTCTCTTAGCTTATTGATCTGACGCTGTAGCTACTCTTTACAGAAACCGGACGCTGTGCCAGGGAATGCATCCTTTCTCCTATCTACTTACATTCATTACATGATATTAATGTCTGGCTTTGGTCCGGAGTAGTATGCCGCTATTAATTCGGGTACCGGTGCGTCCTGTTCATGCGACCGCATAGTTGTCATGCACGGATCTAGGGTTAGCTATAGGGAGAACATGTTTGACTTTTCTATAACTTCAGATAGTAACATCGGCACTTGAATTCAAATCACTTTAGGCAATTGATTTACTTTAAAAGAACACTGATCTCGCCACGTCAGCACCAGTCAAATGATAATAATATGCACGATCATGCAGACCTTCACAGGAGCGTCACTAGCAAGGGTTAGGATTAAGTCTCAGGCAGAGAATTAGTTTAGATCCCCGCCCAGGCTAGCTTAGGAAAAAAAGAGTAGAATGTAACACAATAGCTTATAGATAATAAAATGAACCTTCTTCATGCTAATGCCTCCTTTCGCCCCTCAAGCCATTTGTCCAATGCCGTCGCCGCCATCCACTTCTCTTATCCCTTTCTTCCACATTACCCCCTCGTCACGGTCGCACCGCAGATATGGAGATGGAGCGTAAGCAGAAAAGCCTCTGGCGTGTGGGAATCGAGTCAGATACTAGCTCCCTTCCGCTCACCCAGAGTGGGAATATGGCTATTAACCTGGGCGACGAGGGTGAGAGGCACATGGGAAGTATGCAAGAGGACAACGGTCTGTTGCGGTCGCTACGAAATTTTGAGACCTGGATTGACCGCAAGCTGGGCGTAGAAGCCATGGGGGTTGAGCGAGTGCCCGAGGACAAGCGACGCCCACCACAGATTCTGAACGTATGTGCTTAATATTGTCCCGAGGTGAGCAGTGAGGCTATTCGCTCGTTCCTTGTCGCAAATGAGAGAGCTCGACTAACACTCATCGATCCACCCAGATGATGTTCTTTTGGTTCTCCGTGCTGACCAGTCCAACCCTAATCCCTATCGGCATGCTGGGTCCTATCCTTGGACTGTCGGTGCATACTTCAGTCATACTGACTATCTTCGCTGCTATGACCGGGACCATCATGCCCGCCTTTACGGCGACGCTCAGCCCACCCAGTGGCCTCCGCCAGGTGGCCGTCGCCCGTTATGCATTTGGCATCTGGGGAGCCAAAATCTGCGGGCTACTCAACATCATCATCAACGGCGGATACGCAGTGATTGCCGCTGTCGTCGGGGGTCAACTCCTTGTTGCTGTATCCGAAGACTCCATCCCACTGGCCGCGGGCATCGTCATCATCGTCGCCATCGGCTTTCTTGTCTCCTTCTGCGGCTTCACTCTCATCCATCACTACGAGCGATACGCCTGGATCTTTGCCCTAGTCCTCATCTGTGTGACATGGGGCCAAGCCGCGCGGTTCTTTACCTCCACGCCCGGCGTCAGCTCCATCAGCGGAATGACCTACAGCGGCGCCTGTCTCAGCTACTTCGCCGTGGTCTTCGGCGTCGCCTGCTCTTGGTGCCCCATTGCAGGCGACTACTACGTGCACTACCCGGCCGACACAAGCAAATGGCTCGTCTTCTCCCTCACCTACTTCGGCCAAATCCTCCCCACCATCTTCGTCGGCACCCTAGGCAACCACTTCGGCGGCATCATCACCTCCAACGACACAATGTCCACAATCTACAACACAAAAGGCACAGGCGCCCTCCTCCTAGCAACCCTTCACCCCACCGGCTGGGCCAAATTCGCCTGCACAATGTTCGCCCTCACCTTCCGTAAGCATATCATCTCCACCTTCCCCCATCACCCAACTCAACTGATAATCCCAATAACCAAGTGGCAAACGTAATCGCAAACATCTACTCCAGTGCCCTCTGCATCCAACTCTGGGGCCACCGCTTCCTCGCCATCCCCCGCTTCGTCTGGTGCGCCCTGCTCTCCATCTTCGTCCTGGCGTTGGCCTGGGGCGGCCGCGACAAGCTCGAAGAGATCATCGACAATTTCCTCTCGATCTTGGGCTACTGGACGCTAGCCTTCGGCCTTATTCTCGCTATCGAGCACTTCTGGTTCCGGCCTCGCCTGGGCGGGTATGATCTAAGCGCGTGGCAGGATAAGAAGCGCATGCCAGTTGGGATTGCGGCTACCGCAGCATTGGTTATAGGCATCGTGTTCTCGTTTTTGGGGATGAGTCAGACTTGGGTATGTCTTCTTTTCTTTTCTTGCTTTTAGGGTTAGTTGGGGTTTAGGGAGGATATACATAGACTAAGGTGTTTTGCTGTGTAGTATCTCTCGCCGGTGGCGAAGAGGATTGGGAAGAATGGGGGTGATGTTGGGAATTATTTGGTTTTTGCATCGGTGATGGTTTTTTATCCGATTTTTAGGACAGTTGAGATTAGGATTTTTAAGAGGTGAGGGGATGAGGGGACAGGGATGTGTGTGAGATATTAAATTATCTCGAGGATAGATCTCTGGGTTTGTGGGATGCATGTTGTTGATCTGAGGATTTAGGGATCTTGTAACATTGCATGTATACGGATATTCGGGGTTAAGAAATTGAGATACATAGTAATATTCCATAGTAGTTAGTAAATAGAGTATTTAGTTTCAAAACCTCCTTGCTATTGTGCACTAGATAGCAGCAGAAGCTCCAAGGAGCAACCTTCTCTAGAGAATTCTCCAATGAAGTAGGTGCCTACGTCGCCGGCGCCAGCGATTGCGATCTTCATGATACTTTGATGGGGGAGATTGGATTCCGTGAAAGGTGGTATATGTGGGTTTCTTGTGTTTCGCGTCGCGGACGCCTATATTGATGGTATTGGCACACTTTCGAAATCTCAGTACATTTTTGAATCTTCTACTAGCGGTAAATCGTAAGACCTTGGTCCCTTCCTATTTATGAGGCAGATTTCGTCAAGGTGGCTGGACTTCCACCGCTGACTCCGCCCTAATGCATGTTCACCCCCACCCTCATTGACCGAAATGCAACGCTGAAATGGACTAGCAGGGGATATCGCCAATCAATGAAGTGAGACAGTCATAATGTTATCAGCGTCAAACACGTCTCCACTTAGTTCCGCGTCTCATAAAGCTCCCTATAGCTAGCTTGTGCGCTGTGATCAAGTGCTCTCGCCACACGACGTATGTCATCGTCCGTGGTTCGTGGATTGATGGTACACATCCGGAGGCCTACCACGCCGCCGATACAGGTGGTGAGTATGTACGCCACATTCTCTGCAATCAGGAGTTTCGAAACGCGACTATTGATCGAATTAAGATCCACCTCACTCACGCCGTCAGGCGCGAATCGGAAGTTGAGGATGGCTAAGGAAGTGGGCGCCAGAAAAACCCAGCCAGGCAGCTTTCTCAGCTCTCTTTCAGCCAGGCCCGCTAATTCGAATCCTCGGTTGATCATCGCTCCAATCTTGTCCATGCCGAGGACCTGAAGAGAAAACCAAAGCCTCATATGCCGAGCAGGCCTTGTCAGCTCGATCCCATAATTCCAGGGATTGTTTGGTTCTTTCTCATCTTCGATATCGCGGCAAAAATGAGCTGATGATACGAAGCTCTTCAACGCCTGAGATTTGTCGCGGAATAAGATAGTACCGCAGCCATATGTCTGGAAGAGCCACTTGTGAGGGTCCCAGGCGATACTATCCGCACGGCCAATCCCGTCTATCAGCGATCGATGTTTGCTTGAAAATGCGACAGATCCGCCGTAGGCAGCGTCGACATGCAGCCATAATCCATGCTCGCTCGCTATGTCCACGATTTCATTTAGAGGGTCAATGGCGCCGGTACCGGTTGTCCCACAGGTAGCCACAACGAGGAATGGTTTGAGGCCGTTGGCAATATCTTCAGATATTGCAAGGCGAAGATTGTTTGTATCCATCTGAAACGTTGGATCGCAACGAATAGTCCGGATCTGAGAGTCCAGTAGCCCTATGACACGAAGCGCTTTGGTGATACAGAAATGTGTATCTTCAGATATATAGGCGATGCCTTTCTGCCGTAATGCACCATCCAAGCGCTGGTCTCTCGCGACGGCGAATGCGGTCAAACAAGCCGTAGAAGCACCGGACACGAACTGACCACCTGCAGATGGAGGTAGCCCAAACTGTTCTGCAATCCAGGCGACCATGGATTCTTCAACAGCGCAGACTCCACTTCCTGCCACTGAGCTTCCCGCATATACGTTGAAAGCGGAGGTAAGGGAATCCCCTAGCCAAGACATAGGCGATACTGGCGATGGAATAAAAGCGAAGAATTGAGGGTGGTCTGCGGGTATACGATATGAGAAGACCTCTTCGGCGTCGCGGAGAACATCTTCTACTCGTCTACCGTTGTTGGGTGGGATATTTTTCTGGATTTGGGAGAGCCATTCTTCAGTCGGGTGATTTGCGACTTTTGTATTGTCTGAAGAAAAGATAGGGTGTCCAGCGACTTTGGCCAGTTCTCGGAAAATGTTAGAAATAACTTGTTTCTTGTCAAGGCTGCTTGAATGCTCCGCTGGGGTCTCAAGAGACATCGTGCAAGGTATTGTCAATGCAGGCGGGGTGCTTTTCCAGGAAAGAAGGGAAGAATATATCTATAAATTCAGATCAAGGTTAAAAAACGAAAAGAGGCGGGCGATTTGTGATTTCATATTAGAATCAACCGGCCGAGTAGACGCTATTCGGTTTGTCATCGTGTTTAAAACACCCATGGATATATCGAGGTCACTCGCAACAAATTCCAGAATCGAGCAGGATTGCTCGAAGTTAATGCAGGTAACGCTCGCTCGCTGGCTGTCTCGGGTAGAATGAGGTAGCATTACATAACTTGGCAGTCAGAATCTACCAATCAGTTAACGCATGGGCATTCTCTTCCTTGTCATATTTCAGGCGTTTATGAGGTGTTTTGGACAGTAACCTTTAAAACTGCAGGTTCTCTTTCGTCAATGTCTAGCTATAACGCTGTGTATGTACATGCAACTAGTCATCATTACTGTCATAGAAACTGCTGACTTCCCATCCATTTACGAAACTGTAATCGGCCAGCGGCGACGTCCCGTGAAGCACCGGGTATCGCTTTCTAGGGCCACATACAGTGGAGTTACGCCCCTTACAGCCCTTCAACAACCCAGAAATCCGTCTGCCTGCATCGCGACCTTCAAACCATGCTCCGTGCAGGAAGCCAAAGTAAGACTGGCTAGTAGCTTCGCCAGCAAACCACAGTCGATCCGTATTTGCCCGTAAATTCTCGTGCATTTCCAGTGTTGTACCCATTGGCCAATTAGAGTAGCTGCCGTAGGCCCATGGCTCAGTGCTCCAGCGGGGATATAGGATGTCTGTGGGTTCTGGGACGTCAACGTCAGGGAACATGTTACGCAGAACGTCGACGATTTCCTTCTTGGTCTGCTCATCGGACTGACGCTCGACCCTCCGGGCAAGCTCGTTGGTGACAGTCACGAAAATGATGTTGGATCTAGGGTGGAAACTGTCTATGGACAAGGACTGGAAGAGTGGGTAGTTGCCACGGGTGGTTGGGTCGGCGTACAAGAAGTATTGAGTGTCCGTAGGCCAGAAGGTTTCGTTGAATTGCAAGAAGATTTTCGTATATGTGCCGATAGTGAACATCTGAATCGCAGTTTTCTTCCATTCGGGCAGTTCGGGGCTAAAGGTGACGACGTCGTTCTGTAGGACACCGAGCGAGAATGTACAGATGGCGTACGCGGCCTGCACACAGTTTCCATCGCTACTGTAGACAGTGACGCCCTCGCGTCCATAGGTAATGTTTGTGATCTTCGTATTGAGAAGCAAGCGAGGGTCGTCCTCCGTCAGAAACTTTGAAGCCATACCTTTGATAATGGTGTTGAATCCCCGCTGGTCTGTGACAAAGTTGTCTTCGTCACTGAACTGATTCGATGTCAAGTTACTACTCGCGACACCGAATACAAACGAACTCTCCAGCGGTGCGAAGGCTGATTCAAAATCTATCGGTTATTAGTATTTTCACGAGGGACATGAGGAACGCCAGACCAACCCCATTTCCACCAGTCGACCGCCTGCGCTTCCATGTCATGCGACTTGGGCTTCCATCCAGCCAACGCCAATCCGGCCTTCGCCGTCTGGTCCTGGAGGTTTTCGGTGAGGATCCTTCCAGCCGCCGGGCTGGCGACATCATAGGCTTCGTCGTACTCATCCAGCAGATGGGAGTAATCTCTATACCCATCCCGATTATACGTCGAGATATTGCTGTAATTAGAGTATGTAGTCTGCAAGCCGAATTCTTTGGCAAGAGTCCAGATGGGGTTCTCAGGCCCGCCTGGGTTTCCAAGTCCTTGAACCTAACCTAGAAGTCAGCCAAGTCCACTCTAGATGGCATACGGAATGTCTATACCCAATTGGCACCCATTTCTACCACGTAAGGCTTTCCATCTTTATCCTTCCCGAAGTTCTCGTGCCAAGCACGACCGCCAATTCGGTCACGATATTCGAGAATCAGGAAATCATGCATCGACGCGTTTGATAATGTTTGCTATGGGATGTAAGCGGCTTTACTCTATCCCAAAAGTGCCACTACTTACGGCAGCTGAGATACCTGATATCCCAGCTCCTCTGGACAATGTTAATACTATCTCCGTAGAAGAGACTCAAATTAATGGCATGGATACGCACAGAATCGCGACAGTCGTCTTCTTACATGTCCCTTCCTGGTCTCTGGCTTGAGAGACATAGCCAGCCACGGGTTGGGTAGCCCAGGCTCCCAAGGCAAGTAATGGGAGATGTCGTAAAAACATTATAGGTGATGATGACAAGCTGGCATGCACTGCTGTCCGCGGAGACGATCAGAGTCACACCGGAGAGACGGAAGGCCTCAGCTATATATCTTCTTTGTATTAACCCAACTGTCCACTTTCAGTCCGGTGATAGGTCCCGCCTCGCCATCGGAGGTTTTCCGCAGAAATTATTGAACGAAATAGTTCATGGGTACCGTAAGGTTTCTGCAGGCCACGGTGGAAATTATTGGTAGCTGAACTACGGGATTGGGCAGGTCCATGCGGGTCTTTCTGATCGTCCCGCCGCTATCGTAGTGTTTCAGCTCACAAAGCTGAAAAGAATCAGCCACTGGATTGATTGCGCTATTTGCCTCGGTGATTTTTAGAAATTTGCCACCCCGTGTCGAGTTTTGGCTGCTTCTGATTGCCAGCAAGGCAGTGCAGAAACATTAGTACTCATGGGCTGTACCATGACGTGCCAAAGTTATTAGGGGGGTTGTTATGGGGTCAAAGACCCGAGTATACTCGCCAGTGGGTAATTGTCCCGGCGATTCGATATTGGTTGAGTTAATCTTATCTCTTCCCTGCTGATAACACTCTCGGCGAAGGATTCTAGAAGATCTCGAGTCCTCCCTCTTCCTTCTTACTACCCTTAACCAAATATAGCATGTCCAAGAGACATATTGCATTCGTTCGCCGGACTCATTCCGCTTCTTGATGATCAGTGTTACTCTCTAATTTCGGGTACGACAACTTCGGAAATTCCAAGCGTTGATCACACATATATTGCCCATAGAATTCCTAACATAACGGCAGCAGCGTTACTTTCGCTTATACATTCCTTGTCTTTCGACTTCGCGATTTTTCAAGGCTTACTAATCGCAGGGACAAATGACATGCATAATGCTCACAACTTACTAGCCTTATCACTGCTCGCGGCTGCAATCAGCTTCTGGCAGAATTCTTCCGTGTCAGTGATATATCCGTTGTGCCCTCCAGGAGTCATTATTATAGGGACCCCGAGGGACTTCGATAAACTGATCAGAGGTCTACTACAAAGTTCTGGCGATATGTCCACTCCTTTCATCAGGACCAGTTTGTCTCGGTATGCGCTTAGTCTTTCAACGTCGAAGTCATAGTCAATCACCAGCGATAATTCATACTGATAAAACAGCTCGGTTTGGTCGCCCGGCTGAGACGAAAGTCGTTCGAAATGGGGATGTCGAGATAATCTCTGCTGGTCACGCTTGCCTTGCATGAAAGGGATCAGAGCCCGCCGAATCTTCGCATTTCCGGATGCTCCGTACGCCAGGATTATTTCGATCATTCTCCTTTTGATATCTACTCTGGCTGAGGGGGGAAGCAGCGAAGCAAGGAGTGGCTCATGTAGTATCATCTTGTGTACAAGACCTGGGTGAGATTGGAGGAGTTCAATGGCCATCGCTCCGCTTCCGGATGTTGCAAATACTGTCGCGGGTTTCCCAGGTGACAGATGCTGGATTAATCTAGCGACATCGTCTCCTTGCGCTCTCAAATGAGTTATCTCATTTGGTTCACCGGGGGGTTCGAGGAGACTATTCCCGAATCCTCGGCGGTCGTATAGAGCGACTGCAAAATGCGAGGAAAGGGCTGCAGCTAGCGGCTCGTACAGTGTTCCAGTGCCGTTTGCCCCGGGCATCGGAATAAGTAGTGGCCCATCCCCGATCATCTCGTAATATAGAAAAGCCCCATCGACTTCCAAGCAGGATGCGCTGAGGTCCCTGTTCATCTGCATCTTTGCATCTAATGGGCTCGTGTATGTTCCAAGACGATAATCGAAGATACTTGAAGAAACCCATACGAGGCCAATTCACGCACTTATAGCCCAGCTAGTGAATAACCATGGCGCAGTCGATTGATCAAATACATCATAGGCGACAAAGCAGGAAGAACAAAAAGCTTAGGAGTGTCTCTATCAAGGAATTATTCTTACAAAGGGTATTACCCTTTTGAGTACTTACCTTTTGGGTACCAACGAGCCAATAATATGTGACCAACTATCCTTAAACTTCCTGACAATGTCAATTTCTAGAGATCGATGCACACATTGTTTGGGCGCTTCCACTCAAGTTGCCACGCGTCTTACCCGGTCGGAAATCTTGACCATTCGATGTGACGTAGGTACTGAGAGCCAGCCACGTCGGACGTGGGGTGGTATTTCCATTCTGCTTTGGTCGAAGAGTTCAGACATAAGATTGTGTGGTTCATAAGGTTGTGTGAGAGTGAGTGAGTGAGTGAGAGTCACATGGTCTCCTAGGGTTCCCCTTCCGGACTAGGGCAGTCACTGGTGATTTCGATTTCTTGAACTTCAACCAACAAAAGTGAACCAAAAGAATTCAAGTTTTTACCCCTCACACAGTCTCAGCTACACAGTACTACCCTCTTATGTGGTTCCTCCTTGATATCAACCCGCCAGGCGTTACGCTTCATGGGATAATTTCGCAGATTGAAACGGAAACTCTCCGAAGTTGACTGAAAAGCCTCATGGCAACAGGCAACCACATAAGATTTATTTGTGAAAGGGTTTTATGGTGGTGTCGTCTCTGACAAACGGCCGTGCTGACCTGGCTCAGAAACAGACCACCCAGTGCGTCTCTCTGAGAAACAGAAGCGCTCCTCAGATGGCGCATATGCATGGTGCAATGCAACCAACATACATATCTGTGCTATCTAACATCATGGATGGGCGTTTATAGGAGGGGTCAAAAAACAATGCGAAATAATCAGTCACAAATGGGCACAATGTTGGCTGTTAGTGTAGCACTCTTCCCGCACTAATATCAGATCATCCTTGACCACTATTCCGGAATGCTCAAATGACATGTGTGACAAGTCGGGTGATTGGGCCGTAAGCACAACTTAAGCGCTGTGCTGAATTCTGGCGCTTAAGAGCGAAGTCTCAACACGGGAGGATGTGCTCCCCGCTTTTTAGACCATGAACTAGTTTCCAACGGAAGCTTAGGTATGGGCCCGCTCAAGGCACTAGTCACATCGTAAGTGATCCTTTTGCATGATGGTGGCGTATCATCCTATCCTACCGCCCAAATTAACGGCACCAGTGCAGATGGCGCCAGATCTATGCATCTAGATCCCATGGGAAGCGACGCCCATGCAGGGCATGGATTACTAGTGGAAGGTTCCCTATCACAAATCCTAACTACCATTTGTCAACGAGCTGTTTCAATACATTAGAACATGGGGCTAAAGTGGGGGTCGCCAACACCCCCAGGAGTTGATTTTCAACCCCCCTCTCGGGCAGTTGTAGCTTATAAATAATGGGAGGTATACCATATCAATCCCATCGATATCGCAGTACCGATCGTTTCTTCGGTCTTTCATAACTACGGGATCTTTTGGTCCGAGTACTTCCTTTAAATTCAACTTTCAAGATCTCAGGACTTATTCTTCTTTTCACTTGCCATCACCTTGACTTATCCTTGTAGTCAACAGTATGCCGTCTCAAAGGTCTGCCGTACATAAAAGCAATGGGGCGCGCCGGCGAAAGACCTCTTCGGCTTGTGAGTCATGTCGCGAAAGGAGGACTCGCTGCGACGGACAGAAGCCCATCTGTGGGTCTTGTGCTCAACGGTCGAACGTGGCCGGTTGGTGTGCTTACAGACGTATCGGCCGCCTTATGGATAATGAAGAGTATGGAATTCTTGAGAGACTCAGGTAGCATTCGCTCACATCGACGTACAGATACCTTCAAGTTCTGCTTTGTCATATTCGTGAACTTGAGGAGGCGTGTGAACAGGCGGGAATTCCGGTGCCTACATTTGAGCCGCAGGACTCATCCCTGGAGTCTGAGGGAGAAGAACCCCCTTCACCGGTTCTGAAGTCTCCATTCAATCCTCCCGCAGGTTTCCCAGATCATGGACATATTCCCGCCTTCCCGCCTCCAATAAAACCGGAGACCTTTCCTTCCCTTCTGACAAACCCGCAGGAGGGCGACGTGAATATTCTGGGACCCGTTAGCATTAACCCTATTGGTAGTAGTGAAGGCTTCCTGAAGCAGCTGAATATGCTCAGCAGTCCGCCTACTGCGTGCCTAATGCGTCTTTTAGCTCAAGGCCCTACGATGAGCGATATCCCTTATGGTCCTGCCCGTTCCCAATTAGATGGGTTTTTCCTCCCACCGCGGGATCTTGCTGATCATCTCCTGGGATGTTTCTGGGATCGGGTTTACTGTCTTTATCCCTTCTTTGACCGACCTAGCGTTCAGGACGCATACGAGAGTCTCTGGATATCCTGTGACAAACAGGATGCAAAGCCGAGTAAACTCAACATTGGGCTGGGCGGAAATTCGGACTGTGGCCCTCGGTCGCCGGTTTTTATTTGTGCACTGAATATGATGTTTGCACTTGGCTGCCACTTTGCCGATATTTCGGTCCCAGATCGAAACGACATAGCCCACGCTTTCTTCCTCAGAGCTAGGCAGCACATTGGGCTGGATGTGCTTGATATACGCACCGTTGGAGCCGTCCAGACTCTTTTAATGGCTGCATTGTATCTCCAAAGCATACCAGATCCGCACAAGTCCTCTGATATGATCGGAGTCGCTTGCCGGATTGCCCAAGCGCTGGGGCTCCATGAAAGCCAGCCAGACGACTTCAAGGATCCGCTGGAGTTGGAGATTCAGCGTCGCACCTGGCATGGATGTGTGATGATGGATACGTAAGTTCATCGCTTCTCTACTTCCCGATGAAATCAATCAATAACAGAAAATAGGGTCGTGAGTATGGCTCATGGCAAGTCGAGTATGACGTCTGCTTTGCCTACCATACCACTGCCAGGAGCAGTGGATCTTACCTCTACAGACACGAAGGGCCCGTACTTGACAGCCTTTTACGTCTCTAGTATAGAGCTGTATAGCATTCTTGGCAGTATCTTGTCACATGTTTCCAAGGCACGGTGCGATCGATCGAGCACCTCGGCCAGCTCAGCAACCGTCCAACAGGACACACTGGATGCCATCATTAAGCTGGAAGGAAGGCTATCCGAATACGAGTCCGATCTCCCTTCAGTTCTCCGTTGGAGACAGCCATACAATCCAGCGACTGACCTTCTTCGGCTGTCCACTCTAAGGCGTCAGAGAAATGTTCTGCATGCAAGGTGCGACTGATGTCCTATTTATTCCCTACTGGGTACACTAAGCATGATATAGGTTTCTGTATATGCACCTTCTGCTCTACCGCCCGGCCTTCACCCAACTGTGTTCTGAAGTACTGGCTGAAGAGGATTCCGAGATCGACCCGAGCGAACTTACCCCCAGGACGCTCTATTCACCGATGTTGTCGAAGTGTGCGGCCGACTGCACAAAAGCGGCGATCGACATGATCTCCCTGATCTATGACAACTACCAAACATCAACTACCGATACTTGGTGGTACAATAGTTTCTGTAAGTCTCTCATAATTTGCTAGGTTTTAGATAAGGCTGACGAAACAGACACTACGACTGCGGGCATGGTCCTTGTAATGGCCTATACATGCCGACCCGCCCTACCCGACATCGAGAGGGCTACCATCAATGAATCCTGGCGCAAGTGCGAACAAATCTTGCAGTACATGATCCCGTATAATTTCTCCGCGAGGAATACACTACTTTTTCTCCGGGCAGCTCACGGTCGGATTGTCTCCTACCTCGAGGAGGGAAGTGAGACGGACGCCAACGACATGGGCCCTGGTTCGAACCAAGTAAGTGGTGTCGAGAACCCTTTCGCCGAAGATTCAGACAACCACTTCAGCGGTGCAAACTGGCTGGGCAGTGCAGTGGCGATGGTTGGACTGGGGCTTTTATGCCCGGCCGATTTTAAATGGTTCCAGGGATGGTTGGCAGAGGAATTACCCTAATCTTATGTTGTACGAATGCGGGATTTTCTTTTGCGCTTATGTTTGATTAGTTCAGAAATGCATTGTTTTACACTGTTCAGCCTCGCGGTGACTCGTCCGCCGTACTAAATGGCAACCAGTAAGCGCCGTCGGCTATGCATTGCATTAGGCTGCGCTCAACGGCGAATATAATACGGTCTCGACCCCATCTATCTGCCCACTTTTTCCCCCTTAGCTTAAGCCCCTGGAATGATTACCATGGAACTCAGCTCCTTAGACACAACACGTCCTCCCGAGAACGAATCCGACTTAGTTATTTTCGACGACGATGGTGGGATAAAAGCCCTAGTCTTCTTGCCTATTGCTTTTTTTTTTTTTGAATTAACTGTACTAACGTATGTTAGGCACCGGTCAGTTGCGTCAGCAAGAGACTCCCGACTTGGCAGCATTTCTGAGTGTCTGTTTTCCTTTTGACCGTTAATATAGACATTTAACCACTAACAGAGCGCAGTCCTCTCGACACTACTCCACCCAAGTTATGTAGGTTTTCTCTTACTTCAATGCTACGCACCAGTCATAGAAATTGATATTCATGCTATGCATTAGCTTTACCAAGCATGGGCTGCTTCAAGAAAGCCCCGACCTTGCGAAGCTCCCTGCCGATTTCCGGCGTACTTTCGAAGCAGACCTGAACGGGTCGTTTCACAATGAGTATATCTTCAATGGGAACGAAATGACGAACCATGGCAAGCTATTTCTCATCTTGTTATTGCATACTTAGCAGAGCTAATAGTGACGTACTAGTATCTTGGTCCATGTTCAAAATCAAGCTGGTCAAATCACCGATCGCGTATAAATGGTTAGAGCCTTCCATTTTCGTTGATTGGGATATCGAAGCCAATCGTCAAAGAATCTTCTTCGTCGATGTACCTTCTACCCAGCGGAAGCAGATTGTCAACAAGTTTCCCACTCAGAATATGCGGGATCGTAATCCGTATATCTGGCACGCGGTATTTGCGCATGAAATCGCGCACCTATACGAAACGTCTTTCTGGAATCAACGGGATGTTATCAGGAACGTCGAAAAGGTTACGCGTCCCTACTTCTCTCATCCTCTTTCCACCCAGCGCCTCCCCCTCTCTATTCTATTCCCATCTCCTTGTGCATCAACAATTCAAACTAACATAGATATAGTTACGAAACGCATCAAGCAAGAATCTCCCAATATTCCTAAAAGGCCTAAACGACAGCGCTCGTCACGCCGTCCACCTGAACGAGACCATGGAGGTAGCCGACCACACCATGAACAGGTTGCTCGCGGAACATGTCCGCTGGCGTAGCGAGTTCCAAACCTACGTGAGTGACGGAGAAGCGAACGCCATCCGCTGCACCTATCTCCAAACCGACCAAAAACTAGCCTTCGTCGGAAAAGAAATCCACTCAACCAGGGTCAGGGCCAAGACATTGACCGATCGACTGGCCTCTGAGATCCAACTCGTATGTGTTCTGTGTTCTGTGTTCTGTTCTAGTCCTTTACATACTATGAAGAACAATATACCCCTAACCAAAACTTACAGGCGAACACGCTCGTCTCCCATGAAATGAGTAAACACACCCGCTATGACAGCATGGTGATGAGAACCCTGAGCTTCGTGGGTATGATCTATCTTCCTGGGACCTTTGTTTCCGTAGGTTTCTTTTGGGGAGGTTTCCCCCCCTCCCCCGGCTCTTCATCCTCCTTAACCTTCCATACAAATACAAACTGACAATAACAGGGCATCTACGGCTCCAACTTTTTCGACTTCCAGTCTGGTGAGAAAGAGTCGTGGGAGATGTCGCACGAGTTCTGGCAGTATTGGGCCGTTACGATTCCGCTGACGCTGGCGACATTTGTGGTCTGGGCCTTGTGGCATTATCGGGCTAAATTGGGGTTTTGGAGGAAGGGTAAGCAGGATGAAAATAATATGGTATGATGTTTGGTATTTCGCTCATAGAAGGGCATATATATATATATATATAGTTGAATGTTATGAGTTACAATCTTTTTCGGTTGAGATATAGCGCTATGGAGATTGATGTATATATGGGTAAGGGATGATTTTGTCGATTATATGGGAGCAATGGAGTTATGTGTAGGATTGGGTGTCTGATTACAATACGCTGACGTTTATGGTAGGAAAATGAAGCCCTGTATAGGCGCACGATACAAACGCTCTTATTAAATGAAGAATAGGTGGTTTTAACACTACCTACAGCTAACGTACAGTATATATTCGTTATTATGCTCTTGTAAACATTACATAAATCAATTAGGAATAGTATATATCATCATCCAATTTTTATCTAATGCGAGTAAATCATCAAGGGTCCAGAAATATCGTATACCGATCATAAAATCATACGTCACTACTTGTCGGATCACTCGTCTCTTCCTTAATCCTCACTGCACGAGGAAATCGCTGGCTCCCGAATTCAGCGAACAGCGGAGCTGTCTCCAACGGTAGGTTGATCTTCAGCTCTCGGGCCGTATCCTGCAGCGACCGTAGGACAGGCTTGGCCTTCTCAGACCGTCGGGAAAAAGCCTTGGCGGCGATACAGAGGATAACGAAAGCTTCGCAGTTCTTGCGATTCTCTAGGTGTTCTAGGAGGACGAACAGCGCCGATTTTATCCATTGGACGTTGAAGATGGGAACGGGGTCGAGGTCCCAGGAGGTTCGATAGATCTGCACCCAGTGGCCGATGCTGCGGGCGGAAGATAAACAGACATCTTCGGCTTGGGCCGGGGTGATTGTGTCATAGTTGGTGTAGAGAATGCCGTTGGTATTGGTTTCAGGCGACGGTTTGTGGAAGTTGTACACTGTGATAAGGATAGCATGGTAATACATACTAGGGGGGTTAGGGCATTCGCAATATGATAAAAGTGCAGAATAACTCACTGGAGGCAGAGGACGTGTGGCACATCGACGTCATCCCCTATTCTTAGACATTGTGGAAGACTGTCGGTCCATTCACTGAGACGCCGTTGGAAATCGGAGGTCTTTTGTTCCATCTGGACGCGCGATCCAGGTGTCTCTTTGTTGTAATGGAAGTCTGCGACGTCGTGTGCGATTATATTCAATTTACAGAGCTCGTTGAATAAAGTTGCTGTGCGTGATGACTTCTTGTTTCCTTCTGTGGGCATCGGGTATGCCCGCCATTCGTCTTTTTCAGGCGCGTCATTCACCGGGGAAAAAGACGGTTGGTACGGCGGTTTAATAATGGGAGCCTTCCCATATAGTAAAGCGTGAGTCCTGGCTTAGATCAGTTTGTCGTTCTTCACGGCTGTAGTAAGCTGAAATATCCAGGCACGGAGGACCCTACGTGGCGCAGTTGAATAACCCCCAATTGGTACTATTGACTATCCGTGCCATGCGAAGCTCATCTTCATCAACCTTTGATGCGAGCAATGAATACTTCTGCGACAGTTCATGGGCTGAGTAGGCTAGTTGGTTGCGATAGATCCATCCCTGACGGTCCTGACCGGTCATGCAGGCACTGCATATCCTTAGTCTATCATTCTGCTGGTGGTTGCAACAAGACTCTTACCGCGCCCATAACACACCAATCCCTTGAACAGCGGGAAGGGTAATCCTCCCTTCCTCCTTATCCAACAACCGTTTTGCCTCATCGTAGAAGTGGGCGCCTTTTGAGGACGGGTCCCCAGGAACGGCATATGCTTCGGGATAATTTGAATATGCCTACGGTTGTTAGTAAAGAAGAATTTACAACAGCACAGCCTTGAACACTCGAAGGGTAAACATACACATGCATACGCTAAAATGGCATTAACCAAGAGCGGCGAGCAAAATTTAGCCCCGAGTAACCCCGCTTGCATATCGTGGATAAAGCGCTCACGATCGACCCAATTAAAGAAGGGGTGAAACCAAGTAAACCACAACGATACGAGGTGTGAAACGAAATCATTGTCCGCGACGACATTAGTCCAGGGTTTCGCAGGAACCAGAAACAACGGCTGATCCGACAACCGCTTCGCAACTAGGATACGATGCATTGACTGCGAGTCCGACTCCTGTAACCGCTGCACGTCGTGACTGACCTCTATGAGCTCGGGCGTCCGGGATAGCTCCGATCGCGGCACTTGGTGGTTGACGTAGTATTGAATTTCCGGCAGGCTGGCATTGCTCCGAATCAAATTCAACAAAGGGATGGTGCGACGGTTGCCGCTTTCGCGTAGGAGGCTGACCAGTCGGAATAGCAGATCTTCTTTCTCCTCCAGGTGGTCAATTTTGCGTTTTAAAGCTCCGCGGCGACGCTTGTCCGCGGTTTGATCCAGAGTACATTCTAGTCGGCTCTTGAGGCAGTTCGCACAAGGCGCGGTTCCGGTGCACTAGGTCTATCAGGATTGAAGTATTACTATTGGGGGAAGAAAATACTACCTTCAGCTTGCGAGCCTTACAGGCCAAACAGGCTGTGCCGACGTTTTTCCTGCGCTGGTGAGTATCATTGCCACCAGGGGTACCGGGCGGCGCGGGGGCCAGCCGTCGTCTGGAGTCGGTCATGATGTTTTTCAGACATCAATCCATAACGAGAGCTAAAGAGAAGAAAAAAGAAAGGGATGCTGAAGAGGCGAAAACAGGCAGAGAGTCGGAAAAAGAAAGCAGTGAAGGGATGAAATCACCGGAATTGATACCGGAATTCCAGCTGACTCGGGCGCGATGTTATTGGTGGACGGAACTGCACGCCACTTCCCCGCATGGACGGCGTTTTGGGATTACCGTAAGTTACACAGGCTGCAGGTGGCGCAGTTTGGGCACCAAGCCACACTGGACAAGCTCGTACAAGAATACTTTACAATAGTTTCACAAGCCATTCTAGAACATAGCTCCCGCCAATCAAATTCTTCTTTTCGATCAGTTCAGATCCATCGTCTAATTTCCCACAAGCTGGAACGGGATGCCGAAGCCCTAAATTTAAAGCTAAATAATATAGGGTATGGGGAATATAGTATTGCCACCATTTTGTCGTGAAGAAGTATAGAAGAAAGAGCGGCGTCCTACTGAACTTTGACCAACTAAATTCGAACGGCGCTCGGGGCGACGGAAGCGCTCGAGCCCTCTAGCTATATATAATCTAATGTACACGAACAAGGATGTTTGATATACTGCGGATCACACAACACCGCTCTTGCTCTTGAAGCCGAGGCTCGACTTCTCCCCCCGTTCATTACTCGACACTGACCCATCGGGCACAACACCCTCATTCTCCTCATCCGGCTGCCAGAACTTCTTCTTTCCCCTCGCAGCCCTCTTGACCCATGGGGGGAAGAAGCCGCCCGGAAGCCTCCATGTCCAGGGATCTTTCTCATCCTTGTTCGGCGGGACAATCCGTCCAAAGCTTGCCTTTTCAACGACCCACACAAGCATGTTGATGCAGATATAGCTCAGAATACCGGCAATCAAACCGTACGCGATACTGTAGGTAAACGGCATGATGGCGATGGTAAGAAAGGCTGGAATGGCGTCGCCGTAGTACTTCCAGTTGATTTCGGCGGCAGCTTTGCACATGAGGGCGCCGACAATGACAAGCGTGCAACCCGTCGCCCAGGGAGGAATCGAAGCAAAGATGGGGGCGAAGAAGACGGCGATAAAGAAGCAGAGGCCGGTCACACAGGAGGTCATACCGGTTTTTCCACCTTCGGAGATACCAGCACCGCTCTCCACAAAGGCTGTTACTGGGGGTGAGCCAAAGAGTGAGCCGATAGAGACACAGACTGCGTCAACCATCTGTAGAATCCTGTCAGTATCAATTGGATCTGAGGCCGATACATTGACATACGTAGGCGAAAGCACTGCCTTCGAAATCCTGAGTGCGCTCATCGATCGCGCCCGCGAAGCGTGCCATGGAGTACAGTGTACCTGTGGTGTCAAGAATGTCGACATACTGTCATGTCAAACCTGGTTAGTCCTGGCCTGCGACGAAGGAAGAATCCACTCACCAAGAAGGTAATGAAAGCCAGCCCAAACTCCGCACCATGTCCCGTGAGATCCCACTCCTGTGCCACGAGCGTCCGTTTAATGGGGTGGAACGTTACCACTTGCTTGAAGAAATTGAAATTGCTGTCTCCCAGCTCCGTATGGGGGAAATAGGTCACTGGTGTCGGCCGGGGCCACGAGATGATCGAAACCAGTAAGATGCCAATAATGACCGCACCTTTGACACGGTACAGCATCAGCATCGCTGTCATGACACCGCCGCAAAAGATACCGACCCACATCGTCGGGTTACGCATCTTGTCGCTGGAAGGGCACAAGCCGGTGGTTGGATCGCGCATGGAGGAATGGCATCCAGCAAGTTCCATCGGCGAATCCGTCGCACCGGTAACCAGACCAATGCCAGCGCTGTAACTCAGTCCGATCAGCGTCAAGTACAGCCCAATGCCGGTACCCGTTGCCAGCTTGATCGATGCAGGTAATGCTCTGGCTAACCACTGCCGGATTCCCATGAGCGTCAAGGCTAAGAAGACAAATCCTTCCACAAACACCGCTGTCACCGCGATGCGATATGGAATCATTCCAAACCCGTGATGTCCAACCACTGTGTATGCGAAGTATGCGTTCAAGCCCATTCCAGGCGCTAACGCTACGGGCAAATTGGCGAGCAAACCCATGAAGAACGTTCCCAACGCAGCAATGGCCGCGGTGGCCGTGACCAGATCACGTTTCACTTCCTGTACGCATAGCAAATACTCGGTGTTCGAATTGCACTTGTCAGCCCAGCTTTCTGGAGGGCAGACGCAGGTGCCGCCGGAATCGGAGGTAATAGTGGAATTGACGCTAATAATGTAAGCCATGGCAAAGAAGGTCGCCAATCCCGCTCGAATCTCGGTAAAGAAAAAGCTTCCTTTCCGCTCTTGGGGCTATCTCATTGTTAGGCATCATCCAGCCATTTGACCAAATAAGGATCTAAGAGTGTAGGCTCACATGGCCGGAATTTTCCAGACGAAACCATCGTCCAACGGGGGACCGCGCCACCGCAAGGTTGGTGCGATGTATCCAACCCATTTTTGCAGTTGATATAGTGTACGAGGCGTCTCAGCCTGGGGTAACGTTGGAGGCAACGCCTAACACAAAAAGAAAAATCAGAGACGCTTGCGGAGAACGCGGGTTTTTATTCCCACCCACGGAGGGGCTTTTTCTTTTTCATTCCGAGAAAGAAAAAAAAAAAAAAGAAAAATTCGCCTCAGTGCTTATCAGTGGCTCGTGGCATTGGGACCTTGGCAATGACAATATACGAGCCACTCAAGGGTCTGGAATGCCAGTCAAAAGGATGGTTCGCTTGCCGATCGGCCCATGGGTCGAATCAGCAGTGATGTGAATGGCCCCAATCCCTTGAACTATGCCCCTTCAGTTCTGGAGTGGGTGATTCATGAGACAATAGCGGGTAATACCGATTTCTTGCGTATCGCTTCGCATCTGTTCAGCTTATCTTTTATCTCTCTGCCTATCCTCGTTTCTGGAGGGATAGGATATTAAATTTCTTGGCGATGTGGAAAATTTTCCGTTTTTGTTTCCAGTGCACGGAAGCCTCGGGAAGTTTGAACAGAAACTTTCGTTTCCACCACAAACTCATCGATATGTGTGCTTTGGGATACTTCGGACACTTCGGACACAGCTCAATACAGCACACTATTCTGATCTCCGCATCTCCACGCTCACAGCAGTTAACTGCCCCGACTTCTCCTCAAATACCACCGCTGTCGGCGCAAATTTACTCTTTCGCCGCGACGCGGGGCCCCAGATGATAAATCCCACAGGAATCGGGATCATAGTCGCTGCTAGACATCCCAATAGAGTTCCAGCCCATCGAACAGCTAGGTTGATAAGCATCTGGCACGAAAAGAGCGGAAAACACGCCCCGACGGCAGACCGGAGGATAGTGTTGGCGGCGAAGACCGAAGCGGCACTGTCCTATCAGTAAAAGCTTGGCCTTTCTGAGGCTTACATAAATGCGACATGCTTACAACTGCAGATACGAATCGATCAGATAGTTCAAACATTGCAGGAAGATGCAGTAGATGCCGAACCCTACGAACACCCCCTGATGCGGTGGGGGCCATCCAGTGGATATTCTTGGTCCAGCCTGTCCAACCGAACCTATCTCTGTCAGAGATGACTAGAAACTTGGAATGCGGAGCTGGTACATACCAAAATAGCCCGACGATGAAGGCAATGCTACCGACAATCACCGGTGGTAATCTCCTTTCGGGCACGGGGACATGATTGTTGGCTATCAACTTCTTCGTATATGCCTTCTGACTCAATAGGGTGTAAACGCCCCCAGCGAACTCGCCAATGATTAGTCCGGAAAATGGCAAGCTGCCCACCCTCAGATTTATTCCATGGATTCCCTGGAACACCACAAGATATGCTCCCAGCAAAGCATACATCAGACCGTAGATGAAAGACAGGTATAATGTCACCAAAAACACGATCGGCTCTGTGAACAGCATACGAAACGGCCGGCTGAAATTCACAGTGATTAGATTGTTACAATCAATCTCGACCTCGTCCTGCTTAGCGTGGATCCCCGAATTATGGGTTTGCCGCCGCAGTATAGACGCCTTTTCCATCAACACCACGGGCGCTTAGGTCTCCCGGAAGAGGAAGAGCAACAGGACAAGAGAACCCTGTAAAGTCAGTATACAACGTCATTTCGAGCAGCCGAACATCATGTCTACCTACTTTCTGCTCATCTGCCAGTTGTGCGGATCCATTGGGTCCTCTCCTGTAAATTCTACGACATATTCCTCTGGATCAGGAAGTTGGGGAGGATAGTCCTGGATCGATGGCCACCGAACGGTAGCCATTGATCCCTCGGTGTTGGTCCAGATTTCGACCCAACCGTTGATCGCTGTGTTATCGGAAGCGACTCAATCCGTGGGAGGTGAATATTAGTCTGGCGCCGGCTCAGCGTCGATGATTGTATCGGATTCGAACGCCAGGCTGTGCTCTGTATGAGCAGTTGGAATATCCGACAAAGCACTACTCGAATCATTGGCAGCGGACATGTTTGCATTCGTCGACTTTTTTCATCTAGAGTTTTATAACGCATAAGTTTAATTTCTAGGGAAGCCTTTGGAAGGGAAGTGACGCTTTTATCGGACAATGATCCATGGTTTCAAAGGCCTTTTGGGTTTATACACATTCTTGATCATAACTAATCCCCGTTCTCAGGATCCGGTTCTGTCGCCACGTGACCTGCACTGATAAACTGTCAGATAAAATAGCTGTGCGTGACCAGAATCATGTGACTGAAGAGGAGTGAAAACGAGGGCCCCGTAAGCAAGGCAAGAATCATACAAGAATCATAGAATCATCAATATCGTCAAGAAGAGCTGAAAAGGCTCTAGACTTGATCATTTTAAGACGTTTTATGAATCGTATCTTTATCTAATATTCGGGACTGACCGAATATCTGACAATAACACGTTTTCCCTTTTGCCCTTGTTATCAGAACGGGCGCAGTCTACACATGTTTCACCAACTGCTTTCGCCCACAAGTTAGCTTGATTGGCAGCGTCGTCTACGCTACTTTAGATTCAGCGCTGAACGATCTTGGTTTACTTCGTAGCTCCAAATGAAAGACATAAATAGCATATTGAAGACACTCTGAGAATACACACGCCTTTTTTCCCCCTCTTTACACCTTCATCGTCAATCAGACAGGTCCTCTACAACGGTTAACAGCCATGGCACAAGTAAACGGCACCTGCGATCCTGCGTTCTCATCCGTCCGCGACATTCTGCAGCAAAATGTCTCCACCGACAAAGAGCTTGGCGCCTCCATCTGCGTCAGTGTAAAAGGGAAAACAGTCGTGGATATCTGGGGTGGCCACGCAGATACCGAGCGATCAAAACCCTGGACGGAGAATACCATTGTATCAGTGTGGTCGATGACCAAGACAATCATGAACCTGGCCGTGTTGATTCTGATTGATCGCGGCCAACTAGATCCAGACGCTCCCGTTGTTAAATACTGGCCCGAGTTCGGAGTCAACGGGAAAGAAGGAGTATTGGTGCGACATCTCATGAGCCACACTGCCGGCCTGCCATCCTTTGATCCTCCCATTGACGAGGCCACCATGCTCGACGTGCCTCTAGCAACTGAGAACTTGGTCCAACAGAGGCCCTGGTGGACGCCTGGCACGGCCCATGGGTACCACTCCAGCTCCCAGGGTCACCTCATCGGCGAACTCGTCCGTCGCGTAACCGGAAAATCGCTGGGCGAGTTCATTCATGAGGAGCTCGCTGTTCCTCGCAATGCTGACTTTCACCTCCCTGTCGCGGAAGAACACTGGCCTCGCATCGCGGACATGGATGTCTCCCCGCCCCTCGACCTTTCCGGAGTAGATCCCAATAGTGTCATGTTTCGTGCTCTGACGGGTAGTCCGGTTAACCCACGGGCTCCCCAAGAGCCCGCCTTTCGCCGAAGTGGCCTTGGGTCCATTGCTGGCTTTACTAATGCGCGTGCGGCCAACGATATTCTATCCATTATCACACAGAATGGCACCGTAGACGGAAAACGCTACTTGAGTCCTGAGACAATTTCCAGGATTTTCGTGCCACAAGCTAGTGGTCCAGACTTGGTAATCGGGTTGAACATTGTGTGGGGCCTTGGATATGGAATTGGCAAGATAGATTGTGCGGACTGGTTTCCATCTGGTAAAGTGGCGGCCTGGGGAGGATGGGGAGGGTCGCTCGCACTTATCGATATGGATCACCAGGTTACTTTCACATACGCGATGAATAGGATGGGCAGGTCTATTATGGGCAACGACCGAACTGGGGAATATGTGCGAGCTGCGTATGCAGCGTTAGAAAGATACAATGCGTGACGGGCGAGGCTTTTCTGTGGTCGATGTATCTAAGGTTTATCTGCAAGCGTATTGACCTGTAGCTTGATTCATAAGAATGAAATAATGGTTATTACACTTATATCTTCCTCGGCGCAATTAAAGGCACATTCCATTAGACTCATAATTGTGATTACTATTGACTGCCTTGGAGAACTTCGGGGTCATATGTAAGTTCCGAAGCCTCGGTACTCCACATTTCATGCAAGCCCTAATGATCGACATCTAATTCCTCCGCATTTCTTCGCAACAGATTCCCTTTTAGGTAATAGATATTGCATCTCTTCCTTTAGACTCTCGCAAATATTGCCTTTATACAATACAAAATCCCAGATATAAATACCCCCAGTGACCACCAACGAGACATCCACTCCATTTAGTTACAGGCCGAGACACTAACTAACCGAACGGACATCAAAATGGCCGCCAAAGTCATCCTCCCCTTCCTAAGCCTCTTCGTCTTCTACGCGATATTCTACTTCGCAGACATCAATGGCCTCCGCAACCTGGGTGATCAAGCCATCGCCTCAAAAACCCTTCCGGGCACCAACTTCCCCCTCCGCACAGTCTACACAGGCGTAGAACCAATCGACCACCTCCTCACAACCTTAACAACCTTCTTCTGGCCCACGACAGACTACAGCCACCCATCACTCTTCCTCCACTCAATCAGCTTCTCAGGAACCTTCGGCTCAGCCTGGATCCTAATCAGCCTCGAAGCATGGCGAAAAGGCAACGCCTGGACAATCGCCGCATTGTAACCACCCCTCCCCTTGCCCTAACCGCCTCATAAACCCTCAACTAACAAAAGGAAAACGCCAGCCCAATGATCTTCGGCCTAACAGCCCAAGTTCTCACCTTCGCCTTCGCCGCCCCCCTCTACTGCTTCCTCCACCTAATAGTAACTCCAACCAACCCAACTCCCGACGCAATCCGCGTCCCTCGCTCCGTCCTCCATGCCATCCCCGCCGTCTTTGTAATAGGCTACCTCCTCCCAACCCACCTCCTCACCGTCCCCCTCTCAGAACATATAACCCCTGATATAAAGCAAATCTTCATCGCCATCTGGCAGCCCTGGCCCGCTTACGTCTCGATCCTCCTAACAGTATCCCATTTGGTCTTTAACCCCTTTACAGGGCGGGATAAAGACGGCCGCGCGAATTTGAGTGCCCTGCGCCGTGTGTACGCTTTCGCGTTCGCGAACACGGCGCTCACGCACCTTGTCTCGTGGATTCTGTCGCTGGGTACGGTGTTTGCGCCGGGGATGTATAACGAGGCATATTTGGAGGCGTTGCATCCGAGGCGGGTTTTTGAGGTTCCCTTCCCATGGGAACAGCCCGTGAGGGGGGTGAGAAGTGTTGGGGAAGGGGTGCATTTGTTCTTGAGGTGGGATTATATTATTGGGTCTGCTGGGGTGTTAGTTTGGGCGGGGGCTTTGTATAGTGCTGCGCGGAAGAGGGTTTATGGGAAGACTGGGCTGGTAGCGACTTTGGTGAAGAGCGTGGTGCTTGGGGCACTAGTTGGGCCTGTCGGGGCTGCGGTTGTGTTGTTGTGGGAGAGGGATGAGATGGTTGTTTGTGAGATGGGAGGTGTGAGGAGGGGGGTTGTGGCGGGTGGGAAGAAGGATTCTTGATTTTTGAATCTATTCGGAGTTTGTATATTTATGGTTGTTGGGTTTCTGGTAGAGTACGACGCTTTGTTTGGTATGTGTATTTCCTTAATATGGTCCTAGAGTTTGAATTGAGCAGGGACTTGGACAATTTTGTCCCGGATGTAATCTGCGAATCCTTTTCCGTACCCATCTAGCCGGCTTGGGCTGCTTACTCCTCGGCCTAGGATGCCGTATATAACGAAGTGGACAGCGTGGATGTGTGGGTATTCTGCTCTCTCGATAGAGAAGGAGTCGTCCCAGTCATCACCAGTGAGAGCTTGCATTTGGGAGGTGGTCATGAACGACCGAAGCCAGTCCCAGTGAGTCGGGTTGGGGACAAAGATGCCAAAATTGAGGTTTGCACCTTTGTCGCCCGATCGGGCGAGTGCGATATCTCCGAGGCGGATATCTTTCGTTGGACCGTTGTACACTGTTGGCGACGTAGGATCATAGGTCTCACGTGGTTCCAATGATACGTACTGGCAGGGGCGCGGGATATCGAAAGATGCGACTTTGGATCTATCCTCCAGGATGTTGACCTTTTCGGGGATCTCGGTCTAGTTAATCAAGGCTAGGTAGTATGCAAGGAATGGACGGGGGACCGCGGTTCGCATGTCAAGAGTTGCGTGGAAGCCTGTAAGTCAGTTACCTTGTGTTTGGATCAATGGAGCTTTGGAGTACCGGAAAAGTGCTTATGTGCAATGTTCCCTATTGTTTTGGATACAGCTGCAACAGCCGGTGCTGAACGAGATGCTACGAAGATGCGCATATAGTTTGTACTCTTCAGCTGGGAGGACGGGTTCGGTTCAGGAGCTCCGACTCTACCATGAGGTCAAACCTCTGTTCAGAGGATGGTAATTTGACATGAATAACCTTTGAAGCTCAAGTGTGTCTAGGTCATTCGCGACACTTGCGGGCAGAAAATGACGGATTTGCTTCTCCAGAAGGTCCCACTTTTGAGCGGTCGCATATCCAGTCGCATTCAAAAGGATTTCTGCTTCATAAGCTCCATGATAGAATACTGCAAGCTTAGTAGTTGGGGGAGGTGGTGATCCTCGGATCCGGGAGACGCGAACTCTATCATCCATCAGAGCTAGTAACATAACGGATGTTAGCAGTGATTACCTGTTTTCTCCAGCATCCTCCACGACGATGTCATCTATATGAGCAGAAACATCGCTATTCAGGTAGACATTTCCCTGAAGCTCGTAGAGGAATTAGCATTTCACCGTGACTGTACCAACAAGTCCTTGGGTTCCAAGGTGTTTGGTGATGGTGCAGGTGCCATCTTCCTCAATCTCTGCAATAGGGAACCCAGGAGCGACAAGGATATCAATCGGATATTTATCAAAGCCCGCAAAGTTTGCCCCAGTAACATATGCTGAGCTTTCAATCAGATTACCAGCAATGAGTGCTCCAGAAAGTCTATCATAGTCAGTTTGGCGCCAGTCGTATCAATACCAGGCCGCTGCGATTACGGGACTAGCATCCGCAACACGACCACAGATTATTATCTGTGCTCCGCGCCTCAAGCCTTCAACAATACCACGGGCGCCCGAGTATGCATGGGCCGATATCATGGGGGTTGGTCTCCCATCAGGAGCATTCATAAACGCATAGGTCAATTCAGATGGGACAACGGAAGGGTTGCCGGAATCTAAGTGTTGCAGTTCCTCCTTGGTCGTTGGCATGTTAGGGCCAACTTGAGGGTACAAATCGTCCCCGGAAACGTAGGCAACACGCAAGTCAAGTCGTTTCTCATCCACCTGCAGTAAGCCATTTGGGTGAGTAACATTCCATGGGAAGGCTCAGTGAGAATGGAGTCACATACTAGGGCCGCAACCTCTATCGCAAGCGCTTTGGGATCTAAAGCACCACCATTGATTACTATCCGAATACCCTTTTCGGCAATAACATCGATTGTCCGTTGAAGTCGCTGCCAAGCTGTTTCTTCGTAGCCCGGGTGCTTTCTCGCCCGCCTGGCCTGGGCATTTTTGGCTAAGTTAACTTCTGTTCATAGACTTAGTGTATTATCATCAAATAGTTACTCAGGCGGGCACCTGCGAGGTAGTCACCAGTGATGAAGTCGACCTCCCCCAGAGTTGCCTGGCGATACATCTCATATGCCGGGTCGCCTAGTAATTCAAGCAGTCAGCAACTTGAGGCTCGATCGAGGGTCAGCGAACAAACCATGATAGCTAGAGCAGTTGGCCACCTTCACAGGCCGACTTTCAGGGTCTCGCAACATCTTCGAGTAAGTAAACTTACATACCTATATAACAAGACTTTGATGATATTGTTATGACAGAATTATTTGACTCAGGGGACTCGCCAGAAAGCGTTATATATTTTGTCACTATATTGCTGGTTTCAGGTTATCCTCGGCAAAATATTTTAGGATACCCGGATAACCATAAGCTTGCTACATAAACCTTCCCTGCATAGTTGATGCACACCCGATCGCGCTTTATGGTTGGTTAGGAATGTGAAGTCATGGTGCATGGAGGGCCGTTGCCATGGGCCGCGGAATATTTGCCCCGGCGCCGCGGAGGCGCGGAGTTCCACTGAAGCTGGATTAGTTCCCAACAAAGTACTGGCAATGATATGTGGATCTTCAGTGGATTCTCTAGGGACGGAGGTACTACTTGAAATTGCGCATGCCCCATGCAGAAAATGCGACGTATTTCGTGATTTAAATTGAGTGTTGCCAGAAGACACCCCATCTGAAGATAAACTGGCTGTATCAGTCTCGCCTGCAACTTCCCTTCTTTCGTCGCACACATTTGAAAACATATTCACCATGACTATTCCTCACGAGACAATCCCAGGGACAGATATCTATGGTCCTGGCACCTTTATCGATAAGAATGTTCTTGCCGTGCCCGATGATGCTCGCCGAGTATTCGACTTTCTAGCCTCACATACACCCGGTTTCACTCAAAACAAGAAACTATGGGACACTGTCCACTTCGAGGGTCAGCCGGATCCTATGATTCCTGGCCCTATTAAAGCCCCTATCGTTGCTGCCGCTCTACATGCGATGTGCGGTGTGGTAGCAAACGAATTGTTGGAGCTTCGCGATAGCAGACCAGCGTCCGAGGGCAGCGTGACTGTGAATACCGACCAGGCAGGCATTTGGCTTGGCTCTGTGGCAACAACCCATATCAACGGATCTGACATCGCATCGCTGGCGCGGTCAGGAAAGCTGGGAGATCTCTTCGACCGTGATTTTGAAAAAGGTTTTGGGAAAGGCCTTGCAAGTAGGACAACGGCGATATACCAAACCAAGTATCCCAATGTGTGGTATCAGCTTCATGGATCACTTAATGCTAACCATGTCCTCGAAACGATGGGAATCGACACAAACGTTTCATTTAATTCGCCAAGCGAATACTATGCTTATATCCAGAAACATGTCCACCAGTGGAGCCCGGATGAGCTCGAAATGCACAATGTACGCCATGGCCTTTGTGGAAGCATATGCTATAAGCCTGAATCATGGAGAGAGACAGAAATGGGAAAGAAGCTCGCCAGGCATCCGTATGTGAACTACACCCAAGAGACATACGCAGCCCCAACACCCAAACATCCTTTACCCAAGATGGCCAGCGACCAACGACCACTGGCAGGGGTTAAGGTGCTGGAGATGGTACGCATTATTGCGGGTCCAACTATCGGTGTGACACTCTCATCCTTCGGTGCGGACGTTATTAGAGTCAACTGTAGTAAATTGCCGGATCTCAACGTAAGAATCTCTTATTCCATTTGTTTATCAGGCCGGAAAGCTGATGTCTAAAATAGGTGCTTCAACTTGTCCTAAATGCTGGAAAGCGTACCATTGATCTCGACGTTAACAGCCCCGAGGATATGGCCCGTCTTCGCGAGCTCATTGCAGATGTAGACATATTCGTGCAAGGATTTCGCTACGGATCGTTGGACAGAAAGGGTCTCGGGCTCCAAAACATGTTAGAGTTGGCTGCGAATCGAGGCAAAGGCATTGTTTATGTGGATGAAAACTGCTATGGTCCGGATGGCCCCTTTGCTGAACGCCCGGGTTGGCAGCAAATTGGTGATGCTGCTTCGGGCTCATCCTATATTATGGGCAGATCGCTGGGATATGCGGATGAGAAATGCGTCCTACCCCCTTTACCCGTGTCGGACATGACTACTGGTCTTGTGGGTGCACTGGCGGCCATGCTTGCTATTCGCGACCGAGCAGTCAAAGGAGGCTCGTACCACGTCATTAGCTCCTTGGTTGCTGCAGACAACATAGCACTAGAGGAAGAGGTCGGATTGTACCCACTGGACGTGGTTCATAAGACAGCCGAAAAATTTGGTTTTGCGCCTTCAACTCCAGATCAGTTTGTTACCGAAATTCTGTTCCAAGTTATTAGTGGATGGAAAAAAGGCCGACCAGGCTATCTTGATGAGGACTCGCCTTTAATGACCACATTTGAGCAAGGACCGTGGGGACGCCAGACCTTGCTGAAGCCAGTCGTCAGGCTTGGTGATGAGACAGTCACGCCCCGGTGGACCAGCCCGTCTGTGCCCAATTGTTACCACGACAGGGACATCAGCTGGCATTAGGTGGTCCAGGGAGACTATTTCGCAAGCAATCCTGGGTTTCGTATAATTAGAATAAATTAAATAAGAAGGCTCCTCTTATTGTACGTGTGCAGATTAGAAATTAATGTTTCCATAAGAGTCCGGCTAGATTGTTCGTAGGAATATGCCTATAATGCTTGCTCATTGTTAGTATTCTCGTCCGAGCCAGTCGTCATATCTCCCCAATTCCAGAAGGGAGGAATAGGCCATTGAAGATTCATGGCCAGGTCGAAAGTTGGATCCACCGTGGACATGTCATAGTTTTGCGAAATAGCACTTCTCGTCAAATCCATACCTTCCGACTGGGGTGTGGCGAAATTCATATGGAAAGGCATGGTCAAATTGCTCACTGAGCCGCCGGGCTCTTTCATAGAATTATTGATATTCTCCATCGGTTGCCGAGAGAGGTCTTGAGCGGCTTGACTTGAGGCCTTCTTAGCAGCACTCTCTAGCTCCGAGCACAGGCTAAGTATATAATCAACATATGTGCCTGGATCTTCAGATGAGATTCGGGAAAGAAATTTTATCGTTTCATGAGCCATAGCAAGATCAGACGCAGCATGTTGATGGAATGGGTTTGCTAGCAAGTGCGACGACAAGATCACAGATGCGGCGGCTGGGAAGTAGAGAACACCCCTTGAAATGGTTAGCCCAAGACAATAACAACTTCAAGTGATTTCCCCAAGGGACATACCATGCAAAAGAAGGCCCGAATAGATTTACATGTTTTATCAGTCTAACCGCAGATCTCGCCGATTCAAGTGATCTAACCAGTGTATCATTGACTTGTCCATCCAAAGCTGCATAGTCTTCTAGGTCCTCTGGAGCTTGGGCCATTGGTCTTCGAACAAGTATGCAGACTTGGTAAAGCTTGGCATAACAACAATGGTATGCAAAGTCCAATCTCAGGACATGCTGGAGATGATAATGGGGAGCATTAGAAAACGCTAGCTCCGGCACATAGTGTTTTTCAAAAGAAATTCTCCATTCGAGAAGCGCCTCTTGGCAATTCTTTAGTTCCCCGATCAGATCTCTAGTGATCTTCGTCTGAACACTGGTGGTATAAAGATGACTGTATACCTGGTGTTGAATCAATGCAAAGCGCGCCAGCAGATGGAAGTAGCCAAGGCGTGCACCCTGGACATCTACAACCCCTATCCCATCATGAGGAGATTCAGATGGTAGCGGCGTATCGAAATCGTTTGCATCCTGCACCGGTGGTCGGCCAGTTCGATGAGAGATATCTGCATCTAAGATGAATGCTATCCAGAAAGTTCTTCTCCGTTCCTCTATTTCGGATGGAGATAGTCCGAATGTCTGGTTGCGATGCAACCCAACAGAGTGTGAAAGACGCATTCCCGCTGCGGCGAACATAAAAAGCGGCTGCGGGTTTGGTGTGTTCTGAAAGAGGATTGCTAACCCCAACATTGCTTGGACAGCAAGTAGATCAGCAGCACGCATGAAAAGTTCCACAACGACGTTCAAAGCATTCCTAATGTGTCCCATAGACTTCTGCCATTCGTCACTACCATCTGGTAGCTGTTGAGCCCTTTCCCTGTACGCGGATGCAAGAATGACATTCAAGGAAGCCCACCATGAAGGACTTTCGTCAGGGTTCCAACCAAATTGTTTGTCCACTAATCTCATCACCGTGCCCTCATGAAACAGTGGCATGACTCTATTGAATGCGCTAAAGTATTCACCAACTAGTTGTACTGTCGTTGATTTAGACGGCAACGGCTGAGAAACGCGTTGTCCCAAGTCGCCCTGTAGTATGCGAGGGTACCAACTGGATAACTGCCATCGGGGTGCAGTTCTTTGGCTAGCAGATCTCCACGCTCCCGAGCGTGTTTCCCCCTCTAGCCATTTCATGCCTTGGGGAGAAGCGATCGAAAACCCAGAAGAAGCACCTTCGATGGAATCAACCAGAATTCACTTCAATACATAAGACCATGCTTACCGAAATATCGCATCCTTGCACCTTCAGCGTTGATAACATACGGAGCCCTATTGGCTTCACTGTCGGTATTCGATTGAATGTTGTCTTCGTCCGGCTGAGATTTTGACGGCGAGCTAAGATAGGACTGATTTTCTACATCATTCGAACCAGAATTAATGTTGGTACTGATTCTTGCAGTCGTTAAAGGTGGAATGGAGGCGTCTATTTTGTTTGGTGAATCAGACTCGGTTCTTGACGCATGCGTAGGTCGCTCTTGCAACTGCACTTCCATATCTTGGACGCGCCTTTCGAGCTCTTCGACATACGCTCTGGACCATGAGTATATTAGAGGTAGAGTTGACTAATTGGTGAGCAAAATGGCGTTTGAACACACCGGCTAGTTCGACTTGAGGGCCTCAGGACATCCTGGAAAGCGCAAGGCAAGTTGAAAGCCTTGCAAGGTGAACAGATAGGACGCTTGCCATCACATTTCGTTTTTTTACGTCGACAGGTCGTACAGGCCTAGGTAGACCATTGCAGTAAGCATCTTCATTCTGCATACTGGAGCAATGCGAGTGTACAGATGGGATCTCCAGGGGCTAATCAAGGCTCACTTTCGCACGCCGTACGGTAGTAGTACCAGGGCTCCGTGATTTATTCATGATATCTTATTCATGCATCTGTATAAATTGAATTTGTCAAATTAAATACTCGAGGGAATCGTTGAATGTACGGAATGGTGAAGAAGTGGTCGCCATGGAATGAATGGAGACGGCTGTCGGATATTGGACAGACTCAGCCGAGGCTCAATGCCTCAGGCAAAAAGTGACACGGAATCTCGGTCTAGACCCAAGAGGGTTACCGCGGGTTGTCAGCCCCACATTGACAGCGGAGTATTATTCACCGCCTACCGCTTCAAGGGTCTGAGCATCAACCCACAAAGAAACTTGTTGACAACTAGTTCTTGCTTGTTTGTTCGTTTTGCGCCTTGTGGCTCCTCCTGTGACATCGCTCGCGGTCATAAACTAGTCCTCTACTCCCTGTAACTCCCTTATTTACCATATTGCATGGAACTGGACTGTAATGCTCTCTACCGTGAGTGCAGCCGCTCTATTTTTGCTGGTCGCTTCCACTATTGTGTCCATACCTCGATATCGTTCGGTTTAGATAACGGAGAACAATATGCTTGGTGACACTGAGATCCAGGCCCTAGATAGTCAACTGGCTACTGTTCTGCACGATAACCAGCAGCATCATGAGAAACTTCAGAACCTCTTGCAGCGGTTTCACCTGTTGTTGGACAACTACACCCAATTGAAAAGCGACTATGAGGAGGAGAAGGCGGCTCGAGAGAGGTACAAAAAACAAGCAAGGGGACAAGTATGTAATTACTCTTAATCTGCTGTCATAGAGACAACCCGCATATGCAGAGACTATGTCTAATACCAAGCTAGGAACGTAACCCGTTTGTGCTGGTGCTGGTGGATGGCGATGGTTATCTTGTTAGCTGTACCCTTCGAGCCGTATTGACTAGGAGTGCTAATAAGGGCAGTTCAAAGATCATCTCATCAAGGCCGGGGCAGAAGGAGGTATCATTGCAGCTCGACTTTTAAGCGACTCTATCAGAGAACTCCTTAGCGATCAACCAGGGAGCCAGGCAGATCAATGCCGGATCATGGTTCGAATATACTCTAACGTCTTAGGACTTTCAAAGATTTTGGCGCGTGGTGGTCTAGTTGGTAATGAGGCACGTTCTTTGTCACCATTCGCCGCCAGTTTCACTCGCTCCCAGGATCTGTTCGATTACATCGACGCGGGTGATAAGAAAGAAGGCGCAGACTATAAAATTAGAGGTACGGTTGAAGACAACTGTCCTGCTGCCAGCTTACTAAAAATATATAGAAATATTTCGCCTGTTTGCAGATAACAATCAATGCAAGCATATCTTCTTTGCTGGATGTCACGATGCTGGCTACCTCTCCTTACTGACCCCTTACCGGGGTAAGGCTGATCGTATTACCCTAATCAAAGCCGCCTCGTTCCATCCTGAGTATGATAGGTTGAACTTGCCCGTGAGGGAGATTCCAGCAGTCTTCACATCCACCCCTGTCTCTCCCCCCATCAGTGGAGATCATGTCGTCGCTGCTACTAGACCGGTCTGTAAACATTTCCAAAAGGTACCAACCCAGCAGAGTCATTCAGCGAAAGCTACCTAACTAGACACGTAGGGCATCTGCCGATTTGGCAAGGAATGCAATAAACTTCACGCTATGCCAAATCAACAATTCTCTAAAAATCTAGATGATACCCCGGCACAATCATGGAGTCCTGTTATCAAAGTCCGAGATCAGGAATTCTACGCCAAGTTTCTCCCCAGAGTGAGCTCAAAATCTCAAGAATTCATTTCACTCAACAAGGATGGAGAGCGAATTGACACCTACTGTCCCATGCCACCACCAGAGGAATGGGAGATTTATTATCGACGTGCCAAAAGACATAAACTCTGCAACAAATACCATCTTGGAGGAGAATGTGGGAATCTTAATTGCGAGTTTGATCACAGCCCGATAGAATCGGCTTGTCTCAATGTGATGATGTATATCATGCGGCAGCACCTATGTTCGAGGGGTGCCAGCTGCCGTTCGATTAAATGCTACCTTGGTCACATGTGCCAAAAGGAAAGCTGCAAGGGCACTAAACCTTGCAAATTCGGTCGTCAGGCCCATGTAGTTAGTCTACAATGGGGGCAGTGGGCCATACCAATTGAACATGAAGAAAACTCACCCGTTAGTGAAAGCCTTTCGGAGGCAAACTCGGACCCGAACAACACCTTCTCATATCTTATGCGAGATGCGATCTAGTAAGCCGTAGTGCTCAACTTAGATCCATGCCCGATATGTAAACAAGGTCAACCAAGCCCTTTTTTACTCAAACTACGCCACGTGTCCACGTGCCACCCCTATCTTGAATCAGAGACAACTGAAAACTATTTACGGAATCTATTGGAAATCTATCTGGATCATGGGATACGCGGAGGGGACACATTGCCGCCATATTGCTGACACTTAACATCAAAGGTAGCTTGGGTTCTGCTTTCTTTTCTACGATATCTCTTACCACGAGAAGTCTATACTGCAGAACGATTTAAGACAGTGCTTACTCTCCAGACCGCTGGGAGTAATCTTACTGATCGTGTCAGTATTGTTCTTATCATGTTGCATTTTCCTCTCCTTCTTGAGCAATATCAGTAGTTATTGGCGAATGCAGATAACGTGGGTTACTACTGGCTTTGTACCACATAAATCGTATGCACCGGCTACCATCTGCTCTAATCTTTCGTGTATACTACATCCGAGGTAGTCGTGATCCTGGTCCCTGAAGCTGAAGGAATTCAACATATAGAGAAGGCCGCGAAAGCGTAGCATGAGAACGATAGAAGTGACTAAGTCGACCACTGCAGCAGTAGCACTCATCGCACCAAGTCATCACAAAGATGAATATCGGAATCGGCCATCACCAAATCATAGACTAAAATGGCCTGTATGTTCTAAGTATCTATCCTACGATAAGTGTTGATCCACAAATAGTTGCCTTAATTCGGATGATATGGCTCACTAGCTGTATGGAAGGATGGGCATTCTCATACACCCTTGATGTTAAGCAAACTGATGACCATAAGCTTCATATCCTGGCACAAATTGACGCTATTTGTCCAATCTTACATTCCATCTCCGTATATGGTGTCTTTTCCCCTGTGTCAGACTATGAAATAGAAGGGCCCCGATAAAGTTTCCTGCATCCAACTTTCCTTCCGGCACAGGATTGCTTCTCCACCTTTGCGGAATTCTTCCGTACTAGATAAGGGTATCGAAGGCCAATGATCGAACACCATACATGGGTAATATGTCTCCGGTAAGAGGTAGACCGTCCTCGCATGCGTAAAGCTGTCTATCTAGCCTCCTTGCCTCTGGTCGGTACCATATGACATGTAGTCAAAACCTATCGTATATCAATATCTGATCTCCCTGGAAATGACATATTTCCATGGGGCTTGACCCTCACATAAAGATTCCTTGTCACTTACAATACCCAATCAAATAGATAAGATATAGATCATCCCATTGATCATGTCGCCTCAAACTGCCGACCCATCCTGGCCACCTGGGACCGTTCAGATCGAAGGTGATATTTACTACAGCTCAATGATAAAGACGACGTACCTGAAGTTAATGCCATTCAGGGTTTCCACAAAATGACCAAGAAACCGAAATCATTCTGCAACCGGCACCTAGCCATGATCCTAACGACCCCTTGGTAAGTCGCATTGAAATTCCGATTACCAGGGCTAAACTGAACAAAGTCTCGCAGAACTGGCCACTATGGCGTAAACACCTGAACTTTGGATTAGTCTGCTACTATGTTATAATGGTTTTCGCAATGTAAGTAACTTTGTCTAACATCCTTCGAATCTAGCACTCAAAACTGAACGATCAGACTCGACGTAGCCACAGTAACCTGGGGCCCGCTGAATGTGGAGCTGGGCTTCAGCTTTGAGCTTCTAAATGATAGCTACGCAGCGGGATGCGGATCTCTGTGTGTTGGTGGCGTAATCCTGATTCCCTTCGCCTTGAAGTACGGTCGACGACCTGTCTACGTCCTCAGCACTATCGCTCAGATCGGGTTCAGCGTTTGGTTTGCCAAAACGCAGACGGTCGCTGATCTCATGTTGACGAGTATTTTGAGCAACGCGGTTGGGGCTCTCGCAGAGGTGCTCGTACAGATGACTATAGCTGATGTGTACTTCGTGCACCAGCGGGGATTAATGAACAGTATTTACGTCTGGTTCATGACGTTAGGGACCACACTATCCCCATTGGCCGGTGGGTATATTGTCACCTTCCAAGGTTGGCGTTGGGTTTGGTGGTGGATGGTTATTCTGACGGGTGTCGGATTCATTGCCTTTGTCTTTCTCTATGAAGAAACGAAGTTTTCTACCCCAACCCTCCAGGGTGTACCCCATATTGTGTCCCGTGCTGAGACCAAGCAACCCTCCAAGCATGAAGGAAAATGTTCGCAAACTGAACCACAAACGGAGGTCGGTATAACACTGAAAGACACAGAGGCTCAAAAGTCTTATATAACCAACTGGATCGATAGCTCAATCCCCAAGAAGACCTTCTGGCAAAAGTTGACACTCTGGTCAATATCTCCAGGATCTTTCTCTAGCATGGCCCGACACAGCTTTGAACCTTTTATTCTCCTGTTTACTACTCCAGCTATCTTCTTCATGTCTCTTCTTTACGGAGCCATGACGGCCGCCGTGACTGTCCCTGTCACTACCCTCTCGTCGTATATGACGATGGCCCCGTATAATTTTAACGCCTCGCAGATCGGTCTCATGGGGCTACCACCCTGTATCGGCACCAGCCTAGCGGTTCTAATATCTGGCCGACTTAGCGACTCATTCGTTCTATACATGGCGAAAAGGAACCGGGGCATCTACGAACCTGAAATGCGACTCTGGGTTGCAGTGGCCTTCATCCCATTTGTCCCAGCCGGTCTTTTCATGTTCGGAATTGGACTGAACAACGGATCCCCCTGGCCGTTAGTTGCGGTTGGACTAGGCGTCGCCACGTTCGGAACCATTCCCGCGAATAGCGTCGCCTTAACGTATCTCACAGATGCATATACGGATGTAAGCTGATACTGTATGGGAATACGATCAAGCATGATGGGGCTAACCAGGTATTCTACGATAGGTAATTGCAGGCTCCCTCGTTGGAGTGACGTTCATTCGCAACCTCATCTCGACGATTTTCGTCTTCGCGCTTTCCCCCTGGATTGCGAACGTAGGGTTAACTTATGTTTACGTGACTTTCGGTCTTATTCTTACAGTAATCCTACTGGGTAACTTGATCTTCATCTACTTCGGAAAGAGGTTCCGGGTGATGACGGCGGAGAGATATCGGTATTATGCTCAGCGTCAGATGGATCTAAGGAGGTAGCTAGGGATGTTTAGACGAGCTCTATCATAGCATCAAATCTACATTGCTATTCATATCTACTACTTGCGAAGCGGTGCACAAACTGTTGAGGTACCATATATAGCAAGGACATATTCCGACACGTACCTTTGAGCACAGACGTCAGTAGTAACTTCAGCCATTTCAATGATGAAACAACGACTCAACCCCAAATGCTACCTTCTCCTCCCTATCAAGTCTACTGCCCGGAATGATTCCACGTACCTTATCAAGAAGTATTCCGCAGCACCGAGCCACCAATACGACCTCGGAAAAGCCAACAAGTAAGATCATCTCCCTAATCAATCAAGGTTCACAGGATCATCGGATAAGATTACATACATCGCCAAGCGCGGAATCACCGCCCCTACAACGAACAAAAAAAAAAAAAAAAAAAAAAAAAAAAAAAAAAAAAGCCCATATACAAACTCACCCTCTACACAAAAACCAAACCCAACAACATCCAAGTTGCAAGCAAGCATGTACAAAATCGCCCTAATCCAGCTCTCCCCAGAGGTAACCCCCACATCCCACCTACCCTACCTATCTTCCATATCCCCACTAACCAACCACCCAGCCCCATAGCCTAACCACCAACCACGAGCGAGCAACAACCTACATCCGCGCCGCCGCAGCCTCAGGTGCCCACCTCGCCATCCTCCCCGAATTCCACCTCGCAGACTTCCACCCAACCCACGACCCCTCCATCCGCAACCGCTGCACAGACTACAAAACCTACCTCTCCGCCTATAGCGCCCTCGCAAAGGAACTAAACATCAACATCGTCCCCGGCACCCTCGCCGAACTCCACACCGACAGCCTCACCGGCACTCAAAAACTCCTGAACGTAGCCTATTTCATCTCTTCAACGGGGGAGATCCTGCACCGCTACGAGAAAAAGAACATCTGGATTCCCGAGCGGGAATTCGTGGACCGCGGCGACACGGGCCGCCATATCGCATTCAATACACCGCTGGGAAAGGTTGGGTTGCTTATATGCTGGGATTTGGCGTTTCCGGAGGCGTTCCGGGAGTTGGTGATGCAGGGGGCGAGAATGGTGATTGTTCCTGCGTATTGGAAGTTGAGTGATGCTGGGGCTGTGGGGATGGGGAGGAATCCTGAGAGTGAGAAGGTGTTTGTTGATGCGGCGGTTGTGAGTCGGGCATTTGAGAATACTTGTGCGGTTGTGTTTTGTAATGTCGGGGGGGCTAGGCAGGAGGGGTTTGCGGGGTGTTCGCAGGTTGCGGTGCCGTTTTTGGGTTGTGTGGGGAGGGTGGAGGGGCCCGAGGAGGGGATGAAGATTGTGGAGGTTGATATGGGGGTTTTGGATGAGGCGGAGGGGGTTTATAGGGTGCGCGAGGATTTGGCGAGGGAGGATTGGCATTATGGATATTGTCGGTGACGGTCTGGTGGTATTATTATTACTGTTGTTGCTGTTGTTGTGGGTTCTGACTGAGGAGAGAGGTGGGTATATAGTACATCAATGTGGAATGGTGGGAATGTCTCAGTGGCTACAGGCCAGCTTCTTTTCGGAATGCGATGTTTGATAGGATCCATCCTTCTCCGCTGACTCCTTGTCCTGTATGAGGTTGTCCGTTTCCGCTGGCTAGATCTGTTAAGAAACGTCCAAGGTCCTTCGTTGGCGAAACACCCTTGGAATAGAACTGTCTTACCATGGGCCCTACGGTTCCTAGGAGCAATCGATTACTTGCGGCGCTATAATGTGGCCGCTTCATGGCAGCAGCCAGAGTCTGGGGATCTTGAGCTGCATCAACGAAGCCAGGCCTGACAGAGTATGGCTTCAGACTTGGGTACTTCTTGGACAAGGCGATCAGTGCTGATTCACATTCGCCTTTTACACGACCGAAAAATGGCGTGAACCTTCCTGGCTCTTGTGTTGCCTGGTATTGAGTTAGCCTGTTGTATTAAACACAGAAAGTTCAAACGACGTTGACATACTCCTTCACCGGAAACATATACAAAATTAAAGGAATCCGATAATCCTGAAAATGCCTTCGCCGCGGCTAGCGGATAATCCACTGTGATCTTGACATATTCCCTATCCCACGCTGTTAATATCCTCCCCCTTTAAGGAATTTGGGATTTTAGATGCGAAGGATAGGCTGCACTTACTCCTTTGATACCTGTGTTTGAGAAATACCCAACGCCCAAATACAGCCATCGGCTCCTTTTAACTTCTCCAACAGCTGAGGGCTATATTCGTTGAAGTCTTTGTGCTCAATCACAGTAACATCGGGCCGACCATCGGCGATCGGAACCGGCTTCCGGCTCAAGATATACAGTTGGGAAATTTGCCCCGCTGGGAGAGAAAGGATATGGTTGAGAGCGGCCGATCCGACCAGGCCGGTAGCACCGGTGAGAATGAGGTTCATGTTGTAAATAACGTATTATAAGTGATTTAAGGTTTCCAAGGGAAAATACAAGGAGAATTAGGGAAAGAGATGCCTTTGCCGACATGAATATTTGGGATTGAGGCTACTTATATGTACTCTGTACAGTTAGGGCTTACTTCGTAATTAAGCTGATAACCTTAAGTCCGTTGCGATGCGATGCTGACACGGAGTTAAACCCAAGGCTCACAATCCATGACGACTTGCTCTTCTCCGATTCTTCTGGTTCGACCGGTCGGAGCTAGGTTAAGTTAACCGCATCTGTGTGTTTTCGTCTTGAACCGATCCTTATCCCTCTGACCTTAAGCTTCGACGGGGATCCAGATGTCACACTGCGATCTTTAAAGCGATAAAGTTTTTTGCGTTCAGTCAAATGGACAATCCTACTATACTGAGTGTGTATGGCTCTATTTTCCTGTAAATTTCTAATGTAAGGCCTAGAGCACATAAACCCTGATAGAATGTGGGCGCACTAAAAGATCTTCAACATGCCATTAATCTTAAACTAACCTCACCCAATATAAACTAATACAATTTCAGGTTTAGATCCAGAAAATACCGGTACGAGATGTTCTGTAGCCATTCAACTTATTCCCAGGGGAAACAAGGAAAGACTCCAGCTACTCATCGGGCCTGTCAACACTAAATGGATCCCCATTACTACAGGACGAGGATTAGAGATGACGACGTCAATAAATCCTACCTCTAATACATGAAACATTATTATAACAATCTTCTATAACGCAAACGTCTCTCCCTTAGTCCTAGACCCCATATACAGAGCACTCAACTCGCATCTCAATACAACCCAGGCACCAACCTCCACCTCACCCTCTGACAATAAGTCTCCCAAGCCTCCCCATACTTCCCAGTACACTTCTTCTCATCCCTAACACACCTATACGCCAGGAACGCAGTCGCAAAGGCCCCCTCACTCCACGGCAGCAAAGCGCCAGTCCCACACAGTCCACACATCGCGTACGTCACTATCAAAATCCCCAGATAATCAGGATGCCGAATATGACCCCACATTCCTAGACCAGTCATTAGAACAGACTCCCAAACCATTCCAGTTTATAAGGGGGAAATTGGTAACCATACCACTGCAAAACAAAAGCGACTCCCTCTCCACCCCATCAGTGGTAACATATGAAGCACGGATAAACTTGGCCTTCCTCCCTGCCACACTATGTTTGCCATTTGTGTCTTGGACGATGTTCTTTTGTTCCATGGCAGTGTAGTAGATGATAAATCCGACGACTCCGAAGAGGAATATTAAGATGGTGAGATGGGTTGGCAGTTCAACAGGGTTAAGGGCGAGGTACTGCGTCTGGAGGGTGTATATTGTTGGGAAGAATACGCTGGAGCCCCAGGTGAAGTAAAATCCAAAGGGCTCGTCGCAGACGTCCATGCTGTGGAGGTACCTGGTTATGTGAGTGTGGTTGGGTTTGATAAAAATTTCTCGGGGAAGAGGGGAGGGCCTTACCATTCTTCGTTTGCGAAGAAGTGTACGATTAGTAGACCGCGGAGAAATATTACACATATCATGGTGTTTGTGATGTATGTGTGGGTTTCATATTGGAGGGCTGCGAAGGATATGTCTCTGGGAGGTAAATGTTAGAACTTGGCATATGGTTAAAGGTGGTGGTGTTCTTGCATCATTGCGAGTGTGGTCATTGTCCAGCGTGCGTTGTGGAAAATTTTGAGGTCCCATGCTGTGCCGAATCGGGGATGGAGTTCGATGCCGCGCCAGATGTCGTAAATGTATGAGCCTGTCGGTAGATGTTAGGATCCCTCCGCGACACTTATAACTTTGGATGTCAACAGGTGTTAAATAACTTACCATTACTTCTTGTGTCAAATCGATATGAAGGGGCAATACGCCCCTTGAGGAACGCTGCTCCTGTAAGCAGCCATGCGAACACGTTCAATGCCAAGATTATTTCTTTCCAGTTCCTGGCTATGAAGGAAAGCTCAACCTGCCTGAGTGCTACTGCGGCTAAGAACGTAACGAAAGAGGATGTAAAAAACGAGAGACCATTCATTGTGTAGGGTAATGTGTGCCCTGATGGTGTAGGTTGGCCAGCACATATCCTGCCAGGTAGTAGAGCATACAGAACTGCCTCGAAGAATATCCACTTTGCAAAAGTGACGCCGGTACTATGAGAAGATAGAGAATACCAACTTAATGATTCCTTAGGGTCAGCGACAAAATGCGTGAAGGATAGCTGAAGAGATCCGTTGTAGTCGGTTATAGCCGTCCACCAAATGGAGGTCAGAGGAGTGGCCGAGAGCATAAGTACCAGGTAGCATGTCGAACTAGCCACAGAACGCATCCGATGCTGGAGGTCGTAGGCCGACGAAGCGTTATTCTGCATGCTGTACAATATCTCCTCTGCGATCCACCGGAGAAGGGAAATTACCAGATGAACAAGGAGGATAATGACGATTCTCCAAGGCGTCGATTGGAAAAATCGTCTGTTACGGCTCAATAGATACACAAAGTAGTATGAAGTAGTCAATACATTGAATAGAAGTCGCCGAAGCAGCATTTACTGTCATCCAGCTTTGAGTTTGCTACCTGGGCTCCAGTGGGATATTATAGAAAGCAGAGCCATTGCTTCTGGATGAAGTGTGCTGTGCCTATGATGTGATATCCACGTTGTATGCTACATTGCAGGAAGTGACGAGAGCTTGCATGGGTATACGCATGTATACCCATTCTCATCCACTAGCTGCATTACAACTCGGTCCTTGCGTCCCCAAGCCATTTTGTTTACGTTTCTAGGTGGCAAATGATGCCTACGACTTGAATCATAAGCCTTGGCCAAGTTCCTGTTCATATTACACAAATTAATTAGGGCATAATACGTGTCATTCAGAGACACTCTGGCTATGTTATTGGCGATCTAGACCTCCAAGGAGAGCGTGAGATTATACTCCAGGGTAATCGAAGCGGCGGTGTGAAGCTACATATCCTTCCTTCGGTGTTTCTCTCTCCTCATGGCCCTTCGGAGTTAAGCATCAGTCTCAAATGTGGTTCAGCATCTATATTCAGGGAATAGTATGCGCCTTCTATACAAAAATATGACTAGCGAGGAACTTTAATCCGCCAACGCCTCAATAATTAAATTCAAATCCCCCTCGATCCCAACTGCTAAATTACGCTCTTCTAAATCCCAAGGCGCACACCCAGAGGCCCCAATTCCTGCCCTAATCAGCCAAAAACCAGGTTCTGAAGAGCCTTCCACCAGCTCTTCATTCGGCCACCTCAGCACGGCTGGCGTATTAAGTCCTACGCCCAGCTCAAGAATGACAGCCTTCTTCCCACCCATGCTCTTAGAAACATTTGCCAAATATTCCTTCCATTTACGCTCCTGCCCGTGAAACGGCGTAGAGTTAAAATAATCCCCACCACGTACACAAAGTGTCAATTCCCCTCCACAATATCCACATCGAGGTATCTTGGTCTCATCGGTAAGAACCTGAGTCTCCGGGTCGATAAAAGGCAACGCAGCGTCGACAAACGGATCAGAAGGAAACACGGCATCCGGTCTGCATTTGGCAAAGCATTGTAGGAACCGATATTGGCCTTGTGGTGTTGACACTTTCTCAGCGGGGAATCCGTTCGCAACGAATTGTCCATCCGCATTAGAGGTGCGGATGAAGTACCTATCGTCGAATCGGGCCGCGAGTTTACGCAGAGAGTCGTAAAGCTGCGATGCGGGCCAGTCTCGAACCATATTTAGATGGAGAAAGTAGTAACCCCATTTTTGGTTGATGCTGTCCCATCCGTTGAATCCGAATACGTCGTACAGCCGTCCCAGGCCGAGATGGAGGAAGCCTGGGAAGTGTTTCTGGAAAAGAGATGTGGAGGTGTAGTCGAGGCCGATGGCTGCGGATAGTCCAGCACCGGCAGAGATGATCAGGTAGTCCGCTTCTTGGAGCCAGGTTCGCGCCTTGGTTATGGTAGGAGTAATGAGTGCTTTTGGTGGGTTTGGTGTGCTCGTTGGGAAGGTTATCTCGAGGTTTGTGGAAGCAAGGGTGGATCTCAGTTCGGAAATATTTTCCTTGTACAATTCAAAGTCTCGCTCCAGGAACGTGTCGAAGATAATATCGGTTACCGTTGTCGACGGGTGATCCAAGCACCATTGTACCACTGTCTCCAACGCAATTCTAGCGGCCACTTCTGGCGGGAAGGCAAACAGCCCTGTTGAGATACAACAGAGGGCCACAACCTTACGACCATTTGAAAGAGCAGGGAGAGACTCTGTGACCTCGAGGCACGACCTATAACAATTTGCTAGTTGCTGCTGCTGTAGCACCCCGGGGCGCTTCTTCGAGTTAACCTGTGGGCCAACCGTGTGTAATACCCATGGTGCTCGCAGATTGAACCCTGGTGTTACCTTCACAGATCCCACCGACTCAGGGTGTCCTTGCTTAAGCATGAGAGAGTTGCATGCAGCTCTGAGTCGTGGACCGGCAACGGAGTGGATGATATTGTCAATACAGCGGTGATCCGGACGAAAGCATCCGAGCAATTGGGAATTCGCAGCGTTGACGATCGCCGTGACATCAGTTAGAGATGTTATGTCGCCTCTCCACAGAGATATATTGATCACATTGGAGCCTGGCTGCTTCTCGGCTCTCCCTCCACTCGATTTAAATATAATACTAGGAGTAATTTCTGTCGACGATATCTGGATTGCTTTATCGTTTCTGTTCATGATCACTGCGTCAATGTCGTCGAGGACTTCTGATGGTAGCTCAGGAATTGGCGGCCGCTGGCACAGTAGTCGCCTCATTAGTTCCAATTGTGACCATGTCTCCATCTGGGAAACAGAATCAGGGTTCATATGATGCAAGCATTTATGGCAGGATGATGGTTGCGAAACATAACCGTGGGCCTCCTGTATGAGATACTGCAGTGCTCTAATGAGTCGCGACATCGTTGAGTAGGCTCCTCGAAGGTATTCAAACTTGAAATCTTAAATATAACTTGTTCTCTCGTGTAGTAGTCTGCAAGAGAAGTGCCAGAAGAGCTATCTGCACGGCAACGGCTGATCTATGTGATCTTTGCATACCAATGCCAAGGATCTGCTATAGACTTATTGTACAAAGATTCTGAAATGATCCAAAAACAAAAAAAAAAAAAAATAGAACTACAGGTTAACATAGTAAAAGGAGAAACCTATAAATATTTACCCTCTAAGACTCCTCATACCACAGTTTGTAAGCCTTACTAACTATGCGGAATTATGGGATACCCAGTCTGGGCCAATCAGGGGTGTGAATCACCCACTATGCAAACAGATCAACCTCCAATATCCACATAACCGTCTCTTTGGTCAGCAGACCCACCCGCCCTTCGGCTGTATAAAGACCATTTGCATAGTTTGACCTGTTTGCAACTGCTTTCTTCACGTAAATGCATCCTGTAGAAGCGTTTCTTCAAGTCCAGGTGACAGTATAGGTGTGTGGGGTCAGCGAGAGAATTGGTTTCACTTACGAGGTCGGGTGCTATGCAGATTCCGGAAGTAGCACATGCCGGGGAGGATAAGAGGGGGTTTAGTTGGGGAAGTATAAAGGGCGGGTGAAGCGGGTGATGTCGAGGGATTCAGCGGCTCATTTGAGTTCTCTAATAGGGGAGGGGAAGATTAATCATTAGGCTGAGGGTTGGGGCGTGACACTAGTAAGTAATAAGAAGGCCTTTATTGCCGGCGAGAGGGCAACGAGGTAGCTTCTAGTTGAGAAAAGATACATTCCTAGGAACCGAGGTCCGGGCATAGAATTGCACCGAAGGCACACATAAAATGACAAGTATAATCACAGTTGACTACGAAAGAAAAGGTACATACATATACAGCCTCAGTTAAACAAGGCACATTTCTAATGCTTATATGTAGACCCAATGTCTCCCCACCGAATGTTGGAGAATTTCACATGAGTGTCCGGATGCAACTTCTCAATCAACGCTGGGTCACCCTCGGTGTCACTGCACGGCCCTGCATTGCCACTGTCAAGCCAGTGCATGAACGAACCTTTATCGTTCCAGACGCTTAATGCAAGAACCATGCCGCGACCCAGGGCCTGGCCCATTTCCTCGAGACCACCAAGACGATTGAAGGCACTCCCTGAGTCACTGCAGAAGTCCTTGGTGATCGAATCAACTGTTTTGCCTCCGGCTGTCACAGCAGCGTTTTGGATGACTTTGCCGTTCTGAATATAGAGGCGCCGGATTTCGTTGAGCTGGCCTGCAGTTGTATTGTCAGTTGTCAAAAATTGGGTGACAACGGTAAATGTCTCATTGGTGTTGACTTTAAGTCCGTGACCGTAGTAATCCTTTGCACCGAGACCATATGGGTTGAAGCCGCAGCCAGCCTTATCGCAGACGCCAGAATTTCCGCAGCCAGAGCCGCTGCACTCGTACAAACCGGTCGTGTTGCAAGGGTGCGGTGTAAGCCCAGTGGCTCGTGCGTTGGCTTCCCAAATGTCCATTTCCTGGCAGCAGGAGCCAACACCATCAGTGTTGCCTTCGCCATTGATCCAAGGTGTGGTGTAACATTGGGCGTCACAGTAGCCGGTTCCATATTTGGCTCCGGCTTGGTTCAGGGAGCTCTTTCCACCGGAGGCCTCCATTTCAGAGAGATATAAGGCCCCATTCATGCCACAGACAAGAGTGGAGGCGTCTACATCGAAGGTGAATTCCTGGTTTAGAAGCTTTAGCATGGAATAGTTCTCTCCGTCCTCCGCGAGCAGGTAAACGCGAGGGGACAAGGATTTTATGCTATCGCCGGTGCCCAGGTACTGGTGAAGAGTCAATGTGTCATCCTCTGTCTGGACACCGTAGTTGCTGTAGTCTGTGATGCCATCGAGGACACAGTTGTCGGCACAAGTTTGTTTATCCGGGCAGATGGTGGTATCTAGGCCGTTGCTATTGGTGCAAGAAGTTTCGGTTCCCTTTTTATGGATGAAGTGAGTTGCTGCGTCTAGAACGACCGAGGTATCTTGTTTTGTACAGCCACCTTGGGACGTGCATTTATAGGTGGTGAGTTTAGGATGCACTTCTTCTGTTGTTCCCACCTGTTGGGCTGTTATCAAGGGCAGAAGTACCACGAAAGGCGCGAGTTTCCGGATCATGCTGATTATCCTGTCGGCTGCTATGTAGAAAGGGTGCGTACTTTCTTTTCCACCCGGAGTGTCGCCTTTATTTATACATCTTGCTCAGCCAGGATCTAGACTTGTAGAAGTTTCAAAGTACCGGATATGAGCCAGTGATCAATCCGGGCCGACGGTCCGATTTGATTCATACAGCCTCTATTTTTCCGGTTGTTTCAACTCTATTATGATCTAGTTTTAGTTATATTATGATCAGCCGGGGCGAAGGATGGGCGTCAGCATTGTTGTCAGACTTAAGCTTATGAAGGGGTGTGATCAACATCTCCACAGGACAAAGCTAGTATCAACCTGAGACCAGGAACTAAATAAGCAAAGTGTATTTTGGTAGCCTGAAGAATCATATGTTTTGCCGGTCGTTGCGCACCGGAACGGATGCGGAGTGATCTCCGCATTTAACCGCTCCAGAAGCTGCAGATCAAGGACTAGGAAGCCCCGAGATGAGTTTCCGCTAAGCAGCACGACTTTCGGATCAAGCTGAAGGAGACCCTAGCGTCCGCGACCTATGCAACATATGAGCACGCCCTCTTTTTCGCCATCTCATAAGGATCCCGGCGCTTAGAGCAAGCCTTTAGTATCCAAGGTGGTGAAGATAAATCGAAAGTGATCTGTGAAATTCATTCAAGATGATCATATAATTACAATCGAGTATATAGTTTACAGTGGTGTTAATGTATTGCGACTAGATACCGAAGACCTCCTTAACGAGTGTCTTTTTATTCACTGACGAAAAGTAAGTATATTCACACCCCCCAGATAAGTCATTTAGGAGCTCACCTTTGCCCATTGCATTTCTTGGAATCGGTCCGTTGAGAACCTTCATTTCTTGGGGCATTTTATAGCTCGCAAGGCGATCTTTAAGGGCACGTCGCATATCTAGAGCACCCCATGGTTTGCCATTGCGGCCAGTATTCGCGGCCTTGTCCGCATTGAGGACGACTATGGCGGCGACTTTCTGGCCCCATTGTTCAGACGGAAGACCGACCACAGCTGCCTCACTAACTTGAGGGCTATATCATATCAGTATATGTAAATCATCCTGAGGCAGACAGACACTTACAGAGACAGCAACTCCCTCTCAACCTCCAACGCACTGACCTTTTCTCCACCGGTCTTGATAATATCGACACTCAGCCGACCTTGAATGAAATACATGGGCCCCTCCGCCCAGTCACCACTGGCTCCTTTACCGGCATGGTCGACTACTCGACGCGTAGCAACATCTCCAGTCTTGAACCACTTTCCCTTGCCATCGCCACTATCGACAAAGGCCTCCTGCGTCGCTTTTTCGTTGGCCCAGTATTCGGAGAAGATCGTAGGGCCGCGGAGCTGAATCTCGCCCTCTCGCTCGCGTTCATTCGCATCCAGTTCCTCACCAGGCTGGATAACCTCGTTTGTCTCCGTGTCGACTATTCTTGCTTCCACTGACGGTAGTGGCCACCCGACGCTGCCATCTATCCGATCAGCGAAGTCGAGGCCGCAACTGATCGCCATTCCGACTTCTGTCATTCCAAAGCGCTCAAGTAGGACGTTTCCATTGCTCAAATCTTGCCACGCCTGCTTAGTAGGGGTGGGCAAAGCTGCAGAACCAGAGATATTCAAGCGTAGATTCTCAGGGGCGATGCCCTTCCTAGCCGCTTCTTGGATTTCCGTGGAAAGGCCAGAGAAGGAGGATAATAGTCTATTATAGATGGTCGGGACTGCCGTAAGGAACGTAATCTTGCTGACGGAGGATTGGGGCAAAAAGGGAGCAGCAAGCCTTTTCCACACTGCATCTGTGTTGAAAGGGAACATAAACTCAATGGACGAGCCAGCCAGCACAGGCGTTACGATGGCATTGACCGTCCCATGGATATGATGCAGCGGAAGAAGATGGAGTAAACGATCCTCCCGAGAATATTTCCAGGCCGCTAGCAAAGATGCTGCTTGCGCACTGAGTGCCGATTGCGGGATTAACACGCCTTTCTAGGATGCATTAGTACCGGTATGTTCAGCGCCGCCAGGATAGGACGTCCTTACCGGTCTATTGGTAGTGCCCGAGGTGTACAACATCATCCCGCCGCGAGACTTCTGCTCAATATCCTGCAATTCCACCTGATTCGAGATACTCGCCCCCGTTTTAATTTTCTCCCTGACTTCTAGAATGGGTACCCTTTCAAGACCCGCCTTCAGTAAATCATGTGCCTTAGCCGCATACTTTTCGGTCGCAACGAGCATTTTTGCCTGGGAGTTATCCATAATGTACTTCAATTCGCCAACGGGAAATGCCGGAGAGAGGGGCAGGGCGATTGCATCGCTAGCAAGGATCGAAAGAAGGGTCACTGAGGTCAGAGTCAGTTTACACCTGGGCACAGTAAACGAGTACGAAGAGAAACAGTACCTACGTAATCGTAGCTATTCTCCGCGAGAAAAGCGATTCTCTCCCCCGCAAGTCCATCCCGCTGATCTCCCACCAATTCATGTAGTCTTTCCTTTGCACGAATGACATCGGCGACTAGATTGCCGTAAGTAAAGGAACGGGACGACGCGCTATGAACGACGGCAAGACTAGACTGATCGTGATCTTTTAGGGCTCGAAAGATAGGTAGATTCGGCAAAGTAGCGAGTGTCCGGTATTTGATAGGTGTTAACGATGATCGGTGATGAGCACTGCAGTTTAAGCCTGTCCGTAATGCGCGACGAGACAAGAGCACAGAGCCCCGCGACAGGACTGACACCAGCGTGCGTCCTTGCATATTGAGAAGTTAGCGTAAGGCGCGTAGCATGTCTCTCCTCTTCAGGAATGGTATAAATCAGTAGAAATAATAGTAGTCAACAAATATCCTAACTGCACAATTGGACTGATTGATGTCATTGTTTGGTATCAAAGTCGGGAGCTTTTTTGGCCGGCGTCGGAATTATGCCGATCGGCTGCACATTTTATGGGGACGTTCACATGACGACATGGAATACCAATGAGATCCATCAATTTATCACCACGATCCTACAACTCTCCGCAAATTGACATCTCCCACTTCTACCTCAATCCAACTACATCCCATGCTCTCCCTCCTCCGTCGTAGCCGTCCAGGCCTTCTTCCTCGTCGTCTATTCTCAACAACATCCAGCATGGCTTCCAATACCCCCATGCAAGATGTCATCCGTGAGAAAGTATGCAGTACTCTACAGCCTTTCGCTCCCTCAAATTCAATATAACGTACTAATGTCTTTCAATCTCCTAGATCTCGACTGCCTTCAACCCCTCGAACCTTATTATCCGGAACGACTCCCATCTTCATGCACATCACGCGCCAATGCGCGGGTCAGTCTCGAAGGAGACGCATTTTCAGTTAGTCTCCCGCCTTCTGTTATCCCGTGGCCTTATCCAAATCCAAAACCACTCAATCCTAATATTTACTCGATAGTGTAACAATTACTTCGGAAGCATTCCAGTCGAAGATGCAGCCCGCCCGTCACCGGATGGTCTACGCCTTGCTAAAGGACGAGATGAGCCAAGAAGGAGGGATTCATGCGCTGCAGTTGCGAACTCGGACGCCAGAGGAGGAACAGAGGGAGAAGGACAAACGGGCCCAGGCATAGAACACGGTACGACTAGGTTGCGAACAGTGTTCTTTGTGTAAATATGGATATGGTGATGCGATACCCGGTAAGATGACAAGCGGCGGCGCTGGTTATCTACTAGAACTCCCATAAGGAAGATTGGGTGGGTCAATAGGCACGTTCGATCTGCCATAGATCTGAGACGTCTTGTGTCGCGATGGCTCATTAGATTGATTAGTGGAATAGTCGATTATTACATAGATCTAGCGCCAAAAGTTCAAAGCAAGCGAAGAGACTCTAATATATACACGTGCACCAGTGTCATGCGCATCCTATCCAAGAGCTGCGGTCATCAGGCCGCATTCGACTGGGATGCGGGAACTATACACGACCATCAGTGAGTACATAAGACCACGGAAACAGGAAACGCAGGGGTAGAGACACATTCGCAAGACAAGCTTTTTCAAACACTGACAAAACGCGACAAACAACAAACAAGTGGTATAGCAAAGGTAGAAATACATAGGAGATCCAAAACAAATAAGAGAGTGAAGATCGACTCTGAGCTTACCGTGGTCATAGAGATAACACGGAGAACATCCTACCCGGTGGCAGTCGCACAGAAAGAAACAGGGGGAGAACAATCATTCCAGCCGTTGCATGGGTATACAAGGCTCGAGGCAACTAGACGGGAATAGGGAATCGAGAAAAATGAAACAAAGATACGGAAACGCAGTGTCGGAAACAAATGTTGATCGAAATCCGCGACAGGGCCAACATGGCCAACAGAATCACATTCAGGAAATTCATAGGCCTTAAGAGGACTTGTTGGCCTGGGTAACACCAACAGCAACACCAACCACGATGGCAATAATGAGGACTAGGACGCGGTCAGTTTTTAGACCCCAGATAAGATTAAATGGCAGTCGCGAGACTTACTAATGATAAGCAGAGCATACCACTTCCACTTTCTTGCCCGACGCGCGCTGTCAATGGCATGGGTGATCTGAGTGTTGGCATTGGCGACATTCCCAGCAACGTCCTCGGCACCTTGGTTGATCTGTTCCACGGCTGGTTCCTGCTGGTGCACAAGCTCTGCCACTTCTTGATACAGACGACCCAGTTCCATCATATCCTGCTCAATCTTCCGGATTGCGGCCGACCGCTCCAAGGCAGCTTGTCTGGCATCGTTGGCTTGGCGAGTCCGGCTACCAGTGAGCTAGATCATGCATATTAGCACAATATCCGTGAACCTGGGGACATGCGGCTTTCGCAAGTGCCACCTACCTGGAAGGTCTGCTCCTGGCCCATTAGAACATTATCAACACCCTGCTCCAGCTCCTCGGGGGTCGCGTCCGGGTTGGCAATTTCATATCGCCGGCGAACTTGCTCCCTCAAACGCTTCTGGAAATCCGACTGGGCCCGCTGGTACTGCTCGATTTCGCGACGCAGATTGCGGCTGGTGACATCGACCTGGGTCTGTACGCGGCTGTCTCCGGAGCCGGGGGTCTGCTTGATCTTCTTTAGGAGATCGCGGAGGTAGCGGAAACCGTTGTTGATTTCGTCCTCGACGTAGTCCAGGGCCTGGCGAGAAACTTGGTCTTCCTTTCCGGTGCTCGAGTCCAGCAAACCGTTCTGCGCGGCGGCGAGCTGCCCCTCTCTTTTGGCACGAATATCGGCGATACCATCGTTGATTTCACGGCACTTGTTCAACAAGGTGGTCGGGTCGGCAGGCTGGCCCACCTGGCCCATCTCTACCAAGCGATCGATTAGAGGATGCTCGATTGCATTGCGGTTCGCCATGCGCGCTTACCGTAGGATCCGTTGCCCTCTTCCACATCGTTGGCTCGTTCATAGCCTTGCTGGCTGGCGCCATAAGGGTTATAGGAGCCGTAGCCGCCTTGATTATTTCCGTACTAAATCAATCGTTCAATTAGTGGCCCGACGAAACATCGCGCGGATTAGGGGAGGGGTAAGAACGGGGGAGGCGGAAGGGTTGCTATATCGGGGAAGCGTACACTCATTGTGATACTAATTCAATCGATTGTTTTATGAAAGATCCAGATTAGGTTCCTCTTATAGCTTGATCGTATGTTGAGTATGTAGGCAAGCCTTAGGCAACCGATTGTGATTCGGAATGATGGCCAGCCCCGGGTCGTACGGGAAACTTGAGAGGGGGGGAGAGTCTGGGAAAGTGTATCGAAATGCGACAGGACGAAACTCCCACGGCGGCAAGAATGGGGGAAGAAATGGGAAAGCTCAATTAAATCAAAGAAAGTAAGAAAAAGGTAGGATGAGGGAGTCCGGTGAAAACGAAAGGAAGAAAAGTCAAGTAAGGTTACGGTAATCAGCGAGAAGAGGCGACGACGGAGTGAGACACGCGGCTGACTGATGAGTTGAATGAGTGGATGGATGCCTGAGGCTGTCCGACAAGCGATTATGAGACTTTTTCTTCTGTTGACTGGCCCGCAGAAAGTCCCTTCGTGCTAGAGAAAACACCCCGGAGGTTGAGGAGATTGGTCGGGAAGAAGAGAAGAAAGTAAAAGAGAATTTTCCTTTCAATTTCCCACACTAAATTTTGGAATCAGGGGGTCGCGAAAATTACGACTCGATTAGGATGTTTTCATTAATATTAGTAGGGGGCTTGGGGCTGAAGCACAGACCGGTCATAGCGACGATCGCCTCTGTCTCCCCTTTTCTCAATGGCTTAACAGGAAAGGATTTTGATAGTTTCGACATTTTGTCTTATTTTCTGGGCAACGGTGATAACTCTACATCTAGGCTACAGGGTAGTATGTCGAATATCTTTTCCGTTGCGTCGATTCATCACTGAGAAAGTCAAAGTCGTTCAATATCAGTGTCAGGGGGTCACTAAGTTAAGTGTCATTACTTGTCCGACCTTTATTTTTTTTTTTTTATCTTTCTTTTTCTTTTTGAAGAGGCTGTCACAAGGATAGACCCAGAGTTATCGCTGGTATTCTTTTGCTAGGAGAGATACTCCATAGAACAATCCCCTACTCCGAAATATCAAACGTCAACCCTAAAAAATCTTGTGTTCGAGACGTTCGAGAACCATGGTCCATCCAATGAGGGTCCAACCACCAGCTCAGAGAAGCTCTGCACGTCATCCTACATCAACATACTGTAGGAGATATCTTCAACATGCCTTGGCGGAGTAATCAATTGCATTACCAGCACCCTATAAGGTGATACCTAAAATCTAGGTAGATCTAGATCAACATTGACGGTTTCACCCCATAACTAAACGTGCCCCTCCTAGTCATTTATAGTGAAATTACATCAATTTCCTCAGCCACGGTATTCTCCACCGCCACCATCCACTTGCCATATGTCACGTTTCATCACCTCACATCTTAATAATTCTTAGTATACACTCTAAATCGTAGCATATTTACTCTATGAATATTGCTTGCTCTGACGCACATGCAAAATCTCGTAGAGTTCAACAGAGAGCCCTTGCATACTTTATTTAGAAAAAGGGTAAAAAAAAAAAAAGTCAAAGACCCAAATTAGTGGGCAGCTATGCAAAACCCCACAGAGGACCCTGACCAGGCTTAACGGTTTTCTCCAATCTTACTGGTCCAGCGCATCCTTTTGAACAAATTATATTTAGCAACAATCCCCATCTGTCAACTACCGTTCGTCCACTTTTCTCGTTACCTGAGACATACTTGAACCTCAACGATTCGACAGCCACCGCTTCAAAAATCAGGCGAATCAAACAAAATAAACAAGGAAAGCTCACGATCATATTATTGTCGCGCGGGTAAATTCGGCACGGCAACAGTCTTGTCTTCCTTCTAGCAACGCTCCTTGGATGAGCTACTTTACATATGCGGCGTTCTATCTCGATACGAGTTATGAGTACTAGGCGTGATCCTGCTTTGAGGCATGAAACAATGCCTCGAGCATACTAGACTCGCTCTTCATCTGGTATTCCTTCATGGATATCGCGCAACTACTTATTCAAGTAGGTTTATATATTGTCGGGTGACCCAGTCTTTCGTAAACCTATCAGTCTCTCCTGAGACATATATATTACCCCGATTAGAACCGATGTTGTCCATTAGGAGGATTGAAATCGCATTTCTATATTCAGATCTAATGGTATAAGCCCAGGTCTAAATAACCACTTGTCGATTCGACGGCATTGCTTAAGCAAAAAATGGCAATTTGGCAAGGAGCATGCTAAACAAGGCTCTGATACATGCATTAAATGCCGAGCCGATTTCAGTGGCAAGATTGTTATTCCCCGGATGCAGCACTGCTTATCAAAAATATATATACTTCTCGCCCCAGCCTCAGCTGAACCATGGTTAGTTAAGAGGAGAGTATCCCAGTAATTACTCAGCGGACAGTCCGACAGTCCGTGGATACCAGTCAGCAAATTCTGTATTCAACAGCAACAATACAAGACCATGGCTAGTAAAACGTGGAGAAACGCCTGACGCCGCGGGTAATTGTCCAACCCCCTTGCATGTTTCAAAGCACACGACCGGTTGCCCAATAAAGCACGAGTATTTGCAAGCCTGGACTGTCTTTCGGACTGTCTTTCTCCCTTTCCTGCTGTCTATAGATAGATGAATTCTATTCGTAACTCAATCAATAGCACAATGACCATCACTTTTGTATCTCTTCCTATAATCGATGTCCTCACTCAACGACAGCCCACATCAGCAGCTGCCGGAATTTAACCAAGCCGAAGAGTGCTGTAGTCTAGGACAGAAAGGAGGGTATTCTTGGAAGGATTAGTATGCCGCTTTTCTTTGAGCACAGGGAAGGTTGTCTTGTGAGAGCTGTTGGAGTTTATGAGCATGTGAGGACTTGGGCAGAGATTCAGGACCTAGAGACGAGTATTTTTGATGAGATGGTGAGCTTTCCTCTTAAGGCCAGTGCAGTCCTCTACTCTAGATCTACTGAGTATAGTCTTGGAACTACATGTTCGAGAGATGTTTAGCAGTCAATTCTGGTCACTATTCATGTTACGCTGCTAATGTCAGAAACCGGGCTTTGCATATCAATCCCGCCCAAGGGGCATATATGGCAATCATTAAACACAGCACTTGTATCCAATTAGTTCCATTCCTTCATTAAAACCGTGAACTACAACCCTATCCTCCTATCGAGATGGTCCTGGCACAAGTTCCCTCAAGCACGGCAATTGACGACACCGTTGTTCAGGTTGACTGGGGCATTGGAGGCCGGGTCTCCGTTCAAGTCGAGATACGTATGCTGAGCGGTGAGTGTTCCAATCGGGACACCGTTGTTTTTGATAACACAGTTGATGGTCTGAGGGAACGACGTCAGCTGAGCAGACGAGGCGAGAACGTTGCCGCTGGCTCCAACAGAGGTGCCACCGTAGAGGCCCTTGATGCTCCTGTCATTGCCATCGGCGGGGAAAGTGACGCCAGCGTATGCCCCGCTCTGGTCGTTGGAGAGGGCAAGAGTCACTTGGGCGACATCACGGACCTCAAGGGGGGCGGCAGAGATAGAGGCCGTGAGGAAAGCAATGATGACAGCGAAGTTGGCCTTCATGTTGATGGTTGGTTGAGTTGGTTAAGGGAGGATGGATTCTTCTGAGGGAGATTGATGAATGGAAACTGTTTTAGGGCTTGGAGACTTTAGCTTGATTGGGATGCTTTGCTTGATGTGATGAAGGATATGGCAAAGGGGGGAGAGCAGGTTGAATTTATACCTTTTTTTTCCCCCCACGCTCTATCTATCAGGATGGCGAACCATGGTCGGTGTACACGGCTCTCACAGCCTCCGATTCTGCTATTATTAGGCCCTCCATCATCCAAATCGATACCTCCATCTATACTCAGCTTATCAGCCCTCGTAATTGGAATCTCCTTGATTGGCCTTGTCTCTCAGGTTGAGACAATGATTCCCTGCGAAGCAAGAGTGTTCCCAATTGGAACAACCCGGAACTGGATTTGGGTTCCAGAGACTGTACAGGAACCAAAGGGCCCGATCGCCAGAACCGAGAGTTGTCTTCCTAAGAGGTACATGTTGTATAACGAAATCGTAGTATGACGTATCCCAGGAGCCTTTTAAGATCTCGACCGGGTAAAGGTTGCCAGAGTAGGTTCGTATCGGTAAGGCTATATCCCCAGTTCGGAGGATATACTACGGAATATCGCCATTTTAGGCGTGCCAATTACATTGTATCTCAATGGAAAACCACAAATCTGGATGGTCCATATTTCGCTGAGTGGATCCTGCTCTCTTTTTGGCGAGTTAGATGCATATATAGGGCAATAGTGTCTTACAATATGACGTTGTGGGGCGCAGTCTATCATCTGATCCGAGGTCTACTGTATTGTGTCCCACAGCTAGGCCGTAGTTTATATCTGATAGTTATTGAGAACCATTCAACATTAGAACTAACCCGAGTTCAGAGAATACGTGGTGCCTTTGGATCTTGAAACCGATAGAATTAGTAAAATCGAAAAGTGGTAGACTAGGTATGCTAGACCGATTAGGCAAGTAGATTTAGGCATCCAGGCATAGAAAAAGAAAAAAGAAGAGTGGTCAAAGAAAGTAGGAAGTCGGATTGAACCGAATATGATGGATATCAATTCCGATGACACATCGAACGGCTACCACGCCACCAAGAGCCCAATCCTCGTATCCCCGCATTGTCTCACTCATGAACCTTCTGGTTAGCGATTTGTTACTGTGGGGTATTATCAATATCAAGTTGTACATTTTAGTCTAAGTAAATGCCTGGTTGCAGTCACACCTCGTTGGTTGTGCCCTCAGCGTGTTTATATCCGTGAGCATCGTTACACTAGGCAGGCAGCTATAGCGACATCAACATTGCGACATGCGCCTTCAGTCAACTGTATCAAGGTTGTGCTGACTATGAATACGATCTTGATCATCTCGCTATTGAGGGCTGGCTGAACAGTGCCTTGAAAGGGAATCGCAACCGAAAAAAAAGAGAGCAAGAGAAAGGCAAGACCTAGAGAAAGAACGCCACTGCCTCCACCAACTGCATACAAACCATAAATCTTAGAGGCTCTTCTCACTCCGCTTTCCACAGCATCCGCCACCTGTTGTGTCCCTCCTTTATCACTCGTTGGGACCATCTTATTCCCGTATTCGACCCTTGGCAGCCAACCATATACTCCGAGTTACATTCCATCTAATAGCCATCTACCAGTTACCAAAACCTTGTTTGTATTAATTATCAGACACAGTCTAACTTCACCGCTACTTCTCGCATGTCTTGCATCGACTTTGCGGGATATTCTCGTCATTCCTTTACGATTCGCGCGGAGGAATCATCCTTCCGTGTAGTATTCCCGTCTGTATATACATGCCTTGGAAGAAAACTCGTCAAGTGAGACAGTTTGGTTGCCTGATTCCCATTCCGGAAATCATGCCTGAGCGATAAGACATACCTTAGACATGCTTCTCTTCAAGGTAGCTGTACCCGAATGGTAGTTGTTGTGAGCTCATATCATGCAAAAAGCCGCCACCAACGCATGTTCCTAAAAATAAAGATCACTTTCGCAAAGGTGTGATGCAGGCAATAGCGCAAAAATCGAATGATCACAGGTAAACTATTTGACCTCGTTCATTCTATCGAAGCATATATGAGATCCAAGGTGTGGAAATAGGACTCCCATTTTCTCGGCTACACTCAAGCCAACCAAGTCTATAATCCGGATCAAATACAAGTAGATCCTAGCTGGCTAATCAGGGATAATGCTGAATCAGTTTGATACCCAGCCTACTCACTGGGAGCAAATCATTGACTACAGCTTTACGTCAGATATCTTCAATCTACGTCTGCCTGTGCAGGAGTACAGGGATTACCCAATTAGCCGTATATATCTAGACTGCACCAATCCCATTTACCCTAGCTCAAGCTCTTACATATTATGTACACCATCTGAGCAAAAAAATCACGAGTTCCTACAGAACCGACACTGGCTTACCGGGCTTAAGCCAGCACACTTTATCATTAATCCCCTCCGCCTCGAAAACCTCACGCAGCTCCTTCCCAAACTGAGTAAAATGATGCCATGATTCATAATGCATAGGAACCAGAACATCGGCCTTGATTTCCCGGAACAGTTTGGCAGCCTGTTTGCCATCCATGGTAATCTGAATAAGGGGACTGTTGGGATCCTCAACGTTGCTGGGTGCATGTGCATTGCCTAGATTAAACACTGCAGCACAGACATGGTACTGGTTCGCCATCTGTTTCAATTCCTCGACGTAGACCGTGTCACCAGAAAAATAGATTGCGTTGGGAAGGCCGTCGCGGCCGCTTCCGAACCCTTCTCCGGTGATGATGAAGCCAGTGCATTCGCCTCCGGGGAGATGCTGGGTCGGCGTGCCGATGACCTGGAATTTCTTGCCGGCAATGAGAGTTTCCATCTTCTCCCATGGTTGGAGCCCGTGGACGGCGGGCCGTGGAGAGAGGTTCTTAGCGCCGTCGACGGTGGTAAAGACGCGTCGTCCGTCTAGGAGGCGGCGACCGAGGTCGTCGAGATTGTCAGGGTGGTCTTCGTGGCTTAAAAGTACGGCATCGATTATAGGGAGCTGGTCAAGGCCAAGGCTAGGGTCGTCTGTTACAGTGAGGGCGACGGATTCTGAGACATCGAACTTGGTGCCGGCGGGTGAGAAGAAGGGATCGGTGATCATGCTAACCCCATTTATCTCGAGGATGGCAGTGGCAGTACCAATATGGGTAACGTTCAAGGTCACAGCCATTATGACGAGTGATATTATATGCAATAGTAGAAGGAAGTAGCTATGCCTTATCTTGAAGAATGATTGGGATGTTGGTGTGGCTAGGGATTCGGGGGGAGAGGGGGTATTTATCTGCAAAAAAAATGCACTGCTGGAGAGGATATTTCATTGATAATATCAAGTTTAACAGATGTAATACAACGCTTGGTAATCTTTCTCTTGCCATTATTAATAGAATATTGATGTATAGAAACTTCGAACCTCATGAAATCCGGCACCCGTGGTAGTTAGGTCTTTTTCCCAAAAGGGTTACAGAATCCGCCAAGAACTTGTCGATTCGGGATGTGATTGGCAGACCGAATATATTCGCCGCTGAAGAAAAACCTGGGATCCGGATTCATTTTGTCAGGACGATCATAAAGGTATTCATGATATCTGGTCAGTCATCCATGTGGGAGCCAGATCCTCCCACAGTTCCAGGTTCCCCAAAGTAACACTTAGTAATAATTAAAGTAGCCCTTACACACGTATATCAGTCGTTTATTCCATTAGTGTCCGCTGATGCTTCTCTTGTACACTATACTGCCATTTTAACTCTTAAATAAGCTCAACTTACCAACATCTCGTCTAAATCCCAAGACCAGAATGCAAGTCTCGCCGACTCTCAGCCCGAGCCCTATTAGCAGGCGTGATAAGATTAGTAGCATTCGCAATCATCTGCGTCACCCCCATAATATCCGACTGGCCCACAATTTTCTCCCGTCTCTTCCATCCCAGCTCCGTCGGGAAGCGTTCGTTTTCTTCCCAATCAACATTTAGTCATGTGATAGATAGATAAAGTAAGATGGACTCACTGAAAAAGTACTCCACAAGACTTCTATTCACCTTTCCGTGTTGCATGTCGCCGAACGCAATGATAGGAGCCGCCACCTCCCCGAGACTAAACTGTTCCATCGTTGAAGTGAATGTATACGTAGGGTTGAATGCTTTGGATTCAATCTGGCGTGCTACCTTGCTGTTGGCTAACATATTGGCGTCCAGGATAGGACCGGTCCAGTATTTCTTTGTTTCTTCGAAGATTGTATCGTTGAAGACATAGTTGTTTCCGAAGTAGGCGTCGGTGCGGCTTTTAGAAGTTAGATTTTGGCTTTGATGAAAGGGTAGGTTGAGGAGGGTAGAATGGTAATACGGACTAACCTCAAGCTCGCATCGTGTTCTAAGAGATTGTGTTTGTTGAGTTGGTCGCTGAAGATGTGTCAGCGTTGACCAGATGGGGGGAAGCTGCATATATAATTCTAGGGTATCTTACAGGGTGAAGAATGTAGCATTAGGCTCTGGATTAACAATGATAGCCATGTCAAACATCAGACTCGCAAGCGAGGCGTTAAAGTTCAGAGCTGCTGATAGTCCCTTAACGACATTGTGCCGTGTAAGGTTTCTGCCATCATGAGGGAGAAATCCATGGTTTGCGAGAGTGTTCATCATGGGGCAAGGGCCTCGAACTAGGACAATCAGCATTTATACTAACAGAGCTGGATATCGTCTATACAGTCTTTTGGCCCTGCGGGCTTCCATTGCCCATAGTGAGGGTTAGCGGAGGCTAAGGTGAAAACTAAAGCAGTTGAAATAAAGGAGAATTTCATGTTTGTAGCTGTTGGTTGTCTACCGATATTGAAGTGAGTAGAAAATTTAATGGTTTTGAGTATTTCTATCTGCAACTGAACTAGACGGCAAAAGAGTACTTATAAGATGAGCTGGTCTTCCAGACGGCAGACCTACATGACGCAAGCACAGCAACGCGCCGGATATAATCTTGATGTTGTTTCAGAGGATTTTTATGCCTGACAAGCTTAAACCAGGGGCAACAGTAGCCACTGAGGGTTGTTGTATTAGTAGCATTGTTTGAGGCCATACATAATCATATGCATCTGTGGATCTCTTTATAGCTCGTACTCGTACCATAAGCCAAGTTTGTCAGCCATCTAGGCAAACCAAGAGGATAGGCATCCTCCTTATCGACTTGGACACTGCCCCTGCCCCCGGGTTTTCCTGTATATCTCCACTTCTGAGACTTCGTTAAATTTTATTTTCATATATCGTGATTATCTTTAGACTAATGAGTTCCTACGCTAATTATATGTATCTCGTTGAACATATCACGGCGTAGCTGTAGAACTATAGTGGCACAGTCTACCAATGGGTTCAAAGCGAGACCCACTTTGTCGATCAAAATTCTCGTACTCGTACATCTACCCATATTTGATCAACCATTGCAACTTTGAATCGTCTTGATCTAAAACTTCAAATCCGATAAGAGACTGTTACTAGGCAGATCCGAATTCGAACCCAAACCCGAATCCTAAAGTGGGGATGATATCTCACAATCAGAATAACCATGGCCTGTTTCAAAAGTTATGCCTAGAATGAGTAGCCATAGGCAATTGCCTTGGTATTTCTAGTGGCACTTAACGAAGTAATACATTCGAAATGTACTGGTCATCTATACTCCTTCATACTGGTCAAGCCACTAATCACAGTCTTGGAAGTCAAAACAGGTTATCTCAAGGCAGTTGATCTCAGGTGTTATTTTTAGATAGCTATAGTCAGGGTTTTCTCTTGTTGTGAAATCAAACTCTACCGACCAAGCCTCGGCAAGTGTAGTACGTATTAGAGCATATCTACAAGTATGCCAGCCAAGAACCATAAATATACTTGAAGCTCAGGCGGCCAAGGGCCTTTAGATGAAATTGATGGATACTAATTATGCCAACCTTATCCCTCTTTGATACACTTACATAACCTATTTTATGGTCTATCAGGCAGTGGTGTCTCCGTCCATTGTCAACCCACTCGACCAAAAATACCAGCTGATATCTTTGTCGTGCCTTGGACTCTATATATGTCCTACCAACACCAATTCCTTCACAACCGACAGCACCGAATGTGGCCATCTTGGGCAGAAGATCTCCACGAGACGGGATGTTCCAGATGAACCACCAGAGTTCTTACGAGTTCACCTATCCCACTCTCCATCTCGGACTTTACAGATCTCCCTTTCATTATCAATCATTGGTGCCGCCATAGTCAGCGTGCACTCCGTATAGAGCTTCAAAATAAAAATTAGCTGAGGATCACGAAAGACTGGCTTAGCCAACCCACTTATAACCTCACAAACTAGAATGCCTAAGACTAGGACCAACACAATACAGACAACCCATCCATCCAACAACCTGCCTTTAAACATCACAATATAATCCAACATCCTAACAAAACCTCAACCCCTAACTCAACGCTGCATCACTCACAAATCCATAACAATCCCAACCAATCAAAACCCCCCAAAATCACCATGATTATCCATCCACCTCCGACCTTTCCGAAGAAATACCTATCTATCCAAACCAGGACCCAGATCACTAATCCAATTCACTAAAGCAAGGTACAAGGCACACAGTGGCACACGACCAAAAGAAAACCCACCATCAACGGTATCCAGTTAGTTATCCACAACCATCTCCACCGCCTTAACTTGCCTAATGCGGACTAATGCTAGGGCCAAGCTAAGCTTAAATTGTGCATGTCGACCTGTGGCCAATGAAAATCGGACGGAGCTCCGGGTTCAGTTCGTGTTTGTCATCGTTTTCGCAGATTCTCGGAGGAGAAGCTGAACTCCGTTTGGCTTGGTTTACCAGCCACTTTTTTTTTTTTTTTTTTTTTCAGTCTTGCTTTTCCTTTCCCCCCTGCTTTTTTCGTTTATTTTCTATTTTTTTTGTTTTCTTTTTTTCTCTTTTTTTTTTTTTTTTTTTTTTTTTTTTTTTTTTGTGTGGGTGGTGAGATTTGACTGTGATGGGTAGGTAAGGTACGGAGTGTGACTATGTACATGTGATTATTATGGGGAATGGTGTGATTTGCTTTGCTAGGTAGTATGTATTATGTACTTGCATAGATGTACTGCAGGTAACTGGACTGCTTCTGTGTCTGTGTCGGGCATGTGGTGTTGTATCCCTTACGGTGTACATACATTTATATATATGCGTTTGAAGTGTTGAGGTGCCCCGTATATAGCAATTATTGTTTGTCCTGTAAGGGAGACGGATACGGGGTACATAAAGTACTTATACTTATTTGTGTATGTAGTTATGTACTCCGTACTTTGGACTTTAAGTTGAATAGGGTTTCTCGTATGTATCGACCTCTGTGGTCATTGGAAGATAGGAAGGTAGCAGTCCGATTTGTGATGGAATCTTGTCATCAAGAACGTGGTGGTCCCACTCTTAGTTAATTAAATTAGTTCGGGGTTTGGGTTCCATGTAATCAAGTGCGGGTCCCAATGGTGAGACAATCTCCGTCGGACGAGGTCCGGGATCCTTTGTTGAACTTGAGGCAAGTGGTTCTAATCTGAGTCATTTCGATGGCAAAGATGGGAAAGAGTATTGAATGAGTCAAGTGTTCATTGATTCAACGTGATCAAACGTGAATTCGTATATACATTATCTCGTTATACTCCTCTCATCTGCTCAGCAGGTGCTCTGACGCGAAGCCGCGCGAGATCGAGTATGTCCACAACCGGTCAAGAACGAGAAATTAGTATCTATGTGTAAAAAAAAAAAAGGCAAAAGTAAACATTATAGTACAATAACAAGATTATGCATGATTCTCCTCTTCCTTCTTCTTCTCGGCCTCCTGCTGGTGAGGCATAGAGGGGTCGGGATCTTCAGCATCGAGGGCGTTCATCTCATCTTCCGTGTAGTTCAAGTGGTGGTACACAATGTAGAAGATGATACCGGCAAGGAACGAAGCGACGGCAAGGCCCACGAACATCCACAAGATGGCAGGATCGTACGCGGCTGGAGTAAGGGCCTCAGCAATAGCAGAGCCGAAGGCGTTGGTGAGCAGGTACATCGACTGCACGAACGACTTCATGGACGGGGGGGCCTTGGTGTAGGCGTACTCAAGACCGGACACTGAGGCGAAAATCTCGGAGATACCGATGAATACGTAGGCCGGGGTCTGGATGGCAATATGAACACGGTTTCCGGTGGTCTTTCCATCGATAATAGAGGCGTCGCAACCCGGGTGCTCGTAGCATGGCCCGGCGGAGTAAATAAGATGCTGAACAATAGCGGCGTACATCATGGCCAGGGAGGCAACCACGAAACCGAGGGCGATACGAGTGATAGGGCGGAACTGAATGTGGAAACGGCGGAGCACGGGATAGACAGTAAGCTCTAGGATGGGGATGAAGACAATGATGGAGATGGGGTCAAAGTTCTGCATCAAATCGTTGGGAACGCCGTGGCCATCCATCTGATCGGCCTGGGTGACGAAGTTACCCGAGAACTGACCATAGACAACCCAGTAGATAGGGTAAAAGGCAAAGACCTTGCAGGCAACCAGGGCACGCTTGAGCTCGTCGATGAAGTGGTCATCCCAAGGCAAGTTGGTCCTTGCCTTGCGGCCGCCATGCTCGGCCTGCCAGGTGGGCTTGGGTGCATCCATGTTGCGGTTGATGACCATAATCCACAGCGCCTTGAAGGCGTTGGTGATAACGGATCCCTGGGGAGGACGGACGACGTAATACTTGCGTCCGATGATCAGAACGCAAGAGCCACAAGCGAACATGCACAGACAGAGCAAATAGGCGGACCAGAAGCCGATATCTCTTTCCATATAGGGTGTCGCTAGCAAGGAGAGAGAGCCAACGTTGATACAACCGTAGAAGATCATGTAGATACGCTGGATAGTGAGGGCAGGATCAATGACGACCCGCTCGCCGGTCTTGGCAATGGTCTTAATAGCCATCTTCTTCCGCTTGTATTGATCGGCGATCTAGATGATAGTTTAGTATGCGACCACTCTACAGTGACGCTCATAGGGTACTTACCAGGGGAGCCACATTACTCTTGATACCACCAGTTCCAAGACCAACAATCAGAATGGCTACAATGAAGCCTCCCAAACCAGCACCGTGCTCAAGGGATGAGGGAATCGATGTGCACACCAAGATGAGCAAACCAATCATATAGACGATGGAGAAAAGGACAATAGTCTTGTATTTGCCAAGGTACTGATCGGCGACAATAGCACCGATGATAGGAGTGACGTAGCACCAGAACTGGTTGAAGGTCGTCAAACCCGTCGCACCCTGGTGACCAAGACCAAGGGCGCCACGTCCTTTACTGCCATCCAGAGGAAGATTCGCGTAGTTCTGGAACAGACCGCTCATACCGTAGTAGGTGAAACGCTCGCACAGTTCGACAACGGCGACGAGCCAGGCCGAGAGGGGCAGGTTCTCCGCAATATGGCGCAAGTTCTTGACCTCATCCTGATTGGGTTCTTCACCATCAGCGGTAGGCCCCAGAGCCTTTTCGTTTGCCTCGAGGACATCCTTCTCATCGACCATATGGGTAGAGTTGTATTGGGCCTGTTGTCTACACCATTGTTAGCTTTGTACCGAAGGACAAGATACATGGTTGCGAGAGAGTGTTGGGGGGGGGGCAACGAGCGAAAAGAGCAGACGGCACATACTGAGTCACCTCAACATCATGATCTGCTGTAGACATTGTGGAGAGGGCCAGGCAAGGTAATCCCCAAGAACAAGAGGGGATAGTTTTAGGACAGAAATTCCTCTCAACGGTTGCGCACGAGATCAAGAACTCTGGAAGGAAATGAGAGCCACCTTATATTCCCGTTCTTTTAGTGGGAAGACCTTAGTCTGGGATCCAATGCGGGACCGTCTTATCATTCGAAGCGACCTATGCGATCGACCCAACGCTGGGAGGCTCCATCGGCAAAATTACGGCGAGAAATCCAGAGGGAAATGGGAGGGTTAGTTTAGCGTGCCCTCGGATGTAACCCCAAACGAGAAGATGCAAAGGTATGACAAGATATGACAAGAACGGTTAAGCATCCGCCCAGGCGCTTGTGATTGGCTGGGCGTCGTCGTTCTCGAAGGCCAGCTCAGGATTTTCGAACCAGTCGGAGTTTACCGACCGGTGAATGGACAAAAAAGAGGAAAAAGATGGGAAGGAAAAAAAAAAGATTTCCCCTTTCTATCAACTGGTCCGTCCCATGTTCTCCAATGGACATTAGAAAAAGTTTTTTTTCTCTCATGATCTTTTGCCCCCTTTCGTGATCACACATGATATGTATGATTGATGCAAGGTTTTTTTTTTTCCCTCCGTTTTTGCTTTGTTTCTTTTCCTTATCAATATTGGGGGCAAAACCAATATCGCCATTCCCGGTCAGCAAATGAATGTCTTTGATCAGCTCCTCGGTTGCGGCACGCGCCCTGCATCAATCAACACTCAAACGCCACTCGGTATATCCGCTTTCGGAAATTTCGTTAGGTAAAATAAATACACCCCAGGGACTTCAAAGTACTCGATTTGCCGTTCAGATTGGAAGATAAGCACGACACATCTCATTCGTAGCACGACAGACCAGCTGTTCGGACTTATCAGCGACTTGAAATCGTCCCATCGATGGGCGGCTCTCCCCGCATGATGGTCAATGGTGGATCCAGTTTGTATGCCTTCAAGATACCCAGACGGGAAGTGATATGCCATAGTCAATGCAACACATGGACGGTCCCCCCGTACTCTGAGATACTATGAGGTAAAAGAATCCTTCCCCAGTTCACGAAGTTTATCGTCCACGTTGTATTCCGTATGTTACCTACCCCAGAAAGGCGGAGGGAAAGGCAACCCAATCCGTGATAGACCCATCAGCCATGCAGGTCGCATGGCAGTGGGCCAATCATCCGTCCATCATTCGGGATTATGGTGTTTCTAACTCGTGAGGGGAAGTTGAGGGACCCGTATTCCATTTCCCATGAGGCCTGAGGGAGATAACCGTCGACTAGTAAAATTGGTATCTGGGGAGGTGGTCACGGAGTTCCATCGGGTGTCCGACCGGGTCAAGCCGCCAGGGAGGTCATTTCGCTTGGGGCTGGCTTCAGTAAACAGTGGACGGGATCCGATTCCCTGGGGTGGTGTTTAAGAAAGCATATCTGTCATTGAAAACCAGTCAGAGCGCGATAAAAACATAATATTAATATTCAATAATATCTCCCTTCATTAAGAAAGGGGAAAGTCCAATGAGGGGAAATAAATGAAAAGGGTCAGCAGGCAGGTCAGCTAGATCGGAGGACAGCGGCCGATGAGATTAAGTATTCGAGGCCTTGACGCCTTATCGCCCAGGCCGCGCCTTCCGACTTCGCTCTCACACCTTTTCTCCAACTCCCACTCATGCGTCGCCGGGGCTAACATCTTGGAGTTTAGTGGCCTTACCTGTCCAACAACCATTTAGCTTGTCCATGCTCGTCTCAAGCTGCGGGCGTATCCGTCCCCATGTGTGCATATAGCTATCTTTGCTCCTTTGGTGGGCGATAGCGGCGGTTCCCGTGTCCATTCTTGATAGTCTGACGCGATCACAACAGAGGAAATGTCACCTCTGGATTAGGGGGGTGATCCTCCTTTTTATCTTTTCCTACCATTCGGTTCGAACCAAGCTCGCTTCCCCGCATTCAGTATTGAGCGGCGCGATGGCGAGCTTGTGATACCGTTAGCTCTATCTGGGCGTTGTTGACTTTCTTGGCTGGAGATAATGACTGGATAGGAAAAACTTGGCGTTGAATGGCGAGCTTGGTAGCCTATTGAGACGTCGCAAGCGAAGTCAACCTAGCCTTCGTTTTGACGTCAAAGGATCCTGGTATTGAGATATATCGCATGCCCAATGCAACTGGTCAATGGCAGCCTATGTCCTCGGAACGAATGACTGGGACTTTGTATGTATATTGGAACGGTACCCTAAGGTCGGAATAGCCCTTGCAACCTATAACCATCCCCGATTGCGCTGCTTGAATTGATTGGGCTGTCGGCATTGATATACGGAGATAGGTCTAGGTTCACACACCTGCATAGAACTACTCATATCTTGCGCGACATTCTATTCCGATAATTACCCATCAGGCTAGCACAACGTTCTCTCTTAGAGAAATGACCAGACCGACCGGCCTTACTGGATATTGACGCCGATGCCAGAGATGTGCAATACTTTATTAGCGCGATTGAGTCACCCTGGGTCCACCACTCCACTGATCGGACAGTGTCTGGCCAGTAGATCATTTAAGTTTAGTAAATACGGTCCCGGAGTTGTACTATATGTCCGGTTGCGCTCAAAAATGGGAGACCATAGATAACGGAATAGCCGGACTGGCTGCATGGTAGTTAGAAATTGCACCATTCAGTATGATTCTAATGTTATGTTTACTAGCCTTTACAGGTCCTGTAAATGTATTAGGCTGATTATATGTCCCCAAATTAGTTTCAAGCATGTTGGAGTAGCCTCAATTGCGAATGTGGGAAACATGAATATATATCGGCCGAATAAGGACAGTCAAACAGAATAAACGTGCAGAAAACGAACAATCGAGAATGCCAGGACAATGTAAAGCCATCTGGACTTAAACTTTCTATAAAGCCAACGGTCTATAAAATATAACCCACAACCCCTAATCAGCCTCTTTAGCCCCCTGAAACCACTCCCTGAACTTCACCAACGCCTTAAACCGATGAGACAGTCCATTCTGCCCGAATTAGTACACAGCCTTAGAGTATCACAATGACCACTGAAGATCAGAGAACCCACCTTCTTGCCAACCTCCATCTCGGCCAATGTTTCTCCTTCGACCTCGAAAATCGGCTCCCAACCTGCCAACATCAGGAACAACCTTACTATCTATATTGAAGAGATACACCTTACCAAACGAAGAATTACCCCTAGCTGGGACAATTCGCCCCTTTATCGCGTACAGTTAGGTTTCAAACCAACCAATCATAGTATGATCCGTGTACTATCGAAACCAAAGTAACACACCTGCAACCGCCCCTGGAAAAGCAAAGGCTCATGTCCCAGCCCCGGCGAATATCCAAAAGTACACACTGCATCAGCAGATTTGTCATCAAAGGCCGCGAGAATCTTGTTGAGCCCTTCATTTCCTATCGTGTCCACGAATGCTTTGCTTCACCTCATACATATAGCGACATAACAATGTTAGCTCTTCACCTCCCTTGACACGCCCAATTACCCAACAAAGACACAAACAACCCCCAAAATCAACCCCCAAATCCCAAAAGCAGAAAAAGAACAAAAAAAAAGAAAGGAAAGAACATACACATAAGCCCCCGGCAGGCCCCCCAAAGCCTTCATCTCCAGCGCCGAATCCTCAACCAACACCGGGCCACCAATCTACAAAAACCATATTAAATCAGCATCATTCGCCACACATACCCAACCCAGCGCTTCGCGCCCCCCAAAGCAAACTTAGAACTCCAGGGTCAAAGAAAGAACCTTACCCTCTCAGCCGCAGCTCGGCATTTCTCCCGCGTGATCTCTTCAACACTACCCTGGATCTCAGGGAGATTGATATCTAAAACTTCGAGCGGGGTGGTGGACAGGATGGCTTTTACTTCTAGGACTTTGTTTTTGTTACCTGTCACGAAGATTAGGGGCGTAGGTGTGTCGGTCTCTGTCATTTTGGGTGGGATTGGATTGTGACTCAGGTCGTTGGGTATGACTTGGCTATGATATGTACTAATGGAGGAGCAAGGAGTGGATCTGATTAGGTTGGATTATATGTACTGTATGCATTGACTAGGTCATGTGATTGGCGTTTGGTGTTATTTTTCTTTATTGTGAAAGAATAGGTGGTGTTTATTTTTTTATAGGAGGTTATTGGGTTGTAATGCTTATTATTATGGAAGTTATGGGGATCGTTAGGATCAAATTGATATACAATGTATTGATGTATCGTGGTAATAAAGTGCGTGGACCGCTTAGATTAAAGTATTCCAGTAGATTTAATGCCGAGTCAATGCCGAATACGGCAGTCTTACTCCGTACTCCGAGGCGAGGTCGTGACTCATAAGGCTGGGCGAGAACTTCGAGACCGCGAGATCGGAGGGACAATCAGGTGCCTGAGGCAGTGAGTGAACATCGGCGCTGGAAATTGGTCCAAGAATGAGAGAGATGACAAAGGGAAAGACGACCGCTAACACAAACACCATGCACATTCGTGCTCTGCCTTGTTACCCCATATTCCGTGGAGAAAGAAATTGATATTGGCGATATACCAAAGCCTCTAACTTGAAGGACCATAAGACTTGGTCCATCTGCCAATAGATCCAAGAAAGGAGATAAGAGAATCAATGTACTCAGAAAATTCCCCAATTCTGACAATGAAGTGACGCGAAGCAATTATAGCTAGTCAATATATGCTGCGCTTTCCGCAGAAAGTTTTGTAGCGAACCCATCCTAGAGCAATTCCACTTCCGTGCACAGCCATATCTCGGCGAGCAAGACTCCTCCAAGGTACTCATTAAGGAAAATCATAAAACTAGTTCCGGACATACGACTCCCGCACGCGATCGCCCTTATGGCTCCAGATTTTCCACTCCCCAATTCCAAATTGGGCGATGGCTTTACTCTTCAAAGCTGAAGGGTCCCCCAGAATAAGATTCGCTGGCCGGTAGGTGGTGTCGGCTTGCATTCGCTCAATCGCAGAGACGTGGATCTGCGCATACTTTGGGATGTCTCGCATCTTTCCCCGATGTAGCGGCCACCGAGTAGCTTTCCACCCGCCGTCTAGTTGTAGCACCATGCGTCGGAATGGTATATACTCCATCAGATTCCATGAGCGGGCTGCGCCGACTGAGACCCCCTCACCCGACTTGAGATAATCATGCAGTATGCCCTTTGTGCTCGAAAGATGAAGCGACCTTTCAATGTCACCAGTGTTGTCCTCAGTCGGGTTTCCATTTTCCCCGTTACTAGAATCATCAGTCTCTTGCCTCTCACTACTCATAAGCTGCTTGAGCTTGTCTTGGTCGAACTGGAGCCCAGCACGCTGAGCCTCCTGCACCATCCAAACGAGTGGCCCGTGAGACAGCTTCCATGCTTCATTCTCACTGAAGTTCCACCCTCCACCTACATCCGCATGGCCACCAGGGAACCACACTTCCTGAATGTCCTGCTCGATTGAATCGCAAGCGACGCTCCCTTCATGGCCGATGTTCTTGCCGGCAAGGATCGGCTTGGGGGGGCCTTGGGTCGGACAAGTTGTCGCAGACTTAATTCTCCATGGCCCTAGGCGCCGACGCGGCCGGAGCCGATACTCTTTTGTGGGATCTATTAGGACCGGGTAGAATTTGACCCTGCGCTCATCGATACTCAGAGCATGTCTGATTATCTTAGACGAAGGTTTGACCTCCGAACTGACCTGGAACTCGGCGGTGCTGTTGACGGTATCGAACAAGCCAAGGAAGTGAACTGGATCCACCGCGCGACAGACTGTTTCGCGGCAGGCCTTCAGAAAATTCCAAGCTTTCACCTTCTCCTCACGCTCGCATGCGTTCGTCCCTCTGATCGTTAGTTTATAGGATGAAAACGCCTCCCAGATGAAGGGGATCATTTCTTCATTGTCGACAGACAGCAAACCGGTATAGTCAAGCATCTCGTTCAGGAAGCGAGCCGTGTATGCTCCGCGGGAGAAACCAAAGATGTAGATCTGGGATCCAGAGCGGTAATGTCGCATGAGAAATCGATAGCCTCCGAGCACATGCTGGTCGAAGGAGACAGCCAAGGCTGAGTCGAGGATCTTGTTGCTGAAGAGTTTACTGTGGCGTCGCATGGGGTTGCTGCTGAGGGAGGTCGGAGCAATCTCGGTTCCAATACCAGCTATTCTGAAGTCAGTATAGAGGTTGCAGCCATGACAGAAGAGGGTTCGGTACGCTGATAGTAGCAGTCTGCATCTGATGTTAGTACACAAGCACACCTGAGAAGAGGGAATAGGAACATTCATAAGTTATCATCGTCTCGCTTGAGCATGCGGTAAATTTTTAAGATATTGCTCTCGGTGCCATCTGCCTGGAAAGTGTTGGATGTGCCGTCGAAACATAAGACGATGACGCGCTCCGCGGATTGCCTATGTTCAGGGCAGGACATGATCAGCACATTAAAAGGCGACGAGGTTTTTCGGAGGTTATACAACAAGAAAGTTGGAGTGCGACGAGTCTGTCCCTTATAGAGTTTGGATTTCGCCTCCATGAACTAATTGACCTCTCGAAGATTCGGTTCAAAAGCTAGTATTCTCCGCCCCCCTTTCTAGGCGTAAGAAGGTCGATCATCTCCAGCTGATAGTTCATTCCACGCCCCACTGTTGCTTGACTAGCTGGTTACTGCTCGTCCAACCAGCGCTCGAAACTGCAGACGACACGAGAGATCTGCTATCTCCACCATTCTTATCCCTTCCTTTTCCAAATATGCGATCATCCATCAAAAATTTTCTAGTTCGTCACTGTATCCCGCATTCTCGTAAAGGCCAATGCTCAGACCTGCAACACTCAATGAACTGTTGATGCGGATTCGACTCCTCAGGAATTACGGTAGCGAGCAGGTGAAGCTTTGTTTGATACGGTGATGTCAAAGGATATCTGAAACATATACATATATAATCCTAAACTAAATTCCACAACAGAATAAAGCAAGACCAAGTAAATAGTTTAGTATACGGTTTAAAGAGAGGGAGTGGGGAGGGAAGAAAAGGAGATGAGGGCTGCTCAAGCGTCGGAGAGAAGAAAGCAGCTGCTACCAGTGGCAACCACCTTAACTGTGGCTTAACATCAGGACGATGCCTAAGTTTAAACCCAAATGACCCCTACATCCCCTAGCGATCACGTAAGTTGGAACACTGTCCAATAGAGGGGTCCCAATGTTTCGCTCAAGACTCTTATGTATACTATGTCTATTGCAAGAAACGTCAGCAGCTACGCGCAAATCCACTTTCAGGAGCCTGATTTGGAGGGCTAAAGAACTTACCAGACGGTCGGACTTTTCAGATATCTCCTGGATATCGGGGAATTAGAATGTTGGAGACGTAATAAAAAAAATACGGAGTTGATATTCTCCGACTTCTTTCCATGCCCGAGGTCTTTCTTTTTGGAACGCTGCCGTGTGTGAGGGTCTGAATGAGAGTTGAAGTATGAAACCCTCTAGGGGAAAGCAAATTCAATGCCATAGATGCACTGAAAGAATCAAGTCCAGGCCCGAAAAGTACACCTTCTGCATCTTGCTCAACCAAACTTCGTCTCTATAGGACTAGATCATTTTAAGCCACCGTGGTCGAGAACTAACTGAAATAGTCCCTGGTGCGGTAAATGTCCTGGACCTCTTGTAAGTCCGTAGTAGTTAGGCTAGCAAATTTAACTGAATCGGTGCCATGTATTCCTTCAGTAGACGGTGGTCAGCTCGGATTCCTTGAATGTTCGGGAAGTCTGAAGATATTCATATGTAAGCTAACTTCAGTAGATTATTAATCCACTAAAGCTACAACTAACGTCCGCAGGAGAAGACCAGTTCAAAGTGTGTAAAGATCGCAGTGTTATAATTGCATTGTATGACATTCCCTTCCCCGACCCTTTCAACTACAATCAACAGTAGAACAAGGCAAACAGGAAGATATATCCTTCATCATCAAGCCCCAACACCCAAGTCAGCCTAGACTGAGACGATCGGCGTGGTGGCATAGCCATAAGCATTTTTAGTGTATTTCCCAAAGCAGGGAATGTCAAGATGGAATCTAACTGACCAGATTCTTATCAACACAGAGATGCCCCAGGCCCGACCACCCACCCATTCTTAGGGCCATGAAACACTGGAAGGGCTAGTGCTGCGGGATAGCACCACAGACTTAAATTGTCACAAAAACAGTTGTAGCTAGTAAAATCGCCGTAGTTAGCACAAGTTGGAAACAGGAGAGACAGACATTCTACTCGCCAGATCTGATTCGAGACGACATTGTCCCAGGCCCGACCCAACCACCCAACCATGGGGCCCAGAGAGCTAGACGATCGGTTAGTGCTGGCAGGTTAGTACTCCAGACCCTACCCAACCACCCTACCAAGGCCTGAATGCTACAGGTTGAAAAAAAAAAAATTTGGTCCCAGGCCCGCCCAACCACCCAACCACCGGGACCCGGGAGCCTACAGTCAGGAGTGAAGAGAGAGTGAGGAAAGGGGCGCGTTGAAGCCTGTAGCGGATTCATACGACGCGAGCTATTCAGTGGGCAGAGATGGGGGAGAGGCAGGTGTATGGGAGCATAGAGAGCGAGGAGAGGGGCCTAAGAAAAAGAATTAATAGCAACACTGAGAAGGAAAGACGAGTAACACTTACAGCTCCTACATTGCAGAATCCCAACGGCCAGTGGATCCGGAGCAGATCCATACAATCCGAGCTCTATAGTGAGCAGAGGAGGGGAGAGGAAATGAATGTGCTATGGAAGGTAGAGAGCGAGTAAAGGGGTTCTCACAAATGCAGTCAGCTAACACCACAGAACGTCTAAGGGAAGTGTTACTTACAGCTCCTACATCGCAGGAACCCAACGGGTTAAAGTTCTGAAGCAGATCCATACGACGCGAGCTCTGTAGGGGCAGAGGAGAGGGGGAGAGGGCGAAGAAGTAGAGATAGTCCCACAACACAGCCAAAACGCAACACGAAGTCGAGGATGACACCCGACCGAATGATTGATCCTCGCACTTCCAGTTCTGGCACTTGAAGAAGTGGACGGATATGTCGTGGATCGTTGCATCTAGTCGGTTGTGACGACCCAGCTGACGCTACAGGGACTGGGGGCAGAGAAAAGATGGGAGATGAGGTGGACGGTGCAGGGCTGGGAGTGTAAGGTTGAGGAAAGAAGAAAGAAAGTGGGAGGGAGGAGCAGAAGAGATGAAAAGAAGGTAGGTAGGCCATCGCTACATCATTCACGGTGTCAGGTGAATCAAAGATGCAGTGAATACTATCATGATTGCCTGTTTCAGACATTTCCAAGGAAAATTTCTACACAATGACGGCAAGTTCGTGTCACAAGACTTTTGCAGAGCGGGAGAGTAGGTAAAAGAAATTTCCATTGCTAATGCACGGTATCTATAGAGAAGACTCGCGAACTAAAGAACATAAGGCATGATCACGAGTAACAGGCATAGTATAAACCAATATGAAACACTTTTTTTTTTTTGTTTTCCCCATTCAAAGGTTCCCCTTGTTCAGCCGGTAATCAAAGACTGTGGTCGAATAGCAAATGGTATAAACCTCGTCATACGTACGGAGCAGATACATGCCGTCGACGTCTACGATCGATCAATCATCACTGTAGTCCTAGCGAGAGCGGGATCCCAGCCAGTATCCTTTCCTTCATGATAACCCGTTCGCAATCGTTATTGGCCATGATCATAGATTTTCTATCATCTCGTAACAAGAGAAGCGGCATTCATCTGGAATAGATCGTAAATGTGAAGCGCCCCGGATTCGTATACGCTTTAAACAGTGTACTTGGCCTTCGCCCTCGTGCTACCACTGTGTGCACTGTCCGTGTGTCCCGAGAACTCCACAACTTCCGACTCTTTCAGACGGAGAACATCCTTGAACCGGCGGCCGATGGACTCAAGAACCTCCTTGCCCTGGGCAGGTGTACGGGCGTTCTTGTCGCCCGGAATGCTCTTGCCCACAGTCCGTGTCCACAGACCGACACGGTAAAATCCCTTACGCACATTCACAACGACTCCCATAACCTCGCTGTCACCGTCATTCTCGAGAGTCTCGCCAATGGCTGCCAGTTGGGCATGGAGCCACAGATCATCGATCGGTACGGAACGCTTGTCTTTGAAGGAATACGACCACTTGCCGCCGTGCTTGTTCTGAGGATCTTCCCACTCAGGTCGGATACCCTTCTTGAAAAGGTGATAGTCTGCTTTGAGGCCCAACTCGGAGGTCGGTGTGATGTTGTTCTGATGAGAGCGTCCATGTGGGTCAGCAAACAATTGAATTTCGAACGATGACAGGAAAGAGGCATACGTAGATTCCCCAGAATTCTTCAACCGAGTTAAATGTGACAACTTCCTTCAAGAGGTCGTTCCAGTTATCGCCCTGTACATCGAACATATCGTTAGTGATGGCCCTCTTCAGTCCACCGGCGGGAAGAGCACGCATACCTTGCCGCTAGGAGGCTTGGTGAACCACAGGGTCCATTCATGCATGAGAGGATGCTTCACGTTGAAGTTTTCCGGGTCATGGAACACTGTGATGTTGTCGCCATTTGTCTTCTCAGTCTCTTCCCTCTGCTCGGGGGCGGCAACACCGGGCGCGGTGTTCTCGTCATTCACCGGTACGGGACCGTTTTCAGCAACAGCGGCCATTATGGATGTGAATAATCGAAATTAAATCGAAATTAAAGGGGTAATGAAGTCAAGCGAAAACGACGCGAGCGACGTTGCGGTGATCGAAAGGCCGGAAACGCTGTCGGAGGGGCGAGGAAAAAGTCTCGGTAGGCGAAGGCAAATTTTGTGTTAGCCGTTAGGAAAGAGCAACCCCGGCAAACGAGAGGGATATCAAAGTGGTTGGTGCGCGGCGATCCTGTTGTATTTGAGCGTCTGCTCCAGGCAGAATCACGGCGTCCGTCGTTTTCTGAAAAGGGTGGATAACACTGTGGAAAGGACAATCCGAAGTTTTGAAGCGTTTGGAGATGCGGCAGCTTGACGACAGTGCAACTTTTCCCCTTTGGGCGACGGTACCTTTCTAGGCCTCCTATAGGCTGCGGCTCTCCCCAAACCCCAGCCCTAATATTTGATCAGTCAAATGGCTACTACTAGAGATCCAGATCATGAAAAAGTAGCTTCTAAATATAATTTTCTATATACCCGCAGAAATATAGTACAATAACGGCCAAAATATACCCGGTTTAGCCAAGCACGTCTATTTTTACCCGAATTGTTCTAGATGTTGCGCCCCAAAATGAAAAAAGGGAAGGGAAAAGTGAGATAACGAAGAAGTGCAAAAAAAAAAAACATCTATGGCCCCGGAAACAAGCCCAAAAAGTCTTTGATGTATCAGCTGTATAATCAAGGGGTATCTCTAAATGCAAGGTCTCCAAAATATTGAAGAAAGGGGGTGCAGTTATTTATCGCCGCTATTGATCATGCTCAGAAGGCAGTTCCAGCCTAAAACAGCCAATGTCAGCACTATGTGAAACCTTTGCTAAAGATGAGGGAGCATACCCAAGCTGACCAAATTAACAACGAGCACACGATATTCCAGTGGCACAATAGCGAAGTTGACACCTTGAACAAGGGGCCAGATGGTCAAGTTGGCCTTGTAGCTGGGAAGGAAGCTGTTACGCAACTTCTCAATGGGGTCTGAGCCTTCCATGATGGCCATGGAGGTCAAGAAGCAAGTAAGATGGGTCGGAGTGAACAGACACTGATCTGCGGCAACACGGGCAACAATAGTGGCCTTGCTGTTCTTCAAGACCACGTTACGTTGAAGGAAGCCGTACCAGGTGGTGGCAGCAGGCCCAAAGATTGCTATACAGATCAGTAAACAATTCAACAGAGACAAAAGGATTCCGATCAATAGGGAGAACATAATCAATAAAGACCTACCTCCACCGTATAGGGCCATGCGGCCCGTTCTAGCAAAGTCATGCTTCTCAAAACCCTTGCGATCGACTAGCTGCTGGGCAAGCACATCACCGCTACCAAAGAGCACCTGTCACGCGTCAGAAAGAAGACAAATTTTATTTTCGGAATTGGAAACAAGAGCATACAGCACTGGTCACACTGGCTGTGAGAATGGGCTGCTTCGCCAACTTGGTCTGATACCTGAATAGAGAGATAAAGTTTTAGCGCCAGGAACCGAACAGGTTGCGGAGCGGAAGACGTACCAGCGAAGCATCTTGTTGGTAACGGGGAAATAAGGGTCAATTGGGATGGAGGAAGTTCAATTGAGCACGGCGATGGCTGTCCCAGTGAGAAAAAGATTGATCAAGGGAAGGTGGATGGGGGAATCGAGAAGAAAAATGTCTAGACAGGATAACAAAGAAATAACTTGACATATGCACCAAACGACACATGACCCCCCCAGACCGCCGATAAGAATAGCAGGATCGCAACAATCAGCGCCACGCCCGCAAACTATTGGAGTGAAAATCTCCCAATGGGGTAGGCCGACGTCACCTGACGTGGGCGCCAGCGGGTTGCCCAAACGGGTTCACCGCCTAGGGTATAGGGTTTGCGTGGGCTCGGTTAGCGCACGAAATTTCCGTGAGCCAAACAGTTGTGTGTGGATAGTGAGAGCGAAAGTCAACCTCGACGTCGACAACCCCTCAACGACACCCTCCCGTCCGTTACCTCTCCCCGTACGGTTCATTTTCAACTCGCCATATATATCCAACATGGCTGACGCTGCTCCTCGTGGACGTGGAGGATTCGGTTCCCGCGGTGACCGTGGTGGTGATCGTGGCCGTGGCCGTGGTCGTCGTGGTCGTCGTGGCCCCAAGGAGGAGAAGGAATGGCAGCCCGTCACCAAGCTCGGTCGTCTCGTCAAGGCCGGCAAGATCACCAGCATGGAGCAGATCTACCTCCACTCTCTGCCCATTAAGGAGTACCAGATCGTGGACTTCTTCCTCCCTAAGCTCAAGGATGAGGTCATGAAGGTACGAAGCGAATTTTTCATTCGGAGGAAACATAAGCCAGTGGAATTCGTGCGAATGCGCCGATTTGTGTAATTGGGGAAGCGCTGTCGAAATTGATACACGCCAGATGGGATTCGGATGAATATCAGGGAAATCTCATATAGCAGCCGCTGACGGTTTATTTCTTTTTTCCACATTACAGATCAAGCCCGTCCAGAAGCAGACCCGTGCCGGTCAGCGTACCCGTTTCAAGGCCGTCGTTGTCATCGGTGACTCTGAGGGCCACATCGGTCTCGGTATCAAGACCTCCAAGGAAGTCGCTACCGCCATCCGTGCCGCCATCACCATTGCCAAGCTCAGCGTTCTCCCTGTCCGTCGTGGTTACTGGGGTACCAACCTTGGTGAGCCTCACTCTCTGCCCGTTAAGCAGAGCGCCAAGTGTGGTTCCGTCTCCGTCAGAGTATGTTACGAAATGCGCGATCTCCCGGTATCATGAACAGCATGCTAATCCATAACAGCTTATCCCCGCTCCCCGTGGTACCGGTCTAGTTGCCTCCCCCGCCGTTAAGCGTCTGCTCCAGCTTGCCGGTGTCCAGGATGCCTACACCAGCTCCTCCGGTTCTACCAAGACCCTCGAGAACACTCTCAAGGCCACCTTCCTTGCCGTCATCAACACCTACGGCTTCCTTACTCCCAACCTGTGGAAGGAGACTAAGCTCATCCGCAGCCCTCTTGAGGAGTTCAGCGATGTCCTGCGTCAGGGCAAGAAGTACTAGATTATTAGTGCCGTGACGGGGAATAAACTTGCATGATTGTTATTTTTTCTTGAACCATTTTTCCTACGGGATTTCTACTTTTTTTTGGCTGTAGGATCGGAAAAGCTGGAATGAACTTCTTATCTCACGCTCTGCTACGCTACTTACGGCCATGGATGTAATTACGGGAGGGACAACTAAAAAAGAAATAGCGTGAAGTGAATGAAGCTTCCTTTTCGCCAGTCACGATCTCTTTAAATAAATCATGTGGGAAGATATCGCTCTGTAAATGCTGCACCCCGCAATTAGATGATTTAGATACGGCCTACATTGTCTACTTATCGGGTGACAAGTAGTAACTGATAACTAGACCCTTGATGATCCATGATCATCAAACTACTGTCTTTGGTAGAACCATTATTCACATCATGACATAAAAGTTTTGTCCATTGCAGAATATTCCTCTAGGCTTAAATCAAGAATTGAAAATTTCAAACTTGGTTAGATTTACGGAGTAGTGAGTTTATGACCTTCGAGGAATGAGTTCATGTGGAGAAGTATTATATATATCCGCAGTAACTATATATCACGTCCTATCACGTCCGTGCGCTTGTCCAAGATGGAATGTTTGGAGAACACAAACGAACTTAAATAAAATCAATTGAAATATCTTATGAATGCAAAGATGAAAGGAATAGTTTACATTTGGATTTACGGAACATAAATATTTTTCACAATGTACGCTATCAACCAATTCTGCCAGAACGTCCGCGTCTACAACACATTAACGAGTCCAAGGTTAGGTTCACCGCAACATAAGCCTGATCTCAACAAGGCTTTCCAACTTAAAGTAATCGGATATATCGGAAAGTATAAGAGAGACTCTGGAGCGCGTGGCTGTAGTGGTATCCCTGCGGCGGGTACTTCCATGTCACTTTCTTTTGCCTATGTCATATTTTAACAATTGCAAATTCGCTCGATGTATCAAGTGAGTTCTGCAATTTTTTTTTCTGCGGGATAATTGAGCATGACTTAGGCATAAGTTGCCACGCAATACCACCATAAGAGGCGGTCAAATCTGGCGGATTGATTGATTTATTTTTCTTTGAGAGATATATATATATATACGTTCAGTGGACACGAAAAGTGTGGAATAGATTATGAATTGATATTGAGAAAGATCGCTCAGCAAAGTTATTTGATATCGATGTCGGGTTTTTGGTGCTCAATTTGTGGATTCTATACTGATCCCCATATTGACTATGACTAGATAATCCGATGCGAGTTGCCTCATACTTTCGAAATTGACCAAGAAGTGAAAATTTTCCTTGTCTGTTGATTTACTAACTACTAGACTAGTCCTGCTAGGTACTAGTAAGATCATTGGAGTGGCTGTGTGATCTCAGATTGGTCCGGTGGCGAGCTGCCATTGGGATTATTTTATCAGATCATCAGATAAGGAGCGGTTGCCCCCCTTGGCCTATCTGCAGATGGATCCCCATCATTTAGTCAGCCAGCGAATGTTGCCCTTAGTCCTTCCATTCATACGATTTTAACGCGATCTAGGGCTGAAGGTTGCGGCACTTGCAGAACCTGCCAATTATGTCGCTGCTTGGCAAGACCTTATGGTGAGAATTCTGCTTTGCGATGCCGTTGACCATTATGAGTGGTGTGCACTAATGTACTATGAACGCTGGAAACTTGACCGAGGACCCAGAGGGAAAATAGTTGTTTAGTGTACCCGTCTAAGCATATTGTACGGAAGTTCCCGACGGAGTAGTGGTATGCTACAGCATTTCTCGTGGAAGGAATTGACTATTTAGCAGCCGATCATTCCTCCGCTCCCGAGTGGATCCATGGACTGAGTTTTGTTTTCACTCTTCAATTTGGGCTCATTTGATAGCCCACTCTTTGTCCGCATTCTGGACATACTCTGCTCATCATGAAGTTCCGACTACCTGTTACCGGATGAGATACTGGTGGAAGTGAAGCGACACCCCGAAGATGAATTGATGAAACCAACGCTGCACCGCAGTCGGTGTCCTATCAAGGGGCTACCTCCCAGGCTGATCAAGTGGATAATGACAAAAGCATCTGGTGAACCCAGAGTTCCAGCATGGTGTGCAGAGCGCGCAGGCTATGACTCAGGCTTGGTCTATGCAGCATTTAATTCTTGCTTATGTGATAGTTAGTGTCATCGAGATGTATTATCTACATTGTCGCGAGTCAATGCTGAGAATAGGATTGACACTAAGATCTGGATTATCTATTTCGTTAAGAATTTCGGGTTCGGGATCATCGGCACACGGACTCCATACATTTTACCAGCTCCTTCCAAGGAACACTTGTTAACTGGCACTACCCTACCACCATCCTGTCGACGCTTGTTGGAGGTCTGTTCAAACTTCCTTATGTCAAGTTAATTGATATCTAGGGCCACCCTCAGGCCTTTGCCTTGATGATCGTCTGTATGCCCGTCGGACTTATCATGATGGCGGGATGCAACAATGTCCAGACATACTGTGCGGCGCAGGTATCCTACTCAGTGGGTTCTACTGGCGTGGACTTCGTCATGACCATCTTCATCGCCGATACGTCCGCTCTCACAAACCGAGCGTTTTGGCTCGCCTTCACCGGATCTCCTTACATTGCTACTGTCTGGGCATACGGCTAGCGATGGAAGACATCATGAACGGCATGGAATGGCGATGGGACTTTGGAATCTGGGCGAATTATTACGCCGGTCATGTTGACGCCACTGTTCTTCCTCTTCTACTACAACCAGTGCAAGGCACAGAAGGCCGGTCTCGTCCTGGAGCGCCACAGCCAGCGCACCGCCCTGGAATCCATCACCCACTACGGGAAGGAGTTTGATGTGATCGGCCTACTCCCCCTCAGTGCCCACTGTTCCTCTTGGCCGTCCAACTTGTACTCAAAGCAGCCGGACGGGTGAAACCCCCCTCCACCCCCCACCACCAAACTGATTATCAGCTTCATCATCATCGGTAGCCTTCGCTAATCGCCTTCCCCCTTTACGAGCGATACGTCGCTCCCGTCACGTTCATCCCCTGGTCGCTCTTACTTAAGCGCACCGTCTTCGTCCGCTACACCATGGCGGCCAGCATTTGCCTCGCCTGGTACCTCTGGGACATCTACTTCTACTCGATGCTGGTTGTAGTCTTCAACCAAAGCCTCACACAGGCCACCTGTTTCATCAACATCTACAGCGGGGGTCCCTGCTTCTGGGTAGTCCCATGGGGATCCTGATCCGCTACAACGGCCGTCTCCGATGGACAGCGCTCTACTTCGGCGTGCCGATCACCGTCCTCGGCGTGGGTCTGATGGTCTACTTCCGCGAACCGGGCGTCAACATCGGGTACATCATCATGTGCCAGATCTTCATCGTGTTCGGCGGAGGCACGCTGGTGATCTGCGAGCAGATGACCGTGATGGCGGTGTCGTCTCAGCAGCATATCCCCGCCGTGCGGGCCATGGAGAGCATGCTCACCAACATTAATAGTGCGGTGGGCAGGAACATTGCCACGGCGCTGTGGGCGGGTGTGTTTCCCCGGAAACTGGAGGAGTATCTCCCAGCGGAGGTGCGGTGTTGGATCTGGCGAATATCTATGGGGATTTGACGGTGCAGGCGTCGTATCCGGTGGGTAGTGCGGCGAGAGATGCGATTAATCGGTCGTATGCGGAGACGGCAGCGGCTGATGCTGATTGCTGCAATGGGTTTGTATACGGTGACATTGGTCTCGGTGATGATGTGGAAAGATGTTAATGTGAGCGAGACTAGGCAGGTGAAGGGGCGGGGGTTTTGTAAGGAGCGATTTAAAGTAAGGGATATATAAGGCCCGGGTGATCGACAGTAAATAGAGTGGAAAGAATTCCCGGTTTGCCGTAGAATAAAGAATCACACCATAATCCGGCTATTGAATACATCCATGTCCATCTGACATAACGGGGTAGACGGAATTGGAATGCTTCGGGAGGGATGGAACACGAATCAGAGGAGCAGGACGGGAGCTTGGCCCACGTTCCAGCTTCATCTCCTCCGCAACAAGAAGTAGTTTAAAATCTATTTGGTTGCCATTCGATGTCTTCTATTGGCTGCCTTTGAAGGGCTCGCCATGTCGATGACGACAACATAGAGGTCAGCATGACGATTATTTCTCGTAAGTGCATTTCAAGTATTTTTTGTTTCTTCTATTAGATTTATCTAATACTTAAATATTTATATTTCTTTCCTTCTCACCTTCTTTCACTCTTCTTCACATTTTGATTCAGTCATAGTCAGTTATCTTGAATATTATACTTGTTTGTATTACACTTTCCCAACGTTAGGCTAGGAAACCTTGAATTCCAAACGCGATGATCGATCCACCCGTTGATATGAACGACTACTTTGACACCTTCAGGACTAAGGTGCCCACACACACGCCGACCTCCATCGCGCCTGTGCCCACCGTTGTCCCCGGCAATGAACCTATCTTTCAGGAACTGTCCAAGACCAGTCAGCGAACGTTATGGTATAGCGACCTTATACTTCGATCTATAGACTGTCCAGACGCTAATTACATCAATCTAGGGTGGTGGTCGTGCTCATGGCCATCTCGGCCCTCGTGTTCTACACCCTCGGCTCCCGAGCACCACTAGTAAGCCTCGACGACTCCCATGTTGTTGTTCCCATCCAAGGTCCAAACTAACCCATCCCAGCCCAAACGCGTCGTCCACACGCTGATCTCCATCTCCACCACCATCTCCTTCATCGTCTACCTCGCGCTCGCCACCGGTGAGGGCATCACTTACAAACACGACGTCCTCACACACCACAACAAGCACGTCCCCAACACCCACCAGGATGTCTACCGTCAAGTCCTCTGGCTCCGGTACGTGAACTGGTTCCTTACCGACCCCCTGGCGCTCATCAACCTCGCCCTCCTGTCCGGTCTCCCCGGCGCCCATCTCGTCGTCGCCATCGTCGCAGACTGGATCATGCTCGGCTCCGGCCTTCTGGGGACCTACGCCGGCCACACCCCGCGCCGGTGGGTCTGGTTCACCATCAGCGCCATCGGATACCTCACCACCGTCTACCATATCGGTATCAATGGTTCCCGTGCCGCCACCAACAAGGAGGCCCAGACCAAGCGGTTCTTCGGCACGGTATCTGGTGTCTCCTTGTTGATTAAGGTTTTGTTCCCTGTGTATGTTCCTACCTTTGTTCCAAAGTAGGAAAAATTGTTCGATGCTGATGATCGGTCTAGTTCTCTCGCGGCCGGCGCTCTGGCTCTGAGAATCAACGTCGACTCCGAGACCGTCATCTTCGCTATCCATGATATCTTCTTGCAGGGTATTATTGGCTACTGGCTTGTTTTCACCCATGATGCGTCGCCTGGGATGTAAGTCACTACACAGTCCATGATATCATCGGAGTAGAAGCTGACAAGTATAGTACCGTTCTCGTTGACGGTTTCTGGTCCCACGGACTTGGTAATGAGGGCGCGATCCGCATCACGGAAGAAGAAGGCGCTTAAGTCACGGATTGCAGTTACTTGTCGAGACGGATACCAGGGTGAAATGATCAAAGGATCAGTTGGAAGAAGAGTTGGATGGCGAGAGTGATTGTGGCGCAGACGAGACTGAAACGGATGGAAAAAGTTGCAGAGGATGGAATGAGTCTGATATTGATGTTGAGTTGCTTTCGGGTTACCTGTACAGGTTGGTTTCCTGTAGGCGTTGATTGATTTAGGAGTCGGGATTATAATAATCGTAATAAATGGTGTTTTGATATCTCATAAATCTTATTTCTTAAAGCGCTTTTTTTTTTTTTTTTTGCGAAGAACAAGTTCTAATCTGCTAGAGTAAAACCACGTTTCGTCAAGTGACTTGATCACTATCCACATCCCCAACCCTACTCTCCACCACCCTATACATATATAAAGCCTCCTAACAAGCACCACGAACACTAACAACCCGAATCTCCCCGTTCTCAATCCACCTCCCAACCTCCACGCCCTCCTCCCTCTCAAAAACAACAGAAACACCCCCCATTCCCTCCCCCAACGAAAACCCCGCATCCACACAATCCCCCCGAAACCGCACACGTTCCAACTGCCCCGCATCAAACCACTGCAAAATCGCATCCGCATCAACCACAAACCCACTCAACACAAGCGTCTTGATCGACAGCCGCGTCCGTGTCCGCCCCACCGACATAGCCTTCACCTTCGCTTTCTCAATGCAGATTTTATCCAGGTACGCCCCCAGCCCGATATGCGGAGCCAGGGTTCCCGTTCCATTTCCACTTTAGATTCAGATTTCAGTAGCCACTCCATCCACTCTGTGCCTATCTTGACCTTGACTTGGGTAAGGAAATATAACGTACTAATAAACCGGCTCCTCATACTTCCCCATACTCAGTTTCCACCCGCCGCGGATAACAGGCCACTGGGAGACGTAGGGCCTGCGGAGGGAAGGGGGCAGGGCCATGCCGAGTTCGAGGTCTTCGAGGTGGGGGTTTAGCCAGGCCGTTTGCCAGATGGTGGGTTGGTAGGGGTTCATCATGCCGACTAGTTTTAGGGAGCGGAGGTTGCGGAAGTGGGTTAGGGGAGCGAGTTCGATTGTGGGGAGGGAGAGGGGGTCTTCTTCTCCTTCTCCTCCCATTCCATTTGTCTCTTCTTTGAGAGGATGAGAATGAGAGTGAGAGTGGGAGTGGGGATTATTGGGTGCGTGAGGAAGAGGGATCGGCCAGAATAAATCCAGTCCTAGGTTCTCTCTGTCCGTTGACAGGCGAGACCAGGTTTGGCCGCCGCGGAACTCTTCTAGTGGTTTTGTGGGAGTGGCTTGGCCATTTGGGATTAGCTGGGGTTGGGCTTCTCGCTTTCGACTGTTGCTTAGGCCGCGGATGAGGGTTAGGGGCAGGCGGAGGAGGGATCTGGATCGCGAGCTTGAGCGGGTCCTTTTGTGGCTGGGGTCAGAGTGTTCAGTGATGGTCGGGGTCTGGTCTGAGGTGTCGTCGGAGCAGAGAGAGGAGCGTGCTCGGCGGCTTCGAGTGAGGGAGGATGAGCCCGTGCTGTGCAAGCGGCTTAGCGAGAGTGCTTCGCCCATGCTGAAGCGGCGGCTTTGAGGGGAAAACTTGGCGGTGGTCTTGGGGTCAGTCATTGTTGGCGTTGGTGCGACTGGCTGAGGCTGTGTGTGCGAGTGTGATGGTTGTTCTGGGCCGATGGTGAAGGGGAAGCATTCGTGGAGGGGCTTTTTGACTTCTGTAGTCTTGGATGCTGTAGGCTTGGATTCCATGAACTTCGTTTCTGTGAGGGTAGAAGGTTAGTATAGTAGATAGATATTCTTCCGAGGATGCGGAGGGGGAGGAGGTTGTACCTGCTTCAATGGAGTCATTCATGGCTTTGTTCCACTCTTCTGCGTCACGCCAGAAGGCGTAGCCAAAGAGGGTTGACTCCCAGTGGGACTTGTGTTTGTCCATAGTCTCAGTGTTATGTTGCCTGGTAAATGCTGAATGAGAGGCGAGGGACTACAGGTTGTTTCTGGCGGAGAGGAGTATAGGATGTTTGTGGAAGAAGGAAAGCGCTGGAGAAAGAGAGGGGAGCATACGTGGGCAGTGAAAGAATTAAAGGAGATTTTATACCTGCTGAGCACAACAGAGAACGTGTATACGAAGCTAAGGGCAGATGTTATGTGGTTCCCTCAAACAGTGCGAAACAGGGGTTGTAGAAGCCGATGACTTCTTGTTACGCATATTGCAGTCTTTGTATCAATCTTCAATTCACCCCTCAAAACACCAGCAAACCTCCAAAGCAAAGCACATCATACACTCCTTCAACCCCTTAGTGCATGGATCTTTTTATCTATCATCCATCTAACAGCCTGGCATCTTCGTAATAACGATACCACTATTCAATTGCTCATTCCATTCACAACCGAAACAAACTACCGAACAGTAGGCACGCACCTTTTACCAGTTATACCCTCAAATCCACCGTCAGCTCATGTTAATAGCCTTCCTCTAGTGCTGAATAGGTTTCCATGGAGCTCATGCCGCTCTCTACCTGTCGTGGTAGGAAATCTAACGAGGAAGCTGCTCCTTCCAGGAGCCCCAGCCCTAGGACAACACTCGCGCGGAACATGTAAACCAGACCCAAGAGCCCTAGCTACTCATTTAATATCATGGAAAAGGTTTGTATGGATGAATCGAAGTTCTATTTCTATGTTATGCCAAATATCCTTGGAGCTGTTTCGGCTTTTTTTTTTTTCTTTCTTTCCAAGGATCAAGGCAACAGATATTAAAATTATACTAGGAAAAAATGCAGGGAATGCAGCGGTCTAGTAAAGACACGATCTATGTAGATCAGATGATGCACAAAAGAGTTCTATAACAGGGGATCAGACGAAGACAAGGAAAAAACCAAGCAAAGTACGGCTGAGAGAACCTTGAGCAGATCGCTAAGATAAGGATTGTAAAACTCAACCCAAAAGTAAATATAAGCAAAGCGAACCCGATGAGGTCTGAGTGAGTTATGGTATGTATGTACTTAGAAGATGAAACCAATGTATGTGCTGTATATTGAAATACTTTAACCAGACTTCTTCTTAGAGAATCGTTCTTTCAAGCTGTCCAGATTCCACTTCTTGACTCGGAACGAGTAGTACAGCATTGTTGCCATGAAGATATTAAAGAAGATGTACACCCACATGATGCCGAAGTTGCGCCAGCGCTCACTCCAATTGATGTTGACGGTGCCCAGGAAAGTGTCTGCGACTTCCACCGAGCAGTAGCTGCAGTCGGAGGTGGCGTTCGGGTTCGTCAACTGACCACCGGCCATTTGAAGGAATGGAGAGAGATACTCGCCGCAAGTTTGGCCGGACGGAGGATCAAAGATGGACATCTCCGCTGGGGAGCACTTAACTGCGCGATCGTGCAGCTGAGTGGAAGCCATTGCTGCTACCCAGTAGGTGAAGGGGGACACACGGTACATGAAGATCCAGAATCCGGGTAGCGCGGTCGGGGTTTGCATAACACCGCAGAAAGTGAGGGACATAGCAAAAATGAGGACAACGACGGCACTTGCAGTTTCGGTGTCAGGCATTGCGGCAATGCACATATGGGCGAAGGTGCTGGCGTAAATGAAGAATTGGATGCACAAGAGGAGGACGAGCCCCTGTCTCTCGGAGCCTTGGACTCCGACGACTGCGTAGTAGTAACAGGCGTATGTTAGGATGCCCATCACGATCTGGTATGGGATTTCGACGATGATGTTGGCGATTAGGAAGGCTTTCCATGAGTAGGTTTTGCTGGGTCTTTCACGGACTTCATAGAGGGATCGTTGAGTCACGAATAACGGCATAACCTGCTAGAGTCAGTTTCTGATTGAGCGACGAGTGAGCTGTCGACATACCTGTTGAACCAAAGACGAGAAAATGGAACACAGCATAAACAGCGAGTACAGGATAGTCTGCATTCCCTGGAGTGAAGACTTTGCCTGGAAGAACGAAAAGCCAATGAAAAGACCGGAGAGGATGCCTAGAATCCATTTGGATGCGATGTATTCCGGCATGCGCCAATACTGTTGGAAGACACGATAAGTGACGTGGTATAGCTGCAACCAGAAAGGCATGGCGAATTCCGACTTGGCCCACGCTGAGTTATCTTGATCATTAGCCTGTGTCTTCGCCTGCTGCTCCTTATGGATCCGATCAATCTCGGTCTGCACCGCCTGAGACTCGCTGCTCCGCTTCCACACGTCGAACCAGTTTTCTCCCTCGGAATTCTTTCCGGCATTCACGATTTCCAGCATCCACTCAGCAGGGTTTTCATCGTCAGCGCATTTGCGCGCCCCATTTGTCTCGAAGTAGTTAAGGAGAGTAGCAGAGTTCTCGCCAATTGGGCCAAAGTAAACGGTCTTTCCGCCACGTGCAAGGAACAGAAGTTGGTCGAACTGTTGGAAGAGAATAGCACTAGGCTGATGAATGGTACACAGAACGGCTTGTCCGCTGTCGGCGAGCTTTCGGAGGAAAGAGCAAATAGCCCAGGAGCTCTGAGAATCAAGACCACTGTATGATAATTAGTAATACTAACAGAACACGAAGACAAGGAAGTTTTACCTAGTGGGTTCATCCAAGAAGAGCAAGAGCTTAGGCTTTGCAGCCAGTTCCACACCTATTGTCAACAGCTTACGCTGTTCAACGTTCAATCCTTGGCCAGGCACACCAACTACCGCTTCAGCGAACTCCTCCATATTCAACATGCGGATCACGTCTTCCACATAATCATATTTTTCCTTGACAGATACATTAGGGGGTTGGCGAAGCATTGCGCTGAATCGAAGTGACTCGCGCACTGTAGCGGTTTCCAGATGTAGATCCTGCTGTTGAACGTAACCGGTGCTTCTCTGGAAGCTTTGATCAAGGCCTCGGCCATTCACAAACATATCACCCGTAATGACACCCATAGAGGTTCGGTGAGCCAACACATCTAGCAAAGTGGTTTTCCCTGCACCACTAACACCCATAAGGGCAGTCAACGTGCCTGGCTTGACCCATCCGGAAACATGATCCAATAGCCGTCGGGGCTCTCCCTTGATCTCGATATCATAGCAAACATCCCTCCAAGTAAAGATGTCCTTCTGTGGAGGTATGGCAGACACATCGCCCTCACTCCTCTCTGCGGTTGGCTTCATAGTATTGAGCTCCACCGCGTTCTCAGAATCGGGTTTCTTCGCACCGGCGCGCATGTGTGCCGGCTCGTGATTACGACGAAAGACCAAAACCTCGGCAGTGCTGCTAGTAGAGGAATTTAGCTCCGTGGCGATGAAGTAGATTAGCATGAATCCAACGAGGAAAGCGATCAGGATGCCGAAATTCCTCCACACATGCCCGTAGCTGTATTGGTAGTTGACCTGTATATAATCATCACCGCTGATTGAGCGTTGGCCAGCCTTTGAGCCGGGAGAGGAGCAAACAAAGGAGCTACCAGGCAAGCTAGGATATGCGGGGATAAATTGAGAGCAAATGAAATCGCGTCCGTGAAATTCGTTGGCAATTAGGATCTCAAATGCGTAAAAGATAGGGTCTGACCACAAGTTTAGTCATGTGCGAGAAATTATACGGGTAAGAAATAACTTACTCAGATAATGAATCCATTCGAACCAAGGATGCATCGAAGGAACAGGAATCACAAACCCCGTGTAGATAATCAGGGCCAAGATTAGTATTCCTGCCAAACCCATCGCTTGCGAGACTGTCTGTGTTATAGCCGCCATTGTACGGAAGACTGCGCTCATAACGAACATAACGATGAATGTTACCAGCAGATAGAGGAAGAATTGACCTGCCTCTCTGCGAAGTCCCGCCATGAAGTAGAGAATGAGGTTGAACACGACTGCTATGACAAACTTGACCGGTATATCACTGACGACACCTGCAATAGCTTCTGTTGCTGGGTGATAGAAGGCGTAGGAGTTATGTTTTTCCACAATTGGACGCTGCGAGTAAAGACTGTTGATTTCCGACATTGCAATGAGAGCGTTGAGTAAGACGGCGAAGAACAAAGTGGCACCTTTGGCTTGGAAGCCTACAGACGCATCAGGTGTTCCGTAAAACACCGATCCGATAATCAAGGCCATGATAATTTGACTGATCACAGTTGACACAGTGGAAGAGATATCGTTCCACACTCGTTGATACGCCCTCTTGGTGTTGAGCTTGATCTGCATGGGCACACTGAGAAGATAGGGAGACTGGGGACGAGTATGTTTCGCCTGAATTTCGCGCTTCTTTTGTTGAAAGCTTGCAAGGGCAGCTCCGGCCTCTTCCAAGGGATGACGCTGCTCGTGACGGGCAATCTCAGCTTGAAGTTGCTGGAATTCAGGGGACTTGCGCCAGTATGCTTCAAAATCCTCAGCAGTACGAGGAACCTGGTTTTCCATACCCGGGAGTGCTTTTCGTTCAGTGGGATTGGTCACCGATGTCAAAAAGTCTCCTGTGGTCTGTCGCTGAGGACATTCCCATCCTTGACGTTCGAAGTAAGCCTTTGCTTTCCTTGCAGGACCAAAGTAGATCTGACGCCCTTCGTAGAGGACTACCACTTTATCGAAAATGTCGTAGATGCTCTGACTAGCCTGGTAGATCGCCACCGCATGGGCAGAACCGGCGAGATCCGCGAACAAACGTAGTGCCTGCACGAACTTAAATGCCGTTGCAGAATCTAGGCCACGGGTGGAGTTGTCCCACGCTGCCAGAGGAGCGTGAGCCAAGGCCATCTCTGCGATACTGACACGCTTGCGCTCGCCACCAGAGACTCCGCGGACGAAATCGTTTCCGACTTTGGTATTGTAGGTGTGGCTCAAGCCAAAAACTGCCATGATGACCTGGGTCATATGCTTGGCGAACTCTTCGCGAGTCATGCCACGGATTCGTTGTGCTGGGGTTCTTGCTAAGGCGGCAAATTCGAGGGTCTGTCCGACGGTTAAATGAGGAAAGTGTTTGTCGACCTGCAATAATCCTTCATGTTAACCTTTGCTAAATCATTAAATCAACTCATGATTCATACCTCTTGGTTGTACACCACCTCTCCCTTAAACTCCTTAACCATTCGTTTCTGGGGAACACCTGCCATATCATACTGGTCAGCGGGATGCTCTAAGAGCCCATAACAATCGGCGATACCATACCATCATAGTGGATAACGCTTTCGTTGCTCAAAGATAGGCCATGTAGCTCTCCACAAAGAGACTTGAGGAAGGTACTACAGCCAGATCCTGGACGACCTAGCACGAGAAGCAACTCGCCGCTTTTCATCAAGCCATTAAACTCGTTTAGAATCCGCTTGGGTGGCGACCGCCGTTGTTGCATCATTTCACCGATGCGAAGAGGGGCGGACAGCATGGATGAAACCGTATCCTGGAGCTGCAGCGCTGCCCCAGTTCCGGAGATCGTGAGGTTCTTGAAAACGATACCAGTCCGGTGGCCTTCTCTCCCCTCTCTTTGATACTCTCGAAGAATCATCTTCAGCCACTTATTCAGATCGAACGAGGGCCCTTGAGGGTCAACCGCCGGGTCATTTTCGGAGATGGTAGCCAGCGTAGCAGTTCTCGTAGGGGCATGATGTGAAAAGACACTAGACCGGCGTTGTGACGCTTGAGTGGCAATACGCTGGAGATTTTCGATTTCCTCCTCGTCGATTAATCCGACTGCGTGTCGAGTTTCTGCGGCATTTTCTGAAGTGATTGTTGAAGTACTGCTATCACAATCCTGGCTAGAGGGCTTCTTGTCGAATAAGGGGTCCTCACTTCTTTTGTGCGAAGCCATGATGTAGGATTACTTGCCGGGCACGCAAGGTAGGCTGAGGCCTTGATGTAAACCCTAGGACGTTGCTCGCCCTCGCCAATTGCACTGGGTCGCTATAATTCAGATTGTAACTTGTTTGAATACTGGGGATGAAATAAAATTCTTATCCTAGTCTCCCTTGAACCGAAGGAATGGAAGACACACAGACCCTAAATAGCAACGTCGTTGCCCTACAAGCTCTTTATATTCATTGCTTACGATTTCATAGATTATAACCTCCCCACAACCCACAACGGCGCTATACGGTTCGGGAACCACAAACTTCCATACCCGAGCAGGGATTTATTTAAGAGGAGGAGGGAGATTCTAGATCCGAGAGAGCTGGGCGTCCAATGTGGTTCTTCCCCTGTGGCAGCTCCTTCATCCACTCCTGATCTGGATTACCAAAGCGCTAGGGTGATCCTCACCAATAGTTTCGCTGGATATGTGTGAGTCAGCGGGGATAAGTAATCAGATTGACTAAGATTAGCATCAGGGCCTAACTATGCAAAGTCTAACGACGCTTACGGTAGTCGAGGCTCCGGTCTCACTAGTTTGATCGGCCCGTTCTCTTGAATCGGAAGTGGCGTTCCCGAGAACCCGGGCTGAAAGTATTCTGCTTTAAAGGGGCTTGGCCGATGTAAACATTACCATGGATCCTCGCCAGGGTCCACCCTCGGAGAACGGCTACGGTGCACCTCCGTGGCACTGCCGAGGCTTCACCATTCTATCGGAGTCTCGAAAGTTCCGTAAGGGCAAGATTAGGTTGCATCAGCTTGTTGTTTTTCATATCCCTTTCTCAGACACGCTTCCTTTTTGCGATCCAAGCGGCCGGTGCTTCTACCAACGTGCTCCTATCAGTATCAACGCAATTCATATAAATAGTGAGCTAAAGGGCCATGAGAGACTGACATCAGCCACGTAGATATCACCACTGGCAATCCACGTGGCATCTATCTGAACGGTCGTTCCTCTTAGGGCTATCCCCGATAGTAAGGTAAACAGATGTAATCCTTAACGCCCCGCTAATCCCCTCGGCCGAATCAGCTGGAATATTCATAAATTATTCCCAGACCTTGAGGGTAAACTATCTCTGATAAGGCGTCTCGTTATCTCTAATTCATAAAGCCCGTTGAAGCTGAGCAGAGGGGCGAAGCTTGGCTTGAACACCATTGTAGTGGTCTAGAACACCTTGATAATATCGAAAATACCCTATCCCCGTCGTATCAGCGATCGCCGACTTCGACTAAATTTGGGGGTCGGCGATGTATCGGGTAGCCCCTATACATGTATTGGATACTTGGGGTGAAACCTAGAGATCTCCATTCTCACCCCTGTCCTCCGTAATGAACCTTGATGGTGGCGGTGCGCCGTATCTGTCGGTAAATTCTCTATCGGTCGCCGTTGGAGACGTGCGATGACAATCGGAAGGGTAAGTTTCCAGATCCGTGCGAAATATGCTAAGCTATGGATCACTTTGCGTGCTTGATCCTTCGGAGTTTAATCAGCGGGACATTGAGAGTTCTCGTTGGTTATTTTTATCCTGTTGTAGCTTTGTAGGTACTCCGTAAGCGAACGTGATTCCAGACCCAACATTAGACGTCATGGGTGGCCTTGGATTGCTAGCTGGTGGGGTTTGTCCTAAATGGCAACCCCGCGGCTTGGTTGTTGAATGAAGATGGTAAACATAGTCTTCTCAATAGACCAAGTGGATGCACGCACGTGCCTGGCTGCACCTGTCCTCTCCCCTTATTGTACGGCGTACTGTACAGATACTTAATATCCCCAGACACCATGAAAGCTCTTTCATATTCTGAGGATATGTCGGTTCAGGCTCTAGTGGCTGTTCCGACCTATTGCTATACAAACATAGGCCAGCAACTACATGCGAGATTTGGGATATAGCTGAGATTATTTTCTTCTGGAATATATTACATTTAATTGTTAATATACAAATCTTGGAAACGTGACTTGACCACCCTGACTTATGGTGTTTCGGCCTCCTTAGCCGCTTTGGCCACATCAAGCTCACTGACAACGTCCTCACAGCGATCACAAACAGCCTCTTCGGCAGCCTGTGATTCTAGAACAACATAGCGCCAGCACCGCGGGCATTTGTCGGCCTGCGGGGTATAAACATATACAGTGCCTTTTTGTCCACTGGGCAGCTCAAAGTCTTCGTTGTACTGCCATTGTGCATCTGCAATAGTTGCGGGAATAGGCTCACCGGGATTGCCAAGCGTAACGGAAGATACAACAAAGATATCGGGAAGTTCGGTTTGAGTTCGTTGGAATACGGTGTCATTGACACCCTGGGGAAGAACAATATGAACAAAAGATTGGAGGGACGAGCCCAGTTCCTTCTTACCTCGGGCAATTTCCTGGACGTTCTTGATAACTGAATGGACAGCAATGAGGTCCTGATAGTCTGCCTCAAGAGAGTTGTTTTGCCATTCCGAAGGAGGCACAGAGATAATACGCTTCAAAGGATGCTCACAATGCGACTTTATTGCTGCAGGCGTGTGCTCCCAAGTCTCTTCCACGAGCATGGGCGTGATAGGGGCCAATGCTTCTTGAAGGTGATGGTAAATATGGAACAGGGTTGTCTGCGCAGCGCGTCTACTTAGGCTGTTCTCCCCATAGGTATACAGTCGGTCTTTAATGGCCTCCATATAGAATGCAGAGAATTCGAGGTTGGCCCAACGGTTCAAAGCATTCACAGCCTTATAGAACTCGAAGTGTTCACAGGCCTTTTGGCAAGCCAGTGTCATTTCAGATAGATGCTTGAGCGCGATCCGATCAGCTTGCTGCAACTGCTCATAAGGCACGCGATCCTCGAAGCGGAAGTCTGAAAGAGCACCAAGCAAGAGCTTAAAAGTCACTCTGTACTTGTGCAAACTTGTGTTAACAGTCTGAAGAACCTGCTTTCCAATAGCCACGTCGCGGGTGTAATCACTGCTTGCAACCCACATACGAAGCGCATCAGGCCCAAGAGCATCGTAGACGGGTCCTTGGCTCTCTGGCTGCTTCTTCTTGCCCTTCCTCGGCTTGAGGGGCGGTAAAAGGGTCCCATCCATGATGGCTTGCGGATGTATCACATTACCGATAGATTTGCTCATTTTGCGTCCTTGCTCGTCGAGGAAGAAACCGTGTGTGATAAGGTGTCTAAATGGTGCACGGGGAGCCGTCTGCCCTGTCGCGAGTTGGTGGGCTGTGAATGTGAGGAGGCCCGACTGGAACCAACCGCGATGTTGATCAGTACCTTCTAAATAGACATCCGCTGGATAGCCGTTAGGATAGGGTGTTTCGATCTCAGCCCAGCTGGTGCCACTGTCAAACCACACATCCATAGTGTCTGTTCCACGCCTATACCCAGGTCCAGACGCCTCCTGGAGGAATGGTGGGATCCAGGCAGGATCATTTGCATCATCCGTCCACCAGGCGTCAACGCCGCGCTCATCAATAACGGCCATGATATGCGAGACAGTGTCCTTGGTAAGCACGGCTTCACCTGTGCTCCGGTGGTAGAGCGCAGGAATCGGTACACCCCAAGCACGCTGACGCGAAATACACCATTCGCTACGGTTTTTCACGAAGTTTTCCAATCGTTGACGTCCGGAAGGTGGAACGAAATGAACATCCTCCAAAGCCTTCACTGCACTGTCACGAATGTCCGCCACATCGGCGAACCATTGCTCAGTGGCTCTGATAATGATAGGGCGCTTAGACCTCCAGTCATAGGGATATTTATGTTCGTACCGATGCTTCGAAAGAAGGTAGCCTTGTGATTCAATGTATTCAAGAGCAGCGACGTTTCCTTCATCTAAGACGCTCTTGCCACTCAATCTTGTGGGGTCACTAGGCATAGCCTGGTCGGTGAATCTGCCATGATCATCAACAGGGGCGAATGCAGGAATACCGCGAGAGAGGCAGGCGTCGTAGTCGTCCATTCCATGGCCTGGAGCGCAATGAACAAGACCGGATCCAGAATCGGCAGTGACAAAGTCGGCGGCAATGATGGGCTGAGGCTCTGCATCAGCCCCCTTGAACAGAGGCCGATACGTCGTCCGATCTGCCAGCTCCGACCCAAGGATGGATGGAATTATCACAGATAGGTCTTCCTTGAGGATGTTTTCAAGATACTGTAGCCGAGATTGCGCAACGAGAAGGTGACCGTGCGTGTCTGACTGAACAATCGTGTATTCTAGCTCTGGGTGAACAGCAATTACAGCGTTGGCCGGGAGCGTCCAGGGAGTAGTAGTCCAAATCACAGCAGTAAGATCCTTAACTTGTAGCAGCGGATTCTGCGCCAAGTGCGACGGAATAGTTACCAGGGGGAACTTAACCAGGGCAGCAGTAGAAACATGATCATCTTTGTATTCCAATTCCGCTTCCGCGAGCGCGGTGCCCGTGGATGGAGACCAGTAGACCGGCTTGAATCTCCGGTAGATTAAACCCTTATCAACCATTTCCCGGAAAACTCCAAGTTGTCTCTTCTCGAATTCCTTATCCATAGTCTTCCAATGGTTCTCCCAATCGCCCATGACCGCAAAGCCACGGAATCCCTTCATTTGTTCTTTAACCGTCCGTCTTGCCAATGCACGCGCTTCCTTCCTTATCACCGCTGCGCTGATAGAGCCCCCTGCATCCTTCGATCCCTTCTGGGCTTCAAGGGCCTTGAGCTCAATTGGTAAACCATGGCAATCCCATCCCGGGACATACCGCACTCGCTTTCCCAGTCCCAATTGTACTCGGCATATGATGTCCTTAAGAATTTTGTTCAGTGCGTGTCCAACGTGGAGCTCGCCGTTAGCATACGGCGGGCCATCGTGTAGGACAAAAGGCTTCTCGGCCGGTCTTTCACGGCGTTGCCAGGCGTAGAGCTCGTCAGTGCATCGTCGCAGGTATTTTGTTTGATCGGCCGAGGTCACGCGTGCAGGAAACGTCGACTTCGGGAGCTTGAGCGTCGACGACCAGGACCGAGTAAGCGCCCGCGACAGTTCCGGCATACTACCGCTGGAGCATGTCAGCCTCTGAGTTGGTCAGTTGCGTGGGCGAAATGGATGGGAAACGGCGGAGATTTAGACAAAGAGTCTCACTGCAGCCCGGGGAAGAGGTGGTAATTTACGTTACTAATCTTACCAATGACAGCCAATCATATAGCTGCCTATTCCTTTCGTACGTAACATATTTGTCAGTGCAAAAAGAACAAAGTGGATCGGACAATTCTTGTTCATGAATGCATTCCAATCCTTGATCATCCTGAAATGTATTAATTTAATAAAACCGAACTGGCTGATATAGATACAGTCTCCTAAACTCCATATGCTAACCCATGTCACAATCAATATACCGTCAAGCAGCTAACTGCCCCATTCTTCATAACCTCAAACAGCAAACCAGGAAAGCCAAACAGCTCCGTGTTCCCCAACCCTCCATCATGACTATCCTGTCCAAGTCTCTGACCTTTACCTGTACTCTCTTCCCAACCTCCCAGGAACTCCACACTACTCTCGGGACTATCACCCCAGCCGCGATTCAGTACCATGGGCCGCTGTAAGGCTCGCTCCTCAGCAGGGTTGCCATACGCACCCTTCCAGACCTCCCTGAGTCGATCAGAGACCTCCTCGTACCGTGTTTCCGAGGAGACTACCTCGCCCAGCGAGTCCAGCTTTATCTTCCAACGGCTGCGTCGGTGTCGATTGAAAGGATATGATCCTGGCACATTCCCATGCAGAATAATCTTAGTTACTACCAACTGAGAGGAGGGAGACGGAGGAGACGGGTCTTGAATATCGGATCCTGGAAATGCAGGCCCAGGCGTGGTAGGGTAAGATACAAAAGCATCAAACCCATGATGGAAATAGTTAAAGAAACATTCTGTGGGCAACGATGACGGGTCCAAGTTATGAGGTTGGGAAAGCTCTTCATCCGAATCTTCGGTGCCACTATTATTGGACGATTGATCCGTATCAGTCACGTCTATTCCCCTACCCAAAGGTGGGCTCATATGTATATGGTCCTCACCACCGCCAGCCGCGCGGTGGATCGTTATCCTCCTATCATGCTTACGATAGATGGCGTCGGGCGGCCCAAACTCTGCCACGAGATCTTGCGGGGTAGTTTCCGCCAGCGTAATGTAACTGGGAGGGGAGGATCTCCGAATGACCTCTAGTCTACCTGCACCCAAGATATTAAACTCTTCGACCTCGTCTGGGACAGATTCTTTGTTCTTGCCCGCCAGTGCCGGGGATCGAGGATACTTCGGCTGCTGGGTGAACAATCTTTCCCGAGCATCAGACCAGGATGACCCCTCAAAGATCGCCATGGAGGTGGCTGGCAAAGCTGCTGAGGAAGAGAGCAACGCTACAAAATCGCACTGGTCTGACCAAGCCGAATGCTGGAGGGGGAATGAGAAGGCCACCCCAGGGTACGATAACACATATGTGCCATATGGTGACTGGTTAGTTGGTTTTTGATATTCACCTGGATAGGAAGGACCAAAGAGGCGGTGGTATATATGTCCGAAACTGGGACCTTGGTGCGAGACCGCCCGTTCTTGTGGTTTGCCTCCTTTCAACACTTCCTGGTTTTTATACACTAGGGAGATCTTGGAGAAGTCGAGCACTTCGATCAGGCGTAACCTTTGGTCCGGGCCGTCGAAACGTAGTCGCAGACCATTAGACGGTAGTTGCAAGGTCACCGGCTCTTGAATCGGATCTGTAGGGGAGTAGGCAATATCTATTGCGGGGTAGGTCTGGGGAAGAGCCTTGACACGACTGAGTACATTATGAAGCGAAGCGCCAAGTGCTAGGAGACATAGTCAGCCACAATTATGTTTCAGAAGAGTAGACATCAACATGCTTATGAAACCCAGTCCTTTTCCAGGAGAGATATGCGCTTGTGCCGACGTTTTGGCCGAGGAACTCATAGTGAGCTGCAACCCGTTCTCATTATGAGGTGGCGGGGAGATAACTGAATGAATGCCGCAGATCGGGGGTGTCCTCGGTTATGGCCGTCTCAAAGCAGATTATATAACAATCGTGATAAATATTTTCGACTGAGTATGACTTCACAAAAGCTCAAGGTGTGATATAGAACTGATAACGTCTCCAAAGGATGACGATGAACGCATAGATCATGTGAAATGCCGGCATGACTCCTGAGCACGGACCACTAAAAGGCACGTGCTTGATGTCGCTGGTTTGTTTACTTTTTCCTTTCTCGGCCTTCTCGGAAAATCGTGACTTCTCCTATACATATCAAACCTGCGCGACGTCACGCTTAGTTGCGCAACAAACCATTACATATTCTTCCTTCTGATTTATTTATCAAAGTGAATTGTCTGTGAGACTCTTTCACAATGGCTGGCCCCCAAAGGCCTGCCTCTGCCCTTCCTACAAGGAGGACAACTACATCACGCCAACCAACTAGGCGGCTGGGGTCATCAGCAACCCAGAGAGTCGACTCTCCCGCAATTTCGTCTAAGATTCCTGCTTCTAGTGCATCGCGCGCGGTTAAATCACCTGGAGAGCCAGCGAGTGTTACAGCGAAGAGGAAGGAAAGAGATTATGAGCGTGGGGTAAACGAAGACACCAGCATTCACGTTGTGGTCCGGTGTCGCGGGCGCAATGATCGGGAAGTCAAGGAAAATAGCGGTGTTGTCGTGAAGACAGAAGGCGTTAGGGGAAAAACTGTGGAGTTATCCATGGGACCTAATGCCGTCTCCAATAAAACATACACATTCGACAAAGTCTTTTCCGCCGCCGCCGACCAGATCGCAGTATATGAGGATGTCGTTCTACCAATCGTCAATGAGATGCTCGCTGGATACAACTGTACTGTCTTCGCATACGGACAAACGGGAACTGGGAAAACGTACACAATGTCGGGCGATATGACGGATACTTTGGGTATCCTTTCCGACAATGCTGGCATTATTCCACGTGCTTTATACTCGCTATTCCACAAGCTTGAGGAGACAGAAAGTACCGTCAAGTGTTCCTTCATTGAACTGTATAACGAAGAGCTTCGCGATCTTCTTTCAGCCGAAGAGAACCAGAAGTTGAAAATCTTCGATAACGAGTCAAGGAAGGGCCAGAGCACGCTTGTACAAGGAATTGAAGAAACATATATCGATTCTGCCTCTACCGGCATCAAGCTACTTCAGCATGGTAGCCATAAACGGCAAGTTGCGGCGACCAAGTGCAACGACCTTAGTTCTCGCAGTCACACAATCTTTACCATTACAGTACATACCAAGAGGACAACAGATGCTGGTGAAGAATATGTCAGCTCTGGGAAGCTGAACTTGGTCGACTTGGCTGGTAGCGAAAACATCCAACGTAGTGGAGCTGAAAACAAGCGTGCCACGGAGGCTGGTTTGATCAACAAGAGCTTGCTGACGTTGGGCCGAGTAATCAACGCTTTGGTCGACAAAAGCCCCCATATCCCGTACAGGTATGACTTTAAGTTACAATAGTCGAATGTCTACTAACCGGTGCCAGAGAGTCGAAACTCACACGTCTTTTGCAAGATTCCCTCGGCGGACGCACAAAAACTTGTATTATTGCCACGATATCGCCGTCGCGGAGCAACATGGAAGAAACGATATCAACGCTAGATTATGCTTTCAGAGCAAAGAATATTCGCAACAAGCCGCAAATTAACTTCACATCAAAACACAAACTTCTCCAGGAGTTTGCCTTTGAAATCGAAAAGCTCAAAGGAGAGCTTATTGCAACGAGGCACCGAAACGGCGTTTACATGAGTGTTGACGCTTATGAACAAATGACGATGGAGAATGAATCCCGAAGAATTGTGAATGAGGAACAACGGGCAAAGATCGAGTCAATGGAATCCAACTTGCGGAACAAGGTCCAGGAGCTCTTCGCACTCACGAGCAATTTCAATAATTTGAAGAAGGATAACGAGGACACACGGGCAGCTTTGAACGATACAAACGACGTCCTTGAGAAAACCGAAATTGTTCTCAAGAATACCAGGTCACTGCTGGAGGAGGAGGAAACGGTAAGAAAGGCACACGAAGATACGGAAACCCAGCTTTATGACATTGGCACGGGGCTTTTGTCGACATTGGATAGCACTGTTGGAGACGTTAATGGCTTGCATGCAAAACTCGAACGTAAGGCAGATCTGGACTCTTCCAACATGAAAACTTGGCGCACATCAGCCGAGGAAGTGTCAACCGTAACACAGGAAGTCGACAGAAGAGTGGAGGCTTTCCAGTTGCAACACTCGAAGCTTCTAGAGGTGATGTCTGAGAAGATCAGCAACTATATCTCTAGCGAATTGAGTCACATTCAATCAAGCCAGTCGGGACTCTCGAGCTTCAGTACTGTTTTTGATAAAGCCGAGCAGGATGCAAAGGCGCAAACCTGCGGCGCTCACGATCAGATGAATGAGGTTCTTGAAGAGATCAAGGACTTGCGCGAAGAGGTTAAGCGTAAAGTTGGAGAGGGTCTGAATGGTCTATCAGCCGCCGCAGCTAGGATATCGAAGGAGGTTATTGGCGAATTCACCGACTTTCATGAACAGCTTCATGCGTCTTACAGCACCCTTGGCAAGGACTTTAAGTCCTTGTTCGAGGAAATGGTGCGGCATCTTAATGAGCAGAAGACGGAAATCAATAGGCTACGACTGGAAGTTCAACAGGCTAACATCCAGACGATTGAAGCAAACCGTAAAGCTTCTTCTAGTCTGGCGCACGCACTTGAGGAAGAACATACAAATGCTGAAGCGGAGCACGATCTTTTGCTTTCGCAATTTAAGGCCCTGATGGAAGAATCCCGACGGAGGCAATTTGGTCGCCTTAAGGGAAGAGTGGAAAGTGTACGAGCGGATATCTCATCCTCAGGTGACTCACTAGAGCAAGCAACCACCCAACATGATCGTCAGACAGATGAATGGGTTTTCAAGTCCGAGCAATTTGCTAAGGATGTCGCGGCCTCTAGAGACGAACTTCGCGCCAAGATGCAGAACGACTGGGAAACATTTGATCAACGCAATCTTGCTATCCAGAAGACAACTGAGTCTGTGCATGAGGAAACAGTCCGCATTGTTGGCGCCCAGATAAACAACATGGACAAACAGATGGAAGCTTTGGATGATTTCGTGACCAAAGCACGGTCCCAGAACGGCCATTATCGGGACGTCCATATTTCCAGCTTGGACCGCATAGCATCTAACGTGCGCGAGTCTCATTCATCCGTTCATGAGCAACTGGAAGGGTTTAGTGGCCGGATTAGTCAACTGCAGGAGGATGCAACTCAGCGGCACCACAGCCTGCATGAATCAACCTCCTCATTGTCAGAGGAGATCCGGAAGCCTCTCACAGAGCTTCGCGACAATGTTCACAGTCGCCCGCTGCAAGAGTACGTCGCCACCGGTGCCACCCCGCAGAAGCGGCATTACGAGTATCCCACTAGTCTCCCTCGGACAGAAGCGCATGATGCTTTGATATCCGAGGTGAGGACATCAAGAGAACTGACGCTGCTCCCATTCAATGGTGAGGACAAACTTCCTGGGACCTCTCCTATTAAGGGCTTTGTTTATAACGATACCGAAGACGAGGTAGGAACTCAGACACCTACAGCCACGATGACTTCCAACACAGGACTTAGGGAAGTCGATGCAAACGTCGTCGTAAAACAGCTCGCGTCTAGCCCTACCGACAGGACGTCGATGCGGCGTTCAACACCTTCTGTAGCAGCCAAATCTTCAGACAAGGACACTGTTCCAGAAAGTGGAGGGTCAGATGAGCCTCCTGCAAAGAGGCGCTGCTCGAACCTGACACAAACTGAGAGCAAGCTGCCGAAAAACATGTTGACCAAGAGAATGGCCGGAATGATGGAAGGTCGGGAGAATGTCCCTCCACCTGGGCTTTCAAGTGCTCGACGGACGAGAAATCGACCCGCTGCTTAAGATGCTTGTACCTAAAGGAATTTTCGATAATATGGTTCATCCATTGGTACCCTCGGTCTTTATACCCTTCTATCATTTGAAATATGCGGGCGTTGCTGGGAAGGATCTCGAAGAGACAGTATGCGAGATTCAGTATTCTACACCATTTTGTTGGCTTTGTTGGCGCGTCGGAGTTCTTTGTTTCTATTATCGCTGCTTATGTTTCACGGGGTTTTAGATTGTTCTCTCGTATAGGCACTCTGGCGTTCTCCGGGTGGGGCTCATATGATACCTATATCGCTTGTTTTGGGTCAATATCGGAAAGACACACCTTGATTCTAATATCAATCAACTCTCCGATTCTTTTACCTTCAACTGACTTGTACCTGCTCGTAAAGATCCTCGCATGCTGTATAGCTTTGGTCCATGTAGTGCTTGCTTGCGTCCATTGAACCGTCTTATTTAGTCAATGTATCCCTTGGGATGTTTCCTGGCTTTGCTAGGATCTAACTACCCTTGATAACTAGGCGTTGCAGAAGGTCGTGTTTTCATATCCCTTTTCGGAGATGATTGATTGTCAGGAAGGGCGGGCCACAGTCAACGTTTCCTGCTCTCCATGACCGCAAAAGTTAGAATTGCTTCATTTTAAGCCGATAAGCTAGACCCTAAGTATGTAATTGTCTAGTATATAAGCAAGCCAAAAAAGGTGCTATATTAGTGGAGATAGACGTGGTAGAATATGCAAGCAAAAAGGCCCTGTTCTATCTACTAGGTGAGGTTTCACTAGCGCGCTTTTCGTACGGTAACTAAATGACCGCCTTCTTTATTGGCGTAGTTGATCTCTTTCTAGGCCAGTCATTTCAATTCTCCTGCCCTACTTTTTTGCTACGAGTCCTCGACCTTTTGGTGTATTTTTTAAGACATTACGACATAAAGCGTCAGCGCTAGAAAGTTTTCCTATTTAATTTCTTCTGACTATAGCATATTTGTATAGGGGAAATATGGTTCTGCTGGTTGTTTAACCGAGAGACAACTTTGCATATTTTGAAGTACAGGAATGGTATAAACCACCAGAGGGCGAGTGCATGCTAGCATATGACATATGCAAGTGTATGCGCCCGAGCAGCTACAGCAGACTCCATGGAGTGACCAATAGTGTCTTTCAAAGTGATATTCAAGGAGTAATTGCATGACTCTTGTAGGACTAGGCGCCCTATCTGGTTTAAATTATCCTTGTTCCCAGTTACAAAAGATGGCAGACTTCGAGGGCTGTGTACCTCATATAACTGTCGGTATACTCTAAAATACCAGAACATCAGTAATATGAAATTAGATATTCAGATCAAGTCGGGAGACGTAACACTGGCCTGTCTTGCCTCCTCCATGGTCGCCCTTCTTATAGCAGGAACGGTAGGTATAAAGCCGCATCGTCGTCAAAATCTAAACGAGAACATCACGCATAGAAAGCCAGATTTTTGAACGTTGAGAGTATCGGGGATTCCACTTTCAACCCCAAAAGAGACCTCCAGTAATGTTCTCAAATCTTTGCCTGATCATGTTCGAATTCTTGAGGATTATCTGGACCAATCAAATATCCTGTCCTGGTCCTTCACTCCTGCAACTTCATCAACCGCTCGGTTCCGCGTTGCGACCTTTAATATAGCTCTGTCTATTTCCAAGCTGGAGAGGGAATTGAAGGCTGGCTTGATGGCGACCGGATTGACAGTTGGTACGGACTTTTCCGGCTCCACGACCCTAGCTGACTCGACGGATAATGCTGAAGTAGAGTGAGTTGTTGAAAGAAAGCCGTTTTATGCACTCAGCAATGTATGTTAACTAGATACGGCCGCAGTATCATCGCTGTTGTAGGACCGGCTAGTCACGCCTTCGAATCGTGGAAGGAAGAAGGTAAGCCTAACATGTGGCTGCACGACCTTTTTGCCCGAGCTACCCCCAAAGCCCGTAATATCACTTATGACTATAATACAAAACTGCTTGATAGTCAGTTTGACGCCACTATCCCAGAACTGTCTAGGGGCCTTCTTGAGATGATCAAGTATTCTAGAAGTGGGCAAGTAGTAAGTTGCTTTTCACCTACAGTACTCCAGGCAAAGACGCCTAAGCTTATTTATTAGGAACATCGACCTCTTATCCTAATCGGGGTTTGTCATTAAGAGAGTATACTCAATAGTTGCTTATTGTAATTCCCCTACTTACATTAGGATAGGCTTTGGTTGAAGCAGCCAAGAGGACCAGGCTTGATTTAGGTCTTGCTATGCCGTGGTCTTTTTCGGGATACTAAACAAAGGCTTGCATAAATGAAAGTCTGGTATCAATGGTGAAGGGTAAGCCAAATGAAGACTTGGTAGGAAGCCTAGATATCAATTCTCGTGTTCCTTTGGGGATCTACGAAGAGTTCAGGAAGAGCTTCAAACTGATTCAAAATGCGAGCGAAGAGAAGCACTCCTTGATGTTCTAGATGAAAGGGTCGTCAGGCTAAGGCGAGCCCGTTTTCCAAAGATCAGATGCTCTCTGAGATGGAAATGCATCACGAAGCGTTCTCAATCGACTGCTTTCGACTATTCTCAAGTTAATTCTGTAGCAATACAGGCTTAAATATTCAGCGAAAGTCTTTTGTTTGCTTTTCTTTTCCTCGCATCTTGATAATCTAAGATCATACCTACTTAGTTCATATATTCTTTTACTGGCACCGGATGAGATCTAACTGTCATGCATGAATCATGGATCTAAAACGAACACTATCTGGCGGGAATTTTACCAAACAAGGCGAATACTTAGATTGCCTGTATATAAATTTGAGTGCGTGTAAGGGTTCGCTTGATATGTTATATCTATTTAGCCTTATATTAAGCAATTTCAGTAGCTTGAGTATTTCGAGCAATCCAAGTAAGTAGTCTAAGCGGCACAGATTATTCAAACCCAGTCTCCTTAATTCAACCTGCTAAGGGGAAATAAAGAGTACCGCGTAGCAGATTGGATTTTGCTAAAGGGTGTGATAAACACCGATTGAGTCCACCATAACAATACCCCGTCTACGGTACTCTACGCCAGCCTATTCCTATCTAGTAATTTAAGGTAACATACGAATAAAACCAAGAAGAGTATAAATACTTGTATCAGGGCACCTCTAGTGTCTGGCATTTTTGGTGGTCTAGCCGTATATTTAAGTTAACAACATCTAAGCTAGGAGATAGATCTTTCTTATGGCGAAAGTGCAGTCCGCTGATCTGGACTATCCACTTCCACCCTTTACTTTTCTACATTCTTCACAGTCTGCCTCTCTTAACGGAAACCTTCGGCGTAACCGCTTCAACTATCTTCCCCGTGCATATATATTACCAGAGATTTCACAGTTCTTCAGCAGACACCCGGCCCGCACCTCGCCTCACGCCCGATAACGATGAAGTAAACTTCTTTTGCTTTGCTGTGAGAGTATCAGAGCCACTGATTGGTCAAAGTACTACAAAACCAAAAAGGGTTTGCAGGAGCAGTATGGCTGGCCATACGCATTCCGGGAGGCAGGGTGGAAGGCGAACTCCAAGCGTATATGGGAGACTGTAATAAGTGATGGCCCAGATTGGGAGCCGGATCCAGATCGGCTAAAAGAAAAGGAGGCTGACTCTGAGGAAATGTACGGGAAGGTCGATTACGACGCTATGGGGTGAGAAGGTAGACTAATTCAAATCGAGTCTCGTTGCATGGTTTTCATAATGTACACTCAGTACATTATATTCATTATGAAACATTATTTATGTACGTAAGTGAAATGTAGATTATGTCAATCGCCCACGAAGAAATATACTCCATAACACAAGGAAGTCGCAGTCTGTTATATTCATTGCTTCGCCCGATGTTCACCAAAGTGCCTTGGATGTTGGACGGGAAACGCAAGGATGAATTGGATTCGGCAGATGTTGTAGGTTGGTTTCTTGAGCAGGGCTGCAGCAGTAATGAGAATCTACAGAGATTATGTCTCGCCCAGGGACGCGACATCCAGGTCTCTCAACAAACCTGGAAAGACATCGGCCCTAGGCCTCACGCCTACTAACGACACACAGCAAGGCTGACCAAGTGCTAACTTCTTTAATTCAGACCTAACAGACTGATCTATTAATCTTAAGAGCATTGCACGTGTCTTTACCGAAGGCTATTTTACCTGGCGAACTAGCTTATCAGTAGAGAAGAATATTAGGAAAGTCTAGGAAAAGGAGATCTCTTGGAATACAAAAACAGGTGTGATGAACTACTACCGTGTTTTACTACTTGTACAACCTTTGCCATATCAATGTTACCTCTCCCCTTCGCCCTTGCAGGAAATCTATAATATGTCTGATCAAATCAGATAAGCAAGAAATTACACCATCAGCCTGACACAAAATCAAGCCAATCATGCCCAATGTCCATAGACAACCAATCAACCAGACAAGCCCTAAGTCTTCCCGGAAAAGTAATCTATTAAAGCCCCCAGCCAGTAAGTACTTCACAATCCCCCTCTCCAACCCCCCACGTACCCCATAAACCCAAACAAACGCTCCGCAAAAATGGGCAAACTAAAAGACTACATAACAACCGACCGCAACGGAATACCCGAAAATCGTCACCAAGTCCACGCCGCCATAGTCTCTACCACCGGTGCTCTCCTCTACAGCGTCGGCGACCCGTACAGGGTAACTCTCGCGCGCTCCGCCGCAAAACCAGCACAAGCTCTCGCGATCCTCTCAACCGGCGCATTGGAACAATATAATTTTGACGAAGCCGACCTAGCGCTCATATGCGCCTCGCATAATAGCGAAGAAAGACACCTCGCTCGAGCCCGGAGCATGCTCCAGAAGGCCTCGGTGGAGGAAAGAGATCTGCGCTGCGGCGGACACGCCGCGCTCTCAGAGACGGTGAACCGGGAATGGATTAAGAGGGATTACACGCCGACGGCGATTACGAATAATTGTTCAGGGAAGCATGCGGGGATGTTGGGTGGGGCGAGGGCATTGGGGGCCGAGATTGGTGATTATCATCTTCCGTCTAGTTCTATCCAGAGACGGGTGAGGGAGGTGGTGGAAGAGTTGGCTGGGTTGAAGACTGGAGCGGGGGGTGTGGTGTGGGGGGTTGATGGCTGCAACTTGCCGGCGCCTGCCTTTCCGTTGCGGAATATGGGGAGGATTTATGCGGCGTTTGCGGAAGCGGCGGATGTTGTTGACGCGAGTGCGGAGGGTGTTACTGGGAAAGAGAGGGATATGGCGCGGATATTCCGTGCGATGACACGATATCCGGAGCTTGTGGGCGGAGAGGGGAGATTCTGTACGGTGCTTATGTGGGCGTTTCGGGGGTTGCTGATTGGGAAGATTGGGGCGGATGGGTGTTACGGGATTGGGATACGGGCGTCCGAATATACGAGGCGGCTTGGAGCTGATAGTGCGGTGGGGATTGCGGTGAAGATTGAAGATGGGAATAAGGAGATCCTTTATTCGGCGGTGGTTGAAATCTTGGAGCAGTTGGATATAGGGTCTCCGGATATGCGTCGTGAACTGGCGGCGTTTCATCATCCGAAGATTGTCAACACTGCCGGGGTTGTTACGGGGTCGACTTCTCACCGATTCCATGTATGCCTGGCTTAGTTAATTGTGTCTAATTTTGGAGTTATGTGTCGCCTGGAGGACTAGATGATATAGCTTTACGAATGTTCAGCTGGGAAGCTTGAAGATATTACTTTCTCGACTATGGACTTGGTACTGGAGGAAAGCAGGTTAGAATGGACACATTCAGCTCAGCCGCATAGCACCTTTGAAGGGAGATTCTTCGATCAATAGCTTTTGGCGGCTATGTTATCGTCATTCCGTGGTGGAGCTCCATCTCGTCCCTCATGGCCTGCCTCAGCAATGTTCTCTGCGGTTGGCAAATTGGTAGGCGGGTGGGCCTCATCCGCAGTTTCCAGGAGATTGGCTTGTTCTCCAACTTCAATAACTTGTCTGAGCTCACCTAGACGTTTCGAGAACTGCTCCATCATATCTTCTAATCGCTGGGTGCTGTTATCTTTATCTCTGTCCTTACTGGGCAGGGCCATAGGTAAACCGACTGTACCCTGGATCTTCAACATAAGGCCGCCGTTCGGGGACTGTTCAGCGGAGGAGTTGTTCTCAAATGTTGGGGCCGGTACTAGCTGAGTCTTCAGGACTTGCCATGCTGGCGTTAGGCTATAGGCAGAGGTAACTGTGAACTTTTGGCCAAGTTGGTTGTGATTTTGAGAGTCCAATTGTTGTTGGGGTACTGCTGATTGAGTTCCTGGAGAGCCAACACTGGCCGGAGCTGTATTCATGTTCTGCGTATCGTCCGAAGAATGCACGTCCATGTCAAGAACGATGTAATTATCTCGCACACCAGGTATTGGAGACGGAAGCAATGACCCTTTCCTTAGATTCGATAGCTCCTCGTCTAGGTCCTCTTCTTCTTCACCCGGATGCTGGTCATGTGTCGATCTGAGGTTCTCTTTTTCACCACGCGGGTGGTCTTGCTCGGATTCTAGGGCACGCAAGGCTGCCTCCGTCACAATATCTGTGTCATCATCAGAGAAAATATAGTGGACTGTCGGATGATAGTATTCGGAGGTATTGGCGTCCTCAATCAGGGTGAAGAACGGCTGGAATGGTGGGTGCGAAGTCGATATCTCATTGGGCCTTTCATTTTCCGGGTGTGGGAATGTCAAGTCCTCTGTTGGATCATGTATTTGCTGCTCCTGAGGAAAGGTATGGATGTATTGGGCTGTGGTGGGCCGATCAATGGCGCTTGCCGGGCGTGACGAGGTGTTCGACTCTGTGGTCCGTCGAATTGATTGTTTGGAGGGCGAGGATGATAAAGAAGTTGACGTGGTATGTTTTGGGAGAGACATTTCTGGTAGGACCGCGCTACATGGTTAAAGGGTGATAGAGGAGGCCGGGGAGGTCGTGCCGGGTGGATTGCAATAGGAGCTCCTAAAGGTCTCGGCCTTGACTTTTAAGCTTAGGTGAAGCTGATCACCTGCTCCCTTATCGATAAGCCATCAGGTCATGTGACCATGATGCAGCTAGTCACAAAATGCAGTCCATTAGTGGTCTTTGATAACGATCTGTACAGTACAGGAGAAATGAAACAATTGCGAATTAATGCAAACAAATCAAGGGTATCGTATCCATCGAGCCTGAACGCCTCTCTCTCGTCGTTGCCCTTCCATGAGCATGAAAGTTGGGCTTATTCAACATCTTGTTTCCATTCGAATTCTATTGATATGGTTAGCAGCGGCCTGCATTGACCCTAATCTAGGGATGGCATACTCTGTCGACACATCGGACAAAGCCCCTTGGAAGTTTCTTGCTGGATCCAGGTCATCAGACAGTGCTGTAGGCAGAGCTTCATCAGTTTGTATCCTCATGATCATATTTAGGCCCACTATCTCACCATATGGAAGGAATGTCCACATTTCCCCAGCACTGCAATTAATTAGTGGTTAGTTTCAATCCTCCTAATGTTAGCAAACAAGTCCAAAGAACTTACGTAGTGAACAATCGTCGCCGGGGAATTTGCAAGTCGGGCATGTTCCATCAAACTGGACGCGACAGATACCACAAACATCATCCTTGGGCATATCCCAGCGCCAAGTGGCGACCGCGTTCCACTCTTTCAGAGTGACTTTCATGGCTGATTGTGATGTGTTGTGATATGGTTGATATGATGGGGTGAATTTAATGAGGGGAGAAAAAGGAAAGTGGTCGGTGAGTCGGAGAAGTGGATCTGCAGAACGATAACGGTTCTTTTTCCTGGTTTGTTCTTTTCTACAAGGTATTTATTTTATTTATTTTTTTTTATTATTTTTAAATCATATTTTCACATGGCGGAGAAAATTGATTTCTTATAATTATTTTTCACCTCCACATTATAGGTCCAATTGATTGCTTACCTACGGGAATTAAAAATGAAATTAAAATTAAAATTAAGTAAATGAAATCAAAATAAGGATGAAAAACAAAAAGAATAAAACTACTCCGGACTTTCCCCTCACGGCACACTTTGCATCCGCTCCCATTAGTCCCGATTTATTTATTTATTAAGATTTAATCTCGTACCTTCTTCAATTCTTATCGTCTCCAGATCAGATGACACCATCCGACAACGACATTGCCAATTCGGTATGTAAAGACTGATCTCCTCTTTTACTTCGCTTTATATTTCCCCCTCCCCCAGTAATTCCCCGCACCGTGGTCATGGCTTTCGCAACCCTTCGTCACTCGATCCCTTCACCAACCCGTCTGCTTCGTCCGACCATGTCGGCTCCTTCCCAAGGGCGACTCCATTCCCAATGCCGCCAAATTTCCTTCTCCTCATATCTGGTCTCTCCCAAGGAGCTTCAGGAGGCCCTCAAGAAGAACCCATCCACCAAAATCTCGACTGCACCGCGCGTCATTCCCCTATGCGCGGCATGGTTTATGCCCAATGACCCGGAGGGCCGTAAAGGGATTGATATTTTCCGGAAACATCGCATACCTCAGGCTCGGTTCTTTGACTTGGATAAGATCAAAGATGCGGATTCTCCTTACCCCCACATGCTTCCCACTGCTGAGACGTTCGCCGATGCGATGGGCGAGCTTGGCATCAGGCGTGATGACGAGGTGGTAGTTTACGACACCGAAGAGCTCGGAATCTTCAGCGCCCCTCGTGTCGGCTGGACTCTCAGAGTATTTGGACACCCTCGAGTTCATATTCTGAACAATTACCGATTGTGGGTGCGCGAAGGATACCCGACGGAGACCGGAGAGCCCCAGCAGGTGGAGCGGACCAGCTACCCGGTCCCAAATTACGATTCTAAGTTGGTTATCCCTTACCTGGAGCTGAAGGAGATCGCCAAGGAGCATAGGAAAGAAGGTGCCAAAGAAGTTGAGATTCTGGATGCCCGATCCTACGGGCGCTGGGCGGGCACGGATCCCGAACCGCGCCCGGGACTGTCCTCAGGACATATCCCTGGTTCCAAGAGTTTCCCTTTCCAAAATTTACTGGATCCTGAGACGAAGACGTATCTCCCGAAGTCTGAACTACGGAAAATCTTCGAAGAACAGGAAATTGACGACTCTAAATCGATCATCAGCACCTGCGGTACAGGTGTGACGGCTACCATTATCGAGACTGCCTTGGGCGAAGCAGAGTACGGAGATGCTAACCTTCGGAGGGTATACGATGGCAGCTGGACGTAAGTCTCTCTTTCCTCTCTGCACAGTATCAGACCACCTGTAAATTCAATTGCTTACTGTGCTACTATCTGGTTTAGGGAATGGGCGCAGCGTGTCAAACCCGCTGATGGCCTGATCAAGAAAGTGAAATAGGACGGGGTCATGAGGTACTATGCGAATTTCCCATCGAGATGGCTCTTGATGCTTGTATGACATAGCGTTCGTTCTTTGCTTCTCCGGAGGACTTTTGTGTTACATTTCAATTGTCCTATAGATTGTAACACTGGTGAATATCCTATAGAATTGTTATCCTTAGAGTAGGATTATGAAATTGAACGGAAAATCTCTTCTCATCCTCTGGATCTGTTTCCTCTATGAGATTGGCTCGAACCATTGATGTAGAAACGTGTTGAACCTCGCCTCGTAGATTTAGAATGATGACTGTTCCGCTTAGTCAGTCGGGCAGGTTACTCCCACGGCATCACAGTTGATCCGCTGCCTCTTCAATACGTTCATTCTTCCTTTATCTTCGCTTTTATTCTTCCCGCGAATGACTCAGTCAGATCCCCAAAATGCTGCAGATGTTCCTTCTTTGTGAACCAGGATCCCAAGGTAAGTGCCTGGTGATTTGTTGGTTACCCCCCCAATTTGTGGTGGCCTGAGGATGTGTTCGGTGCCTATGGATTGACCCAATCTTAATGCCATTGCCCCCACATTCTCATATTCCTCCGCCATCAGTCCAAACCTCCTTCTGAGGACCTATCCGCTAACGCCGCGGCGGCTCAGTCGCACTCGTTAAATTCAGCCATTCGGTGTAGGGCAACTGCGCCGCCGTAATTTTCACTACGATTCAACTACGCGATCTGCTTCTTGTCGACCGCTCAAGCGATGTCGGCTGGACGCAAGGTCTTCCACTGTGCCGTGGATGAGACGGCGCTGACGACCAACATCAGCGAAATCAAAAAATGGACGACCAACGGGGCGATCACCCTTGTTGTTCCTCTATACAGTAAGTAACCTTTATCATTATCTCTCATACTCCTTATGATTTTCTTTTTGAGTCTTTGGATCATTCCACGTTTTGCTCACCATGTCCCCCTTCCCTCAGCCCTTGAACGCCTCCACGCATTGAAACGAGTCGGGTCTCAAGTCGCCATCAACGCCCGCGAGGCTGTTCGCTTCCTCGACCGTGTTACTTCTGGAAAGGACAATACCCCTGCCGATCGCGTGGCTCTTCAGGGCCCGATGGAGCAATACGAGAGCTGGGAGGATGCGGAGAAGTTCTTTCTACCGGAATTTGAGGAAGAGCCGGAAGCGATGAAGGGAACTGGTGTAGAGGAGATGCCACTGGGAAAGAGGGGATCTAAAGGAAAGGGTAGCAAGAAAAACGGAGCTCCCGACGATCTGTCGCAAATGCTTCTCAACAAGCTGAACTTTAAGGACTCGGATGTCGCATCGGTTAACTCTGCAGGGACTCACAGTGCCCCTGCATCGCCATCTTCTTCGAGGAGTTCCCGCACGAGCCCCGAATGTGCCAACTCTCATGTGGTCGAGAATGGAAATGGAACGAAAAATACCAAAGCAAAGCAACCGAACGGGCATAAACGATCTGCTTCCGGCTCCACCATCCCCACGGTTCCCTTGGTGCTCCGACCGCTACTCAGCGCATTGCTGTGGCGTTTGCACCACGGCCCAGATGCGTCCAATACGGCGAAAAGCTGTATCCTCATCACAAACGACCGTCCTACGCAGATTTGGGCCCAGAAATTTGGTATTGGCGTGAAAAACATCCACCAACTACGAACCTCCATTCAGTACGAAGAACGGGAATACAAAAACCGCTGCAAATACGTGGAGAAAACCCAAACCCAGGCGCCCGAACCGAAGCCCCTGCTTTCCTATGAGGATGAAAGCGATGAGGATGAACTGGTCTTTGTCCCTCGTGGCCGCGGGAAAGGAACTTCGCGAGGAGGGTCGCGTGGCGGAAACAGCCGGAAACCCACAACGTCCAAGACTGTGGCGCCACCCGTGGATAGCGCGATGGAAATCCCTACTCAGCCCATTGACCCCAACTCGTTCAGTCGATCTTTGCCCGCCACTACCGCCACTACCACCAAGCAGCCGACGATCGATCTCAGTACTCAGTCTGGGGCTGCACGTGGCATGGCCGGTGCATCTCGGAACTACAGCAGCGGTCGTCGTGGAGCTCCTCGTGGACCGACTCGTGGTAGCAGCCGCGGCCGTGGGAAACTCTGGGTTCCTTGAGCGGAAAACAGAGCCCCGTTGATTGTGATGTCGACGGAGCATTGATTTGCAAATTCCAACAGAGACCACTGTGGTTGTTATTAGAAGCAGGAATCATCCTCCGTTCCCGGGCTGCCTACTGGTCGATGTCAGTTTAGACTGTGACTTGATGGATGAGGCGAATGGCTCCTATGTGGATGGCACGGACATGAAGAATGAGTACGAGTCGGATACGGCATACTGATTCGATCCATACGACCATACTCATATGAGACCGATGATCAGGCTCTAGGTTATGTTCTGGGTCCGACCGGTTCTCTTGCCCATGCACTTGCTTTCCGTTAGGATGGAGGAACGAGCTTTTTGTTTTATGTCCTTCCACCTGTCGGGTGCTCATGGATCACCTCTGTGCGATCCGACATGCGCAAACGAGCTAGCTATTCAACATATTACTCGGCAGTTACCGCCCATGCCTATGACAGTTATCTTGCTTATTTTGTTGAACCTGTTGATATTGCTCTGTGGCTTTGTGGAAGTATGAAGGATGGTCAAGACGCATGCTCTGTAGTGCTTCTGGTATTGTTTATTAAAAAAAAAAAAAAAAGAGAAAAGGACAGTGTTGATGAGGCATGAGTCCTATGTTTATTTAATTGACCACACAGTGATCCTATTATTATTATTAATTATTATGATGCATTCCCGTGCCTTGGACTATAAAAGAAACTCTAATGCAAGCCGTGAGGTCATGCCTCCAGCTTCCAAGTCCCGTGGATCCAACGCATGTCACTTGACTGCCCCTCCTCCACTCCTGTTTCCCCTCCATCTCTCTACTACATATCCCAGGAATAAATTAATCCAATACGTAAGTCCTCCCTGCATCCCTGGAAGCTATACATACCCACTAGCCCTCCCTCGAACTCAAAAACTTACCCAAACTATAGTCCTTTGATACTAACCATCGCATACAGCCCTAGCAACCAACGCAACACAATGATCACCAACGTAGATGAAACCTCCCTCGCTGCATCAGCCATCGAGCGACGCAATTCTCTCGAGAAACATCTCCTAAATCGCCCTGATCCTCAAGATCTCAAAGAAAGACATATCCTGCTGGACACGAACGCCGCTCCGTACGTTTCTGTCAACTCCGTACTGTACTCTGTTTCGCATTCAAAGCCACTAACGACACCCAGATCCATCCAAGCAGCAACGCAGGAACTCGCCCGTCAGCGCACCAGTGACAGTCTCAAGAAACATCTGGAGCACAGACCGGATCGCGAGGAACTGGTTGAGCGTGCGTATTTCAACTCACCTACCCATTCTGTCCATCCCCATTATCGGGAAAAGACCACTACGAACTAGATATTAGCTTCTATACTAACGTAGGTCAATAATGAAATAAAGGCAATATCCTCCCACATATCAACGCAGCTCCGGCTCTCCAGGCCCACGCCCGCGAACTGGAGAAACATATGCTGGCTGATCATCTCGACCAAAAGATTCAGGGCCGGCCGCAGCCGGAGGAACTCATTTCCCAGGGGATCCTTACAGAGGATGAGGATCCGAGAAATCCGGCTGTCTGACTGCTTCTCTCACATGGGTGCACTTAATTTACGGGACTTGTTTTGACGGAGCACATGGATGGATTTTACGGGTTATGCTTGACGATATCTTTTCTCCAAGGTCGACAGTATGTAATGGACGGTACAGTACAAGCTTCAGGTAACATAAATCTCATCTTCCGAAATGGGGCGTATATGTCAAATGTAGCTAGCTAGCTAGCTTAGTTCAGGACAAACTCAACTATTTTATATATACATATATAGAGTACCTCTCCTCTCCCTTGCTATCTGATCAAATAAAACAACCTACTAATTAATACCCCTCCACCTCCCCCGACAGATCCGGCATCCACCCACTCGGCCTCTCACTCCCACGCACCAAAACCCCGTAAGCAGCCCTCTCCACCTTCTCCACACTCCCCTGCATAACCTCCATCTTCTTCCCTAAATCCTTCATCATAAAATGCCTCCTCGGAACACTAATTCCTTCAAACAGCGCCCTCATCTCCTGCAAATCCACCACAATCCCCGCCTGTTCCCTACTCAAAACCCCCTTCTTCTCTCCCCCTTCCGCAGCACCCGACCCCGCTGACAACGCTGTAACCGCAAACCGCATCATCTCCCCCGTCAAATCAAATAACCCCATCACATAATCCTCCTCCGTAACCAGTATCTCCGTGGGCAGTTTCCCAGCCACCTCAGACAAGGAAATAAGCGTCTGATGCTCGAGGTAGTGGTGGAAAGAAAGTGCTTCGATAAACTCCTGTATCGCGCCGCTGAGTTGGCGTTGGTAGCGCCATTTATTCGGGCCGGTTATGTCGGGCACGGCGGAGGTGAAAAGGGACTCGATTTGCGTGAAGCGGGACTGGGTTTCTTTTACGATGTGCGGGGGGATTGGGGTGGCGATTTTTCGGATCCTATATTATATTGAGTCGGATTTAGTTAGGTATGTTTGCTTTTGGGGAGGGTGAGGTCGGGCTGGGGTCGAGTTGGGTAGTTGTATACCGTTGAAGGGAGAAGATGCTGGTGTTTTTCATTTTTTGTTAGCTTTGTTTTGGGGTTCCTTTTGGTGGTCGTGGATTGCATGGCGGGTTGGGGAAGGGGAGGGGGAGACGTACATCTTCTTGCTTAGGGCTGTGATGTCTCGGGAGATTTTGATGAGTCTTTCGCGGCGGTCGTGGTGTTCGTCTAGTTCGTTGCGGAAGGTTGAGAAGATGGAGAGTATTTGGGTTGATGGGTCGGACATTGTTTGGTTTTGGTTTTGGTTTTGGAGTTGGTCGTTGGGTTTGTTGGTTTCGAGTGAGAGTTGTTTGCCGTCCCATGTGCGTTTTGTTCCGGCCATTTATTCGGGATTGGTTGCGACTGGAGTGGGAGGGGAGGTGATGGACGGAGCGGAGGAGGGGAATTATTTGCGGGAATTGAATCAAGTCAGTATGGAATGAGCGTCATCACTGGGTTTGGGGCTAGGACGGATTGGGGTGATGATCTGATAAGATATGAGGTCTGTTTTGCGTGTGTTTAAGTGGGGATGTTATTTTCATTTAGATTCTTCTATTAGACTTTTTATTAGTTTCCACTATCCCTTATCCCATGTCCTTCTGCTACTCTTGGACATAAATTTGCAAAGTCCATTTCTCTTCCCAGACGAGAATGGAGATGACTAAAGGTGTACGGATTTGGGCTCAGGTACGAAGACGAAACGTGGAGAGATGGTTGCTGGACTTCGTCCATTCTGCTGCTTCTCCTTGATACTTTCCTTTCAAATAGATGTTTTGGATTCATTAACACCTTTAGGCTGTTGAGTGAAGTTCATAAGTGGGGCCACCGAGCCAAATCTACTTGGAGGGTGAGGTATATACAGCGAGGTTTTATCCAACCATAAACATCTAAGTGTATGCACCGTCCAATATGTATGCACCCTGTAATATCATCATATAATGACTTCATAGGGACGCAATAATATAGCAGAAACATCCCTTAAAATCACTGACCAAGATACTTGTACTTCAAAGGCGCATCGCCCGGATTCAAACCGGTCACGGTAATCGTCTGCCCATCCCCTGGTACGATGTCGATGGCACTGTCACTCAGTCTGACGCCATCCCGTTCTTCAAAGACGAGGCACTTGACAGGCTTCTTCGCAGTAATCAGCAACTTCTGCTCGTTACTAGATTCTGAAACCATATTCACTTCTAGTCCCCGATCAGACAAGTCAAGGTATTTGAACGGTTGGGGCCAATCCACATCGCGAGCAGCCACCTCACCGGCCACCCACAGCCGAGCTGCGAGTACATGAGGCTCAGGCTGTGCCTTGTGATCAATAATACCTTCCAGAATGTTTGTGGTCCCGTTCGACACAATCTTGACATTTTCACGCACAATAGGCTCGCGGACGTCAAGTCCAGTGTTGACGGAAAGGAATCTAAGCTCTATTGTGCCAATGCTCCCCTTTTGTAGACTGCTGGCAATCCAGAGCTCATACTTGCTTGTCTTTGGGGGTTGTGCATGAGTCACACTCCAATCATGGTGTTCTCTCTGCACACCTATGGCAATGGGCTTCAGCACACGCGCCACGGCGTAAAATGCGGGCTTGGGCCTCAGGAAGTAGTCCACAATGGCCCAGGAGATAGTAGGCCAGCAATCATTGAGTTGCCAAAGTAGGGCGCCACCGCAATGTCTCTCATCACCCCACTGACGGCGCCATCCACGGTATCCGAACATCATTGTTTCAGCCTGGACGACCTGGGTGAGATAAACGTATGTCTACACCAAGTTAGCTAAATAGGCCTCTAGAATCGAGTCAGATCACGCACCTCCAGATCTGTGGCTGTTCTTAGGTTCTCGACAAGGTATGTGGCAATCCTTCTCTCGTGACCGTCGGCCTTGTTATGGAAGTCGAGGACATGTGACTGAGGATACTTGTCTGCCTCATTTTCGACAAAATAATCAATCGTGGACATATGGGGGAATGCTTCCATCCCGAATTCGCTGTTGAAACGTCCTCCGAGAGTATCAAAAATTTGATACTTTTCCTGAGTCCCATGCCATACTACCCATTTATTAGCATAGGCTCAATCTAAAGTACAGCTCGACTTACCATTCCACTGATGCATATCGCCAACTGTAGGATCGGATGTCACCTTTCCATCACCCCAAGGGCTTCCGGGATGATAGAATGTCTTGGGGGACAGTTTCTCCACCACGGAGGGTAGTAGCTTCTCGTATATGTAGCGCGCCGGGAAATCGGTCTTGAGCCAGTTCTCCGGGTTCTTGTCCTCATAGTCGTAAACAAGGCCGGCACTCTCTTGCACCTGGTAGTCTTCATTGTTCCCCACATACACCACGATTGACGGGTGATGGCGCAGTCGACGCACGTTATAGATTGCTTCCTTTTCGATGGACTCTAGTAGCTTAGGCCACGTTGGGTAGTTCCCACAGCCAAACATGAAGTCTTGCCACACCAGGACACCAAGTTCGTCACAAGCTTGGTAGAAACTATCATCCTCATAACAGCCACCGCCCCACACCCTAGCACCTGTTAACAAACTGTTGTTTATAGAGGGCTGACTAAACATACCGGATCATCACTTGACGGCCGGCGACCATCAACTCAATCCATTTGCGATACCGTTCGGCAGTGATGCTGGGGAGGAGGTTGTCGGCAGGAATCCAGCACGAGCCACCACAGAAGACATCGACTCCATTGATTCGGAAGAAAAAAGACTTGCCGTGTTTGTCGGGTTGTTGAATAAGTTCCGCAGTTCGAATACCAATCTTCTTGGATACACTGTGAAGCTCATGCTTGTCTGTCTCCAAGGACACATAGATCTCATAAAGGGTAGGGTCACCATAGCCGTGGGGCCACCAAAGAGACGGTTGCTTCACATCGAATGTCACCCTGGCAACCCTATCCTTCGGCGTAGCAACCTTACGAGCGACCTCATTGCCATGGAGGCTGAGTACGAAGGTAGCCTTATATGTGTCACCCGAGTCCGCAGCATCCACTTCAGCTAAAGCCGAAATTTGGGCTGTTTGATGGTCCGGCGCTAGCTCTACCTCTGTCCAAAGGTCAGAGACCCTGGCCGAAAACACCTCGAGTCGCACCTCCCGCCAGATACCCGCCGTCGACAAGAGGGGACCCCAGTCCCAGCCCCAATGATATTGGGCTTTCCTCACGGCCATCCTTGCTGGGTCTCCATTAAAAGAAGCCCAGTTGTGACTGGTGTCGTTCGCTCGAAGCTCCCGCGCCCTGCGCATAGCACAATCGAATTTGATTTCGAGCACATGATCCCCGTCTGCTTCCAGAGCCTTGGTCACATCTATACGATGAGCAAGGAACATGTTATCACTCTCCAGGATGACGCTGTCATCAAGCTTGACTGTAGCGAAGGTGTCTAACCCGTCAAATGCCAAGACAACGGATGCCCCAGCGGGGATGACAGGCTTCTGGAACACGGTTCGGTAGGTCCACGACTTTTCGTTGACCCATCTTGCATCAAGCTCATTGAACCCGACGTATGGGTTCTTCAGCCTGAGAGTATGGGATATCTATTAGCGATTGGATTGTATACTGAAAGATGTGAAGCAATGCATACTTCTGATTGGCTTGCAGATCCTGATGGGCAACAGAAGGAACAACAGGTACCGGCATCCAAGCTTCAGGCGACTGGTCGTCGCTATCTTTGAAGTTCCATCCTGTAGATAGAGGATAGTAAGAGAATGTCGCCATGACGCTATCTGATGGGGTTGAAGTGCCGATTGATGCTCAGAACCTCAGGCACATTCAGGGACAGAGAGGAGAGGAGACTTGTGTTCATTCAACCCCATAAAGCGGAAATTCCCCGGATTTTAGATCCCAACTCCCCATGGTGTAAAGGATGGTTGCATGTCGAGAGTGTTTCTATGCGAGGTATGCGGAGTGTCCCTCCGTACCCCACGTGTTGACATTTCCTTTTTCGGACGTCCTGGCACGGAGGTCTGTCCTTGCCCGATTGCGTTAGCGCCATTGAAATCAACTTCGGCCACTGAGTGTCGCTCCTTTTGGTCCTTTTACTTTACCCATGGGTCGCAAGCGAGTTCAGGCTGTTTGGCTTCGTCCCTGAATGAATGAGAAGATTCTTCGTCGCAGTGAAACATGGATACGAGACGGCTTGTTCGGACCTCCTGTCTCTATGCGGTACCCTTACCGACAACGTTTTCCCCAAAACTGTTAAATCTCCGACGTTTCTCCCACCTCTTTCCGTAATGGACACGGACAAACTTCCGTCTAGCTCTCTACATCCTTTACCCGGTCAATTAGCAAAGACGTTGTTAAGTCATGGACTGTTGATACAAATGGTCGAGGATTGCCATCAGTGAGGTGTTTCTCTTTCCTTTGACCATACATCGTTCGCGATTCTGCCGGAAAACAGATATTTCATGGGGGATTGAGTTTTCTTCTGTCCTTGTCTTTACTCGAATCAAAGCTGCCATGTATAAACCTTAATTGAGAAAAGGTGGTTCGGCCACTGGGGGTTTTCCATAGCCGCACCAAATATTATACCGCCCTCCTCCCCCCCAAACTGCAGTGCGAGAGGAATACTGCTGAGCCACTTGCCTCTCTCCTTGAGACATTTGACGCGTCGCCTGGTGCTAGACTACTTCCTTGGTCTGACCCTTCGGCTTCGGTGTCCGGATCAGCCCCTCATCGTACCATCGATTTGAAAGCAGTTTCGCCTTCCCTAATGCACTAAATTTAAATGAAGGGGATATGTTCTTTTTGCCTGTCAGTGCACGAGGGGGGAAAATGGCGCATTGCTTGGCGCCACTCTTTGTCGTTGGCCGTTGGATCAACGCTTACCTCTGCTCGAATGGAGGGCTTCGTCAGCATCGATGATTGGGGGTGTATCTGCCCTTTCGGGTGAACGGCGATAGTTACAATGGCTAGTGGTTCGGGCCCTACTGAATGGCTTGATGGTCAACATTTCCTATCTAGTCGACCTGCACCTCGTCCTAAGACTTTCAAGAGGGTGCCTCCTGTTGATCACAAAACCCGTGAACGGCTTTGAAAATTTCGGCGAAATTATCAGGGTTTTTAACCCCACTGGTGGAATATGGCCACGCAGGGTATTTGCTGACGCTAGTTCGTCTGCCCTGCTTTCCTTTCATAAATGACCGGCAATTTTCAATAAACTTTGGGTCAACATTGTCGACTAGTACGCGCGGGGCCACACATACCACAGAGAAAGGGCCTCGCAGGGAGTTCGCTTGTGTCCTTTATAAGTGATCATCGAGGGGTTGTGGTTTAGTCTGAGGACTAAAGGATCCCGTCGATCCCTAATTGACCATAGCGTGTTGCGGAACCGTCGCCTAGGTGGCAACGCAAGCACCATGTCAATGTGTCGGTCAATTAAATCCGAGACGAGGCAGTAAGCAATTAATTTAAAGTTGGACCCCTGTCGATGACTCCACACGCGTAGAAAGTCTGGATACAACCGAAGACGCAGAAACCGGCTTTTTAGCCTTGCTGCCTTGCGAATAGAAATGCAGGGACAAGCCGCTGTTCTCTCGCTAAGGTCAAATGTGATTCTGCAGTCCTCCGCGTGCAGAAAAGTGGGCGAGAGCGCTCTTCACCTGTGGTCCGTTTCGGCTCAGATTGGCCGTGGCTACCTGTCGAAGCGGGTTGATACTTTTACTGTTCCTTCTGCAGTAGCAAGGGTTATGCCGTTGTCCCTCGTGGGAAGGGAAGGGTTCCTGATCCACTGGCAGGCCGTAATTCCCCGAATTCCTTCTATCTCCATGCACATGCATGCTACCCGTTTCAACGCCCTGTAGAAATAGCTCCTAGTATCTCTAAATCATTAAGATCGAACTGGAAGCCGACGGCATTCGTACAACAGGAGCCGGGTGCACCGAAGTGGGTGGAGTAGGTTCCCTGCCCATCCGAAAGTCCGTAGAGATCACCACTTGGTCCTATCCCCCTCTTCCCGCTCCTTGAATCAGTAGTTTTCTTGGGTCTCGGACATGCTGTACCCAATCTGGTGTCACAGGGACAGCAGACACGGTGTCATTTGGCCAACAAGGTCAGCGGCTAACCGATGATTTAGATTGAGTCGGAGATCAGAGGGCAGGCTAGGATGCCCCGATGCAGCGAATGGCAGAAGAATGTAATTCTTCGACAGCATGCATTAATCAAGAGAAATGCGGGGAAACCGCGGACAATCTCAGGACGATCTAGCAATGAGGGTTAACTCTGTTCAGCATGGCTGGCGATAGGGTTAGACGGTTCCATCGGGCCTCCACTTCTGCTTTTCTAGTCACTCTCGCGCATCATCCGTTTTTGTTCGACTTTCAAACGCTCTTAATTCTTCTTTGGCCCCATCTGGCTCCATTACCTTTCCCATAACCCTTGATCCTCAAATCAATACCCTCGCCCTATCTCGTGAATAAATTTTTTTTTCTGAGATATTGTCTCGTTGAGGGTCTCCTTTTCTCTCGAGAGTGGAAAGGGCATTAAACCCACGACCCCCCTAATCACCACCCCTTTCATAATCATCTGCAGGGTCTCACTTCTAGTCGGCTGCGAAGCTGTGCGGTGGCGGGCCTTTTACCTGGCATTATTATATTATTAAACTAGCCAGCTCCGCTGTTTCCAGAACAATCCCTGGATTCGGTTGCTTCTAAGCTGCTGGACCTTTGCTAACCCTAATGGTTGTCTCCGACCAACTCGGATCTAAATGCATTAGTTGAGTGGGTGGGATTTTTTTTTTCTTTTGCTTGTTCGCTATTGTCTGAGATTGCCCAGAAGCTGGCTCTTGGAGATGTTCCACACGTTTGAAGGTTTCGAAAATCCAAACAGCTCGGCCCCAGCCCGAAGTCGTGGTGAGCGCCAGCAATCCGTCGGCCGGCGCGTCACCACTCTTCGAGCCTGTACTTCCTGCAGGCACCGCAAGATCAAATGTGATGGCGAAAAACCGTGTGAAGCTTGCCGGTGGTATAAGAAAGCCGATCAGTGTCATTATGCAGATCCCCGGCCCTCTCGGAGGTGGGTTGCCTTCCCTTATTTTTGATTTTTAATCATTCTAAATGCCCCTGTCTCCACAAAATACGTCCCTGCCGAGACTTTGCAAGATCTGAACATGGCTTACATGGGACATGAGGATGCAGACATGTGGAAAAACTGTCCACTGCCCTGGATGAGTATCGGGGCGTGCTCGAGAAACTCTTCCCCAATATCGAACCCGAGAATCTAGTCAACTTGCCTCGTGAAAAGCTCTTGGAGTTGACGGGCAAGGGATCCCAGCTGCATTCGCAGTCGCCCCACCCAGCTTCGCCAGCTACCTCTGCATCGGTCGAAGCTCATGTGTCTCCCGTCTCCAACGAAGATGGCAATCTGGAATCTCTCCAGACGATGCCGGAAGAATCCAACGATAGCCAGAACTCGGGGTATACAGAATTCCCGAATAACTTTTCTGACGACGTCAATGCCTTGTCGCTCTCTTCGAGACAGCCTTCCTCTTATCTCGGGGTGTCGTCCATCAATGCTGTTCTCAAAGTGATTCTCTGTCTTGACCCTGCTGCCCTATCTTACTTCTCCCGCCCCCCGGCGAGCATGGGCCATCGTGATTGCGGCCTGGAATACTCTCCACCAGAGACCCAAACATGGCCCGTTCAAGACTCTCACCAACCGATAACACCTCCACAACGCCATCAAACTGTGACGGAGACGCAGCTGTTAGACGCTTACTTTACTTACTGTCAGCCCTTCGTGCCTATGTTGGATGAGCAGTCCTTCCGCGAGATCTATCATTCGGGATGCAGAAAGGACGAGCGTTGGCTCGCCTTGCTAAACGCGGTGCTTGCCCTTGGCAGTATTGCAGCGTACCCATCAAATGACATGACTCACACGATTTACGCCCAGCGCTGTAAGAGCTACTTGAATTTAGAATCGCTTGGCTCCTCACATATAGAGACCATCCAGGCCCTCGGCCTTTTGGGAGGGCAGTATCTCCACTACGTCAGCCAGCCAAATCTGGCGTATTCGCTCATGGGAGCTGCGTTGCGCATGGCTGCGGCTTTGGGACTGCACAAAGAATTTGCACAAAACCAGGATGGGCAGTGTAAGCAGAACATTTCTTCAGCGGATGTTAAACGGCGGGTGTGGTGGTCGTTGTTTTGTTTGGACACCTGGGGCTGTATGACTCTGGGACGACCAAGCATGGGGCGGTTCGGACCAACGATTACCGTTAAGCTGCCGCAGTACCGTGAAAGGGTATGTACACGTGCGACTCTTATGATATCGACACTCTGACATCTTTAGGGAAATGTTCTCGACATCATACCGCTTTTGGAAAACGTCCGGTTCTGCAAAATTGCGACGCAGATCCAAGAAATCCTAGCTACAGCACCGTTGACAAGGTATCACGAAATGTCACACTTTGATAACCAGCTACTGGAATGGTACGAGAACCTTCCTTATATACTCAAAGACCACGAACCATGCTCGAAGTCAATCGTCATCACGAGGACGGTTATGAAATGGCGCTACTACAATCAGCGCATGCTTATCTACCGCCCAACTCTGCTAAGTTATGCCATGCGCCGGGTTCCGTACATTGCTCTTCGATTGGAAGAACGGACGGCGATTGAACGTTGCCGCCAGATCGCGGAGGCCACCATTCAAGATATTTCCTCCACCGCTCAGTCACATCAGATGTCGGGCTGGAGCGCTGTTTGGCTCATATTCCAGGCAGTCATGGTACCCCTATTGGGACTATTCCTTAATGATAATACAACCAGCGACCCCAGAGCTACTGTTACCAGTTGTCAATCTCAAGTTGAGATGGCTATGCTTGTTTTGGCACGACTGGAGCAGTGGAGCCCGACCGCAAAGCGGACGTTAGATGCTGTATCGCGGATCTTAGAGGCTAGCAAAAGAGGGTCCAGTATGGATAACGAGGCTAGCATCGTCAACAGCATGTATACTATTTCACGTGAAGGTACTTTAGCACGAACGGCCTTGGGGGTGCTTCCATTCCAAAGCGATTTTGGCCGAGGCGTTACCCTCATGAACGAGGCTGGCTTTTCAGATCCGTTTGCAGCCCCTGTCATCGATGATTCAACAGCCCAATATTTATGGGACTTCCTGAGCTGGAGTGATAGTAGCTTATGGCCGGGAATAACGGACATGAACAATTTCAACGACGAAGCGCTGTTCGCCCAAGCTGACAAAACTATGAAATATACCAACAACGGGCCGACATTCTTGGGGGGCTCTATGGGTGATAACGCCTATTTTGCAAACCCACCTTTACCCTATTACTAACCAATCCGAAACCTGAATATACTAAACCCTTCTGGCTAAGGGTGCTATTGCTTTCTCGTGATGTTCATCTTTTCTGTCTCTGCTTTTCTTTTTTCTTTGACTTTCCTATGTTTGGTCATGCATTGCAGCGCTTTATTTTAGCACGCAGCACGGTATGAATGAGTGTATATAACCGGGGTATCTAAAAGAGCACATAGTGTATATGAATGATTATCAGTTCTGGGAAATGTCAGTTTCTCTTGTAGAGTGTTTAGAGGTCATTACTTCGATTTATGTAACTTATGGGGTTGTGAGTGTGCTGACTCAGCCAAAAACATCAACGCCGAAAACCACACGTTATGCTTCCCGGGTCCCAACCACCATCAATGTTCGAACCATATGAGCTCAGCTTCTAAAGAAGGGAATGCTCCATGGCGCTGAATTGAGATAGACCGCCGTATTCCATGAACTCGACGTGCAATCAATTGGTGTGTGTACTGGCCTTAAAATTCGAAAACCTGCAGTTTCTCAACGGATATCGATGAGCTTAAGTTAATAAGGGAAAGGGAAAAGTCGGCCATGGCATCGTTATTTGAAAGACCATCTCTGGTCTTTGGTGCGTCTATTGCGTTGCGAGTTATTCTCCTCTTCTATGGCGCCTGGCAAGATGCTCATTCAGCCGTTAAGTACACCGACATCGACTACATGGTCTTTACCGACGCAGCCCGGTACGTTTCGCAGGGTGCCTCGCCGTACGCTCGTGACACGTATCGTTACACTCCTCTTCTCGCGTGGATGCTTCTACCAACCTCCTGGGAAGGGCTCTTCTCCTTCGGTAAGGCACTTTTTGCCCTCTCTGACGTGGTCGCTGGATGGCTCATCGCAAAATCCCTCATGTCATTCTACGGCATGAGCACTTCTCGCGCTCTGAAATATGCCAGCTTCTGGCTACTGAATCCCATGGTTGCCAATATCAGTACTAGAGGAAGCTCCGAGGGTCTCCTGGGTGTGCTGGTTATTGCCCTGCTCTGGGCCGTCTTGAATAAGAAACTCACTCTCGCTGGGGTAATTCTCGGACTTAGCGTGCATTTCAAGATTTACCCCTTTATCTACGGCCCGTCTATCATCTGGTGGCTGGACGAAGAGCACGATGGATCGAGATCAGCTTCACCAAAGGATAGACAGAAGCAAAAAGATGCAAGCCTCATGTCCAGTCTCTCTAACTTCGTCACCCCTTCTCGTCTGCTTCTCACCGTCACCGCACTGGCCACGTTTTCAGGTCTCAATATCTCGATGTATATCCTTTACGATTTTCCCTTTGCACAGCAGACTTATCTTCACCACTTGAGTCGCATCGATCATCGCCATAATTTCTCCCCTTATAGCACCCTCCTATATCTCTCCGCCGCAGGAGACGTCCAGGGGAACTTTGAGTCTTTAGCATTCATTCCGCAATTACTTCTCTCTGTCGTTGTCATCCCGATTATTTTGGCCAAGAAGAGCCTTCCGGGAGCGATGCTGGCCCAGACATTCGCATTCGTTACGTTCAACAAAGTTTGCACGAGTCAGGTATGCTTCTCTCATATATTCGTACCAAGCCTTTGTAGAAGGTTTCAAACTAACTAATGAAGTACTTCCTCTGGTACCTCGTCTTCCTCCCGTTCTATCTCCCTTCTTCATCTTTAATGAATAATCCGAGGTTGGGAATCACGGTTACGGCTCTATGGGTGGCCGGTCAGGTATGCATACGCCCTCATTCTTTCCTGGTCCTTTCGGGCAGAATAAAATGGCGAAAGACGACCAGAATCGCAACAGTACTAATGAGGGAATCAGGCTATGTGGCTCCAGCAAGGCTACCGTCTCGAATTCCTTGGTTTATCGAGTTTCGTTCCGGGATTATTCTTAGCTAGTTTAGGATTCTTTGCCGTGAATGTCTGGATCTTGGGCATCATTGTCAGTGATGTCGGATTGATAGGGAATTAGGCCCTCACCTTTTTCGTTGTGCAAACGGACAGACGATTGTTATAGGTGCTAGTGGCTAGCTAGTATATCATTTCTCCCTGTTGGTCTTCTCCGGTTTGGGTCTTCATTATAAGGCTGCATTGATATATGTTGATGGATACATTATGTTTATCTCAAAGCTTTAACGGGAACAGATACCATTTAGTGAGGCTATTCGAACCGTAAGCACCTACATGATTCTCTACACAGAGTCAAAATGCAGCAATATTTCAGACCAAGGCAACGTGGCCGATAGCAGGTGTATAATGCAAGTCTTTTGACCCCCACGAATGGATGGCCCTTTGGGATTTACACGCTTCATATTTGACCCCCTTAATAACCTTATTCGGATCCTCATCTGCACCTAAGATCGCGATAACCTATGAATTCTGTGCGCTATATCTGGCTATGCTGGTTTTTGCCAAGGACGGATGACATGACGACACCTCTGGAATGCCCCGAGTATATTCCACGTTTCTCTCATTCTAGAGAGTTCCCAGGTAAACACTCGAAGAGTTTGTATGCCAAACGAGGTGCATAGAAATACTTAAGTAGTGGCAGACGCTAAATTTGAAAAGACACTTAACGCATTTTCCGAGGTACAATATCAGGTAGAGAAGCCATACATTCATTTCATGACTACACGAGGGAGCATCTCAGCATAAATAACATCACGAGCATGAGCATGACTCTTCAAGGACAGACCCTCTACCACCCCGTAAAAAAAAATCGATATTACTTTTCTCAGATATGTTAAGCGATTCCTTCGCTCCTTGTGGATCAGGCCCCTTCCTTTTTACTCTGATAGGCTCACCCGCAACACTTAAAAAAACATAATCTTGTCTACCCACCAGACAGCTCTCCAGAAGACCAAGCGGAGCCCAGCATTACTTCTGCGGTGGACCCTTCAAGAGCCTCTTAGGGATAGCGAGCTTTAAGCTAATCGGCTGCGTCAACCTCCATAAATCAAGGATCTCGTAAGCGTAGTTTGAGACCTTTTGGCCCGCATTAAAGTCCGCATTGCCGATTCCACCGTCTTCGCGGACCTCACCGGGAACTTTACCTGGCGGGATGCTGATAACGTACGATATGTGAAATGGGGACTGTAGGGTAGAACCAGATGCGACGGACACTGGACGGTAAGAGATAGCGGCGAAATTCTTAGTTTTTGACTCTACTGGCGAAATTGTGAACGTATGCGGGCTTTATGCTCATGAGTATATCTTCCTTACTTGTTATAGATCGTGGTTTGGAAGCTGAGGGCTTTCGTTTAGGCATCGTGGTGAGTTGGCGTTCTAATTGTTTATATGGGTGGAGCACGTTGGCTTGGTTTGATACGCTAGTCTTATTGCGGGTAGTGTTGCCTATAAATTAGTCAATTAGTCCATCATACTTCGATCCAGTAATTGTTACTACACTTGCTACTATACTCCGCTTAATGGAATTAATACGCTATGCTTCGTTTTTCACAGTGTAGGGATCGACTCCCCAGGTACCTGAGCCATTCACTATAAAAAGGCCTCTGGAGCAATACCAAGCACATATGACCACAGGGTGCCGTCCGCTTAGCTGGCTGTACTCAAACACACACTGGCCAGTTCATTGTGTTCTTCTGTGTTGTGGGGACTGCCTTGTGAATACAATAATGGTGGCAAGGGCTGCTTGTAGCCCAGCAGCGCTTATCTTGTTAACTGCAGCGAATAATAACCTGGGTGACTGTTTAATGAAGCTTGCTATCTTCACCCATTTTACCCAATGTTACATTGGAGCGTGCCGCAGAAAAGGGCCGTGACAAAAGGAAACATAAGGCATTACTCTGTTCCTCCTTGGAGTATAATCAAAAGTGCTAAGCACCAGGTAGAATATGTATTTATCTTCAATATTCATATAAAACTACACCTGTCTCAAGAACCTTGCTAATCTCTTCCTCACAGGCTGCTGCCCCGCACGATGAAAGGACCTCATCAATACGCGTCCACCAGGCCATCAAGAAGTCTGGGAAGGGTAGATAGGGTCTTTCTTAAAGGAACTTAACCAAGAGTTGCTTAAGATCTATAATCAGCTCTCTCTCCTCGTCGTGGATCTCATTTATTTCCTCTGCGTCTACCTCTTTGTCTTCGAACGTTCGATGACTGCATGTGTGGGTAATCTCTAGCTTTTGAAAGGCGAGGAAGCGGAGGACACAAGGACCAAGGCGTTCTTGGGCCTCTGGCTTTAGTGACGGTGCGAGACTGTTCAGTACTATTGCAAGCCTCTGTAGAAGCTCTTCCACATCTTCATCAGGCCATGTTCGGAAAAGCCCATGCAAAATCTCGTAAGCCCAGAGCATCCAACAAGAGAACAAGAACAGCAGCAATTGTCGTAGGTATTATTGACGGGAATTTTGCGCATTAATTCTTTAGACTTTGTGTTCAGCTGATGCATTTCCGAGGACCCATTCACAGCGCTTTCCAATGAATGCAGAAATTTACCCACATCGTTTCCCAGGAAATGTAAAGCAGTGGTAGAAGAACCCGACTTTTGACGGCCAAGGTCAGCACCTTTGGTGATAAACCAGTCCACCTTCTCCAAAAAGGTGTTAAGGCTGCAAGGAGGAGAGCTATACCATAGCTCCATAAGACTGGACTTATTGTATTTATCCTCCTCATCCAAATCTCGGAAGCCAGCATCCCCTAGTAGATCCGCTAACTTCAGATTGACCCCTATGTAATTATAGACAGACCATTCATACTTTCATCAGCGATGATAAACCTTTCTTTTAGAAACTGGTAAACTCCATAGGCGTGATGTTCAAGAGAGAATCGGATCAATACCTAATTGATAGGTCACTTCCTCAGGCAAGGAACTCTCTGCCAAAACCTGCAGCCGTTTTCTGCGGCCAGCGAGTGCCTGTACCACTAACTTCATAATCATAGGATTACGATGCTTACCGGCCGTTTCCAACATCAAGTGTCCAAGACAGCATCCGCTAGTGTTAAGCAAGAGCTGGAGGCTTTCTTCACAGTTCGCTTCACATGCTTGTATAAGACTGACCTCGGTTGGTCTATAACCAGATTAAAAAAGTAAAGCCAGACCGGAAGGCCATTGTGGATAAGAGTCAACCAAGAACTGTAGATTAATGCCCTTTCGTAGGAGTAACACTAGGTAACTCCTTGACTTATAAATAAGTGGAAGCAGCTCTTCGGGAAGATCAATATCTATGTGTGATTAGCTTTTTTTTTCTGCTGAAGGAACATACCTTGAAGGTCCTTTTCATCGGCAAGTTTCAATATAAGTCAGATGCTGTAATCTTCCCACAGATGATCATTCTGACGGCCATCGCATCTATTCCAATGGTACCCTACGTTAAACACATTCGGATGATGTCTCCAGTCAAGAGCCTGGTGAGTCATGTAGCCTCCAGAATTTAACAAATCAGAACAAATATCAACAGTAACCTGCTGCTGGCGGTAGCTATCACAATTTCGGATCACTATGTCCGCAGGGGTCTCGTCATCATTGTTGACACGATCTCGTAATAGACCCGTCCGCAGCATGGAATTGATAAAAGCACGCCAAATCTGCCATGAATCGACATCCCACTGATGGCTGTACTTTTGCCAGCTAGTTATAATCTAAATTTAATTGTCAGCAAAGAAAACCCACACGTGGCCTATTTAAGCAAAAAACATTCAAAACCAGCCAAGCCAATTAAGAAAAGCTCACTCACGTGTAGGATCGTATCACCGTTTAGTAAGATATCTGAGTATGCTCCTTTGCCTTCCTCAAACCATTTAAGTAGCTTCTGCTGAGACTTTTATAAAAGAATTGCTCGTTTAGTCTCTTATTCACTTATTATCGAAGACACTACAAGACCTAGCATGTCACCACATTCACACTAATAACGAGTCAACACACAGCATTATCACCTCCACCACAACCCCCAATCCGACTATCTCCAGTACATCAAATCCCCAAACACCCAAAGGATCGTCCCCACCCCTCCCCACCCTCTTCCGCTGCAAGGCCTTCACTCTCTTAACCAATGTCCCGACGCAAATGGGCCCAAGAAGCGTACATAGCGAGATAGCCCAAACAACCACCAAATACGTCTCGGATGAATGACCACCAGAACTCGTCCTGAAGATCCCCTTTGACTCGGCTAGAGAGGCTATCAGGTAGCCAACTTCGCCTCGCGAGACCATCGCTAATCCCAATATCGAAGCGGGATAGAGGGATTTGGGCTGTGGGGGTAGGGAGGAGGTTGGGGGGTGGTTGTGGGGAGTTGTTCTTTGGAGTTTGGATTAGGTGGATTGGGAGTTTGAGAGGAGTGGTCCAGGAGGTGTTGATTCCTTTTCTCTTGCTTTCGGAGTGTTGGGTATGGATCCGTGCAGAATAGGAACATGCGAGAAAAGAGTTCCTTTAGGGCCCGGAGGATGCTTGATATACGTAGTCTGGATGAGAAGCGGAAGAGCCAGAGGGCCGGTGATTAATTGGCCGAAAGTCATGAGAATAGCGTAGACGATGCCGCGCCAGACTATTTTTCCGGTGAACATTTCGGTGATGGGGATGGCGAATCCGACTGAGGCCTTGGGTGGGTTACTAGGAATGCATGCTTGTGGGTTGGGGTGGGTAGGTCACTTACGAAGAATAGAGGGGTGAGGATCCTGGTGACCGGTTCGTGGTAGTACTTTTCATAGACCAGTCTGCCGGTGGGAGGCTCTTTATGTTGGGCACTGGGTGCAGTTACAGTTTGCTGGGCAGTGGACTGGTTGTGCTGATTGTGATTCTGCTCTTGGCGGGTGTAATCCTGTTCTTCAGCGGTACTTCAGTGCTTGATTCGGTGACTGCATTGTCGGGACCTTCTGCGCTCGAGTACTCCTTTGAAAAGTCGTCGATCCAGGACGTCATCACACCTACAAGATATGCGGCGAATAGACTAGACGTCCCTGCGTAGGTAGCGCCAGACACCATTCCGACCAGCAGACATGTATATAAGCCAAGAAGTAGAACTGAACTGTACCCGTGAAATCCGGGAACCGTGCCCTATGAAAGAGAATGATGTGCACGACTGGCCTAATACACAATTTGCATAGAAGCAGTGCACCCACACCGAACCCGACAGAAACGAACGAACACGGGCCGTATAACTGTTACGGCACCGAACGAAACACTGCTTCCGCCCAGATTGGTAACGATCTGGACCAACACCAGACCCACGACATCATCCAACATAGCTACGCCGGTGGTAATCGTACCCAGCCGTGTCTTAATGAGAACCGTGGTCGAGAGAATGGTGAAAGTAGTTCCCAAACTCGTTGCGCTGAGGGCCGCGCCGGCGGAAAAGGCCTGGGGTGGGAGTCGCCGAGACCAGTTTAGTGAGGATGAACGACAGGACCATTGGTGCGCCGATGCCCGTTATGGCTACGGCGAGTGAAAGCAAAAGGTTCGCTTTCAATGAAGGCAGAGATGTAGACAGACCGCCTTCGTAGACGAGCATGATCAGACCCAGGTACCCAAGCTGTTGGCTCACGGTTGCCATATCACGAACGAGCCATTTTGCGCCTGTTGTGCCTGGTGTGCCCCAGAGGATCCCGATGAACGACTGGCCGATGAGTCCGCAGTAGACGAGTTTGTCTAGACAGACATTGACCCGGTTCAGAACCAAGAGGAATCCCGTTTGGTTAAGGATCGTGGTAATGGCTGGCTCATGGTAAGCAAAGGCTGTTTCACCAGCCATTTTTTGCTGAATGGAGTCGATGATTGATCTTTGGATATAATCACGAAGAAAATATTTGCTGAAGCTAAGAGATGGTGCGTGTCTGGCTATACCGGCAATATTACCAGCGTTTGGCGATTCGGTGGTGGTAAATTATCAACGGTAACGGACGCCATCAGGAAGTATTTTTGGACCGTTGGGTAATGGTGGATATTGCTCGATTAAAAGAATGTACGAAACTTTGGATAGCTGCGACGAGGGCGAAGGATGCGAAAGAGAAAACAAAGCTGGAAAGTGGGAGCCACATATTTTAGGAAAAATATTGATGTTCGGTAGATGGAGGGTTTCGGCATCCCGATGCCAAACATTCTATGGTCGCACAAACCAACACAAATCCTCTGCCCAAGAGATCGAACCAGGAGGGTATACTTGAATGGACAGACTGTAGAGAGTACGTATGGAACTAGACTAGATGATATCATACCTTTTCAGAAGCATTTCGAAGAATTGTTAAAGATTGATGATCTTTGGAGGTCTTTCCAGACCAAGGTTGGTTTCAACGCAACGTAACATAGGAGGCAGCTATCTGATGGAAGATATAATGTTGGTATTAATTTGTATTCATATCCAGAATTCTAGATAAATAGTTGCCGGCGTGAACTGATCCCCCTGATATACCACGGTCAAGCACAGATATCTGATTCCAAACTAAGTATAGCGTTTACTATGTATAAACTGAAATTAGAATATACTATTTTCAGTTCCGCACACTCTGGGGCAGATTAAATTTTATAACTGCTAGACATCAGTGATTTATGCCTCTTTAACCCTTTCCATTCATCGCTTGAAGAGCATGATGTGGGCCCGGGAGAACGACGTGTCTGACACCACTTGGCATGGGCCCATAAGGCGTGAAGCACCGCAAATTCATACCCTATAATCTTCAAAGGCCCAGTGCCTCATGTCTTCGTGAGATTTCGTTATCCCATAGGTCTAACTTTCTGGAATTTCTATACTATTGAACCTAGATGGGATCTTTCAAACGAAAGCTTTCGGATGGGTGCCGAGTACACGAATCTGAGGACTGTTCGCACTACCTAGGACGCAGTGAGATTGGGGGCCGTGGCACTCCATCTGATTGGAAGATGGATGCCACTTTATGGAGATCGAGACGGAGAAATGAATAGGATTTCGCGTGATTGGCTGGCTCGAGTACTGGCCCTCACGATCACGAAGCTGGAGAATAGTTGACGAGCCTATCAGCCGCTTGGCTACAACCGAACTCGATGCAGCTTAAGGTCCATACTAGTATCATACGCTAATTAGGCACTATATATGCGCCCTGGAGAGAAGAAGACAATATTTTCCTTCTTTAAATATCTCTTCCCCAGCATTGAACATCATGGAGTCCGTCAAAAGACTCGTGTACGGCTATCCGGAACAGCCCCCGCGAATCCGCACCAAACCCCTTGCGGTAATCTGCGTTGGCCTGCCACGATCCGCTACAGAGTCCCTAAGCGTCGCGCTTGAAAAGCTAGGCTACAAAACCTACCATGGCTGGGATCTCGGGTTGGAGGAAAACGCAGCGTACACCCAGCAATGGGCGTACCTAGCCAAGCGCAAATGGAACGGCGCCCCAGACGGTGACGTGCATATCACGAGCGCCGAGTTCGACGCTCTTCTGGGCCACTGTGACGTAGTTATTGATTCCGCGGCCTCGTTCTTCGCAGCGCAACTTATCGAGGCGTATCCAGACGCCAAGGTGATTTTGAACACGCGTCGGGACCTGGACGCATGGCATCGCAGCATCCTGAAGACGATCGTCCAGGAAGTCGAGGATCGGTGGATTGTGCGGATAATGCGATTCTTTAATGCGGGCATGTTTTGGTCGTGGGAGGTCTTCATGACGCATGGGTATCCGGGACTATTCCGGAGTGCACGCAGTGGGAATGCGCGGGCTGGTATTGAGTGCAATGGGAAATGGGTGTATCGGGAGCACTCGAATATGATTCGGGGACTTGTACCGAAGGAACGTTTATTGGAGTGGAGTGCGGAGGATGGGTGGGAGCCTGTGTGCGAGGTATGATTGACGTCTATTCCCCCCTGGTTTCCCTTCTGGGGCTTATGTTGCTAACGGGTTGTTTTGCAGTTCCTGGATAAGCCAGTGCCAGATGAGCCTTTTCCGAGAGTTAATGATCTGAGCGCCTTCAAAGGCAATGTAGAAGCAAAATTAATACGGCCTCGTATAATGGGGGCTGTGCGCAATTTACTCATTACGGTGGCTTCGGTGGGTGTCTTGACGACGGCGATAGTGCTTGGAGTTAAACAACGACGAGTTGCATGGGCATAGAGGGTGTTGTTAAACCCCGGAATTAGGATAACCCTGGAGAAGTATTAGTAAACAAAGTGAAAGGAGGAATAGTTATGTATATAAATCTTGGTCAGCTCTGCAAACTAAGTAAATTGGAAGAATTATAGTACATTTCGGAAATTAGTGCCTCGAGAACACAACTCATCAAAGCGAAACATTCGGAATAGAGCGCTCAAGTCTTAGAGCATAACTGTCGTGGCATCTGTACACGTTCAGACTTCCACCAGGACACGAGAGAACGAAACTTCGGAAACTCTGCGGTTCTGGATGCAAGTATTGCTTGTCCCATATATGGCTATGGTGGTGAGTACCAGTGTGCGTTCTTCTACTGTTAGTGTTAAGATGATGTAGCCGACCCGCGTACTGGAGTAGCAGGGGCAATGTTATCTTCCGACAAACGGTTGTGGTAAGCTGGTGGTGGAGGCGGAGGTGAAGCTGGCGGCGAGTATGGTGTAGAGTTAGAGGGAGAGGTGGGTGAGCGGGAAGCCATCGCTGCTGCTACGGCTTCTCCCTCCGGACAAGGTAACTCAACGAGCTGCGAGCCGTATAGTTCGCTTCTCCTATACTCCTGCTGTCCGGGAAGCTCGTTAATGTCTGGGGGTGGCGGGTCTTTCACCTCTTCCTGTGGTTGTGGTTGTTGTTGCTGTTCGGTCAGTTCACTTTCTTTCTTCCTCCTAAACCGCAGAAAATAGTAGAGAAGGGCGGCCACTATTAATAATCCAAAGACGCCGCCTAAGACACCACCCACAATCGCCCCTACAGGTGTAGACTTAGACGGAGACCGATCAGATGGGGAGGAGGTTGATGTTGGGATCGCGCGGGTGGGTGTGCGGGTGGTTGGGGTGTATACGCGCTGGAAGAAGACCTGCAAGTCACGGTCATCAAAGCCGTTCGATGGCGCTTTGGTAGTGGCACCTCCTGTTCCACTTTACAAATGGTCAGCTTCAAATGTACGGCAGGTGTTAGGAACCGAAATGTGCCGAGACATACGATCCACCAACAACGGAGATAATCTCGGACGGAACTTGGTAGCTCGTGAGGTTTGGTCTAAACCTTGCCCACATGGCATGCTCAGGGTTTTGTTTCCCTAAGTACATGTTATGCAACCCGTAGATCTTAGGCACATCACAGGTCGTGGAGTTCGTGTATGTGCCGCCCATCACGCTGCTTCTGATTAGATATACAAGATAGAGCAGCTTCCATTGGGATGTCACATACATCATCTGGGCCCCATCGACGACTGTACAGGACGCTGAATGTTTGGGATAGCCGGCACCAGCAGCATCGGGATACCTGGTCAACGTCAACTAACCACGCCTGAGCTGCATGGGGCCAGAACCGTACCATTTGATCCATCTAAAGGAAGGTAAAGACAGAATGTAGATGTCATCAAAGCCAACACCAGCTGGAACACCGAGGCCGCCGTAGAGATAAATGTTATACGAGGAATAATCCTGAGCCCAGGTTGCACCGGCACAGAATCTCCTCCTTTGCTCTGGAACCTGGCCGGTTGCCTTTTGAGTGTACCACTTACTATCAGAGATGTCATATAACAGAATCTCCTGATTGAGGTTAGTTAAAAATGGTATAAGTAGAGTGGTTACCAGAGACGCACATCCATAGGCTGACCGACGGTAGTGCCATTATTTTGAGGTGCCTTCACGCCCCCAAAGTACACCAACATCCCTTCACTCGCTGGGATATACACCATGGCCCCTTCAGCGCGACCGACTGAGTCCGGACCAGTCGAATTCATCCACGTATTGTGTACCATGTCGTATTCAAGTAAACTTGACAAAGCCATGGGAGGCCGCGATCCCCAAGCCGGAACCGAAGCATTCGATAGCCATCCGCCATAGTAGTAGCCGACCCCGCGATCTTGCAGCGTGACTCCACTGCCGTAACTAGCCCTCTGGATATTCGCCTGCGTGATATCGGGGTTGGCGGTTTTCCACTTGTTGTAGAGGGCGTCATAAGTCCACATCGAGAAGTTTTGCGGAGTGCCCTGGGAGAACTCGCCGCCGTAAAGGTAGAGCATCTTGTTGACCGCGTCGGACCACAGTATTCCTCCATTCACATCTGGTGCATCGGTAGGCTTTGTCAGATTGTTGTATACCGCAGGCATGCCCTCATTGTCGACATCAAAGTCCGCATTGAGCAGACCGGTATCTTCACGGAAGGGCAGGTCAGTCATCACTAAGCCATCATAACATGAATGATGGACATACGCGTGTAGTTGCGGGGGTATTGAGAAAGAGGATTGTAGTTGACGAAGCCACCATCGATGTAGAGCCTGGTATAGTCAGCGAGATCAGTAGTCGAACCTGAGTAAAGCTAACAGATGTCGCACTTTCGATCGATCACCGCTGTCTGATGTCCGAAGATTCGGCAAAAGTTCTTCAACAGGTCCTCTTGCTCTTGCTGCTGGAAGCTCAACCCAGCCAGCCAGAGGAATACAAATAAATTCCTCGTCGACATGGGTGTTGACGAAGCACAGTATCATCTACAGGGCCTCTGGGAAGAATATTGTCCACAATCATACGTGTTCTCGCATCGTCAGCAACCATGAGGTCTACGGGATTACGGGGAGAGTGTTTTGGGCAGGTCAGATTTTCCCAGCCTTGTAGGTGACGAAAATGACCTATCGGTCAACGCCCCAGTCCACCTGTATGACCCAATAGACTACCGAGAAATACGCATTGGGTGGTCGTACAGCTGCGGCTAAGATGGATCTGCAGGAAGAATAACCTGTCTGAGCGTGGACACATATCGCCAAGCGGGTATTTGTTATTGTCTGTCTTAAGCACTCCAAGAGGATTGGAGACGAAGATCACTGCCAATCATAGCGTTGACCCCCAACGTGGCCATGATGTCTGGGTCGGCTACGGCCCCGCGGGATTCTCGGTTCAAAACATCCTATCCAAATATCAACAATCTAAATCGGGATGTCTCTATTCAAGCAGGGTTGCTAGATAAAAGACTTAAGCCTGTAGGAGCTGGTAGCTGTTCATAAAAGAAAGAGTACAGTTACCGAGAAGAATATAAGAAAACAAAATGAAAATACTTGAGAGTTTCAGGCGTGCCGTATTATTATTAATCAGGAAAATCATGGGAAATTCCATAATCAATAATGATTATAATAGCAATAAGTCTCATATGTGTAATATAGTGTCATTCGGTAGTTCGTTTAATCTCAATTTCTAAATCCTAGACAGAATCTTGAAATCTAGCTGCAGCCGACCCCTTACAGATCAAGTAAGGTTGGGGATTGGTGCTGCATGTTTCTCCCACTCTTTCTCTCTATACTCTTCTTTTATGTTGACCTAAATCTAATTCAATTCCGTTCCACTTCAAACAGGCTCTTTTGTATTTCATTTTGGTCGGATATGTGGGAAGAGCGTCATCCTTCGGTCATGGACTCGCGATATCCATGGCTGACTTGCTGCTGAGCCAATCTTTTAACTCCCGAGCCTCGAATAACCTCTCTTGGGGAGTCACTGACGTCCTGGATATCTCCTTCATTTATCCCATTCCCCCCTTTCTTGATTACACCGTTTTTAATAATTAGAAACTGGAGTAAAAATTCCAGGACAAGAGTGGAATGTCCCCTAGCCATGTATCGTTCACTCTCCAGAATAAGTCAGCATATTGGAGGTGTAAGTGGCCTGTGGCCTTAAACTGTTTCCTCCAAACTCTTTTAAGATTCCAGAAGGTATTTTTTTGCATACTGAATTCTGTTCATAGACTCGTAGTGTTGCCAAGCAGCAGGCCCGACGATTGACCCTCCTTGAACACCACTCTCATAAACTCCTCAAGCAGGTGTGCCCCGCTGTGAACGACTGTCTCTCTACCCGAGACTGACAGTGCTAGTATGGGATTCCAGTTCCTCACGGGTTCGTTGTCGCAAGCCCAGATGATGCCAAGTCCGTGGTATCTGAGATAAGTAAGAGATACCTATTCAGACTATTGAACCCCGGAGACGAGGTGATCTAATCACTAGTCATGGACAAATAAAAGATGCCCCATCCATGTTGAAGTCCCAGATTCTTGCTGGAGGTCGGGGGAAGGGTAAAGTCGACAGTGACGGCAAGGGCGGAGTTCGGATGGCCAAGACGTAAGCTGACGATCATGGATTCTTGCCCAATGGGACAGGCCTAATGTCGATACCAAGACCAGAGGAAGCTTTTGAAGATGCCTCCAACATGCTTAACCACTACCTCACAACCAAGCAAACACCACTAGGCGGATTACTTGTCAAGAAGCTCTATATCTACAAAGCTGTTGACGTGGCGCACGAGTACTATTTCTCCGTCACGATTGATCGCGAGCGATATAGCCCCGTACTTCTCATTTCCGACGAGGGCGGAGTCAATATTGAATCGAACGTCGATAAACTACATAAATTCTGGTTTTCGCTCTCCTCGGGCGTCACTCCCGAGTTGATCGCCCAGATACAAGCGAGACTGCTGTTTTCTACTTCTGAATTACCAGTGATAGAACACATTATCCGGCAAATGGTCGCATTGTTCCGGGAGAAAGATGCCATCCTCCTGGAGTTAAACCCACTTGCGTTGACACGGGAAGGAGACTTTGTCTGCCTCGATGCGAAATTTGATTTTGACGATGCCGCGCGGTTCCGCCAGCGGGACATCTTCAGTCTTGAGGAGCATGCATCTAACCAGGAAGATGAGCATGAGGCTTCCAAACATGGCCTAGTTTATATTCGTCTCGATGGGAACATCGGAAACATCGTTAACGGAGCGGGTTTGGCTATGGCTACTAACGATCTTATCAACCTGCATGGCGGCAGGAGTGCTAACTTCCTCGATATTGGAGGAAAGGCCACGACCGAAACATTACAGAAAGCTTTCGAGATTCTCAACAGGGACTCTCGGGTGCAGGGTATTTGGGTCAACATCTTCGGTGGTACGTATGCTCTCTGAGATTTATCATAGGACTTGGCTCAGTAAATGTCAGGAATCGTACGGTGCGACATGATAGCTACCTCTATTATCGAAGCCGCTTCAGCTATGGGAGGATTTAGGGTCCCCGTTGTTGTCCGCCTACAGGGTACCAATAGTGTCGAAGCCATGAAGTTGGTAAGATATCAGATGCCCCTATTGAGAATGCACATTAATCTCAATCGCATCCTAGATTGAAGCATCCGAATTAGACCTCTCTACGGAGTCAGATTTTGAGTTGGCAGCTGAAAGAATTATCGAACTTACACCTCGATGTGTTTGAGATTCCATTGAATAGTCTTCTTGGCAGTAGTGGATGTTTTACCTGTCACACTCTACTGGCATTCTTAACTCATCTATAACAGTGGTTCCTTTTTCTTAGTGGGGACTAATATAATACCATACTGTAACGATCTTATGGCTAACTCGCCTTTAAGACCGCGACGTTACTGTCTTCCACACTCTACCCTTTCCTCGTGCCTTGCTCAGTAGCTGTCAGTCTTATGCCCAACCTTAGCGTCTGTACGTATTCCTGTCCATATGTCGGGGACGTTCATGGGCGGAAATAGCTTTCAGAGCTAGAGTTTCAACTACTTTTGTGGGGTACAAAATGCATATACAACAGGGCTATTGTAGCAAGCCCCATTGTAGCATCGACACCAATAAACATCATGATGAAATAAGCTAATGGTATGCTATTGATATTACTCAAATCGTCTCAGTATGAACCAAAGCCTCCGTTCAGACGGTGTGTATAGTTTAATTCCAAACGATCTTTACATAAAAGGTCTCATGTGACCTTAAAGCAATTTCAATCAAACTACAGGAAACCAAATATGTGCGAAGTACATAATATGCTATCCAGGATTATTCTATACTCCCCCCTTTGGACCACTCCGCTGCCCCCCTCCAGCCATGTACAGAATATCCCGTGCTGCATATCCAAGTACCACGAATTCCTCATCCAACTGTCATCACAGCCCCTCTTCATTCAAGTACACAACATCAACATGAGCTAGTCTAGTATATAGTCTCATTGTCGGATCCCACAATCGTGCATTCGTACTCGGCGGCAGTTCTCGTCTCCCCAGTTTGCCTATTCAAAAGATACCACATCGCGTACCCGCCGATAGCCACTCCGGCATTGAAGGAAGTCACTATCCAGACTCCATTGCATCCATTCACAGTGCAAAGTGTCTCCTGAAGGCTCTGTTAGATGCTTCCCTCTCACAGGTAAGCGCTAACACTATGTTGAGAACAGGACACTAACTGCCATGATTGTGGTATGATTAACGTTCTTTGAGAGGGACTTTCAGATTAAGGATAGCTGTTTAGCCGTCAAATGATGATCTTTAAGATAGGAATTCTCTGATGATATAAAGATGGTGGTTGTTCGAGGATTTTTAACTAAAATTCGTCGACAGCCTTGTCTTGGCTTCTCCGCATCGTCAGCCTCGTTATCGCGCCTGTCTGGTCGCCCTGGTGTTCTATAGCCAATGAATACGCTATTCATCTGACATGCCCCGCTAGTAGGAACGCTACCTTTCGACGTGGTGGCTGTGCACGCTGTCTCTGGACACCATATGGGATAATTATTGGGTTGCTACCAGGGCTTTATGGTTCACGTGCCAGATCTCGCGCCTCAGAATAAGGGGTTGGATGACAATGACCCTCAAAGGTGTTTTCTCTAGGAAACTAAGATACCATTGCAGGGAAGAAAAGTATGGAGATGTCCTATGCTATTGCCTGCCAATGCATGGATAGCCTTATCTCATTGTTTAGCCTGTCTTTCCGGATCGGGTTGATGGTCTATCCAACTGTCCGCATGTAACAGAAGATATCAGTCTTTCATTCTACTATCTACGAATGCACATGCTTGATTTCTATCTTACTACGTAGCCTCACCTAGTTGACTGGTTTTATCCCCGGTGTAGTAAAATCCTGTCGCACTGCCGACACCCCATGAAGAGGCTCTCCTAAGGGACCTAGCTGAATACATCATCATCACCCAGCCGCGCTACATGACCCTTTATCACACACACGCAAGTTGATTACAGATGTTGCGTATTCAACCATCGAAATGGGCGTAGAAAGGAAAGAATGAGCAATGAAGATTCCTGGGTAACACGGTCGAGAATCAAGGGAGGTAGGTCTAAGAGTTCAGGAGCAGCCCGTTATAGTACAAGTGGAATCCCGGGTGGCGCAATCGAAGCTAGCTAGCCTCACTGTTTACTGCAGAATGGTAGGTAGAAGCCATATGCCATGGGTCTCTTTTGCCGTTCTTTTTGGTTGTTCGACTTGACCGCAGTCAAACTACAACTTATATTTTTGACGGTACTAATTCCTAGAGGATTGAATCTTAAGACCAGTCCTAATCTCTTCTATGATAAAACATTACACATGCCGGGGCAACTTCCTTAATATCTTTTCCCTCGGAGATATAGTACTAAACGCCTCAGTACTGCGAGCGCTTTGGAAGCTGTATGGACATAGCTTAATAGTACTTGGCTTGGTCGAGGCCTGAATGACCCCCCTTACAAGGGTACATATGGAAATGTATTATCTGAGCGGGACTATAAGCTTAAGTTTTGAAGTACGGAGTAACTTTTAGGATATGCTTTTTGGACGGCTTTGTTTAATCCAAGTGTAGTTGGTACAAAATATGAAATACTTCAAGAGTACAACGCATAAACAACTGGTGGTTGTCGGAGTACCTCTCTGTAGCCCCGCAAACACGATAGGCCAGTGAACTGACTAAATCCGGACTCCGAGGGTCATTCTATTGATCTCAACCTTGCTCCTGCTGATCACTCTTTCCACCATGATACAGGAGGGGCTTTTCAATTGTTCTCTGCCCCATATCTAAAGTTATCACAGAAACAGCTTCTATAATCTCCCGGCTTCATGCAAGCAGTGTGAGAAACCATCAGATCCAAGTTATCAATGTCTATGAGAGGTCCGCAAAGCACCCAACCTATCACCCTCGCCACTCGGATATGCGACACCGACAACAAATCAGTAACTATTCAATTTAATGGGACACGTAAAATTATGTACCCAAAATAAGTTGAACAAGCCAACCAGGCTTCATTATATCCTCCGTCCTCGCTTTGGTCCATCGATCCAGCTTGTTCCAACTCACGCATTGATGAGAGGTTGCATTGGCAACGGGAAGACGAGATTCCTCTCTCCATTCAAAGGTAATAAGGCCGGTATCACCGTGGCACATGGCCGATTGACGAAGAAAGTCAATGCAATGTTCTGTCACGTCAGCTCCACAACGCCATGCTTTTGTGTAAGGGGAAAGTCACCATTATGCATCCAGTTCATCTCATGCTCTTCCTCCGTAAACCCTGGGAAATAGTAATCGGGGTACATGAACCGATAGATTCTCTTCAGGCAGTGGAGCTCGTGGTACACGTTCAGTGTGTCCAGGTAGCCTGTGCCTTCTGGGACCGCGACTCCAATGTTCTCTCGTCCCATTTCTTTGATGTATTCTGGTTCGATGATGATATTTTCCGCTGGGAACCAACAAAGTCAACGCTAAATACTCTCCTGAGAAGAGCTAGCAATAAAATAAGCCCACCGTTTAACAGATCATGCCCCCGATTTATGAATTTTTGGAATGGCAGGGGGCTGCCTGGGCGTGAACATTCGCATTCCTCCTATCTAAAGCGAAACTTACACAATGGAAGAGTGGTCTTATTACGAAGGAGCTGATTGCGTTTCACCACGGCAACCAGTGTAGCGATATAGAATGCGAAAAGAAAAACGTGCCTGATAATCAGCAAACGGGGCCTTTGCCACCAACGCGTCAGTTGTTGAGTATTACTTGCGAGTCCTTCTCGAAGGCCACGTGCTCCCGTGAGGCCTCGTGGGATGCATTCTTTGTCCTGAAGTAACGGGTTGAACCATGGACCCATAATAATGGCTGCACTCGAGCTAGATAGGGCATGATAAATTGGTATAGGTAACAATTCCCGTCGTGATTGTTTCCTGAATGCGAGATATAGTATTACTCTCAGAAGTGGGAATGCGACAAAGCATTGGATAAGAAGTGAGGAGAAGTTAGTACATAAAGCGTTATGTGTCTGAGTCCGCTTGTCAATGGGAGACTGCTGGTGATAGCAAGCTATGATAGGATGTAATCCATCGTTGACAGGAATCCCTCAGCAAAATTCAGTTACTGTAAAGACTACTACATGGTCAATTAAGCTTCCTGTTAGCTTACGCTCGCTGTCACGTAGATTATATCTGACTGCCATGCAACTGACTGGTCTGCAGTGTCATTAGTCTAACGCAGTGTCAGCTATCCTAGCTACAATCGTCGGGCCCATCAAACGTTTTCAGTTGTTGGAATCTAAGCCAGAATGCTCAATTTCTATGCCCTCTTCTGTGAATCCTACTACCGGGCGGGATGGGATCTTCCAGCCCAGTTGCACGATGTCATTGAGACGATCCAGCCGACCACATCGTTCTTCCATATCCCATCTAGACCACGAGGGAAACCTCGAAGATACGAACGGGATAATGTGAACAGCACGTCACTCAATGATCATACATACCGTTCAAGTTGAGGAAGGGTTGGAAATCTAGTTGACCCACAACATGTCCCACCTCATCTGACGAGCAAACAGCCATGTAACACCAGCGCCGTAGCACCACTGTGTCTGCGCGCATTATACGGGACCCTGTACTATGAAGTGCAGGCTCCGGATAAAGTCGCATGGCTCTTGTGGACTACCTTGGAGAATTCAACAATCGATCTGACATAGTCCGGTTTCTGGGAACGTATCGTCCAGATGCCGTCGCGGCAGCAAAAACTTTCCAGGACATTAGTGTCGCGGGCGGTATCAACCAATAATCTCCGGCGACATCGGAACAAGTTGCTCACGGTGATATGGCCGTGAGGGAATCTTAGACGCTGAAACAATGTTGGGTATTGCATACCCCATTCCTCTCACCACGTATAGCGTTGCAGGCCCAGACCCGCCGTTTCTACCAGACTCCTACACTCCAGCTAATACAAACGAGCCTTTCCTTACGTGGCTGAACTGGATCCTTGATAAGCCGGATGCAGAGCTACCGAGTGTAGTGTCGACGTCATATGGCGACATCGAACAAACAGTGCCCGCTTCCTATGCCCAGCGGATTTGTAGGGCTTTTTCCCAACTTGGTGCACGTGGTGTCTCCGTCATTGTAGGTGCTGGGGACCATGGAATAGGTCATCCGGGAGATCGTGTTTCTAACGACGGCCTTGAGAATCCTCAATTTCATGTAAGCTTTCCAGAACCCTGTCCGTGGGTGACATCTGTGGGAGCGACCAAGGAATCGAACCAGAAACTGTCGCAATAAATGAAGCAAATGGGTTTGTCTCCGGAGGGGGGTTCAGCAACTATGTCGCTCGCCCAAAAACCAGAAACAAGCTGCCCATAGTTACCTCTCCCACATTGGAAACTTACATTCGGGCATGTTTGAGCCGCGTCGTCGTGCGTACCCCGACGTTGCCGTGCAAGGATATCGGTTTGTGACTGTTTGGAACGGAGAGACAAGGTTAGTAGATGGCACTTCAGCCTCCACACAGACATTTGCAACAATAGTGGCCTTAGCCAACGATGCCTTGATTGCCAACGACAAACTAAAAGCGGTCTTCTTGAACCCCTGGTTGTATGCTGGGGGGTATAAGGCCTTTCGCGATGTCTCAGTTGGGTCAAATACGGGATGCAATACCACCGCTTTTCCAGCGACAGCAGGCTGGGATGCAGCAAGTGGTTGGGCACGCCGTGGTTTCCTGAGCTCAAGGCTCTGGCCATAGACAGACGATTCAGAGACAGCCACCCCTGGTACGCGGCGATACGGTCAGGATTATGATGGGCGTATTTGCGTCTTCCAAGTTGGTTCTACGCATTTAGGGACATTGTCTCGCGCTCATTAGATGTGTGGGGTGCCCTAGAGGGTTTATAGTGTTAGAATAGTAGTAGCTAGAATTAGTAAAACTTTCTAGATTGAATATGTAGATTCACCTTCGCGGTGGACCTTTGTGGAAATTGAACATCGATACCGTGCTTACCTTGTGCGCATCATCAACCTATAATGTCACCAAGTACGTTTATTATATACTAGAGCATGAAGTTCCGGCAGCAGTAAGCTTGAATATAGTAGTAATAGGACAGTTAGTATATTGCTCTCCAGTTCGATTGATGCCACATGAATGCAACCGCAGAAGGGAAGATGGTAGTAGAATACTGAGAAAACTGGACCGACAAAAGAAGAGAGGAGGGAATTTTTGAAACTTATAATCAACAGAATGTCACTTCTCCGATTCACAACCGCGCTCCAATTCAGTCTTACAGCATACGTTTCCCTTTTGCTCTAAGGCGGGCACCAAAGATCTAGAGAATGAATGGAGCAGCGACGCAGATAACCAAGAAGATGAATGCCAGCATGCTATTCCCCCATCCTAGCCCAAGGTGCCTGTACAAGGCCGGGGCGAAGAGTGGGAAACAGAAAGCAAAAGATGTTCCTCAGGAATCGACTGGCTGCACCAGCAGACGCGACATGTCCTTGAAACGCCTCCATCACGTATTGCTGAAATGACTAGGTAGTCATAATCATGCCCAGGTTGAAGGACGCAGCCCCGATATCTACTGCAATCCAGTGTCTCGGCTTCCGCACACCATCCGTAGATAAACAGGCCCGCCGCAAAGAATAAAAGACCAGGTAAGAGCAGTAGAACTCGATATTCAGAGTCCGTTTGCCCACCCGCTCAGCGTTTAAGATATGCCCATAGTTTGTCCGTGACGCGCGCTCCAACCTGAGCACCAATGGTCGACCCCACGACAAGCGCAATATAATGCAGTCCACTGACCGACACAGACTGGCCATATCGAATAATCCGTATCGTAGCAAACTCAGTAATTACCAAGTATATTATACCAAAGTTGTACGCTAGGAAAATCGATATGAGTTGGAGAATTGGATGTTGCGAGTAAATAGAAAGCTCGGATGGTACTTCGCTTCAACTTTTCCCCAACTGGGCGGGAGTGGATGTCCCATTGCGTGCGATATAGGCGACCTGTTTCCTTTCTGAGTTTCTTTGCCTTCCAATGCAAAAGAACCTGTTCGTAGCACTCGGCAAAGTGCCAAAGCAAAGCGATCGTCAGGACCCATGAACAAGACACAGAGGGAAGAACTAGTTACTTACGGCGAATTCCCCAATGGCCCCAATTCCTGACATTATTCGGCCCACAAACATCAATGCTTGGCTATTGGCGAAGCCGCAGACGGTATTCCAAAGTACATACTAGGCGGAGCAGATAATCTAGGCAATCCGACGACCATACACTTCGGTCAACGGCGCCAGCATAGGTCCAAACGCAAAGGCCAGTACAAAGATAGAAAGAACCATGTTACTTGTTTCAGTGCTCGTATGAATATCTTCACTAATCACTTCGAGGGCTGGTGCCAGCATGCTACCGCTCATTAGCGTCACCAGGCGTCCGAAGGATGTGAGCATCGTGATACTCCATTTCCAGAAAGCCGACCAATTCAGGGGATCCTCTAGGTCATCAGGCCCGTTCCACGTTACCTGGAAGTTGATCAGTTAAGATGCAGATATATGTGATGCCATATTCATACCAATAAGACTTATTGGCTAGAATTTGTTTCTTCTGAATCTAGGGTTTCATTGGGCTTTGTGCCCTCGACGGAAGTAGCGGTTTCAATATCATCCCTCATGGCTGCAAGGTTGGATAGAAGGGAAAAAGTGTAAAAGGAACGAAGAAATTGGTAGGTATTGGTTCACGTTTAAATCAATGTGCGCATGATTTCTACATACATATATTTTCAGTGGTATTCCGATTCTTCTCCGATTTCTCCGAGAGCCTTCAAAGGATATTGGTAGGGTTACTAAAGAGGGGCTCCTTATCGCCGAGGACTTCCTTTGTCTCCAGACTTACTTGTCATCTTAACTTTCTGTAGGGCAATCAGGCATCCCTGGACATAAATCACGGTTATATTTACAAGGATTTTGTGGTTGCGTAGACGACAGTGGTTTCGCTGGGCATTATGTTTGCGGCGTGCATTGTTCTCTTGCAATTGCATAAACGCGCTTTTGGACAACAGCATGCTTCCATGTACGGCTGCTCGCAGTGCTCAAACCATGGCCACACCCGCTCGAATGCTATTTGAAACCCATAGCCTTTGGCGGAGCCTATCTTGTTGCTGCCCTGGACTCAGACAGTCTGTACGGTGTCATCAGAGCTTTTCCCAACGGAATACAAAACTGGAGACCCTCAGATGGGACTAAGGGTCTAATAAGAAATTGTTACAGACTTCTTTCTTGAATTGTTGCTACCAGTAGGTATAAGAACAAAAAATAACAAAACAGGAGAGGAACGAACCAAGCACCATAGATTTGGCATTCGGGACCGAACTACCATCGGGGTCCAAAAGTCTGACTACACTAGCGTGTTCCCGCCGACGCGTCAAAAGAACTCACCTTCTTCAACCACCTCCCACGCCACCATTATGAGGTCTTTTGGAACTGAAATTAGTGGAAATCGAAGGCTAAATCAAGAGCTTTCTACCGAAACGCGCGCAGCAATTATATCTGGTCTAGAAAACAATTTGTCGCCTACACAACTTGCGAAGCAATTTAACGTCTGTCGCTCTACTATTTACTCAACCAAAAAACGCTTTCAGCACCACCACACCTTAAAAAGTAAGCCTAGAAAGAGAAGACCACAAAAGCTTAATACCTCAGAAAAGCGTTATATATATCTGCTTGCTCGCCGGAGGCCTAAGATAGGCTATAATGCCCTGATTGCTAGCAGTGGTTTTGATATCTCTTGTACCACTATTAAGCGTGTGCTTAAGACTTTTTATTTGAAAAAGTGGAAGTCAAAGAAGCGTATACTGCTTCAGCCTGATATTGCTAAAGATCATCTTCAATTCGCGCGTATATGGTTAAATTATACCCATTAAAATAAAATGTTGTTTTCCGACAAATATTCGGTCTAATAAAAATTAAATAATTCTATCCAATACGTGTTCCGCTTTTCTAATGAAGCCTATAGAAAGGATCTAGTAAACCTAACGCACCATGGAAAAGATATTTCGCAGATGGTATAGGATGCTATCTGGATTGGTGGCCGATCTGAATTGATTATTATGGAGCAGGACGAATTGTCACCTCAAGGCGGATATTCTACTAAATCCTATCTCGCCTGCTTAGAAAATGGTCTGCTACCAATCTACAAGCCTGGCACTATATTTCAACAAGATAATGCAAAAATTCATGTTTCCTACAAGGCTCAGGAGTGGTTTGAAAAGCATGGGATTTGGATATTGGAATGGCCCGCACACTCGCCCGATTTAAACTCTATAGAGCATATCTAGAACCTCCTTAAGAAGAAGCTTTTACAGCTATATCCGGAGCTCTTTCTAGGCAGCAGATCAAAAATCGACTGGAGGCGATTTAGAGAGAGTATTCGAGCTGCTTGATAGGCTATTATACCCCAGGAGGTCATAGATCAGCTTATTCGCTCTATGCCACGCAGACTTCGAGCTGTATACCTAGCACGTGGTTGGTATACAAAGTATTGATATGGGGAATCTATAGAATCAATTCGTAGATTGATATCATTTGAAATGGTTGATAAAATCGAGTTTTTGAGCGTTGCATTTTTTGCCGAAATGGCGGGTGTAGTCAGACTTTTGGCCCCTAAGTTTAGTTCTGCAATGTGGGTCCAGTACCATCTAAGGGTCCCACCTCTCTATCAGCATACTGGTTACTTTGGTTACTTCCTGCGGACCCGAATTGGCTCTCAACCGCCTGGCAGTGCTCTAGTAGTTGGAGCCGACTCCGGGCGCATAATATAGTACTAAGTCATGCACGATTTCCCATATATCTACGTGGATAGCATTTTCACCTATCTAACACATAAAGCCAGCTTCACAACTACTAAACAATGAGCTCGGGTCAACAAGCCTTGCCGGAACCTTCTTTACTGGAAATATTCCGTTTCCAGTGCCCTAATGTCTACTTTATGAATTCAACGGATACAACGCCCATTGTAGGTTTTCAACATGCAAGAGACCTTATTGATAGCCGAGTGTCTCGATTTATTCAAATCTTCCTGCCTTACTGGGAAAAAAGAGGATCTCTCTCTACTACGCCCGAGGCATATGCTTCTAGTGGTAGCCCCTCGGATAAAGGCCGCGCTCTATTCCCCCTGGCTCTTTTATATATGGGTCAGGAAGTTTATTCACGTCTTTTTCAAATTATTCAGTACCTTCATGTTATCCGGCGTATGCATCTCTTAAAGCTAGAGAAAAAGCGAGGCCAACAATTCTCTCAGAAACCACATCAACGGGTTGATGTCCTTGCCATTAGCCTTACACTGGCTGAAATATATAAGGACTGGGACACAGTCGGAGAACAGTCATGATCCGCGAGGAAGCAACGCTTCCGAAAAGAAAACAGGCTGGCTAGAAGGTGGCTTTTGGTAGCGTCTCGGCTCTCTTTCGGCATTCTTCTAATCTCATCTAAGAAGCTCGAGCGACAAATGTAAGAACATTTATAACTTAATGGCTTGACCCTGCATCCATGAATTGACATTTCACCTTACAGAAACAGCAACCAAACCAACGAAAGCCAGCTCATCGCTCTGACTACGAAAATATCTGATGACTTTCCGAATATTGTCGAGACTTACCGACATCTTAACCTAACAGCAATGCATTTGTTGAACCAGAGAACGATATTACATACTACTGATGTCGATTTGGTCGTCAATCAGATAGATGCGCACCTTGGAACCTCAGAATCAACTGAGGAAACAACCACAGTGGACTTCCCAGTTTCTACATATCCCGAAGAGGAAAGTAATAGCGAAAGATCACTTAGCAGTGTTGTTATCAACCCAACAAGCCACGACGGATGAGCCACTGGGTAGCGAGTGGATAGGGAAATTTGCATAACTGGGAGAGGTGAATTGCATATGAAATGGTGACTACCGGTCATTATGCGCTGTATTAAAATCCGTAACACATAGAAGAAAACTATGAGATAACGCTTATTCTTGAAAAATGTTCTAGTTGGCAAGCAGGAATCATTAATAACTGTCATTTACAGAAAAATATCATCTCCAAATACCAAAGTTCAGTTTTTTACTGTTCAAGATTTATTTTCTTTGTCTAATTTCAGCCATATCCTGAATATGGATAGTGATTATACCTACTCTAAAGGCAGGCCAGCATTCCAAAAGATTTTTATTTTTCCTCATAGATAAAACATCTCAGCTGTGAGACTGAAAGTCAATATACCGCAATCTCTTCTTACTGATCACTCTTGGAGCCGTGTACCAGTTTTATTTTGAGCGGTGATCACCGTTTAGGACGTTTACCTTCCTATTATAATGTATATAAATTTGGGACTTTGTCTTTGGCATATAATAGGTGTCAGGCATGGTGTTATATGGGTTCTAAACATTTGTTCTTCCTAGTAGGAGATCGATTCCGAGCCAAATTCAACCTCATTGTATATATCGTCGTATTTGTATCCTACACAGCGAACAGGGTATAATACATGCAAACTAGACATTCTTCTTGATGGTTACAAATTTTTCTGATAAAAAAAAAAAAAGCGAGCAGCCAATTATTTATGTATCATTATCATAAAATTTAATATTAAACAAGTAAAAACCCAACACATCCCCTGGCTTCCTTTTTTTGTACTTGTTTTCTGTTTCTTTTTTCTTTTTTTGGATCTTTTATTCGTTAGGTTTTGCCGAATTGCACAAAAGAACCGAGTCCATAACGCCTAAGCAAATAAGTGTTATCAACTACAGGCGAAGTCTTATATCTTCAATCTCTAACACCGGAACTTTGGTAGTACGGGTTCATATTATGGTTCCAATGACCATCGGTCCAGTTATTCCAGGGTTCTTGCATGTAGGCTCTCCCTCAGCGTCTGCTTCGCCGGAGAGGGCGAATGGGAGGTTTACTGGAAACTGTAGAAGCACGATCGTCGAATCCGGCGTTGGACATATTGCTCATCGGGAGAAAACCATTCCAACTTACAGGCTGTCTCTGGACCTGTTTGGTTTGTTGCCATAACTGATTCATGCTCAGTTGATTTATCTGCTCTCTCAACCTGCGAATTTCATGATCCCGATCATCTTCATACACAAACAGTGGTTGTCCTTTCTTATCACGTGATGACACTACAGTGTTGGGGGAACAACGACATCCATTTGTATAGGGAGGGCCCCGGGGAGCGAGGCGTCATATAGGAAAGCTATGACTAATGTGCTGACTAAGCAAGGCGACAAGGCACCAAATAGCCAGGGCTTGGCATGGTGCTCCAACAGTGCCGGATCCACGCGCCTATTTACAAAAGCCAGATATGAAGGCTACATGCAGCCTACAGCAGCGCGCAGCTACGTACGGAGCTCGTCGGGCTAACTACGAGACGACGAGGCATGACTAGCGCATCGAGTCTTGTATAACTAGAATTGAGGAGCTGTGTAGCCAGTCTATGGAATATGGTGGAATGGCAGAAGTTACACCCCTGCCTATCGCCGCCGTTCCCCTGGAATACTAGCATGAGTAATCAAAATGGATGACTATAATCTGTTACAAGTACTGCGTTGGAAGGGAAGAAAGGGTCAGCCTCCGACTTATTTACCAGCATAAGTAAGAAAGATTCTCTAAAAAATCCTAATATTACATGTACCGGCAGAGAAGATCAAGAACGAAGCCGGTGTATCTCCGCATGCAAACATAGGTTTATTTCAGGCCCAATCAACAGATCCAGAAGTTACATTTACTATCGTTCAAATGTGATGCCCAGAAATGTCTCTTCAGCCTATTGTGGCCTGAATATTGTTTCCTGCATTGGAAGCAAACCAGTGGATTTTGCGCTGTCTCGATATGTTTCTTGATGGCAACACAATCATTCCCCCATGCTAAAACAAGCCCCCTTTTATGTCTTATAAAGCATACAACCGCGACTGCCGACCGACGATAGAGGCAAGAAGGGGATAACGAACTAAAAGTCCAAAGTAAATGGTTCAGATCATACAAGGCTCTCAAAGCACACCCCTTGGGGATACGTGCTAGAAGATCCGGAGGCGGAATGCTGAGGAACCCAACAAATGGCCAACGATTGATCCCCGTCTATTACACGGACCCAGAGAGCCTATGGACGTCTGAGTCACTTCTACGGTGACTGAAGAAAGGCTTAAGCATCGCAAAACCAATCGAAGTTCGACAGACATTGGACACCGCGGAACCAGCGCCACATACCTACAACAAGCTGTCCACAACAATGGGATCAGAGTGGGAAATCCAGGAGCGTTCAGTGGTATGCTCCGAGAAAGTAAAGGAGGATACCATAGAAAGCATTCAGAAGAATGCCCAAAACGGTCACAGGAACCGGAGGAAGCCCGGGTGACCAAGAGTCTGTCTCGCCAGTCAGTACCGAGGACGAAAACACCATGGAAGACTCAAGAATCCCGGAGAATAACCTACCCATTAGGAAATCCTACAATACCAGAGCTAAAGCAAAGGCAAGGTAGGATACTACCGATAACCATGTTGAAGGTTGAGTTGAAGTGGTAATCCCAGTTCATTCAAGTAACCAGGTGATGTTAACAGAAAATTAAGAATGTTAGTCAAGAACAGCTGAAAACATTGCCAGGGAAGCTACAGGTAGTAGACTATTATGGAAGAGCAGCAGAATGTCTCTCCGTTGGAGGAATTAGCTAAGTACAGGATTTAAGAAAAGAAGAAAAGAGGGACCTAGGGAGCCCGAAGAGGGTTCCCGTCCTCAGCCTTGCCCTAATTAACGGCTGGACATCAGACCAACAGCAGTCTTAAGAGACTCAATAGCCTCACGGCTGATCTCCGCAGAGCTTTCCAACTACCTATGGCCCATCACCAAACCACTATGTCTCTCTTGAGCGGAGAGGAGGGTACCTGGCATTCCCGAGAGAGGACCGATCAGCTGAAGACTGTTTTTGGCCGCCTGGAGGGAATTAATGGCCTCAGTAAGTCTGGCCTCGGCTTCAAGAATAAATTTCTCGATAGAGTCTTGAAAATTAGGAACGAATCTTTCAACGTAGACACACAGAGCAGCATACCGGATATGAGGGCACCCGGATAGGACGAGTTTAACGGAGCAGACATTTTCGCAAAGAACACTAAGAAACACCGAAGTCAGTAACACAAAACGCGCACGGCACGCCACACATTTACCCAGAGTCGCGCAAAACTGGCGAAACCAGAAGGAATACATACACAGGACAGCCTTGGTTTGACTTGAGATGATAAATCGTTATTGAAGATAAAAGCTGATGGTTGTCGTTGGCGGATGCAGAGACGAGGGGGTTGAAGAACAGGAAATCAGGTCCCAGGATTTGAAGAGATTTCTCAGGCGGAAAACAGGGAGCCTGAGAGGAAAGTGAATAGGAAGATTCATCTGAAGAATTAGGCACCACAAGACTCAGTCAGGGTCATCTGCACATAAGTGATGAATGATCAGGAAGAATCTAAAAGAGTGAAATAGAAATCATTATCTCCCTTATATAATTCTATAATATTAGCTTAGTATAATAATTCTTATAAAGACCTTTAATATCTTTTGAAAACCGAATAAAGGAACACAGCTTCAAGCTATAAGTAGGAGAGGATAGGCCCTCCTTCGGCCACAGTCTAGCCGTGGTTATCACATTGATAGACATAGTTAATGGTAATCAGACAGCTGTCTTCCCTGTGGAACGAGCCACACTTGGAACAGCCGCCAATATTGCGGATGTTCTGGTAGTCATTCCACAGGTCATTACCACTGATGCTGCAGCTGGCATCACCCTGGATAAAGACGCCGCAGCCTCGAGTCTGATCGCCCCAGCAATTCCCGGATTGGTTAATTCCGGTTTCATTACTAGAGGGGTAAAATCAGTAATGTCATTAAGTGTACAAGGGATAATAAGACCTTTGCATGCCAGTGGAGCAATGACTGAAGACAAAGAATGGGAGATTACTCACGCAGAAGTAGTAAAGTAGAAGAGGTTGTCATTTCGCTGCAGGGTATTGACAGCGTGGTCGCACCACTTCAGAAAATCTGGGGTCGTGCACATGGATGAGCCCTTGCAGTCATAGGCGCTGGGGTCAGGCTCAAAGACGTTGGTCAGGGGGTTGTAGCCTTGAGCCTGAATCACGAATTTACTTGTGTCAATAGTAGAAGTTCCCAGGGGTAATGTCCACTTATATGTGTAGTCCTTGATATTAAGAGTAATAGGCCCAACTACCGACCATGCCCATGGTGGGGCTGTGGAGCCTTCAGGAAGTGTGCCACTGTATCTGTATAGCGTGGTGCCCTCGACCATGTAGTGGGTACAAACATACTCATCAATTTTGAAGTTGACGCTCCATCCCGGATCGGTGTCAAACTCACATCCCACCGAGTTCCAGATATAGAGGCGGATGAAAGCATAAGGAACAAGAATATCAGCCTGGATAGTGGTCGAGTCTGCCCCAGGAGAGGAGTGGTAGTTGGTGATAGTATTCCCGTTTGGCAAAGGTTTGGTGTCGACCGTATCAGTATTGGAAGAGGAACCTATATAACCACCTCCTCCCACTGCGCTTACGTGGAATGTGTGGCTAGCTCCTGGCTGGAGACCGCCAATAGTGATTGTAGTCATTGAGCTAGGGACGCTTGCAATAACACTATTCCCCGAATATACATAATACCCAAGAGCATTCAAGGCCGCATTCCAGGACAATTTGGCAGAAGTATAGTCTGAGGTCGAGATTGACAGTCCAGACACCGCTCCTGCTGCGCTTCCAGATAACCAGGATGATGCTTCAGTATTCAACAGAGAACCGCCCTTGATTGCTCCTATCATGCTCTGGATATAGGAATCGCCAGGCAGAGTGTCATATGGATTAGGCAAAGTGTCATCTGTGAGCTGAAGGAAGCCAGCTCCACGCTCCTTAGCTAACTTGGTTACCTCACTAACTGCGGATTCCGGCACGTTGTATACGATATGCCAGAGTTTCCGCGGGTCCTTCGGTGTCCAATTGTTAGGTGTGTAGGAATTAGTGTATGCCTCATAAGACAGCTCAAAAGTCAGCAGCGTGTCCATGGTATCCTCAAAGCAAGACGCTATGGGCGACCCGGGATTCAGGACTGTAAATGCGCCAGGATGGGAGCGCTTAGTATAGTCATTGATATACTTGTATAGGTTCGCGTATTGATTGTTGTCGCCACATTCAGGCCAACCCTCGTCGAAAAAGATGCCACCAATGTTGCTACCATAAAGCATGTACCACATATCAACATCTTCCTCAATCTGAGCTGTCCAATCCGCCAAATCGCCGGAGCCCAGCCGCGTTTGGAATTTCTGGTCGCTCACGCCCAGGTATCCAGTTCGCACATAGCCGAGGACCGTTTTACCGGCAGACGAAGCTCGCTGGATAACATCCGCCCAGTTCTTGTCAACGGCTGAATCCGGGCCATTCACGACGTTGGCAACTAAGATGGGCATCTTCTTCACAGGATACTCGATCAGCCGATTCCAGGCTGCCTGGTCTGCTAGAGGGTTGATGTATGATGCGACAGCAATCTGCTGCCCTTGGCCAGTCAAAGAAGACCCCGTCGGGTCCGAGCCGATGGCAGTCATGGTGGTTGTGAGGGTTGTGGTGAGCGCGGGCTGCGCGTCGCAGCTCGTGACAGTTGAGCAGGCAGTTGAGCAGGTAAATTGAGGGGCCCATGGCTGGACGCCGCATTCAACACCGCATTGAGTCGCCGTCTGCGCTTGACACACCGTGGCGCTGGGACCCCCTTGAAGCGATGCGGAGGGGATCACATTGTTGGTCGTGATGGCCCCGTTGTTAAAGTAGGCCCACGACAAGGCAAAGGCCCCGACAGCCAAGCCATGGAGATGAGATGGGCTGATAGTCGGATTAAGCCGTCTGGCCTGAATGAGTGCCCACTGCACCACGGTGTTCAGACCTGCCACAACCTCTGCTTTGGTCCACGGAAATCTTCCCTGGTTCATGAGAAGCCAGTTGGGATACCCGTCCCGGCCAATACTGTCGGCAAGGATGTGCTCCGCACCACAGATGACGCTGGTCATGTCCAGCGAGCTAGCCCAGAGGGAGGAGGAGAGGAAGAATTTAGCGCCCACCTCGCAGTTGCTTGTGTCCGAGCCGGAAAGCAGTGCCTGGAGGTGCGCCGCCACCGTTGAGTCCAGCTCGATGCCCACATCTCCTGCGCTCGCGCCGTTGCCGGCACTTGCAAAGGTCGTAATCGTGGCTGGCAGTCCAGTTGCCCTGTCCTGCTCTGGAGGTTGCGTGACTGTCTGCTCTGGTTTGGTGTTATCAGTGACAACGATGATAGCAGTAGCAGTTTCTAGGTCAAAAGAATCCTCTAGTTGCTCCGGAGGGATCTTGATAGGCACTGGGACCACCTCATCCCCCTTGTAGAAGATCGGAAATAATAAGGCGGCGATCAAGACTGCGCCGGCCGATAGCACATCAACCTGACGTGGCTCTAGTGCGCGTTGATTCAGGCTGCGGGATTTGAGAATCCGGTTAGAGTCCTCAAGAACGTCCAGAACCTCTTGGTAGCATTTTGTGTCAATTTCCGCTGCGCAGTTGCTATCCATGGCAGACTTCACATTGGTTTGCATGTCCGGGGATAGGAATGCTAAAAGTCCATCCTTAGCCGGGTCACCAACAGCCGTGAATTCAATTACAGACCCGGTGAGGACGGGAGTAGGAACCTAGAGAGGCGTCAGATGCTTTGCAAGCATGAAGAAAACAGTGAGAATCGGGCAAAATCGCACTCCATCAGTGGTGTACTGGCCAAGGTCACCCACGGTAAAGTACTCATCATTCGCATGAGCAAGTATAGAGAAGAGAACAAGAGAGATTAAAAAAAGTGTCGGGGGCGCCATTACGTCCAAAGAAAAGGAGAGTGATTGTAGTTACAAAACTTGAGGTGCTAGAAAGAGTGTATTGACTATTATATATGTTGATTCCAGGTCAACTGATTTTGTTCTTCATCTGTTTATAGTAAGGAAGCTCAGAAGCGGGCCTCCACACCTTCTTTAGCTCTACCGAAATGCTAAGCTCAGATAAGCGTACTGTACATAGGTAGGATACAGAGGGCAGAGGATACAGTCGGAATGGTGGAATGAAAGTAAGCCAAGTGGAGGTCATAAGGCTTGCAATACTTGTATACACATATCCTGTCTACTAGAGGTATTCTCTAGAGCCATCTTCTTGTGCTTTCCATAAGCCCTAAGAAACCTTAAAACCCCCTAGGACTAAATCATACAATCATCTTAGTATTATTCTCCTAGGAGAGGCGGTCTGAATAGATCAGCCTAGGAGTAACTAGCGATTACTACCGCGGAATTGGAGAGACTTCTAGGTCTAAGCTTGTAGCAAGTGTTACATAGCAGTGTATGTACTGTACTTACTTGTATTGGGGAAGTGGGGCGATGTAACAAGGGAATCAGGGGAGTAGGAGAGTAAAAGGTATAACAAGAGAGTAATTTAAGTAATAGATTAATGTCTCGGAAACAAATCTATACTCGGCGCCTTCGGCTAAATGCTTGGGCTAATGCTAAGGGGATTTTCAGTGCCAACTGTTCCTGTACCCACTCTGAATTAGTAGCATACCTGACTAGCTTAACTGTACGGTGTAGTACCTTTCTATCGGTTAGTTAGTCTAGGACTAGAAATAGCTAAAGAAAAAGACTGGAGAAGACCCCACCTTCCAACGAATCCACTAGGTCGGCCCTAAGTTCTAACTACTGTATAGCGGACTATTGTGCAGTCTCTGCTCGGGCCAAGATCAAACCAAGCCGAGCTACTCTAAAAAGTTCAATACAATAATTTCATTCAGCACGCCATTATTATCATTAGGAGATTACTAAACATCACAGTATATCTAATACCTCTCACGTTAAATAATATATGAAAGGTGTCAGTGTGCAGGTTGTGACAGGCAGGCTAGCAGGGCTAATACATGGGCAAGCTACAGGCCAGGGTATATACAGGTAGATAGACAAGATGTAGGTCAAAGAGGTACAACAGGGTCAGGATTGGATAGGAAGATAGTTGTCAGATATTCAGTCAGTCCAAACATCAGGTAAAATATGATTTATAGAATGTCTTAAATGATCAAATCTAGATCTCTTTTGAGCTCTTTTTGATGATATTGATTAATCTGATGATATCTAAGATGCTTATATGATGCTTGACTTGCTTATATTAATTGTGTGTAGGAGGCTTCGTTTTTACACCTTAGTCACATGAACTTTTGGTCACGAATAGCCGTTTATCTCGGGCAGAACAGGCAGTTCAATGAAAAGCACCGTGAAAGAATTTGCCCCTGGGATTAGCAATTCAATACATAAGCCTTTCCACTAAGCAAAAGACCCACTATAATCAACTCTGATTGGAGTTAATATCCAAGGCACATTATATATACTCCAGAGTAGTACCACAACACGCCATTGAGGGCCTAAGTGTAAGGCTTATCCATGACATTTAGACTGGGATCTCAGAAACCTAAGCCTAATTAGGAAGGTATATCAGATTTCAATTCTTATATACTAAATGCAGGCTAAATTATAACTACTCTACTCTATACTTAATATAAGCCCTATAAACTCAACTAAAACATTTTCAGTAAGAAAGAGAATTACCCTGATTAAATCTCAATATTATAAGACAAGATATATTATGCTAAAATCACTGTCCACTTATATCCAAAGACAGCAATGTACAACGATATACAGCAGGATATAATAAAACCTAGGCAGGTATTCCGGGTAACCTAACAGAAATTTATATCTAACCTAATCTGGGTTGGGTTTTGGGCTTAAGGAAGGTATTCCGGGTTAGGGCTTTACTAAGATCTAGGTGTAACTAGGTGACTACTAAGGTCTGAAAGGTCCATAAAGTTGCTGTCATAAGATAGTAGTTCAAGGTCAAAGGGCCAGGCCTACTAAATATATATATAAAGTAGTTAAGGTAGTATCAATAAGTTAATAGTGGCATAGTAATAATTGCAAATATAGGTCTTAAGTAACTGAATATATTAGTCATGAAGAATTAAGCTAAGTATATAAATAGGTGTCCTTATATATCTTTATTATACCACTGTCATAGTATATTATGTTGCCGGTATAATATATTATATCATGACTATATTTCTATATATTATTAACATGAATAGTGGGGTCACATGCTTTCTTCTTGGTATTAATTATTATTATTCTGCCTTGCTCTTGCGTGTTTGCTAGAGTCAGATTAACTAGATAAGGATCTGTAACAATATGTTTATCTAATAGCTATATATACCAAAACTGGGTCTCTCTATATAACAAATATCTTCCTATAACAAGACTTACCGGCATAATAAATTAATTCATTATAGCAAGGGATTACTGTAGAGTTAAAGTCAGCTATAGTACTAATTTAACTCTGGGTTTATCTTGAATAAATTAATAAATTAGATATATAGATTAGGAATTATTAATTAATCTTTATAGTCTTTATTAAGATTATAAGATAGTCTACAGATAGGGCAAAATATTATTTAAGGCTCTGTATCTTGGCTAGCTATTAATAGGTCTTTAGATTACTAGGGCTTTAAGAATCCAGTTTATTTCTGGTTATATTCAGAGAATTCAGAAACAGACTGGATCATAATTTCTGCTTAGACTAGAAGACACCAGCCAGAATTACTTAGATATATTGAATTTTTACTAATGTTTGAGTCCCTGTCAGAGTAATATATCTCTAACAGTTAACTATATAAGTTATTTACTTTTAATAAGACTGTCTTAGAGCATGCCTTGCCTTGCCCTGATTCAGTGGCAGCTGGTATCCTTAAAAGAGTCTTTAAAGATGGATTCAGTAACAGTCAGACTATAACTATATACTTGTACTTATTATATATTATGTTATAATGCTAACTATTCAATATTAGCTTTTTCTATACCCAATACTAAATAGAGACTATTAAAGCAGAAGGAGAGTTTTCTATTTTCTAGTATAGTAATCTATTTTTCTAATAGAGAATTTATAATTATAATATTCTAAGAGTATTCTGGCAGATAAATCCAAGATCTATTTATTAGAGTAGTACTCTATAGATATTACTTAATTAAAGAGATTTTTTACTGCTAAGCTAATAATTATATCTCAGGGCAGTTACTGTAAATCTTCTTAAGAAGTTAAGGATAATATTATCTTAAAATACTTAAATAACTGACTTGCTATACTTTCTTTTAAGGAATAACTTATTAAGTTATATTATTATATAATATATAGAGAAGAGCTCTGTATCTTGATTAGCTACTCTATACAGTAGAGATAAAAAGAGATTTATCTGCTAAACTAACTACTTTTAATTAATAGCAGCCCTAGAATCTGACTAATACCAGATTAACAGAAGTTATACAGTCTAACTTTCTATATTAACTTTATTAAACTTTTAGAGTAACTAACTATTATTATTTTATTTTTACTATATAAACTAAACTTACTATTCTATTCTATTCTAGTTTTATTATAATAGAATCTAATAATATCTTTCTCTATATCTTTCTCCATGCATGTCTTGTTAGTAATCTATTAAAAACCCAGGAAGCTATCGCCACTAGCTGACTAACTACTAAAAATCTTAATAAGAGACTTAAGCTGGTAATATATATTATATACTCTAAAATTATAGCCGCTCTCTTTAATACCAGTACTAGTATATCAGTATTAATGGTAGTGTCTCTTCCTGAACTAAATCTATAGCAGTACCTGAGTATTATTTATTACTTCCTGGATTATAGTCTTGACCCTAACTTAAGGATTTCTAATAGCGAGTCTCTTCTTCTATATATATTAGTCTTAACTTACTAATTAGCTAAAGACTTAGACCTGCAGGCTAACTAGCTGACTGATTCTATAATTAATAGTATATTAATTAATCCTGTATCTGTTTATGAATTACTGTTAGCAGGCGCTAACTCTAATCTTTATAGACTAAGAAAAATATCTTCTCTAGACTATATTCTTATAACTATTAAGAAGAAAGATCTTTCTCTTCTTAATCTATATATTAAATATAGAGTTATACTATTAGTAGATCTCTTAATATTTACTATAGCTTTTTATATCTATTAAGTAGAGCTCAAGACTCAGTTTCTTCTTAATAAAGGTCTTAATCTGAATATAATCTTTAATAAATAGGATATATCTCTACACTATATTATTTACTGTACTAGGCCTAACATTGTCAAGCTACTGCTGGATACAGGTATAGACCTAACAATTATATCAGGCAGCAGAAAAACCTATAGTAAAAGTTCTATATAGATAGTAGAGAGTATGCGAGATTCTAATATCCAGAAGACTATACTTAGTCTGCTTAATTTCTAGACTAGGCAAGATTTTGCTTAGACTATATATCTTATCTAACAGTATCTAGAAGGTAGTATTATTTTATATTCTTTAGCTTTTTCTAATAGAGACAAGCGAAAAGACCTGAGAATCTATTTAGAGTATATTTAGAGCTAGATTTATTTTCTGATTAAGTATCTATAATTAGTATTGTGATTTCTAGAGATTAAAGAAGAGTCAGTTTTGTTATATTAGTACTAGAACTATAGTAACTTATTCTATTAACTCTTTCTCTTTTTTAAATTTATATTTCCACGGTCTCTTTAGCTAGTAGACTTTATAAATCTAGCCAACAGTATAAAGAAATATTATTAGAAGTAGACAGGATATATTATCTCTTATTTCTATCTAAGATAATATATTAGTTATTAACTATAAGATTACTGTAATTACTAGCATGACTGGCCCTTACTATCTCTATAAATATATTTAGATCTGGTAAGGATTCTCTCTGCTATATATAAAAAAGAAAATATTGTAGTCTACTCTTTATACTGATAGTCAAGACAGAAACAGTTATAGAAGACTCTTAGCTTAAAGAGTATATTCTCTATGTTATTAAATAATCGCGGCCAAAGTATAATCTAAAACTAATATTAGCTGATACTATTTATCTTAGTATAAGTAACTTGTATAATGTTTTATTAGGCTTTATCTACTTTAAGCAGAATACTATAGCCCTGTAGAAGTATATAGAACTGCTAGACAGGAATATCAGTATATTCTATAAAAATAAGCTGCTGTATCTTACTGAGCTGATCATGCCATACAAGGAGGCGCCCACAGTGGAGAAGATAAGTACAGGAGTAATAAAGACTTTTAGCAGTATAAAGTACTGGTAGCAGTACAGTACAGGTATAATATATTTTTCCGGCTGCATAACTATATATATAATTAGTTGTAAGGGTATGTATACTATATACTGATAGAAGAATATATTATTCTTGCTGAACACTGTATAGCAGGATCTAGCGGACTAAATAGATAACAAGATATTCTAAGCCACTATTATTAATATATTAAGAAATAGAGAAAAATATTATTCTAAACTTAATAAGAACTTTATTAAGGATAACTATATCTAGGCTTACCTTATCTACCCGGCCACTGTATGGAATAAGAGACCTGATAGTGTTAGCTATCTAAAGCAGTGAATACAGATTTATATTACAGTTAGTAAGCTTATACTGAAGCTGTAGAATATCTTACTATAGACAGAAATCCTATATAATATACTAAATAATAATGATCCAGAGCTTAATATAGATAGAGGAACTAATAGAAAAAATCTTTTTAAGTATAATTCTTTATATATCTTTAAATTAGGCTTAAAGAGACCTTTAGCAATACTATAAATTAAGAATAAGCTTATACTATACTATAAGAATCACTGGTAAGTTAGTTGTAAGCCATGTTCTCTAATAATAAGTGGATTAGAGATAATATTATAACTTTACCTGGATAGACTTTCTTATATATTATACTCTAGGATTACAGTGCTGAATCTTAGTAGATTCTGGTATTCACTCTTACTATACAAGCGCAGTTAACTAGTCAGTAGAGCTCCAGCCTGAATACCTAGACATAATATAGAGTCAGTAAGGCCAATAAAACTAGCTATAAAACCATGACTTTTATAATTTATAATATAGTAGTAAGTATATATATATTATATACTCTATATAAAGTAAATATCTATTTCTAATTTATAAGTTATCAGTTCTACCTGAATATTCTCTAATTTAATTAGTTATTATTATTATTCTTGTGATTTCAGGGAAATTAATATTAAAAAGAGAGAACTAAGCCATTGAATTATATAAGTACACTTAGTTAAAATATAATTTATCAGTGAAAGAAATATTATATAGATAAGGAACTAGCTAATCTTTTAGATTCTTTAGGGTTAATCCTAAATTTATAATAATTATTAATCAAGTTTAATGTCTGTAACTATCAAGCCATCAGCTATGACAGATACATGTGTCTAGACAGTGGTCTAAGCCCACTGCCTCTAAATAGTTCCTAGGGGCTCTATCAGCCTCCCTCTATTATTTATATGTTCATTCTAATCCTTTTTTGGTTGGTTAATTATCCATAACTAACGAGTATCCTAATTTGTATAGATATGGGCCTTGTTTCCTTTGATGGTGTTTCTTCATATCAAGACATGTTTCGAAAATGAAGACCATTATATGTCAAGTTCATTTATATAAGAGAAGTGGAAGTGTCTTTTTGATACCCGTTTACTTCGGTGAAGTCCAAAATTAACGAAATTTTGGCAAAGCCCAGCAGTCAAGAATAAAAGGGGGTGGTGTCCAATAGATAGTATAGCATGTAAGCGAAGTGGGTATTAAGGTTCACATTTGGGTAAGTTTTCGCGAGGTTGCCCGCGCTAGGGTGAGTGTTGGCTGGCAGCTCACCCCATCTATTGTGCACTCACCCAAGCTCACCCGCGGTCGCGCGACATTAAAGCGGCTCACCCGCTAGCTCACCCGGGCGGCAGCCACCCGACTTCTGGCCACGTTAAAGCCACACGCCGGCCGGTTAGTAGTTGGGTGGGTGACCACCAGCGAATCCCGGCTGTTGTATGTTTTTCTCTGTTTTTCTCTGTTTGTATTTTTTTTTTTTGGGAGTCTTATAATAGGTAGGTTGCGTTGTGTAGTAAGATAATTAGAATCTAGTCCGTACCTGCGTTTCCTGCCCTACGGTAGGAACGAGGTATTCATGATTGGAGTTAGCTATCTTTGACTTCCCAAAATAATTCTCCAGATTATATTCAAGAAGCTATACGGGAATGACTACACGCCTCAGTAGAGCCCAAGGTCGTCCACGATACGGATATTCATATTCATATTAATGAATACTCATGGATATTGAGGCCCAGCCATAAGGTTGAGGGAAGGTACCATATTGTGATGGAACTCATGCACTTGCGAATTGAATTTGTTGTAAGCACCAAAATTATCTGTCCAATTTCCCAACTGGAAGAGCCCATAACTATTAAATCACGGCAGGTTCGTCATTCATAGATAATGTCGTAGTAGATGTCACTTGGGGCTCCACCCTAACTCTATTACTCATGACTTATGTCACGAAGATTTTTGTTCGCGCCTGAAACAAGATCCCGTTTCTATATGTAAGAGATCACATAGAAAGGGTAAGAAATTCCATTGTGATCTGTTTAAGTATGTCTAGCACGGTGTTGGACTACCATGTCGCATTTATCGTGTGAACATGGTTCCCAGTGACCCTGCTATGTCGCATACACCGGCAGATGAACCAGATTCCCTCCGCAGATATGACGTTATTTGTCAGAGTGTATCGCTAACAGTGACCTCGTTGGTCGTTCTGATGCAAGTATTGGTGAAATTTTTGGTGATTCATTCCCCAACAAAGGATGACTGTAAGTCTATCCGCTTCTTTTCTAACCATAGATACCTCGGAATACTGACTTCCGCAGATGCCTGTATCGTAGCTTGGGTGCGAAGGTCTTCCCTGGCAGCTCTGATGAATGATGATCTAATGTACGGTCTGCTGCCAGCTTGGCCTTATAGCGTACGGCGTTATCTCTCTGGAAGCCGATAAGCATGGTAGTGGCGTTCACCAGGAATATGTAGCGCACGATGACCTTCGGAGATACACACAGGTGAGTGCCAGCCATAACAGAAACCTTCGTGATGCTCGCTCAGACTTGCGTTGCTCAGCAATAGTTAGCCAACTTTTCCCAAATTCTATACGGCCCTCTTATTTTCCTGGCAAAGCTATCTATACTACTACTATATCTCCGAATCTTTGCCCCACTACCTAGAAGCAAGACTTCTATCATTATATACATTCTAATCTGGCTCAATTCACTCTATTATGCAATATATACCATTACGGTTATTTTGGCCTGTATACCAAGAGCGAAAATCTGGCAACCCGAAGTCCCTGGTCACTGTCTAAACATTAACGCAGTGATACTAAGCAATGCCGTGATCAACACACTCTCAGATCTCTCTCTCCTTTTTCTACCAATCATATCTATTTGGCGCCTGAAACTCCCTGCGTGGAAAAAGCTTGGAGTTTCTGGTCTTTTTGCAACTGGAGCTTTGTACGGTTTCTTTGCCGACTCTGTCGGAGTTCCTTCATTACTGACGATAGACAGCGCCTGTGTCGCGAGTATAATCCGCCTAGTATTGGGCATCCAAACAATGAGTACAATTGACCGAACCTATGATTGGTTTCCTGAGTTCCTCTGGACGTATGACGCCGCAAAAGCTTTATTGGAGAGCCAGCCACTGACAATTAGTTGCAGTACCGCAGAAATTAGCTGCGGCATTATTGCTGGCAGCCTTCCAGTGCTGCCTGCATTCTTCCGTCATATGTTCGGCAACCATTGCTGGCCTATCAAGAGAGACTCCAGTGAACACCCATCAAATCAGCGCAAGTCAAGAGAAGGAATTGCTGAACCTATCGATTCCGGCATTGGTGCTTCTCTTCACGACCAACCTCGTTCGGCCCCTGGGGTACATCCAGACATTGACATTGAAAACCGGGGGGATTTACAGGTAGAAACAACAGAGCACCGTGGTTTAGGTGGGTAGCAACACAACTCTAACTTTTGCTGGTATTTGCACTAGTGTCTCTAAGTCCTATGGCAGGCAGTGAGAACGGCAAGTCATCACAAATTAAGGGAGAAATAAATATTCTGGTTCAGAAGAGAGTTTTCATGTAGTGGGTTAGTAGAATGTAATGATCGTCTGCTCAAAGGACCCTGCGGAAGGTAAAAAGGCTTTATCTGTGCAACTTGCGACATATATCGGATCGCGCGAGGAATTCCATTATTTGCACACAGCCCCCGACGAAATCCTATTTAATGTGGTGCTTAAAGCTTCGTTTAAAAACCCAAGTCATTAGGTCAACACGTGTTCGTATGCCTTGTGTCAAAAGTAGCTGCAGGTGATAAAATTGATCTAATGGCTACCGTTTAACATAGGAAATATGTGTGGAGCGAGGCCCTAGAATGATTTTATAGGTACCTCTATCAATAATAGCACCCCCGATGAGAACAATTATCTCATCAGTGTATGGAAGCAGGAGTTCTCCGAAATGTTAGATCTTCAGAACAAGAACGGTCGAACTAGGGTTCTCAGGGGGCTTACGGTTGTGGGCAGGTGAGGACTACAGACTTTACTGCTTTCCGGAAGTAGCCATCTCTGGCGAAGAGCTTTGAAGAAATATAGCGGATAGCCTTTTAAGTACAGGCCTCTGGTTCGTAGGTCAGACCTAAGGCCGATACTGTGCGATGCGGGGACACACCCGAGACATTGTCAGATTCAGATGGAGTCAAGGAATTACGAATATTTGTCTACTATTCCCGTACATTAGAGACCTTCGCTATACCTACCTTGCTTTTGCTCACTCGTATTCGCCTGTTACTACCTTTCTATGCCCCAAAGATGATACTCATTGGCCCACAACACACCAGGATAGCGATAAAATTGAGGCATTCCCAAACAGTAATTATACTGACCTGCTTCAGACGCAAATAAAAAGAACTTTAAGTTTCTAACTCTATGGTTTATTTATTTGATTAGAGACAAACAGCACCCTATTTACTCTATAGAGTATAACCTCTTTCCCCAAAAGCATTGTCTCAGATTACAATAGACTGCTTTAATAAGAAATCGAATGTGCTCAATGCTTCGTACATTACACCTTCACAAGGCCCCTCTATCGACTTAGGCATTTTCTATGAAACTCGACGTTAACATGGAATTCCCCATTGACAATTCATCACAGGGACGCTTTGACGTACTGCTGACCCTCATAAAACCCAACATGCAGAGCACAAGTACTCACTCCGGATTTTGCCATTAATTCCGAAATTCTACGCGTGTTGGAAAATGGTAACCTTGAAATCATGGATTACGTCGACGGGGCGATCATATACGGTGGGCGCATGTTGTTCTTCACTACAGCTACCGGATGTCGCGGGTAATACTTGGGCAATTGCCACTCCGCACCTGCTCAGTGCACCAATCACTAATATAATCCCAGGATTGTGGTCATAGGATATGTATTCTGGGCGCAAGGCACATGGACACAGGGGCTGGTCATGATTAGTATCATGTTACACAGATAAGCTGGGATATCCTGACTTCAGCCATCTGTGCCTCGATCATGTCACTTGAACAATGATCAGCCGAAGACGTGTACCCTCTTAGACCAGGGATAAGCGCTTGTAAAGGATCAAGATCCGTGCCCATTGCTGACCTTACGATGTACTACACCATAATATTGTAAGCTCGCCATCCTGCGTTCAAGAATACTGGCCTTGCGCGGGGGGTTGAAAACATCCTCAATGCAAAAGGGGGGCAATGTAGGAGATAGCTATAGTTGCTGGCTACTTGAAATAGTCCTGTCTACCACCAATATTCATCAAATCAATAATGCCTAACATCAAATGTAGCCGGTTGCTCATCCCTCTGGAGGATAGCCCCAATATTACTCCCTCCGCTTGCCTACGTAATTAATGATAGCCTATATCCTTGAAACTCAATGCCGAGCTAGGGGTCCTGCGGACTACCGTTCAGCTCTGTGTGGAAGACGCCTTGCATTGAGATCGTGTAACCTATGTGTACAGGTGAAAAAGGAGTTCACTGGATTTGTTGGTGAGGCAGATAGGTTCCACATGGGCACATGTCCTACAGAACACTGAACACTACCAGGCGATTTGACACTTCTACACACATTCCTTTGTTTGGGGTGATAGAATTTACCCTGAGAAAATCTGGTCCTACCTTGCCAGGGTCTTAATTCGAAAGGTGTCACATATCGCGATTGGCTCCGTTCTCTGTATCACCTTAGTCACGAGCGAAGTAGTGACAATCGTAACTCAAAGCAATGATGTATGTCAACGCCAATAAGGTCAAGATATCAACATACCGACCCTTCAATAGGAACTTGAAATGATAGCTAAATACTGAAACTACATGTGACGATTTCCTTTCATGAATAATCGTAGTACACACATCCGACTTACTGTCTAGTAATAAAGAAGGCCCATTCTCATGACCAGAATGCGCGGCCCAAGACATAAGATGAAAAGGGCAAATCCTTCTCTTGATCCCTGGCGAGAAAAGGCTAGCCATGTACTAGAACATGGTCGTGTGGATATTGTAGGTAGCTCAACCAATGTTTGGTTCAAATGTCTTTAACAACTACCTCTATAGACATGGGTTTACAGACCACTTGTCAGCAGGGTGAAGCCATATACGAGCTTCTCTCAAATTGAAGTAGGAGATTCGCGCATGCAAGCACCTCCCGTGACGGTAGGAGGTGCTTATGATGTCTTCGATTTGATAATGCCTCAGTTGAACGCTACAAACTCCTGAAAACCATATATATATAGCGGTAATAGCCTGCACATCCTAACCGTTCTGTCCGGCAAAGGAATATCCACAAAATCCAAACAACGTAGCTCCTCTATTTGGCACCCCTGGCAACATGAGACATTTATTACTTTTTATCACAGTCATTTACAGTATTCCTTTAACTGCAGCGGCATCATGCACTGCAGAGAAAGCCTTCACAAGAAAAGAATGGTTTGATCCCGCAACACACACTTGAATAACTCTATACTAACTTATACCAGGAGAGAGCTGGAAGATACTGAGCGGATAGATTATATCAATGCCATATGGTGTCTACGCCATCTCCCTTCTACCCTGCCTAATGAGGAGTTCCCTGGGGCCAGGGACCGATGGGATGATTTTGTTGTGTAAGTGGAACTGAATTGGTGACTCCTCGATGTGCTCCAATTGATGAACTAAGGTCTCATCTTAACTATACAAACCAAATCCATTTCAATGGCCTCCTCCTTCCGTGGCATCGCCATTTTCTCTTTCTCTGGGAAACTGCATTACGCCAGGAATGTGGATACAAAGGCAGCGTACCGTAAGTAAATACCATTACAAATATTAGGGGACTAAATTTACTAATAGTCTTACAGATATTGGAACTGGGCGTTCGATGCAGACAATTTGTTTGCAAGTCCAGTTTTCGACGGTAGTCCTACTTCACTCTCTGGCAATGGCGCGTACGATCCGAACGAGCAACCCCCTTGCGGTCCCTCGGGCGTATGTCTTCCTCGAGGGACCGGAGGGGGTTGTGTCCAGTCTGGACCGTTTAAAAACTTTCAGGTGCACCTAGGGCCGTTTAACGCCAGTCTTGCACAGTCATACGCCCCAATTCCTGCCAACGCTTTTGACTATAAGCCGCGTTGCTTAACGCGAAGTTTCAATCCATACTTTATATCTAATTACAATAACCAGAGTACGATTGACAAAATGCTGGCAGCCCGGAATATGGTTGAATTCCTCTCAGTCATGTCGCCTAGTGATCCTAATATAATCGCGGCCCATGGTGCAGGGCACCGTACTGTAGGAGGCGTAATGAGTGATCTATTCGTCTCGCCGCAGGATCCTTCGTTTATGCTGCACCATGCTATGATCGACAGACTATGGGCTCAATGGCAAGACCAGGATCCTGTCAATCGGCGAAACGCGTTGAATGGTACCACCATTATCTTTGATCCGCCAGACGCGCCTCTGGTAACGCTTGACACTCCTGTTGAGTTTGGGGAGTTAGCCCATTCAAGAGAGGTCCAGAAAATCATGGATCCAACGAAGCACGGTTATTGCTATGTATATACTTGACTGAAAACTGCTTGGGATCTTGAGAAGTTGTTCTCTCCGAGAACACTTACAATGCATACTTTGCTGTTGAATTCTCGATGATGATGACTCGTTCTTAATAATGTTACTCAAACTTGCTTGTTTCCTTTGGCAGTATCTAGGATCTTCGTATACTGATCTGCAAGACGAAGTTTATCCCAGGCTTTCTGAATGCTAGTTGGACGAATTCTCTTGATGGCGAAGTTGAAAAATTCATAAGGCAACTAAGGATCAAGCTCAGATCGGTTCATTCTTAATCCCTCTATAGCTCTAGTTCGCTCTTCTCAACTTATCCACTCGCTGCTGGATAATTTTGGTTAGTACAGGTGGTTCCTCTGTTGAGTAAATTAACTTGGATAGCTGTAAGAGACGAGTTGGTCAATCGTCCTTCAGTATGCGAGGGTCTACTTCAAAGTCACCGAGGACTGGCAAAAATACAGGCTCTTGAGCATGCACTTTGTTGCTCTCATTGCGAAAGTTAATTGGAGTCGTTGGGTAAAGATAGAAGGACTTGCCTCACCTTGCCCTAAATCATGCCAGTGGCTGTCTCTGCTGAAGGCCCTATACTGTAAACGCCGGTCATCAAGTAATACTAAACGCAAAAACAGAGATATTTAGTATGGATCATTTTTATAACCTTTGTGAAGGCTCGAGTTTACGTTTTGTATAGCCATAGCTTTATTTCCCGCTCGCAATAACATAGCAACGAAACTCGGTCATCTTAAGGTAGCAGACTACGGATGATAGACATATGCATTATCTAGAAGCAATATCGATCAAAGAATTTAGACTTTATGCAATCACCCCTCCATGGCGCGACTAGAAGGACACCTTACTGCAGCGAATGCATCTATTCATGCATGTCGGGCAATCCCCGACTAGCCTAAGGCAAGTATAGATTCCCGTTGCGTCACGCATCGTCCGCCTAATCAACAGATATTAATCCCACCACTACACACCTACTACAAAACCCCCACCTTCAACAACATCAAATATCATCAAGTACAGTACCACCGCCAACAAAGCAAAAATGTCCTCCACCGGTTCCAAAATCATCAACGGGGTCAAAACCTTCATTCCCCTCGGTCCGTCCTCTACACCCACCCCATACCATCTATATATACATACATACATACATACATACATACATACATACATACATACATACATACATACATACATACATACATACATACATACATACATACATACATACATACATACACACATACACCCACCCCCAACACCTCATACCAGATCCAAATCCAAATCCAAAACTAATCAGACCCAAACCCCAGAAAACAACCCCCAAGTCCACACCCACCTCTCCACCACCCTCTCCATCCAAAACCTCACCTTCCACGACATCCACACCATCCCCCCGGACTCCCCCACCTCAACCTCCCACCCAATCAACGCCCTAATCTTCCTCGTCGCCCACGCAATCTACAAACCCGCCCGCTCAACCCTCGAATCCACCCTCCCAAAATACACCTCTTCCAAACCGAACGACCCAATCTGGATCCCGCAGACAATCGGACACGCATGCGGCCTCATGGCGTTCCTGCACTGCGTGCTCAATCTGGATGGCGGGGCGCATATTGCGGCGGGGTCGCCGTTGTCAAGGCTACGGGAGGAGTTGATCCCGCTTGCGCCCGAGGACAGGGCGAGGGTGGTTTATGACTCGGGGTTCCTGGAAGAGGCGCATATGGAGGCGGCTAGGGGGGGTAGTTCGAGGGTGCCGGATCCAGCGGAGGATAATGGGTTTCATTTTGTGGGGTTTGTGAAGGGGGAGGATGGGCGGGTTTGGGAGTTGAATGGGGGGATGCCGGGGCCTTTCGAGAGGGGGGTGCTGGGGAAGGGGGAGGATTTGGTTTCAGATGCTGGGTTGAGGTTGACGGTTGGGGAGTTTATGGAGGCTGCGAGGGGGGTGGAGGGGGGTGGACTCGGGGTTTTGGGGGTTTCGTTGGTGGGTTTGGTTGGGGTGTGAAGCTGGGGGTGATGGATATACTCCGCACGCAGATATGGGAAAGAGTGTAATGGCTGTGGTGTTTGTTGGCAGAAGCCTATTATTATCATATCATAGCGAACGTGCTACAGATGGAGAGCAAGATCAATTCGTAAATCAATGGCATTCAACTAGCATACTAAGTAAGACGCTGATACGCAGCACTACAAGGATTGAGTACAAGAATGTTTCAGATCGTCAATGGATGTTTGCCATCTCAGCAGAGCTGCAGGACACGCATCTAGTACGTCACTGATTGGAGAAATCTCCATTCGATATCAGCACTTCTTCGGCACAACCACAGCCATGAAAGGGCTAGATTGCAATTTGACATCCGTGCTAGTTGGTTCGACACTGTTCTCACGCAGCAAGTAGGTAGCGGTAAGCAGAAAGGACAAGGAAAGGAGGAAGATATTATCGTTATTACTTAAGCGTATAGCGGAATGGCAGGAAGGGTAATATAAACAATTCCATCCGCAGTCATCTGATAAAGTAAAAGTGTCGTAAATCCGTAACATAGGCTTACAGTTCCTCACGAAGGTGGGGAGGAGGGCGGAAGTTGCCGTTTCTCAACTCCTGCCACGCGAGGTCAAAGCGTGCGCCCAATAACCAGGCAGTCACAAACTAAACCAAAATGTCAGCAAAGTTGATCACTATCGTAGAAACTGAGACCATATACCATGATAATAGAGACCATGAGCACAATAACTCCCATCAAAGCCAACATAAAGTACATGTCCTGGCGCGTTTCAGCCTCCAGTCTGGCCTTCTCCTTCTCGGTTTCAGATAGCTCGCCAACCACCTTGCGGTTGGCTTCTTCAGCAGTCTGCTGAGGGAAGATGGTGTCCATAAACTTCTCAATCTGGAAGGCGTTAGCATGGGGCTGCGGTACATGATGAGGTAAGGACTTCTTACCCTGCCGCAAACAATGCTGATCTTGAGGAAATTAGGGTCTTTGGGAGTATTCTTCTTGTGGATCCGACGCGCATACCGGCGGAAGGCACCACAAAGAACATGAAGGTTCTGCGTTGACTCGGTCATCAAACTACAGGCGTCACCCTTGGTGATCTTGATATTGCGCTTGAAGATGTCAGGGTTACGGAAGCAAAGCTCCAGGGTAGCAATAGCCATAGACTGGGGAATAGCGCAGAAGTTGAAAACACTCTGCTCACGCAGCCCTGCGAGGTAGAACAGACACTCCTCAACGTGCTCTAGAGCATTAAGAACCATTTCCGAGCCGCAGTTGAGAGCAGCTTCGAGATTCTCTGGTTTAAACAGATCGTCGAATTCAGCAACATGTTTGGACCAAATTTCTTTGGGCCAGAATCGTCGGCCGTCGTCATTATCCTCCCGCACGTCACGAATGATGTTCGTCTTCTGCAGGAAGAGTCCCATGGACTTGTGTAGACGGACACGTGTGATCAGCGCTGGGTTGCCGAACTCAGCCTCAACGAAGAGGCGAGTCAGACCCTCACCCACCAAGCCCGCGACATAGAAGCAGTAAAGATCATATTCCTCCACTGTCTTGACACTGGCATCTTCCAATTCCGCCTTTCGGCAATAGTCAGCCATGCCGTTGCCCATTTTATCGGTGATGTCCTTGACAATGGCCTGGTAGGCCGGCTTCATGTTCTTGAATTCAGTGATAACATTGTGAAACTGAACCAGCAGTTCACGATCCTTTTCTTCGGGGCGATTGCCATCGAAAGTCCAGCCATCCTGATCCAGGAAATCCTTAAATTGACGTAGCAGTGGCTCTTTGGTCGCGAGAGGAATTGACGTGTCATCCTCAATGGTATCCAGACCGCGAAGTGTCAGGTAGAAGACGCATACGGGCAGTAGCAGTTCAGGATGAAGCTCTTTGATCACCGCGCTGAAACTCCGACTTGTCATGTCCAGAAACTTGAAGCAAGCCTTCTGCGTTTCTGTTTCATTCTTTTCATCGCGTTCATGGACAGGGTTGTGCCAGACTTTCCTATGGCAAGAGACAAATGAGCCTCTGTAAGCGTTGGCACATACACCTCCACAGATGGAAAAGGGTATCGCGTCCTGAAAGTAGAACTTACCATTGAATGATGGATCTCAACTGGTTGGGGTGGAACATGTAATAGATAGCGTCGGTGGCACGCATGGTGACGGTTGTACAATAAAAATGCACACAGAGAACAGAAAAAAAAAAATTAAGTAACAAGAAAATTAAATAGATACGCTCGTGTTAAAGGTAATAGTCATACAAAAGACAAGGGAAACAAGAATATGGGGAGTGAAACGGCAAGGGGCCCCAGATCTGCTACTGTACAAGTAGTGGACAGATTGCGAATAGTCTCACAGACTAGAGAGAATTGGGAGAAGATAAGAGAGGATGATGCTGAGGTAGGACAATCAATTGATAAGAGGGTAGGAGATGAAGAGGGAGGAATTGAGGTACGCGGCAAGAAAAGAAGAAAGGGGAAGGGAAAGGGGAGGAAATGAGTGATGAAAAGGAAGAAGAAAAAGAAGAGCAAGGATTTTAAAATGAAATGAACAGAAAGACGTTTCGTTCGGTTGGAGCCTCTAGCTTGTGGCTGGTGCGTCTTTAGCGTGTCTAGGCGGGGAGGCTGGTGCGTAAAACCAACGATTACCAGGAGAACAATAGAACCCGGTGTGGCTAACGTGGTGGAGTACCATACAGTGACAATACCGACCCTTTCTGGTCGGAAGTCATGCGGCGCCCCGCGCATGACGAAACTGTCGGAAAAGCATCGTCAGGCAGAAAAAAAAAGTTAGTTAGTGTACCTATCATACTACACTACTTACTTCCTATTCTTGGCCGTGTTCCTCCATTCTTCTCCTATTTCCCTCTTCCCTTTTTCTCCACACTTTCTCGCATCCTCAATTCTCGCGGCTCTGTGACCTTGGAGACAACCCGAATAATACGTACGTCTGGTTGGGTTGAACTCCGCAAAATCCCGCATCATGGTCGCAGATACTACTTACTACGATGCCCTGGGTGTGCCCCCCACGGCTACCGAATTGGAAATAAAAAAGGCATACCGCAAGTTGGCCATTGTCACTCACCCCGGTACGGGCCTTCTACTTCATTCATGCCGTTTTTCTTGATCCTAACCACCCTGCAGACAAGAACCCCGATGACGAAACTGCGCATGCGAGATTCCAGGCGGTACGCTACTCCTGAGTAGCCCTTGTCTTTCTCGCAAGCTGGCCCTTAATACTTACTATTCCCGCCAGATCGGAGAAGCCTACCAAGTCCTCAGCGATGAAGAGCTACGAAAGCGATATGATAAGTTTGGCAAGGAGGACGCGGTTCCCGGTGGTGGTTTCGGTATGTCTCTTCCACGGTAGACTGCAAGTCTATCGCTAATCCCCAGGTGCAGAGGACCCGTCGGAGTTCTTTAGCATGATCTTTGGTGGCAATGCGTTCGTCGACCTTATCGGTGAGATTTCGCTCATGAAGGATCTCACCACTACCATGGATATCACCATGCAGGAGATGGAGGAGGATGAGCTGGCTGCATCTGCGGAGGAGAAACTTAATATTCATAATGAAGAGGCCAAAGCGGCGACCGGTACCGCCGCGGAGGGTACTGCTGCTGCACCGGCAGCTGCTCCTGCTCCTGCGGCTGATGCCGCCGCTTCTGAACATATACCCGAAAAGGCAACCCCGACGCCCAGCTCTGGTACAAGTACGCCCCGTCGTTACCTCGGTCAACAGGCTATCATGGACAAGTCAGAGGAGGAGGCACGGATGGAGGCAGCTGGTCTGTCTGCTGAGGAGAAGGAGCTGCGGAAGAAGGGGAAGAAGAAGGGTGCCTTGTCCCGGGAGCAGGAAGAGCGCTTGGCTGCGTATGAACTGGAAAGGAAGAAGGCTCGGGAGGAACGAGTCAACACATTAGCCACGAAGTTGGTGGATAAGATTAGTGTCTGGACTGAAACGGACAAGGGCGCGGACGTGACCCGCGCGTTCGAAGAGAAGATCCGCCTCGAGGTGGAGAATCTGAAGATGGAGTCGTTTGGTCTTGAAATCCTTCATGCGATCGGTCAGACATACATCCAAAAGGGTAGCTCGTTTCTCAAATCACAGAAGTTCCTTGGTATCTCCGGTTTCTTCTCCCGCCTGAAGGACAAGGGCACCCTCGCCAAAGAGACATGGACCACCATTTCGACTGCCATCGATGCACAGATGACCATGGAAGAGATGGCAAAGCTGGAAGAGCGCGGTGGCGAAGACTGGACCGACGAGAAGAGAGCTGAGTACGAGAAGAAGGTCACGGGCAAGATCCTGGCGGCTGCTTGGCGCGGAAGCAAGTTCGAGATTCAGAGTGTGCTGCGCGATGTATGCGATCAAGTTCTTGGCGACAAGAAGGTCAAGTTGGACAAACGTGTTGAACGTGCTCATGCCTTGGTCATTGCGGGTAATATTTATCAAAAAGTAGGCTTCTTCGATATCACAACCCTTTTTGTATACTCTGACACTAACACAATGCAGGCGGAGCGCGACCCAGAGGAAGAGGGAGACTACATGGCATTCGAGCAACTTATGGCGGATGCCATGACGAAGAAGGGCAAGGATGAAAAGAAGAAGAAGGAGAAGAAGCCCAAGCATGAACACGAAGAATCCACCGCTTAGATACCTCTTTTCCATACGTAATCCATTACCCCCCCTTTTTTTTTTTGTGCATACTTTACTATGCTCACTCTCCCATTTTTAATGTACCATTCTTCTTGTACCCTCGTACTCTAGCGTTGTCTGATCGTTCCTGGGCGGATTAGATTGTTGGATACCTACCTGTTCTACCTTACACTGTAGCAGTCCGCACCTCAACCTACGCACCATGGTCGAAATCGCATATCTAGGTTGTAATATTATTTTTTCTATTTTTACTTTCTTTTTTTTTGGACATTTTAACACTTTGTTTGGTCTTCAATATAGTTGGTGCATCCTTTCTTACCGGTCTTGATATGGGTATAGGTTGACCGATATATATATCTGACCGGGCGGGGGAGCGGAGTGCAATATAGATAATTTGATAATGGATTACGCATCCACATACTGTACACATACATAAAACCTTGCTAGACACTCCCTACTATTATAAGTGGTCTCAAGACAAGGATTGTTTTGCTTCAACTGTATAAATATTCAAACCTTAGGACGAAGTTGCGCTGTTAGGGTTCGATTCGGAGTAGCTTCCACAAGGTTCACGCCCCCCTCATTGTTTAGGTTATAACTACGGGGCCTTTATAGGGGAGATGCCAATGAGGATCTGTATACTGTTCGGTTAGATCTGATCGCCAAAGGACTTAAATCAACTCCGCAGATTCCACGTCATTGTACAACAGAAGGTCGGAGGAGAATGGATCGTGTGAGGGCCTACCCGATCCGAATTAGTATCGGGAATTAGAACCCTATATGATATGTCCTTAATCCCTTCCCATGTCTTACCTAGTAAATCACCCAATGGATCACGCTATCTACTGCCCACTAACTAGAGGCTAACTCCGCTAAGCATCCTTAGGCCATAATTATCCCCTTTTCACTGGCGGATTGAACCGATCCGCAAGCACGATGATACCTTGTAGAATGTCCGATCCTCTGAACGGAAGGCGCTGCGTAGATCCATCGAGTCCCCAAAAGCAATATGGTTTGACAGTCGGCTTAAATAGCTCACTTCTTTATCTGTTTACCTTGACCGGACTGTAGCTGGGACATAATATTTAAGACACACAACACCACAACACCACAACACCACCCGCCATTTGCTCATACTTGTGTTTTAAGCGCTGACAGCCCGATAATTTGCATTGAGACACAAATGCAGCAATTATTCCAGTCAACGGCAGCCCTGCTCGCCTTCCAGGCAGTACTGGGCGATGCAGCACCCACCTCAAGCTCATCGGCGCCGGCATCCGGTCCGACTGGAGCTACTTACCCGTCTTGGTTTGACATGTCCACGAGCTGGGGAAATCTTAGCCCTTATAAGGATGTGAGTGGCTTCGGTGTGCCGAAAGGTGTCCCAAGGGGCTGTGAACTCTCCCAGGTTCACGTCCTACACAGGCACGCACAGAGGTATCCTACGTCGTGGAAGCTGGACGGCGGTGTCATAGAGGATTTTGCTCAGAAGCTGAAGAATTACACCGAGCGCCATGGCAACTCGACCGTGGGGAAAGGGTCTCTGTCATTTTTGAATAATTGGGACTATCTGCTAGGGGAAGATCTCCTGCAGGTCTCTGGTGCTGCGACCGAGGCTACCTCCGGTGCAAATGTCTGGTCTAAGTACGGCCGCGCCCTTTATCGGGCCCCGGCTGGTGTTGCATCTTATGATTCTTCTTTGAATGTCTATCCCAATGGGACCGAGCGACCGAAGCCCATCTTCAGGACGACAGACCAGGCGAGGATCTTGGAGAGCGCCCACTGGTGGTTGAGTACGTTTGCTCTCCTTGCTATGGTGTGCTGTGCTAACCTGTAAGGCGGTTTCTTTGGAAATACCGGCGCGAATAGCTCCTACTCAGAGTATGAACTTGTCATCACACACGAGGGCTCGGGGTTCAACAACACCTTGGCCTCCGACGGCTCTTGCCCCGGAGACTTGGAAGAAGGGTAACACCTAGCCTCAAGTTTATTATACGGGCATGCTAATATCTTTTCAGCGATAATACGGGGGAAACCTTCATACCAAGCCTCACCAAGGATGCCCTGAAGAGGCTGTCAAAACTTGTCCCTTCTGATTTCAACCTGACTGCCTATGATGTGGTTGGAATGTTTAGTCTCTGCCCCTATGAAACCGCAGCTCTGGGCAGCTCGTCATTCTGCACATTGTTCACGGAGCAGGAATGGCACAATTTCGAGTACTTTACTGACGTCCAGTTCTATGGTAACTATGGATTCGGCGCCCCAACTGGCCGCGCCCAAGGAATCGGATACGTGCTAGAGCTCGCAGCCAGATTGGAAGGCAAACTGATTGAGACCAGTGATACAAGCATCAACACTACCATTGACTCTAACCCTTCCACATTCCCTCTCCACCAGCCGTTGTACATGGACATGTCTCACGACGATGTGATTGTTGCCGTCCTGACTGCGCTCGGCCTGAAATACTTCAATCATGGATTGAAGGGTTTGCTCGGTAATGTGGACCATGCTGTCCCGCGCACCTTCAAACTCAACGAGGTTACGCCATTTGGTGCACATTTAATTTCGGAAGTCTGGACTTGCCCAGAACAGACCAATTTCCATGAACTGGATGGTGCATTGTACAGAAACCCGGATCTTTTCTCAACACCCAACACAACAGACTTCATTCGATTTGTGCTTAATGGTGCCCCTATATCTCAAGAAGGGCTAGATGGATGCGAGAAGTCTATCAATGGTTTCTGTGGGGTGCAGGACTTCTTGAAAGGTGTCTCTAAGCTGAAGGAAAAGGCCGATTACCAGCATGCCTGTTTTGGAAACTACACAGCTGGTCACCAGGTTGGTGACGGACGGCCCGAGTGATGGGGTTTCTGATGACCCGCAATCTACATGATGGCCCGTTGAACGCTCAGAACAGAATATCGAAGTCCTACAGTTCTGACGTATATATACATGTATACAGTGACTTCATCATGAGCAATCTCGTCGTCCTCATTGATGGTCTGCTCAGTACAATGAAAAAGCCATGAGCAGAGGGCCTGCATGCAGGTACATGTTCCCATACAAACTGAAGTATACATCTGTATACGTCTCTGCAAAGATTTATATCACCCGTATCATCATAAAGACGGCTTTCACGCGCGTGGCCACAAAAAATAAGCGTAAAACTGGGGTAATAAGGCTCAACGACCCATGGTGGACTTAGTCTAAGGGACGCTAAGTCGCAGTATATAGTTCCCATCTACATAGAACCCCCCTTCCCTCTTCGCCACCTCTGGCCCATTCACCCAATACAACAAAAACCATATCGACAGCTCTCAAAGCAGTGAAGTCCCCGTTCAAATCTCTTTTTCCCGATTCCAAAAACAAAGGAATTGCCAACCTCCAAGCAGAAAACCGCTCCGCCAAACCGACACCGACGCACCGACAACATGTCTGCCACCGACAACTCCTCAACCCCGATGAGTGGAACAGGAGCTTCCTCCCCAGCTCCATCCCCATATATCTGGATGAGCAGGAGCAGAAAGAGCACTGGTACCCCTACTCCATCGCTCGCCTCCTCCATCGAGACCCTATCCACCGTCTCGGTCCCGGCCACCCCAAACAACACCGACGCCGAAGACTCAGACCTCGACTTCGACGTCAAAAGCATTACATCCGACACGCCATCGACCATCTTCTCTGACGACGACCTTCAATCGACATCTTTATGCGCTACCCCCCTGGGCAGTGCCCTTCGATGCAAGCCTCGTCTCTTTCGAGGACGAGATCGCCGCTAATAACACCGCCAACAACGACGCCGACTTAAGGTCCATTGCAAATCTGTGGCCTGAGCCAGAATTTCACGCCTCGCTCCAGTTCATGTGGAGCGGAGTATGGGATTTGGGAAGGGAAAGGGAAAGGGAAAGGGGAGATGAGTTGGAGTATGTTGTTCCTTTGAGTGGGGTTAGGGCTTTGTTTTTTGATGATGGGAAGAGTGGGAGGAAAGGGGATTGTTTTAGTCGAGCTTGGTTCAGAATTCAACTTTCATGTATTCTTTCCCTCCTCTCATTGTTTTGTTGCAATTTTTCTTAAGATAGTGACGAGCTACCTTTTTTCCCTGCAACTGGGCTTTTTATTCCCGTATCATGGGTTTTCGGTCGTTGGGTTTTTACCGGTGCTCGTCCTTTTTTTCATGTACTATTCGGTGACGCATTTTTGTTTAAGATATCCGGTTAAGATACCCAAGAGGGGGAATGGAGTTAATTTTTTTTTTAAACAACGAATGGGTCATGGGACGCTCATTGTCAATTATGTATGGTTGAGGTTATCTAGCATAGAATTAATGTCTTGTATTGTATATCCTATCCGTTGTAAATCGTGCCTTCGTAATCCATATACTCGAACATTTCAAACTCATTATGCGCATGGGTATCTAGCAACGGTTACCAAGACTAGGAAGGCCGGCCATCTATCGCTTACAGAGATTGGAGGAAATCAAATTGAAGAGAAGAAAAAGACGGAAGAGAACGATGGGTATCCCGCTCGGACAATGCCAGCATTGGTCACGATGCAAAACAGTTGCTGAGTGGAACGGGGGAAAAACAGGCCAGGTCCGGTAGACGTGCCGACGAGTAGATGTGAACAAACGAATAGAAGAAGAAGAAGAAAACAAAAGGTACAAGATGGTTGCGGTGTGGGGAAAAAGGTTACCCTGTGCCGTCTAGGCTGTTTCTGTCAGCCTCAATCAGACTCTGAGTCTGGCTCTGAGTCTGGCAATTCGGGTAGGTATGAAAGATCGTTGGGATCACTCATTCTCAATAGACCACGGGCACTTTCGCCGAGGTCGCTGCACTCTTCTGGGGCGAGGACTCGTCCTCCAAGTTGGATGTCATTTACATGCACGGAATATTCAAGGGCTTTCTTAGCTTCCTTGATTAACTCCTCCGTCCAACCGAGACAGCGTTTAAGGCTCTGGTTCATTTTCTGGCTGTCAGCCAGAAGGTCTTGATGTTTAGCAAGATCAATAAAAAACTTCTTCTCGTCCTGGGCACGATGTCGCGCATCGTGCTCTGCCAAGGAATCAGGACTAAGAACGCCCTCATCCATCACGGAATCCTCATCACTCAGTTCGGATAGCTCATCAGCCGACTGGACAGAGTGCGCATGCTCATCACTCTCGTCCATTTCGGCCATGATACTCAAAGAAGCTGCGGACACGGAACGACTTGATGGTGCCATGGACAATCTACCAGCGCGGCTGAGTCGGCGATACCTCCGCAGCTCCGCATTCTGCTTCCGCATTTCGCGTTCGAGGGTGCGATTAATAGCGAGGAGTGACGAGTTACTAATTTCGAGATCGAGGATCTTACGCTCTGTGCGGGCATTCACCGCCGCATCATCTCTCGCATATCCCGATTCAGACTTAGCTGGGCTCTGCAGCGCAGAGTCTTGAGTCTCTATAGATGCTGCGGATCCATTGCTAAAGACTCGGGGTCGAAGACCAGGAATGGGTGCGGAAGAAAGAGCGCTCGCGTCGATACTGGTGTCAGACGGGGATATAATGATGGGGCTTGGTCGCAAGGGCTCTCTGGGAGAAGTCGTACCGTGCCCCGAGTCGACACTGGACGATTTCGTGTGCCTTGGGGCTGACGGCGCTGGTCTTGAGGAGAAATTGCTCATGGGTGGGCTCGGCATATGCGAGACTATCTGTGGCGAAAATTCGAATCGTGAGCTAGCCTGCGAACCAAACTGAGGGCCAGCCTGTGAGCCAATTTGTGAGCCGACCTGCGAGCCGACCTGCGAGCCAAGCTGAGATCCCACGCCGTCCGAAAGTCGGGGAGAGGAGGCATTCAGTCTAGGGGATGCCAACCGCGGGGACGCCGACGGAGGTTTGGAGCCGACTACAGAACGACTTAACCCGATCGACCGTCGTTTATACACCGTTGCCGTATTATGCTCCTCCGCAGGCGGGTCCTCTTCTTTTCCATTGGCATACACGAACGTGGTGTGGGATGGCTTTCCCGCTGGTTTTGGTCGGTTATCGACATCGGGGTTCGATCGCGCATCGGCAGCGTGAAAGAACATGGGCGAGCTGGAGGGTGTCCCACAGACCGAACTAGGTCGTGAGCGCGAGGGTTCTGTTGTCAGAGTTTTAGCCCTTGTGGTTCTCGGAGGCTCAAACTTCCCCCCTGCCCGTACCGGGCTCCGGTCTGTCCGCTTTCCCACCGTCGAACCACCAGCTGAAATGTAAGAAGGCGAGTAGTGGCCATTCAAAGGGGTATTCGGCGTGGACGTTGGTCCATCGCGCCTACTGGTGCGAGAGCCGGATCGAGGGGTGATATTCGCACTGAGGTAGACCGGCTCGGTATCCGGCTTCGAATTTGAGGCCGGGTGTTCGGAGGGGGTGAATCGTTTGGGGGTGCGGTAACCTCCAGGGTTGGCTAGTTTGGGGGTCAGAGGGGATTTAGCGGATCGATTGAAAGCTGCACTGAGGGATGGGGTGAAGGGTTTGGCGACGGGGCCGTTGGCGGTTTGTTTATCGGAAGTCATAGTTGAGGGGTGGAAAGGAGGGCGACTCATGACATTGCGGCACTCCACGAAGATCTGCAAGCATGATGGCACCAGCCAGTATTGGGGGAGGGGGTGAGCTGACTGAGGTCGCTAACTGAGCCGACAGAAGGTGTATTAAGAAGGAGAGGAGAGCATCAGTGTGTTTTCAGGACGGAGAGTGGTGAGTTGACAGTGATTTTCGTTGTGCCAACACCGCAACCTTTCAGATGTTGAAGTGATGCCGAACTAAACCAAATCCAACGGAACTAACCCAAACATGTCGCCAAATCGGGGTTAGCGTTTTTTCACCGCAACGTGATTCCGTTACTCTAGACTACATTCCAAGGGGGTTGGATGTAGGAGAGAAATATTGAAAACAGTGTGAAACATTTGAAGTAATGGATATATAGAACAAGACGAGAAGCAGTGTGGAATATTTGTGCAATATTCCAAGAAATTTGGAATTCTCTAATAATTTTATAGTCCCACGAAAACCAATTCTTTTTTTTTTACTTTTTAGTAGACCTTCTCAGGTCAGTCCACCTAATTCATGCATGCTGATGCACCGGCCCTTCCCGATCAACATCGGCAGATGGCTGGACGAAAATTCGGCCCAGAACCACCCTTACGAGCTGTCAAAATATTGGTACACTTCCTGCGGTGATCACTCAGTGCCTAAAATTACATGTATTATTTATTCACCTGGCTTTTGAGTAACCAATATATATAGATATACTACCCCACAGGAAAACACAGAGTGTCAATGGTGGGAGTTATGCGGGTAGTGTGTCAAAATGCTGGCCATGCAAGGAGGGTATACAACTAGCACCCCAGGTTTTAGAAGAGGTCTAGATTCCAAGGATTCACTCATCGTGGCGGGGGCAGTGTCTTACAGGACGGGCTCTCTATATGCAGGCTGAACGAAGGTCATTGGACGGCAAACTAGAACATAGAGCGCGATGGTAGCGGACCGAGAAATTTGTAGGATGAGATGCGTGTTCGTAAGTAAATGAACATGGCCGTGTAGTTACTCTTGCGAAGACCCGCAAACCTTGTTCGGTTGATATATTCCCAGTGAATGAGAAGACAATGTGCATCACGTAAAGAACAGTCGCTTCTGGCGTGGGTCAACGGGCTCCTGCGACGTACCCTTCCTCTTCCGGGTTTTTGATGGGGCGGGCTCACTATCTGGTGAAGCGCCTTGAATGACCTCCTTGATAGTTTGTCTTGAAAGACAGTAGTCAACGTGGTCGTTGAAGGTTCTGTCCTCTGCAATCTGTGGTTTGGAGCAAACGGGGCAATCCCAGTATGTAGGTTGGGGTTCAGATGGGGCGGCCGGGTTTTCTCTAGACTCATTGATCTCGTTGGGTTCCGATACCTCCTGGCTGAGCTTCTCTAGATCATTCATGTCTTCCTGTATCTCTTGGCGAGCAGCTCTCTCGAATGCTTCTTCCGCACTGATCTCTTGTTCAGCTGTATCCGGGGTCGGCTCCGCGGTAGGTTTGGAACGCGAAGCCCAACCGAAAAAGTCTATCCCTCCTTTCTTAGTGGTTACCAAATTGGTACAGCGAAGGCCGAGAAGACGCAGCTTCATGTTAGGGATCTCTTTCTCAAGTTTTTCTAGCATTGGGAGAGAAAATGCGTAGAGATCTTTGGCCAGGCACACGGCCCTTGGGGGTTGACACTGTCGTGATAGGACCTCGAATGTGGCTAACTTCACCTTAAGCACCAATGTACGGCCTTTGAATTCGGTACGAGTCAAGTCCTTCTCAAGCTCCTGGGCAGTCAGCCAGAGCTTTTCTCGGAGTGCTTCCTTGCCGCCCATTTCATTGAACGTGCTTTCAGTGCCAACACTTTTCCGCTCATAGTTTTCCACTGGCTGGATCTTCGTCCTACCCAATCCAAGGTAACACTGGGCCAGAAAATAAAATGCCTTCTCACCAAATAGCTTGGTCAACAGTGCGCGTTGAGGATAGATATCACCACATGTTTTGATTCCAACAGCATCCAGCTCACGTTCAAACACTCGGCCCACACCATTGACCTTTCGGACGGGGAGGTCCTTCATAAATTCCATGATGGTATCTTTATCATTAGGAACACGAAATTGTCCATTTGGTTTGTTGCGATTAGATGCGATTTTGGCGATCTTTGCATTGGCGGCAATACCAGCAGACACGGAGATTTTCGTTTTTTCCAACACCTCCGCTCGCATGGCATTAACAACATCTTCCGGATCGAGTTGATTTGCTGTGCAATAGGGGGTGATATTGAGGTACGCCTCATCTATGCTAGCACTCTCGAAGAGCGGATCGTATTGGGCGAATATGGCCCGAATCTCCTGCGCCTTGGCAGTGTACTTCTCATAGTTTTGGGGTAGGCAGATAAGCTGTGGACAAAGCTTCTTGGCTACGAATGAAGCCATACCACTCCGGCAACCGAATTTTCGAGCCTCGTAATTACAAGTAGTTAAGACCCCTTTGCCTACAGCAAAAGGAACGTTTTTCAATTCAGGTCGATCGAGTTCCTCAACTGCAGCAAAGAACGCATCGCAGTCGACGTGAATAACATATTGCGATAAGTCGCGACTGAGTTCGAGCTCGCCCAAAAGCTGGTCCGCCCGCCGTAGGTCGTGAGACAAGTCTAGATTCTCCAGACGGGCCTTCTCCTTTAAGATACGTTCGATCTTCTCTGTCAAGATCCGATCGCGACTTTGTTCATGATTAAAGAACTTCGATCCTTTTGAAGCATTGTATATAATTTGCGACACCTTGATGTTCACTCAGCTGTTGCTTAAGCGATACAACATAAAGCCAGCCAGTAGTTAACACTCACCTTCTGCTGGTCGACCGCATCCTGGCCTGCTTTGGTCAAGGATGGACCCAATAAATGATATTTCAACGTCGCATATTCATCTGAGGCCTCAGTTGAGGTGGACGGCATGTCCTCAGCAGGCGGTTCGCCCTGCGGCTCCATATTCTAGACATTGAAGGCCAGAGACACGCGATCCTTTCCCAAGCAGGCAGCATTGAGACGCCTGATCACGTGAACACGTGTTGCGGGCCGGGCCTTCACGTGCATCCAACCATTTGTGCTTCGAAAGAACAGTAAGTTAGTTGCACACCATCCTGACTGGCTGCCCCTCATGTGGATTCTTGATTCGGAGGGAGATTTCTTGGGTGGTAAGCAATGTTTAAGCTACAGGACTGTGAGCTGCAAGTTAACAATCCCCGAGGGAAGCGCGTGTGGTTGCGACCAGGGCAAAAGTATCTCTTCGGTCGGATAAAGCAACATGGAGGTATGGTCTCTTCTTTTCCCTTTACGAGACAACGATACTAACCTTTCATTTCTTAGCCGGGCATGCCATAGAACATAACTCGATATCACGAAAGCACATGGTGATAGAAGTGTCTCCTGTGAAACCAGGTGATGGGGTACAAAGCTCGCTATTGCCGGTTTACTCCTTTTCGCTAACTCACATAGTCTCATATCTACGCAAAATCGGAAATCACAGTGATCGACCAGAACTCCAAGTGCGGAACAGCAGTGGATGGAGAACAAATAAGGGGCGAGAGTGTCAGCCTGACCGGTGAGGAGCATACTATCAAACTGGGGAAGTACCAACATTTGCTCCGGTGGGTAAATCACTCAGACCTGTTATACACTAGCTGATAGGTACTGCGTCGTAGGGTCAAATGGCAACCTACCGTGCTTACATTTTCCTTCTCATCCAAGGAGCTCAAGGCAAAAGATCCGTTAGCACATGTCCGTTCCCGACTCGAGGATTTAGATATCAAAACGATCATTCCATATGTCGTTGACAGGACCACACATGTTGTGCAGAGCAAACGTAACACAGCCAAAGGCTTGCAGGCGCTGGTCAATGGGAAATATATCGTCGCGAACTCATACATCGACGCACTTGTCTACGCTGCTACGCCGAGTGATTTAGAAAATCTAGAGTCATTGTCACCGTTAGAGGTCGATTTCGACTCCGCATGGCCGGACCCAACTGAGCACCTTCCGCCGCCGGGCAAAGAACTCGTCCCCAGGCCTGCGGAGTCATTCGCACCAAACCCAGATCGTGCGAACCTCTTCGAAGATTATACATTTATTTTTGGCGATGCCGCACAATTTGAAAATCTACAAGACCCCATCACGAATGGGCATGGGAAAGCTCTGTTATATCATGTTGAGAATGAGGTCACTACAGCAGATGAGATCGTACAATTTATGAGAAATGCAGCTGGTCGTAAAGGTCTTGGGAGTCAAAGAGGCAGCCCCGGGGGAGTTGTTCTTGTTCGATTTCGTGCGAAGGGACGCTACGAGGAATGGTCTATCGAGTTGAGCAACCAAGTTGCATTGAAAACCGATCAGCGTGTGATTGAACAAGGCGAATTTCTTGATGCAATATTAGCAAATGATGCTTCGTCCTTGTGTCGCACACTGCCCTCACCTGAACCTACACCAAGTCAAGAGGGAAGTGCGGCACAAGTATCACAAGCAGCCTCGACCACGCCCACTGAGAGCGTCCAAATAGCCGATTCCCAGCTAGCTGAGGAAACCAATCAGCCAACTAAGGCGAAGCCAAGAGGCCCACGCGTGCGCAGCTTTGTTAGTAAAATGAAAACATTTGATGATGGTTTCGACATTAATGCCATTCCTGCTCATCCTCTGGACGAAGAGGATGTTGTTGAAGATTCGCTGTCGGCTATGGACATAATGCCTTCATCCGGGCAACAGTCACAACCGCGCAGCAGTTTACAGGAGGAAGACGATGTCCTCTCTAACCTTCTTCCAGGAGCCAATGCAATGAAAAGACGTCGCCCCCAAACGATGCCGAAAGCCTTAGGTGATTCAACACCTCGTCCGAAGGAGGAAGTCCATCGGCCCAAACGTCAGAAATTAGACGTGCTTGAGGCTGCTCGGCAACATCGAGAGGCAGAGGATGCTCAACGTCAGCGCCGGGAGGAAGAAGAAGCTGAGCTCCAGAGCTCTCTGAGAGACGTTGAGAACCTAAAAGGTCTTGCTATTGTGGAAGAAATGGAAATGCCGGTCCGAAAGGTTACTGATGAGGATAGCCGGTGGGATGAGCAATGGAACGGACGCAAGAACTTCAAAAAGTTCCGCAGGAAAGGCGATCGCAATCAACCTCGCCATCGAATACAAGCGGTCATTGTTCCCCTGGAAGAAGTGACACGCAAGGACTTTGGCATTGGAGAGCACTACTGGGTTAGCAGTCGCAAATCTGCCGACCACAGTCAGGCAGAAAGTCGCCGAGAGTCTACTGTAGTAATTGAGCAAGACACTGAAGAGTCTCGATCTCAGTCTCTCGCTCAGACGAAGTCGGAGCCAACAGCCCCTCGAAGCCAGAAAAGGCTTCGAGAGGAGCGCGAGTCCGATAGTGATGATGGACTTCGGTTTCGGTTCCGACGTAGGAGATAGGAACAGGTTTTTTTGGCTATCGTGCAAACCTCAATGGTCCCTATTCTCTCTTGTAGGACGCCCAAATATTGCCAGGTTCAGTTATTTCTTCTCGCCTAGTAGCCGCTATAAGAACCATACCACCCGCCGTGAGAGTGCGAACGTGTTACTGGGTTTACATGTCAATGTTGGACACAGCATTGATAATATCTCTCCAGCGATATTCCTTCTATCTTCTTTTCTCTCCTGCTAACCCTTTCCTCCAGCACACTCTTACCCCGTTATGCGTGCTCGGAAGTATACGCAACGACAAAGATACTCAATACTCACGACGCTAGTATAGGTTGCAGCAAACGCTGATGTCATGCAAACATTTTATTGTATGCCTATCTAGTCAGATGTTACTTCCCCGGTCAGAGAAAGCCTGGAGTTCAGCGATGCTACTATCTTTGTTTTGTACACCAACCGTCCTAACAGTCATCCTTCTACCCAATCCACCTCGTCCTCGTTGGTTCTCTGTCATCTCCTCCAACCGCAGCACCATCCCAACGGCCTTATGATCTTCAATGAGTTTGGGACGTCGCTGTGCAAAATACCGCGCATATTTGAACAAAGACCAATAACAGCTAGCAACATTTGTAAGACCGATCAGAATTTTGTATGGCATCTGCAGGTTAAGGTGTTAGGATAATTGCACGGATTCTGGCCCAGAAGGGAACATCGGATGACCTACATAATACCAAAGAACAATATTCAAACTTACTCGCTCATTCTTCAGACGCAGATGGATCTCGTTGAAGATAATAGCATTGAGCAGGTATAGCCCCAAAGTTGCCAGCAGGAGACCAATACAGAACACCGGTCGGACGATAAGCGAAATAGGGAGTATGAAGGGAGTGAGCACGTATAGAAGAGTCTCATACACCTGTAACACTCAATATTAGACATGAGCTACTGGACCTCTAGAGGGTTGAAGAGGTGGCTACGTACCTCCTGGATGACGAAGAGCTTCGCGCCCACTTCCCATTTACCCAACTTCCAGGACCCAAAAATATAGGCCAGGTTATACCAAATCCCGTTGGCAACGAAGAAGTTCCACCTTAGAAATCTCTGTTTGAAGACCGTTGTCTCACCGAAACCACTTCGACTTTTATCCTGATTGATGAAGAAGAAAGCAGACGGTGTTGAAGTCTCTACAAAGACAGCACTGCACATCTGAATCCTTCCTCCAAGACGCCGACAACTGTTTCCCATGAACCAATCTTCACTGATGGAGAAGCCAGGGTGGTGCTGAAGGGTTTCCTTCAAGAACGCTCTCTCCCATAAAGAGATAGCCCCGTGGGGGAAAGTCACACTGCCAATACGCCCGGCAAAAGTTCGCTGTAAACCAGCGAGTTTATATTCTAAGTCTTGTGCCTGTTGACAATATGAGCCCTTCGTGGAGTCAGGACTTACTGACTTAATCGTGTACCCGATACAGCGCACTTTATCGGTCAATCGGGAAACAACGACAGGGAAATTCGGGGGTAGGATGCAATCATCGTCAATCAGAAGGACGTGGCGAAAAGATTTAACTGCATGGCAGCCAATGAAGATCGCGACTATCTTAGAGCCAACGGGACACCAGATGTGGTTGACGCCGTAGGTTCGGCACACCTCCTCCGTATTGTCTAGGGGAGTCGGGGAGTCACCGTTGGCGATCACATAAACTTGCGAGGCCGTGAAGATATTCAATGCAGCCTCGAGAGTTCGACCGATGATAGGACCCGATTTGTAGCAAGGAATTAGGAGAGCAGTGTCTGGGGCAGTTGGGCCAATATGGCGCATTCGGTAATAATCCGGTCCGGGGGAGTCATCCTCGAAAGTGACGAGGAGTGGTACGAAAGAATATCTGAGAGGAGAATCGTGCGTGAGTGGTGCGGCCCTATATCCCTGAACTCGAGATCGTCCTCCGCAATCTTGCAAAAGAGCAGCAACTTACAGCACAAGCAGGATGATGACAATGGCCCAACCACCGGGGAGTACGAACTTGTGTTGCATCACCCAATAGAGCCAATATACTGCCCCTTTCCATAGGGGCACTCCGACAAGAACGAAGTATACAAAAACAGCGCCAGCGGTGTATGCTCCATACTCGATTAATACGCGGATCCAATACTTCCGCTGGTGTTTTATCTTGACAAGGCTTGCCCTGTTGTACAGACTCTTCAGACTGCCCACCCGTGATGCTCTAGATATCTTTCTGGCTTGGTGAATGGGCAAAAGCGACTGGCCGCTAGGTATTTTCGATGATTCTCGCTCGTCCCTGTTTGAAAGATGGTTGAGCTCTAGTGTCTGTGGAGGACGGATTGAATCACTCCAGTGAAGGTGAAAACTAGAGTTCAGGTTCCGAAGACTTTGAAGAAAGCTCGGATGTTCATCTCCTAGATGCAACTGGTTTCTTCCCTCTAAAGCTGACGAATAGCTTGTTGCTCGCTGTGGAGTATCCCGTGGGTCCAACACCTCAGTTTCCCAACTTGTTGTACGCTGGTTCCTCTTCTGAATATAAATATCTTGGGCTGGTTTGCGAGTTTGGTCGCAAGGAGAGCTGGGCCTTTGAGCCCCTTGGGCTGTGCTCTTTCTTAATGCTGCGGAGATCAAAAGACATTCTGGGATGAAAATGTCTTCGACAAATGGCCGGTCATCAACTGAAGGCATATTGCGAGTACTGCCTTTGATCGAGACACAAAATATCGCATGTTGTAAGACAAAAGGTAGTTGTGTCTGAACAACACCTGGGACCAGCAAATTGGGATCCCTGATGCTCTCTATTTCTCTTTAATATTATATTCCCATGACTTCTTACGCCGCAGTGATCTCAATGCAAGCATACTTCCATTGGCTCATCGGCATCTCAAACCCAGTGAACAATGGAAAGATCGACGATTCTAAAATTCATGCATAAGGTGCTCGCTCTCATTAGCTGGACACAATTCCCGGAGTATGTCCAACCGTGAATCAGTCACAAGTTCCTCCTTACATTGTACAGGAACAATAAGTTTACCTCTCACTCGTCCTTCAAGAAGATGGGGAGGGAAAGATCTGCATTCTTGGCCTCAGGGACAGCACCGTCAGCACCATGAGTAGTATATAATGTCAATAAAAGGTAACCGGGAAATTATTCGGTGGCATACCAGGTCAAATATTTGCCGACGCTTTGGCCCCTCTTGCCTGGGCTAGCCATTCAAGGAGAGCAGGATATGCATCCATGGATCTGTGCACCCGCCATGCGTATCGCCCGCCATCTTAATCCCCCGGGATCCTGCAAGACGTTGTGGGGTCGGCGATCTCTTTTCTGTCGTTTCCATCAAGGTTGAGGTTCAGGGGACCATTGCCTGTTAAACATCGCATCTACAGTGCAGGGCTACTCAAAATTACATTCTCTATTAAAATCAAAGCAAAAGAAATTTGAAAAAGAAAAAGAAAGAAAGAAAGAAAGACAGTGGGGGGGGTGGGGAGGGAAGGGAAGGAGGATAACAAACAAAAATTCAGATTGCACATTGGTCCAGTTCAGTGCCCTAAGGCATCTATGAACCTCCTGCTTAATTGTAGGATCTCTTGCCTAATTTGTACCTAGGCTTTGAGGAAATACCTTGTTTAACTCTTCGGGATACATGCATGCTTGACTCTGGCGCGTCCCGAACAATTGGCAATTCCCACTCAAGCATGCCAGTCGCAGGTTTTATCCGCAATTCAGTCCCAGCTGTGCAATCAGAAGTATATCCGAGTACTTCGGAAGCCAAAGTATTCCAAGCACATGTATCTAATAGTGGAATTAACTTATTAACTTGCAGTTTGCAAAGTTCAGGGCTGAAGCTTAGATATGATTAAGTTACGCGATATCGCAACGAGCCGAGAGCTTGTATTACTTGACCGCGATCAAGGACAAGATCGCAGCTCGATATACAAGGTAATACTTATTCAATCAGCCTTGAGTAGCAAGGCCGGAGTAAATCCCTCATCCCTCATTCTGGTCCGCTTGCGCCAACTCAGACAGCCCAGAGAGTACACCTCCAGGTGCAACATGATCACCTCTTAATTTTACAGCACATGAGCTTCGAGTCATGTCCATATTTTCATGTCAATCATTCACGATCAGAATGATATCCAGCCCGGATGCCACTCAGCACGGCTTCTATCCCTGCATTCTTGTAGTCAGGCTCGGAACCTGCCGAGTCCCGAATCATGCAAATCAAAGAGCGCAAGTGCCAACTGTTCTTTTTGGCTAGCCTATTCCAGTCTGATCGACATACATCTCGTTTCTTCGATGTATAGATTCCAGTTTCCCTTGGCTCTTCTGGTAAATACATACAACGCCGCGGGCGAACATACCAGCACCAGCCTAGGTTCCGACTCCTCTCTCTCCGAAGATCAAATTGAAGCAGAGCCGGTAATTTGTCTATGCGAACATTTCCAAAATCATCTGTCACTTTCTTGTGTGTTTCTTTAACAATTTGTGAAAATAAATCATAATTACTGTATGCAATGCAACGAATCAGACCAACAATTACTCTCTGTACTAAGTCAGTGAATCCTTGGAATCCGGGTGATTTCTCCCCCCTCTCCTCTTAGGTCGATCTACCCTGCCATGGGCATACTGGAATAAGTATCCCCATAAAGCGGGTACTAGAGATTTGTCGCGGGCGGCATATGATGATGTTGCTGCTTAACCAGACAGTCTCAATAGCTGCTTCGAGTGGGTAATAACTCGGGAATTTGCGGATGATGTCTGTCTCAGTTGGAGAAAGTGAGCTGGGAAGGGGGAAACGTGTCTACTTTGTCGAATTATATATATTTCTTTTGTAGACTATGTACTGTTGGAACGGTCTTCTTCGTTATGAAACCAATTCGCTCCTGTGGTATAACGGAATATTACTAGGGGTTATCAATATATATATATATATATATAAGCTACAGAACGATATCTTGAGTTGGGTCTTGTTTACGTAGAAAGGACTCCGACCTTCTACACCCCTCATCCTTGGCAAGGGAGGATCAAATCTAAGACAGGCCTAGGTTCGAACACATATATGTAACTAGTTAAGTAGAACGAGGGCTTATGTAACCTAGGCTGACCGTAACTATTCACGATTAGGTGGCGTAAAGTAAGGGGAAGGAGAAATTAAACAGAAAAATGTTGGGTTGAATTTCATGTATTCTTCGTCTTCTATCTCTTTCTTTTGCTCGAGACCTTTGATTTGCTCAGCTAGAGATTACAAGTGCAAGGGAGGCATTCCGGATTTGGTGTGAGACAGGGGAGAACTTCATATATATAGTTACTCAAGCCCTTGTTTGGGCCAAATTGTCTTTCGTTCTGAGTACTGCCGCTCATTGAAAGGCGTCTACCTTGGAAACGGGTGTATGTTGTTCATCTGGTGTTCGAATACGGGGAGAAGATATGCAGAGTGGTCTAGACCCAAAGTTCTACGAAAGCGATATCTAAATAGAGAAAGGTGCCTGCATTCCAAATTGAGTCTTGTAACCTGGCATTCTGTGCCCGCAGTTCGTCCACTGTTTCCTGTGTCTACCGAACAATAAATTTTGTTTATAGAAGGAGAATGGAAGTGTGTTTCCCGTTCCCCCTTCGGAGGCAACAAAAAGAAAAGCAAAAGAAGGTGAGACAAAATGGAAAAGAAAAAGGTATTTCCGATGCGGGGAATCGAACCCCGAGCTGCTGTGTGAGAGACAGCGATGTTAGCCATTACACCACATCGGATAGCTGTTGAAGAATGGCGTTCTTTTTCTGTTACATAATACAACCCTAAGTGACGTATCAAAACACAAACTGACTGTTTCACTGCATCCCCCATTATTTGAAGCTTTCAAGCAAAAAAGTTTAAACTTAATTAGCCTAACTCGTAATGAAATACACAGCTATTTATTAGGGAAATTTCTTATAGTATGATCGGCTATCCCACAACCACTGTAGCGCTGTGGAGCTCGTCGAGGTACTGGGTGTTAATTGCAGCTCAGAGAGCCGCCGGTAGTCGGGGAATAGCGTGCTACGGCGCCGCAGGTGGCAGGAGCAGAGGACTGGGTTTTCATTGAACGATCTACTACCATGTACAGAGGTTGACCACTGGTTTCTGAAGCTATTGGGGTGCGGTAAGGATTTTACCCTCTTGGACTTTGTTACGGGTAAGCCTTAGGCTTAAGGCCCCGAAGGCAAGTTGCGATACTATATATACCCGCGCCTAGGAAATCAACTCCGATCGAAGTTGATCATAGTGGATCTTCTTACCTAGTAGAAAGATCCTACGTATCGAATTGCTAACCCCAGGAGTAATCCTTTACAGACTTGAGCTATTCACGGATTAATTATCGTATCTCGATCGGACCTTGGATTAGGTCACCCTCTCGGCATCACGGCATCTTGTTACTGAACCTCAGTGGATTCTGACGTGAAGTTTGACTCTCGCTACGCAAGCGCAGCTCCAGCTCGAATACCCAGGCGTAACAATACATTCATATTTGCGTAGTTTTCTTAAGATATTGAATATGAGCAATCAGGCTACTAGAAAGCTTCCGTTTTGCACACTGACTATTCTATAAACTGTAAATCTTCCGATCTAGCTAGGAGTATTCTGAGGAGTCTGAAAGGCAGAGAAAATTAAGCCTTTAATTAGTAACAGTGTTAGTATATGTAGTTAAAATATAAGAGTTACAGATTAAATAGCGTTTCGGCCTGATAACGGTACAGGATATCCTGACCCAGGTACATGGACAATCGGCGACCGATGAGGAACATCAGGCCATACAACGGTTTAGTTCTCAATGGGAACTTTGAATCCTTTAGGCGTAGAGCCTTCAGCTATGAATTAGCGAATCGTTAGTAGTAGTAGAAGGTCAAGAATCCGTCTCCTGTCTGAATAGTATCTACTGTCTGCCTTTGATCCGATCTTCCTCTCTCCTTTGGCCTACGTATCCTTACCTAGTTGACAGGCCTTCTACCCTGAATAGTAGATACCCTTGACAATAAGCTTAGAAAGAAGGCGCTCTTAATTAAATATTTTAAGCTTTATCTCTATAAAATTACTGTAAATATTCGCTAAAGTAAGTTCCTTAGCACGTGTATCTAGATATGAAGGCAGAAAGTCTTCTTTATTGATATAATTATTACTGGTAACTACACGCTTTTTAGAAGCTTTCCGTACGCGCGTTTAAGCGGGCCAAACACACCAATATTAAGTGGTTGAAGAAGCTGTAAAGCATGGACAGGTGTAAAGAGACATATAATCGTATTCTGCTTATAGAACTTATCGAATGCAGCAGTTAGATAGCTGCTATAGCTATCAAGAACAAACAATCGCTTTAGTACCAGTCATATAGCGCTTAGAGTGTCACCATGCCAGCCCGAACCGCTCGTTCTGCCTGACCTCACCGTGTAGTCATGTGATTCCGACTGTTTATCTTTCCGCCTGATCCTGACCCCGTTGTAGCTTCTCAAGCTACATCTTGTCTATCTGCCTGTATATAGCCTGACCAGTAGCCAGCCTGCATATCAGCTCTGTTAGCCTGCCTGCCTGACACTTCCAAGGCTTTTACTGTCCCTGAATCTACTCTTGGCGATCGGCTTCAATGCAATAAATCACGTACAGAAACACGTGCTAATAGTTATAGACTGACCGAATTTTAAGCATCGCTTTCTACACAGTTACTTAATACAGATAAGCAAGAATTTCTAATTCCGTCAGAGTTTCTACGTAGAATAGCCTAAATACTTCTTTAAGTATATTTACAGGATTCCACTGCAGGTCTTGATATTAATTAGCTATATAAATTTGTCAAACGTTGTCCTGAACTATATAAAAGATATATAAAATCAATAACTTATCAGCGTACAAAGCAGGAAGATGTAAAGATCATAATACTCTAGTTTTAAAACTATGCAGGCAGCTATTTAAGAACATAGAATATATAAAGATAATATCAAGCATCTCGATAAGACTGTCTTCACAATGGGAGTTGGGACTCTGCTCTACTTCTAAAATTATTACTGCAGTAGAGCGCAGTGAGCGACCGCGTAGAGATATTTAGGGCAATCGTAAATAGAATATAATTATTGAAACAGTCAGTTTAAACGGCGTATATATACTACCAGTTATTACACTTAAAAAATAAGCTGCTAATAAGCTGCCGGATTTTAAGAACCTAAACTTGCTAAAGACTGGTGGATTGTAACTAGCCAGAATGGCGGGACAATAGATAAAATAGGTCTTCGCTGGCTAAAAGATAACTTGTCAGAGCCTATGGGAGCCTAAGGCAGCAACAACGTGACCTGACGACAACACCAAGGAATCTCTGTAAAGTAGATTTAGACCTTAAGACAATCAATCCCAACACACGTGAGCTACACCAGCTCTATCATATCTTTAAACCATGCTCTATGTCAGGGTGCGGACTCGGGCAGGCAGGCTAACAGAGCTGATACGCAGGCTGGCTACTGGTCAGGCTATATACAGGCAGATAGATAGACAAGACGTAGCTTGAGAGAAGCTACAACGACTACACAGTGGGGTCAGACAGAACGGGCGGTTCGGGTTGGCACCGTGACAGGAAGTGCCTGATTTTGATTTAATTTGATCTTTATTATAGGCTGAAATAGCCATTTAAAATCATGTCTCCTTTGAAAGGGTCATTGTTATGAATAGTAGTGATAAATTGACGCGTTGAATGAAGAAAGTAGTAGATGCAGTGAAAAGTCGCGGTTCGGTGGCTGATTACGTTACTCAGCCACACGAGGCTTTAAAGTGCGAAGTTCTTTATCCGAAGGCTAAGGCCGAATCACTCATGCCGTCACCTGACAACTGTTGAGACTATATCTCATTTAGCACCGTCCTTTCCGAGGTTGGCAAAAGCTTCTCAACTCTTATGCACGGAATCCTATACATCAATACTCCGCCTAAACTCTGCTGTATGCATCTCCCCCCAACCTGTCCGGATATTGGATCATGGGTAAATAGAATTCCCTGGGTTAGCTCAGCATCCTTTTTGACACACCGGTGTACGGCATACTCGAGGTTTTAAAGGATCAAGATCTGTGGCCTCGGCAAGGTTCCGATGTCAGTGGGGTTAAGCACTCTCCCCGGCGTCGGCATAGAGTCCACTTCTGCGAAATCCCGGGTAAATTGGACTCGGGATATTCGCTTAACAAGAGGGCCTCTTTTCTGGATCACGCCCTAGTCCCCGCCAAGCCGGTCTTACCCCTGCGAAATGCCCCATGCGGTGAAGGTGGTGGTTTACCGGGAAAGCCCTCAGCACGGCGGACGGACAAATCAGGGACTCTAGGTTGGAATACCCGAGTCCACTGCATTGTTGGCCGACTACCTAGGTTATCAAGGACTTCGTCTAGCAGCCACCTATGGGGGATGACGTAGAAAAATGTGGACCGGGTAGAGGATCACACGCCGCTTCTGCATTGAGAATATAAGTATGATCGCTGCGGCTGAACGTTTCGTCGCGGCTAAGAGGCAGAGCAGTCTGGGGAAAACGCTTCCCCGGCCGAAGTTTCTGCATGGGGTCAGTCTGCATCGTAATCCTCCACGCATCGCAGGCCCCTGAGTCAACCCCATGGTGCCCCAGTCTGGGGCGGACCATGACGGAACTTGTGGAGATAGCTCGAGTGCAGAATCTATCCACGTCTATTTAGTTTCTAAAATACTCTCTGGGCCCGGATCCAGGTCTCACTCATATTTGTAGAAAGACCGCTTGCTCCTTCTCTATCCCACACCACCCCGTGTCGAAGAATCTTCTCTTTCACGCGCTCCCTCGTCTGATTCTTCGGCACTTGTCCGCCGCAATGGGCATTCTTAATGTTGTTGAGGATCGTCCTACTCCCAAGAATGTCTACAATTGGCGAGTGTACCTGCTCGCAATCATTGCATCATGCGGTTCCAATATGATCGGTTACACTAGTGCTTTCATCGGCACGACCATTACATTGGAATCCTTTAAAGCGGAATTCGGGTTGGACAAAATGTCGGACGCGAGGGTGGATTTGATTAGTGAGAATATTGTCTCGCTTTTCATTGCCGGTGCCTTCTTTGGGGCATTGTTCACGTATCCCGTTGGCCATTTCTTGGGCCGCAAATGGAGTTTGGTGATAGCGTCAGCCATATTTACGCTTGGGGCTGGTCTTCAGCTGGGCGCTAATCAATCCCGCGGACTCGGCATCATGTATGCTGGGCGAGTCTTGAATGGACTCGGTACCGGTGTAGCCTCGAATATTATCCCGATCTATCTTTCGGAACTGGCACCCCCGGCCATTCGCGGGCGACTTGTCGGTCTCTATGAGCTTGGCTGGCAGATCGGTGGTATGGTAGGATTCTGGATTAACGTGAGTGCCACCAGTTCTCCACAGCAAACCTGTCGCAACTTCTTTCACTTTCCACGCTCGTAGACATAGCTAAACTCCAGATTGATTCAGTACGGCGTTGAGAGAAACATGGGCCCTAGTCACGAGCAATGGATGATCCCTTTTGCCATTCAGCTGGTCCCAGCAGGACTGCTTTTTGCGGGTGCCCTATGGACCAAGGAATCTCCTCGCTGGCTCTTCCTCAAGGGCCGTCGACAGGAAGCGATGCGAAACCTCTGTTGGATCCGCCAGTTGGATGAGGCAGATATCTATATTACCGAAGAGGTGGCAGCGATCGATCAAGCTCTTGAAGAGCAGGCAGCTACTGTTGGAATTGGATTCTGGAAACCCTTCCAGTCCATTGGTACACGCCCGATGATCATGTGGCGCCTTTTCCTGGGCTGCATGTTGTTCTTCTGGCAGAACGGGTCGGGGATAAACGCAATTAACTATTACAGTCCGACCATCTTCACAAGTATTGGCGTTTCTCAGGATACAATCGGCTTGACCACAGGTATGTTTGGCGTGGTCAAAGCCGTCATGACATTTGTCTGGCTGTTGTTCCTCGTCGACCAATTGGGACGGCGGAAGCTCCTTCTGATGGGTGCAGTCACGGGCTCGATCTGTATGTGGATCATTGGCGCGTACATCTGCGTCGTCCAGCCCGAGGAACATCCCACCGATAAGCTGAATGGCGGCGGCATTGCAGCCATCTTCTTCTTCTACCTCTGGACGGCAATCTACACGCCCACATGGAACGGCACGCCATGGGTCATTAATTCGGTAAGTCCAAAATAGGACTCCCGATTGACACAGAATGAATTTACTGACAAGGGTGGGATAGGAATTCTTCGATCCCAACATTCGGTCCCTGGCTCAAGCCGCAACTACCGCTAGCAACTGGCTCTTCAACTTCCTCGTTTCGCGATTCACGGAGCAAATGTTCGCGAAGATGCACTACGGGGTGTACTTCTTTTTTGCCTCCCTCTCCTTCCTCGCATTTTTCTTTACCTTCTTCCTCATCCCCGAAACCAGCGGCATTCCGTTGGAGGTTGTGGACCGGCTCTTCGACGTGAAGCCAGTCTGGCGGGCCAACGAGACGGTCAAGGCTCAGATGAAGGAGGAAGAAGAACGGCTCCGATTCGAGATCAAGGAGGGAAACTTTGACAAGAATGAGCAAGAACATGTGGAGGATAGCAACGCCGGGACGCGGCCATAAGATTTATTTTCACGATAGACTTTTTTTATAGACTTGTATATAGAATCTGTGCTGGTGCTTTTCTACAGAGGTTGCTCTTCTTTTCTCTTTTCCTGATGTTTATTATATGTTGGCGATATTGTAGGTAATTCGAACTGTTATCGGTGGAGCTTGGGAGTCTATACGAAACATTGGAGGTCATCTTCATAGGAGAGTTCATCAGACAAGAGAAATTTCAAGGCAATATTTCACAAGGAGCACATGAACAAGATTCCTAGTACTAGTACACACGGGGCACGGCCCTCACCATGGACCAGGACAAGATCTTGTTCTGGAGTGGAACGGATGGAGACTGATATAAAGTGTGGGTCCTCTTGAAGAAGCTTATTTGTTCGCTTTTCCAGGGTACTTCTTGTTTCCTTCCCTGTTGTTGTTGATCAATATCTGTATATATAAAGAGTTATTTATATATAGAGTTTATGATTGTAAGAAGGCCTTCCTCTTCCCTCTTGGGTTCGTTACTGTGAGGGACGGGTACAAATAGTGGTGAATAATGAGGCCCTTGATTTACTCGATTAGGGATGTTTATCGGGGGACCAAGCAGGAGAAGTCTATTATTAAGAAAGAAAGACTAGGTTACGAGGGTTGGGGTTTTCAAATACCATACAAGTACTAAGTAGAGTATCAGCAGGTCTGTCAGGAATGAGGATCCTATTGGTTCCAATGAGGGAAGATCACCATGGAAATCAGCCTCGTTAATTATCACATCGCCAAATTATGGACAAGTCAACTGATCCCGTGGTATTGTACAGTAAGTACTAATGAGGTACCTGGTCCCTTATCACTGACCCATAAGAATACGACTGTGATACATCGAGGGGATGATGGCATGATCGTCAAAATGGAATAACATCCGATTCCCTGGTCATTGAATTTCAATACGGTAACGGTTCTTTTTTTAAAACCTCCGTCTCAATAATTTGTCCACCTGAACAGACAAGTTATTTTAAAGATCGGAAGTTAATTTGTGTCTCCAATAAATTTAACAATGAAAAATCCCTGGTGGTCATTTCTTCTTTTCCTTTTTCTGCGTTTCCTTCTCTTTTCCCCTTCTCCTTCTCCTTCTCCTCCCATTTGACTACTCAGTACCGACTTTTACTACTGAACTTCTTGAAAGAAAATAAAAAAATATATAAAAAAAAACCACTACTTCTCTTCTCTTCTTCACTCCCTCTACTTCTGACTACGCCTGGACGCGACGGATCCACTTTCTTCCACGTTATTTATTTCTTATCACGCTTTTATACCATCGTCATCATCTGGAACGCTGCCTAACGGCCTGATTGACATCGATCTCTTGACTTCTACTTCTTCCCCTCTTTCCTGCGCGACGACTGATAGGTAGACACGCATTTCCCCTCGCCTTTCGCCTTGCTCCGCCATGGACCACGCTGGCTGCTCTTAAAACTCATCGGATCGTCATTCGCTTGCCTGCCAGTCACTATTTGAACCCATCGATCGTGAACCGACATCTCTAATCACTGACTTCCTCCTTCTGTGACTTCCTCTGACCTGCAGTATGTTTCAGCCGCCGTCCATTTTTGCTTCTTTCATTTCACTTCTTTTCTTAATTATCGCGGGTAGATCATTGCTCTAGACGGTTGTATGCTGACACCGAGGTTAAAATCTAGCATCTTTATCCTCACGATTTTTACGAACATCTGAATTATTATTGTTTGGCGTTATATTGGTCCTTCCCCGTTACTCGATGCCGTCCGAGTTGGTCATCCTCCCACCCTCGTCGCCCCTCATGATTTCAGCCATCCCCCCCCCACGTCCAGTCTCCGTCAATTCGCTGGCGAGAGCGTCAGTCTCGTCATCCATCCCATATGCCAAATCTATTCGTAGTACTAGCGCCGAGTTTCAGCTGCCCGATGGCCCCATCGCCCCTCCCACAGTGCCTGGCCAGCTGGCCTGCCAGTCCCCTGTGGATACCGACATGGAAGATGTGGAGATCATTGTGGGTGCACCGCGACCTCTTCGGTCCGAACTCCAGTTCCAAAATCTGCCCGTGGAGATCCACGAAGCCGTGCTGGACTATGTATTCGGCGAACGTGCGGCGGCTTTTACCATCACCGGCCCTGGAAAATCGCCTGGTCGAAGCTGGAATAAATCACTCCGTCATCCGCGACGAAAGGTGTTATCGAACCTGGCATTGATTTCGCCGGTGTGGAGATCGTTAGTGCAAGATCGCATTTATAGACATAGTGAGTTTGATGACGACCTTGTTCTCTTGACCATCTGTCTGACCGTGACCAGTCAAGATTAAAGGTACAGCCGAGGAGCTAGCCGAATCGGCGCGTTGGTTCCGGGCACATCCCCACTTGGCTAGCTATGTCCGTCACGTCGAGATATGGATCCCCGTGTGGGGGAAGCGAGCAATTAAGAATAGCTCGTCCCAGATTCCCGCCCGGAGATACAATGATGAAGACATGGAAGGAGGTGCGGTCCATAATGCCATGGTATGGGACGATTCGGATACCAATCATGGTAACGACTACAAGTACCACTATGCCAGTCACAATGCCACTTTAGAAGAGATCTTTCACCATGTGCAGGCTTGCTTTCCGGAGGCCCGCATTCTGACCCTCGAAGGAGGCCACTGCAAAAAACCGCCGATGGTGCGTCACTTCAGGAGCGATCCATGCGGTTTCTCCGACCAGCGGCTGCCAGTACTGCCGGAGATTCGTTCGTTTGTGATGCGTGGGGCGTGGAACATCATGCGCGACCATAAACATTGGCGCAATCTGTCGGAAGCCTTGCCGGGCGTGAGAGAGTGGCATTGCGCATACGCGAAACCAAAGGTAGAAGGCTATGAAACCATCGCGGAAATCCTACGCCGGCTTTCGCCTTCCATTGTACATCTTAATATTAGCCTGGAAGGATTCTACAGTAAGGATAGCTCGCAGACCAACTGGCTGGGCGATGGAGCCAATCCCCCTCATCTATGTCGCCTACTCGGAGAGGTCATCCCTCGCTTGGAGTCACTTGCGTTTACAGGCAAGGTCTGTGCTTGCCTGTTCCAACCAACACGAAATCCTCTGTCCACGTGGCCGCCCAAGGTTTCGAGATTGAGGTCGCTAGACCTTGTGGTTAAGAATTGCTGCCGCGACAAGCGTACCAGCTCGGGACTACCATTTCTAGACGATTTCTCACGCATCACCAACCTCCACTTTATCCGGGCGTTTGAGCGACTGGTCACCGGCGCTGTCCATAGTCTCAACACCCACCAGGCGCTCAACTACATGCGGGTTCGATTCATTGACCTGGACTCGGCCTGCCCCCCTCTCAACCCATATTTTCAGCTCATTGACGACGAATGCTCCGGTCTCTGGAGCGAGCGCATTCTCGACATGCTCCATGAGGCTCGACCGCAGGCGCATTTTGTCGAGTTGTCCGACGGTATTTATCCACAGTATGGGCCCAACCATCAGATTGTGGGCGCAGTATACCCACGCACGCGACCTCTGAGCATCCACGCGTCCACCTACAAAATCATCGCGGATGTATCCAAATCCTGACCAAATACCCAACCCAAGATCCTGGATCGGGGAGACCTGAAGTTCGTAGCAGTACACCAAAGATTCTGAACCAGTTAGATACCCAAAGTCCCGTGGACTTAGCAGCAGTGGATGGGAATGATAGTCCGACATACTATCGCGTCATCACAGCCATGTAGGAGTATAAATAATTGTGCGTTTTACATATAGTAAGGGAGTAGGAGGTTGAGCGATACAGCCGGAAAAATGGGATGGTGTCTTTGTGGATCTACCGAGAAAACCTTCTCGTAATAAGTTATCTACAATCAGAAGTATCATGACTATTTCATTGACACTGATTCTTTTGAGGTTTCTTTCCGGGGAAAAGGATCTCAGACAATCTCGAGAGTGGACCCTAATCCCCCCAAATCCTCGGACATACATACATACGCTACTAGTATATCCCCGAGATATTGCAAGAATGTCAGGATTATGCCCCCGACCTCCTTTCTCCATCCCTTCCACCAAATCCACCGACATGATACAACCCCCACGGGGAGGGAAGCCTCTACGATAGGTACCTTGTTATGTACAACTACCTGGTTAGGTAAGTACGTACTGTATGTATGTATGTATATGTATATCTACATATGTATGTGAGTTGGGTGTGATGCCATGATCCATACGTCCAGCGGACCAGCGTGATGGTCTCCTTCTGCATGGTATACTTCCGGATCCAGAAGCCATTAGTTCAGAAACCCAGTTCAGGCTCCAGAACCGGTATTTGGTGCTTTTCACGAGTCTAAGGCCTGAAACTTCGTATTGTTCGGTCTACGTCTCTCAGGTAAGGAAGCTCTGGTACGATGAAGCCGAAGGTTTTGATATGAAAACTTACAAGCAGTGTGGCGCGTCTAATGCTAGTAGCGCAGGCATCACAAGGCAGGATATTTTATGAAGTCCTTCATGTATAACAATTTTGTAGAGCTGCTGGCTTGAAGACAGCCTCCCTATCGCGGAGCACCGGTACTGAAGCAAAACTAATGCTAATATTGCGAGGCCTGCTCGTTCATATATTTTAGTGCTGGATGCTAATGTACAGTAACTGGAACAGAAAAAGCATTGAGTACTCCCAGGCTTAGTATAACTTGTAAAACCCTGGGTACAAAGAGACCACCGGCGAAACAAGTTATGAAGTGCTATGTCCGGCGAGTGGGCACGGTCGTTTTTATAATATATCATCAGGAATAAATAGTCAACTGTTGCTATCATACGCCGCAGCCCTTGGTGGCCATTAGTTGTAAGACCTTACTATTACCGAACAGTTTGCTTGTTCCTAGGATTGTCCAGGCTTATAGGATGGGCAGAGCCTGCTCCCGAGAGCTTAGAATACTCCCCCCAGACATAGGATTAAAGCGGAGCGAATCTTCAGAGCTTAACACACCCCGCCATATCTATAGAGAAGTAGGTATGGTAGAACGCGTAGGTTCTTGCATTCCCAGGGAAATAGAACGAATATTGGGCCCACTTTGTGCTCTTCACTATTCGTTTATTTTCAAGAGCAACAAGCTGGCTTTATTATTATAAAGTGGTAACTATATATACCAGAGACGGAATAAGGAGACAACGGCCTCTTTACTAAGAAGGAAAGCTAGCAAGCTGATGTTTTCTATTTACCGCCTATCTTGAGAATCCCATCTTAAGGTTTGTAGTGAAATTCGTATCATCTATAAACTAGACTGTCTTAGTAACTAGCCAGATCGGCAAATGTAAAAGTCTCTATATCCAGAAAAGAGGTAATTGTGGGACAAGTTTAACCTTGATGACCTCTTGTAGTTCATAGGTGATGCCAAATATATCAACAACTACATCCAATGAGCTGCTTGCCAACCTGAATATACTCTGATTGGCGACAGATTCTGGTGAAGAGGCTTGGCTAGAGACATGAAATGATAGGTGGTGTCGTTATAAAGCTTAGTCCGGCTGACTTCCTACTTACCTCTGCTGGCAGTCAAGGCGCCTACCGTGTGTAACAAGACGAATTCAGCAAATTTGCGCGTAATACTTTGACGATTTGGTCTAGTCCATGGTATCGCTAAGTAGCTCTGATTTGCCCAGTGGACCGACAGCGGCTGGGTCTGGTTCACTGCCTGACTCTCGTGCACTATATAGCATGGGTTGAAGCGGATAGGTGGGGATTGCTGCTAGCTTGCTACGAAGAAAATCAGACACTCACTTCTGTAACTCTAGTGTGGTACGTTCTATTGAGGCTACCCTACTCAGGCTACTCACTGCTCCGCTCCACTCCTACTCAGATCTACTCAGTGAGCAAAAAGCGGAGAGGGTTGAGCACTAAAACGGAAAGGGAAAGAGAGCCTTCGGGCTGTCTAGAAAATCTGGTTGGTATGTACTTGGAGTAAGTAAGCCCTAAGATACTCATACATATATCATCTGCTTAATATAATATAATATAACTGTGCCATCTAAGCTTCCTATAAACCTTTACTCCCTTGAAACACCGCGCCACACATCGCATCTACGGGAACAAGACCCGACCCGACCTTTACCACGGGGCTGGTGTGAAGGTTCGCCTGCGTACCATATTGTGAATTGCGAGGTGTATTATCTGATTCTTGCTACGCTACTTTCGTCGGGGTGTTGGGGTTATAACTCATGCTTTTGGAGATGGGGATTGGGGTGGGGAGGTGGTATCTTTGATTTTTCATTCTTATTTCTTTCTTTCATTCTTTTTGTTTTAGAGGATATACTGATTGTATATTATATCATGGAGAGGGAGAGAAAAAAAGGTCGTATATACTAACTATTAACATTATACCATATCATATATACTAATTCTATCTCTATGCACATTCATTTTCCCATGAACCCAAACACATCATATCTACAAAACAAGCAAATCATATCAAACAGAATCCGTGCTGGACCCAGCAGAGCTAGCATGGCCCTGTTCATGGCGTAGCCGTCCCCACCAAGTATGAGAGGGCCGCGACAAATGCATTTGCTCATCGGAGGGCCTCTCCTTGATAAAACCAGAGGAACTCTTCGAGGACGCCACCCGCTCGCGAGCAACATAGCTGCGACTTTGGTACTTGCCAATCCAGAGCATTTGCTCATGTTCTCGCAGATACCGATCACTTGAGAAGCTATTCAACACGTTCGAGCGCCCCCGCATACCGAGTCGACGTCGTTGGTTAGTTTTAGCGTACATTCTCCGCGAGATCTGCTCTACTTCTTCTGGGGTGGGGCGTAATGATAGCTTGGGCGGTTGGTGGCCCGCCTCGTCCTCAGCGAATGGGGCCCACTCGTCGAGTAGTGCGAGTATACGGATTTGAGCTTGGGCGAGGGAGAGGGCGTCGTTGGGTGCGACGACTTCGCTGAACCGTTTCCCCGTGGTGCGGTCCGTCACGACGCAGAAGGATGCGCCAACGTCCGTGCAGACGACTGGGACTCCTGTTAAGGCGGCTTCTCCCATGGCTAACGGTAGGCCTTCGGAAATGGACGAGTTCATGAAGAGCCACTGAGACAGATTAGCATGTGGACGCAGGTGTATTTCCTGGCAGGTAAGACCTACGGCGTCTTGAAGCACAACAGATGGATTGCCTAGACCTTTCAGAATAACGTAGTCCCGAAGCCCCTTGGAAGCGATGATCTCTTGACACTCGGATGAATAACCAGGTGTCTTTTCCATGTCTCCGTAAATGTGAAGCCGGTAGTCCTTGAAGCCCCATTTGTTGACAATCACGTCAGTGGCCATAACTGCCGTCTTGATATCTTTCACATATCTAACGGGAATATTAGTGACGCTATACCTTTTCAGTTGGGATAGCACATACCGGATATGAGAAAGCATGACTACTGTAGGCTTCTCGGTCTTAATTGTCTCGATCGGCTTATATTTCTCCATGTCAGTGATTCCGTTGACCACCGGGTCGATCTTGCGTTGGAATGACCGACGGTGCTGCAGGACGCCTTCGCAGGTTCCCAATTCCGTCTCCCACCCGGGATTGAAATATTCGGCACATGGCAGGACCACGTCCGCATGATGCTCGGCAAGGACGCAGGACAGCCGTCCGAGGTGGATGAGGGTGGTGTTGACAAATGACGAGTCGAAGGAGATAGCTCCTGACAAGAAGGTCACCATCTCCCTCAGACTGATGGAGTGGTCCCACACATGTAGTGCACATTTGCGCTTGATCTTGCAGAGCACGCCGTAAGTGGCCCCCGTGAAATGATGCGACGCTTGGAAGATATCAGGAATCTTCTCGGGAACGGGTACGGAGAAGATAAACAGATCTAGGATGGTCGGTCAATGAATGAACTTAGCCAAAGTTAAAGGTTAAGGGAAATTCGGCTTACAGCGATGCCACATATCCAACGCAGTGTCGAGCTGCACCAATGTCGGATGTTCAGCTGTTCTCCATTGTGAGATTGGCATGACACCGTCTAGATCATCCGCCAACCAGAGACTTCTCCAAGCATCCTTCACGACGTCGCTCATCCAGGCATCGTTCCAGTTTCGGGATGTTTCAAAGTAGGTGTTCAGACCAACCAGAGCTTTGGTAGCCTCTTCAATGTGCTGGCGGGTGAGCTGAGTTGTCCGAGCGCAGCGGACGAGGCTGGTGAGAATGGGGATAAAATTCTGCTCAATGTCACTTTTCCTCGTGTCGAATGATCTTTCCGCAACCGCCGAGTCGAGGCAGCTTTGGAGAACTCCATGGGTCGGATTGAGGAAGTCCAGACCCCACTGAGGGATGACCGCAAGCGATTGAACATTTCTCTCAATCTGGAACCGCGGAACTCCGAAATCGTTAGCTGCTTCGGCAATGATATGCCATCTGGTGGTGTTGAGGTTGTTGACCAAGTCTCGCCGACAAGCGGAGACACCACCAGGCTCATTGGGCCAAGTTGCTGTATCCAGAGCAAGAACGTGGAGTTGGCTGTCGCTGTCTTGCAGCTGTGTGGACAGCGTTCTCGTGTTGATTCGCGCATCACCACCTTGTCCAAAACTATACAAGTCACTCATCTTAAAGGCGAGCCATGTCCAGGAGCTGACTTCAGGATCGATGTCAACTCTCGCGAGCACCGTGTCTCCCCGTTCATCAAGGTACTTTCTTGCAGCTTCGAGTCTACCAAAGTCCCGGTTCCTCCAGTACGGATTAAGTACATGATCAGATCTCAAGAGAATTTCGTCCAGCCATCTTGTAGTAGCTGCGTCGAATTCATTTCCACTCTTCCAAGATGTCCATAGATGCATTCTGGCGCGCGATGTGGGGATGGGGTACCGCTTAACATTCAAACCAAACATTCGCGACAAAAAGCCGGTGTTTATCGAAGAGAAAGAGAAGAGTGGGTTGTCATCCAGGAAACTGCAATTCTTCGGCTTCTGCAAAACATTATACCAGTCATCCTGTATCATAGGTGGGGTAGGAGAAGGCTCCCCGTTAAAAGTGGAGGAAATATTGGGATGGAACTTGTGATCATAGGTCCACTTTGCGCTGTAGATATCTGATTCTTTCGTGAAAATGGCCTCCGTAATCCGGGGATAAGGTACCCACTTGTTCAACTTTTCCGGATGAGTGCGAGGCGGCATGCACCATGAGACCTGGATCTTGATATGCGTGGATACAAACTCGGCCCGTATCAACTCATCGTCAAATTTGGCATGTTTCCGGTACCAGAACTGGAACAAAACTGGATCCCCATCTTGCGTAGTGGACCCGGAGGCGATGTGACCCCTTCTATCGTATTGAACGACTTGGCCATTGAGCGCGCCTCTGATGCACTGACGTCGTACCGGCAGCTTCGACTTTCGTGCCTGAACGTCTGTCGAATATTCGTAGGTGAATTCGTTTGTGAGAGACCCACCACTAAACTCCTCCCTTTGGCGGAGAATGAGCTTGTCTGTGTAAGTATTAATGGCCGTCAGATGCTGGTTGCCGCTTGGTTTGTTCTCATGGCGCCCCGAATACTGGTAAAGTCGGAAGGTGCCGTCCGGCGTAGACTCGAAGAAGCCGGTCGAAGGACCGTTCAAGCTCTCAGTGATGACGCGGTTGCTCTCAATGACTGTCTTCCTGCCTTTCATGTTCTTATACAACGTGGAGACCTTTTCACGGCCATGTAACTATTGACAAACTGTTAGACTAGATCATAAAGGCAAGACAGGCCGTACATACCAAAACGAAGGGAAGGAGAAACCTCTGCAGGGTTTTGCAGAACTTCCAGATCCCATTGAGTATCAGTGTCGCCGGCCAAGCTAAAACCAAAGGTTGCCCACCAATCATGTAGTTCAGCTCCCTTTGATATTCTGGATCCGCGACGAGGGATATCACAGTGAACTTTATGCATGCTTTGACCTTTTCGTGAAGGCGAGATAGTGTCAGCTCGAGAGTTCCAAAGAATCCCAAGCCTGACAGATTGGGGCCGGATGGGAGTTGAGCACCGACTGACCACGAGTCCAAGAAAGCGTGCTCAAAATCATGGCTCGGTGGCAGCGTTTCCGCAAATGATGTTACGGAAACAGCCAAGGTAGCCCCAAGATTGCATCGTGAAACGAATTCTTCAACACCCAGAGACTCGTCGGCGGAAAACCTTGATCTGATCCAGTCCATTTGCTCTGAGGAAAGGCGACAGGGCTGCCCACAGCACCTTTTCAACAAGAAGGACCGGATATGCTGCGGCAACTTGTCCCAATCAAGGTCGCACTCCAAACCTAACAGGAGGTGACGGAGTAATGTCTTCTGCCAGTGCCTGACGGCCCACATGCGTTCGCCCGCGCAAATCTCAAGCTGGCGCTTAACGCCTTCTGGAACGGGGAGTTGCTCGTCATCTTGATCGCCTACAACCAGTAGCTCTGTTAGTAGAGAGTGGTTGTGCGATATCCCAGATTTGCATTCAGCGGTAGCCTGAACCACGGCTTCAGCGATCATTTTGCAATTCCGACGAATATCCGACGTCCACTCATTTCTGATAAGACCGGGACCAATGACAACAAAAATGTGTAAGCCGCTGTGAGTACTCCGGCTAATGGCTCGGATTTTCTGTTCATTATGGAGAAGGTGACCAGCGGAAACGAGTTCGATAGTTGTTTCGCCCCGTTGCCAGAGCTCTGCGGCTAGACTAACAAGCCCTCCTGCCAGCCGAAAAGCCGCTTCTATGCGCTCTGACTTCTTAGAGCTGCTTTGGGACTGTAGAATTTGCATGACTTCAACACCTGGATGTTGCGATGGCTGAAGCTTGTATCGTACGTCGCCAGGCAAGGAGGCAATACCATCAAACATTTGACCAAGAGTCGTCTGGGAAAGGTCAGGGCAAGGGTCGAGAGCACTACAGATATAGAACGGTGATTCGTTATTGGAAGCTTGTTTCGTGTCTGTTTCTTTGCTCGACAGTGGTACCCATATGTCGGTCATGAATAATGTGATCAAGGCAGCCGTCCATGTTCCTGAAGCCAAAGAAATGACACTGCTGTATGCGAAAGCGGGGATATAAACGTGCAGGAGGATGCCCAATACAAAGCCAATGACTGTGCCTAAGGCGAGAGGTTTTACCGCAAGCACACCGGTGAATATTTTGTTGTACTGATACCAGAGTAGGCCAGAGTAAGAGCCAACATAGGCCAAGAACATTATGGTGGCGTCGCTAGTTGCCTCGAAGGACCACATGAGGGCCAATGAGATAGCAGCGCCCCACATATGTAAGAAGAAAAACTTCCCAAGTGACTTCCAGTAAAGCGATCGTCGCGCCCGGACATTGTCTAGCTTTGCCTCTCGAAGGGAATCCAACGAAGCGATGGCACGAGAGGTAGTTCTGTTGGCCATTGTCCATAGTGGCTGCGACACGGCATCAAGGATGACTGCGCCCATGAGATAATAGGCCAAGCCGAATCCTGTCGCCAACCGGTACTTCATGCTAGACACGTTGGAAAGGCCCACGACAGACTGTCCCGTCAGCAGTGCAGTCCACTTGTCGACCAAAGCAAGAACAAAGTACAAAATACCGCACCACACGTCGGCGCCGGTGTGACGCCAATGGAGAAAGGCGTTGTGGAGCTTTATACCTTTCTGCATATCGGTCATGGTCTGGACGGAGGCTTTCAGCTGGAGGTTCCAGGTCGGGCTGTATGGTCGTGGCAGCTTAGTTCTCGAATATTTGCAGTACCACACCAGTAGGAACATTGTTGCGGGATAACCATCCGCCAATTCTCGAACGAATGGATCTGCGGTCGACCGGGTCCAGAACCGGCGGTTCCGTTCCTTCTCGACGCTTTCCTGGAGCGCCTGTCGGGGAATTGGGGTTGTGCCAATATCTTCCACGTCGGCTGGGAGGCTATTGGGCGGCCATGTTCTGAGATACCAACTGACGACATCACTGTCTGTGATGCGAGGAATATGAAGATACCAGGTATTCCACTGCGAAACGACTATCCGGGCCCCGAACAAAAGACATATCAAGAATAGATATAGGAGGGGAATGTAAACCCATGTGTCATGATGCACCCAGATCGTGATAATTGGCGAGATAAAGAGAATTGGAATGCACATCATGATAACTGTTCTTCCCTAAATATTCGATGTACCTGTCAGCAACAATTCAGGTATGGCCAAGGTATGGAGGTACACAGTGAGGAGATAATCACTGACCGATTGAAACTGGAACCCAGGAATTTGATATACTGAGAGCGCAGATAGCGTCATCAAAAAGGTAGACAGCATCACAAAGTAGAGAAAGAAGACGATTCCGTGATTAAATCCGCTGACAACGCCAATTCCAATCATGGCAAATATGCCACCAACGAAGGCAACCGCCAGTCCCGCAACGAAACGCGTAAGCACGAACATGCTCATGGCTGGGAAGGCCATCGCGTGAAGGTAGTAACTACCCCCAGAACTGATCCAACCACCAAATCCACCACAAAGGATAAGAGCAACCATTAGCGCTATTGTTGCCAAGGATTTATCGATGTTACTCATGAATGTGGTAAGATAAAGGCCTCGTCCAACGGTCGTGAGCATGACAATGTCGATCAAAGCGGGAACAGCGAAGATGCCGAGGAATGTGAATTGGTAGAATACTGATGGTTTTACCTGCTCACCCTTTGGGTCCAAGTCAATATCCATAGATGCATATGCCGTCGGGAGCTCGGTGAATAAATCGTCACGACGTGGTGGTTGGTGGACGTCGTAATAAGCACGATACTGCGTAGCGATGATCTTTCCGAGAACTATGGGTGGCATATCGAAGTACATATCGCAGCGTGCTCCCACCGCGTACATCTCTGCAAAACAGGAGGGCTGAAGCATGTCATTGTTCGGCAGGGGGTTACGGTCGAGGACTTCCAGATAGACTTCGTTAAGGGCGAGTTTGCGGAATGCACAAAAGACGGATAAGGCAAACAAATCGGCACCAGCATCAATCTGACCCCTTTGCAAGACAGTGTGGACGACGGTGGCGAGCCGAGTCAGAATTTCAAGTTCTCCATTGATGAGAATAGTTGGTAAGCGGGAATCGACCTCCTTGAAAAGGGATATAGCGGTAGTGGGATCAGGGCACCAGCAGCCCCCTTGGCGATACCATTCAATTCGTGAACGGACGAGGTCTTCTGCCGAGATCTCGCCGCCCAAGTACGCACTAGAGGCCAAAGTCCGGAGCTGAGAGAGAGAGGGGACCTCAATAAGCTGATACTCACAGCAAGCACGTATCGGTTCCGACAATGGTGAGCACTCCGTGCATTCTGAAAGAGTGAGGCGACGTAAAAACAGGATTGTTTCGGTTGGGGTAAGCTGTTCTATATCATGGACAATGCGCGATGGCAATCTCCACATCTCGGATAGGTTCCCTGTCTGTGTTGATAGCGAAAGCTCGGCCATGAAACATTCGAATCTGGAATGTCCCCTACTGGACATAAATGTGTGGAGGAGGGTACTAGTGCGATCTTGTGCCTTTGCTGAAAGGTAGATGTTGAGAGCACCCGGAGTGGAGTCATTTTCATACATACCCCAAACTTGGGTTTCCAGGCGCGTGCGGAATCCTGAGTGTAATCCCACATATACCTTGAGTGGATCTGTTTCACTACCCTTGCAGGCGCTGAGAATACCAACCAGTTCCTTCACAGCGCTGAGCCCACTAGAGCTTGCCGCGTTTGATGCTCTCTGGAGAGTGCGTAACTGTCCGGCGATACAGTGAAGTTCATCCAGCTTGACACGTTCAAGCAAATCCAGTTCCTTAACATGACGTTGTGCCTCAACTAAGTCGGAAATGTCTTTGGACGTGCAGTTAAGGCCCAGTTGGAAGCAGCCAAGCCCTGTATAGTCAATTCCGGCGGGAGAAACGGAGAAAGGGTTCGTCTGAGTGATCTCCGGCTGCGATGGCCAGTAGAGCTCGTCAACCTCAACCTCTTGACTATTAACTGGGAGCGCTTTAGTCGGAGGCAGTAATGATAGTTTTTCTGGGAGGCCTGGGACGAAAGATTGCAAAGATTCATACAGAGACTCATGACCAAATGCATCTTGGCGGACCTGTTGCGCACTGTCAGATTGATCGCTGTTCGATCTTCATTGTGACAGACTCACCGTCCCATTGGACTTCCACACATTATGCGCCTCAGACACATCGTTTCCTTTCATCCACATCAACGCCCCTAACGGTTCCTCAGTAATAGTTTTCACAGTCGCAACGGTTGCGTCTGTCAATGCAGCGTGTGGCGCGATCCAGCACATTGCGCTTCTATAGTTGCACCATTTGAACGTCCGGTGAATAACATGGTGCGATAGCTCCACATCATCGTCAACTGTCTCCCATATGGCGAGGGTCGAGCCGCCCATAGACTTTTGAGCCGCGACAGCGCGCATAGCTGTTCGCATTTCCGACATTTGAAAGTAGTTGCGACTATCACCATTAGATGCAATAGTGCCGTTACGATAGATGATACCCCTGATGCGCAACATATCGATATCACGACATTGCTGCTCGCTGATATAAGCGGGCGGAGATAGCTCTAGCCAGACATCGAGGCCGAGGTGGTTGATGAATCTCACCAATTTGTTCAATACCACTGGTTGAAAGTGCGCCAGGCAGTCAGCCAAGAGAACACCTCTGAATGGTGACTGCGCATCCTCCGGCTGCTTAAAATATGTGCGCAATGCTTCGGCAACGGCCTCTAACGCTTGGATCACTTCACCATTGGTCGCGGTATGCTCGGAATTCACAAGCGCACGCACATCCAGTCGCCCCAGAGTGTACGAAGATGTACACCCGTTTGATAAGGTCCTCAACACACCCTCTTGAAGAGGGTCAAGAACAAGGGTGTCCCATTGTCGCAATAAGTGTGCTTCGTCGGTAGTAGGAGGGTTTGACAGGCTGCCGAGAAAAACACCAAATGATTGGGGCTCTTTTGCCGTCGATCTCTCTAGACACAGTGGTTGCGACTCTCGTGATAGCCGATCAAGGCACCGTGAAATCGCCGCGGGCACCTGTGATAGCTGGTGCCTTTTCTAAAGCAAAGTTAACTTGATCTAGCGCCGAGTGACTCCCTCGGACAAGGAACGAGGTATACATACGCGCCAACTACGGCGGATTTTCCTCCCGACTAGAAATAAGATATACAGGCCTCCGAAGACAATGGTAGCTAGTAAACAAGCTGCGAGAACCTATACATTCCACCAGTAAGTAGGCTATGTTAGGGTTGGGGCATCACATGACGAGTGCCTTACTTGATCCCACCAGGTCTTGACCATCGAACGCCATCCCACCGCATCTAGACCCAAGAAGTCTGCGCCCATCGCGATAGCGAGAGCAATTCAGCAAGCGAGCGAATAGGAAAACGAACGATCTTAATTCTAGGCACCACACATTCCGGGAGCGGGGGTTCGTGGCGGTTTATTTAAATGACTTGAAGGCGATACTGACCGACAAGGCCGTCCCTTACTTGAACCGTTGTGGGAGTGTAAACTTCTAATGAAACCTACATACCCTCTATATGTAGTAATTTACGAGCGGCTGAGACTCAAAGAAGCCCAACTCAGTAGGTGGGGATTCAGTGTCGAACTACTTTTCTTGCGCTGCCGATCCATGTTCTCAAAACCTCAGCATCGCATTGGTAGCAGTGGAGAATCGCGCTAACAAGGGCTGGACGCCAGTCTCACTAAGTTACGTCGAGGCTAGCTTAATCCTACTATTGAAGGACCGGGGACTGCAACTTGGTATTTGAGGAAAACAGCACTATCGTTGTGGTCCGATGACTCGTGGTTCGTCTGAATTTCTGAGCTGGCCATCCGCGACAACCCAACCACATCCAACCCGCCCGTTAAAATGCAAAAATAGTAACGATATTTTGCAGAAAAAGAAACAATAGTTCTTTGCTGTCCTACAGGCTGACTCACTGATCAAAAATTCCGCCTCCTATTGCTGGCAACTGACTGCCCGATTTGTAATTACTCTGCCACTTCCGCTACTTGGTGGTTTAGGAGATATTCGGGCGGTGCGTGGATGCCTCGCGCACTATGAAGGCTGGCGGTCATGGTGCCCTAGATTATCCATTGGGATAATTGTCAAAGCGCATTTTACTTCCTGAAAACATGAGAGGAAACCCCACTGTGCCACTACTCTTCACGTATATTCTACGACTCAATCAATACATACATCAGATCCACGGTGGAGTCAAACTGTTCCCATTTCTTGGCTGTTCCCCACCATATGAAAGAACGGATGCTGACCGATCTAAATAGATCCGAAGCGGACTCGGCTAGAATGCGCCGATCATTTCCCACCGTTTGGACTTGGATCGAGTTCCATGATAACTTGAGTAGACTGGTCTCTGCTTTGGACAGCAGGCATCAATTCTGTTCCTTTGCCCTCGAGGCTTCCGAGTAATACGCCGTCACCCCTGACTAAGGATTTGAGCACTATTGATCCCGCCGTCGGACTGTTCCCGATAGCAACTATTGACGGACGCAACCTAAAAATGAGACCTAAGAGGCCTCGAACCTTTCCTGTACTATGCTAAGTTTCCTGCGCCATGCGGAACGTGGCGAATATGGCCATTTTGGCTTGTGAGTAGTATGCGAACAGTCATCCGCTACCCCGGCTGCAAATTGCGACATCTGAAAGCGACGCCATCGATATGATGGTTGCGCTCGATAAATCTAATCGACCAATTTTGACTAAGGCAGAGTGTACGGCGTTTTCACCAGACGAATTGCAAGCTGAGGCATAGAAAATGTCGCTACGACCGAGACAAGAGGCCGCAGAAGTTGAACCAAACCGTGCGAGGTACCTGATCATCGACAGCGCCTCGGAAGATTTCCACGGGAATTTCTGAAGTTTTAATGAGAAAAGTCTGCAGTGTGGTAGTGGCACGACTTGATCTGTCATAGCGACTGTAGGGTGAACCGCAAATTCTCGTATTATGCTTCGATATGCCCCGTGGCCTAGCTGCTTGCAGATATTTTTTTTATCCGGTGTATAAAAGAGTCCACCCGACACCTGTTGCCGCGGTACGTTGATCGCTGCGATTCGTCAAGTTGCTCGGTACCAAGACAGTCTAATTTATAGATCCGTGAACTAAAGCTGCTCTAAAGTTCCATGACTGAACTGGCTGGCGTCAACTTTAAATGCCACCTTTGTGTACAAGGATACTATCCTGATTTGCCATGGAAGGAGTGGCACGCTGACTGAGTAGTTTCAATCATGCTGGGGGGCCATGCAAGTGTTGCAGGCGTTCATTCCTATAATAAGGACCAAAGTCAGCGGCCGACAGAAGGAAAAAAAAAGAAAAAAAGAAAAGAAAAAAGAGAAACTTCACCAACGACAATTGCGATGGCTCCTCCATCAGGCATTATCGTTCCCTTGTACATCTATCCACTGTCGCCTACAACATGGGCCCCACTGTACGACTCGTAAGGACTTTTCCTTCCTTTTCTTTTCTTAATATTTTTTTATTTATTTATTTTTTTTTTTCCTTCTTTGCTTTTTGCTCCCGTCATTTGATCCCCACTGTGCGCCTTTCCCGTTGGCGTGCCGAGATCCAAAAGCAGATAAACAAAAGAAAAAAAAATACTTCGGAGAGAAATTTCAAAAAATCCTTACCCGGTAGTCTGTAGAATATCCGCCTATCCCAACCTTCATTTCGTGGTCATTGTGAACCCCAATAGCGGACCGGGGTCTTCCCCAGCCCCAGACGCCAACTATGCCCGGGAAGTCGCCAGACTCAATAGTTATGCGAACGTGGACACGGTTGGCTACATCGCCATTCGCTACTGCAAGAAGCCCCTCCAAGAAGTCTTGGAAGAAATCCAGACATATGCCACCTGGGCCCATGATTACGTGAGGACTGGTCTGGGCGTGGGAGGGATCTTTCTCGACGAGACCCCAAACCATTACTCCTCCGAAGCTGCCGAGTACCTGGCCATCTTACAGGCTTCTATCAAAAGCACGCCGGGCTTTTTAGCTCATCGATTGGTGAGACACGCCATTTCCCCCCCCCCCCCACCCCTGTCGATCAGTAATGTCACCATCAGCCCAGGGGGAAACACGGGGATGGATGAATTTTTTTTTGTTGAGATTCGCAGGTTATCCACAACCCAGGAACACCGCCTGATGCTGCCCTGGCTAATCCAGAGCCCGATCTGATCCTGACTTGCGAGGAACCTTATTCTCGCTATCGATCGAATGAAGTTCAGCGTCGCCTCCGCCAGCTGCATTACGATCGGACCAGGTGTGGGTATGTGATACACTCCGTCCCGATACATCACCTGCGCCCCTTGGTGCTGGAATTGCGTTATAGGGCAGCATATCTTTTTGTTACTGAACTATTCGGTGAGTTTTACGAGCGATTTGGGCCCAATAGCTGGACTGTGTTCATAGAGGCATTGCAGCCGACTTGAACTGTTCCATGAAGTGGTGGTGGTGGGGGCAGCGGAAAGCAGCGGATGTGGCTGGTGCAGGTCCCGGCTGCGTCAGCATTTTCTTTTCACCGACCAAGCCCTGAACGTCTTTTATTATAGATCTATCTTGGTTCTCAATATAGCAACCAGACTCCAGTGTTTCATCTTCTGCATGCGGGACCTTGGAAAAGAAATCCGTGTTACAACTCAGTGAGGGTTGTCTTTGTTTTCTTTCGTTTTCTTTGCTTTTCTTCTCTACTCCACTTATTTAGTATCTAGATTAGAACTCCCGAATCCAACCCAACATCCCCGAAGCCAAGCTTCAAGTCCAAAATTCTATTCACAACTAACTTCAAACAATTCCCTTGTGACCACTCTTTTCGACGTAACATATACTACATAAACTACGAAGAATTATCCCCCATAACCCCTCTCCCCCTGATTCTCACCACCAGAACCACCCTTCATGCTAGGGGCAAGCGTTCGTTTCACCCACCGAACCACAGTTCGGTTCCTCAGGAACAAAACAAAACAAAAACAAACAAACAAACAAACAACTCTTCACAGTTGAAAGCGGACCCGCAGATCCACTATCTAGATATAGTCTACCATAACCATTATCCACCATATATTTGCCCAGGGCTGCAGACTGATGTGAATCTAAATCAAGATAAACCCATACACCCCGGCCATCTCGTGCTGGGTATCCGCGGCACTAACAATAGACTTCCAAATTTAGGTTAGGAACCTAAACAGGGGGGACAAGGGCGGTTGGAGGCGGACTAAGTCAAGAATGACTTGCAGGATGCATATGACTTGGATGGATTTTCTGGAAAAGGGGGTGATCATGCAAGGGGGAAGGCCAATTGGGCTAGCTAGGCTTTTGTGGGGGCACGTTCTTGGGATGGTTGGTTGTTAGGGATTGGGTGGTAAATTTGGATATCTTGCAGGTGGGTATCTTGTTCTTTGCATTTGTGAGGGGGTGTTTGAAGGGTGGTTTGTTTTGTGAGTGGGCTTAGGGGTGCTGTGTGTCTGTGTTGTGTGCTGTGTTGTTGCTAGATTTAGCACGGGGCCCCTTGCTTGCTTGCAGGTGTCTGGTTTTTGTGTTTTTGTGTTTTTTTTTTTTTTTTTTTTTTTCCTTTCCCTTAAGGGAGGTGGTGGTATAGAGGTAGAGAGAGGCGCATGGTGATGGGAATATTGTTTGCATTGCCGGAATGAAGGGGGGTCGCCGACGGTTGAAGAGACTCGACGGCTTGTGTTTTTTTCTCAGAAGGACCTGAGACTATGTAGGTGTGCTATTGCATTCGAAACTGATGAAGGGTAAGAATGAGGTGGGTAAGATGTGTTTGTGGATGAGGCATTGTCAGGGAAAACTGCAGAGCAGCATCATTGTGAGTTAGTTTCATGATGCTGGAGCCACGGTACGTCTCATGGCTGATTTTATCCCCTTCCTATTGCTAACAAGCGGCTAGTTCGCGAGGAATGATGCTAGGGAGTTGAACCCGAACCATGTTTCCTTGTAAATACCTATCCGTTCATACAATGAATGTGACATCAAAGGATCCGCTGGTGTCTAAGGCCGGGCTGGGTCATCGTTTGTGAATATCGTTGTTGTTGAGGACTGTTGATGGCATAAAGCGCGCATTATACGTCGAAAGGCCATCACGATCGTTCGAATTCAACCTTTTGTCATTCCTGTGTGTTTGCGCACTAGACCAGCCATATTGTCAGTATCATTGGGCTCAGAATCTCGGACTGTCACTCCTCTTCTCACTGACATCGTTCTGGAATGTGTCAGTGCTCGCCTTTCTTTCAGGGTACGTGAACCTTGCCCCGTTCAGCTCCTATGTTTTGATTAAACAAGAAATATTCCAATGTCGTGATCCAGTAGGTTACAGCGTCAATACCATATTGCCTCCCAGGCTGAGATAAGTCTAGAAATTGTCAAGCTGAGCTTGGTCTCCATCACTCTAGAGACTTGGAAGTAGATCATATTGTACAGGACAGTACAGAGGAGTTCTCGAGATTGTAGGCTGATCACCGATAGTGTAGATTCTGTTCGATAGTCCAGGAGTCGAATTATGATCATCAAAGGTTAGGCAAGCATGAACATGACGGTGTGGCAATGATATCTGAGCGAATCCTTTATGGTAAGGGAACATGTCACTGATTAGAGGGTTATATAGCTGAGAATGTTGCGTCCGCTTCGGTCGGCGGGGGGTACTAAGGGGGTTTTAATTATACTAGAAGGTTAGTTAGTTTAAGACCGGGTCGAGGTATCGTCTTAAAGCGTGGCTCTCGTATCGGTAAACTCCTCGCCACGGTAGGCATTCAAGATACCTTGTCATGATTGGCGCAGCTTTGAGAAATTTGGATGAATAGCTCACATGCGGAGGAAGGTGAAGCCTTTCACATAAAGGAAACAATGTTGGTTTTATTCGAAAAGCCCAGGTCGTGCCAGGATTCGGAAGACCCTTGTACACCCTGGTAGTTTTGCTTGCTATGCCACAATAGAAAGACTTAGGAGATTTCAACGACAGACTCTTAGACTCACTTTATTCATATAATGCATAGATTGAGGTTCCGTTGCTTAGGGAGCTGTTGTGGACTTCCCAGTCAGGTAGCTTACTCCTGAAGAGAATAGCGGTAACAAGACATACAAAGGCAAATAGGAAATGACAACCAATTCCCGGATCAGCCTAATGATTTGCTGGTAAGAATAAGAGTGCAATGTTGCTACTGTCTGATGGGATGGCAGGTATCAGGGGCCAAAACAAGGTTATCCTCGCAGGCGTATATGGAATCCCCAATGTTTGGGGACAAATCTCCGCGCTATAGGCGAATCGTTGACTGGAAAGTCATGATTAGGGCCGACAGCTCCCAAAACAATTGAATACATCAGCCAATCACGTTGTTATTTGTGATACGGCCTACTGTTCTAGCTGATTGCCTTGCTGGCCACAGGGAATAGTCATGAACCAAGCCCGGTCTTCCCTTTTACGAATTACGAGGTGGCTGTCAGTTCAACTGTTTGCCCGAATCTTGGGCCTATTTAGCCGCAGTATTTGCTGATTACCTTCACCTTTCTGCGATCTTGCTTCTTAAAGGTGTATGCGCAGTTAATGCAAAGCCGCCCGCTGAGGTCTATGAAAAGACAACGAGCCACCCACCGCTGATATCATATTCCTGCATAGCACATGTTTCTATATCCTCTTAATTCCCTTACACCTCTTTTCACCTTCGATAAGGCCGGTCTCCTTCGATCCCCTCTATGAATATTCTCTTCATGTGAAGGGACCTTGTCCCGCAAGCACTAAACAGTGTAGGGCGACCTGGGATGGCTTCGTTGCCTGCTGCCCATCAGCGAGTACGTGCAGGGTATCCGACGACAATAATAACCCTATCTGCTGTCGAGACGAGGCAGATTGTCGATATGTTCTTGTCAAATCACCCCACTGCGCCAATGCCAACTGGACCATGTATAGCCATCAACGCTTCTTCTGCTGTCAGGGAGAAGACCAAGGGTTTTGGACTTCACAAAAGGAGTAGAATAACAACGTCGCTTGTGCGGAGGAGCCCGGAGGGTCTTCCCGCACTATTTTAAATCCCGTGCCACAAAGTATGTCTCTGGGATGATCAAGCTCTGGGCCAATTCTAATAGATATTGATATACAGCACTCGCGTCGACAACTTTTGTATATTCGCCGACCGCAACCTCAGCCCTGACCTTAACTGTGTCCATGATTCCCGCACCTGCACCGAGAATATCGGAAATTTCTACGACTGATTCATCCTCCAGCCCCTCTGGTAGTCATGCCGGTGTAATCGCGGGTGGTGTTGTAGGTGGGGTAGCTGGTGGTGCCCTGGTAGTTGGTTTGATTTGGTATTTGCTACGGTGTCGCCGACAAAAGGAACCAGCTGCCGCAACTCCAAACCCGCAACTGAATTCTGATTTGTACAAAGAGCCGCCATTCTCACCTCAAAGTGACTATAGTGAGTTGCCGTCCGATCCCGCAAGACACATAACTCATGAGATTTATGAACTGTCAGAGAATACAAACAATCGGTAGGAAGTTTATTCATACACTTGACAAACTTCTATAAGGATATCAAGGTCCTTTATTTGTTTGAATACGATGTTGTATGATGGGAACATACTGCATCTGGAACAAATTCCCCGTGTTGTCCTTATTAGATAGCTGCGTTAACCGCGTGAGAAAATTTGTCTGAGAAACAACCTCTAATATATAAAGGTAAAGAAAGGATCACTTTTATAGCACAGATACTAGCCAACTAAGTTCCGTTATCACATTTTAGCTCCCCCGCCAAATCTTAGTCTGCCTTGCTGGTAGCTATCCAGACAAGACAAATATAACTTGTATATCTGGCCCAGGACAACGGCTGCTAGCATTGCTCATCAAGACGCATCTGATTTACATGAATCTCAGTTTTGCTTGTAACTCTCATCCAAATTCGGATTCAGGCATTTCACAACCAATCATGGATTCATGTGTGACAAGTTCCGACCAGATCCTATTAACTGACATATGCTGACGTACCACTCTATGTACGGTACCTACCGCTGATTGCTCAAGCAACAGAGACCCTAGTGGCTGAAGAAGAAATCTTGGTAGTGGCAGTTAGTCGCGATATCTCTGCTGAGAAGGTTAGGGAATGTCTGGTAGATAAAGCAGGAGGCAAGTTACGTGTCACTGAAAGAGTGTTAACACCGTCTGCAAGAAGCCTAGACGGGAGGGAACTGTTGTAACTACTCCTTGTTTACGTTGATGACGAGTTTGTAATCACAGAAGAGAACTTGGCGGCAGCGGCAGGCAACTGCAAGAGTGAAGGAGTAATGACATTGCTTCTAGCAGTCAAAAATGTGTAACTATCACGGAAAATACGGTAAATGGTTGCCATCGCTAGTCACCCAAGGACCATGAGGTCCCTTCTCAATCGACACGTGCACAACATAACAACTATGGAGGAGATACTGATCGCAGCTGTCGGAAAATAAAATGGAGATATGGCCAAATTAGACTGCGATTAGTAGAAGATCTGATTGCACGCAATCTCATTTATCAGAAACGGTTCTCTATCACGCTGCTGCATGCAGTCAGGAGCAGATTCTTCGACTACTCCGCATGAAGTTCGGTCTTACTCTAGAAGATGAGCTACTTAGAAACGCCGCTACAAAGGGGGATGTCCCTGCGGTGCGTCGATTCTGCAGTCTAGGAATCCCGCTAGATATGAAAGATTCAGAAGACAAAAGTCCTCTCTGACGGGCAGCGGCGAATAAATTAAAAATTGGTTGTGCAAGTGTTCCTCCAAACAGAACTAGTTGATACACGCGTGATCCGCCGATGGGAGTTCTCCGCTTTATGAAGCAGCAGCAAAAGAATATATCCACGTTATAAGACTTTTGCTGAAGACCAGGGCTGATCCGACAGCACCGGCTAATGAAGGCCAGACAGCTTATTCTCTCTCCAAAAGCAGAACGTTTTGAGAATAATGAGAACGATAGTTGCAAATAGCCCTTCAAAAGAGTAATTTTGGGCTGATATCCACCATTTATGAGCACGAAAAAGGAAATCATAGGAGCCAGAAGCACCGTCTGCCGTATACAGTCAAGGACGATAGGTCAGCCTCTGGAGGCAGCACTCACAAGAGATATCGGAAACTTCCCATAAGACTTTGTCACAAGCATTGTTATAGGTCCTATTTTGTTTACTATGTTACCGGCCATACAAGGACATTACTAACATAATGCAATAATTTTAAAACGGCCACTAGTGGTCTTTACCTATAGCCCTGGCATCCAAAGGACTGGGCAATAATATAATCAAGTGGATCGCGATGCGACAAAATAATATATTCACTGAGTCAAGCCCCATAGGCCACCTTACCCTTGACGTGCACAATTCTCTGAGTATTCAAACACCTTGCGCTCACTTTTATAAGCATGATTACTATAAAGCCTACTAAGATGATGCTCCCATAGAGGCCATACTCAAGGATGCCAAGCCATTCCAGCCAGCCTGAACACCCCAAAACCCGAGTACGGTGGAGCCCACTTGTCCAGCTCAAAATCCACATGCTTCGTATCCTCAAACCTATACTTCTTGAAAAAGTCATACGTTTGCGGCTCTGCATTAACAATAATAGGCACTGCCGCAGATTTCGCCTTATCGAAAACATACTTTATCAGATCCCTTCCTATACCACGATGGCGATATCCCGGCTTGACAATGATGTATGTCAGTTCTGATAACGGCATACGGTATCAGCCACCATCTATGACACATATCCAGAGTATAGCGACTGAACACTTACCATAATGATCGATGGACTTTGTGTCTTGCTTAAGCTCCGCGACTGCACTCAGCACGGCTGTGACAACCTCGGGATTGAAGAAGTCCGGGAGGTCCTGCTTGCCCGTTTCAGGCTTTGGTTCTTCTAGTTTCTGTACCGGCAGTCGTCGATTGAAGGCAAGGTGGCCGATAATTTCCCCGGAGGCTTTGTCGACTACAGTCAGCGACTCAGGTTCGGATTTGTCGATGCTGTCTACAGCGCGGAAGTAGTTTTGTCGTTGGATAGCTTCGTTGGGCCATTCTTTGAAGAGAAGACGGTTGATGGTGAGAGATAGTTTGGAGGTGTAGAGGAGGTCGGCCAGAGCGGGAATGTCGGAGGCCTGGACGGGTCGGATGGTATAGCTGGCAGTAGACATTGTTCTTGGCTTCTCTTATGGAATGGAGTACAGGGCAGTTATTGTCCCTTGGGTAGGTAGTTGGTTGTTTAGTCTGACCATGAAAGGATGCACACAGTTTAAATACCTTTTACTGATAGGGTATAAGATGTAGTTGCGACATCTGCTGACGTTGGACAATTTGAGGCAGCGAGAAATGACCTTATCTAATGTAGATATTGCAGGCATCATGATAAAATAAGCAACGGTTAGTTGAAGACGCAATTTTAGGGTTTATCACGGATAGATAGGCAACCAAGTTTGGCTGCCATGAGGCCGCCAAAATCCCCCAAGAGATACTCCAGAGAATGAAGCACGGTATTCGACGATTGCTATAATTCACCAATTGGTTTAAGTAAGACGTCGTTGCCGGATGATCTCTCGCAGCGTAGCCTCTTTCTCCGCCACAACTCACAGCCTGAGCGTGGTGGAAAGAGCCTGAACTAGCGCATTATCTATCAGTGTAAGCATAGAAAGTAGCAGTGAAGTTAAGAAATGAAGGTCATGTATTTCTTTCCATCAATTGGCGTCCATATATATCCATTCCCAGACTATAAAACCAGGGGGAAAGACTTACAATTTAAAAATACGCGAGTGTTCCCCGGATCAGTAGCAGCGTTAATTGTTGTCTTACTATAATTCCCTTTTATCATGGCTCTGACGACGCACTCTTGCGAGTGGAAGGATCAGGACAAACGACGCTAGAATGTTAGTCTTTCATGACTCTAGATGCATAACTAGCAAAAGTCGTTACATCGTTTGATATCGATGGGAAGTACCATCCTTCGTTTCTTGTATCGAATAATCACATTATGCAAAAGAAGAACATATGAAGTCGGTATTCTAAACAGTGAAATGGTGACTAGGCTTTGTCCTCGATGAGGAACTATAGTATATGTTACGAGTCTCTTCATACATTTACGACACAACATGCCATGCTAGTATCACTCAGCTTTTGGCATGCCTGCGGAGAACCTGTTGGTTGTTTGCCCATAGAGCAATATTGACGTAAGTTTGCTTAATTATCTGGTTCTCAATAAAACCTATCCGGCACGGCGGCTTGTCAGGTCCATGGTAGTTGAGGAACCGGCAACATTCAAGTGTTCTACCATTAGGACATGTATATCGCGACAAGATGGGGATTTGCCCAGGCTCTGCCGTCACGGCCCTTGACACGACCAAGATATGGCAAAGAGACATGATTGCTAGTAATCAGAAAATAAATTAAGGTATCCTACCCCTAGCACGATGCTATATTTATAGGCCTAAGCAGAAGGATAGCTATTTAGCCTAATATTCTTCCAAGATGATACCACTCCAGCTCGATCGCCAGGAATCGATCCCAAGATACCACGCATGCCACATGCGGGGATCTCCACAGATCGACAAATCACCTACTGACTAGCGTACACGGTGTACGATCAGGGCTCCTCTATAAGCAAGGGTATTAGCAGAACTATCCTTGACCTCTCCATGGTGTTTTCATTTATGGCCCTCCGATGCATCCCAGGCTTGTACACAATTCTGTAGGCGGGGTGAAGTTACGGCAGCATATATTATGACTAAATCGATCCGGCCCTTGAAGATTGGTCTTATTATAGAGATCTATACCTAACCAGACACTCAAGCATAGTTCTCCAGAGTTGCTGGAATCCTTTGAAACTTCCATTTCGGCTCCGCGGATGAATATGCCAAAAGCCGTGATGGCAGTCGATCTACGCTCTCGGTGGTAGTGTGTAGAAGCCACACATCATGCTAAATTGTCATCCTATTGGCATCTCGTGTGAGCGCTTAAATGTCGTATACTTGGCTATAAAAGGCTGCGATGGCATAACTTTATTAAATCTGTTGCACGCAAGATTATCAAGAAATTGATACTACTCACCTCGCCCGTGAGTTAAAACTTTTGAAAGGCCACCAAATCTATCCTTGGTACTTTGTACGCTAATAAAAACAATAAGCCCCAGTCAACCTCAGGATGGAACCTTCTATCACGGCTGTGACTGCTGTCTCCTTCAGCATCACCTCGATTTTGACCACCGCATCCACATGGCATATTGACAGCACTGACGGTCAGTCAGAGGCCTTCTGCAAGGAAAGCTGCGACTGCTCTTGCTTCCAACCCTCAACTGGAGGAGCTGTGGGACGTTCCGTCAATGGGATTACATGCACCCAGAGAAATATGCAAGCCTGTGGAATCTACTGCAGCTGCTCTCCTTAGATGAGGAAGGTCGAACAATAACGTCTAACTGTGCCTTTGTTTTTGTGGCATGATTGGATATATATCGGGAGTCCGTAGGTTTCAAGTGGTGCTGGTTGGCTTATATGGGTTAAGCGAAGGATGGCGATGGGGCTATGCTCGGTTCTTTGCTCCTCTCGAAAAGGTCGTGTTTCTATTTTAAATGACCTATCTTAGTAGTGCAACCGAGAAGGGTGGTATATAATTCCGAATGTGGCTACATGAGTTGCAAAGAGGACCCCACCATACACAAATTAGGGTGTCACGAAATGTTTCCTTGATATTTATATATGAAAACTTTTGACATATATTGTCAGCAGTATTCCTATGGCAGAGGTTACATAACTCTGGACCCAACAATGCACATCAACTGACTACGATGACGTCTAATCAATCTACGCCAATAGATAGTGCAGACTGCTTGAGAAAATATAACTACTAGAGTTTCCGGATGATCTCAGATACTGAAGCATGCCGGATAATATTTGAACTCTGGTGATGGTGACCTGGCTCTCATCATGAAGTACAGAAATATGGTGGACTTTACACGACGACATACATGTGTACGATGATATTGTAATTGATGGAATCCTATTCGAGCTGGTCGGTTTAGTCCGCAGGTCGACAGCTACCATTCATTACCATTGATGTTGTCTTGCTATTCGCACGATGCCGAGCCAAGGGTCAGTTGAGAACAAATACGACATCTTGTCTCAATTATGGGTATTCCTGAGTTATTTCGGGACGCTATCGAATCCTATAAATGCCATTTATGGAAGATCATGCACTGAGCTTGGTTAATAAAGAGTGTTTGTACTACTTGTGCTTCTGCAGTTCTGTCTATCAGGCCTACCATGAAAGCTACCGTGAACAGATTGATTGGTGTGGTTTCGACCAAGCCATTAAATAGCGGGTGGCCTTGCAGGACGGGGCTTAAAAGTAATACGATACGTCTCACTTCTCTCGGTCGAGAGTAGCACTATCGGAAATGCACGGCACGCTGATGTTCACCCCAGGCCACCAGAGAGCCACCGGATCAAGCTGGGCGATCCACATCTAGCCATACTTAGCCCGTTTACGGGATGAGCTGTCTCCTAATACGACAACATCGGTAGACTTTATTTGGAAAACTACGAAAGATACCTCATCCTTCTATGAGGAGACCCTATTCATAGGATTCAATGAAATTCAACAGAAACAATTCATATGAAACTCATGAGGTATATAAGGCGCGCGTTTACCAGCATAGATTCCATATCTCATCCATCAATCTCGAAAACGTCAACTACGTCCCAAAGACATCCCAAATCCCATCATCACATCATTCTACTTGAAATTAATACACCTCATTTTCTTACAATGAAGTTCATTGTCTTCTCCCTACTTCTGGCCGCTGACTCTGCACTGGCTGTGTCCTCGAACGTTGCCCGAAGCGGCTCCCTGAGAATCAGTGAAGCCCAGGCCAACACCTCTAAGATTGGCGACTCTACGATGCATTTCGTTGTGACAGATGCTAACTACCCCGATGATACTCCAACTGACTGTAACCTGATTTGGTAAGTTAGAAATAATCAATCATGAAAACCTGCTCATACTCAGATTCGTACACAGGGCGTCGAACGGGAGCCCTAAGCAAAGTGCTCGCTGTAACAACAGTCAATACTATATTCGCTTCCCCAATGGAGGCCAGGATATTGGTTCTTTCACACTTGAGCTTGAGCGCGTATCTGGTCCCATTCCGGAGAAGGGCCAAGCGGTGTTGGACCGCAACGCTCCTGGGACCAAGTGGATCTGTGTAGACAACCCCATGGATGGCGTTCTCAAGCGCTGCAACTACGACGGAGTGCTCGAAATTCCAGTCTGAGAGATGAAATGTACATGTGTTTGATTGCTTTGTTGCGCTAATCCTTGGGAGGAGGGTTTGTTTATGATATCCTCCTTAATTGTGATGTTGTCGGTTGTGATAATTCAAGCAAGGAGATTTATCCTTCAAGAGGTTTATATTGAATGTTCGACGTTCCACTATCCAAGTCCATTAGCTCAAATTCCATGCATCTATCATGTCCTTTATGTTATCGATTGCTCTCTCAGCAGCCCCTTAAGCTGGCTGTATTAGAGAAGGGTCTTGAAATAACGTACAGATTTGTTAAAATATACACAAATGACTTGTGTAGCCACTATCCTAAGCGTGATGGCGTGGTATCAACTACTCTTATTACTCTAACGTATACGGTGAGGCTGTATACTGAGATTCGTCACGAAGGCGATAGAAACTTTCAAAGAATGTGTTCTAAACAGGTTATCACTGGGCATTCCTCGTCGTGGGCCACCGGATATCACCCCACCAGATCGCCTGCAGCTCAAAGAAAAGCACACGGATATATCGCAACTCACACAATAGTTGCAACACTCCATATCCACAATGTTGTTTTACTCTGGGCTTGATGACTAGTGTCAATAGTAGCATTCTGTTCAGCGACATTGGGAAAAACGTAGGCCCACCAAACGAGATATAATGATAACTCCTGTGCAGCAGACAGGCAGGCAATCAGTGTAGTGATGAAGAACTCAAGGAAAGAGACCATAGGAAACTGGGAAAGGCAACGGCCATGATACGAAGAATCTCAGCAATTTCGGAGTTGACAATGAAACTCCCATGCTCACAACCGCGATGGCAAGGCTGGGGGGAAAGGATGGGAAGAAGAGCGACTCCCCACGTCATAACAGCGAAATCGAGAGTCATCAACAATGGAGCATAAATCGTCGCATAATTATTGCGGTGAGGGAGACCTAATTGTTGTCAGGCCCGAGAGTTTGCGGCTGCTTCGAAAGCAGGAAGGGCAATACCACCGGTGCTCATGGTGAGGTTGAATTTTGCCCAAGGAACGTGGTCTGAACGTGGTCTAGTCTGTCCCATAGTGATGGAGACTGGGATTCTCCTGAGGAACTGGGTCGGATTAACGTAGGTGGAGGGAGTGACCAGAATTTTTGTAGCTAAAGCTGATTTGAGACCATCCCAGAAACCATTTTCGCCGTTTGACGAGAGACGCTTGCGAGCTATCAATAAACATACCCAGTGAAGAGGTCATGCCTCCGCTATATACTTTGCACGGTTTTACCTTGACCACCTTAGCGTCCTTGTCTGGAAATCAAGGTGAAAGCTCGGCTTCCTGGTATGTGTTCTTAAATAAGAGGCTCCTTCCCACAGTTTGCCGCCAGCCAGCTCGTCCGGTCTCTGCACAGGCAGCCGGTTTCTGGCGGATACTACAATAACCGACTAAGTAACAGCATGGAAATTAATGTTATATCATTTGAATAGTTCCAATGACGCTCATGTACCTATAGGTTTGGGTATCACAGCCTGGCTCAAGCGCCACAGACTCAGTAGATGGCAATGTCAGGTTGAATTAAGCGCATCGGGCCGACGAAAGTATTGCCGCAACATTTTACACTACTTTAACTCTGGCCTGTACCTGCTAGAGAGCATTAATTGCTAGAGAGCATTAGTAAGGCAAAGTTCCGACGGTTCACTCATCACACTACTGAACTTGAACTTGTCTGGGGGCTGTGACGGATGACGCTTTTGGTTCATCCTTACTCGGCTTATTGCTTGCGCAGATTGAGTATGTCGAACCTGCTCAAGATCTACACGCTACCAGAGTATCGCACGGACTAATTCAGACATCGTCCGCGCCGCCGGGAATGACTGAGTCTCCCTTAGCCGCCTCTCGAAAATCCCATGATCGTTACAATTTGTCATTTTGTTAATCAAAGCGGTCGTGACTAAAACCAAATTCGTTAAAAATCGTTCGCATATCACACAATGACAGGTGTGTGCCTGTAAGCTAGGAGCTTAGTACACCTTGATAAAAGTAACTAGCATCAAAGGTGCAACCCTACAGCGGAGTTATAGTCTACATCGAGATTCTGGTCAAATAGATCCAAAGCAGGGCAATAATTTCTACAAAGTTGGCGGTTAGCCGTTCACTGATCTCTATAAATCTCTGATCGACACGTAAGCTTCAACCCTGTAGCTTCCGGTGTAAGAAGTCGATTTGAACAGCAATATTGCGTTCAAAGTACTCTCCACGGTAAATGTCAAAGTGGCCGGCGCCTTCTAGAAAAAGCAGTTCTTTTGGTTCCTGAGCCTTGTCGAAAGCTTGTAGCTGAGATGAAGTCCGCACCGTAACATCGTTTCCTGGTATCACCATAAGTAGAGGTGTTGGAGAGATGCGATGTATCATGGCTTGCGCTTCGAATTTAAGCATATGAAGCTGCGTCTGCTGGGTAACCCAGTTCTCCCATTGACCACCACATTCGTAGATCCCATCAAAAGACTCATAAGCATGCATATCAGGAAAGAGAGCGGCCGCGAGACCGGATTTGGCTTCTTCAAGATCATCCGCAATGCAGGGTATTTTACCACGCTCTCCGCCAGCAGCAATACGAGCTCGATCCTCGAATATAGCAGGTATCTGGTCCTTGAATGCTAAAGATCGTGTCTCTCCAGAGACAGCAGGAGCCTGTACCACGGCTGCTTTGATACGCTTGTCGACTGCTGCGGCATAGATGGTGTTACCCCCCGAAAAGCTCGTGCCCCAATACGCGATTCTGTCGGGGTCTACACCAGGAAGCGTGACGGTATAGTTAAATGCATCGTAGAGGTCTGTTTGCTGGAGTGCGGGATTTGATTCCTGGCGTGGCTGCCCATCACTGTCGCCCCAATTCCGGTTGTCGTAAAGGAGGACGCCGAACCCGGCCTCCTGGAATCGGGCAGCAAACGGGGGTAGTAGGAAGTGACGGATTCCCGCAAGCTAATGCCGTTAGGTTAATCAGTTCACTGAATCCGGGAGGTGGCACTGCTTACCCCATGGGTCATAATAATGCAGGGGCTCTTCTCCCTTGTTGCGTAGTGCCAGCCACGGAGAACCGTTCCATCGCAGGCACGGAACTCAACCTCTTGGCGAGGAAGAACCATTTTTCTGACAGAAGAGGTTTTATCGGCTAAGCGGTAGTAAGGATTATGCAGGCAAACATACCCATAAACTTGGTAAAGAATTAGGCGGGTTTTTATAACGCCCGTGTCACACACCTAGAGGTGGCGTCCGGCGGACTGAGTGATCCATGGCCTCGGCAAGGGCTGTTTACGCATCCTTCCTTCGCGCTCTACACCTAATACCGAGGAACCGTACAATAGGGACGAATTACCGTGGTTATTTAAAGCCCTTATTTCCAGGAAGTGAGCATTGTTTAGCACTCAAACTGGTATTCCCGGCCCTACCTACGACGGAATTCTAAGCTCCACAGTAAGCACTGGCCTCTCCGCGGCGAAGCGAACCTTGGTTTACAATCCTGATGACTTTTCAACGAACAGCCCGCGTCATTCCGGTTCTACAACTACTCTTGAAGCAATGCCTCAACTTCTTCACTACCTCTCCGGTAAGGATTGGATTGCTCAAGGTCCTCAATCTCCGGCACAAGAGTTCTTCAAGAACTATGTCGATACTGTCGATGCAAATGGCTTCAACTACGGTTCCGGTACAAAGTTCTACGCCAAAGATGCCACGTTCCACAACCAAAACAATGCGCAATACAATGGAGGGGACGAGATGTGGGCGTGGATGAAACAGCTCTTCGGAAAGTTTCGGCAGATGAGACACGATTTCATTAATGTGTACGAAATCACAAACGATGATGGAACCACAACCATTCTCTCCCAGAATGTGCGGCATATCTGGATGCCAGATAACACGACAGACAGCCCGTCCGTCAGCATTCCTCTGAGCTGGATCTGTCGGATTGGGCCGGCTGATATGGGGGGTACCTTGAATGGCTTGCAATACAAGGAGGTCTGGCTCTACTGGGACACCGCGTTACTTACGCCATTCTTACCAAGTGATGCCGTGGTCTTCAAAACAAACAATATCCTCCAGAAAGAAGATGGCCCTGTTGTGTAACGCAGATACGTTGCTGGCGCCTGGGAAAGAATCATGCCTTCAATTTTGTGTCTAGGCTATATAGTATACTCACACGCAACTATCACAGCAAGGTCAAATACCGCTTCATTCGTAGGCGTTAGGCATATTCTCCCTTAGCAAACCTTTAAGTGATGTAGAGTAGGTTTCAGGCCTTAGATGGCATCATGGTCAGGTACTGGCGCATTGATGAGCTCCCCTATAAACATGCACACCGTGGGCCCACTTCGAATAGCATCTTACACACCACTAACCGAATTATTCTGAGTTATACATATGTTAGATACTTAAACGTAGGTATCCAGGACTGACCGCCGGGCAATATGATGGTACCTGAACAAGGGTTGTATAACCCGCATCGTGCCCCGTAGGATAGGAAGAGGCGACTGAGGCGCTGTTTGAGCCTGAAGGACCAGGTTTTTCTCCCAACCCAAGCTACTCATGTGGCGCGACACCAATGGTATAGATTTGTGATAGACCTTTTGGCCAGCAGTCCACGTTGGGCCGTCAGATGGGCCTGGAAACCTGGTCCATTCTTGGGTTCCTAAAAAGGTATATGCCATTAGCTGCGTTTTGATAAAGGAGAATGGGAGGTACGTCACTTGTACGAGCTGGGTTATAATAATAGAGAATGCCAACAGCCGACATAGATTCTGGATCTTTTGGCTCAGGCGGACGACGCAAGATTATTGCACGGGGGCTGTGCAGCACTTGCTGTGAGGTGATCAAAAGGCCTCCAGAAGACGCCTGTTTTCAACAGCACATCCTGTCGGAGGCTATAATACTCACTCCTGTGCGGGACAAAGAAAGGTGGGAGTATACTGCCGCACGGTTGAATGCTGATCAACCGGGATATACTACCTGTGCCACTGTGGGCTCCTCTTCCGCAAGTGACTCCGCGATAGTGGAACTGGATCGAATAAGAAACACAGACAGTGTTAGGTGTCATGTTATCTTTATACAGTGACTTTTGATCCTGCAAGAGCGTACTCCCAAGGCTTGGTGGAAGCTGTAGGTGTTGGTTTCGCTGTTCCTGGGTTAAACATTAGTGATGGCAAGCATGCGGTAAAAGGTTCGACGGCACAACAAATGTGAACGGTAGGCACGAGAACACGTTGGACTCAGTGGTATGAGGTATTGAGTGGGCCATTGGAAGTTCCACATCGAGGAATGTGTGTGAGAAGGAATCGGCTTGAAGAAAGGTTGTTGTTTCCACTACTACCGTCACCGTGCCTACTTGAACACTTAGCCACTGAAGTGATCGCAACTTCGGATCAGGATACTGCCCCTACTACATAAACGGAGGCTGAATTGGCCTGGCGCTATCACCCAAAATGATGGTATGAGTGCTTCTCCGTCGATTTGCGCACCGGTTCTATATTCAGGCAATGACTTTAAAGGCTAGACTTTAAACTGGATTTCAACAGGAGATCCACGACAGGAGCAAACGACACTTGGCCTGAAGCGTTCTTTGATTTACAAAGCCCTCTGTTTCATGTGGTGTATGTTGATGAAAGTTAGCTGCTGCTGATCCATAGAGAATATTCATATCAAGACTCCTCATTCGTCAACCGAGCCCGCTCTTACATCTGAAGGCATTAGAAGGGATTTATATGACTCCTCTGTGGGCCTCAGTCAGGGAGGGATGCTTTGAGAGTAGGGTATCAATCAATATGCTACTGTTCGATGAATCTTATTCTGGCTGGTGGCTTTTAGGGCGTAGTTCGTGCACGAGGAACCTAAACCAAGGACCGAGCTAGGGTATCGCATAGTCTACTGATTTAATTTAAGATCCTAGATAGCTGCATGAACGCCTGGCCGAGTTACCGCGGCACATACCCTCAAAGATATTGGCATGTGTGCGGGGAATACGAGCGATATAAACGAGGCGAGCCATTTTCCCTTGCAATTAGAGATGGATGGGTGCTAAAGTCGCTAAACAAATCCTGGTTTTATGTCACGTCCCATGGCTTCAACAGCGTCCATCAAAGTCAACAGAAAACGCTTCGTGCCGGTTGATCTCTCCGGTCAACCAATTCCCCAGAGCCAGCGCTTCGCATATTCCACTTCGTCGGTCGCTAACGGCACTGTCCGCTCTCAGGCCGTGTATGCAGGATTTGTCGCTGTCTTTGTATCTTTTAACAATTCGGCCATAGGCCATACGTTCTACGATAAGATCGAGCATAGGTATGGCGAATACAACATCAACCTCTGGGGAAGTTTTATTATCACCTCTGTCTTCTTCTGGCTATGGGCAGCCATCTTTGCCACCCCCGACTTGACCGGATGGCCCAAGTGGCTGTTTAAGTACAAAACCCAGCCATTTGTGAGGGTCGATGGGCGAGCTTATATTCGTATTGCATGGATCGCTCTTCGAAATCAGATCTTTGTAGCTCTGCCTTTGACCTTCGCGGCTTCGATGAGAAGCCCGTTAATGCCAGTAAGCTCGGCCGCGTTGCCCTCAACCGTCGAAACAATTGCAACTATATTTTGGGATATCTTCTGCACGGAAGTGGGATTCTACTATGTCCACCGCGTGTTCCACTCAAAATTACTATATCCGTTATTTCATAAGCAACACCACGAATTCACGGCACCTGTTGGACTAGCATCGACCTATTGCACCATGACTGAGCATCTCTGTTCGAATCTCTTACCCAACATGCTGGGTATCGTACTTGTCCGGCATCATTGGTCGCAGGCGGTTTTCACACTCATCCTTCTCGAATTCGGTACAATATGTACGCACTCCGGCTACAATATCCCGTGGATGCCTTCAAACTTGCAGCATGACTTTCATCATTTTTCCTTTGATGAAAATTTTGGCCCAACGGGCTTTCTGGATGCCATCCACTCCACAGATCGAAAGTTTCGAAGAACGATGGAAGATGCCAGAATTCGAGTTAACGGGGACGAAGAACGGGCGAGACAACCGATCCTCGAGAACCTGGCTAAAGCCCAATAATGAAAAAGCCGGGGTACGTCTAGCCATGGATATCCTACGGTACAGAGACATGCTAGCGTTGCTATATTACTAGCAATAACGCTAGCACTTATAATGGAGGCGACAGAACCCAAGGGAGTGCAAATGGATGAAGTCACAGCCGCGCGATCCCTTGTCTAGAATTGAGAACGGAGTACTTTTGGAATGAACAGTTCCAAAGGATGTTTACATTCGCAAAATATGAAGCCGAGGAAAGATACATCATGTATTGCCGGTGGAAGGAACATAGCAATCATGGAGCTCTTTCCACATCGATGCCATGGTTGCTGTATATACTAGACTGGCACTTCACTTTCTACATTTTCTACAGCAAGCCATGGTTTCTAGGGAGCGGGACTAATGGGCCTATGGTAGCATTTGACTGCAACACTCGCATATGGAAAAGACACGGACCTAAACGGAGCTAAATGGTTTGCTTTAGGGCAAAGGTTCCCAGCCCTCACTTAAATACATTAGTCCCGTACAATATCCCTAGAATCAGTAAAGGTAGGAGGCTAACCTGGTAAAGATACTGAGGCTGTAGTAGAACTAAAGTGTAATGGTTACGGGTACAGGAGTAGTTTACACGTTAAAGGAAACGGGAAGCTCCGTGCTAATGAGTGCGATTACGGATGATGGAATTATCCACGTATATTCCTGAGGTACGCCGAGGAAAGGCGATACGTGGCGGTTGCACCCTACAGGGCCTAAGGCACGTACGGTGATGCTCTGTTACTAAACTCCTAGCTACTCTAGCATGACGGATCCACGGACCGGTGAAGTGAAAACAGGTCGTAGCGCGACAAAATAAGTCAGCCACTGGCGTGGCTTTATGTCTAGGACTCCGGAGTCTCTGCTTAGATTACTTAATAGTGTAGCTTGTGACTTAGGGCTTGTTGCGAATGTGGTTAGAAAGTCGATGTATGCTCTGAGATATGTAGAAGACACCAACTAAACACCGGCGTTACATATGCGAGTGTTGTTGGGGTTGAAAGCAACTGATATAATTGCCTTTAGTTTCATAGACAAATACCAACCAGCCTGTAATCTATTGATGCCTTAGTCCTTTAGATTTATTTTACCATGACCCAGTCTTCCAACTTAGAATCACCCAGCATGAATATCATTACACCGGTCTTCCTGTATCTAGTGCTCTCGTATAGGCGCTCAGCTTTAACGGTTGGCTTCCAGGATGCTAACCATATGTTCTTAGATCTCATGCCTCTCGCCTTCCTTTCTGCTCGTGCCAGCAGATGTTTCCCGATACACAGCCCTTATTATCTCTCACTCGCGTATAGCCGTTGTAATTGGATCTTGTTTTCCACTGCTTCAATACAACTCGTGGACGTGCCATATCTAAGCTGGAGGAACCCAAGTATCCCGTCGTCTCGTATGGCTACCACAAAAGTGAGAGGAAGGGTCTTTTAGATTGGTCGCGATGCTTGTAGGCGAGTATGACTCGGAGAGGTAGGTTAAGTCATCATGAAGCAGAAACGGTGCGAATGGCACTCTGAAAACATGCCCCTAGTTTAGAAATAGCTTCGTTGTCCTTGGTATGGCCGTAACGATAAGAAATTTGGTTTTCCAACATTTCTAAAGGGGTTTGCAGGTAGGTCACCTCCAAGAGATCACCTCCAAGAACCGATGTTTTTGGGATCAGCTTTTATAGTAATATCCCATCAGCTTTTCGCGCCTGACTATTCCTACTCTAGGCGTGCTAGTCCACCGGTAGTGTCGGAATGGTCATGTTGCGAGTTCCCACAACACCCTTTGCCCTCTGTCTGGCGAGATCAAGTCTATGGGGGTGTCGTTGGCCCAGGTTCTTGGAACGGCTGAAAGCACACCAGACTTTAGCACTCCACTTACACAAAAGGCGAACGACTATAATTGATGTATTTGGCCAGGTCACTCGTCCGATCCACACGCTGTAATTAGTAGTAAATCTATGGAATCCGCGCATGCGATTTGTCATCAAACCCATTCAACAAAACTATTCCTCGGCTAAGGATAACTCATCACTTAGTAGTTAGTTATATAAAAGTAAAGCCGGGTGCGCATAAAGCGTGTACTATATGCCAAGAACAGAAAGTTCGTTCCGTTACAGGGAAGCTCAGTTCAATATGGAAGCGCTTTTAGCAGAAGAATGGGCCAAGGTTCGTCAACAGTCACGAATGTCGGAGCACATGTCCTCATATAAACTAGGTAGAGGAGACGTTAGGATTTCGTCCACAGTTAGTGGGGGACGCAATGTCCATGAGAGAGCAATACCGCGCTCTTGCAGAGCAGACAAATGCAGAGAGCCCTTTAACCCCAAATGTGCATGTGGGTAGGTTAGCATAGGACTAGTACAATCAGTCCAAACAAAAACTGCTAATCCCATCAACAGAAGAAATCGTGGTGAACAAGAATGTAACAGTGAGGGTCTATCAACAGGTGAAAGAGACTGAGCCTGCCCCAGTCGGGGTCTACTTCCACGGCGGCGGATTTTGCTGTGGGGATCTGGACTCGGAGGACCCCTTTTGTCGGATGCTTGTTGAACGCTATTGCTGCCTGATTGTCTCTGTTGGATACAGACTTGCCCCAGAGCACAAGTCTCCAGCCCAAATTGAGGATGCAATTGCTGCATGGGACTGGGTATGTACATGACAAATCTCTCTAGCACTGAAAGAACACTTCGGCTAAAGCAGTAGTTCCGGTCAGGCATTTGGAAACGCATCAAAGTTCGGCGGTGATCCAAGTCGCTATTTTACCATCGGCCAAAGCGCTGGCGGGAGTCTAGCTTTAGCAGTAGCACATTTGCTCATTGCACAAGAGCGGCACTCCGAAATAAAAGGCGTCGCTGCCTTAGTGCCACTGACCGTCCACCCCGACAATGTTCCCCCGCAACATGCAGACAGCCATCGGTCGCACCAGGAATGCGCCGATGGACCAGTGAACACGGCACATTCCATGGCTACCTTTCTAGGTATGGTTTTGAGGATATAGCGTTGAACTCTGGTTATGAGAACTCATCTTTCTAGAATCGGTTGAAGCAAAGGAAAACGATCCAGGAGTCTTTGTTCTCCTTAGTCAACACTTGAACCTATTTCCACCCACCTATATCGCGGTCTGCGAAATAGATCCTCTACGGGATGATGGTATTCTCATGGCGAATGCACTGCAACAAGCTTGGTAAGTACTATATCGCACCTCTCCGATGGCAGGCGCTTAGAAGAGCGCACCTGGACTAATTATGCAATCTTAGGGTTCCGGTAAAGCTCCAACAATATCACGGTTTGCCGCATGTTTTCTGGGCATTTGGATGCCCTCCACCAAGTGGCGACTTCGTAGGCGACGTCCTTGCTGGGATAGACTTTATTCTCCATACGTAGTGAATATCGTCTTTGATTACTTGTCAACTCTGGGATATATACTACCTCTAAGTCAGCACACGATTTTGTTTATCTAAGGATGTAGTGCCTCTTCTACATTACTTTTGATTCATGGCAGCTGGTGCATCCGATCTTCATTCTGCAGGATTCTTTGTATGGCAAACTACCATTTAGCTCAAACAACGTGCTATGTCACTGTTTTCGCTTTAGTTGCAGTTGAATGATTCATATGTTGTCCATTACCGTTTCTACCATCTCCCTTTGTATTGCTCTGAATCTGTTCCAAAACATTTGATGTAGAGTTAATTTTGATCAACCTTAGGGGAAATGGCCCCTAAATACAAAGAGAAAAATACACAAGGTATATGGAAAGACAAGAAAACAGGAGACCGCTGGCAATTGACCAAAAGTACATTCAGCACCTGTATTTCGCCAGCCACAGGGGTAGAGCATGTTTGTGATGCTAGGCTTAGAGTGTATGTATCGACCAAAATATACGACTAGACACCAATAATTCCCGGAGAGTAGAGGTGTTCCAATATGTGATATCTCAGTGTAAACTTCGGTTGACAGCGATATATGGATGGATCTTGAACGTATTCCGTAAGCGAACGGTCTCTACTTTGGCAGTACATAATAAAATGTCGTTATAGAACAAATATTACAAATCCTTCTATGAGTAATTGTACCAGTCTTCTTTTCAATTCTACCGATTACGATACCATATGTGCGAGGTGATGTGATGATGAATTAATTTGCTTGATGCCTCATCCATCCGAGGTCCGCTTGGTGGGAAAGGGCGTATAATAACGATGATAAAACGCTCACAACTTTTGACCCATTGCCAGGTCTACCACACTTCAACCTCAAATAACTAAAATCTCCTTGTTGCAGAAGAAACCACTATTTGCCTTTTGCCTTATTTTCGTTATGGGACTTGAGTTCAAAGTCTTCTACAGCAAGCGCCCCGGTGTAAATCGATCCACACCCCCAGGCCAAGACCATTTAAAATGGGTACCGACAACTTCAACCTTGATCTACGGCGAGAGGGATGCGGTTTTGGTTGATTCACAGCTGACAGTCGAGGCTGCCGAAGCTCTCGCGGAATGGGTGGCTGCCACCGGTAAAGTCCTGACTGCGATCTACATCACCCATGGGCATGGAGACCACTTTTTTGGAAATTCGATATTGCTGGAGCGCTTTCCGCATGCGAAAATCGTGGCAAGGCCAGAGGTCATATCACGAATGGAGGCCGAGTCAGCTCCCTCCCGAGTGGAAGGCTTTTGGAACCAGCTGTTTCCCGCGCAGATACCAAAGAATTTTGTCCCTGCGGACGCTACGACAAATGATCAGATTGACCTGGAGGGCGAGAAACTGATTGTTGTACCAGTGGGGCATACTGATTGTGACAACTCCACTGTTCTCTGGGTGCCGTCCATTGGACTGGTGGTGGCTGGTGATGCGGTCTACAACAACACCCATCCATATATGGGAGAGTCGGGAACAGAGGCGGCACGTCTGGCATGGATCGCAGCCCTTGACAAGATTGCCGCACTTGGCGCGAAAGCCGTCGTTGGTGGCCACAGCGATCCCGAGGCTGGCTTTGCGCCATCCGCTGTCGCCGATACCAGACAATACCTGGTGAACTTTGAACGGACCATAGGGCAGTGTGATACGGCGAAGGAGATATACTATGAAATGCTGAAGCTTTATCCACAAAGGCTGAACCCAGGCTCGTTGTGGACTGGTGCGATGCAAGCTAAACCAAGGCCTGAGGTGGATTAGTGTATCTAGTGCTACGGCTTCTTTTGTATAACCTCCTTGCTAGTATTTGAGGAGCTTCAGTTAGCTATGTAATGTGCAACTTTGAACCTATTGGAGTCTTTATGCGGAGATGGGTACGATGTAGCGAGTTGCTGAAAGACAGTCTTAATAATTCGATTGAAGCAAAACGTGGTGTCCAAGGTGTAGCAAAGTTATGGTGAGACCTAAGTGTAGTGTTTAAAAGGCAATTATGCATTCAAAATCTCATACCCTAAAGCAGATACTGGGCGAGATGAAACTTTCTCGCCAGGTGTGGTCTGCCATAACGTTGAATGGACCCCATAACCATGATGAATGTCAGAGCGCCCATCCACACACAGTGTGCCGACGGGCTGTCGTTGAGCCTTCGCCACGTCTGCCTGGAGCCGCTCAGCGGTTGTCCTCAGAGATGCCATGGCTTCCGCTTTGTGCTCAACTTGCTGCAAGCGGGCAATTTGGTCCTGAATCTTCTCAATAGTAGACCCCATTGCTACCAGTGTGTTTTCCAATTCTGCATTTCTGTGCTGTAATACAGAGATTGTGGCATCCTTCTTAAATCGGTACTTTCGCTGCGCTTCACGCATTTGAATTCGACGGTGCTGTAGCAACCATATTTAGAACACTCCACCCGGTAATAGAGCGTGAACTCTGACCCTACCTCGGTAATACCGCGGTACCCCGTCCCTCGCTTATTCTCTTGATATCCAGTACGTTTATTCAAACTAGCGTGGCTCCTTTGTCGGTGCAACCGGTTGGGTTCTGACCGAGAGTATTGAGACGAGTTGTCCATATTCCGAGAAGCAGATCTGCCTAAGTCTGTTTGGAGATTATCAGGGTCGATCATCAACATTCGCCGTTTCTCTGTGACAAACGTATGAAGAGCTGCAAGTGCTGAATTCTGATGCCGACTATGTCGGGTAGAAGGCGACAGTGGAGCCCGCTCCATTCAAAGGTCAAGGCGGGCCGGCCAAAATGAGTCCCATCACCGAGGACCGAGAGCTTATAAATCACTCTTTTACAATTTTTTTAGCTAATTGGGTTGAGCCACCCATGGGAAGGATTCTCTAATTTAAAGCAGCAAATCAAACTGTTTATCTGAACCTCGGCATTCTTGATAACTCATCATGTCGGCCCCATATTCCTGCAGCTGTTCAAACATGGTTTAGTAGAACCTTATATGATATTCTATGCTTTATATTTACAACTTGACAATTGCCACTGGGCTATTCAGTCGATCATTGTTTCCTTGGAACGTTCTGTCTATTAAATTACGTATTAGAGATCGAATCTAGTTTGATCTCATAAGCGCCGGGGATGTAGTACTATATCTACGAAATCGATATATGTGTGACCCGAGAAGGAAATATATCTCTTGATCGTAATTAGACCCAACACCACTCGAGCCGTACCACGGTACAACCAATGAGAAGCTATACAATGGATCAGCCCTCTCGGTCAACAAGATCCTAGCCGTGGTGCGACGGAGTATATTTGAGTGAGCATTTTTACGAGGTGGTGGGTGTCGTTCGCTCAACCTTAATTCCACCCACTCAACTCAGCCGACTCCAGCTGAAAACCAACCTTTCCCTAACCGAAACTTCGTGCCCCTGCCTTCTTATCCCTGCCCAGATGGGAAGAAGCCTATTGGGTTGAAGGTGGAGTCCAAGCACCGATAAACAAGTTGCCGAAGTGACTGAGCGCCCAAGTCATGGCTGGACGGGCCGGTTACGAGTACAGAAAGCCGACAAAAAGAAATGTGACGAAACAGATAACGAAGTGCACCGGTGAGAAGCCGTGTGTCAAGTGTCGGGAGGCTGGGTTAGCTGACCAGTGTGGATATGTGTCGCGCGATCACAAGATCAGGATCAAAGAGAGGGTCGTAGAAAAGGTTTTGGCTGTATAGGGTTGGCAATAGGTGACCTCTGACTATTCCACTTTAGCTACTTAAAGCAACCCTTAAACGAGAACCAGCAGCTTCACGAGGAAATGTCCCACCGGCAGGATCAACATTCGGACGATACCGTGGATAGCTCAATGAATCCGAGTCAAGAGGTGTTGCCGAACTACAATGCCAGCGTCCTAAATCCACTGATGGAGGATAGTGCATGGCTTCGGCCACGCGGTTCGCCGGCATTCTCGATGCACATTGGAGAAGCAACTTCTGCAGCATTTGCCGGTCTCTTGCATCAACACCTGACGGGAAGACTAGAAAGTTGATTAAGATTCAAATAATTATCTCCCCGACCGTGCGTGGATCGATGATCAAAGCAGTGTATCCTTCATCGGCAAGACGCGTGCCACATTGGAAGGGTGCTTGTTCCTTCATGAAGGAATAAGGACCAATGGTCACAATACCCGGCGGTTTAGGCATATCCTTGGGTCGAAAAAGCACTCCTGCCACGGTTTCTCCGCGGGAAGGATAGCTGACTTTCTCGGTGGTATAGTTACCGTGGTGAGACATCTTATGCAGTCAGATAATTGAGAATAATATGAGAGTCATAACAGTCTTCTGTCTTCTTCGGCTGGTATCATTAAACCGATTTTCGATTCGCTCGCCTTGGATACACTTTTTATAATCGTAGAAGCATCCGCGTGCGGGCGAACCCAAAAGAGTTCATCGGACATAACTCTATGGAGAGGTCCAAATGACTTTCGATTATCGTCGCCGATCTTAGGAGAATTGAGATAAATAGCAATCCAAGTTGTGGCGCATTAGTATTAGGGACACCCCTTTACTAGTGATTGTCGATCTAGGGACCATCATCCCGCCATACTGGAATAAACTCAAGGCATTATGGTTATCACCGAAAGGCTTGCGAAATGAAGGTTATCGCTGATCGGTCAGTAAGGTCTGTGCATTCCTGTTAACTCATCCCACACAGCGTAGCCTCCAGGATCCCCAGATAAGAGTTAAAAGGAAACTCATGCGTAGACCAAGGGCCTTCCGTAGAGCTAATAATGTGGTTCCGGTTACTTTCGCCCACAGAGAAGTCCATTGGACCGCTATGTCAACCCACAATCCTACTAACAAGTCAAGTCAAGTATATGGTATTCTAAACATAAGACACTGGCTAGCATTCAACCACCCTCCCACGTACAATCACAAGGGGAACAAACTCCACTACTACTTATGCGTCAGTCGATTGTCACCCAACTGTTTACCATGAATAGACAGGAAGCAGGGGTGGTAAGGGCGACTGGTTGGGATACCGGAGCTGAGATCAATCCTGACAGTAGGTCCATGCGGACGGGATTGATTCCTTGGTGCCTTGGATCTGAAGAACCGGTTTCAAAATAAGATTGGTGGAGATCTTGCTATCTTTTATATCAAGAGCATTGTGAAATTGAGTCAGCCGGCAGGATATCGCGAGTGACTAAGGGTGGTTCGTAGTTTGCGTCAGTATGCCAACGGATTAAAATCGAGACAACGCTACGAGCAAAAAATATATCTTCATTTAGTTAAGCTTTTAATAAAACCCAGTTCTTATTTCTGACATTGTCTCAGTTATTCGCACGGCTTGTATAGGTTTACATAACATATATAGCGCGCGCGCACTAGTAAATATGGATGGAAAAGTCTCGAAATCATATTCAGCATGAAAGCCTAAACATTGTTCCAACGCTTATTGATGGCATATATGGTTGCGTTGATCAGATTCAACGCAGTTTGGGGCCCAGGACCTGTAGCAAGATACAGGCCATCTCGAACGCCGGTCTTGACGATTGTCATATCCTGCAAATCAGTCTGCTCATCCACGATAGCTCCAGCCTCAGCAAGGATGTCATGGGTCTTCCAAGTATAAAAGCTGAATTGTGGTTCCAGCTTCCCTTGTGCATGTACCATAGGCTCCAGGGCTGGAAGCGCTGCCACCTCCACGCCTTTAACCAATTTTTCACGTTTGCCGTCAATTTCGATATCCAGACAGGCCAAAAGGGTAGGGCCGTGACACAGAGCGATGATTGGCAGACGATGCTGAACTGCGTTGCTCATCATTTGGGCAATGTGAGGGGTCGCCACAATATTCGCGTGCGCAACATCATCTGCACTTTTTGGTGAAGTGACAGCCACATCCTCATTGAATCCAAGCCCCCCTGCTAGGTACACAGCCCCGAATTGGTTCGCGTCAAAACGATCAGCCCCGACGGCATTTCCAAGCAGGGCGTCAAGTGTTTGTCTTGGCAAGCGGAGAGGGTCCAAGCGAAGAGGAGCTCCTAGTCCAACCCCTGGAAGACCCAACGAGACGGCAACGGCCTCAGTAGGCGGCTCGCGGACTAACATACTGTCTCGCTGTATCGCGAGCGGCCGCCCAAACGGGGTGAAGATCTGTAGAGTGTAGCCCGCGTCAATCATGCCAAGTGCCCAATCCACAAGCTCCTGCCACTGAGCACCGTGTGAGCTGGCTATGACGGCAATATTTTTATGTCTGAAAGTATCAAGCTTGATCGTGGACGTGGGGAATCCGCTTTCGATCTCTTTGAGGGCCGCATCGAATCCCACATCTGACGCCTTTCCCCAAGCCCTGAGACGCAAGCGTCGCTCGTATGAATCAACATTCTGGTTCTCGGATGGCTTACGTGCAGGCGAGTCCCATAAGCCTATGCGTGGAAGCAAGCTGTAGTACTCCCTACGATCCTGCTCCGTCAAAGTTCCCTTTCTAGCTTTCTCCAGGAGTTGTCCGATATAGCTGACATCGTGGTCAATGTCAGATTTGTTCAGAATGCCGAGCAGGTCAATCAGAAGGTCAGGGTCGAGTCTGAGAGGTGGAAGTTCCTGGTACACATCAAAGCTGCGCAAGTGGTGTTCCGGGTCGACAAAGTAGCGATCCACATAAGCCTTTCGGACCTCTCTCAGCTGTTCGGAAGACAAGCCACCAACTAAATTCTCGAGTGCAGTGATTTTGGTCTTGTCTTTGGGGTCACGGGTACGCCCAATAGCAACGTCATGCAGGCGTTCGATCAGAAAATCGGACATAGTGAGAGAAAAAGAAAGCTGCAGGGGTGATAAAAAGAAGTTGATGCGGCGATAGGACGAACGGTCAATGAAGCGGTTATATAGCAGACATGGAACAAAGGTATACTAGCAGTAGAGGATTTGGCGCAGGTCTCTACTACCAATCAAGAACAGCATCAGACAAATTACCAATTCGGGAGAACACATACTAGTATACTAGCCCATCGGCGATAACCTTACTACATGCTTTGTTTCGGCGATAAGCCAGGGTTGAAGGAATTTATTTGTCTACCTGTCAACCGAAATTACCGCTAAAGCTCCACTATCAGCCACCACCCTACTCTATTTAGAATAGCGCCGCGATTACTACTTTAGGCCATGATCATCATATATCATCATCCCGTATCATCCTGTATTGTTACGATACCGCATGATTTAGTGATCATCTCAAAGCCTATATATATCGCTCATTTTACCACTAAGATCAGGGATTGGACCTCATCAATTGATCATTTGCACTCATTAGAATTCAGCGGTAGATTACTAGGTAATACGGAATCCCGCATTTCCAATACTACCAAAGGTTACGCTCGCATTTGAGGTGGCCTACTTTCAAGCATAATTGAATGGAACTTAATTCCAGTAAAACTAACTTGTAGCAATATCGTACATAGTAAGTAACAGACCTTCTAGATGGTTCAAAATGTAATTAATGTTCTTTAAGGCAGAACTTAAAAAGGAACTTTTGTCTGCATAGTTGGTTCAGTTGGGCCGAATCATACTCGATACGAAGCATCGAGAAGGGATCCACTCTAGCGCTAGGAGCTGGTTTACGACTCGATTTGTCAAAAGACAAACTTTCTCCACTGAGGCTTGACCTTTGATCCTCTTAACTCGTTATTCATCCTCTACTACTATGCCTGCAATATGAGAATGGCCGCTATCTTCGGGTTCGATGTCAATAGAATAGCCTGCAATCCAGCCCACGACATCTATTTCGTCAGCCCCGCGCTCTGCAATGGTTTGAGAATGGGGATATAGGTATACCATAGCCTAACAATCAGGACTTAGTCATTTACTGATTAGTCGCGCCTTGTATATAGGTAACTACCTCGGAGTAACACGTAGTGCTCAGCAGCCAATCTTATGCAATTCATACCCCCCTAAAGACTCTGTTTAAGGGCTAATTAGGCTAATTAGTCCCCACCAGCCTATTTAAGCCTAGTGGGTTAACTAACAAAGGATCTGTGGATTATGTAATATTGATTGTCCGTATGAAAATAGTGGGCGGTACGACCTGGCAATATGTAGATATCTGCCTGCCCATGCCTTTTTAACACTTTAGCACCGATCAGGCAATCAACCATCAACGGGTCAGATAGCCATGGCGAAGTCCAAAGCTGCCAAGCGCAAGCGCAGCGCGCAAGTTGACCTCCCACAAAAACTTCCAAAGGCCACATCTACCCTGACGCCGCCTCCTGATGGCGCAACCCTCGAGCCCAAGAATCTCAAAACACTCATCTCAGACGATGAGCTCGACATCACCATTGAGACGCTCACGACTCTCGCACAATATCCCAATTTGACTAAGTCGAAGGCATGCAAGGATCTCCGAGGCGCAGTCTATGATTTCCGTCAAGCCTGCACTACGGGCGTCAACACTGCTGGTACGCTGTATCGTTGCCTCATTGCCAGCCTGCAACTAACCGATCGATAGAGGGCGCTAACCTGACAGCACGAATAACCGGTGCTCTGGTCGACGAGAAATACATCGATGCCAAGGTCTTGCTTGCCGAGATGAGAATCAGGGGCGAACAACCCAAGATCGGAGCCTTGTGTCGCTGGGTGCGAGATCTAGACGTTGTCAGCGGCCTCTCGACACAGCCCGGAGCAAGCGACCATGTCCCTCTTGATCGCAGCGCAAAGGACATGCAACTCCTCAGCGTCCTCGATGCCGTCCTGCGCGTCAGCACCCCGATCGACACCAACCCAAATGCAGTCGACTCAACCTCTCCCATCGCCTTCCAGTCCATCTGGGATCTCCGCCCGTCGACCCCACCACTTCCAGTGTACGCTTCCGTCCTTGACAAATCGATCCTGGCCGAGGCGCCTCAGTCCTCCTCGGCCCTCCGTATCATCGAAACAACCCCCGGCCCACTCCGCAAGCCTCCGAACCACCACCCCGCCATCCTCTACACCACTACCCCCAACGCCGTCCCGCTAGCTCCCGTCGGCCCCTCCATAACATACCACCCACACCCGGCTGTGCCAGGCCTCGGCCTCGCCACGAATGTCCTCTCCGCTGCCGAGTGCAGGGCAATCATCGCAGCTGGTGAATCCGTGAATTTCTTACCCGACGCACCCCTCCGTGAAGATGGCGACATGAGCATCCTGGCCCACAACTTCTACTGGGTCGTCGACACCACATTCCATGACATGCTCTGGGCGCGAATCTCTCCTTACGTACCGCCCTCGATCAACGGCCGCCTCGCCCGCGGCATCAATCGGCGCTTCCGTGTGTATCGATACGTCCCCGGCGCCGAGTACCGGTGCCACATTGACGGAGCCTGGCCGCCGTCCGGCATCCTCCCCGACGATACATATGTGTACGACTCCTCGCCTGAAGACAAGAAGCAGAGCTCCATGTACACCTTCTTACTGTACCTGAACGACGAATTTGAGGGCGGAGAGACGACCTTCTTTCTACCCGCTGCGCGGGAGGGAACTCTTAATGCGTACCCTGTGCGACCTGTGATGGGCGCCGTTGCGATGTTCCCGCATGGAGAGTCGAACGGGGCATTGCTGCATGAAGGGACTGGGGTAAGGAAGGGCGCGAAATATATTGTCAGAAGTGATATCGAGTATGACGTTAAGCCTTACGAAGAGTGATGATCACGATACGAATTATGTTGAATTTAATTTTTCAACATCAAATGGGCGTGTTGGAGTTATTTAATGGGTTGTATTAAAAAGACCATGAGATAAATTGGTTATAGGGTATATTATATATATATATAGCCTGAGAACAGATAGCAGGTATTATATATTTTCCTTTGCATTTTTAACTATTGTACTATTCAAGGTGTTACCCTAGGTAAGTATGGACCCAAATTGGATCCTTATTTTAATACTAAGCAAGGAAAAACGTGGTCGCCGTTGATATACAGTAGTAGATTGATGCTTTGACATGTATAAGATTTGGGCTGTTATCATGTTCCCCCATCCGTTGACTACTTTGTCAGAAAGAGTACATACGGCCATAGTATGCGGAGGGGTGGGCTTCCTGTCTGGTCATGTATACTCAAACCACCTATGTGGAGTAACTCTTTAATGACGACGGAAAATACACGGTTGTGTGTGGCGTTTGGACCAACAATTGCGCTGAGAGTCGCTGCTTTAGCAGTTCATACAGTCTATTCCCAGTTTGTCCTAGTGCATGCTGAGGTAGCCATCTGTTCAATGTATATGCTAATTTTATCTATATTAAAAAAGCTTGGTGTATCCAACATGGGTGCAGAGGTAAGTTATAAGATGGGATACCATTCATGCTCAAGATATCCCCTTCTCTCTATTGCTCGAATTCTCTAATCAATGATAAAAAAAGGAGCCTATCAGACTTATAAATTTTCAATTACTTATATTCTCCTAACATTTACCAAGTATACAAATTTCCATACTAGGAAATAATGGCTTGACACCAATAACTGAGGCAGGGCGGGTCGAATGGAACAATTTTGTTCACCAGCCTGATATATAAGTCAATAGTCCTCTCTCTGATTATATGAAAAAATGGCTAGTCCATGTGCATCACAATTTTTAAAGGTTCCATATACACCGGCACTGCCTGCAATTCTCTGCGAGCTGATACTCTATTTAACGAGGACATAGTCAGCTGGCGGCCTAAAACGGCTACATTGAGTCTGTTTTGCGGGTTGTTCTAACTGTTTACGGTCTTGCGTCCTGGGTGCAGCTGACTGGCTTTAACACCACGGCCTGCGCTGATTCTGGTTTCTGATACTTACCGGTCATGCTGCCACTGCTGAGGGCCCTTTCGTTGCTTAACTGTACCCTATTTCCCAAGGTGGGAAGCTGATTTTAGCTCTTTTCCCAATGACCTGATTCTCCATGAGCCTTCAATAGGCTACGAACCTGTCATATTCCCAGAAATTCCTGTGGGTTGTATTAGAATTAGACTCTGTAGACCCCTAGTAGCCACGACTACTATCAGGAATGGTTCCAGAATAGTCACAGGGTATATATTTTCGAAAGATCCGTTGACAAAGTCCTTTGGGGTATCTTCCATGGACCTTAAACAAGTAAGACAGGAGGGATGAAATAAGTCAGGAAGAATAATGATATATGTCCTAACCAACAAGAAGACGAGACGGGTATCTAGGATACGTTGAAATGGCATTGAGCGCCAGGAGAGGACATAAATAATATAGCAGAAGGTTGTGCAAGTCGGTCGGAAGCGTCGTGGAAAGGTCTGGGCTGAGAACCCCGTTAAGGCACAGCCACGGGACCTCCCAAGCCTTTTTCAGGTAGGGTGCATGGTTTAGCGGCGAACCTCGATAAAATCGCTGAGGCACAGGTGAGGGCACCTGAGAGGTCTGCAAACCCCAGGATACAAGCTTTGTTAGTGAAGGGACGTTTGGGCTATTCTGGGTATGTGGGAGAACTGCCAAGTAGCCTTTGTGAGACACGATCCGCTGACAGCCTCGTTATGTGAGGGTATTCGCTGATATAGTCATCTAATTAGGTTTTGACCCTTATTAGACCAGGCGACTTTTACATGGTAGAGGATCGACTTGGTTGCCTTTTAATCTGCTCTTTGTCGGCTTGGAGTGTATTATCGGGCGTATCCTCGACGAGAGCTTTTCTAAGTAATGCTGCGTCCTCCGGCCTGCCAGACGCTTGATATATGGCATATAGTTGCTCCCTTGCTTGGATGGTTCGAAAGTTATTTTGACCAAACATTTTGCTCCTCGTCTCGAACACCTCGTGCGACAGCCTTTCAGCCTGAGACCAACCGCCTTTTTGTCTCCAAACCTGAGCAAGCTCCAACTTCGCTGAGGATATATCTGGGTGCGTCGGACCTAAAGCTTTGGTTTCTGCACTTATCAATTCGGTGAGGAAACTTTCTGCCTCTTCGACCTGCCCCGACAGGCGATGCGCGTGCGCAAGATTGAAGATGGTCATGAAGGTACCAATATGAAACTGTCCCAACGTTCGAATGGCCACTTCTAGAGTCGGAACGAGGAGCGCAACGGCATCTTTTGAATAACCTTGAGCACAATAAACTTTAGAAAGATCGTTTATAGACCACAGGGTATGAGCATGTTCCTGGCCAAGAATACGCTTTCTGGCATCTAGGACATGGGAAACCAGTCTTTCTGCCTCATCAATCTCTCCGAGTGCGAGGCAGCTCATCCCCAAATCCTGCATTGTCTCCAAGGTGTCCAGGTCTGTGTCACTAAACAATCGCATCCTCCCTTTCCAGGCCTGAACCTGGAGTATCTGTGCTTCCTTGAAGTTACCAAGGTGCATGCGAACCCGACCGTAATTGTGCATTGCACTCAACGTGTAAGGGTGATCTGGTCCCACAATCTTGGCAAGGCCTTCCAGGGCTCGTTTCCCCATCTCGTCGGCTTTAGATGTCATACCACATAGCCAACATGTACGTCCTAGATTGTCCATTGCTAACAGAGTCTTTGGGTCATAGGGCCCTAGCCTTTTGGTCACCAGGTCTAGAAGACTTGTTTGTATCTCAAGGGCTCTAGCCATTTGACTCGAGTTCCAATAGCTTTGGGCTAGCTCCGCCATAGCATCGAGAGCCTCAACGCTGTTCTGGCCGAGGGTTGTGGTTTGATATTGAAGTATCTGCTCCTGGATACCAGAAGCGTCCACCCAACGACCAGCCTCCGCGTACACAGAAGCAAACCTGGCAAACTGTCCCAGGCTGGCGTGATCAAACTCAAGACCTCGACGGGAGTCACGAGGCTCACTCTTCAAGCAAGAGTCAATATGTGGCACCAGTAACCTTCGATAAACCACCTCTGATTCTTCGCTTCTGGACGTGATGGATGCTGCTAAAATGCGAGACGCAATGCCAGCCCACAACTTCTGTGCTCTCGGCTGCAGACGCTCACGAGCCCAAAAATGTACCATTGGATGCATCGAGTAGCCGTCACCCGTCAGGTTGCCAAAGACCAAAGAATACGACCTCAGTATAAGAATGGCATTGCGGAAGCGGAGTTTATCCCACTTCCTCCCCGTTTGGTTAAGGATCCGTGGAAGCCTTCCTTCTGTTAGGGGAGTGAACCACCCTTCATATCCGCTTGAAATAGCCACAAATTCACCAAGCACCTGGACAATTTTGTCAACCAAGGAACCGGCACCTTTGGTATTCGCCTCGCGCTGTAAACTATCCCATGCCTTCTCAAAGATCGACTCAGGCACATGATCAAAATGTAAAAATGCCATTACATGGAGAATCTCAATCGCATCAATAGACTCGGCTGTCTCCAGGCCCTTGATCTTATTAAACGATACCTCGAACGTCGTAAAGACTGTATGCTCGTAAGGCCCTCTGCCCTGATGCAACTTGTTCGAGAAGATTCTTTTCTTGTATGACTTGAAGACGTCCAGGTAATCTTCTAAAGAACAAATATTCTGGCGGATCGATGCACCGGCTTGTATTAGAGCGAGGGGAAGGCAGCCAAGAGTCTTGACAATAGGACGGGCGGTATCCCTAGTCTTCCTCTCCTGGACGCTTTCGACAAGCGCTGCCCTCAAAAGCAAGGTGATCGCATCGTCTTCTTCCAAGCTTTTGAATTCCTCGAACCCGATCGTCGCATGTACTTTACACTCGGGATTTCGGCTTGTGACCAGGATACTTCCTTTCCCGCCGGAAGGGAAGTACCTAGCATAGTCAAATTCTGCATCATCTGCATTGTCGATAACCAGCAACCAGGGCATCTCCTGCTTGGATAACCAGTACATGCCAGACTCAAACCTTTCTTCCATTCGGCCAAAGCGAGCAAGGTTAGAAAAGGCCTGTTCCGCATGCTCCGGGCTGGAGAGGCAAAAGATGACTTTAGTGCTATCATTAGGAGACGGCTGCAAGGTGATCTTCGGACGGTAGTTTTTGGGTGGCATTTGTGGACTGGTTGCCTCATCATAGTCCCTCTTTTGTGATATGGTCGATCATGATTTAGGATTCTTTACCGACGGTAATTCTTTGAATGTATACTTAAAAAAGGTAGCTCCATTAAGAAACTAGGAAATATTTGTTAGTTGCTATCGGAGCTCTTTAGGCCTGATGCTCTTTGTGTCCATCTTTAGCTTATCGCTAGATGAATTTACTGTAGGAAGTGAACCAGGTGATAAATTGAACCGGTTGTGTCTCGAGGACTCTAATATTGCAAATTGAATACCGAGGCACGTCGAATCACTTTAGTAAACTTCATTGACTCGAAATTTGCCCTTACGGCCGCCAGATATACGAACAAAGACGAATTTTAGCAGGCAGCGGCCAAGGTTTCATCCCTCGGATCCTGCGGCCTTGATAACGGTTTTATTATCAAAGGTGCTACTGGACAAAAAGAAATTCAAAGAATACCATGCCAAGTGAGCCATTTTTGGGGATTAATGGTTCATCCAAGCCCAACCATTAACCTACACAGCACGATGCCACAAACTCAAAATGGTACAACCCTCTGTTGCCAAGAGCCAAATGCCTTCTGAGTCCGGGGTATCACCAATCAGCAACGCTCAGAAAGCGCTGCACTGCCTGATTCATTTATTCGTTCACAAATCCAGACGCTCCCCAGTTAGAGAATGGCGGTCCAGAGGGGGGGGGGGCGTAAGATTGTCTATTTAATCACCTGTCGTCCAAGCGCTGATCTTGCCCCAGCAAATAATTCACCGGGAACACTTGCTCTGCCAACAAACACATAACTCTCTGTATTCAACATGACACCACGAGGGCCTCAGCCAATTGGTATCGTTGAATTACACCGGCCTGCTGGACTGGTGGATATCGAGTTGGTATTCCATTGTCATTATGGCATGAAAATGCTAAGTACTTCGCCTCTAGCATTGTCGCAATCCATGGCTTGAACGGTGATGCCATCAAAACGTGGACTCATGAAAGTAGCAACGTCTGCTGGTTAAGGGACCTCCTGCCGACATATATAAACAACGCCCGGGTCCTAACCTGGGGCTATAATGCAAATGTTAACTCTCTGATGGGCAGATCGACAAGCTCGGACCGGATTCTGCAGCATGCCCAGACACTCATTGAGGAACTGCAATCGGACAGAGAAGTAAATCCCTCCTCCCCATTTGAGTCTAAATACGATGAGAACCCCCCTTCCCTTCCCCCCAATTCAGTGATTATGCCCACGAGCTGGCAGCTACGCAAAGAAATCCTAGAGAGCAGAGCCGCTCAAGTGCAACGTTTGAATTGAATTCAGATACTGCTATGGTCATTAGGTTCATTCCGCCAGTAAAGGAATCTGTTCAGCTCGTGGATAATGGTTGCTAGGATGTCTTGATAGCGAGACGTTCACAGCCTCATGATTCCCTCTAGCATACACATATCTTCGGCGGTTAGAAAAGAGTATATAACTTACGAGCTAATTCATATCCGAAAGTTTGAGAGCGCCGCCGAGAGGCCTATCATATTTGTGTGTCATTCATTGGGTGGAATTATAGTGAAAAAGGTTAGTATTAAGCTACCGAAGTTCTTTATCAGACACTGGTAACTCTAACCGTCGCGCTCCTTGCAAGGCTTTGGCGTTCTCCTCTCGTCAGACCTCCCACAAAAATGCCCGTTTACAGTCGATCTACACCTGCACCTACGGAATTATTTTTTTCGGCACACCTCATTCTGGGTCCAGTAAGGCTGGTACTCTTGACGCTGCACAAAAGCTTGCATCACTTGTTGTGCCGAGAAGAGCTGCTCTCTTTGAAACGAGCCTACTACAGGCTCTCAAGGAGGGCTCTGAGACATTACAAAACATCACCGATGAGTTTCTTCCACTTATGTCTCGCTATTGCATGTTCTTCCTGTGGGAGCAATTGCGTACACGCCTCGCTTATACGGAGGATTACATTGTAAATGTTGAGAGCGCGGTGCCCACAATTGACGGCGTTGACAAATGTGCTATTCCCGCCGACCATCGGGGAATGTGCAAATTCCAGAATGCGAGCGCCCCTGGCTTTAAGACTGTCCTTGCTGCATTAAAGCGGTATAGTCAGGCGGCACCGATGGTCATTCAGGGGAGGTTGAAGGTGGAGGCGGAGATGCTTGAAGGAAGACGGAGACATGAGGCTATGGAATTATTAAGGAATATTTAAATTATGTAGTATGTGGTAAGGGTTGGGAAGATTCTACCAGCTAAAGTCTACTGTACAGGAACTGTCCGCTAAAGGGCCCTGATATGTACGTCTCGATTTACTTGGTTATTGGGCTTTTTTTTTTTCGGATACGATGTATATTTAAACACTACTCTTTTTTAATTGAAATTGCAATTTCGGCGAAGGGTTAGGTTATGGGTAAGCAGTCACTGGCTCGCAACGCATAGGAAACTAAAAAAATCTCCTCCCTCGGTTGCGATTGAGAGCTTGTTGAGGGCTCTGAACATACGATGAATGTATACACTGCAAGTGCAGAGGAAGGGGATGCTGCCGTAGCTTTTACGGAAGACTTGGAAATTCATCCAATCTGGTACTGCTAACTTGGAATATTGACATAACATTTGCTCGCACCGAAGATTGCGTTACAGAGATTATCGCATTTGTTACCCAACTAGATCATAAGTGCATATTGCCTTTCTCCAGGAGGTTTTAAGGGAAGCTTTGCAGCAGATCCTCAAACTCAAGCGTATTCGTGGATTTTGGCTTTCAAGTATGATGGCACGGCATGGGGCAAACAATCGTTTGCGACGATGACCTTGCTCTCCAAGGCATGCTTTGCTTCAGCTTCTCTAGGCCCAGCCTGGAGAGTAGCCTTTCCCAGCCACTTTGATCGGGACGCGCTGTGCTGTGATCTCTTTGTTCCATCGCGCGGGACTGTCCTCTCCCATACGAGTACGGCTGGTTATCCTGCATCTGGACTCACTTCCTATCAAACCTTCCCACCGCCTCCAACAGGTATCAATTATCTCCTCCTTCTTGCGTAGCGCAGGGTGCGGGCTAGTCACCGGTGCCTTTAACCCAGTCCTTGAAGAAGACGCTACTCTGTTAGAAAGCAATGGCTTCACGGATGTATGAATGGCTTTTCGCCTGGAGACCTTGAGTATACGTAGAAAACTGACGGGGTGCAACCATTTCCCCCAAATCGGATGGACAAGGTAGCGATTGTTGGACTGGAATCTCATGATATCAAGACGCTGGAGCCAGAACGACTAGGTGTATTGAAGGGAGAGCACGACACCCAAATTGACATTATCCAACGTAAATCCGTGATTTCACCCATAGAAGACATTTCCCCGGGATCGATCATTACGCAGTGCTTGCTCGTTTGGTTTGTTGGAGAGAGAATAGATATAACCTACATTTTACGAATCCCTAAAGGCAGCGCCCCGAGTGGCAGTACCCTAACCGACCCATTCTTAAAATGCCAGGTAAAGCAGCTATACGGATATTGGAATCATGATTCAGTGATCTAATAGAATGACTATTTAGTAATTACATCAGTTCTGACATTCTGAATGTTCCAGACCTTTCAGTTACGGAGGTTGGCAAATGACGAGTATATATATCCTTGCCCGCTTTCCGCGAAGTATGATCAACACAACGCAGTGGAATAACATAGCACAGGAGATTTAATCACTTCTTGCTGTACGCGTCTGAAAGTAAGAGGGCCGAGTCGTTAAGGCAAGCAGACCCGTGTTAACTCATTATTGATCAGTTAATTAACAAACTCAATAGGCCGCACCTACTGGTATCCCATGTGCGAATGGTTCCCTCAAGCTGGACTACCAAAAATAAAGATTAACGACTGCCGACTTAGTACTCCATGAAAAGCCCTCGATTTGGTTAGGATCACAACCATTGACTAATCAAATCGTCCAGTGGATAGCGAGCCGTGACCTTTGCGTACATCTTCAGACCTAAGCAATGCACGGGCAGATGTCATTCTGGTCCATGACCTATGAATGGCCATAGTTATGAGCACCATACTTTGTTTCCTTCGATAATAAAATGCCCCTCATTTCTATGCTTTGTTTTTACTGGATCAGATGTGTTGCTGACGTGGCATCTCTGCCGCGACCGGCATTGAGCAAAGGACCTTATAACTACTAGCCTCAAAGCAGGTCAGCTTTTAGTACGCCAAATGAGTTCGCCAAGTCATCAGGTTGTTCTGACTGGTAGTCCTAAGGCCAATAGATGCTATAAGCCTGGGGATTAACCGAGAAATATTCTCAGCTTGCCATTGCGAAATGTAGATGAGCCTGTCGCGAGAATATTCCGCCCGAGCTTGACGCGGGTTTCTCTCTCATCGCTGCTTGAGATCTATGCGTCTGTGGCTATATGCCTATGAATTATTTCTCGAAGGATTAATTTAAATGATTTGTCCATAAATCTCAAGGTATGCTTTCAATGAAATCAGCTGACAGCAAAATATGATTATCCCCCTAAGAGCAAACGCACAGATCACATAGGTCGGATGTGCATATTGGGGTCAGCTCGGTTTAGTGTGGCAGGCTGATTTGCACCTAAGTCGCCCTTTTGATGACCTGACAAATCATGAAGAGGTGATGTGGTGATATTAAAGGCTAACTCCGCATTCACTTCGCGGCGGAAGAAGAATTGTTAATTCTCTATCCATTGTGGTATTTTACCCTTGAGCACATCTAGCTGATGGACTGACGTACCTTGGGCGCCATGGACAAACCGCCGAAATCGCGCGAGGAAGCCAAGGCCCATATTAACCAAATTCGCAAACGGCGAGGATTACATATAGAGAATGATGAATATTCTCACGAATGGAATATAAACCATGAGGACCTTGAAGCCGCCGTGTCCATGTAAGCGTCATATCCCCGATTGTGCCCTCATTTTTGTCTTTGTTTGGCTTGAAGCTGGACGAAGTAGCTGACTAAACTGACCGGCAGCCTGGCCGAGGGGCTCTATGAAGAGTCCTCTCACTTTCTTCTTGAGATGATACAGAATGCCGATGATTGCTATTACGATAGCGCATCAAGCCCGACGATGAATATCACGTACGGGAACGGTCGTCTGCGCATCGACTACAATGAACTAGGCTTCAGGGTAAAGGACGTTGAAGCTATTACCCGAGTCACAAAGAGCACGAAGGTAGACCCCGCTACCCAGACTGGAGAGAAGGGCATCGGCTTCAAATCTGTCTTCAAAATCGCCGACGTGGTTCATGTAAACTCGGGTCCCTACTCCTTCAAATTTGACAAAACCAAGAGATTGGGCATGGTAACCCCAAAATGGGAGGAGTTTCCCGCTGAGCCTCAGCGTGGGTATACCTCTATCATGTTGCATCTACGGAGCGACGATGAAGAAAAAGACCTAATAGACGCCATGAAGTCTATGAGCTCGAAAATTCTGATGTTCTTGAGAAGACTACGGACTATCTGGTTGTCGGTGACTAGCCTAGATGGGACCACCTGGAGTAGCTCCCTTGAACGCTCAGACATGACAATAAAGGGAGAACACATCACAAATTTGCGCCAGGATGGGACGTCTAGCATGTACATAGTCCGGAAACATACGGTGACGGATCTTCCTACCGATCCAAAGCGTGGCGATATAACTGAATCGGACCTACGTTTCGCGTTCCCAATCACTGAGGACTACATGGCACGCATCGAACCTCAATCCGTCTATGCGTACCTACCCATCCGAGACTACGGTTTCAAGGTAACCTGGAGCTCGCCCGTGTCTGCCGGGAGTATGGGGGCTAATTCAAGAACAGTTTCTCGTCCAGGCGGACTTCCTGTTAATTGCGAACCGCGGCGATATTGACAAGTCTTCTCGGTGGAACCGTGCATTGTGCGACGCGATGGTAGATGCATTGCTCGACGACATACATCACTTCAATCTCTCGCCGTTGCGCTATACCTGGCCGCGATATCTCCCCGACAACCGCTTTTGGGGCGGTGATTTGTTTGACGGGTTTCGCATTAAGCTGATGGCGAGGCTGGTTTTAAGCCCAGTTCTCGAATCAGAAGACGAAAACGGTCCATTTTCAGCCCCATGCAACCTGTACTATGTCCCTGGGAGCTTCTGTGGCGAGAAAGGCACACCGTTGACCCGGAGCGCAAAGACGATCTCAAAGTACCTGTCGTGCAAATATTCTCACTCTGATTGGGAATACCTGGAGAATATCGGCGTGAGGGGCCTAACGAACGATGTGTTTCTGCAGGATCTCCGAGAAAGTCTGTGCTGTAGAGGCTTTATGCCAGAGCCAGAGGACCCTTGGCACCTCATCATTGCCAAGCTTCTGTGTCCTTTGATGAGCACCCACAAAGCACAGCTGGTTGAGCTCCCTCTTATTTTGCTGACTAATAGGAATTGGGTTTCCGCATCATCAGGCACGATATTCTTCCCTGGAGAGAGGGGGGCCTACTCAGTCCCAGAAGGCATCGAGGTATTTGAGGCACACCCAGACGCCCAAAGGGATGGGTATCGTGAGCATCTGTATCGGGGCCTTGGGGTGAAGCCATTTTCGATCTCTGATATACAACGAATGGTGATTGCGAAGCTCTCCCAGTCATGGCTTACATCGTCAACAAAGCAGAGTGAATTGATCTCTCAAACCATCTTTCTGTTTAGGACTCAATGGGAAATGCCGCTTGATCAAATCCAACTTCCGATACTTACCACGGTAGGTACACTTCTTCCGTCTTGGGAAGTTTATATTCACATGAATGGGCCATACTATGCCTCTCGGTACCTCAAAAAGCATAAGGAGTCTTTCTTCGTGCATAGAGGCTACGAGAAGAGGTTAACTAGTGAGGAGAAAGGTCAATGGAACACTTGGCTACAGGACCAGCTTGGCCTACACAGCCTTCCGCGGCTTGTTCTAAATGCGAAGGATGAGGCTGCGAGGCTTTCAGCCGAGTTCTACCATATCTTACAAATTCATGGTTCATGGAAGCTTTTAGTACTTTTGCGCGACAATTGGACCGCTTATTATCGAGACTTCTCCTCGCCAAAGGAGGTGGATGGAAAGGTACACCCATTATTGCGGAAAGAGATGGGTTTAATTCAGGTGACATGCCATGGTGGTAATCTTTATGCCCTGGAGCAAACCTCAACGGGATATTCTCTGCCTCATGACCTTCTGGAGGAGATCCTCCAATTCCGTCAACCGTTCCTTGATATTCCCGACCCGCGTGATAGCAGATGGGACATCCTAAGGAACTTCGGCGTGACTGTCGGAGATAATATCAGCACCTATCTGAAAGTTTTGGATAGTATCCAAGATCACCAAGTTTCGATTGAATTGGTTTCCTGGTTGTATAGGAAGATCGAGGCTAATTTCCAGAATGACTCAGATGGCGTGAAGTAGGTAACATAACAACCTCAAGGGTAGGAGGTCAGACACTCACCTAGTATAGAAAGCTATTCCAGGTCAAAAGATGCATTTATGTCCCGGAGGGGAGTACCAGAACGGCTTGTCGTTGGGTTTCGATGACTGAGTGCGTGTGGAGTGGGCCCAATTGTCTTGAAAGCTTCCACAAACTTGATGCAATCTATCCATACCATGGAGCCTTGTTCAAGGAGCAGCTAAAAATCAGAGATGCGGATGTTGACACACTTGTATCGGAATTGACAACAGTCACAATGTCAACCGCGCTTCGAAGGATAATCGACCTGTTGTTCGAGATTGAGGAGGCTATAAAGAACAACCTCTTCCAAACCCTGACGTCAATAGGCGACCTTCTCCAGTGCCGGGTATTCCCTCTGGACGAGGGTAGCGATTCGACAAGGGGATTTGATGATCTCTCAAGGGCTACGCCAGACTCCGAATGGTATGTTGCTGATCTTCCCCACTTACGCAGCAGCTTTAGGGGGGTTGTAAGTTTACTCGCGGTGGGCGTTGACGATCTAAAACGTATTCCATTTCTGTGCGACGTGCTGGGTCTAAAGGAGCGATATATTTCGAAAATAGCAAAGGGAACGCCGATTGTTCATGGAGAGGAGATAGACTCGAGGCTCACGGATGACTTTCGTTCAAAATACAAGTTCTTGGACCGGTATGCACATGCCCCCAGAGCTGCAACGATTAGCGTCATGCTTTTTTGCGAGATCGCGTCATTATCCCTTGATATGCACCGGCTTCCCTCACTCTGCTTTTTTGTTCATGGTTGTGGTTGTCGATTCCTGTGTATTTCTGCTGGATCCCTGCATTATGTGCTGACGTCCCTCTTTGATACCCCGTCTATGCCTATTTCACACGGTGTTTCAAATACTAATATGCCCTTTGCCTCAGGCTCACACCGGAGTCAATATTCAGCCGTGCCCAGATAATAGATCAGTTGAAAAATATAGAAGTCAGCCTTGCAGATAAGGTCCTGATTAAATGGTGGATCAAGTCCACGCTCCGTTCGTCCGAGGATATCTACGAGGGTCATGTTTATGACGATGGCCTTCAATCAGCAATCATGCCTTCTGCAGACGAGAAGCAACTGAGGGTATGGCTGTTAAAGGCAGCTAACCCATCCTGCCTTCCATTGGAGCTTTCGGAACAAATAGCTACTTTTTGTGGAATTCCGAAACAAGCCGGCCTCGTATACTTTATTCTGAGCCAGGATAATTTAAGCGATATTGAACAGGCTCTTGACCGCCGGGGGGTTCCAAGAGTGCGAAATACCAATCCCACACAGAAAAGGGCTAGGGGCCATACAGCGCAGGTGACTCGATCCAATGGGATCACGTACGGCAAATTTGACAAGATGGCGCGCGAAGTCTGGGTTGCTGGAGACGAAAGCCGACAAGAGGGAGTTGATGATCAGGAAGAGGAGGAGGAGGGAGAAGAAGATGAAGAAAACGAAGAAGTAGAAGAGGAGGAAGGAGAAAAAAAAGCAAAACAGGAGGAAGAGGAGCAGCAGGATGCGATCGAGCATGATATAGAACCATCCGACCTTAGTACGAGAAGTACGAAATTTAACAGCCAGGGATTGCACGTCGAGTTGAATGAGCACCCGGGAAATTCAAGTATGACAAAAAGTGACAATCCCCTAACCTCCAAGGCTGAGTCAACTCAACCGTCAAGGTTGCAACATGGTGGCGATGATTCCTCTCCTTCTATGAAGCAATCTAAGGCCTCCCACGAAGATATCTCACGAAAGCGACCAAATTACGTTGCCCTTGATGAAGTGCCGGAGATGAAGGATTACATTAGCCAACGCGAGGAACGACCTAGACAGATAATGGAGGACAGTAATGCGCCGGACTTATCGGATTTGAAACCATTTGAACGTGGCAGGGTCATGGGTACGCCTCGTTTGATCTTCGTCTCAAATCGTCGACAGCTGCCTCATGAAGAATTTCCTAGCAAACAACGAAGAGGGGCGATGCTTCCTGGACGGGTGCAAATCTCCGCAACAGGGGACTGCACGGTGTTTGCAGCAGTGCAGCCGACATATAGGACGGACGAACATGTTGAATACCTCGGGGAACTTTATGTATGCATCCATCCATCATCTAACGCTAGTCATTAACGTCCCTAGGTCTCCAGACTACTTGAACGATACCTTGGAGCAGAATACAACCCAGATGTTCACTGGACAAGCTATTACCGCCGAAAAGCCGGTTACGCCCCCTTTATCCAGAATAGGAGACCAATCACCCCCTTCTTGTTGAGTAACAGGTCTGGCAAGGCTAGTGCTGCAATGAAAGACCTTCTTATCCAGTCTGGAATGACATGGAAGCCCAATTATGATCCTTTAGAATATTATATCCTGGTTAAGATCACTACAGGTGGTCAGGAGTCCCCATTTGCTATGAGCATCAGTGAACTGGACCTGGTAATGCCACTTTCCGTCTGCATGATTATGGAACTGACATATGTTGCCGCATAGATACGTAGGTTGAGCATTCGGGAAGGGTATGAAGCCTTGACTCGCCCAAGGGCCATTCTTGTGAGGGTATACGACATGGCAATAATCCCAAGCGCGTCCTTTTTTGTGGATCCCTGGGATATATATGCGTCTGGCTATATGAAATTGCAGGCTGAGAATAGTTCATTCATTGCCGAAATAAGGAGATGCATACCGGATCTGTCATTCGAAGACCTTCGGCTTTCCGGAAAGCCTTACGCTCGCTCAATGTCACACAAGCTAGCAACATTTATGTCATCTTTGATCAACCCCGACAGGGGGGTGAGGGCGCGAAGTGAACTCGCGAATGAGGAGCTGAGATACCCCTATGCTGCGTTACAAGAAGGATCTGTACGGTTGCTCAGACTATATCCTGGGGAAAATCATGAAGAGCTTGTCGGGGATCTAGAGCCTGTAATGGCTGACTCACTTGGTTTGAAGTCTTTTTCGGCCGTATCATACGTATGGGGAAGCAAGTTCAAGCCATTCATGTTGAGAATCAAGGAAAGCCAAGTAGATCTCCGCATAACTGCTCCTTTATATGCCGTTTTGAAACGCTTGCGGCATACAAACGACCCGGTTTACTTGTGGGCAGATGCAATTTGCATTGACCAGGAAAACCTCCAGGAAAGAGCTTATCAAGTACGTCTCATGGGGAATGTTTACAGATTGGCAGAGCATGTATATGCTTGGCTAGGGGATGCAGCGGATGATAGTGAACTAGCCATCACATGGCTGATGAAAATGCAACGGGATGACAAATTATCGCCTGAGTCGACCGGCCCAGTACTTCCACCCGCGGAGAGTGAAGTATGGGATGCTATACATAGCTTCTTTTCTCGTGATTGGTTTCGGCGGGTCTGGATTGTGCAGGAGCTTGTCCTTGGTTCAAAAGTAATCATGATGTGCGGCGATAACCGGTTAGATTGGGAGGCGATCTACACCCCTGCGCTTGTGTGCGCACAAGAAGCGGAAAAGTCAAGTGCTGCTACCATGAAGCACATATCTCGGAGTGTTACTCCTGTACTCAGTCTTGGAAAGCTGAGGCGCGCCTACCATGATGTCCAGGAGCCGAGACGCAATACTCAACAAGATCTGCTATCGCTGCTGAAAGATTTTGACCACACTCAGGCTACAGAAGTCCGCGATAAGCTATTTGCCTTTCTAGGTCTAGCCTACGATGGAGATGACCCAGGCTTCAACCCTGACTACGAGTCTTCGCTGGAGGATGTTGTTCACCGATACGCAGGTGTTTTTGTCTGCAGGGGCAAAGGAATGGAGCTTCTTTACCAGGCCGGCTTGTCCCATTCGTGGCCAGGGTCATTATTCGCGTCATGGGTGCCAAACTGGGTCACTACTACGGTCCCGAGGACTATAACCACGTGGAGAAGCATGCAGGGCCGATTCTGTGCTGGTTCGCATCTCTGGTGTGACTTAGAATTGAGTCCAACAAATGAGACTATCTTGGTCTCTAAAGCATGTATAGTGGATCGGATTGCCTCTGTTGGTAGAGCTGCTTCCGGATATCCGGGGACCATAAACTTTTTGAAGATACTCTTCAGCTACATCGAATCCCTCCCGAGCTACCCAACTGGAGAGAACCCAAGGGATCTTGCCTGGAGAATACCAATTGGCGATGCGAGCGACCCCCCATACGGGAGCTGGAATGAGGTCGACTTTGGAAAGTCCTATCAAGCATTGAGGGAGTATATCCAACTCGGTGATGAGACGACCGACTGGCAGACAGAATTTAGCTCTATTCGAGCTATGGCTAAAATGAAGCAATTCCTTTTCCGTCCGCAAGAGCTACGTCGCCTTATGTGGTCTTATATATTTACGGCCCAGGAATTCGTCGATAGATTTGTCGATCCTAGAATTTGCATCACCAAGCGTGGCTATGTTGGTATTGTCCCTGGGACTGCACAAGTTGATGATCTGGTCGTTGTTCTCCACGGAAGCGCGGTCCCATTTGTCCTGCAGGCCCAAAAGGGTACAAGCCATTATTACCATTTGGGAGAATCCTACATCCATGGTATAATGCATGGTGAAATTTGCTCGTTCGATGATATTGAGACAAGGTTCATTAGTCTGGCATGATCGTCCGCTATTACCCCAGAGAGCCTTGTTGGTAAGGGAGTTCCACTGCCACATTGAATCAAATACTCGTCTTGGAGGTCCTATGACATTTATAAAGAAAGCATCTTTGACTTGGTATGCCTGGTTGCTGGTGATATTTTCTTCCCTACATGTATGACCCACCATCAAACCCGTCTCCATGCACAGTCAGGTCACTATTATAACTCTTTTACGCCTTCTACTATTTGAACAAGGATATATAAATTCGGTAAGGTTGTGTAATTGTCGAATCCTGGTTTCTATATCGTATGGTTAGCTAATATCCTTATTAGATTAACCTACAGGCTAATAGACAGTAGGTCTAGGGCCCCTGATATCTAGGAAAATCATAAGATGTGGCAATTTGTGATCCCTCCTATATGTTACATACAACCCTGTCAACCCACCTATCTCGGTGCAGCTAAGAAGCTCTATAGCCAATGGGGAACCACGTCCTTTTCATGCACGCTTAGATTGGCAGCTGAGTTGTCCCTTCGTAGTTTGACTCTGCTGCACTTTTCATCCCCTTTCCCACAGCGCACCTCAGTGGATTTCACCATGATGGATAGCTTCCAAAGCCCCGTAGTTTCGGTCGCCTTGTTCGGGGCACATTTACATTTGATGGTCTTCCGTACTAGTTTTCCCTGTTGAAGATTATCTATACCATCTGCTAGCCTGGTATATCTGAGCACTTGTTGCCGCTAACACCATACTATTAACCTGCAGCGACCTCTCACCGTTGAGTTCTCTCAGCCATGTCGACCGGGCCACACGCGCATTGAATTTCAGCCTAGCCACCAGCATCGTCATCTATTGCTTGTTTTTCCACCGTCTTCGTCGCTTTCCAGGCCCACCCTTGGTGAGCGTAACCAGCTTGCATGATGCCTATATTGCCTGGAGAACCCTGCAATACAACGTGAAGATTAAAAAGCTCCATACCCAATACGACGACTTCATCCGTACCGGCGTGTCGCTATCTTTGCGCAAGAGCCTCTAAGGGGAGATACTGGTTGTTACCCTAGGAACTTGAGAACTGTGTATCGTGTGAAAATCAGCCGTTCCTCTCATCTTCCGTCCTCAGTCCAAATTCCGCACCGCAAATCAACGTGGTACGCACAGGTTAGCGCGACCTCGAAGTATTGTTCCATTCACCAAACCCGTGACTTTGATGACCACCGGAAGCGACAAAAAGGCATGAGGTCTCGGTCTTGGTATAAAAGGTAGGTACATATTTTAAACTAGCTCGCGAACAGAACGGGGATTGACGGACAGAGAATACTGCAATACTTGGGATTTATGTGCCACGCATCAAATTTAAGGTAGACCGGTTGGCCTCGCATATTGAATCCAATCTCGCTTGTCCTATTGACAGAACCGCGTGGTCTATGTTTCTGACCGTCGACATTATGGGAGATGTGTGGTTTAGTAGAGAGTTTAATAATCTGATAACTGATGTCGAACTTCCTGCGATCAAGGGGATTCATGGGCGTATGGCGTTGCTTGGTATTTTGCGTATGGCTGTGCTTGATATTTTGGGCGATGCTCTGGGTTTTGAATATTTTTTGTAGAATTCCTGGCGCTGCATCTGGTTTCGCTGCGTTTTTTGCGTGGTGCAGTGATGAGGGCGATTGAAAGCGCGAGGTAAGATAACTTTAGTGTGACTTGAATAAAAAATAAAATAGGCTAATACTGCGGCCTTACAGACACTCTGGATAGGCCCGGGATCCGAACGAAACCCCGAATGATATGGCGTCATGGATGCTGAAGGCATATATTGAGAAAGATGAATCGGTATCGCCGTCTTTGTGCGCCCTTCATGAGGATTCCCGCAGTGTGATTTCTGGTGGGCAGGTGAGTCAGACTATCAGGCTGTGTCCGTAGCGAGATTACTGATGACAGCGACACTACGGTGACTATGCTGGCATCGGTCCTTTACTTTCTGGCTAAGTATCCCGCGGTGCAGACCAAGCCCCAGCAACAGTTGGATGAAACCATGCCCGGGGGGTCCCTGAGAAGAGGTAATGTGGTGAAGTGTATCTCTTCTCAGATGCAATATATGCAAGGTATATTAGAATGCGAAAGCCGTGGTGGAGCTAACGTTTCCCCACTGGCCTCCCCGGCCTGCACCTGTAGTCTACTATCACCTTATTCTGTTTATTTCATGTCAAAATAAGGCCACACTGACCTAGGCACGTATGCGATTATGGGTAGGATAGCTGCCGTCTCCATCTACCTATCTACCAGGATGAAGGGTGGGCTTTGGCTTGCCTAGAAACCAGGGCTTTTGCAGACCCTTTTCAGCAATGGTGGCACAATGGCCCAAGGTCTCAATTTGTTGGGAGAGCATCGGTCGTCATATTCAGAATGTCTCATTGTAGCGCCCCTATAATGACATATAATATCATGAATACGTAGACGGCTAAGGGGGTGAATGTGGCGAAGTTCAACTCTCAATCGATTTACACAAGATCATATACCAATACCAATACCAAGTAGCGTGACAAGCATCACTTCTGCTCGCACCAGATGATACAACGATTTTTGGCGCTGCTTCTCAACGGCCCTCATAGTTGTGCCCCTAGACACGCTTTGTCTTTCACTCGCATGAGAGGCTAAGATATGAGAGAGGTATATCTATACTACGCTCACAAATGTATAGCTGTGGGGCACTGCTTACCACATTTTTAAAGTATTAGAGAAGTAAATGGATTTCGCTGCACAATTATACCATGTACGACCGTCCGTGCATGTCTGATGCGTAAGGACGAGGATAAAAACTCCCAGATTCTCAAAATCATTCCAAATATAGGCCCACACGTTGAACAATCGATGCGTAGCAATCATTGGAATTAGAGATGAGCGATTTCTGGTTCTATCTTCTGCAAACCCAGAGGGTTTGGGGGAATCACGGTTCGATAGCGAATGCTTTGTTCGCCCAAAGTTCATGCAACATTCTGATGCTGCTAAGCTACAGGCTGTAACACACCTATTCTGACAACAAAGCAAACACCTGAGACCTGTTTCGAATACCCTCCACCACACTGGAGAAGCAGGTAACCATGGTGCGGTCAGGCTTGCCAACTACTTCAGATGGAAGGCTGTATAGCTTCGAGCTAAAGCCTCTCTAGAAGGCTAGACATGCGATGTAGGCCGAGGAAATTGAAAGGAAGAAACGCGTAACCGTTCCCGGAGAGAGTATCTATAAAGATATGAATACTGGGCTTTTGCTTCAGTTAAATGTCCAGAACTTGGTCTCTTCACTGTGTACTACACTCATAGACCCAACGCCTGTATAACAGATAGGCTTATATGTCAAAAGAGCTATTCCTTCAAGCAACCTTTAATTACGCTATAATTAAGGTTCAGTTACTTGAGCCAACTTTGCAGCGTCTTGTTTCTGTCTCCAAAAATCGAGACATTAGTATTACATGGCTCTTGCGAAAGTGTAAGCCCTACGCCACCATACACTATATATAGCCACGACGTTCCATGCGCCGTCAACAACCAACGCAGTTACGACCCGACCATATTGTTTCCAAATATTCCTCAATTGCAATGCTTTCCCCTGAGATACCATTAAAAATTAGTGTACCCATTAGATTAAAGAGGCTCTTCGTGCTTACATGAGCTAAAGTACGGAAGACCATAACCGCAGAGTAAGCAAAAAGAATAAGCAAAAAAACGTCGTGGATCAGCGAACACAGCCTTGTACCCATTTGACCCCCCCCAAAAGTAACAAATATTGCACCTGCTTCAAATGGGTCTCTTTATGAAGAAAAACGGGCCTCGCCCGGAGAAAGTACCCACAGACACAGTCGTTCCTGTGTCATTCACGGACGACCAGCCACACGCTCGCGCGTTATGCATACATCTGACCTCTCGATTTGACGATGTGCTCGATACGGAGGCCCTTCGTCGGGCGCTGAACCGGCTCTTTCAGATTAAAGGCTGGCGTAAATTAGGGGCGCGTCTACGACTGAATGTATGTTGCCCATTCCTTGAATTGTGTTGTCCGGTATGCAGAACGCGTCTAACTCCCATCAGGATGGCGGCAAGCTGGAATATCATATCCCAGCACATTATGATGAAAAGCGGCCCGGGTTTGATTATACGGTCGCTCAGCATGCCTTGGGAATCAATGACCACCACCTAGGTGCCCAGTTCCCCAAAGCTACAGTGCAACCTGCGTTGGTCGGCTGTCCGGAAGACATAGCACCTGTGTGTCTGGGACCTGACTGTCCCAAGCAGATAGAGGACTGGCTTTACTCGGATAGACCGCAGCTCGCGATCCACGTCGCGTCGTTCGACAACGCGACCCTACTAACAATCACCTTCCTACACACGCTCACGGACGCGATGGGCATCGCCACCTTCCTAAAGGCATGGACCGCCGTCCTCGATGGCCGCGAAGTCGATGTCCCGATTTTCCAGGGCATCGACGAGGCTCCAATGGAGCAGCTGAGCGAGAGAACCCCAGCAGAACAGTACATCAACTACAACCTCATGCTCAAACCCCTTGGCCTGATCATCTTCGCTTTCTGGTACATCCTCGACCTACTTTGGAACTGGCGCGAGGAATTCCGCCTACTCTGCATCCCAGGCCACATCATCGATGAACTGAGAACCCAAGCCCTCCACGAACTCAACGAGCAAAACTCACAAGACCCACCCACCTTCCTCAGCGAAAGCGACTCCCTCCTTGCATGGTGGACCCGAGCCCTAGTCAAGGGGATAAACCCCTCCCCAGACCGGCCAATAACACTAATGAACGTCATGGACATCCGCGCAACAGCACTTGACGACCCCACCTCCCTCAAAACAGCCCTCGTAGCCAATGCAGTCATCCCCTCCACCACCTTCCTACGCGCCCACCAAATCCTCCACCAACCCCTCAGCTTTGTAGCGTCCCACATCCGGCGCTCGCTCGTCCAGCTGCGCACAAAGCCGCAGATCGAGGCGTTCCTCTGCGCATCGAGGGCTCACGCAGCCAAGACAGGCCATCCGCCGCTTTTTAGCGAGTCCAGTGCCCTCCTTATCGCCTGTACTAATTGGCATCGAGGCCGGTTCTTTGAGGCGGACTTTTCGGCGGCGGTTGTTAAGACGGGGGTTCCGCTTGCGGAACGGGTGAATGGGCTTGGGAGACCGAGTTTTGTTATTCCGAATGGACATACGAATGGGATCTCTATGCGGAATGGGGGGTCTATTATTGGGAAGGATGCGGAGGGAAATTGGTGGTTGGCATGGACTTTGAAGAGACAGGCGTGGCTTGTTATTGACGAGGAGTTGAGGGTCTTGGGTGGGAAAAAGGGGCAGTGAATGTTGTACTTGGATATAGAAATGTTGTAGAGCGTTTGTAGGATAGACTGCATAGGTGGTTGGAGGGTGTAAAAGATAATATAAAGAGGGTTAAGATAGGATACCAATAGCGCAATTCTCAAGATATACATAGTTCATGAGCCTATATTCGCTGTAAAAGGATTATATGGCATCTTCTCGTTACGATACTTCATGTTTGAGTGAACTTCCCGGCCTTTAACAGGTCCGTTCATGCCCTGACTACATGCAAGGTCGGCTTAGGCGCAATATAACGATCTAGTGGTCATTCTCAGTCAGCAAGATGTACGTCAGCCATACTATGATAATTGGGGGACAACTCACAACTCTCTGACAAGAGAACTTCATTCCACAGATTATCAGACTCCTTTTCCGCAGGTTGATCCGTGTAAAAGAAGCCCGCCAGTAAAGATCGTGCCTTTACCCATTCATCTAACCCAAGACGTTGAGCCATGTCCGTTAACCGGACAACAAACCAGGGATGACACTTATACCCCAGAGAAGCCATGCCACCAATGAATAGAGTCCAGAACAGCAGGTCCGGAGCTGTCTTCTGGAAATAAGGCATCCTTGGAGCGAGACTCTGTCTCAAAGCCTCTACCATGTATTGCATGAAAGGGAAGGTCTGGAAATGCCAGATCCGCAGATTAATGTAAATCAGCAGCGAAAGGCGCAGAGGCTCCTGAAGATTATCGGCTTCCGCTGCGTAGCTGAATGATAGTAGTTGATGTTCAAAAACAAGGAAGAGGTCATTGTCAGTAGGCATCACGATAGATGGTTGACGTTGTGCAGCTTCGAAGTATAGGATTAGTCGTCGAAGTACCTGAAGTAAGGTCTTCATTCTAGGAGCGAGCTCCGAGTACCAGGGAGCGTTAAAGAAGTTCTTGCCGAGTGAGGATAGGTCTCCCGGGATTTGAAGACTATCATTTGCCCGGAAGACTATTGACTCTTGCAGGATCTCACTTCGGAATCTGGCGGACATCGGGAAGGTGGGTCGTGAGTTTTTCAGAGCTGCGCTTTTGACGTCGCTCCTATTTGTGGTTAATTTGTATACGTGCAGTGAACTGGGGAATGGCCGTACTGGTAGATCTTGGAAAGGGTCATGTGGTCTAACGAATCCAGGCCACCCAGCAAGTCTATAAGCCTTTTGAGTCCCTTCGTGTGGGCGTGAAGAGCCTCGACATTAGCATCAACAGCCTAGACACAGAGGATTAGTGAGATGAGCACTGTTAATTCGAGATGAGCTATATCGTGAGGCTAGGTAATAGGTGGGCTCACCTCAATTGCCACAAGGGAAGCTACGATAAGAGTGGTCGACTCAGCGACAGCCTTTACGGGATCTTGAAGAATATGGTTCAGGGTCTTAAGTGTATCGCCTCGAAGGCGAAGCGAGTCTTTAATTGACCGTTGAATGGCGGTGGATGAGACCCCGTTGTTGGATTCTAGAGTTGCGTGGTGGCCTGCAGTCAGGAAGAGAAGGGCCTGGAGCAGGGCTGGCTGAGTGATCGCCCTCTGCCACCACCAGATACTCATCCGTGTGGAATCAAGGGGATAGCATGATGCGATAGTGTGGATCCTAACTGCACTTTGCATCAGCGGAGGGTCTTTATGAGGGTTGTAACCCAGTCAAGATAACGGATGCGGACAAAACCCGGGCTGACGTACAGTGATGAAAATACAAATTCATCGAGTCCGTCATATTCACTGCCGAGGAAGAGAACGGGTCCACATAGCCCTGGCTGAGATATGCCTTCAGAGACCACATCTCAGCTATCTTACTGATCTGCTTGGAAGAGCCATTATGGTTTTCTGTCTCCTCGTGTTCCGTGTTCTTGCGCAATAGAGTGTTGAAAGAGAATGCGTTCGTAGCATCACTTGCTAGTGTGTGAGCGAGCTGTAGGCGCGCTTTTGACAAGGGCTTCGAAGTCTTCAATCTATCGATAGAGGCCTGCTTCTGCTTTTCATGGTATCTCTTCTGGAGAAATGCCTGCTTCTGCTTGCCGACTCTTGAATTGCGCGTTGTGTCTGCCTGGCAGTCGACAAAGAGAAAAGTGGACTTAGAGCTCTCGTTAGGCCTCGCGGTCCTATCAGGCAGGCTTGTGGTCTGAGATGATATCTCTGTGAGAGAGGAAGCGTCCGATTCAGGAGGCGATCGTGAAGAGGCATATGAGGATTCTGGGGAAGACGACATGTTGTGTGTGATAGTGGTGTAACCGTGAGCCTGGGTTCCTCAATAAAAAAATCTCAATCACATAATGAGTACACAGCATCTGGCCGTTATACGCAGTCGTACTATTATATGAATGAGGACCGATCTTTCGAACGATAAGGAGAGGACTTTCCGTTTCAAGACTAGCAAGACGCTGTCGAGTAGGGCTATATTAAGCCACTAGGAAGGCCCAAACCAATCACAACAATTGACCCAAAGGCTCGGCTAGGGAGGTATGGAGCACTGACAAAACCCCTCCAACCAGACAAACGTATGCAAGAGCTAGATACCAAAAGCGTAACGAACAACTGCACGATCGTGATATCTGGAATGTGTATATTGGTGGAACGGCGACCAGCACTGAAAGCCTATCACGCCAAGGGGCCACCAGGAGCGATTAATATCCCGTCAATAATCGGAAACCAGCCCAAATTATGTACACAGACCACCAAGTCGCCCAAAATCTTCCCTGCGCATTAGAAAAACCACATTTTCGGTCATTGACGATAATCATGAAAAAAAAAACAAACGACCCCGGAAACAAAGGAAAAGTAATTAAATAGAGCATTGCAAGGAGAACGATTCAACAAAAGCTGGTGCATGGGAAACAACTAACTCGGGCTGTGGGGCCTATCATCAGTTACTTTTTCCAGACGGCGCCACAAGTCGTCCAAGCCTCCTGCTTGTCCAGAATACGAAGAGACCAATGGTGGCAAGGGCTCCTCCACCAGGATGGCAGCGGAATGCGTTGAGTTGGGTTGTTGTAAGACGGATTTCATGATGCGCCACCGCTGACGCAAAGCTTGGACCTCGGATCGCAACAGCTCATTTTCTTTCAGTAACCGACAGACTTCATCTGTTCTTTTGGTGTATTGATCCGACAGGTTCCGGTATTCTGTTTGGAGGCTCTCGGTCTTTTGTTGGAGGCTTTTCTGTCGTTGTTCCTTTCGCTCGCGGAATCGACGCTGTGCCTCACGGTTTTGCATGCGGCGTTTGACCTATCACCGGTGATTAGCTGAACATTGTCAAGCCGTGACTAAGAAATAGGGTTCAGTACATTCTTAAAGTCATTTTGAATGATGGCGTTAATCAAATGTGGATCCAGCCCGTGGCCATCCTTCTGAAGGCTAGACTCCGGAGGCGTGGTCGGCCCGGTGGTATTATCATTACTATTGCAGATGGCAGTCATGCTGATCTCTCGGTGAACCCCAAAATCATCCTGTAAGCGTTGTCAGTGAAACGGCGTCGAGCAACAATGGAGACCCACGGGCACTTACTAATCCATAGGCCAACTCCAAAGGAGCGCTAGCGTTATCGAACATGGACATGTAAGGCGACGAAAATGGTGTTGGGCTCGGAGTATGGGCCGCCATTTGTGACGGGTGAGCCATGCGCATAGAGGTCTCCATCTTGAGCGTTCAATGTAGAGAAAACGAGAGACGAGGTAGTTTACCGAGATAGTTACGTTTCTACTTGATCGCGGATGGGGACATTGGGACCTTTATATATTTTTAGGTCTCCACCGTCCATCATAAGGAGGAGAATCAACTGCGATGTCTACAACCATGTTGACCATATAGAACCCAGGAGGGCATGCCTTAAAAGGGACTAGCCCAAGAGCACGGCTAGGAAATGCCGGGATGGGCCAATGAGAGGGCAGAAGAGCATGCCCCAAAGTAGCTTAGCTCCTACTCCGCCGGAGCTGATTGGCTGTAGCCAGAAGACATGCCTGAGGACATCGACCGGGGCTGAAAATCCTGGAGAAGATAGTTAACCTGTCCCCTCGGGGAGTTTTCCTTGAGCGAATTATTTCACAATCTTTTCCGAAGATAGCATAACGTAGGCTTTCTAGATAACGCCTGGAAGATTGGCAGGAGATCTCACCAATAGCTTATTTGTGATAGTCGAGACGCCATACCACTAGTGGAGATATACCCTATCCTATTCGCAACAGGCAGTTTGACCCTTACTTTTTCAGGCGTATTTCAATTTTTGGTTTGCTGCAAGGATTATGATTATCGCAGCCTTTCTATCTAATTCCTATCTTTCGTCTGACGTTGCAACGGGAAGGCAATGCTAAAGGGTAAAGGAAAAGTTCCGCGTTACTTGGAGCCGCACTTCCGGATGAGCCACGGAATGTTTACGATGTTAATCCTTGATATGTGTCAGATAAAATGGCTGTACGTGACCATGATCATGTGATTGAAGAGGAGTGAAAAACGAGGCCCCGAATGCACGATCAACATAAGTAAAAAAAAGAATCATAGATATCATCGGAATAATCGATATCTCCAAGAAGAGCCCAAAAGGCTCTAGACTAGATCAGTTTAAGACGTTACATGAATCGTATCCTGTCTCTTATTTGGGACTGAGCGAATATCTGACAATATGCAATATCAACATCGCTGCCTAAAAGTATTTGCTACTGACGTACTACAGTACATTCCATTGGTATAATAGTGGGCCGTGTCTCATTCTTGTTCATATACAAGCTCTAAATTAAGGTACAAACAAAAAAGGTCTGACGATAGGGCTGAGTAGGATAGTTTGTATATCTCCGGTCTCCGTTGTTGCCGAAGTACTCTTTCTTTTCTTTCGTTCGTTCGTTCGTTCGCTCGTTCCCTTGTTGCTATTGCTCTTTGTTTCTTTTTTCTTTCTCTCCCTTCCTTGAGTCTTTTATAGTACAAAGAAAGGGCTATAGAACTTCCAAGTAAGCTACCTAGTCTTTCCTGGCTCTCAATGACATAAGTGAGATAGGATACGCGGGGTAGGCCACTTCATTGTCCTCATTTCTAACCTACTTCATTCCTTTCATCTTCCGCCTTTTTGTCTGCTTTTTTTACGTTCTACTAAGTGTGCGCGGAAGCCGGTTGCAAGCTTGGAAATTGGAAATTCTGGCCTATCCACTGGCACAAAACGATGTGTCTTAGTAAAGACGCATTTTATAAAGTCGGGGTGCGGGTTAGGCTAATACTGCTATGTCATCAAACTCAACCTATCCCCAGCAGGTTCACTAGTACCAAAGCCCATCATTTGGCTTGAGGCCTTGCTTCTTGCAATGCTCATAATATAAATGAGCGTAGCTGAAAATGTCCATCGTATTCTTCAGAGTATCATCATCATGAAAGAATTCCAAGCTGCCCGTGATTGTGAAAACCACCTCCGCCCCTTTCCCCATATGTAATGTATGAATTGTTCCCGGGTTCTCAACAACGTAGTCACCTGGCTTTGCGACCCAATCATACCTGGCAGTATTTAGCGGGGCTTTCCCGTAGGGTTAAATAGCTGTAACAGGATGCATACTCCTTGTAGTTCCATTGACCTTTCAGGGTAACCGCAGTCACAGAGCCCCGATGGCGATGCTTACCCAACCAAGTGTCTTCCAGGCTGCGCAACACGACCACGAAGGTACCGGTCCGAGTTTCAAATCGCAATGGCTTTAGCTCGAGGTTGTTGAGCCATGGATGCCAGCAGGTGTCTTTTTCTCCATCGATATAAACGTCCGGAGAGCTGAATTTGTCAGCGAGTGCCAGCTGAGCCTTCTCCAAATCTGATAGTTTAGACTCCTCGCTGTTGACTATTGCACTGCTTTTCAAGGGGACTGTGTGGGAGGGGAGAGCCCCATCGGGATTGGATGAATCAGGAGTCATGATAAAATGTGGTCGTTTGTAACAGTATGATGATTGTGTGCTACTTGGATTGGAGAGAACTGAGCGGTTTGCCCAGGAACTGCTTCTTATTTATATCGAAGCTCCCTGCACGTTGCCAGGCCTAGACCTGGCCCTATGTGACATAGAGTGGCGGTCAATACGTCCCCGGACATCGATGCGATGTATGTGGTCCGACCCCTTGCTTTCGGGGTATACCAGCTAGAATGCCAATACACAGAACGCCACTATAGAGCCATAGTATGTTTTTGTGTCTTGTATCTTGTCGCTTCACGCTCGGCTACCGAACAACTGGTAGGTTTATGTTCGGAGGGTAATCGAGCCGACAAGGGTCCCTCCACTCGTTCTCCGCGTTTAAATAGGTTGTCCATTCCAGCTTACCGGAGGTGATCCGATCCATCCAGAACTATAAAGCATGATTAACAAAGCGTTCTTTTTCGATTAGCAACCACCACCCCTACGATATGAACTTGACTACATATTGTCATATAAACCGCTATAGTGGATCCAACATTTTCTCCACAACTTTCCCGCATCTACAAGGCCCCTTATACTTCATGGACTCCACAGGAAGATTAAGAGTCACGTTAATATTCTGGAATGGTACTTTATCTTATTGTATATAAGTTGTGAAAGTCACTTTCGCCTGTGTCTGGTCACTACTACTAACAGGAGGACAATCCAGCCATAGGTCACTAAACTTGTTGGTGTGGAGTTTAGGCCTAAACATACTTGGTCTTCAGAGCGATACGAGGGGACATGTGGGCGATAAAAATTTAGTAAATTGAAAAGATCCAATCATGCATTTCGAAAATTCCAAATAACATATAGGAGTACATGGACGGTCAATGATATCTCGCCGACTATTTTTTAGCATCCTTTCCTTAGGGCTTGCGGCGAAACCAGGAAACCCTCGAGTCGAGAGTTATATGGAAAACAGTAGTGTCCTTACGAGACCAAGGTCTGTTCGGGCATATGCCCTAAAACAAACGTAGTGAGAGGAAGGGAAAATGTTAAAGAGCCTGTACGAAGGGTGTACGCAAAAAAAAAAAAGCGTATACATACATATCTTTCACTCTTAATTGGAGGCGGGGCCCATTAGTACTCCATCTGTGCTCCATCATTCTTATCGCCAAGCCCCTGTAAACGTTAGCCTTCCAACCAGTTGTCCATGAGAGCGTGCTATGGACTGTTAATCGGAGTTTTATCCTCATACTGTAGCTGCCCCTGCGAGGCGGGGTATAACAGGGACCCCGCGATTTCCTGGTGCATTATAAGTGTGAGGGATTACAGCTTCATCTTGGAGAGGAAGTACGTGCATCCAACTTATAACTTCCTGCTGACACCGAGTGCGGAACAATCCTGCTGCATCTTCCTTATTGTCTAATTGGAACGGGCGAAGGATGAGACGCTCGGTGTGGATGTGTTTGATTTCCGAGGGTCCCGGGAAGATAACTGCTACTTTTTGTGATGGGTAGGCGGGAGCGTCAAGGGGGTATTCCTCCGTTGTTGGTGCCATGCTGGGGATGGCAATTTGGTATTTAGGAGTATGAATCTTTAAATTGAGATTTGTGCCAAGATGGAGAGGAAGTGTGTCAGAGCGAGTTTGATTATATATGACTGTCAGATCCTATTGGAGCCTAAGGCAGCAACCACGTGACCTGACCACAGCACCAAGGAATCTCTGTATGATAGACTTAGACCTTAAGACAATCAATCCCATACACGTGAGCTACACCAGCTCCATCATGACACGTATGGCCTCCGCTCGTATTCTGATCCTATCACCAATCGTCTGCCAATCAAACGTGTTCTGAGTCACCAAAGGGCCTATCTTGGCATTGTGGACCTTTGGTGCTTGTCCGCAGGAAAACGACACCTACCAAGACCCTGATCAACCATCCTCTGGGCCAGGGTACTAGGAGACTCCTACTTTATTCGTCCCAGGCTAATGACACTGAACCATTTCAAAAGAGATTTACCCAAGCTGTTTCAATATAATGGATCCATTAACGTCAACAGAGCGACCCAGTCGGGCTGCTTCACGACCCAACACGACAAAACGTAATCGCATTCCGCTGTCCTGTACTTCATGCCGTATACGCAAGTAAGTAACTGTCTTCCAGTTCCAAGAGACAGAATACTCTACAAGTCAATCCGGTTCTGATGCTGCCTTAAAGGCTGCGGTGCGATCGCCAACACCCTTGTCATAATTGTACAGCACGGGGAGTCGACAAGCTGTGCATGTATGCCAACGGGGCGGGAAATGCGAAACGGGGAAGGACTACGAATGGTGCCACATCCGAGATCAGATCTAAAAGCCCTATTACGGGCTGGCTTCGGGACGAGGATCTTTTCTATCGAAGCGGTACCCATTGGGATAGTGTGTTGGCTGAAGTGTGCTCTCATATCCTAACGCACCGGCTAATTGCTAATGTGAAATTCAGCTGGCGTCATTGAGATTGGCAGAACCTAGAAAGCTGCAAAGCAACGGTGCAACTTTCCATGATACCAGACTCACTGCAGCCAAGGGCTGTCCTTCCGGGTCTCCCGATGAGCTTTTGACAGTGATGCCATCCCGTTCAGCGGCAGATAAACTTGTCGAGACATTCTTCGACCCTTGTTGCTTCCTTGGACCGATAACATGTAATTATGCCACTGAATATCCACCTAGCGTACCATCTAACGAGACTCATAGGCGCAATACATTATCCAACGTTCATGAAGGAGGTTTGTAACCATAGCCACGGAACGGTTACTACTGATCCTCGCTGACTAGCGAAAGTACGAGCAACACTGGAGGAACCCATCATCTAGTCCATTATCACGACTGGCCCTTCTCTACGCCATCTTCAGTGTGTCAATAAGTTTCCTGCAAAACGAAACCGACAACTACATGGGCTTGTCCGAAACACTCGCGACACTCTACCACACAAAGTCAGGACAGTGTCTAGCGCGTATTAGTACTAACAAAATCTGTGTGCAAACCCTCCAAGCCATGCTCACTCGCTCTGTGTTTGAGTTCTCCCTGCGGGAGGAATGGGGCGCGGGTATAATAGGAACGATGGGGTCTATTGTGCGTCTAGCGATGAGGCAGGGCTTGCACCGCGATCCATCTCATTTCACAAATATCACTCCTTTCCAAGGTGAGATGCGCCGCAGAATATGGACAACACTCGCACAATATGACATCCTCTCGTCTTTCCATCTCGGAATGCCGGCCGCCATCCATACAGCTGACTTCGATACCAAGCCACCGCGAAACCTCCTCGATACGGATCTCGAAGAAAGCATGATCGAGGTTCCACCGGAGCGACCCTTTACGAAGGATGTTCCAATTGGGTACATGCTTACCAAGGACAGTATACTGCGGGTGATGAGGCGTGTAGTCGAATTGCTGAACTCAACCGAGCCGGAGGTGTACGAGAAGGTGCTACGGCTTGACAAAGACCTGCTCGATGTGTATACAGGGATACCCGAATACTTACGCCTCGGCAGCTGGGACGATGCGCGGAAAGAGTCTCCATTTTTAATTATACAGAAGATTCATATAGAGACCCTGTACCATCAAGCGGTATCTGTGTTGCATCGAACATATCTCCGTGGGGCGAGGACGGACCCCACTCTTCGTCTCTCACAGCAGCGATGCGTTGATTCCTCGTTAATATTACTTAAATACCAGGCTTCTATCTATCGGGAGGCTCAGCCGGGAGGTTGTCTAAGCACAACACAGGGATATAGCATCACGCCTGATAGCGAGAACTTTAGCCTCGCGGCCATGGTGCTTTGTTTACATCTTCACTACGTTACGGGCAAAGCACACGATGAAGGCTCTGGAGATTGTGATCGGGTCAGGTATATATTTCAAGCCCTCGAGGGATCGCGCGACATATGGAAAGACCTAGTGGGTGGTCGTGAGGAGACGCGAAAGGTGGCTCTTGTACTCGACACTATGCTGGATCTCCTGCGGCCGAAGATTTCTCTCGCACATGCCGACTTATCGTCCTCTGCATTAGATCAAGCGCCTTCAAATGGCTATACCTTAAGTGCCGGAGATGCTCATTTCGCAGAGCACGGTGTTACCCTCAATGATGATCCATCTACTTATATTCTACAATCACACCGAGCCCAGGATACCGATAATGCTACTGCGGCACAACCCAACATAGATATGACTGGCTTTGACTGGGTTCGTATACATGGTCTTCCTTGAGAGCACTAGTCTCTAACATGAACTCTAACCAGGAAGCTTGGGACTCCTTTGTCCAAGGCGACGATTTTGAAACCGCGTATTCAAGTCTTCTACTCAGCCTGGAACCAGCATCGCAAGATGAGAGCCTTGTGAATTATCTCTCCTGATAAGCGCCTATGTCGTTCACAAATCCGTATACACGTTCTGAGCGATGGGGCCAATAGCCTGGGCCCAAGCATCAACGGCTGCACGCGGCATCCCATCCGCAACGTATTTCTGAACTTTTCCATCTTTATCCACGACCTTCAGCCCTCGAACTACACTTTCGACATATTCCTTCACCGGCATTCCCTGCGGCATCTTACCACCAAAGCGTTCCGCCAACTCATCCACGTGCGCCGTGTCCAGTTCAGTCTCCACATACGGTGGAAGTATCTCCACAATACTAATCGGCGAGTCCTTGAGCTGATTGCGCAGGATAACCGCAAAATGATGCAACGCCGACTTTGTGGCACAGTACACAGGAAACGTGGGAAACGGTATAAGAGCTAGACCTGAGGTAACGAAGGCCAGGAGGCTGGGCTGGCCCGGTCGCGACGCACGGAAGTGCTCGATCACTGAGCGGGCCAGCACGGTAGGACCGGTGAGGTTTGTCGTGATCTCTTTGGTAATAGCCTCCGTGGCCGGGTATGTGTTCGAGGTACTGTCGGGGTTGCTATAGTCCAGGAGTTTCTGGATGCCGGCGTTGACAATCACCGCGTCGATATTGGGGTATCTGGTGAATGCTTCGTCGATTTTGCCGGGTAGGGCGTGGAGGTCTTGGACATCTATCTGTACGATAGGATTAGTGGACTATTGGGCCGTGAGGGATTGTTCGTTCCTAAGAGAGGGTAGTCAGTATACCTGGATGGAACGCAGTCCCGGCAGCTCAGCTGTTAGGGCATCGAGCCTTGCAGTCCGACGGCCTGAGATGATGACCGTCTTGCCTTGTGCGTGGTATTGGCGGCCCAGCTCTTCTCCGATCCCTGAGGTAGCTCCGATAATTAAGAGAGTTCCAAAGTTGGCCATGTTGTTTAATACCTTTTGTATTCACCTCTTGTTATGAAGATGGATTGTACTATGCCAGCCTTGACGTTCGAAGAGGCTAGTATTTATAACCTCTGGGGCTAATTGAGGCTTTCAAACATTGGGTGTCCTGATTGTGCCTCTATATCTCCTCCATGGAGTTAAGCACTGGGTTTGTTAAGAATCCTATACGGATCATCTTGCTCTTCGCCTGACGGCCTTATCCCCATGGAATTAACAGGTGGAGTTGCTACCCGTTGCCTGATTGGTTGTTGGGCTTCAACGTCTTTTCCATAGCCAATCATAACAGCCACGACCCACATTCCTATATGGAATCACCTGAATCTGTTGTTCTAGAGATAGCCCAATTTCTGCAGGTTGCCGAAGATTATAGCAAAATAAACTAACACGGTAGATCATTGTTATGTAATCCAAATGAAGATACTTTGCCTACTGGCAAATTATAAAGCCTTCGAAGCTTCAAAGTCTTGCCTGCAAATGGCCAGTGCATGCCTAAACTCGTCAGACCTGGTGTCGAGATTCCGATCTTTTGGCTACCATATGGATGCAACAAAGTCAGCATGTGTGAGCCGGATAAAATAATGTACTACGCAGTCCAGGCCCTTTGTTGCCAGGTAGTACACGGGGGATAGAAACGACCAATCTCGTAATAGTGGGCCCCATTCTGGAGACATACTAAGATCGGCACGATCTAATCCTACTCCTAAATCCAGCCGCAGAGCGAAGCTTTCAATCATTAACAACTATCCAGCACTTTGCGAATTGAACTATATATATAGCCCGCTTGACACTAATATGGGTATGAGGACTATCCGGCTGTCGCCTGTGTCGAACTAAAACACGCTAACTCATCTCTGATCGGATCTAGGCTACTGGGAGGTGCGTATATTCGCTTGTGCGCTCCACTGACTATTTCCCCCGGAATCCTAACTATGAGGCCTAGGTTCCTTGTCAACTTTGCGGAGTGAGCTTTAACATCAACCGCATCCGCTCGAAATGGGAGCCGCGATCAGCAGCATTCGGGGCTGGCTGTGAGAGAGCCTGGGTTGACGGACGCAATTTCATGAAAGATGAAGAAGACGAGGAGGAGCAAGCACAGTATCTCGACCAAGGCGAAGAGTGCTCGTCTGAGACGGGCTGCTGTATGGTTTTCCGAGAAGCCGATGGGGCAACTCTTCTCCCGAAACCACTTTTGTATGAGGATGATCCGGAGAACGGCATCCGTGCTGATGATCCTGATTATGAGTACCGAAGTGGATCTGATGATGAGCCCTTAGAGTATGACTCGGGGGCGTGTGATGGGGAGGACTTGGACGATGAAGATGTGATCATGGACCTAGAAGAGGATACAGATGAGCCTGAATGGACGTTCAAGGTTTCAGGCCCTGACCACCCGGAATACGACACAGAGTTTCTCCCTCTATCGACGAAATTGGGCGATCAGATCTGGACTCCAAATGACGATGGTACGAGAACGATGAATCAGGAGGCCTATATGAAATCGAGATGTTTTGAGCATATTGCGGGTCCCGGCTGTCGGAATCGCGAAGGATACCTGGGAAGGAACGTTTCGGTCGAGGAGATGAGAGGCTGTCATACCGTTCAGTGCCTTATTATGAAAAATCCGGACTGGGAACCACGGGGTGGCGATCTCGAGTTTGAGCACGAGAGCCAATTTCATCTCACCGGAGTCACGGAGAGCATGCCGTCTTCCGGATACGGCCTGAAGTTTGCGCCTATTCGGCATGGCATCGACAATATTCAAGCGCAAAGCGAATCATTCTTTAACCCGGTATATCTCTACTATTGCTTCAGAGTTACCCTACAAAGCCTCCATTACTTACTTAACAATAGGGCCCGGAAGAACTAGCACAGACCGGGTTGCCATTTCACCCAACATGCTTTGAATTGTTTATCCAGGCCAGCAAGCGGTATATGAACAATAAGGTCGACATTGATGGGTTAGTCCATATTCGGGATACGTCATGTCTTCAACAAATTGATTTCCCAGTTATCCACAATGAGCACGTCGACGCAGGGAAAGAACAGTGTTGGATTCACAACGTCGGTCATGAATACCTAGTTGCGAATCCAATCTTCGTGCCGTCGTTCAAACCCATAGTTGAAGCTGCTGTTTCCACCGAAGCAAGCTTCAGCGTGCAGAACAGCCCTTTCGAGAGCCGGAACAGAACCATTGCAACAGCAAGGAGTCAGGATCCATTCCTAGCACTCCCAATCGAAATCATCCTGAGCATTATTAAGGATCTTGGGTCCACCGATATTGCCACGATGCGGCTCTCTTCGCGTGCCTTTACCCACTTACCTATTTCTGTTTGGCATCGCCTGGTCATCAAGGAACTGCCTTGGTTATATGAAGCGTGGTCTTCGGATCCAACGCCGTACTACTGGGCTACGGTCATTGCTCGCGACTTACACAAGGAAAAGGAATCCCACAATAAGTGGGAGCGCGATATGGAAGAGCAAAGCCTTGTCATCCTGGAGGACATGCCTGAAGTGCACGCTGAATGGCTTCATAGTAGGCCAAAATGGACTTGGCCAGATCTCCCGGATAGACAGGAGGTACTCGACTTGAGTCCGGTCAAATTAGGCTATCACACGACTAACTGGTACAGTCTCTACCGTGGCATTACTGTTAATTGGAAGCAATTGAAAGGGTTACAGAACCGCGAGAGGATTTGGGATGCTGTCCTGCAAGTCGTTGGTGCAATCCGGGAGCATCGTGGGGGACGTCGTTATGAATATGAATTGGTGATGTAAGGTGGCCGTGAGAATAATGATCCTATAGGTCTCCAACTTGATCTTGACTTCTTATCTTTCCTCTACCAAATACTGCGTTGTAGCGGCCGGATACGAGATGACTCAGTCCGGTGGGCCAGCTCCCTTACTAACACGTAGCATTTTTCCTCGCTATAAGCATATAATACCCACAATATTCACCCATCAAAAGCCGTTTTTCATACCCCCTAAAATACCTCATAGAGCAATCATGCCTACCCTACCACTCCTCCCAACCCAATCCCAAACATCGCCGATCCAAACGGCTCGGCTAGTCCTCCGACCGTTCCAACCGACGGATTTCCCGGGACTCCGTATCCTCCGCACAAGTCCCGAAGCCATGCGCTGGGCGCGAAAGGGCTGCATCGACGAAACAGACGAGGAAACAAAAACCTGGATGAACCGCTATATGTCAGAACCTGGCTCAGATGACCAATCAAGCTACAATTTCGTAGTGCACCGAAAAAAAGATCCGAGTTCCAGGAGTGAGTCAGAAGAAGCCGATATCATCGGAATTCTAGGAATCGCCTGCAGGTCGCCGTCGGAAATGCCTGAGGTTGGATACTTGTTTCTTCCTGCGACGTGGGGGATGGGGTATGCGACGGAGGCGCTGAGGGGGTTTGCGGAGGCGTGGTGGAAGTTACCACTTCCTGCTGGTACTTCCGGTAAGGAGGCGGAGGAAGTGGGAACCTTATGCGCGGTTACGGATAAGACGAATATAGCGAGTGCGAAGGTGTTGACCAAGTGTGGTTGGAGTGTTGTGAGTGAAGGTGTGGAGGATGATGGAGTTGCTGTGCTGAACTGGGTGCTTCGGCGGCCGGGTGTTTGAGATTGCGAAGGACTTGAGTTCAATTGCTCAATGGTATTTAATGGGTGGTTTACGAAGTTCAGGTGCCTTCCTGTATTTAGGGATTTGATCTTGGTATGTATACGTGCAGAGATAAAGTAGACGTGCAACGTCTGTGATTAGCTCCATTTATGTACGAATGATATGAGAGTATATACGAAGGTTACTGATGGCTTGCAGGTCCAGCTAAAGCAGAATGACAGGTAGCTCGCGCTAGAGCATATCATACAGTGCACCCATGGAGTCATTCTGACTCCCCGCTTGCTCACTTGAGCATGGTGTGGCCTTTGACCGATCGCTTCGCCACTTTTGTCGTAGAAAGGCAGCACTCTTGGGTACTGTATCAGACTGCCAGATGCCGTTTATTTGTCCCAATCTTGTGCTGATAACGCGTTGTTGTGTAGTCACTACTGTGCAGAGGCCAACAATGAAGAGGGGCCAGCACAAAATGTTATTTGAAGGTGCGTCGGGTGGTAGACGTCCCAGATGTCTCCACAAATGTCACGATCAGTGCTTGGATGGAAGCATCACGGTTTGACATAAGTGGATATAGAACATTTTTGATAGTATCACGCAGGCTAGACGGTAAAGTTCGGATGTGATTGCATTGTTGAGCCAGTCAATATCCACATCTTGGACGACTGAACGTTCTGATTTCCAAGTAGTCAACTGTTGTTCGATCATTACAAGCTCAGTTTGAGTGTGTGACTACTCATGTCTCTCAGAGAATACTTTCTCCGCCGATATAGATATTCGAAATATAGACATAAACAGTCGCTGAGAGCTGCCCATAACATTGCCCTGTTGAAGATATTGAGTGACAATGGGAGAATCAAAATTAGAAGAAGCTTGACACAGAGACAGCTTAGAGCCATGGGAGAAGGCCGCCAAAGAGCAAAAGTGACAGAAGAGCTCGAACAAGAAACTTCGTAGCGCCACATCTTTGGGGGGGGTAAAATGGAGGCGCCAAAGCAGGAGAGGAACGGCGGCGTTAAGATGCGGCACTATTCGTGTACTATCCGTGAAATCCTGACACTTTTACTTTGGTTAGAGAAATCTCACAAGAGAAAAGGCGAAACCAGTTTCTCTGTCATGATGCATACCTCATGGAGACACAGCAAAAGCACTGCTAAAGGCGTGTTATCTGGTAAATCTCAGAGGCAGGATAACAATAATTGCAGACCTTTCTTTTCACTTACCAGATGCAGGCAAGTTGGGTACAGCCATTGCGGTTAGTTTCTCATTCAGAGTTCCCTGAAGAGCGGAAAGAGCTTTTCCATAGTACTCGACCGCCACTGCTCGTACCTCGACATCATCATGGTGATATTTGACTAGGTCTGCCGACGATATCATAAGACAGTAGCGGAACAATGGACTTTCAGTCACCGTAGGTAGCAAATAATGTACAAAGTCTGTTCTGCGTGTCCCGGTTCTGGTTGATAACTACCTTGGGCTGTAGTCATTGAAATGAGAAAGTAGTCGATAGGCCAAGGTGGGCTTTGGGATGGCAAAGACATTGAGCATGATCTGTACCGCTGACGGCAGCGGGATTCCCATAAGGTACTGACGATAGCGTGGCCGCCGTGTTCTCGCAGCCAGCTTGGGAGAAACCCACTCACAGGAAAGATGATTCCTGACACATCCGCTACATACAGGCAGGTTGTTGTTCGTCGCACTTTTTTTTTACGGTGCCGACAGATTAGTCAACTAGTTCGAGATCAGCTCGAACGCTTGCCCTGAGTACGGCAAAATATACTGTTTCCACTGCGAAAATTTCCCCCAGTAGGCTATTTCCCAAAGGTGGTATTTGCAATTTATGTAAGGTTGAAATGGTAATCGCCAAGACGAAGTCTTGGGAATCAGGATACTTACGGATCGAAATGTGGCGCTACGGAAGATTAATATAATTCTAATTTGCAGAAGCGTGCGTTGTATTTGGTGAAGGGGACCAGAAAGACAAGCAACTGATATCAAGAGAGAGATTTGGATGAAAGGTTTCTCTCTCATGCTGCGCTATACCATGTGAGGTATCTAGAAGTGGACCCATTATTTCCATACTGATTGGTCCGAATGATTAAGGCCCTCTACTATTATACTATAATAGATCATGCTTGGATGATAATGATGAGATTTAGTTATGTCTTTCTTAGTATTATGATCCACACAAGGACAGGGCATCGAGTCCAGGCTAGGGTGAAGGCTGCTTGAATTGCATGTAAGGTATCGTAGTGTGCATACATTTTGTGAAACTACCGGTTTCAGAACATATAAAATAAATCACAGGTAGCGTTAAGTACCTATTCAGCTCGGTGAAAGTTTTCCGTTCGGTTTGTTGGAAGAGACTGTTTTTATTTTGTTTCGAGATGTTCAAACTCCTTATCTGGCTGCATTGCCAACCGGGTGTAATCCCCAGGTCTTGTTGAACCGTTCGGAACGTGGAACCGCCTGTCAATGCGGCTAAGAGTCAAAACACCTAGGATAAGAATCTCCAGTACGAAATTGAAAACGTAAAAGGATGCCTTAGAGTGGTACCAGGCTGGGTTCATAACTGGCCGGGGAGGGGACCAATTCGCACCAGCTTTGAAGCCAGCGATAAGGATGCATAAAGCCGACGAGAGGGACACGATCGCAATCTTGCTTTTCATCCCCCCTTGCCCAAAGCATTCCTCTTCTGGTGACTCCGGCAAGAGGAGTGCACAAATGACGTGGATAACGGGAAGACAAGTAAAGACGAGGAGGTAGGTTATGGCGGCGAGTTGGACATCACGGCATTGTGCTTGAGTATGCATATCTAGCGTGTAGGAGGAAACTACCGTAGCAGTGATAACCATCACCAGAGCTCCAATAATGAAGGCGTAAAGAACCCTGGAGCCGTAGCGCAAAATAGGATGCCAGCCGATGTGCGGTTGTTTGGCTCGGAGAATACGCTGCGCGAGAATGAAATTGACAACATAGGCAAGGAGGACACCGGCATTGACCAAGATGTTAGCCGCAATAGCGAGTCGCACATTGTGTTTTCGATTAGCCCAGGCTATGCGCAAGATGAGAGTGACAATCCTGGCCATGCAGAAGCCAAAGAGCAAGCAAGACAGGACGAACTTGTGGCCTCTTCGGCGGTTGATTTGAAATATTGACATGTTCGTCGCAGCGAACCCAATATACAATGTAATGAGCACCGCGCAAGCGGGAATATCCGGTATAATGCTTGGAAGGCCTCCCAATCCCGCGATTTTTGATGCATACGGTCCACTGCGGATCTGCAGAGAGGAGAGCATTTTGACGAGACTTTGGTAACGGCAATGACTTTGGTAGAGTCAATTCTATGGTACTCACAAATCGTGGCAGTGTATTTGATATATAAAAGCTGTCTCTCCTTTGTTCTCACGGCTATATAATCATGATCGCAGTCCGGACGAATTAGGGCTCCGCGGACCAAAGTTTCGTCCGGTCCGAATCTCACTTCCAACATTCCTATGATCCCCACTTCTATGCTCCTCTCAACAACCACTCTCTCGAAACTAGGCGTATAATCTCGGTCTCGGCCTTCGGTTGTGTCCGTTCGCCATGTCGAGCTTCGGATTACGGAAAGGAACGAAAAGCTGCACCGAGTGTACGTGGAATTTCCAACTCTACAAGCAAACCCTTTCTGATATTGTAAGATAGGCAGACGCCGAAAGGTTCGCTGCATTCGGGCTTCCAAAGACACCGACTCTTGTCGACAATGTGAGGATCGCGGAGTAGCTTGCACTGTGCAGGTGTCGACAAACCTGCGATCATCACAAAACCCGCGGTTCTCTTCGCGACTTCGCATCGCTCACCTCGAATCTCAGGTCGCCCAATTGACAAAGGTGGTTAACGAGATTGAATTAAAACTCAGCCATAAGCCATCTCAAATTTCTCGAGCGCAATCTGGTCAATCTGCAAGTCCTGATGACTCTGAAGGGGAAAGTAGTGGCCTGGACATCCCTACGGCCGAGAAACCATCACACCTGCGCTCGCTCTTCCAGAACGACTGGCTTAGCGCTGATACATGTCGCCCTGAGCAGCAAGGCCCGCAGCGCGTGGATAAGGTCTCTGCACAGCTCGCAGTGAGTGCTCGACCAAGGCTTCAGAGCATGATTCCAACGAAGGACGAGGTTTCAGATATTGCAGCATCTGCATACGATTGGCTGACCGTGCTTCATGCAATATTTCCACAGCCGTTGATGCTGAAGTCCCCACAGGAATTGATGGAGAGCTATGATTCAATATGTAGTGCAGATGCAGACGTTATCGCGTTAGCTTCGTGGCTTCTCACTCTTGCTCTTACAGCGCAACAAATTCATCGCGGTCGCGAACGTTCCGATGTATTTTTACGAAAATGCCAAAGGCGTTTCGAACTTTGCCAATCCATTATGAATATTGTGGAAAATACATTGCTCTGTCACGACCGATTGCTGGCAAGCAGCCAGGGACTCGGAATGGCGATACATTTCGTTCGACTGTGAGTGATTCCTCTAGAAGTCTTTTATTTGCTTCCCTTACTCTTTTTTAAAGGCATAGTCCTTGTCTTCCAGCTATTACTCTCATCTACAGTCACTGATGCGAACAAGTCAAATTGGGCGGGGATACTTTCAGAAAGCTTGGATTACATTGCGCCATATTATCGCGATTGCGGAACTAATGGGCTTACCGAAGGTTTACCAGGCGGTACAACTTAATCAGACAAGCGGCACGGATGAGGCCGCGTTTCACAAATCCCAGCTGTGGGAAGTGATATGCAATGTGGAAAGGCTCTTGGGGATGATCCTCAATCTTCCACCTGGGACCGCGCGGTATCAACTCACAACTGCTTCTCCTCTCAACGTACAAGGAAGGGTTCAGCTCCCGACTTATCTCACCAGGCTCCTAGGCATTGCTGCTAAGGTCTGTGATCTGGATGAGCCTGCTGGCGCACAGGGGCCCAGTATGAAGACACAGACGGCTGCTCTGGAGATGGTCCGAGCTCTCGGTGAACTTGCCAACCAGGCACCAGACGCATGGTGGGCAGGCGACGATCGAGACCACATCATGCCTGACGATATCGTGCAATTTATGCATTGCTGTGCTGTCATGAGAATATATTTTCCCCTTGCAATGCACCAGAACCTAGGAGACGAATTTGTGTATGCCCAGCTACCCTGTATGAATGCTTGTGAATCGGTGGCGCGACGATATTTATCACTTCGGAGAAAGCTACCCGCAGGGTTGTTCATGTCTCAAATGTTAGATCTGCAGGCCCTTACTGCAGCGGCTGTCCTCCTGATCCTTTCTCATCACATCTGTGCTACAGATCGTCCTGGATTCCGTGTTAATGTACGACACCTTCACGGCGTGGTCGCCGAAGTAATGAACCTCATCGGGGAAAGATCCAAGGACCCCACCAATTCGCAACTTACCGTGGAGGCGTTCAATACACTTCGCGCACTGAGCCAGCTTCTTCGACAGGATGACCACATATCCGAGGTGCAGAGGTTAACAGTAACAGTGCCATTGCTAGGGAAGATACATATCCGACGTAATCCCCGCCCATTACGGCAATCCGGCGTATCTCACCAGTCATCCCAGTTAGCGGCGAGCGCTAACGCTCAAAAGTGGAATGTGATCCAACCTTCCCTACGGAATCAATCTTTACCCAATACAAACACTCCAATGAACGAGGCGGGTCCGACGCCCGAGGAATTACTGTTGGATGATCTTTCGTGGTCAATCGAAGACACTTTTGATAACCTCTTGGAGGGTGCTTTCTTGGCAGAAAGTATGGATCAGCCGAGCTCGTGGCAGGGCATGAATTTTTGAAAATTTCGGTCACTCCACTTTTACGAGATTATTTCATTCATTCGGCTCCCAATCATTGTTATTATATCCTGGAAGTAATTCCCTCATATTGGTTATGAATAGGGGATAGACTTCTATGGCCCAAATGAAAACTTTATTCGTCGGTCAATGTAGTTTATCACAGTTTCAATATCACTAGAGACTATTGCCCAGCGCTCCAGCTAAACAAAGAAACAAACTCCCGTTCATGAAAGAGAGCAGGGGAAAGAGAATCCACGGTGCTGAGCCTGCTACATACTAATTAAGCTGCTAGTAGGACTATATCTCACTCCCTTCTCAATTATTTATATCCTTAGCATATGACAATTCTCTCGGAGGCTTTCTCTTCATCTTTCCTTTTGTCTCTAGCTGTGCAATGATTTATCGGGCATGGATTATTATTATTGCTCTATACATCTCAGCGTTGGTTACTGGCAGCAGACCTTTATTCGATGAAAACAAGTACTTGCACAGAAATACGCAATGCTTAGCGTAAGGCAGGTGCCGTTTCGACGACCTCGCACTCCTTTGCCAGGCTCATCGCGCCCTAACTCACCACAACCCCGTACACCACCCTAAGGCGGGATTGTACCCAAACCACCTTCTCAATACTTGCTTGGTGACTGTACATACGATGGTGATAGTCCGGGCTCTGGGTTTACAGAGTATATAACTGGACTTGGATCTATGTCTGGAGTTTGATACTGTTACCAGTCGTCTTTATGCGAAGGCAAATGGTATCGGAATAACGCAAGGTTGTTGCATAGGCTACAAAACTGATTACCTTCAAGACAAGCTCGTGTTTCATTGTTTTTGCACTAACGTGCCAAAGCGCATGAAGGTGAGACTGCCAGGCTCAACCATAAGAGGGGGCTTTGTATCATTTATCTTAAGTAGGCGCTTTCTAATACTATAACTGGACTGCTTTCTAACACCAGCGCAAAGATCAGGTAGTCAGGGCTGCACTTGAGGGTCGGTCAAACTGCTTTGATCAGTTCTCCATTGATCGGCGCTGGGAATTATCGACGAGGGACTGGATAGCGAGCTGGTTCGGGGCACGGGGTAGAGGTAGAAGCTCCAGCAGTAGCAACTTGAGGATGGCAGTTTCAGGACGTTCTTAGGCAGCTATTGAACATTATCCTTTTCCGGGGCAAGCTGGAGTATGAGCATTCTCTGCGATGGCTGGTGGTGATGATACTCTACACGGGTGTGGCTGGTAGGGCTCAATCCCCTTTCTATCTTCGGAATCAAGGCTTTTTTTCTTCTTGTCCTATCGAAATAATAATAGTCAATCCTCGCTAGAGTTGGCATAACCTATCCTATCAGGCCTCTGTAATTTCCATCTATATACTCATTATAGAACACTAATTTTTGGGCATCTTGAAATGTGAGATGGATAGGCTATTGGCAGTTTATGGTTCTCCGCGTGTACATGATCAAGGCCGGTATGCTCACTCCTGGCCACATATAGTGCATCCCGACAAGTATATCTCCACATTCTAGGCAATTCTACCCAGTTAGCAAGTGGTTTAGTCTGAGCTAGATACAGGATATACAACAACATGCACTGTTCCAATGCAGGCTTCATCGTTTACTTTAGCGGCATTGGGATATTAGTGGTGGGACCGACCACCCACCGCCTTTCGCCGGTGGGTGGTCGGCAGCGTAAAGGCATTTTCACCGTAAAGGCAGATTTTGAAGCAATTCGCATTTCAACGCCTAGAACCTGTAGAATCTATAAAATAAAGCTGATTATGCGATTCCTCTGCCTTTTCACTATACGAAGCAGGACCTTGACCTTCCACAGGGGGCGCGGGGGGAAGATAGCCATATGCCTCTTTATATGCCTTATCTGTCTTCTTCTTCTTCTTCTTCTTCAGCTCATCTTTGGCCCTTCTCTCAGCAATAGATCGATTTGCATCCCGTACAGTCAGTATATCACTATTTGAAAGACCCTGAATCGCTCGCTTGGTGGTTTTACGCTTCTGAGATTCCTGGACCGCTTCAATTTGCTCTAAAGTAGAGTTTATAGCCGCGAGCTGCTTAGATTGAACTTTCTGCTGATGAAAAAGGTGTTCTAGGCAGCGCTCAACTCGCGGAGAGATCTCTGCAGATTCTAGTAGATAAAATAGCTTCTTTTGGTTCTTTTCAACCTGCTGAGAGGTCTTAGGAGGTGTATTCTCAACACTTGAAGAGAGAGGATTAGGAGGCGGCGTAGTCTCTCCGTACGCGCGTAGATCAGGTGCAGAGATCTCTGGCAGAGGTGGTAGAGTATTCTGAATAGCTTCAATAATAAAAGATCCATCTGGAGGATAGATACCGCGTTCCCTAAAGGAGTCGCGAATAATTTATGAGTTGAAGGTCTTCTTGTGTACGGCCATAATATCACTTAAAAAATTGTCCTTATCTCCTGGGACCCCACACCACTGTGTAATAAGATTATTCGCACTTTGAAAATGTGTCTTATATGTAAGAAATGGTTTTCCATCAAGCGGTTGGCAGAGGTGAGTTATATGAGGTCTAAAGCAAAAGGAAAGAATCTTATAGGTCTTGTAGAGTTACAGAAATTCAACTGTTTTATAAGAAGTATGACTGTCAAAGATAAGCACACGTTTTTCTTCCTTATTTATACAATCCTTAGTCTCCTCGTGGAATCGATAAAGCTATTCAATCAAGAGTTTATCATTTATATAGCCTTTTTCGGAGACTGCAGTATAGGCATCCGGTAAATTTATGTCATACCAGGCCTCCACAAATCACTTGCCTTTAAAGATAAAAAGCGGCTTCATAATCCAATTATCTGCAGCAATACATTCAACCGTAGTTATATTCTCTGAATGCTCTGATTCTGCAAGATCAGGAACTCTTTCTCTTGTACTAAGGATATTTTGTCTCTTTCCTTTGCCTGGTTGGAACCTGCATTCATCAAAATTATACACAAGGTGAGGATGGATTCTGTTAAGCAAGTTTGTAAGCTGATTATACCAGAATTGAAGCTGTCCAATATCCTCTGTATCTAGATGCTTTTTCTCCTTTGTTTTCTGCTTTATTGGACCAATTTTTAAGTGTGGAGGAAGTCTTTTAGCAAAGTGATATGCCCACAATTAATTAAGATATTGTTTAGGATCAACACGGTGTACAGTGAGATTTGCCCATTCAAGAAGAAGTGAAATTGTAACCGGAATGTGTAAATCACGCATTTTAGCAATCCACTGGACTAAGGCAGTCTCTTGATACTGATTTAGCGCTTTGTTTGTAGGTGATTTAGCTGTACGAGGCTTTCTTTGATCATGGACGCGGCCGTAGAGTGTGCGGTAAGGGACCCTGAATTCTCGCGCAGTCTTTGCAATATTAGGTCTATTTTTTTGCTGAATCGCTTTAACAGCCTCATCTACACGCCCATCGTGAATTTCAGATGATTTAGGCATAGTGGGTAGTTTGTATAGCTTCAAAAAGATGAGGAATGCAAAATCTGCCTTTACGGTGAAAATGCCTTTACGCTGCCGACCACCCACCGGCGAAAGGCGGTGGGTGGTCGGTCCCACCACTAATATGTGGTGTGGACTAGATACATGGTCGGTCTCATGTTCAGGTTTGATATCATGAGGACATATTCATGCAACCCCGTGCCTGTGGCAAGCTCCGAGACTCTTTACATCATGAATAGCTATGTATTACTTTGCATTCTTTCCCCCTCCTTTTCTGTTTTCTTGTTTCTCCGTTGCTCACGTGATAACTTCTATCCTTTCTGAGGCATCAGGGCACGTGCAGAGAGGTGGGTCAGGTGCCCAGATCGGCTTTGGGGACGGAAAGGTCACGAGCCAATGAGAAAGCCCTAGTTGATGGCGAAGAAATCCGGGGAAGCCAGAGGTCTTACCCGCGGGTAAAAACTATTCCGGGTCAGCTAGGGGCAGCTCATGGGATTCTAATTTCTCTAGAAAATTATTATTGATGGAAGGTATATGTAATCCAGCTGACCCGGCTGGCTCCTGGCAATCTGCCGCCCGTCGGCTGTTGGCATCAACTTGACAGGTGTGAGATTGAAACCGTCCAACAATCATTGCATCAAACCATTCGGCATGTAGTAGCGGTACTGGTTTTGGGTCGACATCCCCCACACGGACAAGCAGCCGAATGATTTGCCGTTTTCCCCCAAGTTATCCAGACTTCCGACAGGGTGTATATAGACCCCCAAAGGGCCTGTCGATTTCTTGATTCATCTCATCTCCAAATCCTCCAAACCAACTCCGCCCAGAACAGTTCATTCCACATATATCTATACCTTACCCAATCGCCACAATGTCAACCAATCCCCGCTTCGATCCTAATTTCACTTCTTATGTCATCAACTCCATGGGACCCAACACCTCCGAGCGCACTCGCGTACTCTTGGGCTCTCTGATCAAGCACATCCACGAATTTGCCCGTGAGGTTGAGCTCACCCCTGCAGAGTGGATGCTTGGAGTCGAATTTATCAACTCGATCGGCAAGATCAGCACTCCGATCCGCAATGAATGCCACCGTATCTGCGACGTGATCGGCCTGGAATCGTAAGCCAAGCGGCGAGGTCCACGCAAATATTCAATATAAGCTGATTGATTGAGCCAGGCTCGTTGATGAGATCGCCAACAAAATCGTTACCGAACAGGGACTCTCGCCTACTTCCAATGTCATTCTCGGCCCCTTTTGGTCGCCCAATGCTCCCTTCCGTAATCTCGGTGACAGCATCATCCAAGACCCTAAGCCCAACGGGAGAGTCACCTACATGCACGGTGTCCTTAAAGATATGGAGACCGGAGAGCCCATCGAAGGCGCCGTCCTCGATATCTGGCAAGCCTCCGCCAACGGCCAGTACGACTTCCAAGACCCCACCCAGAGCGAGAACAACCTCCGCGGCAAGTTCCGCTCCAACAAGAAGGGGGAGTTCTACTGGTACTGCTACCACCCTACGCCCTACTCTCTCCCCACAGACGGCCCGGCCGGTGTGCTCCTCAAAGTCATGGACCGCTCTCCCATGCGGCCTGCCCACATTCATCTCATGATCACCCACCCCAACTACGCCACCGTCATCAACCAGATCTATCCCAGCGATGACCCCCATCTTGACATCGACTCCGTTTTCGCCGTCAAGGATGATCTGGTCGTGGATTTCAAGCCCAAGACCGGTGACCCCAAGGCGGAGCTTGACCTCGAGTACAACGTCAGCATGGCCCTCAAGAAGCACCACCCAAACCCCAACTCAGCACCCCCGGTCTCGTCATTCGAGCGATTCAACAAGACCAACGGAAAACTTTGAACGACCACCCGGAACGCCGTTTGGATGATTTTTGTACAATTAAGCATTTGTCAAATTTCAGCGATGTTTTGACTTTCTGCGGATGGGCGAGTGATCTTGCGGATGAAAATATCACCGGGGCTTATGACCTCTGGCTCATCCGAAAATCATCCCCCAGTCCATTGACCGCCGGCCGGTTGGTAGTTGGATGGATGACCATCAGCGAATCCCGATTGCGGTTTTTTTTTTTTTTTTTAACCCCCTCCTTGCATATGTACACATTGTTTATGAAGCCGTTGCATATCATCATTTGCCATCTTTGTGCTTGTCTTTCGTCGAGGCGTTACATCGGATATCACGTATAGACAGGAGGCACTATCGTCGATCCTATCAAAACAACCACAATATTCTCGCTATCGATCCAATTCATAGATGTAACACTGCGGTATGTAGCATATTCATAGTTGTAGTCCATTGACTCCACGGCTATTTGTCCAAACACTCGACTCCCTGGATATCACCCGCATCCACCATTCTTATCCACATACAATCATGCATCCCTCACTTCAGCTTGATTCTTATCATCCTTTAGCTCATCCCCAATTCCCGCAGTACTCCTATCAAGTAAACAAGTTAGACCGCTACCCAATAGAACCACAGTGGTAACCTTGTAGGTGGCTTCATTAACGATGAACGGTTGGGTAAGACTGAGGGGCTGGGCTCGATTTCCGCACCGTCGTTCTCGACGAATCTATTGTTGTTAGGTGTGATCATCTCTCCGATAGAGGACTCAGGACACAGATTATCTAGATTTAGATTGTTCTTCTTCCAAGTGGGGAGTCTCGAACTGCACTTGGAATAATCTGTGGTGAGAATGATGTAGGGTTAAGGTGATTATCGACTTTGGTGAAGTGTGTGTTTTTGTCGAACTGAAAATGCCTGTTTGTCCGAAAGTGCTCGAATGCAGGTTGAGATGGCTAGAAGTACAGCGTTATGAAAATGGAGAGGTTTAATATTCTCGTCTAAATGTATGAAACCGCTAAGTGAATTGCTGGTGTTCTGGCAGGAAGTTCACACGCGAAAGGGAATATATATACCTAGCTTACTGAGTATATATATATACCAGAGCCTTTCCGCGTTACGAATCCATTTCTTCCGTCAAGACCTACCGTAATATTAATTCATGTACATAAAAAAGAAGACAAAAAAAATGTTATTACAGTGTAAGGCTATTGATGCCCACATGCTCGTTGAGATATGACGAACCATGGAAGTGGAAAGTGGCGCAACGCCATGCCATGTCCGCCCCCGCGAAAGTGTACATTCACATACAGAGACTAAAGGCTAGTTGTCAACCAAAATTACCATTAAAGCTCCGCTATCCGCCACCAGCCTACTCCATTTAGACTAGCGCCTTTGATCATTATCTACACCATGATATTGCTATATTGCCATGATATCGCGTGTATCGCGTCATTTGAATGATCACTCTAGGCCTATAAATATGCTTATTTTATCATTAGATCAGAAATCAGAGACATCGTCATTTCTTCATTGCACCCCTTAGATTTCAGTGGTAGATTACTAGGTAATACGGAATCCCGCATTTCCAATACTAGTAATTTCGGAGTGCTATTGGTATTCATTACAGTACATATATAGCACGTGATCTATAAATCATCACGTGGCAGATATATGTACGGATTGCATATCACGTGCACATCATTCACAGTAAGGAATATCATATATTACTCTTAAAAAGTGATTGACGCCTTTAATGACCTTTGAAACACGGCTCTGTAGACCCTGTATTATATGGGTTAATTAACAGTTTTGGTGAGCAAGGGAACATTACTTTAAAATCAGGTGTACCTAATGCTTGTCATACAGCAGAGCTCTTAGCCATGGAAGAACTAATGCTATGTTAAGCTGAGGTCAATATTATATCCATTCTTGTTTTCAAGACGAACTAGTGACTTGTCTGCTCCTGTTACAAGGCTTGATTAATGTCCCGCGCGGGTTTGAGTATGTTGTACATGAATTTGCTGATCATAGGCGCTAAAATCAATCTGTCTTGCTCAGTGAGATATGTAGTTCAATTGCTGTTTGAAATTATTACACAAATTCCTGCGAAGTTCGGGATACCCGTTGACGTGTCTCGAGGCCATAGCGCGCCCATTCTCGGTTTGATGTGGCCATATAATGGGGCGCTTCACCTTGTTCTATGGACTTTTCAGCATTTTCCATCGTTTGGTTGCATATGGTCCAGATGGTTTTCAACGTCGCCATTCGTCCGGTCGGTCCGTCCCGCTTCCTTGCCCTACCATGATGTCTTCCACCTGTCAACTAATAAAAATTCCCCGGCATGAGCAGCACACACCATCATAGTTATGATTGTACCACTTAAGCGCTAGTTAGGCCGAGCCTGGACTAATGACACCCCTGGGCCTAGTCGGTGAAATCTTCATTTCGCAATTATTAAAAAGATCCCGGTGTGGTTACATTCGTCCTTATGACCCACCCCCCACCCAGTCCAAGAGACAGCAGTCACAGAATCACATTGGTGAGATCAATATTTAACACGCTATCTTATCTACTAGTCGTGTGCTAGGCGACTCGGACCTTCTTGGCCAGACTTGGCACCGTACGCTCCCCACCCTTCGCGTGATTTCCATTTTGACCTGGAATCAATGTGTTGGAAAGATAGATGGGTTTGAAATAATCTACTTCCTCGCTCTCTTTTTCACTGTTGTAGTAATATGCTGTTGATGCTGTTGTAGAATGTCCGCCAGCCTATTCTTACGAGCACGCCAGCGGCTGAAAGCAGTCATTGCTGCCTTCATCATTCTCGCTGCAATAACAGTATTATATCTCTCGGAGGCTCACCTATTCGAGCCTCACATTGAGCGCGTTCCCATTAATTCACCCGCCGACCAACCCGTCTCCCTGAATGACGATACAGATTCAAACGATTGCTATGTGGACCTCAACCTTTTACGATCTTATGGATACAATTCGTCAGCCGGATATGCACGATGGGAGATCGCAGTGAAACGGTCAAAGAGCTTCTCAGGATTCTCCGACTCCATAGACCTTCCCGTTCCGACCTTCGAAGCACTCCAACTAGACACCAAAGACAAGCGGAAGTCACTCCCCGACACTCAATGCGCCCCAACAACCACGATCCACGCGCCCGCCCCAAAAGCGCTGGTCGACGCATCGCACATGGTATTCGGTGTCTCCACCTCCCTCGACCGACTAGACGACTCCCTGGACCAATTCTCCCACTGGGCCGGAGGAACCAATGCCCGCATCTTCGCAATGGTCGATCTTGTCTCCGAGAAGGACAAGTTGGCGGTGCAGGAGCACGCACGCGAACTCGGCATTCGGCTCACGATAATCCCCTCCAAGGAAGAATGGCTAGACCGATACTTCCACTTAACGAAGATTCTCTGGCAAAGCCGCGATTCTCACATGCAGTGGGCGGTGATCATCGACGACGATACGTTCTTCCCGTCGATGTCGAACTTAGTCGACCGACTGGCCACCTACGACGCGTCGCAACCATATTACATCGGCGCGCCGACCGAGAATCTCGAGCAAATGGCGAGATTCACGTATATGGCGTACGGGGGTGCGGGCATCTTCATTTCCATTCCCTTGCTCGAGCAGATAAACGAGCATTATGATGAGTGTTACGAGTACAAGGACACTGGGGATAAGCGGGTATCGCAGTGTATCTACCAGCACACCACGACGAAGCTTACCTGGGACCGGGGACTCTTTCAGATGGACCTGGGCGAGGATGTAACGGGGTTTTATGAGTCCGGGCGCCCGTTACCGCTTTCGTTGCATCATTGGAAGTCGTGGTTTGCCGTGGATGTCGTTGCGCTTGGGAAATCGGCTGCTATCTGTGGGGATGATTGTCAGCTTCGGCGGTGGCGGATATCGGATACATGGTTTCTTGTTAATGGGTTTTCGGTTGTGGAGTATTCGTCGCCTATGACGGACATGATTGGGATGGAGCAGACGTGGGATCCGAGTCCCGAGGCCCGGGATAAATGGTATGCGTTTAGTTTGGGGCCGTTGCGTCCCAAGGACGAGGAGAAGGTGTCGCTTCGGATGAGGAGCGCGATTTTAGATGGGCGGAAACTGAGACAGATTTATGTCTATGAGCCGGGCGAGGATAGTCCCCCTCGGATATTGGAGGTGGTTTGGACCGTGAGCGACTAGAGATCGGATCTTTTCAACCTTTTCCCTGTTTTCTTTGTCTAAGTGAGATGATTCCTGTGTATGATAAGAGGTTTTTGCGGACTAGGTTTCTGTATAGATTTGCTCGAATATGGCGATTACCGGGTTTGACTGTCAAACCTTTTACCGTGGTTTACAGATTTCAACATAGTAAGGCATAGAAAGTGATGAATCACGACTGTGAAGATGTCCCAGTTAATGACTGTACAATCAACCTCCAGGATGACCACGTGAGCATCTAGACCCTACAGCCCTCTCCAAACTCGGGAGTACCATCATTCCTGGGAGCTTTGGGTGACTCAATAGGAAAATAATTTCAATAGGGAGACTCAAGTGGACCACTAATGTGGATATATGCAGGGATCAATAGGAGAGCAACCAATTATCACCGACTTGTTCACGAATATGGAGATAAAGCACAAGCGCGTTCCTGGATCGGCGGTTAATAACTGACAGCACGACTTGATTGCTTGGACCAAGAGACTAACAAAAGATCAACGACGAGGCTTATGCGATAGTGTTACTTCCGAATTGACATCATTGGCGAACCATGCTATACTCCCCTTGTCGATAAGAATGAAACTATGAAACTAGACTACGCAGATGAACATGGGGGCCAGGTTCCTTTGTCCCATGGAGCCGCCGGCGCAAAGCCCGGTCGCACTCGTAGATATTTTTCTTTCCCCTTTTCTTGACTTCTGGCCTGGGAAACGCTGGCATAATGCACACTTTTAGCAGCAGAAAGCTGTCCACTGCTTTACTCATTGTTTGCACGGTGATCTGGTTTTCATGGTCGGAAAACGGCGGTGGTTTCTGGATTCCTTCCGCAAGGGGCCCTGCCAACGACGAGTCGCTGCTCGATAATATGATCAGAAATGCTACCTTAGGGGTAGGTCCACGTTACCCAAATTCATTGTTTCCACGCTACGCAAGGGATGCTCTTTGGACAAACACTGACTGAAGGTGTCTTGCAGTTCGAGAAGATATTTGCGATCGGCTTCAAGCAGCGCACCGATAAGCACGATGCGATCGCTCTGGCGGCATCATATACGGGGTTGGAAGTGGATTGGCTTGAAGGCGTAAGAGCAGCCGAAATACCTCCGAAAGCATTACCAGCTGTTCGTCGGTCCTGGATTCAGGCTATCCTATCGTCTACATTCCTGACTGTGCGATAGGTATGGACGGAGGAGAAGCACCGCGATAAACCCGCCGAGCTGGGAAGTTGGCGCGCCCACATGAATGCTTTGCGGCAGTACGTTAGTGAAGTAAGGAAACGGATATACGTCTTATACTGACAATGCTCTCTGCTGGCAACAGTATCGTGGAAAGTAGAATCGGCAGCGCAGTCCTTATGGAGGATGATTCGGACTGGGATGTGAACATCAAGGCTCAAATGGTCGAATTTGCACGAGGAACCCGGGCGCTTCAGGGAGCCAAGGGGGTCCCATATTCCCCATATGGCGACGATTGGGATATGCTATGGCTGGGACATTGCGGGATAAATTCGCGAGGCGAGCCGAAGTTCTACGTGATCCCTAATGATTTGACCGTAACCCCGCGACCTCACCAAAACGAGTTTGTCCGCCCAGGGCTAGCAGACGACCCGAACTTCGAGAGCCATCGCCTTGTATTCTATGGGGATAATGCTATCTGCTCCTGGGCAATGGCATTCACATACGAGGGTGCCCGTAAGGCATTGACAGCATTATCATACGTCGGCATTGACGAGCCCGTTGATCTGGGGTATAACTTCTTGTGCACTAACATTCTAAAAGTCCCGTATAGATGTCTATCAACTTTTCCAAGTTTAATGGGCACCTGGGCACAACGTGGGCCAGCTTCGCGAGACTCGGATATCACCGACGGCGACGATACGTGGCATGAAGCAAGCTCCCGTTCTCTCACCTATAGCACCATGCTAAACATTTTACCACTTGCGAATAACGAAACGACGATACACGCACAATGGGATGATGTGCCGGCGCCGAAAATCGATCTTGCGACGGTTGAGATACCCCATGGTTATTTGTACATTCCCGATTCTGCATGAATGTCCTATCGGCTTTGCCTTTAACCCTTGTTTATTTCTTTTTTATTCCTTATTGAAGCGATTTCCCTTATGTGCCAAGATTATATGATTACTATTGTGAAAATTGACGAAAGGTGGACAAGTCAGCAGTATGAATATGGATTGCCCTTTGTCACTCATTCTTAGACCATGCATAAGTTTTGAACAACAAAATGAGCTCTACTTGCTTCAGCATAGATTTCCTGTCTTCGTTTATCTTTGTTCAACAGGAGGGTCAATATGTTCAGCTATCAGAAGTAACATGTAGCTAGTCCGCATTTAGTATGGCTGAAGGTCTAGTCTTTGACATAAACGCGATGCAACAGGAGTGATTATGTAGTTTTATTACGACAACTTCAACATAAAACGAGGTTTGACTTGCTGCCGCTAGCAGAGCCAAATAAAACCAAAAATCAATAAAAATAACCCCCCCCCCCGGGGGAAGCGATGGAGGTGGTACTTTCATGTGAGGCTGGTAGGGCTCTTCGAGTACATCTTCCTAGGACTGATTATTTCTTCATTGGAAAGGAAGTATATGATGTCAACTTCACTAGTGAAAAGTGATGCACTGGAGTAGTGGCAGTAGAGAAAGGGGAGTTAGAAGGATGTCGCAGTATTCTGTTACGCCCCTGCTTCCCACAGTCAATTAATTGACAGCTAGCCACAATATAATAAGCCTATTGTGTAAGTCAAGCAAGGAAACATGCTTCTATCCATTCCACCGGCATATCTATCAGGAATTATCCCTGATATGTTCAGAGAATCGCTTGTAGAAAATATTTGAGCTATAGCGCGATGCCAAGAAACGCTCGAGACCCTCACGGTATTTCACTACTACAGGGGGATGCATACGGAATAGTCCTAGGATGACTCGCTGCTTTGCGTATAGCCTACGGACAAGTAGGCTTGGGCTATACCCCCCTATAGGTGAAGTAGTATTCACTTCATGGAGATGGGGGTCCACTTTTGTTGTTTGAAACTTGCGGTTGATATATGCTACGACAGATCTATAATGTGGCTATCCTAGACCATTCGATCGGGCAACATGCTTTGTGCGCATAGCATTGCTGATCACAGTATCTCCATGCCTCTGACTAGCAGGGTGTCGTCCCCAGCGCCGCAGAGATATGATAATTAAGCGCCATTTGGAGTCCAACCCGAGTCACTGGGACGCGGAGGCCTTCTTGGCTTACAGCAGTTAAGGCCGAGTCGTAAGCTTGCCATGTGAATAGACTAATCGTATTGACCCTACACCTCGCCCCTGGGATGAATGACGGTAAATTGCTAGGGAAGCTCGAGATTAGCAATATACACAGTGGAGCTAGAAGGATCATATCATACAAGGGCGTCGGTTGCTTTCTACGGTGAACATATTGTCAAACCCAGCGCGCATATCGGAAACGAAGCAGCTTATGGTCCCATTGTGCCACATCCAACTATTCATCTCGACCAGCTTCATATGTATACTTTGAGCATGCGCAACAAACATTCCAGGACATTCGAGCCCTAGAAATGCCCAGTCGAGTAAGAATACTAGGTCCGACATAAAAACTAATGCAAGTTCCCAGAGCGGATCACAAGAAATAAAGATTTCCCCCACATCCCAGGCAAAGTATCCCAAAGAGGATAATACTTATTTCCCGGAACTGGCTTAATTTTAAAAGTCGCTCTTACGTGGTAACCCGACAAACACGAAACCGGATCTCATCGGTCGTTTTTGGAATGCCAGTTGTCCTAACTTATGCACTGTCGTACCAGGTATTACAGCTATGCGAGGCTTAACTAGAACTAGGAGGTTAACTTTTGAGGGATACTAGCCACGATATACTGTCTACATGCTGGAACCAGAGCTTCCTATCGTGCGGTGCGGCGACGCTAAAGCGTTGTACACCGAAGATCTTCTACATCTAGGATGTCCGCTACTGGAATTGAGCGCTTAATGATACGGGCTCGACTCTAGCGTTCTACGTTTCACACTTGCTATTATGCGGACACGTCTGAAATCTAGGAGTGAGAGCCATGTGACTATAGCTTCAAGGATATGGATCCATATACCAAAATAGATGCTCCCGAAACAGTTTCCCTGGTCGGTGGCAGGACACATCAGGTAGCTGCTTCGGCGACAGGGACTGTATAGGGGGAGGAATGTGATTGGACAGGATGGGGGGTTCTATATGTTAACAGGCCTCTATGCATCATGCGGAGATACTCCGTTACGAGGGGAGCATCCCAGATGATCCTGGCGAACAGAAACAAACGTCTATGCCACTTTATCCCGAACAAAGCTTGGAAAAATATAAGACTTCCTTGCCGCTGAGGACGAGGTCTCTAAGCCTACAAAGCTCTCCTCATATGTCGGATAGCCGCATAGTTTCGAGGGCAGTGTGCAATCAACGAGCAAGAAATGAATATGATGATCTCCTCCACTCTTAGTCTCCTGGCACTTATGGCACTCGTTCGGCATACCCTAATCAACTCCTCGCTCCCAACTCGCCTGAAAGTACACAAGCTTGCTGCTATAGGGAGTGAGCAAGTAGATATGGACTTGACCGAGGTATATGAGAGCTAACTTCTATAATAGTTGTGTAAGGACGGTACACTTGGAACTATACTGTGGGTATGTGCGTAAGTATGGCTGAGTCGTTTATGTGGTTAGCATACACTAAATAGCCCACGCAGGGTGCAACACGTTCGGATGTGCTTGTGAGAGTGGTTGCCGAGATGCATAGGCAACTTCATGACCCCTAGGTCTTTGTATTGATTCACACCATATTTGCATCTTAGTATGGGATATTGGCCTCTATTTTTTGGTTTCTCGTGTACTCATATCCTAACACAGAGTTGCGAGTTCTCAAAGTTTGCTTCGGTTTATATCCCACTATATCCAACGTTGCAGCCCCAAAATCAAGAACAAGTCACTTCCGGATAATTATCGTACAAAAATTGAAAATTTGCAAGAAAATCAGAAGTAATCTCAGGATTCAGTAAATATTAGATTTCATAAAATACATCCAACATGAAAGTTTTTGGAAGTCTTGTTCAAAGACCGTTTTTGAAATACCCTGTCAGTTATATCTCAGAATCTGGATTAATTACTGGCTTCTGATATAATCTGCCGAACTAGCAGTGCCGTAGTTTCACCTCTCTGGATTAGGAACGCAAAGAAAGTCTGCCATAATAAGGCATAGAGTTAGCAAGAAGAGATAATGCACTGGACGAACACCCCCTTTTTTTTCTTTTTCTTTTGCTTTTTGGTTGTGTTCAGTATGCCTCCCCAGTCATATAGTGGAAATCAAGAGCAACTGTTAGCAATACCCACAATCATAAGTGCTTTCAATCACAAGTTCCGATCAATCGGGTTCAGCTTATGAAAGACATTGGCCGGATCATACTTGGTCTTGATGCTTAATAGCCGATCTACATTTGTGCCAAACATGTCTCTGGCTGTTACTATATAACCTGATAATGATTTCAGCACATCTTGCTGTCTCTCATTGGCGCCGAGGAAATCCACTAACCTTGCGTATAGCCGATAAAGTTAGGTACTATGTGATTCGGCTTATAACCTTGGCGTCTTAATTCATCTTCACACAGGCTCTGCATTGATGCTTCCCATGAGAGAAACTTCTCATCCTTACTGGGGTCAGTCCACTGTAGCATGAGCGCTGCATTCAAGAGCTTATGACGCGCAGGGAAAGCGGCGTCCATATTAGAAATACGGCAGACCTGAGTAGGGTCAAAAAATTGGTTTCCAAAGCACTTTTAGCCAGACCTGGCTCATTAGTGAGTTTGCGACCCAGTGTATTCCCTTGGTTATATATTATATAAAATACAATAGGTTACTGGATCTAATTTCTATATACTTTATTCAGCAAATAAGAGATATGCACACAAAGCCCCCATTCACATCCAGCAGACTCCAATATCACCTGCGAACCCTCCTAAATATAATGGAACACTATCAATCACACAGTCGAGTCTATCGCAACAATATCAACTTCAATTATGGGCTGCGGACCGACATGGCAAGCCTCCATTGTGTCAAAAGACTCGATATCCTCTTGGTTCGCCATGGACTCAAATGTGGCAAATTGAAAATTGGTCGAATTAATGACCACCCCCCCGGCCCCCCAAAACCATACCCTCTTCTAACAAGTAGGAGAATCTAGAGTTGCTAGCAACGGTCTGATGGCTGGCTGTGGCAGATCAACCCCCGGAAGTCCATGCGCAAGCGCTCAATACGGAGGAGGCTGACGGCCAAGCAACGGTTTGACGATGAGGCATATGAAAGTATGAGTGGTGTTTTTCCTCACTTTCATGCATCCCGCTCTGTCAAATCCTGGACGCCCGTCTTAGTCTCTGTATGCTCGGTGCTCATGTGCCGCTGCTTGATGAAAGCGCTCGCCACCAGCCCGACAGCCGCGATGGCGGTATACAGTATAAACATGTTCCGCAGGCTCCAAGCAAAAGCGGTTTGCACCGCCCGACGCTGCGCAATATCCTGAATAGACTTGACGATATCCACATTCGCGGCTGCTTGATCACCAGACAAGGAACGGAGAACGGATTCACCAAGACCAGCAGCCACAAGCGCTGGCTGGCGAGCAGTCATCCCATTCTGAAACACCAGACCACCGAGCACGAGCGAGAGTGATGTTCCCAGATTACGAATAAAGCTCAAGGTCGCAGTGGCTGATGCAGTATCGGCCTGACTGACCGTATTCTGGATCGCGATCATGGGTGTTTGGAATAGAAGCGCGGTTCCGATACCGCCGATGATTTCGAACCCGATGATTGTCCCCACAGTAGTGTCGACTCCGAGGTAGATGTATAGTCCCGTTCCTAAGGTCATGAATGCGAGTCCGGCACAGGTGAGCTCCCTGTAGCGTCCAGTTTGATGGATCAAGATGCCGGATATGACATCCGTGGCTGCTTCAACCACCATCATGGGCAGGATCAGGAGACCGCTACGGAGAGGCGATGCTTGTTTGACGCTTTGGAAGAATAGCGGGAGGTAATACTCAATCCCCATGGCGACCATACTGTGAGTAAAGGCGACTAGAAAGGTTGCGTTATTGGACCAGGTATTAAAGATGCCAAGGGGCATCAAGGGGTATTTGGCCAGGCGCTTTTGGCTGAAAACGAAGAAACCTATCATCATTGTTCCGAACACGATCAAACAGATGACCTTCGGACTGTTCCAGGGAAATATCGCGCCGCCGAAGTCCAGCCCGAGGAGCAATAGCAAGGCCACCGCTAGGATGGACATCGTTCCGAACCAGTCAACAGCCTTCATGCCGTCGCGTAGTTTCGTGCGTGGGTTGTGTACATCCAAGAGAACTAGCAGGAGTATGAATGAGAGGCCGCAGACTGGGAGATTTATCCAGAAGCACCACCGCCAGGATACGTGCTCCGTTAAGGCACCGCCAACCAAGGGGCCTGCGGAACCAGCTAGCGCCCAAGTGCACCCCATGAGCCCCAAGTATAATGCTCTGCTTCGCATACTGAATAGGTCGGAGATCGTGATCGCAACTAATTGCATAAGGCCGCCACCTGCTGTGCCCTGGAGGGCTCGCGCAGCAATTAGAGTTGACATGTTCCTACTCAGCGCCGCGATTAAGCTAGCGATGGCAAAGATAACGACTGCTCCTAAGAGAGCCGGCTTTCGCCCCCAGATGTCGCTGAATTTGGCCCATAATGGAGCTGCAGCGGCATTGGCAAGCAAATAGGCACCACCAATCCAAGTATATCCGGCGGCAGAGTGCAGAGAGGCGGATATTGTGGGAATAGATGTTGCGACGATGGTTTGATCGAGTGCCGCTACGAAGAGGACTAGCTAAAGGAAGGGAAGGTGTCTGTTAGTTAAAAGGTCGCTGAGGAGAAGTGCATTGCCTTTGTACATACATTGAGTGCGCTCAAGATGGCGGTGATGCGCAGGCTTGACCGGGCCCTGTTGGTTTCTGCTAGTTCAAGTGGTTCAATGGTCCGCACAATTGACGAGGATACTACGGTATCTGCTATAGCAGGCACTGTCGCCGTAATATCTTGCTCACTTGGCGTTTCCTTCATGCCTGTCATCTGTGATCGAGCTTGATGTATTCTCTGGGCTGAAAGTATGCAAAAACAATGTGGTAGATAAGGTATAAAATAAACTCATCAAGTCATGGACACGGTTGGGCTTTTATCCCGTTATGGTGGGGGCCACACGTTATTACGCCCTTCTAAAGACATTTCATTTTAGTATCTCCAACTATCGATTGCCAGGTATTACCCATAGAAGGAACTCAATCCCTGTCATATTAAAATGAAATATAGGTTTACTGCAGTTCAACATAGTTCGGCACAATAAAACTAACTAAATATCCATAGTAAGGAGCTATAATATAAAGGCGAACGATCGATATATATATACACGATGTATAGTAGGAGCTGCTGGGAACATCAAAATCAAGACCGAACCAAAACAAATCGTTTTAACGTGTCAATCAATCAAGAAAGGCCTCCTAAGGCCCCAGGAACCGCTATGGAGGCCCCAAATCCCCATAGTGGTAGCCTACAGAGCGCCTAAAGTATCTGAAAGCAGGAGGAAAGAAACCAGATATACCTAGGTCTGGGCCTAGGTCCTGAACAAAACCTATGCAAGCAATACCAGTCTCTAACAGAATCACTAGAGGATCAGGAGCTAAAACGCTAGATAGAGCTAGAGTTTATACCGGCCTATATTAATTAAAGAATAGAGGCCCACTCAGCTCGGTATTATACCTATAAACAACAGTATAAGGCCTGAATAAAGATTCTAGAGAAGAAGTTTTAACAGCTCTAACAAGCTTAAGTACCTTAGACAACTTTCTCTATGACTTAAATATTTCTAGCAGCGCAAAAAGTATATTAAACAGCCCTATCTTAGGACCCCCGGGAGCCCAGGGCTGACAGGCAGAGTTTTCCTTACAGAGGCTGTCACAGATTAAATAGCGATCCGGCCTGATGACTGTACAGGATACCCTGACCCAGGTGCATGAACAATCGGCCGCTAACGAGGAACATCAGGCCATACGACAGTTTGGTTTTCAATGGGATTTCCGAATCCTTTAGGCGTGGAGCCTTCAGCTATGAATTAGCGAATCGTTAGTAGTAGTAGGAGGTCAAGGATCAGTCGCCTGTCTAAATAGTATCTACTGCCTGCTTTGATCTTTCCCTCTCCTTTAGCCTACGTATCCTTACCTAGTTGACAGGCCTTCTACACTGAATAGTAGATACCCTTGACAAAAACCCTACACGCAGATTCTGAGGCTCTGGACAAGGCTAAGTAGACACGGAATACACTCACAGCATACTAACCAGCCCTACTAGATAACTGCAGTAGAACTAAGGTAGAAGAGAAGACAATATAGCCTTAACATACACTAACTCAGATACTTCATAAATATACTAGACCTGTAAGGGTGACGCTATTCTTGAAATGTTGGTAGAAACTACTAGCTAAAGCTAGCTATCAATAATATACTAGAGCCAAAAAAGCATAGAAAGCAGGCCTAGAGACTGATCAGAAGATAAAAAACTTAAAATGCCTACTATAGTACTATTCAAAAAGCAAAAGCCAACGCTGGAAAACCTTTCTAATAAGGCAATCTAAAGAGCTTCAGGCAGAGCTGAAAAACAGACTCGGACCCGACAATATAGCCCGATGTTAGCGGGCACTAAGATACTGTAAGCCCCATAATTGGAGCTACTCCAGTGCTTGAGGGCTCCCAGGAAGAACGGGATATCATTCTAAAGATAAAGGAAGCTATAATTAGCGAGATTTATATTCCCTAGAGTCTCTAGAGATAAAGATATCAGGGCTATTCCTCCAGAAAGTGTATATCTAGAAGTTAATTTAATAGAAATTAGAGGGCCCTATTTAGCTAATTAATTTAGAAAGTATCTAGAATAGATCAACTTAACTTCTAAGCTCTCCAGTTATTATAGAGGTGGGACACCACACGTATAGTGGCCCTAGTATGCCAATACTTTAGCTTAGGCCTACACTTACAAGTATAGAATATAGCTAAGGACATCTTGCTACGCAAGCCTAATAAATCTGACTACTTAATAGTCAAGGTTTATAGATAATCAGCCTACTGAACTGTATAGACAAGGTAGTGGAAAAGATGGCCGCTAAGACTATTTCTAAGCCACTGTAAGGTATCTGGGGCACTATATCCAGGACAGATAGAGAGACGCAAGCAACGCAGTGCACTTAATATAATAGCCTACCTAATTTAGGACACTTACTAAGTGTGGAATCGAAAACAGCTGGTGGGAGCTCTTTTTATATACATAAAAGGGGCTTTTGGTCATGTAGATACTGCAAGGCTACTGAAGTATATGCTAGAACTAAGCCTAGACACAGACCTATTACTGCTGGGTGCAGTCATTTCTAGCAGGCCGCAGGATACAGTTAGTAATCGACCAACAGCCGTGTTCTGTACAGCCCATAGAATCAGGGGTTCCACAGGGCTCACAAGTATCCCTGATCCTTTTAACTATCTACTTAGGGGGAACTTTAATGCCATCGAGCAAGCAGTTCCTGGTATCAGAGCATTATCATATACAGATGATATAGGTCTGCTGATATCAGCTAGCTCAGTACAACAGGCCTGCCAGGGGCTAGAGCTCGCTGCCAACATAGCCATTGGGCAAGGTAAGCAACAGGCAATTCGGTTTGAGACGGGGAAACAGAAGCAGTTCTGTTTACAAGGAAGAAGGGCAAGGAGCTTAAGGATCAAGCTCAGGTAGAAGGGTATAGCAAGGGAGACTGCTACGCACAGCCTGGGAAACAGCCTATAGATGACCGAATATGGGTAGAAGGCCCTAAGGCACGAGGCTCATGCAACCTAGGTCAGCACCTAGCAGCTAAGATAGCAAGTGCCTTAAGGATAGATCCCTCAGTAGGATTTAAAGAGGTAGTGGAGGCTTCCCAAGGCATTTCCAGGCACTAAACTAGTGCCTACAGAGGAAGAAGCCCTCAAGCAAGCAATGACTCCTTATAAAGGTCTAACAATGTGGTCAGATGGACCACGCCTAGAGAATGGACAGATCGGTGCAGGTACTTCATGGCTAGAGCCCTCAGGCACCTGGAAGACTAAGCGGGTTTGCCGCTAGGGCAGGAAAACGAGGTTTTTTATACAGAGCTAGCAGGTACTTGTAAAGTACTTGAACTAACTGAGCAGCTGGGATATAAAGGCCCTATAGGGGATTTATTAGACTCCCAGGCAGCTATAGCTCGGATACAAGACAATAGAACTGTCCTAGGGCAAAGCTGGGCGATTCAGGTCTAAGATATAGCTTAAAGACTTAAGAATCAAGGATATCAAATCACTATCCAATAGGTCCCAAGCCATCGAAGTACACTAGGAATAAGTAGATAGATCAAGCTGCTAAGATAGCTGCAGAAAAGGCCCCCAGAGATATAGATAGGAGCCTTAGTCTAGCGCATCTACGCAGAACATGCACTGAAGCAAACCAAGCCTAAAGACAACAACAGCTTGTACAGGCCCTGGAGAAATGATTCTATAGTGGAGAAATGATTCTATAGGGCCCAACAGCGCTATCAACCCCAGAAAAGATGGAAATTAGATCTGGTAGCAGGGGCAGCACCAAAACAGCTTGCTCGTCGATATTATCAGGTAAAGGTTGGACAAGCAGCAACATCGACCTACCTGAGTCAAATAGGGGCCCGAGACTCACCTGGATTTCAGAGCTGCTATGCTCCACAGGGAACAACAGGCCATCTACAGGCGGAATGCAGACAATGGTGCCACCAGAGACAGGATCTGTACAGGGTCCTAGTCAAGGCAGGAGTATCACCACCCAGATGGGGAGAAACAACCCCAGAATGCCATCTCTTTGAGGATCAGAGGGCCACGAAGGCACTAATGACCTTTCCTGCAACAACAAATATTGGCTGCTTCCCAGGGGACGCAGAGAGGGATATAGGCAGTGATTTTAGAGATAACCTACCTTTGGGGCCTAGAGCTGGTAGAAGAAGCAGAAAGTAGATGGGAAGGGTAGTCCGATAGAGGCCCTAGAGACTATCTGGAGGCAGTGGTGTAGGCCACTGCCTAGGTACATGTGCCTGTCATAGCCAATGGCTCGATATGGACGTTAAACTTGAAGAAAAATAACAATAATAATTAATATACTAGTAGGAGAAAATTAATACGATAGATAAAATAAATGTCTGTGAATCTCGGCAATTAACAGGGAAATTTAGCTACAAGGAGGAAAGGATAATGCAGTGCTAAGTATTGAGGACGTCTATATGCCAACACAGGTCACCTTAGATAAAACGGCGAGTGTGTTCAGATTATTTATACCAACAAACTGAGAGTATCTAGGTATAATTCGTCAGATTGTACCTCCGCGCAGCGACTCTATGCTGCTTCTGCTGACATTCAACCCCTCACTTGTGAGTTCCATAGATGAGGAAAGTGGATAGTCGAGCAATCACCTCATACTACGGTTACCAAGGTACCGATTTAGTGTAGCTATTAAACCGTCACCCACTCGCATAGATAGATCATGAGAGTATGATTACGTATCTGGTAATGGGTACCATGAAGCCTTCAAACAGGGTCTTCAGAGATAGGCTATGCAATACTCCGTACTCCTGCGAGATACTGTCACGTCTTAAATATATTTACTTGGGCACGTAATCTGGCATACCCTTGGATGTTCGGTTTTCCGAATAGACCAGCGATTCCCCGATGGGGAGGTGGTTATACTTTCTCGACCCTAGGAATGTAATTTTACAAGCTGCACATTTCTTCACATTGTGAGTAGATCTTGACATCCCTTCCAGAACCGGAAATACAGCATCCACCGTCAAGCTTTCGGCACTTGTTAGCTGAGGGATTTTACCAGAGTTCTTCCACATTCCTTAGACTCTTTCTTCCCCATGCCTATCTCTGGGGTTGCTCGAGGTAAAGAACCTTTTCACTATGGATCTGACGGAAGGACTGGGGGCGGTAGTGTCATAAATAGGCCTGTGCTCCTCATGGACATCGTGCAGATATTCGTAGTCAACGTGGACAAAGGCTCGTTCAACACCACTAAGACCCTCCAGTTTGCGTTGCAGCTCCTGGCTCACGTCATGTGACTCCTGGAGTCGGGTATCCTTGTCCATGACTATGTCCACCTCAACGTAATACTGCTGACCGACATGGTACGCTCGGCACTAGAAAACGATATCAGATATCTGGAAGGAAAAACATATCACACAAGCAAGTAACGCACCGTGTCAACTTTCTGAACTCTCGAGTCGTGAGTCATTGTCACATAGACACACTTGTTGATGAACTCACGGGGAGCGCACTTCCCGATCAACAACCACATGTTCTCGAAGGCTTCAGAAACCCAGGAATACAAGATGAGAAGGGCAATGCACGTCGCACCGATCGGGTCAAGATACCAGACGAATCTTTCCCCCACGATTGCCATGATCAGACCGAACCCGTTCACAGCTAGGTCATTGCGATGATCGATGAAAAACACATGGGCTGCGGGATATCGCCGCAAGCTGTAGCAATAGAGGAATAGACAGAACTTGGAGAAGATAGCCACGCCCACACAGATCAAGGGGACAATATCAAGACTGTCCGAGTCGGACTTACCCGCAGCCAAGGACTTGGCCGATTCGATGATCAGCTCGATCGCCACGGTTGTCATCAGAGCACAGAATGCGATAACGCCCATGGTTTCGGCCCGTCTGCGTCCAACCGGGTACTGGTATGGTTTTGGTCGAGTCGACATTCGTGATGTGACTAGCATTATGACGGAGGAGACAAGGTCCATGAATGCATCCGCTGCCGTCGCGAAAAGAGATAGCGAACCGGTCGATACAGCAGCATACAGCTGGATCACAAACAGGCAGAAGTTCACGACAAAACTAGCCCGCACAGCTAGTTTGACCTTTCCGCCGTTCTCGGCATGGTCCTCCGCCTGCATCTGTTCTTCCTGGCTGCTATGTAAAAAGCCATCGATCAACTCGTTCTGTTGCACGTAGAAATCGGCTTTTTCGTCCGAGGTGCTGACCAGAGGAACCCAACGTTTGGTTGGGTTCACCTCCGTTTTATATCTCAGGAGGCCTAGGGGATCTGGGAGCGTCATTTGAGGGAGGTATGTGTGCGATAAGGTTCTGCCCAGTTAAGCTAGATTCCCGTCTGTTGAGTATGGTAAGGCCCGAGGCAAACCAGAATGGCAATAACCAAATATGTCAAATACTACTCACATAGCAAGAGTACGTTTGTATTCTTTTTGACTTGTTTCTTGTTCTGCAGTGGAGGTTGGTAAGACGTACTTGGCACTGGTAAAGAGCCGGCAGTATAAATCTTGATAACTTGGTGAGAGATTTTGGGGCGGTAGCGACTCCAATGCCCAACAAAACTCAACTAAGGCCAAAAAAGTAACAAACGATTCATGAATCGTTCACTGCAGGGTGGCTTAGCTCTGCCAAGGGTCTTGGAAGCACGTCTAGAACAATAAGAGAACAGTCCTACTCCACATTGCTCCTGCTTAGTACCTTAGTTTCTACAAGCAAAATCTCGTACTGAATATTATCTAGGAGAGAAAATAACCAATGTCCAGTGCTTTGAATAAATGGTATACCCCGTTATAAATATGATCCAATTGAAAGGTAGCGTGTGTGATGAAACGTACTGAAATTGGGGTCCAGGATAATCAGCTGACCCCACTACCGAATAGCTCGGCTTCGGACCCGCTTTATCTTATCAATCTACGAATTAAACCCATCTGTGTGGACACTTGATCAAGCACACAAACCTACAATTTTAGTGCTTACTAGGTCAGGAAAAAAGCTCTTTGCAGATCATTGAAACAGCGAGACCCCTACATTGGGGCCTTTACTGTATATCAGTGAGAAGCTCCGACTAGGTTGGCAACAACTAAGAAAAAGGATTTAACTGCACCGCTAAAGTTCCGCGGTCGGTTAGGTGATCAATTCATAACAGTAGAAGACCAAGTACGGACAGGAAGACAAGGATTAATTGGGCTTTTGGTAGCCTAGCAGGCAGAAGGATTCTTTCCGCTGTTCCGCCTGTTATATAGAAGTTCCTCTGGAATTCACATATAATATAGGCCTAAAAAGTGAAGAATCAGAAGGAAGATACGAACAAAACTCTTGCTTTCTATATATTTCTTTATTGCACAGACCAAAACATGACTTTGGACCTCTCCCTACCGGCTACCGGCTACCTGCACCGCCCTTCTCGTCTATGCAATGCCCACTAGGGTGAGGCTGCCTTTGTGGTGTACACACTCGCATATCTGAAACCAGATGATCTGGAAGAGCTATTACTCGCCCTGAACAAGGAGTGGCTTGACCAGGACAATATGGACCCATTGGTTTGTACTCGGATATACATCTTCGCTGGAAGAACCCTCAAGGATGTCGTTCAGGGTCATGCCATCATGGACATGGAGATAACTCTGCTTGCTTCCTTGCGTTTGGTGCTTAGCTGGTCTCTATCCTAGCTCACAGCATCATTTCAAAAAATGATGCATATATTCAATAAGGCGAAGCAGGAGACAGGGGACACAGACCACCGAAGCTTGGAAACGAACTTTGGTTTTAATAGGATAACGGGTGCTAACTGCAGAAATTGATGGGAGGAAATACTTCTTCTCAGCGATGTTCAGCTTGTAGCAAGGCCATATTCCGTATTATGCAACGGTGGATTGGATGACTTTGCTTATGATCATTGGCGCAGGAGGCGGAATGATCTACAGGTGTGAAACTAGCGTGCGGTTCAATCCAACGATGCGATGCAGTGATCATCAGATTGAGTTGCTGAATCTGAACAACTCCCCGTTCAGAGTTTATCTGATAATTGAGATCAATAGTTGAGTCCAATATGAAGTATTTAAAAGAAAAGTTCGACAGGGTTGGCCGGTTATATACCCTCATTTTCCGTATAGTGACAAATTGATAGAAGTCTAAGATCGAAAGGCGAGTGGTAGGGGCAGATAGACCTGGGAGGTTAGATTACTCCTAGATAGGTTTCTCATTTTATCAGTCACCCGATCCCAATTCTATCCTCGGAGTTCCTGACTGATCTATAGACGGTAAAAACTAGGGTGCTGCTGGTGATGGGGATACGATTTTTATGGGGCTTGACATGATTAACTCCTATTCTTTCCAGTCATAACAGAAAAGTGCGATGTGTGGACATTTGAGGGAGCATCTTCGGCTTTTCAGCTCCAGATACGAGCCGAAGAAAGACCTAACCTATCCACTTCGAAAAAATTTTCCTACCACATAGGTTATAATCCGGAGGGACTAACAGTCCATCGGATAGGGAGAAAAAGACGGATAGTGGGATGAAAGCCAACCTAATTGTACCAGACGAGGCCGCGATCCATGAAGACAGACTGAAGGATACTGTTCTTTTGCATTAGCTTATATTATTCGTACGCTAAGGCACCTATGGCACACAGCATTTCTATTGACATTTACATGAGGTATTGCAGAGTAAGCCAACAACAGTGGAACCAACCCTTAGCTGAATCGCCAATTCGGCTAAGTCCCCAAGAGATTGTGTTTTGGAGAAGGAGAAACAGGAGTGAGGCAAGTAAGTCAATCTGTACCTTTGAAACTACCGCTATTCTCCTTGTTGCCTTGGTCGACGCTGATTCTCAGGAGACCAAAACGAATACGGGGTCAGCTCACCCTTTACACGAAGCCGGATCAACTGGTTCCTCATATGACTCTGATTATCTGCCAAGGTGCCAAGATCTAAGTAGGGCGGAAAGGATAATGAGAGTCGACAACGGAAGCCAAGAAGATCTTGTCTGGACCTTCCGTCGGCTAGATCTGTCGAATAAAATGTTAGGCTCTCGAATCCGTGGATTGTCCATGGAAACGATAAGTCTATGTCAGGGTAGTTTGAAACCTTATAAATACTAAATTAAGATTTATTGACGGTTCTACAGGTCTATGGTACTGTTCTCATAGCGCACCACCGGTGATCAAGGGAGTTTGGTGATAATATAGACACGAGTATTTCATCGAAGGGTGTTGGGGAACTATCAATTGGATCTGAGAAAGTCGTATAGTCCACTAGCTTATATCGCCTGACTAAATGGCACAAAGAGTTTTGGTTTCGATTGTAACGGTCACACGCTCCAGTTCTCATCGCTGTATACCTTGGTTCATTGAAGACATGGTTTGGTAGTTGAGTATTCCTAATCGTAATGGACAGAACCAGACTGCCAGCGCACCCCTCAAATGCTCCCCACTACAAAGTTGTGTCTGGGGGCAGAGTTGTTTTCTGTATTAAGAGTACACTGGGGGGAAGGCGTCCCTAGATAAATATATAAGCCCAACCGGAGCCCAAGATCTACAGCCATTATTCACCATTAGATAACCTCTAGTCATCCAGAACAAGGCTTTACCCTGGCTGATCATTGTATCTAATATTTGCAACATGAAGATCAATCCGGCCGTCGTCCTCCTTCTTTTTATCAGCCTCGTAGCTGCCTCACCTGTGGCGGACCCGGGAGAAGTGGAGAACCTTCAAGGCATGTCCTGCTTTAATGCTCCGTGAATATATGAGTCAATGACATGGCTAAATCATTGAAGGCCGTAATGTCGTTTCTTACGAAGAAGACTCTCACAAAAATGACTGGAATATAGAGCATATCCCGCGTGACCGTACATGCAATCGGAACGAGCCTCGCTGCGAGTCAGGGCGTTGGGATTGGAAGCATTGCAAGTGCATGGGTAATTGGTGCAATAATTTCAATCCTCACTGCAATAACTGGAACTGGCATAGGTGTGAATGCAAGCCGGTTTGTCATAAGGTGGACCATCGCTGCAAGCCAGGTGACTGGGACTGGGACAAGTGCCAGTGTAGGGGGAAATGGTGCGGAAATTATGATTCTAGCTGCAGGGATTGGAGCTGGCGCAGGTGTGAATGCAAGCCGGTTTGTCATAAGGCGGACCATCGCTGCAAGCCAGGTGACTGGGACTGGGACAAGTGCCAGTGCATGGGTAATTGGTGCAATAATTTCAATCCTCACTGCAATAACTGGAACTGGCATAGGTGTGAATGCAAGCCGGTTTGCCATAAGGCGGACCATCGCTGCAAGCCAGGTGACTGGGACTGGGACAAGTGCCGGTGTAAGGGAAGATGGTGTGATAACTTTGAACGTGAATGTGGCAACTGGAATTGGCAACGCTGCAAGTGCAGGGGCAGAACCTAGTATATACGGTGAGGCGTATGAGGATGCTCGGGGTCATGGGAGGCCTTCCCTCTAGGCGAGCCCAATGAATTAGGAACGACTTTGGAGATATCGCTTCTCAGAATACCGGTCGCTCTACCTAGGTTAAGCGTCTTTTGTTGGTTTTCAATCGTTTATCCGGGTATCTTATTTTGCTACGATATTGAACGCTAGTATCAGAATGGAACTTCATTGATTTGCTGAAAGATCACAAGCAAGCTGCACTACATGGCAGATGGCCTGAGGTAGATTTTACAGCTTGAGGGGACATTCACTCTCGTAATTAGTATGTATGCCCCATTCAACCATACCATATCCAATGCTAAGACATTATCGAGATAGGGTAGGGTGAACTCTAGTCTTCATGACTTTCCCGACGGTCCATTGCTACTGGCTAAGCCTTAAGTTGCAGAAACTGATAATATAACCTACAATCACATTGCAACTATGAAATCAATGATACAAAGAAGTTTATATCCTGAAGATATCTCTTTCCCACCATATTATACCAAATGAAAGGTTAATAGAATGAACAGGAGTAAAGGAGTGACAGACAAACAAGTAAGTGGGAGACACAAATAGACAGTAATCAGACAAGCCCCAAACAATCATCCCTAATTACCTGCGAAGAGGTCCTATAAAGAGAAGTCACAAGTCACAAAATGACTTCGAAACCCCAGGCTGGGCTGAAATGGGGCCAGAACAGTGGAGTTACTTTAGCATTTGCCGGATCCCGCTATATGTCTCTTAGCGAACGTTTCTTGTAGAGATTAGGTTACCGCAAATGAAATTGAACATACGGCAGCTATTGGGCTTATCGCTTTGCCGCACCCACCCTCTTGGGGTCTTATACCAATTCCTGCAAATGTCTGTGAGCCTCAACCTCTATGTATGAATGAACTACATGACATCTTGTGGCCTACTTATATCTGCACTGGAAGTCCACATTATCCCCTTTGTTGGCGTGGCCGGTCCTATCGCTGGAATCGCAAGGGTACTTCCAGTAATCAAAGCCATGGTTGACTTTGCAATTGCTTCGTTCTTCGATGATGGAGTCATCGGCATCACTTTCCGCAACGGGAGTAGCTTGGGCTACTTGCACCGCAAGGGGAAGAAGAGCAGTAAGAATATAAAGTGGCGACTTCATCTTGAATTGAAGGTAATGTTCGGCTGTGCTGACTGTATGCTGCGCTTGATATGTCTCAATTCTCTGACTTTTCAGAAGCAAATGGGAATTCTAAGGGCGGTTTATATATCATTTTCCTGCGGCGAAGTATTCAAACCAAACTGCGTCGGATACTACAACAGCCTGGCCAGGCCCTTCCAAAAGCCAATAGCCAGATGCTTATGGCCAGATCTCATGACAAGAAAGGAGAATCTAGATCACTGGACGCCGTGCCACATAGTTCTGATGACTTCATAGCTGTCATGGCAGTGAGATGAGATAGACATGTACCGTATATTAAAATTGGCTTATGTGGTATGTCATTGCGAAATAACACAATTAGCGAAGGTGAGCATGGGCGAAGTGTTTGGGCGATATGGATCCAAACTAAATGGATTCCAAGCCTACTACCAATCATGATACATTTTAGCTAAATCTAATTGACGGACCAAAAAGGTTGCTCCGGATGGTACCAGTACTAACTCTCTGTCACCTAAAGCGCCAAGATTCAGCTTTTGTGCCAAGCCCTATAAGCACTCTTGGTTGTTTTGGCACGGAGCTTGTGGGTCTATGCTCCTGTGCGCATGATCCAGTCAGGTCTTTGGGGCTTCCCAGGAAAATCCAATCTTAGGCACAGCACGCCTTATCTGGATAGCAAAATACGGGGTAGATTGCCACCAAGCAACTTTAATTGCAGCTACTGAGTCGTTCGAGGCCGTACCGGGAACCCCCTTTTGAAACAGCAAAAAAACAATACATAAAGAGTTGCCAATCAGTTATTTTCTTACCGAGTCATATGAGTTTCAGACCTGGCATGTTCTGTAATCTAGAGCTTTGAAACCCTCCAGCTAGCCTACTGGTAGGAACACGGGTGAGCACATTATCGTGGGCTATGCCATATGATACCTTCTTTTTGGGGAGCCGAAACTGTTGGTAGTGATGTTTCATTTGCTGCACTGCTTCCATGTTCGAGTGGTTCGCCTATATAGGCCTTCAGGCCTACCAACCCTCGACCTATTCGCCGATCGTTAAGCTATGACTACAATGATAGGCTAATTAATCTGAGGAGATAGAGAAGCTAGTGGTACGACCTACTAAGGATTTATGAATAAAGCTACACCTGCTCGGGAAAGAAGATTAGCATCCAGTGAAGGACCGAGCTTATTGATGTGGAACTCCCTCTACCACTACTATACTATTGATGTATCGTGAACCCTGAATGTAATAGTCCGGGGGTGTAGTTTCATGTCGTCTAGCAGGGACGGGGAACAGCATTTTGATAACCCTATGGCTAGTGAAAAAACCTAGGTAAGAGGTACAAGAAATATTCCTCATGCAAAATCCACAGCGCACATTTGGTATTGGATAATCAATTCCCATTCGTATCCATATTAAATTTGGCGGCTGGTACATGAGCCACAAATATCATCGAACACCTCCGTGTGAAAGATGTAGGGTTTTGGGAAGCCTTGGCCAAATGGTGAGGTGAGATAGCCCCTAACCTATGTATTCTTTACTTGTAACCTTCTAGACTTAAGGTAATCATAGTCTGGCATGGCTTCCATTACCCATCCTTCCATCTGTTTACCGATCACTTCTCCAAATTCGGCATCCCATGCTTTCCTCTCCAGCGCGATATCAACGAAAGGAGGTGTCTTCTCCTTTATTATGTGGAGGGAATTATCAAGCGTAAACTTCATGATTGTTTCCGGGTGTTTGCGGCCGATGCCCTCTGACTCGCCGTTGGTTTTTTTTGAACTCGCAGCGCTCCAGTCATATTTAACATAGGCCGGATCCATCCCAATAAGTTTGCAATACCTACGGATAACGCTAGGGTTATGAATAACGTCTTGTGCATCCAACACCAAAGGATAGTGATCATCTCCGCTATACCCATCGTGGGAGTCCGCTTGATGCTTGCAACACCAATCGTACAGTTGTCTGGTCCATTTCAGAGTAGCATGTATTTCCATCAAAGGCTGTAGCTCATGGGCTTCTGTGAATTCTTCTTTTTCTAACTCCCTCATAGCTCGGTAGAGAGACGGAAACGCTAGGGCGGGATGGCGGATTAAGAAGGTGAGCCTCCAAGTCTCTAGGTACTGATCCGGAAACACCGTAAGGTTGTTAGGTGAGAACTCCCGTACTGGTCCGTATGAGATCGGGATATGGATATTCACTGGAGAGGCTGTTGGACTGCAATGACCCGAGATATAGTTGCCAATGGCAGCTGGATCCGTGAACCACTGAACGTGCTCCTTCGCGAAGAATAACCGGCCCTGGGACTCGGCAAATCGTGATTTCTGTTCTAATTCATTGGTAATTCGTTGTAGAACATGCTGGATTTCTTCTGTTTCTTCTGGAGCCCAGTCCAGGACTGGTTTATAGATGCACCTTGTTGACCGTTCCGCCATATATGAGTCCCAGAAGAAGTACCCGCCTTTCTCATTAGAGACCACTTTTTCCTGGTCATCCAGCGAAAGCATTTTAAGCACTAGGTTCGATGCCGTGCGGGGGTATGTAACCAATAACGTGCGCCTCAAAGGCTTCACACTACGATCGTCGTCATTAGCCATTGCTCTGAATTCAGCAGAGGGTAATGATCGTTGTGGCCCAAATATCCCTTGATGAGGACAGACACCGGTCGAAGACGGCAAAGAATTTTAACCTGGTCAAAGGCATTTCAGTCTATCATGCTGTGAAGGCCGTTGCCTGGGGTTTAAACGTGAATCTATAAAGCTACACGAGTTTCCGATAACCTGCCAGAGGCTACGAATACGGACGTCAATGATATTAGCCTTTGCTGCCAGTAAGGGTACAGCAAAACCCTCTGTCCATCAGTGGCCATACGCCCATTGAAGGTTGACCAGATTAAGCACGAGGTTGGGGTTCCCTAGGAAATTTCAGGGAGTGACTACGTTCCAGTACAGAAACGGCCGGGGGCAATTGGTTGCAACCATTTTTTATCCAATGATGATACAGTGCGTTCCACAGAATTGGATCCCACTCTGGACCCTGGACCCTGGATAAGGTTGACCCAGACCGTTAAGAACCGGTCAATTGAATGGCTGACGCTCCACACCCTCCCACGTGGGGCTATGCCGATTCGTATTCTGAAGCCCTCCACAACTGAAGAATGACATCGTTATTGGTCCTCAGTCTACAGAGAGTTCTCATCTGACATCCATGACCCCATGACTATTTTGAAGCACCTTTGGACTCTATCCTAGTCCGTGGAGCTGGTAACATAATAGTACATTTTGAGAACTGCCGGTAAAGTTTGTCCTGTCTGACTGTGCGGATCATCAATTCCATCGCACTTGATACGAGAAGTATCCACAACATCAAGTAAGAGGCCTGTTGGCTCTCTACTGGATTGGTGGCCTGACTGTAAAGACTGGCCGAGAATACATTTGCAGGTTACAATCGCACCATCGATAGGAAATCTACCAGGCCTAAAGGCATATTACCATTACTGATTCTTTGGACCGAAGGGTTGCTGGCTAGGCATAATGAATCCGCTGCTGAAGTCATGATGTAAGATAGGGTTAATAAATAAAAGAGCCTATATTCATCCTTATGCAGTTCCTACCAACAAAACTGCGAGAGTGTCTATTCTACCTAGACATTGACTATTCCCAATACCCCTAACTTGAACGTATACCATCCAACTGTAGTTATTACATTCTTATGACCCTTACATTCTTGTGTCTTTAAGCCCGCAGCGTGTCATATAATCTATTTAACCTTTCAGCAAATCGGGTTGTGGTCCAAGCAACTATGGCTTGCAGCAAACAGAATAACCGACAATCATTCAAGGCTCTATGTCTAGCAGTAATACACGGCTTAACATTTGTCAGCCTAGTCAATGCTGCAGCATGGACGTCTTTCCAATCTGTTAGCAACCAATCGCTCCACACTTGTCTAAATTGCCCTGACTCTCAGCTAGAGACCAGATATTCGCGCCCCGGTTATGAACATCACTCTTAAAAACGACACGTTCATCACCCCGGGTTACATATTTATCGCACCATTCCTGACAGAATTACCAGGGCCGTACATCTATGACAATGACGGTGTATGTTCTTTTCTCCCTAGGCTGAGACACACAGAGCTGACTATAAATCAGAATCTCATCTGGAGTGGAGCCGACGGCTCTGCAACCGAACTATTCCACGATCTTAAAGTCTGCCCATATGAGGGATCCGATCACCTCTGCTACTTTCAAGGAAATCAAATCGAAGGGTATGCCAGGGGTCGCCATGTGGTCGTAAATGAACACTATAAAGAAGTTACGGCCATACAAAGCGGCAATGGGTTGACGCTGAGTGACCTGCATGAACTAAAGTTTATTAATGAAACAACTGCCCTCATTCCAATATATCAGCCAAGACGTTATAACCTAGAGGCATACAATATATCAGCAAACAAAGGCTGGGTTATGGATGGTGTCTTTCAGGAGATAGATACTAAGACGGGCAAGGTTCTTTTCGAATGGAGATCGCTCGACCACGTTGCGCTTTCTGAGTCATATACTCCTATTCGACTTGACACCGTTGTTGGTGATGGTCTCAGCAATGCCACTGCGTGGGACTACTTTCATCTTAACTCTGTCGATAAGAATAGCGACGGTGATTATTTGGTGTCTGCCCGGCATACCAGCTGCATTTACAAAGTTTCTGGCAAAGATGGATCTGTGAAGTGGCGACTAGGTGGCAGGAATTCATCGATAGAGATGAAGGACTATAACTTCTCCGCACAGCACGATGCGCGGTTTCATGAGGAGAACGACACGGTGACGGTTATCTCGCTTTTCGATAATGGGAGCAACAATTATATAAACACGTCAACCACGTCTGCGGGCATGATCGTGTCTGTGGATCACGAGGCAAATATCTCCAGCCTGGTTAAACGCTACGAGGCTCCAGACGAAGGGCTACTATCCACGAGTCAGGGAAACCTTCAAATACTGCCGAACAAGAATGCCGTCATTGGGTGGGGGAGCAACCCTTCGATCTCTGAGCATACTGAAGATGGCAACCCAGTGTTCTTCGCGACGCTGAACAATCCAAAGACGATGAACTATCGCGCGTACAAGTTCAATTGGACCGGGGAGCCAAGTGATGATCCCGCCCTGCGGACTTATGGAGCTTCTCCGGGCTCTGCAACTACGTTCTGGGTGAGCTGGAATGGCGCGACCAGGGTTGACCATTGGAACCTTTACGGTACAAATTCCTCTTCCGATCAGTTTACATTGCTATCGAGAGTAGGCAAGCAAGGATTTCAGTCTACGTACACAAGCCCTAACTACCACCCTCGGGCGTATGCAGAAGCTGCTTCAAGCGATGGGACGAGTCTAGGAAATTCGTCAGTCGTGGAAACGTCATCCTCATTGAGTGGTATTAGTCAGAGGTGATGCTCAAAGAGTATGATGCGACGATCTAGACTATGCAAGTTTGTTGTGTGATTGCTGGAGGCTCAGCGACCTGGAAATTGGCCACGACAACACCTATTTTCTACATAACAGTGTCAAATTACTTCGTGTTCCGTTTCCTCTCAATAAGAGAGCTGTTCCCATGTCTACACGTCTCTTCTTCGCTTAGAGCGGCTCCGACATTTAATGGCAAAATTCACCACCCCATACTAGATAGTTTACTATACGAGCAAATATATCCGGAACTACTCTCAATCTTGAAAACATAATTTGCCTAATTATCCGATATGATAGGTGGGAATAGAGTGTGGATACAAGGCAAAGAATGTCCTACCATGGAATGAGAGGTAAAACCAGGTCGGACTACAACAAGCTACATTATATCACCATCAGTCAAGGATTAAAAATCACAGACCTCACTCTCGCTCTATCCGCCAATTTCCCAAATTAACATTCAAACTAGAAATAGTCAATTGCTATACAGGTCTAAAAATTGGTAACTTTCCAGAACCCACAAGAGCCGCCAACCCCTCAAAACAAGCCCTCGACGAAGAGACCACAGCCAGACTCCAAACCACAGCCACCAAGCCACAGTCAGAAACAAGTACACAACCTAACCCTCCTTCGAAGGCAGACCCGCCAAATTATGTTCTACCTTCAATTCCCGTGTCACCTGGATCCCATGCGCATGCACCTGATCCAGGTCACTACCATTGTGCCGCAAAATACACTCCTCGCTATCCGCAGGCGAGATCCGACTCCCCACCATCGTCCGTTCACATCTGTCAAAGAGCTCGAATTCGTCAAGGTGCCTACCATCGAGAAGATGTAGGTGCTGTTCCCATTGCGCATTTTCTGCGAAATGACCCGAGGTAAGTCAGCCTCAAGCGGTGTCCGCTATGATTTTCGAATTGCCATCTGCCACCAACAGGTTGAAACCGAGATACGATCGGAAGAACTCCTAGTCATAGTCGACTACACAACCGACAAATGTATCCTTAATAAAGATATGGGGTCTGTCAGAAGGATGGCCTCACATACCTCCGATATGGCCTGGTCTAAGTTTAAATTGGGATGGTTTCCTATCTCGTCCGCAAGAGCCTCTCCCGTCACCGACGTCCTTAGGTTCCGTCCGCCGCAGGACAAAACTTGTAGCCAAAGCACAGGCGCGTTTGATGCCTATATGGTAGGTGCACCTACCAGTATCTGAAAGCAATTTGAGCATCAAACCATGGGAAGAGGATATTCTGGTGTGGCACCTTTAAGGTGTACACATCGCGGGCTAATGGTACTGTCTGTGCGTTGGGATCCAGCGTTGGTATGTCACTGCTAAATCTGGCTTTGGACGGTTGATTACCTTGATCATGGATTATGTATCTGGGGCTCCAATGTCTTCAAAATTCCGCGGTGATACCGGACGGCTTGGGTATACTTATCAGTCACTAAATCCCCTATGAGGTGACCACATGGGACTGACTAGCAAGTAGTACCTAATTTTTCATCGTCGACATAGGGCGTTTTATCCTCACCTACGGATATACCACGCTCTTCACCTTCGCAGCTATCAAATCACTAGAAATATCTGCCACAGGTATCCCAAAGCTACCCTCAGTTAGGAAGTTGCATTCTTTGATAAGGGAACAAGGGAATCAAAAGCCATGCAAGCTACTTCGACCGGCCGGCTTATCCAGGCAGGGGTATCCGAAAAGCTAGGGCTTGTTGTTCAGGATTGGCCGCCTTTTTGTCGGCTTTCGTTCTCGCATTTGTCACGCAATGGAAGCTAACACTGATCTCCTGCTGTATTGCCCCAGCTACACTTCTCGTCATGGGTGTGAGTTCCACAATTGAAGCCTCCATTGAAACCAACATTCTTCAGATCCAGGCGAAGGCTGGAAGTTTTGCTAAGATTATATAGTTACAATAAGAGACATGTTGAGAAATTTACTTCTCGTAACCGTACTACATTTAAATATTAATATAGACCACTTATTTATTGTACAGTAGGACAAAAGAGGGTCCTTCTGGAATTTAAAGAGAATTCGAATCTGCAGTTCAGTCTAATATAATCAGTAAATTACCTTCTGGTGGGGGGCGGGGACAGGTAAAAGTAACCATATATGCTTACTGTTTAGGCTCTAAGTGCGTTGGTAGCGTGTATAGTTTAAATTCTTTGTTTATATTGTGACTACTCCAAATATGGATCGGACGTAAAGGTAGAATATCATCTAGTTGAAGATGAAGAGAGAGCGAATGAGACCTTCGTCCTCCTTGAGCAGTTCTGTGCGGTGTGATTCCTCTAAGAAATCATCCATGTTATCGCCCGCCCGCTCGAGATACCACAGCCCCATATCAATCATCTCATTGAAAGCTTCATCTTTAGCACAGGAGTCGTGTGCATAGTTGATCATGTCTCTTCCATTCAATAACAAGGCTGAACGGTAAAGTTGCGAATTCAAATCACCTTTCTCCATCTTGCAATCGAGCCCTGCTCTTTGACTATAACCAGAGCAGAAGCTGTTGCAAAGCCGCCTGAGCAAGTCGCCTAGCTCTGGTTGCTGTCGCCGGGCACTGATAAGTCGACAATGTAGACTAGATAGGAACTCCGACACGTCTCCATTGACACCCCTACCTTTGCTTGTCGCAAATTCCCAGTCAATAATAACTGGGCGCAGCTCATGGTCCAGGTCGGGAGCCAGTGGCAGCATTATATTGCCAAAGTTAAAGTCTCCGTGCACGAGACAGGCCGGGTACGAATATTGTGGGTCCTTGATATCCTTGACGAGTCGTTGATAGTATATCTCTCCTTTGGGAACATTCGTTAGGTATTCTGGTAAAAAATCCATTGCGAGATACCAGACGACGTCGTCTGTAAGAGACTGGGAGAGTACCTCTGCGATATCGGGGCGAGACTCAATTGCAACAGCAGTATGTCGACTGTGCATCGTTGCAAGACAATTCCCTAAGATACTCCCAATTCGCGACACCAGTTCCTTCACCTTGGGCGATGTGCCTGACTGGGCCCAGACCTCAACACGGTCAAAGAGATTGACAACTTCGCCCAGATCCTCAAATAGAAGGATAGAGGCCTCGTCGCTCTTATCAGTGATCAACAGATCTGATTCCGCTCCTCGGTCGTGGCGTATAAACCGCGGTAAGCGCCATGTATCTGGACATGCAGTATCTTTTGAGATTAGCCCATCCTCCCCCCAGAGGCTCATGACAGTAGCTTCTACTGTCTAAAAAAGTAGCAGTATGTATTAGTACAGATGCAGTGTCTTTATATAGTGACATCTTTACCTGGCGGTTTAAAGAAAACGGCTGCAGCTGGCCCTCGTCCTCGAAGAATGGCGATGCGCGCTTCAAGATAAGGGACTGTGGCCCAGCTTGTCCAACTGTTTTGACTGCATGCAGAGTGGCATTAATGGACCCATGTGGAATTCTTGCCACTTCCCAGTTGGTATTTTGGTAAATAGACCCGAGATATCGAGCGTAGTTTGGCTTATCCATAATGAAAATTAATCGGTATTTGTAAACAGGATGTATACGTTGCTATCAGAGAAAAAAAAGTAGGGGAAAGATGTATACCGAAGGCCAAAGCGATAGGATTCGTAAATTACACCGAGCTATCAGATTATAAAAATATCCTTAGATATTTGTTGAAAATTTAATAAGATTCATTCATCCTCACAGCATATGTTCTACCTCAAGCAATCTCACTCCACCCTGTTGTATGAGTCAACACACAACTGCTTCTGCCAGCTTTCTGAGTCATCTTAAATAGGCAACTATATTATTTCTCGTGTCTACAGGTGGTCCAGACTTGGCATGAAGGACTAGGCTCAAGATGCTGGTCCACAAGTTGGTGGTGGAGCTTGATACTGTAGTATCAGTTCCAAAATTCCGCAAGTGGGCCAAATAGCCACCGTAGGTAGCCGGGGTCGATATAAAAAACAAGATAACCTATCATATATACGGGAGACTAGGAAGATATATTACATATCAAAAACTTTATGAATTCTGGCTAGTACTTTATAATATAGTAAAGAAAAGAGAAGAGCCACAGTCCTCGTCTTTGCATTCGCAAGGAGCTATAGGGGAAACCTCAACGTGAAGGACAAAAACCCATAGCAAGTCTGACATAGTACAAGGCAAATACTCAATCCACCAAAGTACAATCAACCAATCGTGCTATTCTGAACAGAAGGTTAGACGACTGGTTTGGAAGCAAAGGTGGGAGCTTGCAACTTACTGATAGGAAGCTCCTCGAGAGAGACAGTAAAGTTGGTATCAAAGTGGCTTTTGCAGTCCGCCCAGTCCTTTCCGCCGCTTTCGAACAGCAGGACATTTCTGGAAGCCCCGTGAAACGCCACGGATATTTGGTATCTGCCAGAAGGACGAGGGGTGAATGCGAAGCTTTATGAGCTATTCTAGTAACCTCTGAGCTCCATCCACCCATCATAATTAAAGCTCTGCCCGGTACTGGTATTGGCATTCCGCATTCTAAGTCTGTACTCGTCCTTAAATATACATACCCACTGTTGCCGCTCATCACCCTGCCAATTTTCTAGGGAAACCCATGTGTCGGGAACAGCTGTGAAAACCTGGGCTTGGCCATCACTGCTAAAGGAAATCTTGTACTTTTTCTCTGAGATAAGGATAGTGGATCCTGACATGATGGCTAGAGGTCTGAGTATAAGAAAATAGAAAGACTGATGCTTAACTAGACTAGTGCTGATAGTAAAAAGAAGGAATAGAATGATGTTGACGAAACTGAGGCTTCCTCCTGGGAAGAACTGACAGTCTCTTTATGGTATTGGTGTTCCATATAAAATAGGAAAAGGAAGTAGAATAAAAAAGAAATGAATATATTTTAATGAATAGAAAAGAAAGGAGATACGCGCTAAATACTTAATGTCATGGAGAAGCAGTTGAAGGGGAAATTGATTCGCTGGTATGCCTTGTCGAATAGCTGTGTTCAATTATCATTGCTGGTATACTACCTTGACAAAGGTTGTCTCTTGGCCAATCGTTTTATTATTTTCTTCAGAGCATATCAGAGTATACCAACTGCTTTACCTCCTCTTTTACAATGGACACTTGCGATTGGAGGGTCTGTTGAGATTGCCGCGAGCAAAGCAGACTTATCACTCTGATATATAGATTCCTAATCTATCGACATGCAGAGATCGCGGGGGTACCTGCAGATTGCATGGGCTGACCTGAGTCTCCAGACAATAAAAGACTGGCTGGCTGCTCTGAAGCCCGACGCCACACGCTGCTGGGCCGCACGTATGTCTCCAAATCGGAACTGGTCTCTGCGTTCACCTGGTTCGGGAAGCCAATTACGACACAAAATTCAGCATGAAGCTTAGACAATGCATATGCGGACACTTTTTCTGGCTACTAAGTTGATGTTGATTCTGCATCCCTGTAGTCTTCTACGACTATGTCGCTTCCGGGACGTTCGGATCGCTTACTAGCAGCATAGTGTTACGCATATCCCAGCCCAACCTGTACATCCTCACCCCCGCTATACCAAAGACGGCCTCTACGAATAACAAGGCCCTTTTCCTGGCCAACAAGCCATTCGCCATGCCCATTGACCTCGTTCTGATTAGGCCAGTATTCAGCCTGCAACTTTTGGTTGATATCCTCGATTTTATCCGTCAACTGCTTGGTTTTGACAGGGTCTACTGCAGATTTCCCCAATCCTGTTCCCTCTTGAGAAAGCCATCTTGAGTTATGAATCGGGCAATGGTGAGATGTGCTGAAGAACAATATACCGCGACGCCAGCGGTGTACCAGCCGCCCGAACCATATCAAACACATCTCGACGGAGATGATGATAACTGTATGCATCTTCTGCAGTACTCCGTCGGGCATCAGAAGCTTTCCCAGCCTCTAGGGCAAAGCTAAGGGAATGTTAGTTGTCTCAGTCCCACCAAAACATTTCTCTCACTAATTCTCGAAAGGTTTCCCGTGGTTCAACTTTTGGTTCAAGCGTGGGCAGACGACCGTCAGCGACTTGAAGCCGGGCCTCCTTGTCGCTGGTCTTCCGAAACTCGATGCATTCTATAGTGAGATCACCATGAGGATATTTGATCAACCATGTCCGGAAGCTGCCCTAGCTCGACAAATCGTAATATGGGTAGCTTTTTCCGGACGACCTGTTACCGTTAGCGAAGTCACCGACGTCATTGGTGCGGAAGTCATTTCTCAAGTCATTGCGTCTTCTCGTGGAGTGCTTGCGGGCCCAGAATTGCTCATCACTGTATGTGCTGGCATTCTTATCATTGACTCCAAAGCCGGTACCCTACGTCCGGCACATGTAACGTTGGAGACATATCTTCAACGGAATCAGGAGGGCATGTTTGCTCAAGCGCAGGAATATATTACGTCATCCTGTATGAGATATCTTTCGTTTGAGATATTCAAAGCGGGACCATGTGAGTTACAATCCCAGTGCCAGATTCATAGACCGTCCGCCAAGCGTCTATCCAACGGATGCCACTACCACTATACCTACCATTGGATGGTAACTAACGTCTCCCTTTCCCTTTTCTTTTTAGGTACAAATGACCAAGATATGCTAGCTCGCCTGCAGGAACATCCATTCTTTCATTATGCCGCAACTGAATGGGTCATCACGCACTTGGAGCAGCTGAGACTGCCTGCAAAGAGGCTATCATTGCCTTCCTTGACAACCGACAAGCCGTCGAATCTGCGATGCAAGCTAAGAGTATTACTCGTGACTGGCAATTTTACCTTCAACACCTCGATAGCGAATCGTATCCTCACGGGGTGACGGGGATCGCTTTGGCAGCCTTTTTTGGCCTCGCCACAATAGTTGAAGCACTGATGGATAACAGTGTCAATAAACGAAGTTGCAGTGACCCCGAAGGAGCACTTTTCTGGGCGGCGACAGGATGGTCCGCTGAAGTTATAAAGCTTTTGTTGAGGAGGGGTATAAGTCCTAACGTACGTGGTGTCATGAGGGCAGCAGCAGAGAACGGCTACGAGGACATTATTCGTATATTGGTCGCAAATGGTGGCGATGTCAATGCTGTGTGCTATGAAGATGAAGGTAACACTCTTCAAACCGCTGCGATAAAGGGCAATGAGAGCCTAATACTATGTCTTCTTGAGCTCGGAGCCGATCCCAACAGAGTTGCGGGCGAATTAGGAAGCGTTCTTCACATTGCAGCCGTGAATGGTGACGAAAGTATCACCCGCTTACTGCTAGAAAATGGAGCAGACCCCAATACTAATGGTGGTATGTACGGTTTCGCACTTCAGGCAGCTGTCGAAGAAGACCATGAGAATATCATACAGATGTTGCTCGATAATGGTGCAGACGTCAATCTCGAAGGTGGGCCTTACGGCAATGCATTCCAAGCAGCGGTGGAAAACGGTGATCAAGATATTGTTGAGCTCTTGCTGGCTCATGGGGCAAATATAAATACGATGATTGGGGGTGAAAAATATACGGCATTGCAAGAGGTGGCAAGACGAGGCTTAGAAGCTATGGTGGAATTTTTGATTGATAGGGGAGCCAACATGGATAGTCGACAGAGGAATGGTCAAACAGCACTCCACCAGGCCGCTAAAGAAGGCCAGGCCGGAGTTGTGGCGCTGCTCGTGCAGAAAGGGGCGAAGAAGAAGAACTTTACCGAGGTGGCCCGGGTCTTAGAGGCAGCGCGTCAGCTTCGAATCTAAAGGTTGCACTGTGGTGGAGTTTGAATTCATTTTTGATCCGCCTTAAACACTCTCTGATACTAGCTGCATATCGGGGGGGGGAGGGGGGGACGCAAGTCCAAAGCAATAAATCGGCAGTGGACCAATAGTTGTATCAATTACGTGGGTTTAAGGCTTGGGGCACAGACTAAAGCCTATATAATGCCATCTTACGGTTTTGAGTGAGAATCCTCAAGACTCGAAGCAACTATTAATTTGATAAACTCATTATGGATACGATGGGAGCTTGCCAACGAGAACTCTTTCAGGGGTGATGAAGCCGACATCATATTAGACAATCATAAAGTCAAACATATAAACTTCTGTTGAGTAAGGTATCATTCACAAACTCCCAGAAAATAGGTACTCTTTGGCATCACCTCTAGCCTCGGAAATGGTTAGAAACCAGATCAAAAGTCAAGTCGCCACATATCTCCCAGACGATCATTCGATTCGGCCAGCCCTCCCTGAACAATAATACTAGGTTGTGAGGCAGCAGTGATCACATCGGCATCGAACCATCCTCTGCCCTGAGGTGCGTTGTTGGCATCCATGCGCACTTCCGTCCATTTTTGAGACTCGATATCGAATATCCACACGTCCGACAGCATCTTACCTGCTCCCTGATGGCCGAGGCTACTGGGGTCATGCTCGCCGAACATCGTGACCAAGCTTGGCTTACCAGAAACCTTGAGCGACAACAGGCAGCTCACACTACGTGCACTTGGACCCGAAATACCATCCGCTTGATATGGGATAGTGCCCCACACATTAGTCTCCGGATCATAGACATCCAGTGCACCACCCTGCTCTGTCTTGCCATCAAAGCCGTTCATACGAAAGAGCTTTCCCTCTGCATAGACAATCGATGTACCTCCCCTTTCCGGCTTGGGCGCAGGGGATAACACTCGCCATTGACGCGTGAAAATATTAAATGCCCATAGATCGCAAAGTCGACCTTTCTCTGAACAGCCAGCATGAAGGAATATCGTGTCTTTACCGTTGGTTGTGAGGGTATGGTAGCTGCGTCCAACAGGGTATGGAGAGTGAGGGTCTGCGGGCTTGACCTGGGACCAGGTGCTGGCGCTAGGGTCAAATCCCCAAAATGAGCCCTGTTCTTCGAGCGGGGTCATAGCTGTGCCACCGCGACCAGAGAATACATAAATTATGCCGTCGATAGTTGTAGATGCCGCTCCTACTCTTGGCTGTGGAGCGTTAGACGTGCCGGTAGTCGCAGATAGCCTGTTGTCTAAAGCTTTGTCTATGCGTAATTAGCATCAATACCCCTTGCGTTCAACAGTACGATAGAGACTCACTTCCATCTAGAGCAATGCGATACACGGCTGCGTCTACCGGCTCACGGGGCCGTAGCTCCCCGCCATAGATATAAACATCGTCGCCAATAACTGATAGCGTTTGAGACGACCTACGGATAGCGTCGTCCGATAGTAGTTTGGTCCACACTGCGCGTGCCATTTTTCTTTAGGTTGACGTTCTAGTAGACCTTGTAGGATATCAGCCGTCGAAGGGGGCAGCCGAGCTTTTATGCCATTTTCAAGTCCTTCGAGGCACACATACCTCCAAAGTACCCGGCTTAAGTCAGTATTGGTCAGTACCGCAGCGTAATATATATCCTAATATAGTTAGCGTCTCTAAGTTTTTATTGTTCCGCAACCCGTTAGCGGTAATATTCAACACGAGCGTAAAAAATATCCCAAACGGGTTTAGAGCCATGGTCATCTCCACCGTCAATCCCGACGTCTGCATATTCAAGGAATAGGGGCTTCACGTATGCGATGGTCGATACGACCTAAATCCTACCTAAGTAGGTGCCTAGAATCATGATGAAATGAGACTACTTCCGGAAAGACTGTCTAAAGAACATGGATACATGGACTTGTGGGAAATGAAATAAATCAGGTCAATGTTGAACAAATATATATTCATAGACCTAAGTTGGCAAAAAGCTTTCCAACGTCGTGTACAAAAGTAAGGTACCCATCATTTACTAATATATACAGGGAAACAATTAAAGACTGGGTATGAACAGCTAATCAAGGTAAAGCTCATGGAAGCGGGACTTTCTCAAGAAAATGTGTACCATCCTTGTCATAGCCGCAAACTACCAGATTGACTGGATGATCAATATCTAGCAACTTTAACTTCGGTATATCCTCTGCGACTGCCGGCAAAGCAAAAAGAATCACTTGGTCCTTCTCCCAGTACGCTGCAATTTGAGCGATGATTCGCTTGACGAGATGTGTGGGGTAGTGAGAGTGCTCATAGCCTCTCCCGTAGCTCTCAATCTGTGGCCACAAGATATCCAAGATGTAGTGAAAGAGCGCATCCGATCGCTAGAGGAACGTAAATTGGAGTAAGACCTCTGCTAGACTTAATGTGTACACATCCGAGGTATTGGACACTGCGAGATTCAAGGTACCGGCAATTTCACACACAGTGTGCGCTGCATTGTCCATCAGAGTGGCAATATCTTCATGCACCACGGATGACTCTCCCTTTGGCGGGAGAGTTTGATTAGTTTCCTCGAACATCATTACGCAGAGCATGTAATATAAGGCGTTCATAGCGTCACGATGGGTTGGAAATCTACGACCGGCGGGTGTGGATGATGCGAAAGAAAATGATGAAACATGCGAGCTAGGGACCCCTTGTACATATGGGTTGTACGTGAGATGGATTGGTAGCTGATCCGCGTTCAACCGGGATCGCCACACCCCCAGCCGTTCTCTTTGAACTTCCATTAGACCCAGTAGATGTGAGCCGCGTACAAAACTTTCTCGGGCTTCTGCGTATTCATCCGGCCCACATTTCCTTCCTAGCATTTTGTTCAAGATTTCATGAGTGAGGCTGCCTATCTCATTTGAACGCTCAGGTACCCGGCAGGTGCCCGAAACGCAACGAAAGACCACTAACTTTGTCCGAATTTCCAGCGTCTTGATGAGGATATCGTAAATCAGGTCGTCCGCACTCATACCAATGATACAGTTGAGATACAGGTGCTCCGTAATATCTGGAAGGAGGTTGGGCCCAAATGAGCTGGGCCCTTCACCCTCTAAGAGGAGTGCAGGTGGCTTGGCCGGTCTGTGAGACGTGCACAGTCGGTACCACATTTGTAATGAATCAGCTCCCTCCCGTGAGTCAACAATGTACGCTCTGTTCTGCAGAACAAATCGGACAGCGTCCCCGACCGCCTTTCGAAACCTTAGATGATTTGTTGATGCATGGTGGTAATATGCGAGGAGGACGTATGCAGTAAGAAATGCAGGTGCTTGAAGGCGAACCTCGTCGGAGTGAGCGGCGCGACAATACCACAATGCCAAATTGTGGTATTTCTGGGCGTAGGCGTGGTGTAGGTTATTCACACAGGGGCTGAAGACAGATCTTCGACTGTTATCAAGTAAAATGCGGCTTTGAACCCGTGAATTTAGCATGGAAAGATTGGAAGCTGAAATGCACAGTAGAGCGAATCTTAAGCCAGGGAATCCGAGAGAACTGTCTATCATGTGCGGAGAAACTGCCGGGAGAAGATGGCGCACGTGGCTCTGAAAATGACTAACATAGCTGATCTCTAGATTCTCCTCGGTCCTAAGACTTGCTGGGATACCTAGGTTTGAAAGACTGCCGATGGCGTTGAGCATTTCATTGCTATGTTTCTCGTCTGATACATCGTTCAGCGCACAGGCTGTGGGGATTGTGGCTGATCGAGATGAACCTCTGCGAGCCGCCCGACACTCCTGGATGAGCGCTCCAGTGGTATTGCGAAAACTGAACTCGACAGCATAACTGCATTCCAACGACAGCCTTGTGCAGGCCTGGCAGCTAGGCTTTGTCTCATCACACTGGAAGCGTTCAGCAGATGTGCGGTAATTGTACTTGGAAACAGACTGACTCGTTTGCCCCTTCTACGGCATGCCTTACAACCTGAATGGGTTCGCCGAATTTTGGGTGATTTAGCGTTCTTAGTTCCAGAGGTATGCAGGGGCATGTTTGCCCTAAGAGGAGCTGATTCCTACCCAGTGAAGAGAAGAAGATACGATTGTATGTTAAATTCCGAAATCGGACCAAAAGCCCAGGATGACTAAGAATATATTACGCTCTTGGAGAAATGAAGACCCGAGTTCCACTTCCTGATCAAGGCTAGTGGACAGTGGCTTACCCTTCTTTTCAATGGAGGCGCTCTAGCATACAGATAGGAGTAATGTGAGAATAGAAAATTAAAACTACCAAGGGCGCCCTGAACCTACTGGCCAGGCATACCGTGTCTAACATCAGTTTTGAATATATGAATGGAAAGCAGGATATTGACAATCAGTGCTAATCTGGGGCTTCTAATGTCACCTCAATTGCGGAAAAGCAGACCTTTCTCTCCCCGGTTGCAAGAATAGCCTGTAACACCAAACCGCTTCATTCAAGACCATCTTTCCTTCAAAGACCACTTTGTCTCCCACTCCGTTACCTCCCTTCGGGACATGAAACTCCCGAGAAGCAAATCCATGAAACCAAAAGCCCCCATATTCTTTTTGGAATTAATGTCATGGCCGTCATGATTCATGAACGGCATATCGAGCCCGAAGTGGACAACTTGCGTTGAGATAACATAATAAGCAACTGCTGCAAAGAATGATAATATATGAGCGCTGAGAGCCATCGGCAACCAGTATGGCCCGACCATGTGAACAAGTATATGCTCCGCTGGATGATTGTAGTAGCCGGCGGTGGGTATCTTGTCGTGGATGCCATGGTGTAATGAGTGAAAGTAACGGAAGAAAGGGTCCCTATGTAAGACCCAATGCACTGCGTAGAAGAATGCGTCGTAAATGACCAGACCCTCTGCGAATATTGAGAGCGTGGTGCCGAGATTGGGAAATGAAGGGTCGACGTTTGTTAAGGACACTGTCAAAAAAGGCCTTTTGGTTCGATAGGCAAGGGCGATAAGGCATATTGCATGAACAAGGGATCCGATAAAGATATTGGCCATGGCCAATGGCAAGGTTTGCGCAATGGCCGAGCGGAGTGGTGGTTTAAGGTATGCCGTGATTGCAGCTGCGGCTAAGACACCGACATATTGAATACAAGCCCCACCGACAAGCTCGATTATACCGGGTGGATAAAGCGAGATCAAGTTTGCCCAGTAGGTTTCGTACATGAGAGCCATCTTGATCTTTGATTACTCGTGAGTAGTGTAATAGTTGATAATTGTTCATGAGGAGTAGTGTCTTCGAGAAGGCGAGAAGGCGGTGATGCTTTTTTATGCTCTGGAGTGGCCACCTATGACGCGTATACAAGTCATCAATAGTTTCGATGTAAATCCTGCTAAAAGGTCCTATGTGTAACACTATGCGCCAAATACTAGTATGCTTTTACAATCTGCACCAGTACCGTAAGTTTCCCAATGAATGGTTAGGGGGCAAACGGGTTTTTAGCAACATTTGCAACGCTGCATGCAGGTTTCGAAGCAGCGAAGAACAGGACATTTGGGGCCCGCACCTACCAGTCCGAGCCCCATCTCTATACATCTTGGTTACCATCATGGATATATGTATGAATCATGTGTCCTGGAAGATCAACTCATTCTAGTAATGCCGAACAAGGGCGAGGGCCGTCACTCTCCGTGATGTGATGTTGTCAACTAAAATTACCACTAAAGCCCTGCTACCAGCCCCGGTTCTACTCAATTTAGGCTTTCTATATTGGGGATAGATAGAGCACAGGTAATCTCGTCTCTTCTTTTCCCTCACCCCAATTATTCCGGCCATAGAGGAGGATCTGAAGCCAGCCAGGACATGGAGGCAATGGTACCGGAATGGCCCTAGCGCCTAATAACTTGTCAAGACGTCACTGCTTTGAACTCTTGATTGGATGTGGCTAGTTATCTCTTGGCTTAGGGCAGCCGGTTGGGGTGGGCGGCAAGCAAGCCTTCTTCCAATCCTGACAGCTGTCCATCCTCAATTTTTGGCGCAAACTTAGCCTCAGGCCCAGCCCCTCCGAGCCCGAGCTGAAGTAGAACTGGCGGTTCACGCAAGCTTTGGGGATTTTTATTATCATTTTCGGAATAGACTCCAACAGCCCAAGATCGTCAGGTCTTGTATTCCGAACCATGAGTATCTGCCCGATATGTTCCACCGCACTACAAGACATACTTACCAATGCTTTGTTCGACACAGGGTCTAAGACTCGGCTGCCAATCTACCCAAAAGTTCGAAGGTAGGGTTGTTTGGGCATGCTCTAGCCTCATTTCCTGGGCGGAAGAATGACACCCGGAATTATACAGAATTGGCGCGGAACACCGCTGAACGTAGAATTCAGCATATTTGGTGGGTATCTGGTCAGGAAGGGCCTCAGGCAAGACCTGCCACTGCTGCCCCATAATCTTTCCATAACTCCAGAAGGCAGTGATGATCAGTTTATAATTTTGCTAGGGTTCGTGCCTCATAACAGTATATATACCTTCCTGTGAAATACGGCCATGGGGGGTGGCGTGGAGGGAGGGAAATATATATTTAACTTGTCACTGCAGATCTTTCAAAGTATATATTTGCCGGGGTCCCGGGATATAGGAGGAACTTAGTGGCCTTGAAAGTTATGGAATAACAGGTACACTAAAATATATTTAAGATATTTATTGATAATCTAAAGATCATGGTTCTCAATGCGCCTGCTTCATCTTGCCGGTGACAGGTCAAGGAATTGTAGTAAAGCTGATTATTAGTAACGAGACAATAATTAGTTAAAGGGGGCCGGTATTAACACTAGGCAATTATTAGCCTGTTAATCCAGGCTATTGGCTGATACTCACCAAATCAACATTTATATAGCTTCAGTATAGAATTAATTACGGAAAACTTTTCTAAAGCTTCCAAGAGAGTATAGATATTGCTTATTATCTTAAGATTAATTATATTTGGATTAACTCTCTTTATATCCAGCAAGATAAAGATGATCTGTCTAACTAGAAAAATAAGACAGTAACTACATATAAGATCTATTTATATTTCTTTCTAGATATCTCTACTATTTTTCTATACAGCAGATCTGAGTCACCTTTTAACCAGCCAGATATCTGGGTCGCTACTTGCCCAATACAGGCTAAAAGTTAGTGTAAACAGTAAGTTATGAAACGCATATCTTATTTCCAGTAATATTTAGAATAATAAGATAACAGATATACCCCTTAATAAAAGCAGTTGGGTCTTCCAAGAACACTTTCTGGTACATCAGGTACTTTATTTCGGGAGGTCTCAGCTGGCCTGGGAGTGCTGCAAGTGGGAGGTGCTTGAGATGTTTCTGAATGGGCTACCCTTCACTCTTATCGCGGGCTCAAATAGCAAATCTACCGTCATTGCCGGTCAGGACAGCCTACGTCGCAAAACGGGCCGTACTTCAGAAGACGGTGCCAGCACGACATTGTATCTTCCTAGGTCCGGTGCGGACTTTATCGGATGGCGCAATGGCATTGTTGAAGATTACTCTAAGTGCCATTTCACCTTCTCCCGGGACAAACTAGCGCCAGAGAGAGGCGCCTCTCTCCAATTGGAGTGTTTCCTTTTTGCATTAAACCTTTTGTGGCTGGACTACGATGCGGGTAATGGTATCGTACTGAACCAGATTGACATGGTTTTTATGCAAGAGTATGCAGGTCTCGACACGAAGTTTGGAACTGTTATTGATTTGGATGAAGACGATCCTTCCTTTCCACGAGGCAAGACATTGCAAATGTTGGCCCAGGAAGGAAAGCTCTTCCTGGTACATTTATATGCAACTTTGTACTTGCGAGCCATGATTGTGGCTAGACTGGGGAATAAAAGCCCGACCTATTGCCGGCTGGGAGCATTTGAAGTTGCCCTTGGCCTGCAGAGTTTTCCACTAGGTGAAGAGTGGCAGATTTCAAAGGAACGAGGGTGGAATGCTAATTAGCAAGGTGTGAGGCTACAATCATTATGGATAACACGCCAAGGGTATTGGGTGAGGGTTCTAATTATTGCAGGATTGAAATCACATAGGGTACAGCTTTTGGTGCGCAACAACTCGGTTCTGGATTTATTCAGACGCTGATGCGTCGCCCACCAACCACCCAGCCATATCTTGTCAGGGTTCCAAGGAAATTTATTCGGGGTATACAATAACTTCACCAAGCTCAGCCGGCTTTGCAGAAAGAGAAGCAAATGAGAGGCCTAACACAGGACAGCATGATTCACACCTCGGGGTAGTAGCATATATGCTAGATATCCAATGGTGCCAAGCCCGAGAGAAACTCAGAGGTGTCCTTATAGCACAACCCATGTCCCACAGTGAGAAATAAGAAAATAAAAAAAGCAAGGGGGTATGGACATCTTTTTCTAGCCACAGACACTTCTACACCCGTGTAATAAGTTCAATTAGGCCCCTCGTAGATACTTCACCAACAGTAAGATATGCCCTACTCACCTCCGCACTGATCATTAATATTCCTTCATTGTACACTTTCCTTTGATGTACTTCTGTTCTATTGCTAGTATAAAATTGTTGCAGTGAACACAGGAAAATATATCCCCTTCATGGGTTGTAGTCCGAAGTATGATAAGAACATCCACGCCATATTCTCAGTGGGTAAGGAAGTTTTTTCATAAAATCCATTTTACCTCACCAAATGCCACTCTATTACCGACAGTTCATAGTACAGCCGTATAGCCCATTAAGCTTATAGGGCCTTTTTATCTATTTATTATTGAAGTTGTTGATCTCTAGATAAAAGCAACATTACGTGGTATTTGCAAATAAAGACAGCAAGCAATATTAGAGTGAAGTCAACAAAAGGGTTTGAGGAGAGGCAGAAATTTAGCTCCGCGTAAAAGGCGCCTTTACTATTTACTTTATAAGATATAACACTAGGCTGCTGAATATACGATTGATCCTATACTAATTCATGTAGCTTTCCTAGTTTCTCACCCTGCTCACCTACACTCGCCTATTTTGACCGAGCTTACACAGTCGGCTTAAGTACGGCTGGGCGGACAGGAAGCCCTGTTCTCCCCACCCTATAGTCGTATGTATCAGTTCTCTTAAGTGGGAGGAATATACCGGCATAGGGCAGCTTTTGAACTAAATGTGAACCTGACTTTCAAGTGGGCTAGCGGTCTAACCCTTTTTGGACGCCGACTATTCGTCCTCTATTTATACTGAGAGAGCAGATAGTTGATTTATCACAAAGACAGACTTAACCATAGTGGCGATCTAGACGATATAAATCATACAGAGCATAACACCAGGGCATACCAGCAAAGTTCAAATCACAATGCAAGTTCCAGTCAGTGGGCCTCTTTCTACCATTGAATCAATCACCCGACAACTCAACGCCCTTGATGAGATAAGAGGCACCACAATCCTCCTCCATTCCTCTCTCAGCTCCCTAGGCTGGGTGTGCGGTGGTGCGGAGGCGGTAGTCCTTGCGATATTATCTGCAATTGGGCCCGACGGCACCCTAGTTGTCCCAACCCACACAGGCGATAACTCGGACCCTGCAGAATGGCAGTGCCCACCAGTCCCCAGGGAATGGCATGCGATTATTCGGGCAGCGTCGCCGCCATACAATCCGCCCACAAGTCGCACGAGGGGCATGGGTGTCATTGCAGAGACGATACGAACGTGGCCAGGGGCCGTGCGGAGTGCACATCCTCAAACGTCGTTCGCTGCGGTGGGGCCTTTGGCCGAGTGGTTGATGAAAGGCCATGAGGTGGACTGTCGGCTCGGGGAGAGCAGTCCACTAGCTAAGTTAGAGAAGGTTGACGCCAAGGTGCTGCTTCTGGGTGTGGGATTTGATGTTTGCACCGCGTTTCATTTAGCGGAATATCGGGTCGCCAATAACGCGGAAGAGCATATGGAGAATAATTCCTTTGCTATCGCTACTGAAGAAGGAAGACAGTGGATAACAGTCACGGACATCCGAATTTCAAGCGACCCATTCGGAGATTTGGGAGGTGATTTCCAGAAGGCAGGGCTAGTTATCGAAGGGAAAGTTGGCAATGCCCTTGTGAAATTATTTAAAATCTCCGAAGCTGTCCGGTATGCAGAGGGCTGGCTCCAGATGCAGAGAAAATGATAGTGCGTACGTGATGAGAAATAGGAGAGATATGTAGGGAAGAATCTGATTGATATGTCATATAAGAGACTTCATACAAGGGCTATCGAGAGAACCCCAGAACGATGCTGCAGTATACTAACGTATACTACGTCCATTTCTAACTGTATATGTATCTTGAGTCCCTTTATGGAACTATTCAATCATGATAATAACACCAAATTCTTCGTTACAGTCTCCCTTTTGCTATTCTAGAGGGGGTGCCAAAGAGAGCTACTTCATATCCCCAGTGTTCAGAGCAGATCCAATAACGTTATAGAGTACCTAACTAATATTTACAACTACCGAAAGTCCAATAGAGATACGAATTCACAACTCCAGTGGATATTCATGTATTTTTCGGGTAAGATATGTGCGATGCATAACATTATACAACCGAACTAGGGAGACATATTGCTGCCCAGCGTTTGTGGAATTACCTCGACACATGTAACAGCCAATCAAAAGTACTAGTAGCACGTGGCCTAGGCTTAGCTGTAACATAGGCATCGACAGCTTAGAAATGACTTACAATCAGCTATCGAAACCAAAACCTAGGTGGTAGCTGGACTAGCCTTGTACTATGATGTATCCCGTAGAGGCAGATGACAATCTTCTGCGCTGCAGTGAATCGCATTAACCATAACACGTCTAAGTAAATAATGTATTTAAAGTAACTATGCATACTTCTGGAAGGGGCGGCATTACCACGACGCGACACTTCAAACGTATGGCATGCAAGGGATAGATGCAACATCGGACCACAATCATGCAGCTACATGTCATATTCTGGTATTATGGATATTGAGACTTAATAATGACCCCTTTGTACGATTTGGCATATGTGAAGAACCTCTCTTATAATGTCTTGTGGGTACAGAGTTAGACTATTGCGCTTTTACGTCTTAAGGGGAAACAGGTCAGCATTCCACGGAGGCGGGCTATCTTGACCGGAATGAGGTTTATACCATATTTGTTATTTTTTTGATAGCACCATTAGAAATCCTACCTTTCGCTGTCGAAGCAACACAATGGGGAATACAGCTAGTGTAGCAGGGCATGGCTGCCTTGTATCCGCTGTTGCGGGAAACAGCGCACGGGTACAAGTTGAGGGCGGGCCTTTACTGGGCCTCAATGGTGTGCATCCGTATAACTTGAATTTCCCCGTGAAGCCGGTTGCGGTAACGTTCCCGGAGACGTCGAAACAAGTTGCGGATATCGTGAAATGCGCTACTGAGTATGGGTACAAGGTTCAAGCGAGGAGTGGTGGGCATAGTTACGGGAATTATGGTTGGTGATCTAGCGGATGTGTCAAGACCCATCCTGTGTGAGGCTAACAGTACTCAGGGCTGGGTGGTATGGATGGTGCCGTGGTTGTTGATATGAAGAATTTCAAGCAATTTTCAATGAACAAGAACACGTACACTGCTACGATTGGCCCTGGCCTCAGCATGAGGGAACTTGACATGCATCTGTATAATTCGGGGAAAAGAGCGATGGCGCATGGGATCTGCCCCGGCGTGGGCGTAGGAGGCCATCTGACTATCGGAGGCAAAGGTCCAACGTCTAGGCAGTGGGGACTTGCTTTGGATCACATCGAAGAAATTGAAATTGTTCTCTCCAACTACAGTATTGTCAAAGCATCAGACAGTCTCAATCCCGACATCTTCTTTGCCGTCAAGGGTGCTGCCGCAAGCTATGGAGTTGTTACCGAGTTCAAGGTTCGCACAGAGCCAGCACAGAAGCAGGCTGTCCAATATTCATATACCATTAATCTTGGGAGCATTACCGAGCGGGCACGGCTGCTAAGGGACTGGCAAGCATTCGTTGCGGATCCCCAGCTGACACGCAAATTTGCTGGCAGCCTTATTGTGTTCCCAAAGTCGATCGTGATTACGGGTATATTTTACGGCACAAAGGATGAATATGATTCCCTAGGCCTGGAAGAACGTTTCCCCAAAAGCAATCCCGGAAACATAGTGATATTGACCGACTCACTTGCAATGACCACCAATGCCGTTGAAGATGTAGTCCTAGGAATTACAACTGATATCCCGTGGTATTTCTACTCTAAATCAATCGGCCTTTCGCGCAAGAACCTCATCCCACTATCCGGAATGGAGGATATCTTAAATTATCTCGATGGTGCGCCGGTGGGCCTCGACTTTTGGTTCGTTACTTTCGATCTGGTCGGTGGCGCCGTGAATGACTATGCTACAAATTCTACCGGGTATCCGCATCGTGAAATCCTTATCTGGGTGGACGCTATGCTGGGTGGCATCATTATTCCAACCACAAAACCCCAATATGACTTTCTCGATGGATTTTGGCATGCAGTCATTCAGGCTCTGCCATTGCCAGAGTCAGATGTTCCTGTGTATCCAGGTTATGTGGACCCTCGGTTACCGAACGCTCAACGCCATTACTGGGGACCTAACCTCTCCAGGTTAGGGCAAATAAAAGCGGCTGTGGATCCTGATGATGTGTTCCATAATCCTCAGGGTGTGCAGGTTGGGCGGACTTGAATGAGCCGTATCATTTCGGCCGAAGAATTGTATATCTGTATTTATTAGAAATTTTGGTTCTGTTGGTTTGCTATTCTTTGCCTTCTATGAAAGCGCCCTGCTTTTGTTTTGATAACAGCTGCTCTCCAAGGCTAGGTCGATGTGAAAGAGTGACCGCTACCGGAGTGAAATAGCGGAGGTAGAGGTACTTTAGTTAACTATTAATAGATAAGGAGAAGTCATAGCAGATGGGGAATGTGGCAATGTGAGAAGCTATTCTAAGCTGTCTGAATACTGCCAGGACCAGGGCTATTCCTTCCCACTAGGCCGAATATTTCTTCTTGGATTCGTGGGTATCCCCTTGAGCAGAAAAGAAAAATAGGACGGATACCTGGAAATACCTAAATTAGACTAGATTACGCGGAAGGTCTGGTAATCGTTCCTGATTATTGAATAATAGCTTAGGCTATTGAATCTCCCAGAGATTGTCGAACGTCCATGCAGCGGGATCACCAAAGAAGTATTCCTCCAGCGGCTCATCGGTCGGGTCAAACTAACTTATGTTAGCTTTGTACTAATGATGATTTTCAAAGGAAATGGGCCGTGCGGAGAGCTTTGGTGACCAACCTGTGGAAATCCAGCATCGCTCAAAGACGCCTCCACCGATTCTGCCACATTGTGACTGGTGAACTGGTACTTGGTCGATGAATCAGTTTCCTGTGGCATAGTACTTAGCGTATAGTTCATTGTACTGCTGATATGTAAGCGAGTTTCAAGATAGGCTACCTTGCTGAGTTGCGGGGAATATATCTTCGCTCTCGCTTGAATGAACGTCTCTTGAGATGCAAGCACTCGGTAATACTGCTTTACAACCTGATTAATCGCTTCCTGCTTAAACGTACTAGATTCTGCTGACTGCGACAGTGATCTGAGAAAGGATATCCCGGCAGAAATGTACCAGTGATATGTAAATCCCGTTCCAATATAGGTGATGCTGTCCTCCAACATGAAGAGAGCGTGTTGAATATATTGCAATATTGTGTTGTGGTCGATTGGGACAAATGGGTCGGCTAGACGTAATATTAGGCAATTTAGTTTCTATCCGTGGAAATGGCAATGTGTTGACTTACGCCGGGTGCCCGAAACATATGCGTAATGAGATAGATTAAATGCTCCTCGAAAATAGTCATGTCTCAGAAGCAGTAGTATAGAATTTCCAGCGCGTGACAGCCGCCAATGCTGATCAATCATGCTAGCTGCCGCGTTGAAACATATCATTCTTGACAATGCGTATCGGGAATTGGCCTCGGCCTTTCGGGCAAAGGGGGCATGTAACAAGACTAGGAATTGCCGGAGCTGAAGATCCAAGACAGTCCTTGCCATCTGGGAAAGACCTATTGCACGGGTATCATGATTACCCTCCACTGGCTGTGGAAGCCTTTGAAGCTCGCTCATGATCATGTCGTCGTATCTGAGGGTTTCCTCGTGTGTCATATCCAATGTCAGGTCATTCACCCGCGAGTTCAAGGAGACACGCAAGTCTAAGCTATTGCGAGATGAGCGCAAAAACAATGTCGTAGTGCGGTATCCTGAAGCTCTGCGCCCTCGAGGAGCCTCGGATTCGGGTCTCAGGTCTTCATCATCGACATCGAGAGGAGGGGCACAGTCCATGCGGGTCGCTGCTAAGGTGGACGGCATTCCTCGCTCAATCGAAGCTTGAAGCTCCAACTCTACCATTGTTGCCCACAGTCGCCGTCGAATCTCCTGGTCAAAAAATGAAATCTTGCTTCCTAGACGGCTCGGGTCACGATGAAAACCAGCCACCATTCCCTCTCTCACCAAGTCACCTGCCACCGACCACATGCGCTTCTTCTTGTAGCGGCACATCTGTTTTGCCAACACGAGTAGGCAGCGTATCTGCCATATCAACAAATAAATATTTTTCTTGCTCTGTTTCTCTAGCCACGCTTCCGCGGTTTCAATCCATAGTGTTCCGCGTTCCCGACCGAGACTGCTGCTCCCGACATAAGCTCTATCAGTTGTTGTTGTGCAGCAGACGGTAGCCATCACCAGTAAAACCAGAATGATAAATCCAGGCTTTGCATCCCCGCGATCGCTCCGCAACTGGTCATATTCTTCCAAAAAGCTTGGTCTATGCACAATTCTGTACACTGTTTCGAACGTATCAAAATACAGCTGGACAGCCGCGTCCATATACGTGTGGTCTGGCAGCAAACGCAACAAGTCTGCCTCTTTTACCGACGGAACACTGGACTTCTCGTATTTCCATTTGGTGTCCAAAGCCTTCAGCTCTTTCTGAACACCAGGCAAAGAGGGATGATGCTTGATCGTCTCCTTCATGTATGAACGGAGCTCAGGAAACTGCCTTATCATTGAGCAACGTGATCAAGACACACCTGATGGCTCCGAGTATGAGTGAGAGCACTTACATGAGCGATCAAACTAGTAGGATTAGTACTTCCATAATATTGTGTCATGTAATTATCCCCTCGGAAGATTACAGCCTCGGCTGGCCTCGGCTCATGAGGACGCGTCAGTTCATTCACATCGGCTTTAATGGCTGGTCGCTGTCCACCATTTGCGGTATTGGAGACACTATCATCATTTAACAACTGCCAAGTGCCTCCATTGTGCGCTGTGATTTGGGGAAAAGGTCTATCACTGTCCCCGTTGTCACGATAACCAGCTAACGGAGCAGACAATGTCGTGTCCCCGAGCACTAGAGTAGGATTCAGGACGGATCGGTTTTGCCCCAAGGCGCGAGGCTCCGACCTGTTGTCACTTGATCGAGGATGACCGTCCTCATACGAGCAAAAAGCAATGTTTCCGGTCTTCTGACATCGACCACAGGACGGATACTCACGGTCGCATGCGAGTTTCCGTCGCCTGCAGAGAGAGCAGGACAAAGGTTTCCGCTTTCTCCGAGCGATCGGTCGATTTTGGGGTATCGACTCGGAGGTCCGGTGGTTGCTATTGGAAGACATTAAATCAATTGGAATTGGAGCTCTTGTCTGTTATCAGATCCGATTGAAATCTAATCAGATCAAGGAAGAATGAATGAGAGCCCGAGAGAGTCGCGGGGAAGGTCAAATCAGTCGGACTTTAAGGTCGGAAAAAGTCAGGTGGACCTCGGCGATTAGGACCTATCATGGATCGATCTTGATTGTTATTGGGCCGTAATGAGTCCGAAGATGCCACAATGGACACATACAGAAATGATATTCAAAGCGCTAGTTCCTAGTCAGATCGATTCTAGATCGCTCCCTATTGTAAAGTCCGAGGTTGACTCATCATGTCGGAGATATGTTATTCATTGAGCCTGGGGGGTCAATGTCAGGCGAAGGAGAAGGAGCGAGGACCAGCTATACCTATAAATACACCCTTTTCACATCAAGAACTGGGTTTAGAACTTCCATTGTTGATGTTCATGCTCACCAACAGGTCCCAGAGATTGAAAGAACGCTATTGAACCACATCCCTAGCTTAACTAATTTGTTGAACCATCACAATGTCCGCAAATACCATCCTCAACAACGCCCAGGACGTGGACTCCTATGCTGTATCCCATCTAGTTGCAACCGACAAAGCCTTGACCGACACTATCGCCAACACCGCCAAAAATGGTGCACCGCCAATCGCTGTGTCTCCCGCCCAGGGCAAATTCCTTTCTCTACTAGTCAAGATGTCAGGCGCCCATAACGTGCTGGAGATCGGGACTCTCGGTGGCTACTCCAGCATCTGGTTCGCTCGGGCTCTGAATGCCAACGGCAATAAGGGAAAGGTGACCAGTGTTGAGGTTCTCGAAGACAGGCGAGAGCTTGCGATGGAGAATCTCCGTAACGCCGGGGTGAAAGTTCCGGAGGAGGCCGAGGTGTTGCTCGGAGCTGGGTTGGAGGTGCTGCCCCAGATAGAGGCGGAGATTGAGCAAGGGAAGCGGCCAAAATTCGATTTCGTGTTTATTGATGCCGACTGGGGAAACCAGTGGAACTATTTCGATTACGGTGTTAAAATCTCCAAGCCTGGGGGTGTTATCTTGATAGACAATGCTGTTCAGGCCATGTTAGAAGACGGAATCGTGGGTCCTGAGAAAAGGGCGGAAGGGGCGATATCTCTTGTGGAAAAGGTTGGGCAGGACAGCCGTGTGGAAGCTGTTCTTGTCCAGACTGTGGGGGTAAAGCGTCACGATGGATTCTTGATGGCGCTGGTAGTGTGAATGTATATGGCTGTTCATTGGCCTGGGAGGTTCGAATTTCTGTAATATGACTGAACGACTGCCACAACCATGGCAAAGATTAGTTAGATTATCGCATGGGTTGAAGAAGACGCTATATATCTTCAAAGGACGCATCTGACTGTTGGTGTATATCTAGTAGCATATGACTGGATCAACCGTCAAGTAATGCTTGACTTGTTATGCTGGTGCCCCGAGTCTAGAAAGGTCCATCCTGTAATTCACATCACCCTATAGCCTTGGTAGCCATTGGTAATCTGAGCATGTGTTTTTCTCACTCATTTTGCCGTACTCTCTCCGACATAACGGCCGTCATAGGCTTGTAGGGAGATGATAGAGCTAGCAGAATCCATGCAGCTACACAACACAAACTGCCTTGACTATGGAGAATTCTGTATCATAGTGTTTTTGGTTGAAAGGGAATAATCAGGACTTTTCGTACAAGGGTAGCTACTGTTATCTTTAAGTGAGTCCTTATAGTAGATTTATCCTACAGTAACGCCTTACCATTATCGGAGTCTCCATAGCTCAGACTTAAGCCGAATGCCTAGAGTTCAGATTCTCTATGCCAGGAAGTATTGCGGGACTTCGTTGCTGTTGCAATTTCAATTACGCTTGCTCATTCAACAGCAATGGTGATTTGCTGACGGAGACAGCTGCCAACTCTAGTATTTCTGTCATTCGTAAGTCACGAAGAACATATTTTCTACCTATCGGGAACAATGAACCTCCCCCAAATATTCTGAGCTATTCCCAACTTCAAGGTTGCGAAAAACGATGATAGAAACAACCCCAAACCATTCGTGAAACAGCCTCCCCGCCGAGACTGTGCCATATATTTTCTCTAGGAACGCTTCTCTCAATCCAGCGCGATGGTGTGAAAACAATTAAGGAGCTGTTTACTGCAACAATTGCATGTGAATCATTGAATGATGAATAGAAGTGTCTGAGTTTCAGGGTCTTTGGGTGTCGGATCAGTCATTGTAGAGTTCTGTTCCGTTGGTGGAACCAGTGGGCTCATGTCTGTATTGGGTGAGCAGGCTAGAAGACTGGAAGAAAGTATGTGCTCTCCAACCTTTCCTGTTGCTTTGCAAGTTGTCGAGCGGGACTTGGGTTTCCTTCATACCTCGCGGCATTCCATTGAAGGTGTGATTGCAGTTCTATTGTAGACAGGGTTTATCGCCGAGTGTCTCCCGGTCAACGACCAAGACCTTCGTTCATTGTATGCTTTATTGTATATCTATATTCGTCGTTGGCCTTGTTCAGATATAATCCCAAATTCCTGGGTGAGGAAGATATTACGGCCTCGGCCTCGTCGGTTTGAGGTGAATTGATCCATTGTTTTGTAACACATAAGTTGTGATATTAACACCCATGTCTAGATAAGCTCTGACGTGATAGAAAGCAGTCCAAAATAGTAACGCGCCTTGTTGCTGGGCAGCACACGACACTTCATAGCGAGGCACATTCCTGCCTTATCTGTGATGGAGGCCAACTCTGTGTAGGATGGAACCTTTACTAGTGACACGGTGAGCAATCTGGAGACGATGTGCCAAGAACCTGGTCTGCTCAGAACCCTTTGTTCGGTTCAGGACCGATGAGACGGATAACTTGTTCCGGGAAGCACTCGAATAAATTGTTGATGTTTGGGCTTGACGAGGAAGCCCCTAGATCATCTCTTCAGTCGAAAACCTTGCTACGAGTAGAGAGATAGAAGTGTCCATTGCTGTTCCTAGGACCTTTGTCCGGCGCGTAGTAAACTCAAGGTGCCATCGATGTCCACAACATGTTAACCTCCACGTTCGACTTTTCCTCGTTTAGTCCTATGCATAATGTACTCTATGTAGAATTGGCCTGCTTACTTATTAATAGTACGCTGCAGGTTTGGTATGGCGAATATTGATGAAATATTAACCCAAGGCGAGATGGATTATATGAGAAAGGAAGATATCTATTGGTAGGTAGAGAGGATGGGATCGCATCACTGCTCAATTAACAACCTGGTAGTGGCAATACAGTCAGCCATCTAGGGCTACAGCCATATGTCTCATAGGACTGCAAGTGAGCGTCCCGGAACTTGTGGATCAATCGCTTGCTCAATCAATGCATGGCTTCCCTATTATCAGGCAACAGCATTTTCAGACACTTTCCCCTCACTATGAAAGTGACATATTACTCCCCAGACCCGCATAAGACTGGATACCGCGGTGCAGCCCCATGCCAAAGGCGTTTGCTAAATGGAATGACGTGTTCGGCTAATGTATGCGCCCCATAATGGAACATTCTTGGCAGTGTTAGGGCCCCATAGCTGGGGAATATCCACAGGGTCGGATTTTCGGGCCACCTGAGGCGGATATGTATTGGTCCAGGTGAATTAGTATGATGATGGCTGAGGTTGCATTCATTCCATGGTTTGTACTAAACTGCTCGGCGAAACGGAGTTTGTCTCAGCCTACCAAGGTTGAACCCTTCAGGGGCTGGTCGACTCGGACAGGGATACAATACATTGTGGGATCTTGTCTCTTTTCGCTGCTTTTTTCGAGTCCTGATTTGTGTAGTACCTCCTTCCTCTATCCACCGGTGCTCCAATGGTTGCCTTGAATCATTCTATCATTCTGCATGACATGCTGGCAAAAGCAGGTTTAGGGTAATCTATGGAAGTTAGTCCCTAAAGACCCGAAAGCTATAAATACCGGCTCTTTCCCCCTCCACATCTTGCTTGTTGCGTATTCGTCTGGTCTTGTTGGAGCAGCATCTCGAATACTACAATGTCAGATAAACCGGAAGACCTGCCGATCTGTTCCGTCGTTGGCGCTACCGTCAACCTGCTCTCTGCCAGTACGAACCCCAGTAACATCCTCTCTTTTTTGCTTGACTGCAGCATCGCTAAAACTGTTCAGATATCGACCCATTCGATGTGCGTGGAACACTTGATAAGAGCAGGAGGTATCCATTAGTAGCCGCAGATCCGGAAAATGGTACCACAGTCCGGCCGCCTGGATCGGCTGATAGCTACTGGCTACCAGCCAACCTCCGGAAGATGGATATCGGGGCCCAGACTGTTGAGAGCGATGTCATCATCGCTGCTGGCTCGGATCTCGTACACGATCTAGAAACAAATCCCAGCCTGAGCATCAGCCACGCCGGCCTTTCTGTCGAGGGTTCTGGGGGATTTCGCTATTCGACGTCCTTGAAGAACAACAGCCTTTACGCGCTTTACAGCTCCGATCAAAAAGTCTATTCTGTCGGACTGAAGCCTGATAACGAGGTTTATGAGTCAGTTTCGGAAGAGTTCATCAATGCTGTCAACGCGCTCCCGGATTGGGTAGAAATCAGCAAAGATAGTGACGAGGGCTCCCTCGAGGAAGCATCAGATGTGGTCAAGAAATACCAGAATTTCTTCAACTACTACGGATCTCATGTCATCGAGGAGTGCTTTCTGGGCAGTCGCTATCAGCTGCAGATCGAACGCACCGAGACCAGTGTTGAAAAGAAGGAAGAGTTCGCACGTCATGTCAAAGCAGAGTACAGTGGAATTTTCAATGCCCCTGTTGACCTCAGTATCACAGCCTCCTCTGAATACAACGACTACTTAATTCAAAGACGCTCCCAATGCAAGATTCTGGGAGGAGACACAGGGCCCGCAAATGTGTTAGCACATAGCCCTACTCACACCGACAAGTTTGATGAGTGGATGTCGAGCCGCACCGTTGAGCCCACGAATGCCCTTCTTCATATCAAGACAAGTGGAGTCAACACTTTCTTGGAACGGAGTGGGAATGAAGAGCACCAAGAAGCTGGTGCTAAGCTCACGCCCGCTATGGAGTATCTAGGCAATCTCTATACAATTAAAGGATCGTTGTCCACTTTATTCCTCGCGTCCTCCGGGTGGGTTGAGCTCTCTGTGACACCCCTGCCAGGGGTATCAGTTCGCGTCGTGGATAAACCCTCTGTAGTGATCTCACAGCTATCTGCATCCTCAGTTAAGGTGCAGTCGGTAGTGAAGGAATCATATATTGAGGTCGAGCTTGTTATCATGGCACCAAATGAGCCTGTAGATGTCACGTTCAGCACATCCGCGGCCGGACCTTTCGGTGCACTCAATACACTCAACCTTTCACGCTATGGCCCTGAGAAGTTCCGAACTGCAATTAGAGGCGTTTGCACTGCGGAGAATGCATTTTCAGCCACAGTATCAAGTCTGAGATCCTCGGGGCGATTTGGAGGCACCGGTTCGCTGGATGGAACCTTGCAAGTCGAAGCCAGGGAATATGCAACGTACCATATGACAATGCACAAGCAGACACCCGGAGTGCCCATGAGGCTGTTGCCGATCATTACTCGGCCGGAGGCACATTAAATAGGCACTAGTCGAAGGCTATTTGATTTGAGCTATGATTCTGAAGACAACGGAATGTAGGTACACTATAGGAGGTCGTCGGATGCTAGCGAGCCAATTATGTATAATGATTGGTTTTGAATTGTTATATGTATCCCGTAATCACACAAAGGGTGGCAATTTCGAAAGTTACATTGATAGGAACCTAGGTAATTCGGGAGAGTATCTACTATTCTTCATGAACATTCAGCATTCTTCTCTGGACTGGTTTTCAAACGAGAGCAGACGTTGCATACGGCTACATGCACTACGAATGAGGGGAGGCGAATAATGAATTTAGGCAGTTCCCCACTGGCTATGGTTGTATGGTTGAAAGGTCTGTAGCCCTTGCTTCTGCAGTTATGCTGCAACCGTGAGGCCCACCTGCAGGATAACAAAAGACAACGTTATTACAGATCCGAATATTGATGTTGAACAATAAAGCAATGTCCAGGCCGGGCTGATCCTTCCGCGTACTCACCATGACCGGTCTCGGAACATCTCATCCCTTGCTACCCTTCCTAGACATTCCAGACGACTAGGGCTCCAGTATGGACCATGATGAAAGGAAAGCAAGGTTTGATCGTGGCCCTCGTGTCTAGGACATGCTCGTCCCATTTCCAATAAATTAAAATGGTGACAATAGGATGGGGACAAAAGTGAGAAGAGACCACGGACATTCGAGGTGCAATCTCTGGAGCCAGGGCAAGGATAAGACTGACTGCGTAGACGGCTATCCCTTCCTTCCCAGTAAATTGCCTATTCTGTACTATTGAGTCGGAAGAGAGAAGGTCAGGATTATAAAGTAGGCTCTTCATAATAACTAACATCACTTGAAGAGTAATAATTTTACTATCTAGGCCGGACAGCAGGATTGAGCTAGACAAAAGCTGGGTTCTTCCGGACCGAAAACAGCCAAGCTAGTCCCTTGCATATTGTCTCCCGCGGCAAAATCTAATCAATATATTATGATCAGTCAAGGCGGAGTCTCTCAGTGGCTGGCTGGTTGCGGAAGCTTTATTTATGGAACTGATTTCCGAAACAGTAATCTGAACCCTTGTACTTAAACGCAGCTATTCCGGCGCTGCTTCAACGTCTATTAAACTATCATCCTACCTGAAAATACACTATTCCATTCAATCAATAATTTCGTCATCCAGAGAACCAAAGCCCACCATGAAGTTCACCGCCGTGCTAGCTCTCCTCCCTCTTGCCGCCTCCGCATGGGAGGTTACGACCGGTTACTGGAAGAGTTCCGAGACCGATGTCTGCGCCAAAGCCTTCCTACCTAAAGGTTTTCATGTCACCATCAATGAACTTCTTCCTAGCCAAAAAGTGTTCTTCTTCTCAGATGATGAGTGTGAGGACTTGGAGTTTTCTGTTGACGAGGCGGGTACCCTGAAGCTTGAGAGCCGGGTAAAGAGCTTCACAGTGCTCGACTTTGAGCAAAAAAGAGATCTGTGATTGCTAAATGTAAGCATAACTAGAGCGAGTAGGAACAACGGGCTATTAGCATATGCTGACAGATCATATTGTGATAGCAAATTGAAACAACTATTTGCCTTTTATTGACAGAGCGGTATAGGCATAAGTGGAGCATACTGCAACTGAGAACGTTGTTCGAGGGACCTGTGGTGCTATTCATTTTTCCCTACCCTATCTTACAATGTTTCTGTCAACAAAGTTATAGGCACCGGGTGTACAATTCATATGAAGGACTAAGTTTATAGCTTCTGAGACGATATAAGTCCACAGGTATATATATCTGTTTTCCGGCCTAGCCGAAGTTATTCGTAAGCGATATGCTCTGTATCATTGCCTCCGCTTTATGGGTACATAGTGGTAAAGGGGGGTCCGCTATGAGAGTTTTAAAAAGGGCTATTTCCGTATACTCTTAGTAAAATGCCAATATAGGGTGGTAGGATGGTGGTGATTAAGTTTTGTGCAGTTTTCCTAAATTATATCTAGTTGCAGCAGGTTCTTTCAGGTTATAGGTAGTTTTGGTGGCTTCTTGTTACGGGACAAATAGATTATCCTAACCTAAGCGTGCCTATTGAACAAGAAGGAATAGCTGAAGAGGAAAAGACAACAGGGAACACGGATCAGGAGTAACTAGTGGGAACCACCTGACTTTAGCCACTATATGGCGTGTGTTGCGGGTTCAACCCGTAACACTTCTAATAGATTATTAGGTATTACCGGAAGTTATATAAAGTATATTAAATGCTTTTCTCTAAAAGAGTAATTTAGACAGTATTACTTAACTGAAATCTTAGACAGGGCTAGGCTTTTGAAAGCTCGAATCTATACGGAGAGCATATATTTTAAGGTAAGAGAAAAAAGAAGAAATGTAATTGTAAAAATAATCTTTAGTGAGCTTATAGGGATGGTGACTGCACATTAAGGAAGATAAACGAGAATTGTTACCAACAGTGTCTCTTCAGAGCCCGAATTTATTGAATATAAACATTAGTCTTCTAATAGTGTCTGCGGGAAGACAACGCCTAGATCTATCCAGTGCTGTCCTTATTAGAATATAAACCTGCAGGTAGTTCGCCTGACTATTCCACGCCATATCTGTTATAAAGAAGCGCGTCTCCTTCAGATTATGTCTAGAGTCGCTGAACTCCAAGTCATCTTTATCCAGGACAATTCTATACGTCCAGACATGTCAATTAGTACACGTGCTGATTCAAAGCTCCCTTTTGCAAATGCAACCCTCCGATATACAGACACTTGATGACTTATTTATATCCAGAAATTTTAGTAAAGCTTGGAGTTTTTCATCGGCATGCATTTGAACTTTTAACTACCATAATAGCTTAGAATATGTTAGATGCTATTATTCTATTTCTCAAGCATTTTTAAGAATCGAGGTAGACGGAATATATAACGGTAATTAGCGGTAACATTAATTTCATTTCCTTGTAATTAAGGCTTGAATAGTGGTGTTATACTATGTCTTTTCTGCTGTTTTTATCTGCATACTGAGATTAGAAGACACACACAGGGAACACTAAGTGTGGATATTGGCTTAGAAGATTTTTCGATTGCTTAAGGCCTCTTCCAGGGGCTTGCTACTGTCCTATAAAGATTCAAGGTTTCTCTCATACAGTGGTTGGCGGGGGATCTGTGAAACACTCAGCTTCAACTGCTCTATAACATAGCTTGCCATGGTTTCAGCATCCTCAAGTTTTCTGTTTTCAGCGGCTTCGGTTGCTCCTCTTAGAAACCAGTGCGCGGTATTAGCAGCGGTAAGAGTACTTTCCCATTGATCAGTGGACACGTTTATTCACACGTGATCGATTTGATGACTGCCGTCCAAACGATCGAACGCTATTAATGTAGCCCATGATAAATCAGTCAAAGAGATACTCGCAAGTTTTTTTGGTGGAAGCAAGGAGATCAGCATGGTCCCCTCGCTCAGCTGCTATGATACCTATAATTCGGCCTGATGAGTGTATGACCTTGTCTGAAGAGTCGAACACAAAGAACTCGAAGTTGTTACCATCACAGAGGATGGCAAGTATAGGCACCCAGTGCCCTCCCCCAGGTTTGCATAGTTACACGCTGCGCACTCAGCCAGAACCTGGCCCTTCACATCAAGGAGACTCTTTCCCATTGTCCATCATGTTGAGTAAGCGTTCTTCAGCTCCTTTCCATCGATCCGTATCTGGGCCTGCGGAAACTAGGTCGGCCAAGTGGCATGTTTCATCAGCCTGCTCCAGGCCACTATCTGTCTTTCTGGTTGCCATTGTCTGCATAGCAGCTTCCAGGCAGCCTCGGATTGGGTCAACAAGGTAACATAGAACGACAAACCATAAATCAAGACAAAAAGCTTTCGGTGCATTCTCTGCAAAGAGTTCTTGGTTTGCGTTGTTCTGACGCTTGTGCAGCGGAAAATATTTGTATTTGGAGCACCCCAGTGTGTGGTTTGAATATTCGCAACACCAGGTTGTTGCTTTTCGCGCAGGTGCTTTATAAAGGACATAATGAACTACAGCCCCTCTAGTGGTACCTGAATGGGTAGAATGAAGATATGAAGAGCAAAAAGTGAAAAGCTCAGTCTTTTTTCAGTCTTTTCTCCTGTCTCCTTGTGGTCTAGTGGCTTAATGGATTTTAAGGTGTTTGCTGGCATAAACTATCGACTACACGTACGTAGCCTAAGATTTTGCAGTGGCCAAAGCACCTTAACGTCCACTTGCGTTACAAAATTATTTTAGGAATAACGATATATAATTTCAAGCCAAAATGATAGACCCCCGAATCGAGGCATCCACGGCAGCCTTCCTAATCCCGGGGACGGGGCCAAGGCACATAGCGTTTTCCGCGAGGAGATGCACTAGCTTATCAAGATTGACGTGGATTCGGGAGGCTTTCGTAGGAACCTGGGCGTCCTGAGGCTTAAAGTTCAACAGCGGGGCACTCGATACGTCAGTTGAGGGAACACCTGTCATAGCGGTTGAGAGGTGTTGGCTGTTGTTAGAGCGCCATTGTCTCGGCCTCGGAAGCCCGAAGACGGAATAGTCTGAAGGCTCGTGCCCATGGAAATCCGCCGATAAAGAGACAGAAGGGGACCGCTCCATGCTACCTAGTTGCGAGGGAGTACTACCGTTGATGGTCAAGGCTAATTCTTTTCCAGGCACAGAACCTAACGGAGTGAGTATGGGTATATCCTGCTCGATGTCTGGGAAGAGCTTTTCATACGAAGTCTCTTCGCTCGATGTCGTGCCGTTCCCGACAGCGTTTCGCACATAGATTCCTCGGTCTTCCAGGTACTCCTCCACATCCACGGCTTCGAGCCATTCTCCTCGGAGTGGTGCAAAACTCGTGTCTAGTATTGTCCTTGTTTTACCTCTCTCTATCTGCTGCACCAACGGAGCTGGTGCTCTTCGCACGGTCCTGGTCCCGCCTTCAACGACGCGGTACATATGCGGTTGCCTGGGAGCGGAGTGTAACGGATATAGGATATCAGCCACGGAAGGATGAAATGATTCCAGACCTTGCAAAGAATTTGCCATTAGTGTGTCCCTTCCTAGCAAGCGAAGAGGAAGAGCTAAAGCCGATGGTTGGTTCCCATGCACCGTGCTATCAGATAAGATAGTTACCGCACGCTTGAAGCAGGCTCGAATAATCCTGGCTGGCATTGGGATCCGATTGGAGGTATTGGTCCATAGAGATATGACCATAACCCTGGAATCACCGGTAACTAACTGGCCTGGAGCCAGCCGCTCTTGAAGTGAAAGCGGCGGACTCCACGCTTTGTCTCGTTCTCTAAGCACACCAGTTGTAGTTGGTCGACTCTTCGTTTCATGTGCTTGTTCAGTAGAAATTTGGCTTGAATTCATCACACCATGTGACAAGGGTAAGAACTTGCCCCTGCTAGATGCAATGGCAGTCATTCGTCTGGCGGCGTCGTTCAAATGGAAGAGAATATCCGGTGAATTTCGTATCTGCGGGGTATCAAGAATACGATCATGGAGCGTGGAAAAAATTTCAAATGCGTTATCAAGAGCACTGCTAAGCTCTTCACCTCGGATCCTTTCTAATTGTTGTGCTTCTTCTTTCCGCGCACGGTACGACCTCTGTGCAAGGCGCATCCGTAGCCTTTTCTTCTCAGGCGGCTATGCCCTTATTAGCTTTGTTTAGCGAAGCGAAGTATGGTCCCTCTGTTAGGCCCGGCCCGACTGACCTGCTGAATATCGACGACGGTCTGTCCATCTTGAATTTGTGGCCGGCCGCGGCGAGCCGTTCGCGATCTTTCCATTTCTGCTACCTGGATAGGAATGCTTCAGGTAATCGATGGGAGATATGCCTGGACCAGATTACAAGGAGTCGAGAAATGAAATCCGGGGCTGTCTGATAAATCAACACAACAAATTGACAAATTGTGGAGAATATAGTTTTGTTATGAAGCTTGCCTCAGCCGGCCAAGATGCGTCCTCAGCCAACCATCCATGGACCAATCGGGCAAGATACAATACGATAGTGCTTGGAAACTGATTAATAATGAACTAGTCTTCTCTTTCTAACTCTTAACTTACGTAACTCTCGCTTTTTCTTTCTGATTTCAATCTACTTTACAAGTAATTCAGCCTTGAGACTCTGAATTTTTACTTTAAACAACATACTTCTTGCTGTGGTTCCTTAAGTTGGTTTCAATTGATTGGATTAGATCATCTTGTAAAATAGTACCTGGGTCTTCAGGTATCAACGGAGAATCCATAATAAGCTACTGTGACGTAGTTGTAAAGTAGTTATAAAGTACTTAGAAACCAGTCTTTAAGAATTCGGAATTCGGGAGAAATAGAAACATGGAGGTAGTGAGTGAAATTCCAAGGATTTACTGTTATTTACATACTTTACATACTATGGGTATTATCAATTCCACATTATCAGGTGGCTTTAATGTGGCGGGACCCGCTTTCAATGTCGATGCCACCTACCCTCTCGAACGCGTAATTATTCAAACAACCACCATGGATGACTAAGTCTTGTTCGAGTCTTGTTGAGACGGCACTGTGGCGAGTTGCTGTTCACCAATGGGCTTTGTAGTTGAAGGTACGGCCACCTACTACACGCATGTAGTAGCTGTAGAGTAGTTCGGATGAGTGGATGCTAGCAAAGGTGTACTCTGCAATGACAATAATATTGATCGTGAAGATCTAAAGGTTAACTAGATACATGCTTGAGAACGCGAGTCCTTATATCCTTCTGGTGGCTACCGGTAGGCGCGGTAGCTATAGCTATTGTTCAGTAGTTTTATGGAAACCTGAATACTGACGTTATTCTCTAAATCACTATAGTTAACTAACTTCAAGAAACCGCTTATTAAGTAGTCAACTCACTCAAACAGTAGCGCATGTGGATTGGGTTGAGTTGATCGCCACCCTGCCTTCTGCCTGCCATGTCTCAGATACCTGCCTCAATTGAATAGGTATAAATTACCAACCTCAATCCAATCACTAGATAGAAGAATCAAGATTCCTTTCGTTGCCCTATTCACAGGGGGCTTTCTGCCGGTGGTCAGTTTGTTTTGCATCCGTGCCGTGCGACAGATGGTGAAATGGGGACGAGGAAAAGGCGCGTAGAGCTGCCCATGGCTTATCCTGCACGATCGGTGGCATCAAGGTGATGCTAAGAAAGCTAGCAGAGGTTGCACACAACTGACTTTTGATATGAATCTATACGAGACCACGGGGTCCTAGTGGCTTGGTCGGATCACCGACTCCAACCCCTGAAGGCTTTACCTATTAGATAGAAGATAAGGAAGCGGTTAAAATAGTTGATAGAGTCGTACATAGAATTGAGTATCTATCGAAATGGCACCCGATCGTCAGTAGACTACGTACGTGTAGCCGATACAGCCTCATTCTGCCCATCTTTCCCCTGAGATCACAAACAACTTTAGTTGATGACACTGGCTCTCTGGTAATAGTGCAGCTGAAATTGGACACGCGATAACATTGCCATCTTTGTCTAATTCTGACAGGAAAGGGGCCGGTGAAACTCGGAATATCCTTGTTCTATTGAAAGACACTCGCTCCGACTCATTTTATGCAAACTTGCTCACAACCTGTTTAACAGTCTCTTTAACGCTTTCTTGCTTCAATCCCAGCATTCCGTTCGCCAGCTCCTCGTCTTTTGCGTAGTTGGCACGGAGTCCAGGGGTGGTTGCATAGCTTGTGCCACGAACCAGCGTAAAAGCACCACTAAAGTCGCCAACGCTGAGCTTCTTCGCCGCCTCGCTAACTTCAGCATCTGTGGTAGTATCAGTCACTGTCCACTTGGAAGAGGTAGCTTCCTCGAAAGCGCTAAGAATCTCCTTCTGCGAGGTCTCGACGGAGGAAACGTAAAGATATTGGTTGGCAGTTTCTGCGGGTTGCTTCAGAACAGAAACGACAGCCTCTCCGAGTTGCTTCTCGTTGATGAGAGTGAATGTCTTGTCACCACCGTCCCAGATGGTTGCTGTACGGGACGCGACATCATAGCCAAGGAAACCGTTTGCAAGGCCCTATTACAGACGAATGATCAGACAAATTTCACGCAGATCAAATGAATTCGAGTGCATACCCAATCAAACAAGAGAGCAGTGGCGATACCTGTCCAGGTGAGTCCCACTGACTCCTTGGATTTCAGGTACTCGAGGACCTCCCTCTTCTGTTCGAGGAAGGGCACCAACTGTATGACAGCGTCGCTGAGGGTGTTTGCAGAAAACTCAGACGGGATAAATCTCCTAACACCAGCGCGGACGGCAGCATCTATAAACTTCTTTTGCTCGCTAAACCCAGTGGCGCCCACAGCTGAGACCACGGCATCTTGACCCTTGAGAGCAGACACTATGTCATCCTCGGAGAAGTCGGTTTTGCGGACAGTGACGTTGGCAGGGAAAGTTGCGTCGCTTGAGTTGCGCGACAAAACAGTTACTTTGAACTCAGATGAGGCAACAAGGCCCTCGAGAATAATCTTGCCAATATTCCCGCTGGCCTTCAACGCATTAAAATTAGTTTGTACATGAGATCTCAGCGAAATTAGAAGGGAACTCACGCCGATAAGGGCAATGTTCTTCAATGGAGTTGCCATTTTTGGTTTGCTGAATATTGGACGGTGTTTAACGTTTGATGAAGATTGTTACTTGCGGGAGTTGTAGACTTAGTATTACCACGACATCAAAGAGAGGGACAAATCGAAAAAAGATGGCATCTTATATGGCTAAGTTTACTCTAATTAATCATGTCGTGCTACTCATATTGGTAGCTATTATGCCGGAGTTAACGGAATTAGCAATGATTGGTAATGATATAACTAAGATAGTTGACAAAATAGCTAAAATAAATAACTAATTGTTTCCCATTTGGTAATCATTAGTAGTTGTTAGAAATCATTAACCAGTTAGTTAGAAATCGGTGTAATTCCACCTGACGGATTTACCATCATGACATTACGCATGCCTCTGATTCCGATTCTGTTAATATAGACTATAACACGGCCACTTACTTCTTGGTTTTCCGGGTGTTCGCATCATTGAGATTCCATATCCCCTGTCAATAAGGGTTCATATTCAGAATAAATGAAGGAAGCCATCAACCTTTCCGGACCGACGGTAAGGATCGTCGAGAGTCCGATCCCAGAACCAAACGAGGATCAAGTTCTTATCCGAGTGATCGTCTCCGGGTCGAATCCCAAGGATTGGAAAGCCCCTGATTTTGCGGCTTCCGGGAACTCCCCCGTTCGCATTCCTTTGGAAGTCAAGAGAGGACTAAATCAGGGGGATGATATGGCTGGCATTGTGGAAAAGGTGGGCTCTAAAGTGGTTGAATTTAAGGTAAGTCTTCAGGTCTCATATATACTAAAGCTCACATCTCCATCAAGCCAGGCGACCGTGTTGCTGCATTCCACGAAATGTTCACTCCTGGTGGTTCCTATGCGGAATACGGAATTGCGTGGAGCCATACGACTTTTCATCTACCCAACCACACTTCATTTGAAGGTGCTTTCGTCCCCCGTCGTTGTTGATTCGAGTATATCTGACCTGGTCGGCAGAGGCCGCAACAATCCCACTCACCGCCATGACTGCTGCTGTATCTCTGTACGCGCATCTTCGCTTCCCATTCCCATGGGCCCCTGCCCAGAAGTCGATCCCATTCGTCGTTTACGGCGCGAGCACAGCGGTTGGCTCGTATGCTATTAAATTGGCATCTAATAGCAACATCCATCCCATCATTGCGATCGCAGGGAAAGGTTCTCATTATGTGGAGAGTCTTATTGATCGTAGCAAAGGTGACACAGTCATTGATTATCGTGGGGGTGCGGAGGAAACGGTTAAGGAAATAGCTCACAGCCTTGAAAAAGCGGGCCATAGTACTGTCCAGCACGCGCTTGATGCCGTTAACATTATCCCGCAGAGCGCAGAGGTCTTGAGGCGATCAGTCGCTGCCGGAGGACAGATTGATTTCGTGGCCCCAAATGACCTAGATGTTTCGCCTGCGATCAAATCAGTTACTCATGTGGGATCGGTGCACAAACAGCCTGGACTTGAAGACAACAAGGAGCTTGGGCACATCTTCTCTCGTTACCTGACGAGAGCCCTGCAGAATAACAGTTTCACCGGCCATCCTTTCGAACTTAGGCCCGGAGGCCTAGAAGGCGTTGGGGATGCATTGAAGGATTTAAAGTCAGGAAAAGCAAGCGCTACCAAGTATATTTTTCGTATTGCGGATACCCCGGGGGTGGCCTAGTGTTAGCCAAGCTAGCTATGATAGCCTATTTGAAGGACAGTATGCCCACAGCTACGGAGTAATTTTGCCGTGCGGAAAATCTACTCTAAATTCAATATCTTCATCTTTTTGGTTGGTTGCATGCATGTTCTCTGGAGTCGGTAGAGTGTATGCAAGAGTCAAGAGACTCTTCCTAGACAACTAGTGCTTGAATAAAGGCCAAACTTATATGCGGGACATAGTAGCGATGTTAGCGCCACTCACCCACCGCGGCCCCATTAAGGCAAGCTTAGTGAGGTTCATCCCTTCGCCTGAGCGGCTGCATAACCAATCAGTTAAGGCTATCGATAATAACTTTTAAAAAAAAGGCCCTTTTCTTGTATACTATACATAGGCTGCTGTTGGTTTTGGTGTATCTTGCTTCGCTAGCAAATCAGCTGAGCCAGTGCCTCGAAAAGGGGATAAAATCCACTGTTATAAGCCAATCAGACTAGTGAGATTGACCCAATGCTCATGATTCTGTTTGGACCGCAGAATGACCGTTGCGGCACTAAGCCGGTCAGCTTCCACAGCCGCGCTATCAGAAATCTTAGGATCAATTGCAGTACATTTTCTTTTCATTGGCTGAGATGACTCCTCCTGAGATTGGAAGGCTCTTATTCAAAAGAGGATATAGTTATGCAGCGATTGCTTGCCCGTAACCCATCGCTTGTTGCTAGATCTGGTTCAGCGAGTCGTTTTCTTTACTGCAAGCCCTAATTTGAGGTCAAAGGATATTAGGGCACCGGCAAGGATGAGCAGCCACAGCAATGTCTGAGTGTACGAATTCGGTACAGTCGGTCTCGTCAGAGGTGCCTCTCCTTGCTGCATCATCTGGAAATATATCAGAAAGGAAAATCCTCAATAAAGGGGTCAGGAGCTCTGAACCATCGGATTTGGCACTTTCGTACTTAAATAGCTTGATTGAAAGGCAGTAGAGCAAAGTATTGCAAATTCCGCATCGCCTGGAGATTTAGCAAGCTCCAGGTCCACCTCTGACACTAAAGGATGCCCAGTAATCATTGCAGTTTGGATCGGTATATATGTTGACTTTGGGATAGACCGCATTACTTTGTCCAACAACGGGCAGGAATGAGCTATTTTGTCATGGATGGAATTAGGTCCATGGAAAAAAAGAGATGTATAGGTGTATGGATGATGCAGTTTACCCGCAATCTGTATAATCCTAAGAAAATTAGTGTAATGTTTCAAGGAAGATATAGATGAGAAGATAGAAGTGACTCTTACCTAATAAAGCTGCCACGAGGAAGCATGATACGTTAGTAGTAGTAGTAGTAGTAGTAGTAGTAGTGGTGGTGGTGGTGATGGTGGGGTGGTGGTGGTGGTTATAGTCTTTGAATTTATGGGTAGGCTTACTCTCCACTATCAAATTGACGGCGCGTTAGCTGTTCACAGAGAAGAACAAGAAAAAATACGGAGATACAGACTTACCGAGGACTGTAGAGTCAATAGAGTATTTTATTAGCATGATTACCTATATCTTGAGCACTATCAGGTTGGGTTACAGACTGATTATAAGATCACCTACCAACAGATGAAAGTCAGTAGACTGCTTCACAGGATATAGAATTTTCAATATATAGAACATACCTGATGCAGATTTGATTTCTAAGAATATTATTCCGCGGTCATAAAACTAGGGCACAACCAGTGTGTCCGCTGGCTTTCCACATGATGTATTCATCAACATCCCTTTTACACGTCCTAGCAACGTAAAGCCTCTTAGTAAAGGTGACGGGTTATGGCAGGGCGTATCCCTGTAAGTCAAGTAGTACAAGTCTGACACATTGTGTAATACTGTATCTCATCCTTTATACACATCTCGTTCTTGCCTTTCTTTCCTCTTCCTTCTTCCCGCTTTGTTCCTCGCTTCCTTTTACCGTCTTTATCCAGGTTTGTATGCAATGTCTAGGATTCTCGCCAGTGCAGACTTCTGGACGACTCAGTTCGATACTCCTATAGACCACAGTAGTCAGACTGTTAATGTTCTTCATTAGATAAGGATTGCTAGTATATGTCAGACTTGATTCTAGAGCAGGATCAAAATGTTTCCACAACGCGAAACTGCACGGAAAGTCCTCCACCCACGCTTGCGCCTGGCAGTCAGAGTCGTCTGTCGCACAATTACACAAGGTTAAGCCGTAGGTTTAGCCTCTCGTCCCTGCAGCACCTCACGCACAGGTGGCAGGATATAACGTCCATAATCAATCGCATCATTGAGGTTGTCATACCCACGGATGGAGATCAGTTCCGCACCCAAATCAACATAATCCAGAATCGAGTCGACGATCGTTTGTGCAGATCCCACTAACGCTGTAGACGCCCCTTTGGCATTCGTAGCAACAACAGTCGGATACCAAAGGGCCCGATCCTGCACCTCCCCACGAGCTGCAATGTCCAACAACCGCTGAGACCCGACATTTTGTGGCGCCCCGCCCGTGTTACCTTGACTACCCGGCCGATTCGCCTTGAGAGCATCTAAAGTGCGGTAAGCCTTGGCCCAGGCCAGCTCGTCTGTCTCTGCGATGATCGGCCGGAAGGTTACCCAGATGCGAGGACGGTCAGAGCGACCGGCGCTCTCAGCTGCCGCGTAGATCTTGTCGATTTGTTGCTTAGTTTCTTTCAAAGGCTCTCCCCATAGGCCGAAAATATCTGCTAGAGCACCGCCAATTCGGTAGGCATCATCGGATGAACCACCCACAGAGACGGGGATCGTCTTGTTAATGGGCCGTACCTTATTGGTGAACTGCTTGAACTGGTAATATGTGCCATCCCAATCAAATGGATCAGGGGAATCCCACGCTCGACGGAGAATTCGGATATATTCCTCCAGTCGCGCGTACCGTTGCTCTTTCGTCAGAAAATCGCCCTCCTTCGCTTGTTCAGCATCACTGCCTCCGGCGATGAAGTGAACGACCGCACGACCGGAGCTAAGTTGGTCCAATGTTGCGAGAGCCCTTGCTGCCACAGTGGGGTACAATGTGTTGGGGCGCAGAGCGATGATGATTTTGAGTCTCTTCGTCTTGGCCGCGATAGTCGCTCCGATTGTCCAGGGGTCAAAGTAAGATGAGTCGTACGGCACTAGTGTGTAGTTGAAGCCATAGTCATCTAGGTTTCGTGCGTACCGTTCCAGGTACTCTGGATCAATCCTTGCGTTTGGGATTGGCTTGAGCTCCGTGGAAGCATTGGGGAACGTGAGGCTGATGAACTCAACGGGCATTTTGAAGTTCTTTTCCTGGTGCTTTGTCCTATCGTGAGAACAAGTGATAGTTGGGATCAGATAGAGGATTTGTCGCAATCTTTATACCAAAACCTTATGCATATGTCGTTGGCAACTTGAGTCAATGATTGGCTTCGTATCCGTATGGCGACAGCTGCATTAAAATGACGCCTTACGAGGTACATTTTGCTTAGAAATGCCTGGTGTCTTGTTTAATCTATCTCATGCTAAATTGTTTGGGAGTACGCTTCGTATGCACTGCCGCATATTCAAGAATGAGCAGGATTCTACTACTGCTGATTCACCCAAAACCTGAAGTTCTGGCTCACATTTCCTATTCCTAATTATTGTGTCTATCCAAACCGTTATCTGTGTATCAAAGTCAGACCATGCGGGGAAGCTCTCATCGTTGACAGCGTCAGATCTCTCGGAATTGCGTGATTATGGCCAATTCCTGACAAATTATATCAAGGAATCAAGATAGTCCCCATCCGCGTTGGTAAGCACGATAGTTGCCCAAATACTCTCTTGATTAGATCTATCTATGAATAATGACATTCCATGTTTACTGTAATGGCGCACCAATTAACGCTTAACGGAAAGTCTACGCATTGCCGCCGATCGGCTTTGATACCAACAACGAATAGTATGAAAAGGCATCCATTGCATCTAGATGGATCGGAGTACACTCCGTAATTTTATCGGACCTCCCGCCTACCTAGTCAATTACTCAATGGCGTGTGAAATCGCAAGAGCGCTTTCAGAACTCGATCAGAGGGTTAGTCATGATCCAGCTCTTCCTCTGTTACTGTGTTCTGCTGGGTTTGTTCACGCTGCAGCAGCACCTCTCTCAGGAAAGCCGATGATATCATCCATGGAGACAGTGAGCTCATCGTCCAAGTTTCTTGCGCATTGCTGCCCTTTGAAAACGTGGCCGATGGCATCTCGGGCCAAAGTCTCAACATCGCGGCCATTTGCCCATGATCGCGTCCTCCGATGCCGGGAGAAGAGTTGAAACACGATTTCTAATTTCTCGGAATTCCCATATAATGTCCTATCGATTCGAATGGGCAGCTTCCTAATTTGCTGCTCAAGGTACCGGAAACAGTTTTTTCGGAGACATGGATGGAAAATTGATATTGGTCGGGATACGCGACTGTAATCCTGGATTTACTGGATCAGCGTGTCCACATCCTCGGTATAACCAGCAAGAATAATCACGATCTTTTGATTGTCCGATGATGCGTGCTGTAGCGGTCTTTCCTGTTCCAGGAGCTCCCTTGAATACAATGTGAACGGGATGAATGGGCGAGGATCATTCCCCCGCAGTCGCATTCCGGCTGGCAACAGAGAGAATCCCCGCCAAGGCAAGGAAGAGTGGTGATTTTGCCAGCATAGTCAGTAGCGTCTTATCAGGCTACGCGAATTAGAATGGGTAAAATAGTCATGCTTGTATATGAGGCAGCATGGCCTCTTATATCTCTCATGAACCTGGGCGAGGGAGTCAAGATAGAGGCCCATTTGGAACCCTCCTAGGCCAGGCAGTGCCTGTGGGTTGATCTTTGACTAGATCTCATCCAGTACGATGTGCCTCTTAATCTCAATGCTGTTGGCTATGTTCGCAGGAATACGGGACATTTATTAACGATTGTTGGTCGATATTGCAGGGCTGATTGAACGCATAGTGAGGTGGAATCCACTTGGCTGACAAGGGCCAAAATCAATCTTTCCCGCCTTCAGCCTCAAATATGGACTCCCAGCGCCTATCACAAACAATGAAATAGGGAGGAGTGATTGGCAATTGGCTAGGTCAGTTGTGGCTCCACGATTGACATCTGTTTGTTAGCAACTAGCACAGGGCACTTCGAATAGAAGGCTATATTCGGTGGAGCTCAAGTGAGTGGCACGGGGGCTAAAAGTATCGATAGTGTATTACATGGGGCTATAATTGTCACCGTCTTTCATATTCAGGACTGTTCGATACTCCTTTGCGGATAGAAAGCCCCAAGACTCTTCGAGGAATTATTCACGAAGACGGCCCCTTTCCCTCTCAATGTCACTAAAGAAAAGCGTACTCTACACTTCTAAGCAAGAAGACCTACTTGGACGTTATCCCCAGATGTATTGCTTCTCACTACCCGCTTAGTGTATGATAGTGCCAACAATTAATTCCGGACTTAGTCCCCAGATCCAAGCACTTCAGAGGAGCCTGCTTAACACTTCACGCAGACATTCTAAGTACAAGGATCTTTGAACAAGCATCCTTGCGTACAGTTCCGATTGCTCCATAGATATGATTCGCGTCCAAAAACATATTGTCGGTAATGTTCTTTCTTTCCGCATGAGTGAACCCAGTTTTTTCCTAGTGATTCCCCTGCCATGTTTGGCAAAATCTTCGGCCTTTTCTTCTTGCACTATATATGTAAATTTATTAAGTCGAGTATAAGACTCTCGCGATTTATTAAAATCGCGAGTAGCATAAAGATCCATGTGTGATATCATATCATCATACACAAATTTATCTTAAGACTTCCGATATTATATTGAGAAGTACTCGTCTTTGCTGAAAATATGGGCATCAAACAATACACAATAGTTAGCTACCTTATGCCCCGAGGTTCGCTCAGCAAGAGTTCAGCCAATAAGAGACCAGTATCAAATCGTGGTCCACGCAGAATGAAAACAATTAAAACAGAGATAGGGCCGGCCCTATTCTCGATAAATATTTAACAACCTGAACGGTGGAACCTGGACAAAATCCTTACATGCCATGTCTTGGACAAGGAGCCCTGTGAAACCCCTTCCACCACCTTGCAGCTCCCTGGTCTTTTGGGTATGATAGCAGAAATCCTCGCGATCTCCATGGATTCAATCTTCTTAACATTAGCATCACAAGTGACTTCCACCATGGCACCTACTCCTAACGCATAGCATCCTTCGGACAATCTTAATAAAACGGCTTATGTGGCGAGCTGAAATGCCCTAACGGCATGAAATGGATCTGTCTAGATCGAGGCTCAGCTGCCACTCATGACGCTCCTATCGGCTGGTGAACTCCACTTAGTCTGTGCATTGACAGTGAACATTCCATAGACGTGACGGTATGTGTCTGTTGCCCCTGAGTCTATTCAATAACCCCTCCCCGGGGTCCACGTTCATATGATGATTCCCTCTTAATCCTTTCTGTTCTCTGAAAGCTTTCATCTATGGTGAAAAATTTCTATACTCATTTCAAGACGGGTCTCTGATATCGTTATTCATTATTTTCACTTTTGCGTGCATCCTTGGTACGTTGGACTCATGACTGACCAGGCAGACTCAGTAGGAAGACCGGTTATTGGCTGGATGATGATCGTCCGTCCGTCCTACGTTCGCCTGTAAATCTCCGGTAAGCAGCTCGGACTTGTTAGAGGCCAAGTGACCGGCAGGCGGATCTGCCAACCTCGACGATTTACAATAGAAGATATCTCTGCAACGATGGTTAACCCTACTTAAATCACCGACATTCTTCCTATTCCTTGGTATATAAGGTATAGATATCTTATTCCTATCTTTTTTAACCTGTGATATGAATCTATAGGAGACACGTGACCACCTAGTGGCTTGGCCGGATCACCAACTCTTCTGCCCCTGAAGGCTTTACCCATGAGGAAGAGTGAAGAAGTGCTCAAGATAGTTGATATAGTCGTCCATAGAATTGAGATCTATCAGAATGGCATCCGGTCCTCAGTAGGCTACGTACGTGTAGCTGATACAGCATCACTCTGCCCATCTTTCCCCTGAGATCACAACAACCTGATTAATATTATTTTGAAGCTATAGCTTAGCTTCTTTAGTAAGCTTTTTTTTAACGTTTTCAAAGCCGCCTGAATTGAAGCCATATTGGTAGAATTATGGTGTTTTGAAGAAATGACCAAAAGTCGGTATATATTAAAAAACAGGCGTCAGGTGGGGCCGGAAGTCAGGTGATAAGGTATGGTAACCTTTATACGGTTACCTCCGTTTTAACTCCGCCAAGTCGTAAGCATATAAGTTGGACGCCCAATGTTGGCGCCTCAGGGCGAGAAAAGAGATCTCGTAATCATTATACCCACTATGAAGGTTATACTCACGGGCTCAACGGGCTTCATCGGCTGCGAAGTCCTCAAGCAATGCCTCCAGAACCCTTCCATCACATCTATCGTTGCCTTCTCGCGACGGGACCTTCCTCCAACAGTGACTCATCATCCGAAGTTGACGGTGCGCATCGTGAATGACTTTCTTAGTTTTTCCGATGCGATATTAGAAGATATTAAAGGGGCAGGAGCTTGCATATGGTAGTTCTCTATTTATCGTAGCGAGGCCAGAAAGTCTAACGAGGCACAGGACTCTAGGTAAAGCAGTCATGACTGATATGGAGATGGCCCGGAAGATCCATATCGAGTATACGCTTTCGAGCCTCGAAGCTTTCCATCGAGCTGTAGCATCGGGTAGTCAGAGTCCGATGAAATTCCGTTTTGTCTATTGTAGTGGTGCAGTTGCGGAGCGAGATCAGTCGAAGCCGTTATGGTTCGCGCAGGAGTATAGAAGGATTCGGGTAGGACTTTACGTGAACTACTAGTCTTCTTAGGCTTTATGACAGGGACTAATATGATACAGGGCGAGGTTGAGAATCAATTGATTGCTAGCGCTGAAAATCATAGGGATACGATCGAGACCTATATATTGCGACCGGCGATGGTAGTCTCCCGAGAGTTGACTCTCAGGAGCTTGATTTTCGGGCTGGGCCCTTCGATCAAGGTGGATGTCTTGGCCGGAGTAATGTTAGATATAGCTCTGCATGGACATAATGAGAAGATACTGGAAAACTTCATGATGGACAAGTGATATAATGTTGGGTATGTTGAACCAAGAACTCCTGAAAAACACGAAACCAGAAACATCAGAGATGGTTTCATAATCAATCAAGCTTCTTGCAGGTTAATAGAATGATAGGGCCATAGTGAAGGTTAGCAAATAACCAGCGGTGGTAGAAACGGTCGCTACGGAATACAAGCAATAATCCGCCATATCCCCTCATACTCCATACTGACAAAGGATTCTACCACAAAAAATAGCGCGTTGGGCTTTGTTGTAAAGCTCGCCTTTATCGGCCTTTTCCATAAAGGCTGATAAAGACATTATTGAATCAATCCGGGGTCTCCATTGTTTCTTTCAAACCAGATAGTAAACGCATTTTGCATTGTATCAAACACATCGTCGCAGTACTACTTCTTTGGTACTATGGTGGATGCCATAAATCTCCATGTAGAACATTTGCAGTCGTTGATAGAGCTTGGATATATAGGGCTACGAAGCCCTCACACTAGATAAATCAATAGCAATCTAACCTACTTACATCAAACCTTTTATTTCCTACCCTCGATACTTTAGCCATTTCAGTACCTCCGTTCCAATCTTCAAGAAACTTGAGATAGCCCCCAAACGATGACCAAACAACTATCAGGGCAGAACACCAAGCAGCTATCATCTCAGTGTTTCTACTTCAGTATACCAGGCGATGCAGACAATAGCACCTATGGAGTCATCTCCGAAACTCTCAGGCAGCTGAAAAACTCAGAACCACACTATTTCAGTACCCCGCCCAGCGAGAAACAAGGCTTTCGGACGATATCGTACAACCTCACAGGCGCTGCCACTGAGGCTGCTGAATTTTCCAAAAAGCTGGAGGAATATCTACAAAATTTGGAACAACAGCTGCGAGCATCGCCCTGTTGGTATGGTATTCCGTTCCTGTGTCATTACAGGTCACCAAGATTGGGATCTTGCACTGTAACATGGAGTGATACGGAATCTTCTCTACTGCCAACTATTTTTCTGTCGAACCCTAGGAAGGCTTATACGGGCACCTCGCCAGGGGTTTTAGATGACGATCTTATGCATCCTCCCATGCACATGCGCCATGGTTGGCCATAATAGCCTTGTCATGGGTTCCCAGTATAAATGTAACAAGGCTTAGTGTTAATTGTTGCTTGAGCTGGCGAAGCTCGAGGTGATGGTGGTCAGATACTAGATTGCCGCATAATTGTTCTCTTTTTGTGGTTGTTGCTATCGTGTTACTCATTGCGCAGACCAGATCATCATAGACTTGTATATATGTACGATCGCTTCCGGAGGCTTCATGGTAGTATTCCAAACTAAAGGGTATCGTGTAAGGCTGCTTTACTTGCCAGGATTTAACGGTTACTATACACCGAGTTGCAGGCATATCAGAGCCTCACTAATTGAAGGACTCGATTGTTAAGCTTGCATCATAGGGGTCTGTCTAGACCACAAAGAACAGTGGCCTAGAATACAAGACAGAACGAATTTTTGCAATGCTTACCATGGAGCTTGCGATTTATCAACACGATACTCCCCTGTCCTCGGATAGATCTCCGACTTGCCGTAAAACACCGATTGGCGATTTGTCTAGACACGATTTATTTTCTATGAGATCTTCCCGACACACCAACACAATCTAAGCTGTCAAGTCTGGACAAGGGTTTGAATGAAGAGGGAACATGGCGCAATTGACAAAAATACTAAAAGAGGGGCCTTAAGTGGGGTTATCGAGGCAGTTCTTCCGTCCATAAGATTCGCATCTCTTCTATTATCACCCTATAAATATGGGCCCAAAAGTGGCCCCCTCGTTCAGCTGAAGAGCATCCCGCAATGTCCCATTTGGTTGAATTCTTTCACAGAGATTTTTTCCATCCCAATATACAGCCTTCAGCTGGTCTCCTCATCCCGGTCGGCTGAAAACACACCGTGGGTCCATAATCAACAAATACGACCCAGCCGCGTCAGACTCGAATCTTCCGCGTCCGATTTCGAACACAAACACACCATTGACCGGTTTTGATGGATGGGCTTCCTTGTAATATTATCAGTAATCTTGACGAGATTCTACTTTGTATCTAGGGTATAATGTCTGGTATAGCGACACCGGGGTCGATGTTTACCCTCAACTACAAATAGAACGTTACACGGTTCTATCTACAGCCTGATGACGAGCTGAACCAATCTGCTCCGGAATATGCGCGCGTCCCCTTCGATGTGACTCCCACAAACTTGCATCAAGGCCGACCCTTAGCGAGCTGTCGGCGAGCCCTTCACAAGAGTAAGCTTGTCATCACTTGCAAAAGACCTGCTCAATTGCGCCAAAAGTGGGTTAACTTCCCAGTGTGTGGTCCCCATTAGAGACTTTGAAGATATTTTTCTCGTAATATTCAGCTCAGACGAAGTGTTTTCGATGTGTTGAGCATCAAAGTGGCGAATCTGTCGAATGAAGACCTGGGGCTGATGGGAATCCTGCCTAAGCCACCCTGAGCACCAATACGGAGTATTGTCCGACCAGACAAATTAATTTGCTATGCAGCCTTCTCAGCTCCAAATGCTGGCCGCCTATACGACAGGCTTGAAGATGGTCGTAGTTGATTCTTGGCGGTGTCTATAAGAAGCTGTGCGATAGCTCCGGAAGTCGAGAACTCAAGGCTTTCACTCTTACTTTCTCAGTTCGACAATACTATACTCTTTTAGTAACTTCTGCTCCATAAAATATCCAACTTTCTCACTCAACCCATCATGTCTGTACCACAGTACGTCGCGAAGGAGCCTCTGGTTCGCGACCTGAGAGATTTCATCAGTCGCGACGCAGATCGCACCAAGCGTTTCAACGATGCCATCGCAACCGCCCTCATCGGCAGCGCAGAGGGCGACGAAGACGAGATGGCCAACGAAGGCATCGCGACATTAGACGACTACCTCCGCTACTGCGACGACCTCCTCCAATGGGTTCCCAAGGTCAGCAGCAAGGGCGACGAGCTTCTGCAGAAGATCCTCGTCTTCTACTGGGTCTTCGACCAGCCCGCACTGCGCGGCCTCCAGACCGAAATTCAGCCACAAAACTCGAACACAGATCTCAGCTGGCTCTCCTACTGGTTAGTAACATTCGCCCGCCAACAGGGCTTGTTCCTGGGCACACCCCAGTCCGCCGCATCAGTGTACTCCTTCTACCGCAACGAGAAGTATAACAAGGAGGCCGCCCTCTGGGCGGAACCCAAGTCCGGTTGGGTATCGTTCAATCACTGGTTCGCGCGCGAGTGGAAGGATATCGACTCCGCTCGGCCGCTCGCAGGCCCGAATGACGAGAAGGTCATTGTCAGCGTCGCGGACTCGAAGTTCAATGGCTCCTGGCCCATCGAGAACGGCAACGTTAGTATCGACAGTATCGAGGCGAAGGGGATCGACTGGCCCATTGACAAGTTGTTGCAAGCTTCCACGCTCGATTATCATAACGGCACGTTCATGCATGCGTTCCTGGGCCCGGCTGACTATCACCGTCAGCATGCGCCCGTCAGCGGAGAGGTCATTGAAGTCAAGAATATCCAGGACCAGGTCTACCTTCAGGTTGCCACTGAGAATGGTCACCTGTCCGGAGACCGCAGGCTCGTCCGGAATCCCCACATGTGCTCAAAGCGGAGGGAACGGCTCGAGGGTGATCAGGACTTCTACGACCTGGATGCCCCGGATGATGCTGGGTATCAGTGGTGTCAGACGCGTGGACTCGTGGTCATTCAGACGAAGGATTACGGGAAGGTTGCGGTGCTGCCGATTGGGATGGCTCAGGTTTCTTCCATTGTTATGACAGTCAAGAAGGGCGACCAGGTTAAGAAGGGTGATAACATCTCTTACTTCCAATTTGGCGGTTCGGATGTGGTTGTCGTGTTTGAGAAGAAGGTCACATTCAAGTCCGGTCTAGTAGCGGGTAAGACGAAGCTCAATGTCAGGTCAGAATTGGCGAGGTTTCAGTGAGTGCGAAGGTACGATAGTAATACCGGTATGAATGATTGCTTCAGCCTCCTTTTTTTTTTTTTTTTTGCTTTCTTCGTCTTTTCTGGTCTATTCTCAATCTGTGATATAATTCCCCGGCTTGATTCCAATAGGGACATTTTCATTTGCTCTTCTGCGGATCCTTCGGAATTGGATGTAAGCCTAGGCGGAGTTATGGCCCAGACCTTCTGATTACCAACCCCAATGCCTAAATCCATATGGATTACGGCTCACGGCGTATCAATCCTCGATAATGACAGTATTAAGTAGTAAGATCATCATGAAGCGCGTCAAGAATGATCAGCTGACTAATCCGGATTGTTTGTTGATATAACTTGGACCCGAGTTGAACCCGACCATGATACGCTGCCAGGAACGATAGAAAAAAAAGATCATTTGACGAAGTCGGCACTAAGATATAGTTATTTGCCTCGTAGATCTATTGTCGTTGACGCTAATTACTTGTAAATTATCGTTTGTGCGTTTCATTTTGTAACCGATCGAAAATGTATTCTTCCGCAGATTATATATAATAGCTGAATATATATTCAACACAGAATTTAGGCTAAAAGTATATGATCACACATAATCGGGTTATTTTAGACGCTTCTAGCACAGCAGACATAGCGAATAGAGGTACATATTTTTTTTTTGGTAAAAAAATTCCTATGTAATAGGAAGACGCCATTATCATCACTACCTGCCGCGGCCTGCCGTCAACTACACCAGACAGTACTATGAAGTATGCAACGACAGAAAGTTGAGATAACTACTAGTACCTTCTGGGACATTCGATCCAGACGAGAAGTTATGCAATCCTGGCTGGGCACAGACAGTTCCGTGCTTTCCAGAATCATCCGATGAAGCATCAGATCCAGTCGAAATCCCTCCGGCCGATCACCCCGGATATCGGGAGTCTCCGAGGAGCAACGCAAAGCCGCATCTTGAGCTCAATGTGGCGATGGAGATAAGATCATGCAACGGGATGATAATAGTCTTGATCTGAACTGGTCATCAGACCTTCCCTGAGGGCGTGCTTAGTGTAGGGAGGCGATTCTTCACCTGATCAAAAAGCAGGCAGTGCTGCGGCGAACCTGTGGGTCGGAAGATGATTGATCCGGGTAGAAGTGTAAATTTATTCCTGAGAAGGAAGTTTCTACGGGGTCCAGAATTTTTCAGATTGGATGTGGAGACTGGGCTCTTAAGTTGTCTTAGAGGAAGAACGGAGTAGTTACAGGCAGATGGACTTCCGATTAGTCACCAGATTAATCTGACTCTGTCCGGAGTAAGGGGTTAAAGGTAAACGGTATGCGTATCCCTCCAGAGCTAACGAATCCGGTGTGTTACTTTACTGAATCAAATTTAGATACTCGCAGCGATCTGTGACTATAGCCATTAATATTAGTTCGCGGGAACGAGCAATGAATGCTTACTTCTAGAAGGTGTCTGTTTGACGACCTCGCTAAGTCCATCCACAAAGCTTGGATGGTTCTAGAGCCAACCATGCATGAGAACCAACGCCGCTGACGAGTTTCGGCTCGGTCGGGAGAGCCAGAAAGTTCTTGGAATCCCTTTTTACCCAAGACGGATGCCGTGAACATGGTTTTTCGGTGCCGATGGCCAAAGCATTTCGGTCGGCATGGCTGCCCTATTTTCGCGGGAAAACGCATTCGGATGTCAACCATACTATTCATTAGTCATAGGAACAATACTATCATTATTAGGTGACCGTGGAATGTGGATGACATCGGGCTCGCATATTATGGGGTGGAAAATTCGATCGTAAAAATCGAGGTGAGATGCGATATCATCATAGTGGTGAACAGTGACGTTCACTCCGCATTTCCCCTCTTTTCCTCGCGGTCCCTGCATCCTGATATTCTCCATGTCGTGCTTCACCGGTCAACGGAAGGGGAAGCCTCCCCTCGTTTTCTCCATATCAGCTCCAGGAAATGCCTCTCCCACACTCTCCCCGTGGAATTCCGGCCATGTGTGGCCGACGTGGAGTTGAGGACGGTGCTAGTCCCTAAACAGACTAGCTCCATATCGTTTCCGGACTAGTGCCCCACACGTGTGACTCTGGGGCTCGTGACTGGCTAAACCCCAACATTCATCACTCGAGAATGAATTCTCGCAGTGCCACATCGACGTACCAAATCCATCGCCCCCCAAAAGCCAAGACGGCTTCAGTCACCATCATCTTTCTAGGCATGCCGAGGTCGCGACAACTCCATTGCTAACGGTTTCACATCCTTCCGGGCGCCGAGAGAACTTGAACTCTATCGCCAGGGACCTCTTATTAACAACGTCACGGGGGAACCACGGTTAATTTCTGACACGCACCTCGATCCAGTTATGGCCGCCAGTGGCGCTGATCCCTTCATCTCGCTGTGTCCTCCACCCAGTCTCCAGGCTGTGTCTTGACGGGTTGGCCACCATGACGAACCAGAGGCCACACCGAGGGGCCGTGGAGCCCGAACTGTTGCCTGTCCCCCTGTGTGCCGGCCGTTTCCTAGTACTTCGGCTGGCCTGACTGGCCTATGGCTGTCGGTTTCGGTCGGTCTGTTCGCCAATCGCTTGCAAGTCCTGCACGGAAAATGCGGGTAGTCTTGACTATTATCCCCGTGTCCCGGACGGACAATGGCCGTGAGGTCGGCTCTCCACATTGGGACTTGTCGTCACTAGTTTTTTTCGTGGAACTTTTCGCCCTTCCTTTTTCAAAAAAGTTTTTTTTTTCTTTTGAGATTATTTGCATGCGGTGAAACATAAAAAGGACAACGATTTCCCCTTTCTGAATTGAAAATTCTATTCCCCTCTGGTGTCCTCTTATTTCCCAACAATATTCTCCCATACCCTGGAGGTATATCTTTCTTTTCTTTCGGGATACCCTCCACCACTATCTTCCCATAACTATCTTTTACTTGCCTAGTCGGTATTATTTCTTCAGCTTAGATTTGCGAACCTAATTGAACACAAACAACCACACCGCCTCTTCCTACATCCTCTTCACCATGGGTGTCGAGACTTCTGCTCATCACGGGGAGACGATCAGCCCAGCTGGCGCTCCCCAGCAATATTCAAGTCAAGAGTCCGTGGCTGTGAATAAGCCCATGGATTCCGGAGTCGACACACCCGTTCCCCGCATTACGCTGCGGGCGTTCGTCATGGGTGCATTCGTCTCAATGGGTGGTCTACTCTTCGGTTACGATACCGGTCAGATCTCTGGTTTCCAGGAGATGTCCAACTACTTGGAACGTTATGGTCAGCTGAATGAAGAAGGAAAATACTACTTCAGCCATGTCCGTTCTGGCTTGATTGTCAGTCTGTTGTCCATTGGTACCTTGATTGGTGCCCTCTGTGCTGCTCCTATTGCCGATAAGCTGGGCCGTAAATGGTCCATCACATTCTGGTGTATCATCCTGAATGTCGGACTCATCATTCAGATCTCTTCCCCAGCGGGCAAGTGGGTCCAGATGGTCATGGGCCGTTGGGTGACTGGTCTCGGTGTCGGTGGTTGCTCCCTGCTCGTTCCCATGTACCAGGGTGAGAGTGCTCCTCGCCAGGTTCGTGGTGCGATGATCAGTTGCTACCAACTGTTCGTCACCTTGGGTATCTTCCTCTCTTACTGCATCAATTTGGGAACCGAGCATCTCGATGGCACTGCCCAGTGGCGGATTACTTTAGGTCTCACCTTTCTTTTTGCTCTCGTCCTCGGTGGTGGTATGGCCTGCTTCCCCGAGAGCCCACGTTTTGAGTACCGTCACGGTCGTGTCGATAGTGCTCGTAACACCATGTCCAAGCTTTATGGTGTTCCTGAGAACCACCGCATCATCCTTCAGGAGCTCGAGGAGATCCAGCAACAGCTCGATGCCGAATCCCAAGAGCAGGTTTGGCACGAGTTTATCACCGCTCCACGCATGCTGTACCGTATCGCCCTGGGTATGGTGCTCCAGTCTTTGCAACAGCTCACTGGCGCCAACTACTTCTTTTATTATGTAAGCATATATTACACCCTCTCCTCCAATGACATCTCGTCATGCTTTGTCCGTCGGTCGTCTGGGTCACGTGCTAACATCGAAAACCTAACAGGGTACGACTATCTTCCAAGGTGCCGGTATCTCCAACAGCTTCATCACACAAGTTATTCTCGGTGCCGTCAACTTCGGTACCACTTTCGGTGGTCTATACATCGTTGAGAACTTTGGTCGTCGCAAGTCCCTTATCGCCGGTGCCGGTTTCATGTTTGTTTGCTTCATGATCTTCGCCTCCATCGGCCATTTCATGTTGGACGTCAACCACCCCGAAAATACTCCCGGACCCGGCAAGGGCATGGTTGTCGTCGCTTGCTTCTTCATTACGGCCTACGCCATGACCTGGGGACCTATGATCTGGGCGATTTGTGCAGAGCTCTTCCCTTCTAAGTACCGCGCCAAGGGTATGGCTCTGGCCACCGCATCCAACTGGTGCTGGAACTTCCTCATCGGTTTCTTTACCCCATTTATCACCGGTGCCATTGACTTTGCTTATGGTTATGTCTTTGCTGGATGCTTAGCAGTTGCTGCCCTCGTCGTTTACTTCTTCGTTATTGAGGGTAAGGGCCGTACTCTTGAGGAGCTCGACTGGATGTACGTCAACCGCATCACACCCTGGAAGAGCAGCAACTTCGAGATGCCCTCGCTGCAGAACCAGCAGTATGGCTATGGGGACCAGTATGGTCGCAAGGAGTCTCAGTCGTATCACGCTGAGAACGCATAAAATGGGTTTTCGGTTGTCTTTGATTTGGAGTTGGTTATTTGCATTGTTCTTGTGGATACTCTTCTCGTATATATGGGATTTATGGGTTGCATGATATATATCCATTTGCTTTTGATTTGTTATTTATCCTTCTGGGCTATACATGATAATACGGTCCTGTGAAATGAATAGATTTACTATTTTTTAAAAACTTGGTGCCGCTTCGTAGATTTGTGTAGGCTTGTTTTACTCATCTATTTTAAGTAATTTGCCTCTGTTGATAATTATCGAAACCTATTTAGTGCCTCTTTTTGCACAAAGGCTGTGAACACCGGACTTCAATCTAGCCTCAAGTACTGATTCATGTTGTTAAACTAATCAGTTTAGACCCTCGACCTTTCCTGTTCTTGGTATTTATTCTAAACCTATCGAAATGGTACAGAAGGCCCTATTCTGGAGCAAACTCATAGTTTCCTTCTATTCGGACTCAGTACTGGAAAGCCCTCCACAAAGAGCGTTAAACACCATCTGCCTCAAGTTCTTATGTCCCAAGAAACTCCAAACATACTAGTGCAGTTGCCAAAGCCTTTTTTGCTCCTTTTTCGTCGCTGGTCGACACTTGCGAAAACTGGGATCTTGGCTTACATGCGCAGAGGGGAAGATCATAGTTTCTTGTTCAGCTGATGCCTCTCCTTGTTCAATCCCTAAAGTAAGTAGCGAACAAGGGGATGAACAATGGCCGTAATAGACAACAAACAGAAGCACATCTTCACATGTAATTCAAGACACCACAGTAATCTTCCAGTCCCTACCATCTGCCACGCCTTCTGTGCCTGTAGCGGTAGTTCGGCAGTCGGAAATAGTTCTCGAACACATCTTGCTCGCTGACTGGAGGAGGAAAGAACAATGGTTTCGCATGTCTGAGGAAGGAAGCTTGCCTCAACTGATATCAAGACGATATATGAGGGAAGGAGGAGCAGAACATGAAGAACCAGCATAAAGGCGGATACCAAGATATCGGACATGATGATGTTTGACTTTATCGCTACTGTGACATGCCCTTGGGGTGTACTGGTAAGGTCCTCTATTATGGCAGGGCTATGATTCATAAATGTCTCAGTAGCGGCATGGATCAGGGCTGGAACGGCCAGAGATTTCCATCGTCTCCAGTTGCGGTGTCTGCTAACGTTGTTGATTTGGTCTTCTCGAATAAGAATCGTACGAGCAGACCAGAAAAAATGGGTCTCTGCGAGCAGGACAGATGAGGTAATATAGGCGAGCGGTTGTAGGGATTTATATGGCAAGACCAGAGACGACAACAGTTTCGTTACACATGATTGAGCAGCCCAGTAAGAACACGCAGCACCAAAGCCACTAAAAAGGAGTCGGAGGCCACCCTTGCTGTAAAGGGAAGAAAGCGTGCGTATGAGCCGTTGGCAAGAGGGAGTCCGTTTACCACCGCCCAATTCATGAGAGTTTGCCTGGGTGTTAGCGGTTTCGAGGATTAATACAGACATCATCACATGGCCGACCACATATTGGATCTTGTTGCCTTGGTTAGTTCCAGGATAAGGCAGAATCCGAGAGAAGGACGAAACTTACCAGTAAATGCAGGGCAATACCCACAGTAATTGGGATTAACAAAACAGGGCTATTTGCTTGGCCAGGCTCCTCTTGTAACAGTCTATGAGCTCGCGCTAAGAGAGGGTAATCACCCGAGGAATGGATAAATGTGTTTAACGATTGGCGGAAGAGCGACAATAGGAAATTTGGGCGGGGGGTGTAAGCCATAATCTAGGTATTGAGGAGGGTTAATGGTGCAGGTATTTGGGGGATGACAAGAGGGGGGGGGTAGGACGGTGGGTTTTATAATGAACCCCGTATGTGGTGCCTCATTTCGTCCTTCCTTCGACCAATCACGAAAATAACGCGTTTTTGGTTCAGCCTAAGAAAATAAGCTAATGCAAAGCTAACACCCCATGTTCTACCCAGACAAACTTGGATGCTTGATCCCTGAAGTGGTTACATCTGGCTGCATCTATAGGAAACTGAGATACAGCAATAGCCACGACTACTCCTTATAACACTTACTGCGAATCTTCGGGCTTAACTCGATTTGTATATTGCTAAGGTCTAAGTATCATATTCCATATGACTAGACCCGCCGTATCACACCAAAACATACATGCTAGGTCACACATGCTAGCTGGCTTTAGCCATTTCCCACCATCTGGTTACAGGGTATGGGTACAAGTCTTACTTGGAACCCAGTGAAGGAGATTGCAGACTGCCAGGTGTATTATAAATAGAAAGAAGCCATCCTACGAGGCATGCAAATACACAAACGGCATTAATCCCCCTTATTTCAATCCTCGCTAAAGTTTAAAAGTTCTTTTTATCTCTGACTTGGGATTATATTCCTCCAGCAGCGATGAGGACTTTATTTTTGCTTCTCGTCGCAGGTGCATTGCTGGGCCGTGCCGCGCAAAACCAGGAGCTCAACTACGAGGAAAGCGTCCCTGCCCTGCCATACGGCAATAATGCCGTCTCTGTCGAGTCCCACGGTAATGTCTGGCTAAATATCCCAAATTTTGCGGTGCATGAACTCCCACATATCCAAAAGTCTGTGGGCATCTCCTCCTTGGACAATGCACGCAAGCTGCAAGTCATTGCACGACTGACTCAGGCAGTAGCGAGTCGGCATCGGTAGGGTGATATTGTTTTCCTCTACAACGTATTTCCCTTAAATGTATATGCCGAGTTTGCAAGTGTTGCGAGCCCGCAAATACAGGCTGGTTTGCTGGATACTGTGAGAGGCAAGGCCTCCAATACCGGTCCTGATGATCGTTTAATCGATTCCCACGCCAGTACATCAAGCGCACCGTCCCTAGTTGATGCTTCTAGAGCTCCCCCCGAAAATCATGCCCGACATGATCAGAAACAAGTACTAGCCTCGTTCTTAGTTGTGGCTAAACCGTTGGCTACAGCAGTTGTAAAGAGGGAGCCGAGTATTGACCGCAATCGGACTGTATGCAGTGGCGCTAATGTAGCTGTTGCTAGCGCCTGTATAGCGCTATTTGGGCGCGTTCGAATGGATACAACGTGGAAGTCAGGCGGTCCACGCAATACCTGCTCTGAGCCATGCTGCATCAGCCAGAGTGCGAATGCAGCCCTTTAAATAGCGAATTTGTGAAATGCTGCTCAACGTCATTACAAGGTCTGTGTCAATGTGTCAGGTGGCGTGAGCTGTGGGGCATACAACGTGAGTCAGCAGGTCACAATTATGAACTAGTGCTTGAGTAACCGGCCTAAAAGGTGTGGGTAACCTGAGGAGCTGTGGTAGTGTGCTCTCTCTATGTTTGTTTGGTGGGTACGCCGAAGCGCCTTTAGAGTTTGGCTTGCCCTCATGAGATCTATGTAGTTCAAAGGGCTATGATAAGGGAGGTTCTAGTGTCCGATAATTGGCTTTATAGGCGGAGATGGTGCAGATTGGATGATTGTGCTTTCTAAAGTCTTGATGGGTAAAGGGAATGAGAAGAAAATTAACGTTAATAGTGCACATGGTGGAGCTTCACTGGTTTTAAAGACGAACCAAACTCCTATCAATGCAGGGAACACCTCAACATTTGATTAAGGGTGAAAGCAGCTCAGCTCACTGTCGCGACTGGTACGTCTCCCGTCAGGAAAGCCAACGAGGAATGAGAAGATTGATCAAGGTGTCCACACAGAATTTAGATTTGGTAGACTATCCATCACGAAGATCAATCCAGAATAGAGAAATAAATCAATAATTCAGCTAATATGAGTGGTATGATTTGTCATATTCATATACGGCCATGAATATGGCAGACCTCAGGTTAAGCTCGTAGGGAACGAACCGTCCGCCTTCAATTCGCATTTGCCGATAGCCCCTCAAAGAAAATCTGTGCAAAAAGGGGAGCCGTAAATGTTTTTGGTTCTGTTTCCGACACTCTTCGCCCCTTTATATCCGTTCGGAACTTGGCTCGTTGAGCTTGATAGCACCGGTGCGTATTAAGGGTTACAGCGCTAAGACATTGGCGCAGGATTCCAACTGCCATGGCCCATCACCATTGGCCGACACGTAGGGCTAAGGAGCCGTTTAGTGGGCCGTCGAGGCTGCCAACCAAGTTGTCCATTGGAGAGATAACGGAATTCTTTGAAGCGGACTTAATTTATGGGGTGTAACCTCCCCCTCAGCATGACTGAGTTGTTATCATGTCTCTAAAATTAACTGTCTCTGTTGGCCTTGTTTCTATCATATAGATCCTGGCTGTACAGACGCGGCGCGAGCTCTAGATTCAGATATAGTCATGCTACCTTCACAACGTCCATCATCGACGTCTCAGCAATCGGAGACGACCCCTTTATTGGCGGAATCGCAGGACAATGTCCCCACGCCCGAGCATTGTGGCCCTTTTACTCCAAATCAGACACGACAACTTTTGATCCTCATTTGTGTCGCTATCCTCACAATTGATTTTGGCTCTTTTATGTCTGTCGCCCCGCAGATCGAGATCTTTGAGTCGATTATTTGTAAGCAACACGGACATGGTATAGATGCCTTGGTGGAAGATTCTCCTTGCAAGGCTGCCGATATCCAGGGCGAGCTAGCCCTGCTGAACGGCTGGAAAGACACACTCGAACAGCTTCCTGGTATTATACTTGCGGTACCATACGGGCTAATGGCAGACAAAGTCGGTCGCAAACCGGTTATGCTCTTATGTCTTGGGGGAGTTCTTTTGGAACAATTCGCGATAGCGTTGATCAGTATGAGACAAATTTAATATTGAACTGTCCTTACCTGCGCATTGGCTAACTAAGGGAAACTGATATCTTTCAAGGCTGGTGGAGTGATTTCATCCCCATTCGAGCAGTTCTGATCGCCCCCATATTTCTGATATGTGGTGGCGGCCCCCAGATCGCGACATCGATGGCCTTCACGATGGTTACAGATATCTTTCCGGTCGAGAAAAGGTCAGAAGCCCGGCATCTACGGAGCAGAGTTGGCACTGACCGTATGATCTTAGGTCCTCAGTCTTTTTCATACTCGCTGCAGCAGCTCTGCTTTCAGAAATCGTTGCCACCCCATTAAGTGCTTTTCTCATGACATGGACACCTTGGCTTCCTTATTTACTTGGGCTGTTGTTTGAGATAGCGGGTATGTCAGCCGCCACATGCGTCTCCGAAACCAGAGCTCCGGACCTTTGCGAAAACAACGCCGATACTTCCCAATTCACTGCGGCCGATACCATAAAACCTCGAGGCTGGTGGACATGCGCGTGGGATGTGACTAGGGGTTCGGCTGGCACCATCCGCTCGATTCTCAACATGAATATGGTATGCGTGGCATTGGCCTTTACCTTGGGTGGTATCGGAAGGCAAGCACTCCAGCTCATCATTCAATACGCCTCCAAGTGCTTCTCCTGGAGCTTTTCCCGAGCTAGTCTTGTGATTGCACTTAAGGGCATCGTTAATCTCGGTATCTTACTAATCGTTCTGCCGAAGATATCCAATATCCTGGTTCAACGATTGTCTCCGGTCGGAAAGGATCTCCGTATCTCTCAGGGTAGTGCCTGGGCCTTGACACTAGGCGCCGCGCTTATGGCCATCGCTGCTCATCCAGTTCCTTTCATCTTCGGCACATGCGTATTTGCTTGTGGATGGGGGTTCTATTCCACGCTTCGCACCGTGGCCACTGCATTGGTGGAGCCCACTCATATCGGTGTTCTCAATACAACGCTTGCTGTCGCACAGGGTATCGGGTCTATGGTGGCTGGTCCAATCATGGCCTCCGCGTTCCGACGAGGATTGGTGCTCGGAAACTTTTGGGTGGGTTTGCCTTTCATGGTTGCTGCTGCACTATTCTTTGGGGCGAGCTGCTTGACCCATAGCATTCGTGTCTCGATGAAGAAGTAGACTATATAGACGTTTCCGATCTTGGAAGGCTGCGTGACAACGCCATGAGATCTTCGGTTGGCATAGTCCTTTTATAAAGGGCCGGGCTTCCTGTAGACAACCCCCTGTACTATGGTCTTCCCAGTAGACAGTCCTCATGAGCAATGAATGTATTACAATCATGTACATCACCTCGGACAGTACTAGCTCAGAGTATGTAAAACCGTCTGATGTCGGCAGGTTGAAGAAACAGTGAGGTATTTTGCAATTTCATCAGCTTGAGCTTCACCAATCATGATGCGGAGTTGGGGCAGGTTTGAATGATCTAAGTAGAAGCGTCCCAGATATAAATTGCTCGCCAAAAGCACATTTAATATAATACCGACGCGCAAGATCCAAATAGATTGTCGCCTCTCGCTCATGGACAGCAGAGCTTCTTATTTCTATTTAAATCGATATATATAGTATATAGGACATTAGACTTGCTTGGTATCTTCGTCAAACTGTTTCCACATCCCTTCGATCGTCTCATGCCTCTTTAACGCCCAATCGAAGGTAGGAACCCACTCATCCTGTCGATACGCTTCGTAGAGACGAGCAATATTGTGCGCTGGAGTCGGCAGCTCATCCCATTCATCCGCCTCTACCTCCCCGGATACCTCCCTGACGTTACCCGTTTCATTATCAGAGATCTCGATTTTCGTCTCGGTAGACCCCACATTTAAGAAAAACATCGGGGAGGTCAAACGGGCCCAACCCTTCTCTCCCTGGATTCGCCAATCCAACCGCGGCTGACCCGGAAATTCCTTACCAGCATAAAGTCGAATGGCCACCTGGGCATCAGAGGACTCGGTAATCCCAGTCGCGACTATCTGATCAGGGACCGTATTCCGGGCAGCGGCCTCGACGACCTCGCCGGTGGTATAATCTTTGATATCCAGCGTAGGTCGGGAGATCCACGAGGAACTATTAAACTTTTTAAATTGTCCAAGAACTATAATGCCGACGGCTTGTTAGTCTTGAGCTTTTGATATTACAGAGAAAGAAAACCCACCAGATGTAACAGTCTCTATAGTATGACCGACGTGAATCGTCATCGGACTCCCCCCGACCTCCCGATCAAGGAAATACCGCACATTCTCGCTCTCCGCATCGGTATTGTTGCCAAAGCTGCCCAGCACCGTACTTGACAAAATGCGGCCGATCTCACCACTTTCTACAACCGATCGCAGCTTACGAACGATGGGAGCATAAGAGCCCTGGAGACCGACGAGGGTCTTGGCATTATGTTTTGCTGCAAGGGCAGCCATTTCCTTGGCCACTTCGAAGTTGCGGTCGAGGGGCCATTCCACGTACACAGCTTTCCCGGCGATCAGACTCGGGCGAACTGTGAGGAAGTGGCGGTCCATTCGGACGCTGCATACGACGAGGTCTACATTTGGGTCGTCGGCGAGGTCTATATTCGTTAGGGTTAGATTCGGGGCTTCTCTCCCTTGGGTAGGGCTTGTGGACTCACCTTGAGGATTACCGTAGGCTTTTATTTCACTAGGGAGATTATATTTTTGGATCGCTGCCTTTGCAGATTCCACGGAGCTGTTCAGCAATGCGACTACCTTGAAATGAGGGGACTTGGTGAGGTAGGGCAGATGAGCGCAGGCTGCCCACGCGGTGCCGCCGTAGGCGCCTCCTGCAGCGCTAGACAGACCGATTAGACCGACACGAATAGGAGACATATTGATTTGATAATGGGAGTAATGGATGGCGCTGACTGTTTCTGGCTAATCTAGCTGATCAGCCATTATTCTTTTTTGTTTTAGCGTTATATATGGGAGGTGCCGATCGGCGGTCGGGGAGATAATTCGGATATTCCCAGGTTTCTAATATCACCGACGGATAGATCGATGTCTCCGATCGCTTAACAATCACGGATCCCTGTCAGCCTCGTGGGGTTAGTATGCGTCTTACTCGCCGGTGTGGATCCCGGGGAGATCCGAGACAGCATTAGCAGTCGTTAGTAACAGGAGTACTTTTGTTCCCTGAGTCGGGGCCGGAATTCCCCCGACGGCCTTGATAATACATACCCTACATCACGAGGGTCGAACGCCCTGGACGCGGGACCGTACCAGGATAATATGCATTTGGAAGGCCCTTAAATCAGGCCTACTTGGTCGTGAAGCCCGGTGTGGCATTCGTATTCTTTTGCCCTTTCCGCCCCCAATGCATACTTATTTGTCGGAATTACCTTATTTGAGTGTTGGAGAAGGCCAGGGTGGGCTTCGCGTCGTCTTATGTGCAGAAGGTCGTAAACATGATGACTCCCTCTGTAGTTTAGTCGATTGGACGAATGTAGATCTACATCTGTAACCGATCGCCAAGGGCCAATCGGGCGATCGAAGGATTCAAGGGAGGGATCATATATGTATTCATTCGTAGATGGTCTGTGTAGGGTAATAAAGCAAGTGACAGGGGATTCAATTCGCTATGATGCATAAAATGAGTTAGGCCTAGTCTTAGGCCACAGCGCACCACATGGTGCGTACCGGACCACCGGTTAGGTATAATAGACTGGCTCTGCCAAAAAGCAAGTGCAAACAGAGTTAAAGAAAAAAAAGAGGGGGGGGGAACATTTTGTCAAACGAAGGTATCCACATGATTGTTTCGAACAGAGAAATGGACGCTGTAGAGGCGACAACCAAGCCCTCACAGCAGAACGTCATCCGGAACGGTAAATGGCTCCCCGCTGAAGATGCACGTCTTCGCGAGGCAGTCGCTGCGCACGGTACTCGATGGATCATCGTGGCATCGGTGGTTGGAACTCGCAACGGTGACCAGTGTGCAAAACGGTGGAATGAGAATTTGAATCCAGAGCTGGATCACAGTCCATGGACACCAGAGGAGGTGAGTCGCGGCTAGCGCCCCCCCTCCGGGGCTCCTCAGTGTATTCCTTCATGCGAATGTCTCCGTCTGGCTAATGTGCCGACAGGATGCTTGCCTCCTCGACCTTGTTGAAGTCTACGGCCACAACTGGAAATTCATGGCCAACTATTTCCTCGAGGCACGTGCACCATCAGCGCTGAAGAACCGATACTCACTGCTGATGCGACGCCTCAAACGCCAGGGGAACGGGCAAGATCAAGCAGTAAACGCTGGACGTGGCCGTGGGTCCCGATCCACTGCTCGCCCGCGCGTGTTCAGCAGGAGCCCATCGCCATTTCCCATGAGTCCGGTCGATCCGACCAACGTTTTGGTGGGTGGGGATCCTCCGCACAGCCATCCCCTGGATCTGATGCCCACCAGTGCCGCTGTGGGTACCTTCCCGCCCCTCACTTTCGGTGCCACTGATGCCATGGGAAACGTGGGCCTGCAAGGGCCGGTGGACACAGTGTCCGAAACAGCCATTGCCACGTTGGGCGACACGGACCTCGTCTGGCGGCAACCTCCGTGGTTGGGGGATGGGATGGAGCTCGACGGCGGGATTTTGAGTACGGGGACGGAAGGGGAGCCGAACAGTTTGATTGCGATGTTGGTGTCGGATGACTTCGCTGATGGCCAGGACGCGAAGAGTACCGCTTGCAAGGGGAATCTGCACTACGCGACATCCTCGGTCAGTGAGGACAGCAGTGGTGTGTCGGTGGCTGCGTCGGTCGAGTACTCGGTTACTTGCCAGCGAGGGAGAGCTAGGTCGCTGGTGAATCAACTGGTCGATGCGGCCATGTCGGAGTGTTTGGACAGGACGTCGGAAGAGGACAAGGTGACGCTGACATTGCAGGTAAAGGTGTGAAGCAGGGACGGCTATCTGATTTTCGTTGTATTCTCTCATGCCAGCTTAATGTTTATAGAATAGATTTTCTTTGCGTTTCTTTTTTTGATTTCTCGTGCTGAATAACACAACGCGTAATATTAGAGATGACATATCTGATAGGCGGAGGAAAAGGGAGAATGAAAAGAAGGATCTTACCAAATCGTACATAACCTTTTTTCCTTTTTTTTTTTTTTTTTTTTGAATTAAATTCGGAAAAGATAGTAGTTATAGCGACCAGGATTCCGACGGCTTGGGAAGCAGAGTCAGGCCTTAGTGGAATGCCTCATCTTCAGGTTCAACAGAGTAAGCCGAAGCATTAGGGCTCCACCAGAGCTATAATAACATTGACTCTGCCAAGAATCCGAGTCAACTCGGTCGTTATACATGCACAATTCTCCAGAGTCAAGGCCCGACATACCTCGTTTGACTCTAAACTCGCATAACTCGGTCTCCGAAACGCTCTAAGGTGGAACTGGTGAGATCCTTCAGGCTTCTTCAGCATATCTCTCGACCTAAGAAGCTTGCCTGAAGCGTCGATCTGAGCTCCACACCAAAGGTCCATGAACGAGCTAGAATCTTACGACAGGCAACGTAACTTGTGCTCATCAACTGACTCTTTCAATCATCTTTACTCATTATATGTACTCGGGATACATACATGGAGCACAGGATCAGTTAAAAAGGGACAAATTCCAAGGGAGAATCGAAATATCACCAACAGCATCGAAAGCATTGAAAGTTTCAAAGGCATCGACAGCGCCAAAGAATTAATATAGACGACTGTATCACTTACGCCAACAGCGCCAACTTACCATCGGCACCTAATATCAACAGCACGAACACTATAAGTCATATCAATAGTATCACTAATCTTAATAACATCAACCATACCGACAACATGGCCGACAACTCCAACTCTAACAACATTAACGCCACAGCCCCTCTCGAGCCAATCGCCGTAGTTGGTCTGGCTTTGCGCCTGCCTGGTGGCGCCAACGATGCTGACGGCCTTTGGGAGCTTCTCGAGAGTGGCCGACCGGCATGGACGCCGGTGCCAGAAGACCGGTACAATGGAGATGTGAGTTTGAGAAAAAGGATCTGAAAGTGAAACCCGACTTACATGAAACAGGCCTTTTACCACCCCAATGCCGACGATGCTACCGGCACCAGTAACCACCCTGGCGGACACTTTATCTCGGGGGATGTTCGCGACTTTGATAATACCTTCTTCAAATACTCCAAGGCGCAAGCCGCTGCCATCGACCCACAACAACGCATCCTCCTAGAACTCGCCTACGAGGCTCTCGAAAGCGGTGGTATCCCCCGCGAGGATGTCGCCGGGACAGCCACCTCGGTCTACTCAGCCCTATTCCCAATGGATTATGACCGCAACCTGTACAAGGACACACTCGACATGCCCACCTACTACATGTCAGGCGTAGAAAAGGCAATGCTATCGAACCGTATCTCACACGTGATGGATCTGCGCGGTCCCTCAATGACGCTCGATACAGCATGCTCCGGCGGCCTTATTGCCCTGCATTTGGCCTGCCAAAGTCTGCGGGACGGCGAGTCGGACACATCCATTGTCGGCGCCTCTAATCTCACGCTTGGTCCCGACCACTTCATCGGCCTGAGCAATCTACACATGCTCAGTAGCACCGGACGCTGCTACCCGTTCGACCAGCGTGGCAAGGGGTATGGTCGTGGTGAGGGTGTAGTTGTGCTGGTTCTGAAGCGTCTTGATGCCGCGATCCGGGACCGTAACCCCATCCGAGCAGTGATCCGAAATACCGCCACGGGTCAGGATGGCTACACACCCCAGGGGATCACCTATCCCAATGGCAAGGCACAAGCCAACCTAGCACGTACGGTGTACAGCCGAGCGGGTTTGTTGCCGGAAGAAGTTGCCTACGTTGAGGCCCACGGCACTGGCACGAAGGCCGGTGATCAGGAAGAGTTGGACGGCATTGCAAGTGTCTTTACCGGCTCTAAGGAACGCTCGGTACCTCTCTATGTTGGGTCTATTAAAGGTGCCATCGGCCACGGCGAGAGCGCGGCTGGTCTTTCCAGCTTGGTCAAAGCAACTTTGATGTTGGAACGTGAGCTAATCCCTCCAGTCGCCGGTTTTGAGACCCCGAAGCCAGGTTTGCCGTTAGACAAGATAAAGATCCCGACTGAGGTGATCCCCTTCCCACAAGCTGCCGGTATCACCCCCCGAATCTCCATCAATAGCTTCGGCTTTGGTGGTGCAAATGCCCACGTTATCCTTGAACAAGGGCCGCGAAAGGCTCAGAAGGCATCTAGCTGCGACGATGGCTTCTCTCGCCTCTTCACACTCTCCGCAAATAGCCCGGCATCCCTGAAAGCCATGATCCAGGCCCAGCACGCATGGGTCGAGCAACGCGCAGAGACACCCTTGGCTGATCTCTCGTACACGCTCTTACACCGTCGCTCTGCACTGCCGTATCGTTTCAGTGCCGTGGCAAATGACCGAGCCTCGCTACTCGAGGCACTCCAGCAGGGGATCGCTGGCCCCGCGGCCAAGCCCGTACCTGCTGAGGTGGATATCGTCGCCATTTTTACTGGTCAGGGCTCCCAGTGGGCGGGAATGGGCCGCGAGCTGCTGCTGGAGTCCAACCCAAGCCCCATCTTCCGCGATTCTATTCGCAAATCCCGCGATATCCTAAACCAGCTGGGTGCCGACTGGGACTTGGAGACTGAGCTTCTTCGCAATCCTAAAGAATCTCGCATTAACGAGGCCATGCTTGCACAGCCTTCCACGACCGCCGTTCAGATAGCCCTCCTCGAACTACTCCAGGCGCAAGGGGTGCACCCACGCGCGGTTGTAGGCCTCTCGAGTGGTGAGATTGCCGCCGCGTATGCCGCAGGACATCTGACGCACGAGACTGCCCTCAAGGTTGCTTACCACCGTGGCTTCATGGTGGCTGCCGTCAAGGCCAGAGGCCTTCCCCGCGGCGCTATGCTGTCTGTTGGACTCGGCGAGCATGATGCCTCCAAATATCTGGAGAACTTACCTAAAGGTAAGGCGGTGATCGCTTGTATCGCGAGTCCCCGAAGTGTGACTATCTCGGGTGATGCCGATGCCATTGAGGAAGTGGACAACCGCATCGCCCTGGCCAACGATGGAACATTCCACCGCCTGCTGCAAGTTGATACTGCATACCACTCACACCACATGGGGGCAGTCGCGCAGGAGTACCGCGATCGTCTCGGTGTCTTAGATGTTGAGCGCAGGCCTACTTCCAATGGCAAGCCTGTTGAATATGTATCGTCTGTTTCGGGCGAGCCCAAGTCGTCTGGGTTCGACGCTGAATACTGGATCGACAACTTGGTAAACCCGGTCCGCTTCTCCGATGCCGTTGAGACCCTCGTCAGAGCTCGCCACCAGTCTGGTCAAAATGTTTTCTTCGTCGAGGTCGGCCCGCACCCAGCACTGGCTGGACCAGTCCGCCAGACCTTGCAGCAACCGGACATGCCCCAGATCTCTTATGACTACCAGGCACCTCTGCAGCGTAAGTTTAGTGCTATCGAGAGCACCTTAACGTTCAGCGGCAAGCTGTTTGAACGCGGAGTTCGCGTCAACTGGGATCCTGTGTCCGCACTCGCTCCAGGGGCAGACACCGCATTAGTGCGCCACGATCTGCCCGCATACCCATGGGACCACTCAACCAAACACTGGCAGCAGTCCCGCGTGACGCGTGCATATCTCACACGCAAAGAGCCATACCATGATTTGCTTGGTGTTCCCGTTCCCGATGCCACTGATCTCGAGCCCCGCTGGCGCCATTTCATCAGCAAGGCTAGTTTGCCATGGCTGGAAGACTACGTGGTTGACGGGGTGACAACCTTCCCCAGCGCAGGATTCGTCAGTATGGCAGTTGAGGCCGTGGCACAGCTCGCCCGTCGCCGTATCGCCGACCTGCCACTTGAGGCATTCTCTCTCCGTGATGTTTACTTCAAGCGTGGACTTGTCGTGCCCGATCGGGAACGGGTGGAATTACAGTTGAGTCTCCGACCACAGTCTGGTTTGGACTTCGGCTTTACCTTCACCATCACGGCTCTCTCACATGATGACAATGAGTGGCATGAGCATGCCACTGGTGTTGTTGAGGCTGTGGTGGCAGAAGGCCGTCCCTCTGCTGACGAAGCCGCGCCGGAGGAATTGCCCCAGCTTCCTTCTAAGAGTGAGATTGTCTCCAGGGAAGTCCTCTATCGCGAAATCGAAGCGGTTGGCAACAAGTATGGCCCATCGTTTGCCGGTCTGGACTCCTACACTATTGCGAGTGATGCTTCGCAGGCCTTGTCCTCGTTTGGCATTCTCGACATCAAGGCTTCCATGCCTAGACAGCACCAGCGCCCCCACGTTGTCCACCCATCCACCCTCGAAATTGTTTTCCACTCGTCCCTGCCGCTTGTCGGCCGCCGTCTGGGCTCCGGAACTATTACGCCGGTGCACATTGATGAGTTGCTAATCTCCTCTAGTCCTTCTTTGCAGAAGCCCAGTACCAAGCTGGATATCTCGACCCAGCTATCGTCGAGCCATCTGCGCACTGCCGTTTCCGACATTTCGGTGCTGGCTAGTGGGGACCGCGTGCTCTCGGTTTCGGGCATGGAGTTCAAGAGCGTTGGGTCGAGCTCTGCAGCAACCACCGACGCTGCAAGCGCTGCAAATGCGCGAAACATCTGCTACGAGCTCGGCTGGAAGCCAGATGTAAACTATGTGCGCGCTGAGGACTTGCCAGAAAGCCCAGCGTTGGCCGACCTTCTTACACTGATCACCAGCAAGAAGCATGGCCTTACAACCATTGGTCTGGGTGCTACAGTTGATGCATCCGAAGAGGTCCTTACTACGATCGAGTCCCAGAACAGGGTGATCGTGCACGACTTTGTTGACTCCACTCCGGGCCGCTTCGATGCTGCTGCTGCGCGCCTTGGTGAATTCCAGGTGCAGTACCGCACCCTCCGCCCCCAGTCCAACCCTGCGTTGCGTGGTTTCCGAACCGGTGCGTACGATCTCGTGCTGGTTGGATCGGCCCAGTGGCTCAACCAGGCCGCCGTCCTTGTTCGACCTGGTGGTACAGTGCTCCTGGTATTCAGCGGACGCAACGCCAAGGGTGACTCATGGCGCGCCACTCTGCAGGGAACGAAGCCTACTCGCCTTGAAGAGCAGCTGGCCTTCCGTGAGGCTGCTGACGGCCGGTTGATTGCCGTTGCAAAGCCATCTAGGTCTCAGCTCCCTGGCCATATCCACATCGTCACACACTCGACCTCCAATGCTCCTGCTTGGGTTACTGCTGTTCAGAAAGCACTGAGCACTTCAGATGCTAAGATCTCACTCAATACCTTTGACTCTCTACATGTGGAGGCCCTCACCACCGATGATACTGTCGTTGTGATCGATGACAAACCCGATACTCCGATCATCGCAGAGGCCGCTACATTCCATGGAGCCAAGTCTCTCCTATCCAAGCCATCCCGTCTGGTGTGGCTTGCGCCCGATGAGGCGCGCTTCCACCAGATTACAGGCTTCGCACGCACAGCCCACGCGGAGAACGATGATCTGCGAATGACTACGATCCATGCAGCCTCGGGCGTGCTTGCCAAGGAGAGTGCCCACGAGCGTCTGGTGAGCCTTGTCGCCGATGCAGTCCGTCAGGTGGCAGATCGCAAGGCCCCGCACGAGGAGCGGGAGTATCGTATCCGCACAAATGGTGCTGTGGTTGTCCCTCGTATCCACCGCAATGAGACAATCAACACTGCTGTCACTGCTGATGGGGAAACCGGCCCGAAGACTGAAACGGTTCGCTTCGCGGACAGCAAGCGGCCTTTGGCTCTTGCCTCCGACGGGTCACCCTTCTTCGAGGATGATAACAATGTCTATGCCACGCCATTAGCGGTGGATGCGATTGAAGTGGAGGTCCAAGCTCTTGTGGTTTCCGCTACTGAGGCACCTGCTTCCCTTGGACAGTACGCAGGAATTGTTGCGAAGGTGGGTGCTAATGTCAGCTCTTTGACTGCCGGCGATCGCGTTGTCGCGCTGTCTCCCGTTGTTGGCGCCTCTCGACTGCGCATTCCCCGTTCTCACGCCGCTCGCATCCCGGCCGACGTGCAATCAAGCACCGCATCCGCCTTGCTTTTGAATGCCATGTCAGCTTTGTATGCTATTCGTGACGTGGCCCACCTCTCCTCTAGTGAGAGTACCGTCCTGATTCATGGAGCGCGCACTGCAGCTGGACGGGCAGCCGTTGCTCTAGCCCGATCCATCGGTGCCCGTGTTACGGCTACAGCGGCTGATGCGAAGGAAGCTCGCTTGCTCAAGGAGCAACTTGAGATCGATGCTGCTGATGTGCTTGTTGCCCGTCGCTCTCTCCACCGTCGCTCCGCGCACGAGGTCTTTGCCGGTGGACTCGACGCGGTCATCCAGATTGCTGAGGATGCCGTCCCCGTTGAAGCATTGGCGTTTGTCAAGCCATTCGGAAATTTTGTGGTCATTGGTCACCCATCTTCCCCAGTCGCTAGTGCGCCAAAGATGCCTCCTAATATGGCCTTCCACTTCGTCGACATTTCTGCTCTTCTGCAGGCTCGTGCTGATCTGGCAGGCTCTCTTGTCACCTCCGCCGTGGCTGCGCTCGAAAATACCCCGCTGGCAGGACTGGATATCGAGGCCTTTGACGTTTCCGAGGCAGCTGAGGCGTTGGAATTGGCCAATGCGAATACTGATGCAAAGGTGGTGCTTCATGCCAACCCTGACTCAACAGTCCAGGTTCTTTCCGCGCCCAACTCGGACCCTTGGGCCGATGAAGAGGCCACATACGTCGTTGCCGGTGGCCTCGGTGACATTGGGCAGAGATTCCTGGCCATAATGGCGAGCCGCGGTGCCAAACACATCGCCACGATCACCCGTCGCGGTGTTGACCCCGAGACATACCGCGCCCTCCAAGCCAAGCTGGAGGCTATCCGGCCTGGTTTCCGCCTGTACGCTCTCAAGGGCGACCTGTCGTCTGAGTCCAGCGTCCGCGAGGCCGCAGCAGAAGCCACTCGCCAGGGTGCGCCTCCAGTGCGCGGTGTCATCCAATCTGCTATGGTCATGATTGTAAGTTTCCTTTCCCCTCAGCACCTCACAAGCTATAAACTAACGATCTCTTAGGACCGTCCCCTGGAGCTGACTACATATGATGACTTCCAAAATGTTACAGCAAGCAAGGTCAACGGCACACTGAACCTCCGCCACGTCTTCGGCTCTCCCGACCTGAAGTTCTTCCTCTCACTCTCGTCCGTCTCCAACATCGTGGGCTGCCAAGCCGAGGCCAGCTACAACGCCGGAAACTCACTGCAGGACTCACTCGCCCACCAGGAGAAGCACTTGCTGGAAGACAGCACTCGTTTCTTGACCATCAACATCGGCTGGACCGACGATGCTTCGCTGTTGATGCACGATGCCACGCGCCAGGGCGTCCTTCGCCGCGCCGGTTTTGGTATCACCCGCTCCGAGGAGCTCTCGCGTTTCATCGACCACGTCCTCGGTGCTGCAAACGGTCATGAGGCCCCCACCTGGGACCAGGCCATCATCGGCTTCGATACCGAATCCCTCGCCGGTGCGACCGCCCACAACGGCACCATCAAGTCCAACATGTTCAGCCAGGTCCGCGACGCCGGACGGGCCGCCTCAGGCGAACAGGACCAGGGCGAGGAGAAGACCTTTGAACAGGTCATTGCCGAGGGCAACGTGGAGGCTGTGGTGGAATATGTCTCCCGCGCCGTGTCGCAACAGCTGGCCCGTCTTATCTCGGTGGACGTGAGCAGCATCGACCTGCGCGAAGGATCTATTCTGGAATTGGGTCTCGACTCACTGGTCGCAGTCGAGCTGCGCAACTTTGTCACGCGACAGTTTGTGGCGACTCTGAAGTCGTCGGATATTCTGGCTAACCAGTCAGTATGGGCCCTGGGTGAGAAGATCGCGGCTCGCTCCAAGATGGTGAATGTTTCGGCTTGACGGGAGGGAGATGATAAATTGCGCAGTTGTCATAATACTTGTTATTCTCAGTTTTCATTGATTCATAGATATAGACATGTGGTTTCTAGCAACGCACTAATATAATAACGACTGCCATAACGACTCCCTACTGAAGCTGTTTCTTTTCACTCTAGACTTTGACGACTAGACCCTCCGAAGTACCGAGTATGTACTATTCTACTACCTTTAACATATATCATTTACTTTGTGCCTACTTCTATAGTACGGCACACTACTCCCTATGGATTTCTATCTTCATACTCAATCAACAATACACCCTTTCCTGATTCGCCAAGTACCAATCTCTACCGAGTCACTGTCTATAAGAGATCGTAAATCCCCCCGTCGGGCCATCGTTCGGGCCGCACTGGCCATCCTGCATCCCGGTACCGAGTACCCTCGCGAACACTGCAATTGCTATCACATCACGGTACCTTTCGTTTCCCCTTCGCCTCTCCTTGGTTCTGGAAGATATGGTGTCCCAGCATCGTATTGTCTCTCGTAGAGGCGATTTCACTATCACTAGGAAAATTAGTTTACCTTATGAATAATTGGATAATGTGTTAGAACAGCTTATTGGCTAAGGACCCTTGAGTAGTTGAATTTGCATCAATTGTACTGTAAAACAGATTTCAAAAATGGTAATAATATACTCTGTCCCATATACGAACTTTAAGTATGTTTAGATACCTATCTTGATCTTTGGCGTTGTAGGTTTTAAGATGTAGAAAATATCAAATTGAAAATCGAACCTCACGATCAAAAACGATCAAATTCATGATAACTAGAGCTACCAAGATGGTCCTGTCTACAAGGGACTTATAGCCCATGAACCCTTTAAAGGAACTCAACGCTCTGCTCGATTCAACAAAGCATCTATCCGCTAGGCATAAACCATATCGCCTACAATATTAGGTAATTTGCATGGTCATAATCAATGTAAGATTATATATAGTTGATAGTAGTGGATGCGTTGGCAGTATACTGAGAGAAGATATATATTTGAACCCGAAGATGGGAATTGACCGATTATTTAAAATACTAGACTTTATGAACCTCTATCAATTGTTTTCCCATGTTTTATTAACACAGTAATAAATGATATTTACAGGCAATAATAAATAGAACTATGCTGGAAAACATCGAAGTCTAAAGGCCCCAATATCATCCAGGAAAACCCTCCTACAATATCCATGGCGGCCGAAAACTAACCCATGTCCGAGTGGAATTAGCCCGCATGTACAAAACACACGTTCTATGAAAATATCGAATAGAAACCAGCTGCAAAATAAATAAATAGACGCTGGGATTCAAATATATAACTCTAATCTACTCTAGAAAGTTCAAGAAGTAAAGAAATTAAGAGAAAAGAATAGGAAAAGGGGGAAGGGAACGAAAAAGTCATCTACGCATGTGCATCGGTCTAGACCCCTCTATAGACCCTTCTTGACCATGACCTGGAAGAGTTCCTCCAGAGCCTCCCGACGCTCCTTCACCTCGTACCCGTATTCCTGCAGCTTGTTCTTGAACTTGCTGGCGTCCAAGATGCAGTTAGCGCGCGGGGCCTTAAGGATCTTGGCCATGTCGTCGAGTCCGAATGTTTGCCAGGTGAGGTCGGGCCTGATGTATTTCTTGGCCAATTCCATTATCTCAACGTTGCTGATCTCACCAGGGGTTACCTGTTTTAGTTCATTAGTTTCTGGCTCGTGCAGTGGAACCTGTCAATAGGAAAATCAGAGTGGTAGTGGGGAACTGACAAAGTTGTAGACGCCGGTCTCGGCATTGTCGGATAGAATGACAGCGCCAGGGAGGAGGTTGAGCAGAATCGAGCCAGACTAGATTCTGTTAGTCATAGTGGAGACAATACGAGAGGAACTAATTTGTACGGGGCACTCACTCCAGTCCAGTCAACGATCTTCTCACACTTCAGCAACCGTCCGATGTGGCTGTTCTTATGCAGATCGGCAGCAATAGGCAGGCGGATACGCAGGAGCAGCAGGTTAGGGTAGTGGCGAATGGTCAGCTCGCTGAGTAGACGGCTGCGGGAGTACCAGGAGCCCTGGTAGAAGGGCTCGTCCTCCTCCGTGAAGGGGGGGAGGGTCTTGATCTCTTCCTGTGACCGAGTGTAGATACAGGCGGATCCGATGTGCGTAACGTGGATGCCAAGTTCGTAGGCAACATCTACCACGTTGAGGGCTCCAAGAACATTGGACCGGACAGTCTCGACCTTGTGGTCTTCGCACCAGTCGGCGTTGGGAGTACCACGGGTACCAGCGCAGTTGAACACCCGAGTGACTTTGTGCTCGACAAGATCACTAGATGGGACGTCAGGAAGATATTCAAGAGATAGATTGGTTAAAAATTATTGTAGTAAAGAAGATCGGCATACCTTAAGACCTGCTCACGGCTCTCGGTCCTGGCCTTGGACATAACGACCGTTTTGCCCTGCTCCTGAAGGACATCCTTGATCTGGTTGGCAATCATGCCATTTCCTGAATGATAGCGTCAGTCCAGCTAGTATGTTTCAGGATGTTGGTAGGCCAACCTACCAAAGATCATGAAGACCTGGGCGGGGGTTTCAATTGATCCCATTCTGTCGGTCTAAACTCGGTAAGCTTTGGATGTAGCTGAAGGACGCTGTCAAACAGGGATGTTACTGGCTTGGCAGTTATGTTTTGCAGGAACGGCCTGAAATCTTAGTTTACCAAAGTTGCAGATTATCCCAGTATTATTATATAGAGCCAAAGAATGAGCCCGGAGTATTACAGCTATGTAGATCTTACCCGGGTCCGCATGGGAGGCGCTTATTAACGCCGGGTAGAGATAAGCACGATCAGCTCATTCTTCAATCAGGCCTGCTTTGTAGCAGGGATCGATTCCTTCAGACCCTCTTCTACTCAGGATAATCCTTGTTTTAGCCAATGTACGGGCGTAGTTCAAACTAGATCTTCGGTATCGCTTACGGAGTTATCCGGAGTCAACTGAAAATACGGCCTTTCAGTTGAGGAGATTGTGCAAACCAGTAGAGTCATCATGATAGCGAGCGTGCTGGAGAGCGTTTCAGGCCAGTTAGGCGAATGCATCAAAGTTGCGTGATGATTTGATTTGATGCGCGATAATCAGAGGCTGTACTCAAGTGTCAAAAACCTCCTCGACATGAAGATATAAGAAGGGCAGGAAAGGTGCCGATAGAATCTCAGAACAAGCCTCTCAATCACTCAAGCAAGCAACAAAGCGAGCGACAGAGCGACAGAGCAACCAAGCAATCAAGCAAGCAAAAAAACAGCCAGCCCAGCAATCTAGAGAGCAAACAATCCTTCGGTCGATATACCAAACAACCGGAACCCAATCAACATTCGACTATCTCCAGCTACAATGGCCCCTGCTATGCTTGATGGACCTGAGTTCCTTCCCATGAAGGCTCGCACTGTGCAGCAGAGCAGCCATCGTGAGGTTGTCGTTGAACACCCCAATGACCTTGAGGACCAGCGTCTCATTGGTAGCACTCGCTTCGAGCCCCGGACCGACATCAAGAACATCTTGATCACCGGAGGAGCTGGCTTCATGTAAGTTTATCCGTATCCCTAGATCTTGAACCCTGGCTAACCTTGTCTCCTTCACAGCGGTGGCTGGGTTACCCGGCATCTTGCTGTTCAGTACCCTGAATACAACATCATCTGCTTCGACAAGCTGGATGTCGTGGCTTCCCTTTACAACGTCCGCTGCCTGAAGTCTCGCCCCAACTTCCGCTTCGTCCATGGCGATCTGACCGACGAAGCTGCTGTGTCGCAGGTCATGGAGGACTACGACATTGACTGTGTCATGCACTTCGCCGCCTACTCCCACGTTCAGAACTCATTCTCAGACCCATCCGGCTTCACCCTCAACAACGTGATTGCCACTCAGCGACTTCTCGATGCCGTCCGTGCCCGTCAGGGACGCGTACGCCGCTTTATCCACGTCAGCACTGACGAGGTATACGGCGATGCGAATGAGGAGTTCTTCGACGAAAACCAGCAGCTGAAGCCCACGAACCCTTACTCGGCTTCTAAGGCTGCCGCTGAGATGTACGTCTGGGCTTACTCCCAGTCATTCAACATCCCGTCCGTGGTGGTGCGCAGCAACAATGTATACGGGCCTTGCCAGTATCCCGAGAGTGAGCATACCATGTATCCGATCCCAAAAGAGACCCTGGCTAACCATACTTGCAGAGATTATCCCCCGCTTCTGCATCCTCTTGGATAACCAGCAGCCTCTTACGATCCAGGGTTCCGGCCTTAACGTCCGCCGCTATCTCTATGGAGGAGATGCCGCCGATGCCTTCGACACGCTGCTACACAAGGGCGTCATCGGTGAGGCCTACAACGTCCAGTCGGACTTCCCCGTCACAAACCTCGAGGTTGCCGTCCGCACTCTGGAGCTCTTCGGCTACAGCCCGAAGCGCGACTTCGGACGCTGCCTCTCCTGGATTGCCGACCGTCCCTTCAACGACACCGACTACCGGGTCGACGGCTCCAAGCTTTTGAACCTTGGATGGCGCCAGCGCGTCTCCTTCCCCGAGGGTTTGACTGCCACGGTTAACTGGTACCGCAAGAACATGCACGCTTGGTGGCCACAGATTAACAAGACGGTCAACCTGGCCTCCCAGGAGATGGCCAAAGGCCGCCTCGGCAACGGAATCAATGATGATGCCCAGGAGGACTCGGATATTCAGATCTCCGGTGCTAGCACTCCCGTTGTGATCGACTGCTAGATGCTTCAATCCCTTTACTTTCCCCTTGGGGTATAATTTTGTTTCATTTCTTTTCCCCTCTTTTTCTTATCTTTTCTTTTCCTTTTTATCCTTTTTATCCTTTTTCTTTTCTTCGACATGCCGTCGACAGATGCAATCTGCCCCCATTAATTCCTTTGCTTTTTGATAGGCGATTGCCTTGCCTTCTTGCCGATATCCTGCCTCTTGCCCCTTTGTTTTCCTGCGGCAATAGAGCCCCCTAGAATGACCTGTTATTAGACTGTTTCTCACGAAATACTTCCCACTTAGTTTTGAAGTTAGCCAATCAATCATATCTTGATTTCTTTTGAACTCCTTCTCCCTTGGCTCCATTAGATCAACAGTTAGACAGATATGGTAAGAGTAAAGATATATAATATGTAGAAGATATGGTATGGAAGAAGAGTGCTCTTATGCCTGCAATTATTAGGAACTGTTAAAAAAAAACGAGATAGAAAAAGGGAGGGGGAGAGAGAAAAAAAGCAGAAAGAATCAAGATACCAATCCCAAGGTGCAGACATCTAATATAACCTTGACATTTCCTAAACCTACATGTTCGGTTCTATCGGCAGCGTCAGGGTCAGGGAATCAGTTTCCTCTAGAATGGGAGATTTGTAGATCCGTTTTCCTTAATAGTTCGTATAGCTATACGTTTAAGGATTCATCAAATTAATTCTATGAACCAAATATATACACTGGTTATGCTTTATATCATTACTCATCAAATCACTAATAGGGTTACATATAGAGGCAATGTGTAAGGTTTCTAATAAGTGATATAGTAATGAAGCTCTATCTTTAATTTCCGATGTTCTTCAGGGGAGATAATGATCTAAATTAAATGTTAAAAATTTCTAAGCAATTTTATTTCTCCATAATGGACCTCGAATTAGTCTCCAGCCTATCATATGCCGAAATAGTAAGTAAAGGATTTGGTAGAATGACGGGAGCTTTTTTAGGCGCATGATCTTTCTAAGCAGTAGAATCCCACCTTGGCATGATCAGTCATCAGGATAGAACTACCTATCAGAGTAGAAATTACGAGATGGTGCCCAGTATGGCGAACTCATGACTCAATGGTGTGATGGCTCACAAGAAACTGGTGACGTCGAGGCCGGAGGACTTTGGACATTGGCAGTGACATGGCATGTGTAGTCGGAGATATTGCGTTTTTCAGCTCGTTAGGCCTTCCCAGTCACTTGTTAGGTAACCGAGTGAGGTGAGTTGGCTGACGGAGACATAATTGAGCCGATTAAGGTGAAGAGTTCTTCCGTTTCGCAGACAAAAGACGATCGTCGCCAAGGTTGCGTTAGGACCAACAGGATCCCATGCTTTGTCAAGCCCTAACGCGCATAACCCCTGGAATCGGCCTGCTGTTCATCCGTGCTTCGACCAAAACCCTCCGACCTGACCAAAGGGTCCGATTGGGCCGACCATTTCGTTGGCCAACTCGGTCTTCTTAGCGTCCTTATACTACTCTCCAGATCTATACATCGATATAAATATTTTTACCTTGGTCGATTTCTCTCCGATTCACCATGGTGAATACAAAGAGAGCACTGTTTCCGCTGATTCCGTGCGGATTTCTACCTCCCTTTCCTCACACCCCAATACCATAAGCCTTTTGTGCCATTAATTATTCCTAGTGGTGCTGAGTTACTATCACCATCATGCAGTCGTACCTTCAGTATCGCCGTATACGGCAAGAGGTGCAGGAAGACCTCATCCTTGCCCAGCAGCTCGCGAAGCGGCCGGTCGGTTCCACCACGAGCTCCTCCTCGCCCGAACCAGATAACTACAGCGACAAAGAGCGTGGAGTGACGGTCCCCGACGGGCCAGCTTCCTCCCTGGACGCGCACTTTGTGCCGGGTGTCACCATCAAACCCCCGGAAGACAACAATGGCAAGACGGTGTTCGTGGTCGGCTGGAAAGAGCATGACCCGACCAACCCCTACGAATGGTCCATGGCCCGGAAATGGTTGACCACGATGACATGTTGTATCATCGCCATTGCATTGACGATCCCCAGCTCGATTGACGGTGCTACGCAAGAGGCCTTCAACATCGATCATCGCATTAATGACATGGCGGGGTCCATGATCACAGGTATCTTCCTCATCGGTGTCGGTGTTGGCTCGTTATTTTCCGGTCCCTTCTCGGAAACGTTCGGTCGCAATATCATCTACTTCATCGCCATTACTCTGGTGATGCTGTTTATCATGGCCAAGGCCCTCGCGCCCAACTTCGGCGGGGCGCTGGCCTTCCGTTTCCTCTGCGCCCTGTTTGCAGCCACCCCAATGACGGTGGCCGGCGGCACCGTGGGCGACATCTGGACACCCATGCAGATCACCTTCGGTCTGCCCTTGATGACAATCTGCGCTTACGCGGGTCCCATTGTGGGCCCCGTGATCGGTGCCTACACGCCGCTCATCGGCTACGAGTGGGCCGACTGGATCTCCATGATCTTCACAGGCGCTACGCTCGTCGTTGTGATCCTTGGCCAGCCCGAGACCTACGGTCCCCTGCTGTTGGAATGGCGTGCCAAGCACATGCGGGACCTGACTGGCGATGACCGCTACCAGGCGGAGCACGCGTCGGCGAGTTCGCTTGGTAGCCGGTTGCTGGTCAATGTGTACCGTCCGTTCGTCATGATCTGGACCGAGCCAATCATCCTCGTCTTCAGCTTCTACCTCATCCTGCTCTACTTCATCCTGTTCACCTTCTTGAACGGCTACCCATACATCTTCGCTAAGGTATACGGCATCTCCGTCAGCATGACCTTCATCATCTTCGTTGCCATGCTTCCGGGTGTCTTCGTCGCCCTGGTCTTGGTGCCGTTCATGTATAGATTGACTAAGAAGGCCGCCGCCAAGGCTGCAGCAGAGGGCAAGGCCTTGCAGCCCGAGGTATCCCTGTACTGGGCCATGGCTGGTGCCTCCATCCTCATGCCCATCTCCCTCTTCTGGATGGCGTGGACCTGCTACGTAAGTGTTTCTCTGCTCCTCCATCTAATCTATTTCTCGCTAACCCTCCATTCTAGCCCTCTATCAGCATTTGGTCCCCCATCGTTGCTTCCGGAATCTTCGGCTACGCACTTGTCTGCATCTTCACCACCTCATACATGTACATCATCTTCGTATACCTCCAGTACGCGGCCTCGGCCCTAGGCTTCATGACCTTCTCGCGATACGTCGTCGCAGGTGCACTGAGCCCGGCCTCGGTCAAGATGTACGAGAACATCGGCCCACACTGGTCTCTGACTATCGTTGCCATTATTGCTACAATCATGGCACCCGTACCGTTCATGCTTTACAAGTACGGCCATAAGATCCGTGCCATGAGTAAGAATGCGGTCAACAAAGCCTAGGTTCGGTCTTGGTTTGAGAAGGGGGGGGCCGCACTTTGCTTTGTTTTGGGTGGGGTGAGATACCATCTTTACTGAGTGGTTACGTATAGATTCCCTGATTGTTAATATTTATTTGTGTTGAGGTAGGGAGTGGTTATGGATAGAACGCTTGGGGTCGCTTAATGTTTAGAGTCTACATTGACAAGTCTTTGCTCTTCTATGTTAGAATAGTTGCAATTGAGGTGGATACGCGTAATGATTATTATGATTATTAATGTTGGAATTTAGGATAGGATGGAAATTGTTGATGTGAACGTTAAGATACCTCTTTCTTCATGATCTCCACAAGTTTCTCTCGTGTCATCCACTGTGTCATGCACTCTGTATTTACTCTGCAAAGGAGAATATTGTACATCTAGGTCGACTTAGATGGAACAAGTACCATGGATTAGAGGGTATACACCCAAGAACAAGCTATAAAGTTTCAAATATTTTCGCATAGACCGTAAACTTGAGACTGACATCGTCCGCCCTGAGGCTCTGAAGAGCAGGCTACATCCGATCGACCGGTATTAAGATAGGTATAAGGAAGTGTCAACCAATGAATGACTGGTAGTTTCACATTCCTAACGAGAAATCTAACACACCTTACATAGCCAGAATAGTCCATGTTTGAAGAGGTACAGAGAGGCCCAGTGTGCCGGAACCGTCCGGCAAGAGGACTTGCAACGCAAGATAAGTTCGGAGATCTCCAGCAAGGCCTACCCTACCACCTTTCGTATTCTGCACTTTTGCCGGGATAACCGTGCGGCCTTGCATGCAATGCAACCCACTAAAGCAAAGCTACCGTATACTAAAAGGTTTTAGCCATGCTAGTTGCTTTCTTCAGGGTGGAGGGTCCGAACACTGAGTATTCCCTGCCAACTCGGACCCATAATCCGGAGTAAACAGACCGTTCTACCGCTTGCCTCCGCAGGTTGGTCCGAGCTGGGCATACTCCGGGCCAGGTATGATAATCCTGCGCACAAAGTGGGCTTCATCATGGGTAAGGTCTCACATAAGGCAGGGTACTCCGCCCAGTGGGCGTTCCATGTCTAGTACTGTTCATAATCCAGGTAGTTTCATACCGTCTTTCTGCCTTTTTTTGTTTTCCAAACCTTCACAATGTCTTCGGCAGATGAGGTTCGTGTCACAATCAGCCCTTTGGACTACATCCCCCCACGCAACTATGTCCGCCTTGTCCTTCCCATCCCGCTAAAGCCTGGTGTCGACGAAAAGCTTGTGTTTGATGAGCTTCATGAAGCCCTCCACAAGACCTTTGTACAGGAGCCCTGGGCTAGCGGCAAGGTGTACCGCCAATCCCCCGACACACCCGGCTGGCGCCCAGGCCAACTCGAGCTTCGCTACCGTGCCACACAGTCCCTGAGTGACCCGCGGCCACACCAGCTCCGGTACCACAAGCTAGACACAGACTGGACGTACGAGGAGCTGCGTGACAGCGGCTTCCCCAGTGATGCGTTCCCCGAAGAGGAACTCCTCCTCGATGCGCCCTTCCTGGGTGATGCAGATGGGCCCGGCGCTGATATCATGCTAACCCAGGCCAGTTTCCTCCCCGGCGGTCTGCTGCTGGCCCTCACTGCCTCTCACTCAGCCACAGATGCCTCCGGCATGATGGCCCTCTTCAACATGTGGGCAGAGAACTTCCGGGAGCTGCACGGCCGAGATGCCGGAGGACGCGTAGCCCCCTCAATCTTCACCGATGAAGACCGCGACCGAAGCGTCCCCGACCGCATCTTGGAGAAGGAAGCCAGCCCGGGTGGCCCAAAGAACAGCTTCGATGACCCATGGCTGCGCGGCCTCGTCTGCCTGGACCGGGGCTATCCCCGTGAAGCATCAGGGGCTGCCGTACCACCCAGCATCAAGTCAACAAACGGACACACGAATGGGCACACAAACGGATCAAGCACCAACAGTGAGGGCCGCACGATGCTCAACCGCGTCATGTTCCTCTCAGCCACGGACCTCATCACCCTGCAAAAAGATTGTGCCGCAGAACCTTCACTCGCCGGAACACCTCCCCTCTCTGTCGGCGATGTTATCACCGCCCTGATGTGGCGTATGTCCATGAAAGTCCGCTCCGCCGCAGCCATCGCCCGCGGCTCCCCCCTCAAGGACGAAATCTCCGTCTTCGAAGCCCCAGTCGACGTCCGGAACATCTTCTCCCAAAACTTCCCCCCGCACTGGTTCGGTAACTGCTGGCTTCTCAACACCGCGCGCATGCCCCTCGCCGAGCTCATCGATCCAGCTACCTCCATCGGTCGCGTCGCAGGGACCATCAGACAGGGTGCCGCCCGTCTCGATACACAGGCTGTTCACGACGCCTATACCCTGCTGAGGTCGACGGATGACCTCTCCCAGATCGTCGGCCGTTTCGTCGAGCGCCCTGATTCTTCGGACTTCCTGGTCTCCAACATCATGCTCTTCCCCCTTGGCGATATTAGTCTGGGCGACCGGTATTTCGAGAACGGTGGCACGCCCCAGGCGCTCCGTGTGCTGCACGGACAGTACGCCCCCAATGTCCGGCTTGGACATATTCTGCCCCGGAGTACGACCCACGGTGGTGTGGAGCTGAGTGTGAACTTGTTTGATGATGAGATGGCTCTTCTCGAGGAGGATGAAGACTTCAACCGCTATTTAGTGCCTATTCAGGCATAGGTTGTTCGCTGGAGCTGTGCTTGGACTCCTCTGTTGGGATATGATTCTGCTCTGTACTGGCGCCTTGTTTATGCTGACTTTGGGGAACTGCGTTCTTCTAGACAATTTGTGTTTGTCTTGTTTTACAGCCGATATATTTGGTATTAATGAATTGAAATGAAATCAAATAAAGTATTACTTCCATCTGGCATGTAAGCTACGCTTTCTCGTGTGCGACAGCGTAACATGTGTAGTTTGCCAAATTAGTCCAGGCTGTTCGATTGCTGCTGATACACTTGGAATGCAGCACCCCGTTTACCCCGGTCAATACAGAGTTCTCTGCGGGATATGCTACTTCAACAGCACATATAGAATAATCGACTGGATTTAGACTCTGGCGGTTTTGAAGAGGACTAAGCGTGAGAAGAGGTGTACTCCAAGGAGGATCGCAACACTATGAGGAATGAGGATAGAGGTTCTTTGGACTTTCTCCATCCCTGCACGACCTCCTCCTCACTAAGAGACTCATATACTGAGCAGAAAAGGACTAAGATGCAAGTTTCAAGGACACTTGACATAGAGCTTAGATCGCCTCTCGCATTTAGAATGTGTCCCCGTTAGAACGGGTCGTCTACTGTCATCTAGTATCCTTCATCTTTTCCAACAAAAGCCTTGATACGAGAAGAAGTATAATATCCTGACTGCCTTTAACTCATTTTGCGCAAGTACTAATGATTTTTGTAAACGTCCTTCCATTCTTAAGACTACTACGTAGTAGAAAGTCTCAGAGGCCCTATTGTTCAAGCCCCGAGAACGCATTCGTGGCGCTACCCAATTGGATGATACACGAATAAGAGAGTAGCGAGAGACCGTGTGGTACCACCTACTTCTCAAGATAGATTCATACTCCGGTCTGTTGTGGTTGCTCATGCAATGCACCGTTGTGCAGTGTGCTACTTACCATCAGCTCCAAGGTCCGTCAGTGGCCCTTCCCCACATGATCGTACGACCTACCCCATAAACAGCGTACAGCATCCAAAATGCAAGGGCTATACGACCCCGAAGCGGGCCGTGAAAGTGTCTTCGCCTCCCCAGCCTTCCACCCACTGGCAATCGGGAACCCCAGCGATGTGCAACAGACTCCGGAGGTTTCCGTTGTGGTCTTCATCCTCCTAGATGCAGACATCTGCTGTTGTCTTGTGAAGTAATTCGCCCTAATGTACTACGGAGCAGGCCATGTCCCAACGTACGTACTCTCTACCCAAGGTCGAGAGTGCTCCGATCCTACCTAACATAGCGACTATCTTCAGGACGGAGTTCTGTGTATCCTAGACAAGGATCATCCACGCGCAGTAGAACTCTTCACATTTCGCAATGGTATACTAGAACCTTGTGGCCCAGCCCCTGGCCCCCTTAATCACAAGTACCCACGTTTCAATGCCATCGGAGAAAAACGTTTTTTTGGCTTCTAGTCCCAGAAGGCTATTTCCATCTCGTTTACCAACCGGATACGATAGAATGGATTCTAGGTTCGTTACCCACTTCTCTCTTTATTCAGATGAGCTGTCAGATATAGGAGGCCTGCGGTGTTCCAAGCTGTCCGTTTATGTGTAGAGTGCGATTGAAACGAAAAATGGTCCGACCTTGGAAGATCTTGTTGATGGAATGGATCTTTCGGATGAATAAGGTGAAGGGTGTCTTGACCTGGAAGGATATACTGATACTAAATGGCTTGAGGATCGCTTTCAGGCGCGTCGGGATAATGGAGAGGAGGTGTTCATTTTCGTAGATACTACTCCCGTTCTCCAGTAAGAGGTATGGGAGAAGAGTGCCTGGAAGAAGCAGAGGCGTCTGGGGTGGAAGTATCCGCCGGAGATATATGCATCTAGGCATCGGCGGCATGGATGTAGGGACCCGCGGCTGGCTAGGCGGCCAGGGATATAGCTCTCTCTTGATCTTGGCCTTGTGTGTAGGATGTGCGTTGTGGGTTTATTTTCTTTCTTATATGTCGGTTCATATTAACTCAATAGGTAGGGCAATCCTTGGACTGGGAGGATGGTGTATGTCGCGGGTTGTCTAGAGCACTTGAAAGACAGTGCTAGGGTGGTCATGTTGCTCAGAGTGATGAGGTATATGAAGACGGAAAGCATATCTAGCCAGTCCCAGTACATTCACCGACTATAGAGCTCTTCAACTCTAGTCAAGTTGTCCCAGTCAGCCAGAAAGACATACAGGTCTATGAGTACCTCCTGATGCACTGTTCGGAACTGTTCCTAGACAGAATCACCTCGTTCGCCTACCCTGGCGCATAAAACTAGGTGCTAATTGCTTCTGTCACTACCATCACCTGCATACTGTACAGCCCACTGGTCATACAATCCCGGAGATAGAGTTCACAGTGAATTCGCTTACTTTAAACACTGAGAATAATAGAGATCGTCAAGACCAAAGTATACTGCAACGGCTATTGGCGGATTCAACGTTCAACTACCGACTCCGCAATCTCCACTATTCCCCATTTCCCACGGACTGAAACATCTGCAGTGCCGTGTCGATTAATTAATCTCTCCACATCTCGGAACAAGGTCCAGTCGGAAAAATGGCACTACAGCTCTTTCAACCGTTGCTGCCATCCTACTCGACCGGACTGATCGCAGGTGGTTAAACATGGTCCGTTTCAAAAAGAGACATAGAAACTATCTACTAGAAATAAAGCGGAGCTCCTTCCGAGCCATATATGTGGGATCGGGATGTCGATCGAATGCGCATTTCGCTTGTTTATAAGGATAGCTAGAACCCGAGGGATCCGCTATTCTTCAAGCTCAGACAGAAAAGAAGTACCAAACAGCAAAGAACAACATCTTAGAGCAAGCACCATGAAGCTCAGCCTTTCACTCCTTACTATCGCCGGCCTGGCGTCGGCCCAATTGGCCGCTGCTCTTCCTCAAGCATCTTCTTCAAGCGCCACACCCAGTCCGACTTCATCCGCTGCACCTGGTTCCTTCGTCAGCACCTCCGGTGTGAATTTCGTGATTGACGGTAAGACGGGATACTTTGCCGGTTCCAACTCATACTGGATCGGATTCCAGAAGAACAACGACGACGTGGACCTGGTGTTCAGTCATCTGCAGGAGTCCGGTCTCAAGATCCTCCGTGTCTGGGGATTCAACGATGTCAATCAGAAGCCCACCGATGGCTCCGTCTACTACCATCTGCTGGCGGACGGTAAGGCCACCATTAATGAGGGCGAAGATGGTCTCCAGCGATTGGACTATGTTGTCTCCTCAGCTGAGAAGCATGGCATCAAGCTGATCATCAACTTTGTCAACTTCTGGGATGACTACGGTGGTATGAATGCCTACGTCAAGGCTTTTGGTGGATCAAAAGCGGACTTCTATACGAACGACAAAATGCAGGAGGCCTATCGCGCATACGTCAAAGCTGTTGTTTCGCGGTACAGCAAATCTGACGCTATCTTTGCCTGGGAACTGGCCAATGAGCCTCGCTGCCAAGGTTGTGAAACATCTGTGCTTTATAACTGGATCGAGAGTACAAGCAAGTACATCAAATCGTTGGACTCGGGGCATCTGGTTTGCATTGGTGACGGTAAGTGTTCTTGGCCGCTACCTGGAGCATGAGCAAGTACTAAACAAACCAGAGGGGTTTGGTCTCGAAACCGGCTCGGACGGCAGCTACCCATACCAATACTCTGAGGGTAGTGACTTCGCCAAGAACCTGGCGATTCCCACGGTAGACTTCGGAACTTTCCACCTCTATCCCAGCAGCTGTACGTTGGTCTTTTCCTGGACAGTAGACCATATAAGCTAATGAATCTAGGGGGCACAAACAATGCCTGGGGCAACGGTTGGGTCATCTCTCACGGTGCCGCTTGCAAGGCTGCTGGCAAGCCATGCCTGTTTGAGGAGTACGGAGTAACATCAGACCACTGCGCAGTTGAGAAGATCTGGCAGAACACCGCATTGAACGCCACTGGCCTGTCAGGAGATCTGTATTGGCAGTATGGCGATCAGCTCAGCACGGGACAGTCACCAAATGATGGCAACACCATCTACTATGGCACAGATGACTTCAAATGTCTTGTGACTGACCATGTTGCGGCTATTGGTAAGCGTTAAGTGATATTGAATGTAAATAGAAGCTTTGCCGGAAGCCTTGTCTGGGATATTGCATGTTTGTGCAATGGATCTATTGACTTGAATTAAAATCATCGCTATGTAGTACTACTCTCTGTGGTCCCATCTCAAACCCTCAAACATGGAATGTAGTCAACCACAGCGTCTGTGGCGCACCTTTTCCTTGAACAGGTGTGAGTGTCGTACGACTTCCCCCGGATTCTATTGCATCGAGTCCCAAATTAATAGCCAAGGCACTGTTGATTGAGAATAGTAGGTGTTATAGTCTCCATTCGCACTACTTGAGATAAGAGCCTGTTGGCCACCCTTGAAGCGTGTTGCCAGTCTTCTAGAAGGCCTTGTCGTGCTCCGTTTCTGGGAAGCGAAACAGACATAATGAATCCCGTTTCGCTATTGGTTTGCTGGTGAATTGGTCAAAAGAGGGCGATTTGCGACCTCAGACAAAATATGTAAGTGGTTGAGGAGAGTATAGCATTGAAGGAAATAACTAGATTCAGAGAGTGTAGATGTGAAGAGAGCTGGACAACTGTGAAGGCAAAGATAGAAACACCGGTACACCAATAACGAGTGTGGGAAGAGGTTCAAAAGGAAGATAACAAAAAGAAAGAAATAAAAAAAGCAAATAACAACAAAAGGAAGAGGAGTAAAAAGCAATAGGTGGGTGGGATAGTGGAGAAACATCGTAGGAACTGTTTTCATGGGATGGAGTAGGAGACAGTACTAAGCTACTTCTTCCCATTCTGTGCATCAATACTACCGGACAATACCATTAGTTGATCTATCGATACCCCAAGAAGAACTGGAAGGAGGAATAAGGACAAGATTTATTAAGCAGCTTCTTTCTCTCCATCATTCTTAAATTCTGGCACAACCTTTTTTAAATCATTGATTTACTCCTGTCCTTCCTCCTCATTGACCCCATTCCTCCCTTTGTTGAGTGAAGCTTTACAGCATCAGATACTTCAGTCCAGATACCAAACAATGGCATACAGAAGTTTCACCGACCCCCAACGATACAGACAGTCATCCGATCGAGACGGGGTGAATCCAGCAGAACTAAGGTCCACTCAACCCAGCAGAATTCCATCTCATCGACGAGCGAGGTTTACATCAAATCAAAGCCTCACCCAGTCAGATAGAAATTTCTCTGAACGGGATAGGAGCCTCCTAGATGAGAGATTTTCCCAGACTAGCAGACCTTTGTTCCAGCAACCTGCAGTGGATGCAACAGACCAACGGTTTGCACAGCCGGGCACACGCTTGTCCCACCGATACGCTAGGGGATCAGCAGTTCAAGAGCCTCCTTCTATATCTAGCAGACATTCATCTCATAATCCAACTGCAGGCTCAATTGATGAAAGATCCAGTTTGTCTAGCAGGCATTCGTCTTCCCGGCACACTGCAGGTTCTGTTGATAGCAGGCTCAGTCTCTCCAGTCGACATTCGTCCCGTCGAAGAACCGGCAGCTCAGGGGATGGAAGATCCACTCAGTCCAACAGACATCTATCTCGTCGCCCAGCTGAAAGGCCCGCAGATGAAGGATTCGATACATTGATCCTTTGCATAACTTTAAAAGCAAGGGACAATACCCGAAGAACGTAGGCGACGGCTACATATTCCCATACTGAGCAGTATCGATGCACTTGGTGATGCTACGATTCGAGTTGGGGATGGTATCGAGGCCTATCAGTAGCTTTCATTTCCTCAGCCTCAAATGCTATAACGATCTCTTCTATTTATTCTTCCGTGATATATCTATGCTGTAGCGCTGGTGATTGTTTTAGCCAGAAAAAGTAAAGAGACAAGAGAGAAAATAAACAATTTGATTACTTCGTCTGTCTGTACCAAAACCTGATTAGTATATTAGATTGATAGCAAACCATAGAATAGGAATACTATGGTACGAAGCAAAACATTAGTGTCCACCCTCTAGGGCTCTCCGTAGGGCTTTTTGTAGATTCTATTTTAAGGTCTTCTCTGTCCCACTAAGCCCTTCTAGACACGTAGGAGTCTGCCTTACGCCAAGATGAAGGCCGTCAGGCAGCAACACGATAACACATGACAGGTTGGAAGCCATTATCTCTAATCCACTCAACTCCACTCCGTTCACCTCAGCCTTTGGCACTCGAACTGAACCTATATTTAAACTCCATAGCAATACCCAAGTCTCACAATGGGGAAACCGTTACCAAGTTCCGATCCTGACGACCTCCCTCCTCCTTATGAACAAGTCATCTCAGGGCTACCTCCAGACAGCATTGATGACAACCCACTTCCTCTAGCTGGACCTTCCACATCATCTCCCATTACCAACGATCAAACGCAGGTCAGTATCGCATCCGAAACCGCAGAGCGACCGGCCATGACCCTATCGCCGTTCTTAAGCCGCGACCCCGCCGCTCTCCATAGCCTTATCAGCCATGAGGTCCGCATTCCTCCGCGACCGAGCCTGAGTGTCCGCGGTGCACACCAAGAGACCCGCCCCGACCGAAACGATCGCAAGGAGAATCGCACGGAGTCTGTGGTGGATTTTGACTTTCGGATCAATCTGTCCAACTACTTGGTTGGCGATGTAGACCGCGATCCAGCCTGGCATCAGTTGCGCGTGGCGCAGGACGGGGACGGACAGAAGCTCTACCGTGGCGGTCGATGTCGGTCGCGTGAGTGGAAGCGGCACGCAAGGACGCGGGCTGTCAGGCGGCCGAGCATCGAAGATGGTACGGATACCGAGAATGTTGGACTTGTCGAGGACGATGTAGGACCGGATCTCATGGGCTGGTGCGAGAGATTCTGCCAGGATCCTTCTCCAGTTAAATCGTATGTTTGCTGGTTCAAATTACTTGACGCACGAGATACTAATCTCATGGCGCAGTTTTACCTTCACCCGCCACATTGAAAACTTCAACTCGTCCATTATACAGTCCTCTTTGACATCCCATCTCCGCTCGCTCAATTACCAGGGCAATATCCAGATCTCCACATCTTTCTCAAACCAATCGTTTACGGTCTACTCTCCGCATTGGATCAACCGCGCCCGCAATAGCAATTTCATCTACTGGATCTGTCTTATCCTTCAACTGTGGCTGATCACTTGGCCGATCATCTGGTTCCTCGAACGTCGGTATGCTGTCGTTGGGTCCGTGTGGCTGTTTTCCCGGGAGGTCGGATCTCAGCGGGTCTACGCACGCGATCGAGACGAGGCAGATATCGCAGAGGATCTTGCCCCGGTGGTCACCCAGGCGGCATGGGAGCGACGATTAGATGGGAAATTCCTGACAGACCAGGACATGCGCCTTCTTCGACGGCTTGAGCGAGAGGGTCGAGATCGTGGCGGACGGGTCTTGGTAGTGAACTGGGATCGGATCAGTGGATGGGGGCGTGATGAGTATTCTTGAAGCGACCGTCTTCCTTGGCTTGGAGGATTATACGAACGAATGGTTTTCGATAAACATGGAATAGCCGCTGTAACCGGTTGAGCAAGCTCGCATAAACGTTCTTTCATCTGATAGCAATTATGAGCAATTCATGATCCAATATCAGTCTGGTCTATGCGACGTATGACTGGACGATAAGGAACCGCAGCCTATGAGGCCATGCATCGCATATACATGAATCTTGCACCTCTCATGGGTTAGAGATATCACCCTGGAGCAGTAACCGGCATCTCCTACACTACCGGGCCGCTATCACTGAACATCTGTGTTTTATCTCTCCTGGCAGTTGTCGGTGTGATCTCTACCATTGGTCCACAGGCGACAGGATTCCCGAAAACGGCAACTAATGCAGGTCTGAGCCTTAAGCGAGGGGTGTCCATGTGCAAGTGTCCGTTCCATGACGGTTCCTGATAACCATGCTTACAGTGTTCCGGACCGGTGTCCGGACCGGTGAATTAAGATTTTTAAACTAATCCGGGGCAATAGATTGTGGCGTTTCAATGAGGGATTATCATGCAGACGGTAGGGCTAGAGTAGTTAATATCGGTAGAGCTGTGGTTGCCCCCGGGGGTATGTTTCTTCATCTCTGGAATGGCAATCCACCTAGGGTGACCCATGAATGAAAACAAGAAACTGTCATTGAATTGACACTCAGCTATCTTGTTCCTTAGGGATATGTGCAAGGACACACAACCAGATTGGAAGAAAGGGAGTCTTACCAAGTCGAGACTACAGGACAGTAACCATGGGACAAGTCAGGTGAGGGAAAATAAGGAAGTAAGACCAGGTGATAAGCGCGAACCCTAAAACAGCCACTGGGTTGGGGATCCTCCAATCACTGCGCAACGAACACGACACCCTAAGAACTTCCCCGCATGGATTACTTCCTTATCAACACCGGAACCAACTTCACCTCCGCCCACTTGACACTAAAACCCTAGTAGGATGTAGGATTCTTGGCTCCATTCAACCAGTCAACGTTCGTCCCACTCCCCAAGATGAGGGTCTACATAGTAAACTGGAGGCTAACCCAATACCAATACGGTTGGAGGTTGTTGCCCCTGCCAAATCTGCATGTAACCGATAAGCCCATTCCAACTCAACTTGCACCCAAGACCAGTGGCTTTAATTTTCCCTTTTTTTTTCCCGTTTCCTTATTACTGTGCTTGGCTCACGGACTAGTTTGCTGCTTTAAAACCGAGGGTATCCCGCGGGTGGCCTCATCTCGTCCTGCAGTTTACTTTCTTTCTCTCACACCCCTCTCTCTGTGTGTCCCTCTTGAGAATTACTCTTTCGTATTGCTCTACCCAACGACAAGATGGGTTCCGATGAGAAACCCACCGTCGCCCCGCCGACAGCCTATGCCCATGATCCTGAACCGGGCGAGGTCAAGGTCGGCACAATGCAGGCTATGGTCGAGGCCGACCTGCTCGATGAGCGATACATGAACACCCAGCGCGGTCTGAAAAACCGACATGTACAACTGATGGCATTGGGAGGCACAATCGGTACCGGTCTTTTCGTGGGTTCCGGTCAAGCACTAGTGATTGGAGGTCCATTGTCACTCCTCTTGGGTTATACCTTTATCTCCGCCCTCATTTACGCCATTGTCACCGGAATCGCTGAGGTGGGTGCCTACATGCCCGTCCACGGTGGTACCATGAGCTACCACGGTTTCCGCTACGTCTCACGAAGCTTGGGCTTCGCCATGGGATACCTGTATTGGTACTCCTTGGCCATTCTCGCAGCTTATGAGATTGTCGCCGCATCCATGGTCATTGAGTACTGGCCTAACAGCGTTCACCTCGCCGTCTGGATTACCATCATGCTGGTCGTCATTGTGCTACTCAACTTTCTTCCGGTCAGCGCCTATGGCGAGAGCGAGTTCTGGTTTGCTAGCATTAAAATCATCACCCTAATCGGCCTGCTGATCCTCTCCTTCATTCTTTTCTGGGGCGGCGGTCCCAACCGTCAACGACTCGGCTTCCATTACTGGAAGGACCCGGGCGTAATGAACACATACTTGGTCTCTGGCGATCGCGGTCGCTTTGTGGGCTTCTTGCAGTGCATCGTCAAGAGCGCCATTGCCTTCCTCTTCGCTCCCGAGCTGGTGGTCATCAGTGGCGGCGAAATGGAATCCCCGCGCCGGAACATTCCCAAAGTGGCTCGTAGGTATATCTACCGACTGGTCATCTTTTACCTGCTGGGATCGCTCGCCATCGGGGTCATCTGCCCCTCCAACGCGAGCCAATTGGTGAACGGCAATGGTCAGGACGCCTCATCCTCTCCCTTCGTCGTCGCGATTTCCAACGCCGGCATTCCAGTCCTGGACCACATCGTCAATGCGGCCATTCTTACATCGGCCTGGTCAGCCGGGAACTCCTTCCTCTACATGTCCTCTCGCTCCCTCTACGGCCTCGCGGTCTCGGGCAATGCCCCCAGCATCTTCAAAGCCTGCAACCGCTGGGGAGTCCCGTATTACGCGGTCGGCGTCTCGTCGCTCTTCCTCTTTCTCGCCTATATGTCGGTGGGAAGTGGCAGTAACACCGTCTTCAACTGGCTGATCAACTTCACCAACACCTCCGGCTTCATCAGCTGGACCTGCTGCGGCATCATCTACATTCGGTTCAACAAGGCCACCCAAGTGCAAGGCATCGAAAAGCCGTACCGCTCCAAGATGCAGCCCTATGGTATGTATGTCGGCATGGCCGGGGCGATTTTCTTGACCCTGATCAACGGGTTCACCTCTTTCTTCCCGTCGGAATGGTCCGCGTCGACCTTCTTCACAGCCTACATTGGGATTCCCGCTTTCCTGGTCCTATACGCCGGTCACCGCATTGTTTTCTGGAATGACCCCTGGGCGTGGAAGCCCGAGGAGGTGGACTTGCAGACCGGATTGGAGGAAATTCTGGCGGCGGAGAAACCGCCGCGCCCGCGCGATACGTGGGGACGGAAGTTGATGGCGATTATCGAATGATCTTTCTCGATTGATTCCCCTCATCTCGGCGATCTGTGTTGGGATGTTATCGCAATGTATGAGAGTAGATATAATCATTTATCTGTTGCCTTTCCACTCCAAATGATACCACTTGCATGTTCGTCACCTACTCTCCATCGATGGTGTAGATAAGGCGTGTAGTATTACGTACGTGATATGATATGATATGCTTGACCCACCAGACCCATATCATCTTATCTGTTGTGATAAAGTTGTCTCTGCCGTTGGGGATCCACGTGGAGAGTCGAGACTCGGTTTTAACTCCGGGGCTGTTATTTTTCCGGGACTTGACACCTCAGGCACTAAGGTGGGGAAGTTTGGAGATAACTACTGGGAATTGTTAGGATCAGCTGATATTACAATTATCAACCTTTGGAGCATGATTCAGTAAAATCAACTACTAGTGATTTGATTCTTTTCCCCCCTTTTAACCCCCGCCTTTGCTGCAGAAAACTTGATTGGCAGCATGCCAACATGATTCATGTCCCAAGTGGAAATATATGTTTCACACCGAACGACTTTCCAGCTAGAAGAACCTCCCGTATCACTACTGAAAGCTCCAAAATGCTCTATCTTATTCATACCCTAAGGGCATCTTAGTAGTTACCTTTGGTTGTACTGTACATATGGAGTTAGCCACTGAGTATGTGTAAATGCAAACATGAATAAATAGTCGTGCCATGTGTCATGTGTCATGACGGCAAACAACACGAAGAGTGCAAATAGTGCAAACTATATGTAAGGTTAGCTTCCTAACGTAACCAACAGAACCACCAACATGGGTTCTTCAATAATATTGGATGATGTCCGTCGATCGTTGTCTACACATCCTGGCAATGAGAGGACCCAAACATAGCTCAGAGAAAGTGGATATAGATCCACCAGGATATACTTAGGACGGTTGCATCCCGACAGCTGGCAACAGAGCAACAAGCACACACCATGGATGTGAACACCGCACTCCAGCCGAAAACCCTCCTCCGGCTGGAATTTCCTGGCTTGGCTGCCTACTTTCAAAACCTGATTAAAGAGCAATCAGCGGTTGATCGGGTAAAAGAACTTGATGCTCGGCTGTTAGAACTGACGCATGAGGAGGTTCTTCCGCCTGCGGTGTACGGCGTCTGGCTTCCCATTGCCCTAGATGTCGTTCCCGAATTATTACAAGCGGCAATTAGGGACCCCGTGTCCCACGGGATCCGTAAAGCCGGCATCAAAGCGTTAGCTCGTCTCTTTCATAGCAGGGAATGGAAAGCACAAGGGTGGAACGCACTCGGCGGCGCAGAGTGAATTAGAGACCTCCTTGCAACTCCCTCTGTGAGAGAAGTCATCCTGGTGTTGAAATCTATTGCGAAGTGTCAGAATGTCTCCGACCCATTGATCCTATCCGCTTGCGCAGAAGATCTCATTCGTCTTTTGCAAGAGGACAAATCGTCTCGGGCATCACCATTTCTTCTGCGACCATTGTATCCGCTGTGCAGCTCGCTCTTTTTGAAAGAGGCTCTGTCAACTTTGCCGGAGGGATCATTGCAAGCCTGGTTAGTTCAGAACTTGGTCAAATCGCATCCAGACATTGTACGACAGGTTGTCCTTGGCCGTATTGCGGTGCCTACCCAGCTCCAATTGGGAGTGTTAAAAGACCATGCGCAAGAATTGATCACTTCCTCCGAGCCGTACAATGCTATAGTCCACACAGACCTTCCTCCTGATCTCCCTCCTGGAATAGTGTTTTGCTTGGATTTGCTGTATGTGATGTGTACTTGTTCCCTATTAGCTTTGATGATAGGCCCGGTCCGGGATGAGTACGGGAAGAAAGTGCTGCGGCTAGCGTGTCGTAAAAAGGTGCCATTCGACCATATCACGAGAGTCCTTAAGTATATGACCCAGCATTGGCTCCAAATGATGCGCATTATTCGGGCTGATGCACTCTCTCCATCGCTATCCTATGAGGTCATCGGCTGTTGGTCTATAGCCCGGTGTGGGATGACTGGTGCCACTGCTGAGTCGACCATACAACGTTTCACACGTAGCGATATTGGATCCCGCCCATGCAAGAGTAACGAGATCGACTTGGAATTGTTACTTGTTGACTTGGTCCGGGAGAGCTCAGGTCCAAGACTTGGCCTGGACCACGGCCTCCCTTCCATTGTGGTTAAGATACTGGAACAAATCGCCCCGTCAGAGAGGCTCCCGTTCATCCGACTCTTTTGCAAATATTCAGAGGCCATGAACTTTGACATTGACGTGTATCCGCCCTCTGAACGGGAAAGGAGGCTGGCCCCAATATGGGCCTTCAAGATTTTACGTGTGCTACCGGATTCGGATGCAAAATGCTTGTTTAGCAGAATGCTTACCATTCATGGCTGCGAGGAGTTTGTTCCCACCCCAAAAGCCGCGAAATCTCTCGACTGGACAAAACAGTGCCTTTTAAAGATTGGATGGGAAGAACATGCTGCTAGCAGGCACGATCTCCCTTTTTCTCGGACTGGTACGTTACTTTCCAAATCCTAGATTCAACGACGACCTGGGCTGAGATCACTAGTTATCAAGGAAATGCAAGAACGAGCAAGGCAGGGAAGATATCCCGAACATCGATTGGATTTGGCCGGGGCAGCTTTGGATGCGGGCATTGCAACATCCTCGCTGGACATCTATGCCTCAGTAGTACACTGGACAAAGAGGTTTATGCGCGACCCCGTATGTCAACGCCCCTGTCATATAGACTTGGTTAACCTGATTAGCTCGTATTCCCAAATCTGATGAAGGAAAAACTACTAGCTCGTGACGCCGCAAGCTTGCTCTCCTGCGTGGATATCGACCCACGCCGCAGGCCGACATCCTTACCACAGCTCCACCACGTTGTGCAGCAAGCAAACAAGATAATAGAAAATCTTCTGGAGCTCATCCTTCTCGCAATTCAAGAGCCTGCTGGCAAGAAAGATTTAATGGGGTGGCTGTTTGCAATTATGTCCGAAATTATCGGAAAACGAATGAAAGGCTTATACCAGTACCACCCACAACTCGGTAACGAGATGGAACTTGTAAATGTGCTTTTGGAGCCACTTATGCCGATAGTTCTGGACTTTGAGCGTGTCATACATTCTGGAGAACCATCAATGATAGGTGTGAGCACACAAAAGGGCCTTCTGGAGGACCTCAATTGCCCATCACATCCTACGGAAGCTGTTGTTGCATTCATGGACAAACTTGCAGAGAGACGAGACAGGCTCTGGGAAGAAATACGGACAAATGCAGATCCTGCAGTTTGCCACCTAGGGAAAGGATGGCCTAAGGGTCTTCCGGTCCAACATCTCCTTCCTAACGCAAGGTGGACGTGTTGCGCATTAGAATACAGAAACGCAGCACCATTTGTACGAAACTGAATCACGCAAATTATCACAACCTCATTCCATGATACACTGTCACCTAAACCGAATGTCAGGCTAAGCGGCGAGTGGATTGATAGCCTGCGCTACGCGATCGAAGCCTATATCGGGGCCCACAAAACGCAAAAGCAGCAGAATCTCATAAGCCACTTCCACCACTATAACTCTGAGATTGAAGACTATGCATGTGAGAATCGGCATCATCCTGAGCAGGTGCAGATGTTCCGGCGGTGGCTTCGGGATTTGGCTGTTGCGTTAGAGGCACCAGAGGCGGCAGCAGTTATTTGGCCTTATAATGCCTCGGTGCTCAATTCGACTTTTCTCGACCGGGACCTAAAATCTGGTGACGTTTTCCTGTGGGACCCTCGGCATGATGTTCAGAAGACGAGGAAGAGTCGAAGCAGATTCCCGTCACATTGCTCTATTGTCGCATGCATGGGGTAATACCTAGATCTAAGACCGTCTCGTTACGACGGAAACCCATTAGGAACCCACTGATTATTTGGAAATTGGACCGTGAACGCCTGTCTAAATCTGAGCTGTCGCTTCTCGAAACCCAGGAGGCAATCATTCTGTCCGCTATCCTCTTCCTGAACTCTACTGGGCCCCAAAAACGACTGCTTGCTAGGCCTTTTCCTACCATCGCGTCCCCAAGATATCCAGCAATTTCTCTGGATGAGTGCTTTGTTGCATGCGCCAGGGAAAACAGCCCCCATGCTGAATATACCGCTAAAGAAGGCTCTAGAGAAAGCTATCAAGGCCGTCCCAGGTAGGTTGCTCCGAGACCTGGCGGTATCTCTCCTGGACATGGCGGAAGATTTGTCTCCGACATCACCATCTTATAGGACGACTATGAATCGTGCGATTCATTTCGTCGTACTGCTAGAGCTTTCCAGATCGACCGGAACTAGCGGTTTATATTATGTTGCGGGTAATCCAGCATATGCTAGACGCCTCATCCTGGCATAGGCAGCTAAAGTTGGCCACCCTAGGTAAGCGGCTTAAACCAGACTCGGCTAAAGATTTCATCGAACGATTTGCGACGTTCACCATGGACGGCCTTCAGAGGAACAGGCGACAGGGTGGTCAAAGCATGCCGAATATGGCCGAAGCTGCAGGCCATCCGAAGCTTTTCCTGAAGACCACCACAGTCAAGATGTTGGGCGAGGTGCTTGCGGTAGCCCAACTTTCTCCCAACCACGATGATCATGTCCGTTCTCCATGATCTATTTAACGCGAGCCATCATGTTGATATACGAGCACGGGTAATTTCATCTGTTCTATGCCTTTTCGACATAGCCTTTGACACAGAGGCGATATTTAGAGCCTGTGCCTCGTTTGCCTTCATCGTTGCAGGCCCGAGTGAAACGGAGCCCACGACTGAGACAGACTGGGTAAACGCGGAAAATGGGGGTAAACTTCCACATATCTCGTTAAGAGGCGATTGGCCCGCCCTTGACCTTTTTGTTAAGACTGCGTACTACAAAGTTCCTAAGCCTCATCGAGCGGGGTACGTGCAGAATGTTCTGCTCCCGTTTCTAGACGAATCAGCCCGTTAACGCAATCGTTGGATGAGGGCCTTTCTTCATTGTTATGACATCGCCAACACCTGCGCATTTGAAACCTTTGACTTCGGGCCATTCCGTGTAAATATTGTCGAGGATATTCTACATACTTGGGCGGACTATCTTCCAGAGCCATTCCTCCCTCGTCACCGCGACTTTGCACTATCTTACCTCCGTTATGCGGACCTAAACAGGCTATTAGAAGCGCTCGCACAACAAGAGCCTGGATACTGGCAGAGAAACCCGGGGAAACATTGGAACGAATATCGGCAAGCCTGTCGAGATTCGCAACCGTTTCTAAATTTACGAAGAGTTCTCTTCCGAACTATGGAACCGGCAATCCCGAACGGCCTCACTACGGAGAGCTTAGCGGCAGAATATGTTGTGCGTGCAGCAATCGTCGCTAGGAATCACATCAAGTTTGATCCGGAAGAAGGCAAATTTGTTGTGAGTACGGAATTACTTGTGGGAGCCTTACGGGCGCTGCGAGGAGTGTCTAGTGGGTATAATGAGACGGACCACCAAAAGCGGAACCAGGTGCTTTTCCAGAGGGCTTTGGAGCAGATCGGCGCTGATATAGAGTCCCTCCGAACGGAGATTTGGCTAAATAACGCGGATCGCCAGCCCGTGGTGCTGCCTTCATGGCTGGAACTGCAAGCTACGACGTTGCCTTCGCCGAAAGTGAACCCCATTGTGGAAAAGCCGGACCATGAGTTCGTGCGTCGCGTGCTAGTGCTTGTAAAGAGATGTGCCGATGATCGGATCTTATTGACGGAGTTCAAGTGGCTCAAGCAAATGATTAAGAAGAGTCCTCGGGAGGCCGAGATTGAGTCCTGCGCCCTGCTCCTCGGAGATGGACCGGTGGATGAACATGTCACGTTGTATGGAGCGTTGAGAATCCAGCTTGCTCACATTTTGGTTTCCAAAATTAATTCTGCGGAGCTCCAGCTGAACCCTGCACTCAAAGCTATGCTGGCTAAATGGAAGGCAAGCCCTAGCGAATACGCCCGAAATGCCGGATGGGATTTAGATGGCTTATATACCTGAGTGTACATGGTGATCAATTATTATCTACATATCGAGATATCTACTGTACAATTATTCACACTAATACACAATCTAATACACGAGCTACCACACACTCTCAATTCCATACTATCCTCGCACAATATAGAACCCATTAACCTCAACCTGTCGATCCCGTACCTCCGCCGAGGGCGACCGAACCCCAATCCAATGCAGCGGCACCTTATCCACCATCTTCTCCGCCCGCATTCGCGCATTTTCCATCCCTTCCACCGTCCGCCCTACCCAGCTCCCCTGCCGATCAGATCCCCCAGATCCTTCTGGTCCCCAGGCTGGATGGTCCAGTAGAGCCTGCGCGTAATCGACGTCACACGTATCAGCGAGCATCTCCGCCTCCGCTGCTGCCTCGCGCGCCACCAGCAGATCCTTCTCCGTCATTCCTGACGGCGACGGGGGAGGGATATCCGCGCGCAAGAAACACATTACACGGACTTGCACCTTGGCTAATGGCGGGAGATGGACCTCATCGAGGAAGCGGAGGGTAGTTGTTTTTTGCATTGCCTGCGAGAGGTTCACTCTTGTTTGGTGGGTTGGGTCTAGAGGGTGCAGGGAAATGATGGTTGGGTACCAGTGACTTTTTTGGGCTTGGGGTTCAGTTTGTGGTTTGGGGGAATAAGCTTGATATGTTGGTGTTTGGGGGTGGTATGGAGTATATGGTGAGGTTGGGGTGTATGGCGTTTGTGTTTGTGTCGGGGGGCTTTGATCCAGGTCGAACCGCGTCCAGGCGAGGAAGTACCCGCGTAGCCTGTCCAGCACTGAATCCGGGGCCTTGACGAGAGTGTACCTGGGCATGTCGACTGGGTCTCTCTCTGTGTGGACATGAGGCTGAGCGCGCGCTTTAAAGTCCATCGGGAACGGGTGCTGCGGGCCCATTTCCAGCGTAGCGGCCTGCTGATGCTCCTGGACCTCTCTTGCACTACTTTCTGCTTCGTTGCTGCTGGGTCCGTGGGTATGTCGTGCCCTCATCCTATTCACACTCTCCTCCATCCCACTCGCTGAATACACGGTTTTCACAGCAGTCTGTTTTACCGCGCTCGGCTTATACCCCGCCAATTTATTCGACACCTTCGCCGTAACAGGATTCACCGCCGCCCGCGCCGCCGTCTGCGCATACATCCCCAACACCATCGCCCCAACCTCCAACGGCATGGTTGACAGACTCGCCCCGCGCAACGAACTCGGATCCAACGACGTACTTAGCACCCGAAAAACGGGACTGGAGCAAAGAACCTTCTTCTTCTTCCCGTTCTGGCACAGGTTCAATTGGAAATACCCGTCGCCTGCTTCGGCGGGGATCCGCGCCACGACTGTCTCGCGCAGTTTATGGCTCAGGAGCTTTGAGGGCGCCTTCTTTCGGAACTTGTTGATATCGCGCTGCCAGGCGCGCTCGTCGCCTGGTTCGACTTGGTTGGGGCGTAGTGCGAAGGATGGGGTCACGTCGAGCCAGTCGTCTGTTAGGCGGAAGAGGGCTTTGGCTCTCATTCCGGTTTTGCCGGTCCAGCCGCGGCTTTGGAGGTAGTAGGTTCGGTCGGCGGGGAGGGGGGTGTCGCAGAAGATGGAGATGGCGATTGAGGTTGGGGGACCGCGGTAGAAGACTATCCCGTGCGAATGGCGGAGGATGGTGTGGTGCCTAGTTGATTCTGTTGGGTGGGCGATTAGACCGCCCAGGAAGTGGGAGACTTCCCCGTAGGCTTTTTGGATGGCGTTTGGAGCTGGTGCGGGTGCGGGGAGGTCTGTTGTGGAGCGGGGCGGAGGGCGGAGATTCGGGGTGCTTTTGTGGGTGCGGAGGGATGGCGTTGAGAGCGCTGTGTGGAGGGGAGGTCGCAGGTGGGTTTGTGGTGTTGGCGTTGCCGATTGAGGTATTGGGGGTACATTGGGACTTGGCGGGTAGTCATAGTAGTAGGGTGGTGGTGGCGTTGATGTTGGTGTTGGATATAGCTCGGAGGGCCTTCCGTTGGATGTGGTTGGTCGTAGTGGTGGCGGGACGGGGTGTGGACTTGTCTTTCCATTGGAGGACCTTGGTCGCGGTGGTGTGGGTCGGATCACGCCTGTTTCTTGGGGAGGGAGAACGAGTGGTTTGCGTTTGATGGGTAGGTGTGCAGACATTGTTAAGTATGAAGATGGAAGAGCGGAAAAGAAAAAGGAGAGAAAGCAAGTTGAGGAAGTGATTGGCGTTGATAAGATAAGAGCTCCCCCACGTCGATCCGGGGACACAGGAAGGCTTGTGATTGGGTGGATTTGTGCAGTCGCTGAGTCATGATGTGAGTTGCGAATTGTGCAGTTTGTTTATGCAACTTGCTCACTAAATCCACTGATTTTTCTATCCAAATACGGAACAATAACAAACCACACCGAACATTTCATGATATGACCAACATCCAAATTTAACCTAGGACCCCTGCATAAAAAGTGTCCTGCGCCCACCGTCAAGTACGATCGTCTCCCCAGTCAGATATCCTCCTGACTGGCCCGCCATCCACAGTATTGTACCGGCAATATCCTCGTCACTTCCCGCCCGAGTCAGAGGAATGAAGTCAGGTTTCATTGACCCGTCCGAGATACCACGCCCAGACACGCCTCGCTTCTCAAATAGATGTCGAGCCATGTCGCTATAGAACAGGCCTGGAGCAATCCCGTTGACACGGATCTGGTACGGTGTCAAATTGGCCGCAAACACCTTAACCAATTGCACGAGGGCAGCCTTCGAGAACGAATAAGCGAATCCGGAGGGCCTATTAACGAATGCGGCGACGGAGCTGGTGACAATTACCTGCGGACGGGGCGGCGCGAGCTCATTAGTCTCCGGCGGTGGGCGGCGCTTGTTTGCCTCATCGAGTAGCGGTAGGAAGGCTAGAATAGTGTACTGTGTGCCTGTCACATTGACGTTGAGAGTATCGGTGAAGTCAGTCATGGGATGACTCCAGTGGTGGTCGCGGAATTCGGCCAGAGTCGGAGGCGAGCCATCTGACTTTGGCGGGATGTGGGTAACTGGACCGTTGGTGCCGCTATTGGCAAATAGGAGATCGATGTGTGAGGTTTGTGCGGCGATGGCGTGATATGCATTCTGTAGGGAGTCCTGAGACGTAATGTCTGCTACGATGGGGATTACTGAGCGGTTGACCGCCTGGGCGGCTGTTTCCTGAAGTGGCTGCTCGCGACGACCGATGATGAAGACTTTTGCAGCGTGGTTGGCGTCGAGAGCGAGGGCAACGGTGCGTCCCAGGCCTATCTTTGTTAGTATGGTGATACTAAGGTGAAGGCATATCGCACTTACCTGTCCCGCCACCTGTAATGATGGCGACGATTCCTTTGACAGAGAAGAGGTTGGATAGCTCGAGGGACATTGTGATGGCGCTGTCAACTTGGGAGTTGAGGTGAACGGGGAGCAAAGGTTGCTCTGTATAAGAAAAGGAGGGAGAAGACTTCCACTGCATAAGTGGGGTTAAGATCTGCAACCTCAGGGCATGTGACCTGACTGTATCATTTTCATTGGGTAAACAAATCTGTAGCATTCCATTGATGAAGCATCACAGCGAGAGTGTCCCGGTAGTTACACGCAGGACTAAGAACACAGCATTAAGATACACCATTCCCATTATTCACGTCCATAGACCCTCTGCTACAGGTAGGATCAGTAGCGCACTCTTCTCGATCGGCAATAATTCGATTTTGTCACCCAGGAGGCACTGAGGGTCATCCTCTCACATTGCCCGACTGCCATTCACTTTTGATAGCACGAACCACGTAGCGTCGCCTTTGTATTTCTTCACATATTTTCGATGGACCCCGAACCAGTAACCAGACGCGCAGTATTTGTCACCCTCATCGCAATAGGACCGCCGGATAGATTCATATTTCGTACACGCGGTGTGATTCACTCGTGGGAACTTCTACTCTTGTCTGTTAGTAGTCACAGCTGCCTTTTGAGGAAGGATAAATCGAACCCCGTTCTTTTTGCCTGTTCCAACATTGTATGGGAGACCTGGGACATGGGTAGGATCTCCCATTGAAATTGCGGCGGAAACTGTAGACCTGTGAGCAGCTGTCCCGGGTATCCTAATGATGCTTCATTACTCTTTGCACCCAGTCGATCGTCAATCGGAAGGATCGCTGGAAAGCCCCTCTCCACCACGGAACCGCAAAGGACATCACCGATAATATGAGCACCCTATCCCTCATTAGTGTATAGTATATAGTATGCCGAGGCCGAGCCACCTACTTGAGAGTATCCTAGGAGTACGATCTGCGAATCTGGACAGCGTACCGCATAGCTAGTTATTGCGGAGATCATAGCTGTGTCCCCAGCAAACACCGAAGAACGGTAACGCCAGATATCACCATATGCCGGATATTGAAGCGCTTCGGAATCGGAACTTGGCAGGTGTCGCTTAATAAAATCAGCTAGCTCTTTCATGCGACCTTCTCCTGGCCAGGAGGTGCTCTGTCGGGCCACGATCATGTGGACCTTGGCACAGGGGGCAGGTGGAGGGGCAATGGAGATAGCGAGAACAGTGAAGAGTAGCAGAACTATTGGGTTCATCTTGCCTTTGATTCTGGACTATATTTTGGCAACTGTGGGTGATGGGAAGGGGGTGTGAGTGTGGTGGTGAGTCCGAGTCGAGCAACTATAAATGGAAGGGGCGGCGCGTCACGTTCTCTCTATAGGCCATACCTCCCTTTATAGAAGCGAAACCAATCATGCACTGATCAGTAGGAGATCCATAGTATATCCTATTTCACCTCTATAAGCTGTACATTATCTGCTAATGATTGAAGAAATTCAAGGGTGTCACTCCTCATATCGACTCTTATGCTCTGGCTCTAATAACCCGAGAGTAGCAAATGGTATATACTTATATAAAGCTTGTGTTCTAAGCATTTTGCTACATTTGATGACTCATTACGCTCATATATTCTAGTAGATCCGGAATGTGGGTTGGTTCTCTAACTAGGTGAATTAGGGCTTCCTGTTGTAAAAGATAGTCTCACATCCATATGATATTTGTTCCGTTTCTTTCGGACACCTCCGGGAAACTGGACATTTCTAAAGCCCGCCTTAAACTGGCCGTAAAGGCATTACTGGTAAATGCGTGCACCTTAACCTGGACTTTGATATCTGAGAGGCGATGGCTTCGTAATAAGGGCTTCTTGGGATTTCGATGCTCTGATTGTGCTACTCGAAGCGGCCGATGATGTTTAGTTTCCACATGATTCTGGAGATCTGTACCGTTTAAAAATGTATCATTGAAGATTTTACCGCCTGGTTAACACACGTATCGATGCTTCGATACCCCTGTTCTACCATAGACTTTAACACTTGAGTTCACCTGCTTTTGACCTCGGGGCTAAAGTGGTATACCTTTGACCTGTTGATCCATCCGCCCGTTACAGGCTCATCTTCTGATAAGGCCCTTTGTTGCGTGCTGGGTTTTGGGCGGCGTTATTCGGTTCGCTTGACTCACGCAGCCTTGGGATTTTCCCTTCCTGTTGGATGTATTTCCACTTGACTGGCTGTGACGCGCTCGGCTCGCCTGCCGTCGCGGTCTTCTTATCACGTGCAGTGTATCCAGGTTTGGCTGAGAATGCCTGTGCTACGTTGTGCTCTCAGGATGTATGAGACTACTGAGTGCCATTTTACGTTGGATAATGCGGGCACTATATGGTCCAGCGGACTGAGAAGTTAGGGTCACGTTTTTCCATATTGCGCCGGATCACATTGTTAGTTTAGTTGTTAGCTAGAAGAGTAAGGAGAAGCAGAATCTCATAGGGATACATATGTATACAACATTGAAAGTATAGAGTGAAATTGTAGAAGGGAGTCAAGAATGGTGGATAGTTATATGCTAGCCTTACGCCAAGATCCACGTTCCTTTTTAATGCATCGATGCGTTATATTACCGCATTAATCTGGCACCCTCTCGATGAAGCAAGTTGGCTCGTAACTTATTTTAGTTTATCAAGTCTCTCGCAATTGGTGGTGTCCTAAAAGGTTCGCTTTTCCCCAAGCAATGACACAGAGAGGGGGAAGGCTCGGTTCCTCGGTCAGGCAGCAGATTTATTTTGTGGGCGATGGAGGGGATGTTCTGAACCTAGCACTCTTCACGCCAATTATGAAACAGTAATGATCTAGTCTGGGTATTCAGACCATGGCGTTGTATAGGCTCTTCTCGCTACATAATTGGAAAGCTTTAACCCAGCTCGTGGTAAACGCCTTGTCTCGATGCGTCCCTATTAATGCCAGGGGTTTCCAGTATAATTGCAGATCATATTCCATTGTTATAAGTCTCTCTGATCTCTCAGTAGGGCAAGGTCTATTGTCAATATTGTATCCGGGGAAACTTCCACATAGTTTTAGGGTTAACATGTATGTCCTCCTAGGGTCTATATGCACCGGCTCTCCCCTGCAACCGTAAATACCATTTAGCAAATACACACAATCCTATGGAACGGTAAGAGAATAGAATTAATCCTTAGCATACATCACTTCTGAAGCTAATATGGTTTGTATATAATCAGGGACTAGCCGATTAGAGCCCTACATCTGAACAATGTTCTTTACCAGTCATTGTTAGTTCCCTTATCCTTTTGAAGAGCTGTTTCACCCGCAAAGGCCAAACTCATGGAGTGCTTCGACTCCTCCTTCGCTCGCCCGCAGTTACAAAGCAAGATTTTCTTTGTATTATATTCATTGTGGCCATCAATACAATGCTGCGGTCGTATTAAAGAGAAGCCGTAAATTGCGACTGCCCACTGTGTTTGATGGCCTAATGCATGTCCATGAACAACCACAAAAGCAACAATGAACACCAAGAAAACAAAGCAAGAAGTAACCATCACTTAATGAGCCCTCCCACACTCCACCTCCAAATGCCCTCTAAACCACTCATTCGCCTCAAACCCCAACCGATTCCTAATCACAACCTCACACCCAACACATCTATACCAAACCGGGACAAAATGACACTTCACCACATGCTCCTTGAGCCCCCCACGCCCAAAGTGCACAGACACAGGCCCATCACACGGCTGCCACGGACACTTATACGCCTTCGGACAATGCACGGCATAGATATGTGTCATCAGTGCCCTTGAAACTGGAAATGCGCCGCAGGGAGTGTCCGTGTCGTCGTCGTCGTACGGGCATCGGTATGGTGGAGGCCCCTCCGTGCTCATCATTACGCTGTTGGCTACACTTTCCATGGTGAATGTGTGGTCTTTGCCATCGGAGGCCCAGAGGGCGTCGTTGATTTCTTGGATTTGGTTTTCAAGGTGCGATTCGAATTGGGGTTTTGTGAGCCATATGTTTGGGCGCCAGGGGGTGTGGTAGAGGGCCTCGAAGCCGGGGGCTTTGGGGGCTCTGTGCGGTGTGTTAAGTGTTAGTTTAGTGGTTGAACTAAGGGGGAGGGAGGATCAGTAGCTGGACATGCTGTTGGATAGAAAGGTTGTTTTGGGAGGGGATCTCGGTAAGCTGTATTTTCCATTTGCCAGTATTGTAACTTGCGTGGTGATATGCTTCGATTGGGGTTTCGAATGTTACTTGCTTTCCAGTATTTTTGCTGAGATCTGCCTCGTTAGGGTTAAGTATGTACTTTATGTTCATTTGGTTGAGGCGCATTGTATCGAGGGTAAGTATGCAATGGGATAAGAAGTGAAGTGTTTCTTATGGTGTTATGCAGCCTTGGTAACTATTGAGTATGGTTTGAGGTTAACATGGTAAAGCAAACGAGCTGGGATGATGGAACCAAGTGGTTTTTATTTGCCAGACCCTATACATAGTATTATTTGCGCATGATAGGATACTCAGTCTTTCGGAGATATAGATTCCCGGCTGTGGACTGGTAAATTCCGTGGGAAGGCTTGCGGTATACTATTGACCGTTGAGTCATTCAGTCCCCAGTGACACCCCAAACCTTTTCTGTTCGGGGACAAAACGTGCTATATAGCAGGGAACGTATTACAAAGAATGGATGACACTTGGAACGGCTATTGAGTAGGTTCCTCAACAATATACATCGTGGAACATACGTACTCCAAGCCACTAACTCGTCCATTGTTTATCTCTAATTTGATATCGCCAAACTCACTTCCCTGAAGGAAGCTGCAAGACCTACGTTGGTCGCAGTGGCAACATCATACATATGGCTTGTAGAGTTTGTCAGGCGAAATGTGGCAGACGTAGCTACTGGAAAGCTGTAGTAGCCAGGCGTCGAGTGGAGAGGTACGAAAGAGAGGGATGCAAATTCAAGAATAGTACAATGGCTTTTGCCAAAGACCCTTGGGTCGTAGCATAAAGAAAACATTTTGTCCAGAAACAGGAATGCTTGTTTATAATAACAAGTAGCCCTGAGACACTGCTCCACCTTGTATAGATTTCAAAGAAATCCCTGGTTTTTGCCTCTTATAAGGAGGTGGACATCTAACTTACTATGTCCGCTTAATGATACCGATTAATGGTTTCCACCAGTGTCCTTGCATCAGCTCCCATTCGTGTAATGGAAATAGGTCCCAGGTTTCTTCTGTTATTCCCACCCCTGCCAGGAGGAAATCGGCGCTCACTAGGTGTATTGAAATAAACAGTACCTGCATCGTGCACCAGCTGGTGGAGATGCAAGTATTCCAAATTCGGCTTGGAAGTAGATAGGTGATGAAAAATGGACTCAAACTTCCCACTGGCCAGACGCACCTGTTCCATCGATAGACCGACCAATTGAACGTTACGCAGAAATAAAAGCAGGGATGCCGCGGAAGTACGAATGTTCTGAAGAGTGCATTTCTTGAGAGATGGGAATCCACAAGAATATGCAATTCGATTAAAGAAATGTTCTTCTTCCTCAAGCGCATTGCTGTAGTCGAGATCTTGATACTCCCACGCTAAATGAAGTTCCTCTAGCACTGGGAACATATTCACGAAATCACAAATAAACCGGGTGTGTTCCCTGGCTTTACCAAAGGATAATGGAGACCGCCACTCCTCATCAATATTGTGTAAACAATGTGACAGACTCATGGATAATTTTTTACATTCTCTGAATGAGAAAGACAGATCTGTCTTCTCCATGATTGCCATTATTTCACCGCAAGCCAACGCACAGCCGCTGGGGAAATCTTTGGCAAAAATATCCAACATCCGCACAGGCAATTTGCTGCTGCTGAGTGCCAGCATAACAAGCTCAAACAATTTTGCCGCGGCATCATATGCCTCCTTGGGTTCTGAATCCATTAATCCATGAAGGGAAAGAGACAGAGACACCAAGCAACCATGTGTAGTATTGTTGCGCAGGTTCTCCATTCCTCGCACTAGCAGCTTGGCTGCGTTAAGGCACCTGTCGGAATCTCCGGGATTTGCCACCGCATAGTCGTATAAAGTAAGTTGTTGGAGTAAGCAACCGACCTGGCCTGGTTGGGTAAAGCGAGCAAAATCTTCCAGGGGGTCCTTTGCGATGTGTAATTTCTTGGATTTCAAATTCTCGCGAAATTGACCATTGGATGATTTGGCTGAAATGCTATGTGCAGTTAAACGAAGAGCACACAGGTCTTGAAATTCAAGAAAACCAATAATAGTCTCAATCAGTTCTATTGGAATACTATCGAAAGTCAGGGGAGCCATATCTTGGAAATTTGCGAGATGAGTCGAAAGAAAAAGGAGACAAAGGAGGAAATCCACTTCCAGACACTGATATATTAATTACTGGGGTCTACCAAATCCCCAGCTTTTCCCGATCAGGTTGCGTCCTTCTTAAGCTTTATAGGAGGAATACTAAATGTTGGCCCATGAGGGGAAGCAAGCCACATGAATTCCCCGATTGGTCACTTTGACTGTGAACGTCAAAATCATATGTTACGGTGCTTTTGATATCTTTGATAAACTAGGCTTAACAGTTAGATTTTAGGCTTTTTATAGTACTTCTAATATTGATAAATATTGGCTATAATATATAGATATACATTTATAACAATCTCTCTTTTAGAATTTAAATCTAATTCAAATATAAGTATGAAATCTATAGTGTATCGTGTTGCGTGGAATTAATGATTTTTTGATTATTAATTTATTTATTATAATATTTAGTGTACCTAAAGGTGGTCTATATCTGATTCTGGTATAGTTATGTAGCATTGAGAAATATTGGATCATCAAATATTGTTAATCGGGACCGGATAGTTGAGAATCCGAAATATCTACCTTCGCCTAACGTTGACGGCCCTATGGTGACATCTAGTTCAACGATGGAATTTTCGTCCACCGTGGCTATAGAATCTTTTGTTTCGGCTCAGGTATCTCAGCTAGCTAGTGTCCCACCAAACCCTCTACCAACAACTATCAATGATTACGACACTTGGACACAGGTTGCCAAGCTTATGCCGCCGTTACAAACATACGAGGCTAAGGAAGACACACTGCAAATGATGGCTGCTATAAGAGATACTATCAGGACAGACTCAGATGCTGGGATCACTGTCAATGGTCTGATTGGGCGTAATGACGCCTTAAGAGTCATGATCGTTGGAGATTCAATGACACAAGGTCAAGAAGGTGACTACACCTGGCGTTATCGTATCTGGCAATGGTTCAAGGAACAAGCCGTTGCTGTAGACCTTGTCAGGCCGTACACCGGTACAGTTCAACCTGAACCCCCTGCGGCGCCGGCACTACCTGCCTTGTATGGGCAGAAGCCATTACCTGGGAAGCCAAAGATGAGCGGCGGCGATGCTGCCGACGTCTCCTTGGACTTTGATAAGGATCATTTCGCGGTTTGGGGTCGTGCAGCTGCTGTTGACAAAGAGTTGATCTATGATGTGCTCAGCACGCACCCTGCAGATTTGACGCTCCTCATGCTGGGCTTTAATGATATGGGATGGTTCTATAGCGATGCTGAAGGCACCCTGGATAGTATCCACACTCTTGTTAGCAACGCTTGCTCTGCCAACCCAAAGCTTAAATTTGCTATTGCCAATGTACCGCAACGAAGCTTCATTGGTGGCCGAGAAGATCTTCCAGTCAGTACCAATATCTATAACGCCCTGTTACGCGACTCAATTCCAGAATGGAGTACTGCCGATTCTCCAATCTCTCTTGTCGAACTACAGGAAAATTACGACTGTGAGCCTAGTGGATGTACAGCTGGCTATGATGGACTTCATCCAACTGTGATGGATGAGTATCAAATTGCTCGTGCATTTACTCTTACTCTGGTGAAAGAATTCAAGATTGGAAGCTCCTCATTATCTATCCATGATAATATACCTGGCAGATCACTCTCTGTACCGTCCAATTTTAAAGTCTTTACGAGCGCCACGGGAGTAACAGCTACATGGGATCCTGGTAGGTTCGTACAGCAGAAGGAGGTCGTGCTATAGCCGGTGCTAATTCAACTTCGGTAGTTTATGGGGCTTACAGCTACGACGTTCAGTCTCGGATTCAAGGTGGCATTCCTAACTTTTCGGCAGGAAGTGTCTCTTACACCTCGGTGGGACTCGACCTGGCCGATTGACGGCTGGGTGTATGAAGTTAAGGTTCGCGCTAGTGCTGGGGATAATATTAAAGGAGGCTGGACGTCAGTACTGTCTGCAACGACACATCCTCAGACTGCGGCGGCTCCCTGTAATGTGCTTGTTAAAGCTACTACAACCGGTTTTGACATATCGTGGGATCCTCCTACTGGTGCCTATACTGATTCTATTATCGAGTATAATATACTTTACTGGGATAAATCCGTGGATTATACCTTCATAACAGGGGGGGCCTTCACCGGAACCTCAGGGCACATTGATAAACTCAACTCAGGACATTATTATTCTATAGCCATTAAAATGTGGAATTCTGCTAGTGAAGGGTTCCCAGCAATTGTTACCGGCGTTATGCCCGGCGCTGGGACTCCATCCCCGCCAACAGATTTAAAAATTTTTGCCAATGACCCAACAACGGTCCATATGACGTGGGGCAAATCGGCAAACGCAGCTGGATATCTTCTCTGGAATAGAAATGTGCACGACAGCACAAGCGTACTTACTGCGCAAAACGGGAAGGTCGAACCACTTGCAGCGATCAATACTTTCTCTTCCCGGGAACCTGGAATTATCAATGGTGCGTTAGCGCTTTTAATGGTGATCTGGAATCCGAAAGGGGAGCCTGTGTTTTGGCCCCTTCTCCGACCACTGGAGAGAGCGCAGCTCAGACCTGCCCTCCGCCACCCGCTTGGTGCCCGAATGGAGGTGGAGCTGGGGACGGGGGAAGTGGAGGCAATACAGGTGGCGGCTCCACAAGCCTACCGACCCCTGTACCTACTGGTGACCAGTCATGGCCAGTTGTAACTAATGGGCATTGCAAGGGCCCTGACTGCAGAGACAGGCAATGCACGGGTCTTCTGTGCGCATCCTTTGGCTGCACCGGAACTGGGTGTCTCAACGGCGTTTGTACGGGTCCTAGTGATTGCATGGTCCGCGGGTGCATTGGGCCGGGTTGTAAGGATGGGGTATGTATCTCCCCTGGTTGCATCACGGTGGGCTGTGTAGAACCACAGTGTGACAGTGATGGGAAGTGTAGTGGTGACCATTGCATTGCCTTGGGATGCTCTGGACCGGACTGTGGAAAGGATGGAGTTTGTACTGGTGCCAACTGTTGGGAGGGAACTTGCAGCGGTACAGAATGCGTATCAGGCACTTGTACAGGCAGTTCCTGCACCAGCTATGACGGGTGTACAGGTACCGACTGTTCTACTGGAGGTGGAGGCAATTGCACAGGCGACAATTGCAGTAGTTGTACTGGCCAAGGCTGCAAGGACGGTAAATGTACTGGAGATGACTGCAACGCATGCAAAGGAAAGGACTGTCATGATGGGCGCTGCACCGGAGACAACTGTATAAGTTGCTCAGGAAAGGACTGTAGCCCGAGCTCCGGTCATTGTACCGGACCTCATTGCAGTGCTTGTGTAGGAAAATACTGTGCCTGCTCTCACGGACACTGTGGTTGCAAAGGATCACACTGCACTGCGTGTTTCGGTCTGGGATGTACATGCTCAGGCCTTCTGGGACTGTTCTGCTCATGCACTTCCTCTGGCTGTAGTAGTTGCTTTGGGGCTGGGTGTGGCTGTCTGGAATCCAGTTGCCTTTGTATGAAACCGAGCTGCAGCTGCTGCAGTGGAAATGGGTGTGCTTGCTTCGACCCTGAAGGTTGTAGTGGGGGGAAAGACACAGGTTCTACAACCACAAGAGAGCCAACGACGTGTGCAACTAGCATGACAGCAACTAATTGCAATGTGGGCTGCTCAGTCACGAATTATGGAGATACTTCACGCACAACAGCATGTTTCACAACCAAATGTTCCACCACCCTCGGCTGCGAGACGACGGGTATAACAACGACCACAGCAACAGTAACAAATATCTGCCCACTGACCACAGATACCGCTCCAACAGGGACTTGGGACCCAGATGGCCCTATACCTACTCTGGGACCCGACAATCAATATACTGCGGGCGGCAAAGGAGCTACAACAACAGAGTCCACCACCACCACTGCCTCTTCCAAGCCGTCCGGGACAACTTCTATCCCTATACCAACAGTTAGCGACCCAGGTTCATTCCCTGTTTACTGCTTTAATGACCATAATGACGGCTCGTTCGCGTCTTTCAACACCGCCTCACTCAATTCAGCAGTATCTTCGCTGTGCGGATCTGGCAACACCCTCAGCCCTGAAGGCCCCCCTTACACCTATGTCTACACTGACCAAACCGGAACAAATGTTATCGCCTCTTTGCAATGGACAGACAACCAATCTAAATGTAAACCTGAGAAGGGAGTCAAGCTGATAAAAGATAAAGTAGGTATTCTCCTTCCCCATATCTGACTGTAACTGAACTATCCGGAACAGTGTTCAAGAGCATATGACAAGATCGTCTCCAAATGTGATGGAGGAAACACCGACAAATACGGTGGTGGCTTCATTGTGTCGTCCGATGTTGGCTGCATCCAGTGGATGGTTTATGCGCAGAAAGCGGACAGTAAATGCAGTTGTAATGAGAATGGATGCACGCCCGAGAGTCCGGCTTGTTGTGCAAGCGGCACATGTGGGACAGGTAAGCAGGTGACTCTTGCAAGGGTTCGATTCATTGCTCCGAGTGAGGTGGATATACTATTTAGTTTACGGTTGAGTTCGTTTTTGGACATGGGGAACCGGTCAACTACCATGCCTTAGGTTTTGGGTTTTAGCTACAGAACCCTGGATGCCCAAAGGGGAAGAATAAAAACATTTTACTTGTCATGTGATTATAACATGTTCAAGATATTAGATGAATGTATGGTGAGCTGAGCTTGTTATGTTAACATGAAGGATGCGTTTTCTAGACAGTGAAGAGAGACGTAGTGAATCCGTGACATCACTCTCAGCGTTGCCTCACTTCGCAGTGTTACTATTCTAGTGACCCTATATAATCTTTCTTATATTTCTTAATTTTTACCTTTCGCCCATCAATACCTATCTCGCCTACTATCGACCTTTAATCTCAAAGTTGACTGCTTGCTGCTGTGTTGTTCCTCTGGTGAGTATTTTTACTAGCTACTTGGTGTGTCTTCCGGTGTCTTGCCCTGTGCAAGGTATTCTGTTCGCTGATTCGGGTGATTCTTTAGCGCTCATAATGGCCGATAACGCTCCTCGTATTTCTGCCCCCGGCTGTCTTGTGAGCAGTAAGTACAGCCGGTTGTTGTTGTCTTGGCTTATTTTGACTCTGGTCTTTCTAGTCGATATCGAAAACCTCACCAATGCTATCGGCAACCACCTCGATTTGGCCCGCGGGGAACTTCAGACCGTAAAGAATGCCCTGCACCTTGAGGATCCCCTTCGGGGCGATCCTGGCGCCCGCCAATCTCCTGCCGAGAAGCACTCAGCTCTTGACACTGGCTACGACAATCTCGATAGTCTCATCTACACCCTTGAAGACGCCCTCGAGAACGTCAAGACCACCATGAATCGTGCTTCCCCAGCCGGAGCATAATACACTGCCCGGCTCTAATCACCGCTCAGAGCGGAGTGAGACGGAAACTGAGTCAAGAAACGTTAACCCACGACCATACCTACATTACACGCCAAACCATCCTGTCACCCAGCAGTCTGATACTCTTGTATTTGTTGTGGAATCTTGCACTAAACTTACCTTTTGGTCATGAGGGTTAACTGTGGAGTTGTTGGCTTCTGCCATTACATAGATCAATGTACCTAGGGATCTTACTTCTAGTCGTAATGATACCCACGAGGACTTGATTTCTTCAGGTTTAGGTATTGGTCATCTGTCTAGCACCAGTGGTCTTTGGACCCCTTTGAGGATCAAAGCTTACTGATAATCCATTATATTATGACCTGGATGGTACAAGTGGATTCTAAATAAGGAGAAGAATAGATTAAGTATAAGGAAATAAGTAATAAATTCCATGCCAAATAAGAATAGATAGGTGTTCTTATATTTATATTAACTATACTATATTTAATATATAGCTGACCTGCTAGAAGCACTACTCAACAGACCTATCTATTTATTGCCTAGTTTAAATATATAATAATTGTCTTTATGTTCTGTTCTAACCACTAATTTTCCTGAAACAGAAACAACTATCTTTCTATAGCTTTGCCTTAACCTTAAATATAATGGATTTGGGATAGAACAGTTGCTGGGTATGATATTATATCAATCCCATTTTCTTTCCTTAATATCTAACTGTGGTAAGAGTACCATGCACTAACAGCATTCACCTGCTAGATAGAAAATCGACTTTCCTTCAGTAGATCGTTCTAATCAAAGAGGTGCCGTAGCCCATATGGACATGACACCATGGTTCAGTACGACAACTTTTGAGCTTCTTCGGTACCCTGAAAACACTTCACGGCTTACAAACGAGAATGTCGGACACTCGATATTTGAAGAGGATGCGAAAGCCGCCAGAGGTCCGAAACAAAAAACCTGGTATGAAACAAGGCGATTGGTATGATCCCAGTTAGCTACACTAATTCCACTAAGACTAATTCAGTGGCGCAGAGAATAAGAGGCAACTCTTTAACTTAAAGAAACATGGCTGACACATTCATCTCATTACTTTTTTGCCTATATATCGTATACAGAATAATCTCCATGATAATCAATAAAATGAGAAAAAAGTAAGAAGTTCAGAAAAATATACAACAGCCGGGATTCGCTGATGGTCACATACCCAACTACTAACCGGCCGGCGGGTGGCTTAAACGCGGCCCGAAGTCGGGTGGCTGCCGCCCGGGTGAGCTAGCAGGTGAGCTGCTTTACGGTCTCGCGACCTCGGGTGAGCTTGGGTGAGTGCGCAATAGATGGGGTGAGCCGCCAGCCAGGACTCACCCGATCGCGCGCGACCTTGCCAAATCTTACCTAAAAGTGAACCTTACTACCTACCCACTTTGCTTACATGCTCTACTATCTATTGGATGCTGCCCTACTTTTATTGTTAAGTGATAGGCTTCGCCCCAATTTTGGACTTCGCCAAATAAACCGTCATTGAAATAGATACTTCTACTTCTCTTATAAAGCAGAACTTGACACATTATGGTCTTTCAAATAAAAATACACATTGATATCAAAAAACAGCGTTTCAGAGAAAACGAGGCTTATCTATGTGAATTATGCCAGTTATAGATAAGTCGCTATTCAATTTGGAGAAATCCTGGTAGATTTAATTCCTTAAATAAATTTATGCTAATCTAGCCTCAGGCAATGTAAGTGTTGCTCCCCAAGTGAAGCCTGCTGCTGAATAGCAAGCTGTCACCACAGCGGCATAACCGGCTTGACAGATTCTGTAGGCTTCTGGTCCTGCATAGACACTGTTGACAAGAGTAGAGAAAATACCAACAGCCGGATACAGTATCTTCATAGTGTAGTAGTTCCTGGGCGCTGTTGTTACGAACTAGTCGGCGGTCATACGCTGAACCCAGTCTGCAGCGCTCGTGAGATTCTAAGTCGTCTTCGGCCCCAGCGGTCAAGACAGCTCACGGATTTATAAAGGGTGACATTGCGCGCAGATTATGCTTGCGATTTCCTCCCGTGGCCCCAAGAATCACTGTTCCAGGCAAATCATGGAATAATGCCAGCAATGCATAGTTTTCCGCCGATGAGGAATCTAGCTTCGCGCTGGAGAATGGGGCTATAGCAGTCCCGCCCGACAATCTGGGTATATTTTATTCGGCGGCAGATTACTTTTGCAAGATAGAAAAGATAAGTCTATCTTCATGCTTCTTGCACCCAGAGATAATTAATTCTTTTCTAATCGCTCTCTTATTCCAGTGCATAAAGGCGACTTTCCCAGGGTGTTTTCATATGCTTCCCTTGCGATATTCAAGCAGACTCTATTAGTAGCCAGGATGATTTGCGAGCTTTTGCTCCTTTATATTCAAAATTCGCAGCTAACAACTATTTAAGAAAAAAGCTCTGCAATCCTTCCGGTACCGATATTTCCTCCACTAAGAATAATGCCCACATCCCAACCCGCGTCGCCTGCTGTGTGCTCTACCATCTCTCTGAACTCTTCATTATACAGCGCAACTGCTAGTGGGACCGCAGCCGCAGGCTCAACAACAAGCTTGAGCCTCTCAAATATGAGTTTCATGGCGTCTAGGATCTCGTCCTCGCTGACAGCGTATATCATATCCACCAGCCGCCGCTCGTAAATGATCTCCCAGGGATACAACCCAAGCTTCCCAACAAGTCCGTCTGCAATCGTGCTGGTTTCAACATGGGTAATCCTCTTCCCAGATAGAAACCCTCGCCGCCCGTCGTCCGCCCCTTCGAACTCCGGCTCAGCTCCATAAACACGGATCCCAGTTCCTTCGCAGCTGAGCGCGGTGCCGGAGAGGAGGCCGCCACCACTGCTCGGAGAGATAATAGCATCAAGTTTCGCAACCTGCGACTGCAGCTCCAAGCCTACACTACTCTGACCAAGAATGACGTCTGGGTGATCGTAGGGTGGTACCAACCGGGCTCCTGTTTTTGCTACTACTTGAGCAGCAACGGCTTCGCGATCAAAGCGACCACTAATTGTGAGATTGGCACCATAGCCTTGCACTGATTCGATCTTGGCTCGACTGCTAGTTTCAGGCATGACGATGTGCGCAGGCATATTGCTCTCGCGAGCAGCTAGTGCGACTGCTTGAGCATGGTTGCCTATAGGTCCGATCAGAAGAACGATTTGGGGAGCGAAAACAATGGTGATACACAGGAAAGCATATTGCCTTACCTGCGCTGAAGCTCACAACGCCTCTGCTCAAACCACCATTCTCCAGCCAGCCCGGTTCCTGCTTGAGCCTCTCGATTGCGTGGAAAGCGCCTCGGACCTTGAAGGCGCCAACTCGTTGCAGATTTTCGCATTTGAACCAGAGTCTGATTATCGGCTTCGCGCTTTTCCGGGGCGTCGATGCTAGCTGGTTCATAAACGTACTTGTCATGACAGGAGTACAGTGAACGCGAGATCTGATAAGCTCGTGAGCCTTGGTAACCGACTGCCGCGTCAGGGGAGGACAAGTCGTTGGATTCGCCATGTTTCTGGATGAAATGAATGGGAGGCTGCCGTCACATTATTTCCCGGATAGATTTAGGCGTTGTAGCGATACGAAAAACACCGGCTAAGAACATAACGTAGTTATATAGCCTCCGCCGGGTGTGGCCTCTTTGAGTAGTTCGGCGACGGGGACTTTCGCCGAAGCCGATTGATATATTCTCCTTCTACGCAAAATTATAGGCGTCAAGACCATTAATGGCCCTTCTCGTTCTTGTAGGTGAATAGTGCTGGCCTAAACTTGCGAGACCGGGACGAGAGGGCGGAGTAAAAGAGTAATCAGAATAATCGACCAGGACGCTCTTCACCTTTCGAAGGCAGAAGAAACTTGTAATTCGTGGAGCTGACTTAAGGACGGATAGCCAAAGAGAGTACTATTAGTAATAACAAGACCGAGGAGAAAAAGTGCCCCAGTATAAAGGGGCTCATCGCAGTCCTCTATTGCAGTGCCGAGTCTAAGGATCCAACTATTAGCTTCCAAAATATAAAATAGAGATAAGTATAGACAGTTTAATAATATACTCTGCATTATTAGGATCTATATTATTCTTCACCTATTGCTAATCAAGCCGATATCCAATCTTCCAAGAAATATTGATAGTATAAAACAGGACAAGTTGAATATACTATACGTGTGAGTCTTTGATACAAGGCTGTAGATATAAAGCACCCTTATCTTATAACACAGGCCTTGTTCAGCTTTGTCCTTGAGCTTAGGGCAAAGCGCGGTCACCCTTGTACCTGTACAAAAGTACAGGAGAGTAGTGGAATAGAACTATACCCGTAACCTCCTAGACATGAAAAGTGGGTCATCATCCGCCCAATAAGCCCTTATCCCATGTTTAAAATTGCCAGGCTTAATATTATATTTAGGTTTCTTGATTACTTTAATAATCTTGTCTGCTACCAAATCTTTCCTAATCCCCTGCCAAAGTCAGACAACACTATATTCATTATTAGAAAGGTCGGCTCACGCTGTAAAACTTAGAAGCATCTTGTTGCGCAATGGGCTTTCTGGTTTTAAAGGCGAACCCGGGAATAAATTCTTAGGCTCAGATAAGAGATATCTTTATAACCGGCCGTCCTTAGGAGTTAAGTCTGCCCTTCGTAGAATTAATATACTATCGAAATAATTGCTTGAGCTCCTGTAGTATTATGACAGGATATTCCTTTCCGACTTTGTAGCCCTTAGGCATTCCCTTTTCCCCGACTATGAACCTATTAGAATTATTTAAGCTGGTGTAGTTTGAATATCGCTGTCGTCCATGAAACCTGAGATTATATCTATTAGCGCCTTCCAGTGCCCCCCCCACCGCCTTCGGCGTAGGGGCCCTACGCCGAAGGCGGTAGAAGGCGCTAATATCAGTTTGAACCACATATACCACTAATTAGCTAATACTGTTAGAACCTTTTCTCTGTGGGGGCTCTTCCTTTGCAAGAAAATTACCTCAAGTAATTTGTACAGAACATGCTCTGGAAATTCGGTTTCACTGCAGAGATACATTTTCTCAAGATAGTTGCCCTTATAGTAAGACCATTATATGCACCCAAGTTCCATTTTTCTCGAAGATGTCGCAAGAAATCATTGCTATTCCCTGCTAGTGCTGAATCTTCTAGCTGAGGTATCACGCTAAAGCAGTATATAAGCAGTCGCTGATGTACTAGCCTGAGTAAATCCCATGGCTCCTGTGTGCCTGCTTTCGTGGATAAGAGCGGCGACAGGGTGAGACCTCACCAACTATGCTCCATGACTCAACTCGAAGACCCAGTGGTTGGACAGATCCTTACCTGGAAAGTAAGTCCCTTTGTCTATCAAGGTTGCCCTATGATTAGGCAGCAAATAAGGGTACCGACCAATCAGGCTGCCCGGGGCGACTTTCGACCACGTCGCCTATTCGCCCGACGCCGGCGGTCTTAGCTACATAAAGAAGCAGGCTCTATACTAGGCTAAGCGATGAGTATCCAGCACCGAACCTCACCACACCCCTGCTCAGCACGCGAGTCATATATCCATGCCCGCTAGTAGCAGCCAGGATCAAGCCCGCTGCTTCCCAACATATTAGTATCATCATTTCCCAGAGGATTAGCGCCTGCCACCTTCCCCTTTATATTCGCCAAATACCCTTCCAGTATTCCTGCGGTGAGTTTCAGAGGTACAAAATCCCCTTCCATGTTTCTTTCCTGATCAGCCCTCTTTTGCTCTTCATCTTTTTTTTTTCTCTCTCTCTCTAGGGCTAACTACACCACTCTTAGATCATCACCTGATCTAACTCCAACATGAGACCCCTTACCTACCTCTCCCTCCTCCTCAGCATCTCCGCAACCACCGCCCTCGCCGCTCTCCGCCCAGACGCAACCCCCGACGAGGTCGCCGCGGCGGAAGCCGAGTGCGGGTCCCTAGGCGTGATGAGGATCGACCCAGCAGAGCTGCCCGAGGGCGTTAAGATGTCCCAGGCCCGCATGTGCGCCGACCATCCCCTCGGCCCCGGGGCGTACCCGGATCCGGGTCCTGGGGCTTTCGCCAGCTTCCGTCGGTTCTTGCCGAGTTGGTTGTTTTGAGAGGACGGCCTGGGAGCTGGGTCGAGGCCCTATAGGTAGTCCGGCGCGCAGGCTTCTTCTGCTCACGCGCGGGTTAGTTTTTCATACCCGGTCTGGTTGCCTGCGCTGTGCGGTGGGAGCAGCCATTTGGGAATGGAACTCTTGGAAATATGTGGTGTCGTTTGATGTTGATTTTTGGAACAAGCTTGATTAATATAGTCTACCTGGAGGAACGCAAGAAGGATAGAAGACCAGCGCGGTGTCGGGGAGGGCTTCTGAACTCGTTCTCCAAAGTATACAAAGTATACTTCTTGATAGATGATACTACTCTTGAGGCAGCCACAACCGCAGCCTTCTCAAATCGAGTTTGTAAGAAAGGAAACAGAAAGTGCAGTGCAGGGCCAGAAGAGATGCTCTGCCTATACTGCAAGTAACTTTGTTCTGAATTTATCAGGTAGTCAAATTTTTGAAGCATTGCGAGGCTTCTTCCGCTCGAACGGACGCCTTGGAGGATTGCAGTCAAAGAGTAATAATTGCGCAAGCGATACAGTTCCTGTGGTTCTTGTTAACATGGCCCAATTCCAAAAGGAAGATAGTTCAGGATTTACCTGTGCCAATTCAACTAATTGCGGATCAAAGCTGTCCCCAGTAGCTGAACATTCCTCTGTCCCACGGCAAAGGCTGTTCCAACGGAAGTTCAGAGCTGACAGGACATCGCCGCGGCCCTCAGTAATATCATCGACGGTGAGCCACCGAAAGAGGAGAAGATCGTCTTCCGAAAGCTGGACTGCCAGTGACCTGGGTTCCATGCGGTACAATTTCTCGAGAAAATCAATCTGAACATCAAAATCTTGCAACCCAGCCAACCTCGGGGCTACTATACCAAATTCGGAAGCGTACTGCCAGAGCCTCGAGTTGACGAAAGGTAAACTCGGTAGAGTCATTCCTGGCGAGTACTCTTCTGAGCGGATCCGTAACAAATCGAGAATCAATAATGTATTTCGTATATTTCTGAAGATAAACACAATCGCAGGTATTCTTAACCGCTTGAAACAAAAAGGGGTCTGAATCATTCTTCAAGACCTTGCAGCCGTCAGCATAGGCAACAGAGAGACAGGCTGGGGATAGAGTAATAAGACACATTTTTCACATCTAGATACTTTTGATATTCATCAAGATGTCTTCTGAGATAATAATACAGAATTGCACTTAGAAATCCGTATTTAGACTGGAGAGAGCACACGGCACTTGATGAAGAACCTGTGGCTTCCTGCACCCAATCCTCAAATTGAACGGCACAGAAATATTCCTTACTCTCGGAGCCAAGCTGTGATGCGACCTTTTCGGCATTGAGGTTCTGCGCAGTGCGCGGTTTCTAGGTCCACTTCAGAGAGCGCAAAGCTCTAGGCGTCTCAGGTAAAGGTACATCCATGCCTCCTGCGAAGGCAGACTCGACACTGCACAAATGAAACCTGATCAAACAGCGGATTATCTAGCTTATCTCAGGCCACTATAAATACTGTTATAGCTGCTAACAGGATGGCTTTTTATTCTCATTGTCCAGCTGAGCAGAATTAAGTTCTATATTGCAGGCAGTTATCACAAGACTACAAGTAGATCCCCGCATGGTGAGAGAAATATGATAGTATAAATTAAACCAGTATAAGTGTTAGAATTAACTGGTATCTTAATAGAGATAATGGGATAATTAAATACAATTGTTAGTGCTGCTTCTAGTAAAAAGATCGCGGTATATAAAGCACCCGTTCTCTCTTTGCCTTCTATCACTGCCACTCTATAAGAAATCATATACAAAAGTTTCTTAACTATATAAACTAATCAGGCAATATGATCTTAGGGCAAAAGTGTTGAAAGAGACAAATCAGCAAGGACAGAAAAGAGAATTTATCCAGATCTGGCAAGGAGAAGAACAAATCGCACATGTAGATTAAAGATATAGATAACTAACAAGAGATATAAGGTATTGCCTAAGAGAAAGGCTGTAATAAGAGTGAGAGCCAAGAAGCAAATCAGAAAATGTTCTGGAGGCTGGAAAGGTAATGAATAGAGGCAAAGCTTGGTAAACAGTTAGGGATCAGATTTCAGCATAAGTTTCGCGGCTAACTCACCTGGGTGAAAATAGCTATAAGTAACCCTATTCACTTGTTCCTTGTTGCAGGAAACTCAGTACTCTTGGTGGCTTTACACAGTCACAAGACTCTGTCTGGGAAGTTAGCTGAAATTTAGCTAGTCTTTTGATATATTTCTCTTTTTTTCTATTTTAGACTAGAGAATAATTGTTTTATTAAGGTGTGGTTTGTAGTATGAGATAGGACCGCCTTATATATATACCACCTAACAGGTTGACTACTTGAAAAGTAGTCAATTGCTGAGCTTTTAGCCTAGTGGTTAGGTGGCTGGCTAATGGAATCACAAAGGGAAAGCATATATTGGTAGTGGTATTGGATATCAATGATTTTCTGACATGTATATTATAATGCAGGGTAGATATACTTTTATTTCTTTCACCCCCTCGCTCACCCAGCTCGCCCAGCTCACCCAATCACTCACACTCACCCTGCGACTTGGCGGCGCTCACCCATAAAGCAGCAACTTCCAAAGGGCTCATTTCTAAGTCGTCCACGTTCAATAGGTGGCTTAAGTACGGCTGAGCGGACGGGAAGCCCTGTTTTCCACACCCTATGGTCGTATGTGAAAGTTCTTGGTACCTATTTCGTTTATGTCGTAGCATACTAATCTAAGTTACTATGAATTCATGATGGCTCGCCCTGAGGTGCTTGCGGGTATATCTTCGGATGAATCAGTCCAACTCGAGTGCTAATATGTCAAATACAGTCCGATGCCCGAAAATTCAGACCTTCCACGAGATCTCCAAGAACTGTTTGAAGGACAGAGTCTTGATATCAGGAAAACGCTCGTTAAGGGTAAACGCAGGTTTGAGATCCATCTCTCCTCCCGCGACCCACAATCCAACCATACTAAAAAGATTGAGGCCCTGCTCCTTTCCCATAATTGAAAGGACAGATGAATAAGCTGGCAGTTCTGTGATGTGTCCACCCTCCAGAGCTTCCTTGGAGTCGTAGGTAACGCGGAACCTCGTACCTATCGACGGCTTCAGTAACATATTGCCAAACGCGTTTGGGAACGAATCACAATGAAAGATTGCACATACCCTTCACCTCTTCGGCGGTACGGACCAGCTCTTGCAGCGTAACTCGATCGCCAATGACATAGCTTTCTTTCGGCCAGTCGGTCAGATCTAAAGTGCGAACAACAAACCTCGCAATATCTAGAACGTGGGTAAATACTACGGGTTCTGTACCTGACCCGGGGATGGCTGCCCGCTTGCTGGCGATATCAACGAACATGGGGAAGCGGCTGACGTGAGATTGGAGCAGGGGAGATCCATAGTAATCCATGAACATGCCAACATAGAAAGCAGTGTAAGTTAGAGAAGTCTTCTCAAGTTCCTGCAGGACCTCGAACTTGGTTTTGGCGATAGGCGAGCTCTCCGGATACCTAGATAGATAATTAGATCTGCCTTAATATCATGGTGGTTCATTTATTTCTATCACACGTAAACCCGAGGACGGTTGACTGACTTGGTGGGATATTCTAAGCCAGCAAAAATGCTGGGAATAAATCGACTTGTTGCGGAGGATTTCTCTGCAGCGCTGACTAGATTCCGTTCGGGTAAAGAGCTCCCATTTGCATTGATAGTGCAAATGACGGTGCCAATGTTATTCGATTCAAGGGTATCTTTGAGGCCCTCGATATTGTCGTAGTCAACCACGATCAACCGAGCCGGTAGCTTCTTCTCGAGTTCAGCACCGCCCTGAGAGGTATTAGCCGCGTAGACTATCACTTCAGCAAAATATCCCGACTTGCTTTTCGGCTCAGTACAACCACATCGTGCCCACCATGAGTAGCCAATGCCTCGACAATAGTCAGACCGAGACCATTAGTGCCTCCGGCGACAGCAACAGCAGCCATAGCGATATTATGGATAAATGAATAGCTATGAGAGAAGTAGTACGACGGTGGGAAGTACGAGGACTTCTTGCTGGATGCTTTTGCTGGTCAATTTATCTATCCATCAATGGAGGGTGTCATGATTAGGTCATGTAAATCACATTTGAATCGCCTGCTGATCTAGTTGCAAATACATGAATAATGTCGTAAACGGTCAACTTTATTTCCCCATTTCTAAGCATTCGTCAGCGAAAGGGACCAACTTATTCTCAACAGCGTCGGGGTTCGTGATCCGAGACCAGGGAAACATCCTTCCGGGTTCCGTGGATTTCGGCTCGGCCCCGTCTTGGTCCGTTCCCAAGTCGTCAAAATCGAAGCGGCTATCAAATGTACTCAGTGCATAGGTACTCCGTTTAACAATGAACCCATTTAAAAGATTATCTGTCGTCTATCCATCTGTATGGAATCTTCACTCATAGATTCGGCTCTGAGCCTAACGCCCGATCTTTAATGTAAAAGCACGAGTCTCGAATATGTGCTCGATAAGTCCCCCACATCCTCGTATATCCTTCTTTGAAAGATAGGGTTGATGCGTATTTCGCAGTTGATGCACAGCAAATCCTAATCCAAACCCAGCAAGTACTCAACTTACTCTGCACCCTCGGAGTGGAGGCATCATTGGCACTCTTTCACATATCAGACCAAGACGACGGTGTTTGTTTGCAGGATATATCGTAAGCAGACTAGCTAAGCTAAGTAGAAGTACCAAATGTATGAGAGTATAGTGTCAGTAAAAATCGACAGAAACTGGATTTGTTACTCAAAAAATTCGAACCTCTGGACTCTTGATGCCTGAGTCAAATGGGTGTACCCGGTCATTCCCTCGCCTGGTGTATCTCAACCTCCTTTGATTATATGGTTTTTGTGCGCTTCCCTTCAACATCACGGCGAACATTTTACATATTCTTGTTTTACATATATCTACAGCTACAGTTATGAACGAGGTTTCCTCGGTCGCTTCTTACCGACAGGCTCCTTGACATGCTTCATCCACCGGGGGTCGAGGTTATCGAGTGGAGTGTACGGTTTCACTGCCGGATGATACATAACACCGGCTATGTATCACCGGCTGGTGGTATTCGCGAATAGCCTGGCATGGGATAACATGTTTGATAGCTTGGAAATGTGACGTCGTCATGTTCAAAACCTTTACTTCGAATAGGATTGTTCCATAGTTAAGATTATGAATCAGGTTCTAGAAAGTGCTCGCCTTCGATATTTTCCACCTCCACGGCCTCGGATGACCAGCTCATCGACGATCTAGTAGCTACTCCAGTCCCGCCCTTGAGCTGTCCCTAAGCAGCCCACCATGCTTACTAGGTATTATCTAGCAGAGCTACCAAGGAAGGGAGTTCTCCATCCTTCATTATGTTACCCATTAGAGTCAACAAATGCTACACCTTGTAATCATAACTTACCAAGCTTCTCATTTATGGACTCTGTATTGAGATTAGTGAATATGGGAAGTTGGCGACGGCTATTCAGAGTTGGTCTGGGGTGATGATTGTCATGTAAGGTGATCTCCCATTTTCAGAGACAAACACTACTGCTCTCATTTTTAATTTATAGACATCAGGATTAGCAAGAATGGAGCATGCTCAGGTGACTCGACCCGCTCTGCCTTTTCTCACTCTGAGCAATGACCTAGGATGACATCGGTCTAGATAGTCCGTCAGATTATACTTCCTGTTGAACGATTTATTGCATCCGTCGACGCTACACTTATATGACCGAGAATTTATATGAATGTATCTGATATGCCCCATCAGTTCCACGTCCCGTTTGAAGTGATGCTGAGAACTGCATCCCTCCCATCTACATGTGAGAGTGGGCGTTGGTTGTTCTTCACTATATCCGCCTTTAGTAAAATAACCGACATTTTGTCCGACGTGGAAGCGTACATGCTTTGGATTACGTTATTGCTTTGCCGCTGGTCTTGTCTATAGATGTTCCCAGGTTCACCTCTCAATGGAAGATGCTGAACCATTTCCTCGACTCTGTGTTGCGGTCTTGTATTTTCAACACCGCTAAGTGAAGACATGAGCGTGGATCCTTCTGAAAGAGGAAGCGTATTCAAAACGATATAGTTGGACAGGTGGGCAGTTTGCAGGTCGGTATCAAACAGACACTTCCACTTCTCTTATACAAATGAACTTGACATATAATGGTCTTCATTTAGAAACATGTCTTGATATGAAGAAACACCGTCAAAGGGAACAAGGACTATATCTACATAATTTAGGATACTTGTTAGTTATGGATAATTAACCAACCAAAAAAGGATTAGAATGAACACACAAATAATAGAGAGAGGCTGATAGAGCCCCTAGAGACCATTTAGAGGCAGTGGCTTAGGCCACTGCCTAGGCACATGTGTCTGGCATAGCTGACAGCTCAATAGTTACGGACATTAAATATAATTAATAATTATTATAAATTTAGGATTAACCCTAAAGAATCTAAAAGATTAGCTAGTTCCTTATCTATATAATATACCTTCCACTGATAAATTATATTTTAACTAAGTATACTTATATAATTTAATGGCTTAGTTCTCTCTTTTTAATATCAATTTCCCTGAAATTATAAGAATAATAATAATAACTAATTAAATTAGAGAATATTCAGGTAAGGCTAGTAACTTATAAATTAGAAATAGATATTTACTTTATATAGAGTATATAATATATATATACTTACTACTATATTATAAACTATAAAAGTCACAGTTTTATAGCTAGTTTTATTGGCCTTACTGGCTTTATATTATATCTAGGTATTTAGGCTAGAGCTCTACTGACTAGTTAGCTATACTTATATAGTAAGAGTAAATACCAGAATCTACTGAGATTCAGTACTATAATTCTGGAGTATAATATATAAGAAAGTCTATCTAGATAAAGTTATAATATTATCTCTAATCTATTTATTATTAGAGAATATGGCTCACAGCTAACTTACCAGTAGTTCTTATAGTACAGTATAAGCTTATTCTTAACCTATAGTATTGCTAAAGGCCTCTTCAGGCCTGATTTAAAGATATATAAAGGATTATACTTAAAGAGATTTTTTTTATTAATTTCCTTATCTATATTAAGCTCTGGATTATTATTATTTAGTATATTATATAGGATTTCTATCTATAGCAAGATATCCTACAGCTTTAGTATAAGCTTACTAACTGTAGTATAAATCTATATTCACTACTTTAGATAGCTAATACTATCAGGTCTCTTATTCTATATAGTGACCGGGCAGATAAGATAAGCCTGGATATAGTTATCCTTAATAAGATTCTTATCTAGTTTAGGATAATATTTTTCTCTATTTCTTAATATATTAATAACAGTGACTTAGAATATCTTGTTGTCTATTTAGTCTGCTAGATCCTGTTATACAGTGTCCAGTAAGAACAATATATTCTTCTACCAGTGTATAATATATATACCCTTATAACTAATTATATACATGATCATATAGCTGGAAAGATATACTATGCCTATACTATACTGCTGCCAGTGCTTTATACTGCTAAAAGTCTTTATTATCTCTGTACTTATCTTCTCTACTGTGGGCGCCTTCTTATATGGCATAATCAGCTTGGTAAGATATAGCAGTTTATTTCTATAGAATATATTGATATTCCTGTCTAGTAGCTCTATATACTTCTGCAGGGCTATAGTATTCCGCTTAAAGTAGATAAAGTCTAATAAAATATTATGTAAGTTACTTATACTGAGGCAGACAGTATTAGCTAATACCAGTTTTAGACTATACTTTAGCCGCGATTATTTAATAATATAGAGAATATACTCTTTAAGCTAAGGGTCTTCTATGACTATTTCTATCTTGACTGTTAGTATAGAAAGTAGACTATAATATTTTCTTTTTTATATATAGTGGAGAGAATCCTTACCAGATCTAAATATATTTATAGAGATAGCAAGGGCTAGCTATACTAGTAATTACAGTAATCTTATAATTAATAACTAATATATTATCTTAAATAGAAATAAGAGATAGTATATTCTATCTACTTTTAATAATATTTCTTTACAATATTAGCTAGATTTATAAAGTCTGCCAGCTAAAGAGACTATAAAAATATAAATTTAGAAAAGAGAAAAAGTTAATAGAGTAAGCTACTATAGTTCTAGTACTAATATAATAAAACTAACTCTTCTTTAATCTCTAAAAATTATAATATTAATTACAGATACTTAATCAGAAAATAGATCTAGCTCTAAATATATTCTAAATAGACTCTCAGATCTTTCTACTTGTCTCTATTAGAGAAAGCTAAAGAGTATAAAGTAATATTATCTTCCAGATATTACTAGATAAGATATATAGTCTAAGTAAAATCTTGCCTAGCCTTAGAATTAAGCAGGCTAAGTATAGTCTTCTAGATACTAGGATCTAGTATACTCTCTACTATCTATATAGAACTTTTGCTATAGATTTTTCTGCTATCTAATATAATTATTAGGTCTATATCTGTATCCAGTAGTAGCTTAATAATATTAGGTCTAGCACAGCAAATAGTACAGTACAGAGATATATTCTATTTATTAGAGATTATATTTAGATTAAGACTTTTATTAAGAAGAAACTGAGTCTTGAGCTCTGCTTGATAGACATGAGAAGCTATAGTAAATATTAGAAGATCTATTAATAGTATAGCTCTATATTTAATATATAGATCAAGAAAAGAAAGATCTTTCTTCTTAATAGTCATAAGAATATAGTTTAGAGAAGATATTTTTCTTGGCCTATAAAGATTAGAGTTAATATCTACTAATAGTAATTTATAAATAGATATAGAATTAATTAATATACTATTAATTATAGAGTTAGTTAGCTAGTTAGTCTACAGGTCCAAGTCTTTAGCTAACTAGTAAGTTAAGACTAAGATATATAGAAAAAAAGACTTGCTATTAGAAATCCTTAAGTTAAGATTAAGACTATAGTCCAGGAAGTAATAAATAATACTCAGATACTACTATAGATTTAGTCTAAAAAAAGACACTACTGTTAATACTGATATACTAGCACTGGTATTAAAGAGAGTAGCTATAATCTTAGGATATATAATATATATTACTAGCTTAAGTCCCT